ATCTTACTAATTGGGTAATTATCGAAGAAAAATATTTGTTGGTTAGAGCTGCCAAAAAGAATAAAAATTGGTTAGATTTGGAAAAACTTTTGGTTTAACCCAGTTTAGATAAGGGTTAATCCTTTTTGCTTTTTTCTTATAAAAAAAAAATCAACAAGAAGGAATATGCAAAACGACAGCGAATTATATAGACTTTACTTACGGGCTGATATTCTATCTGGCCCAAATACAAATTCGTAGCCTCTATAAACCCAAAGTAACTTGATATTAATAAGGGTTGGCTGATTTTATAGCCATAAACTAGTTGCATTCTCAGCTTTTCCTCCCAACCTTTTTGCCTCTGAAAATTCCACCATAAACTTAGATAATTCTCACAATTTCAACATGTACTTTCGGATTCATCCTTAAAACTACGCCTCCAATTGAACCGGCTAATAAACCGGTACCACATAACCCGGTTTGATTTAATTCAAATTTAACCAAATTTTAACCCGATTTTGACCAAAATTTTGACCAAAATTTTCTTCTTCCTCTTCACCAAAATTTTCTTCACCAAAATTTTCTCGATAAACCAAATCAAATTTTCGATTTGAAACTCGTAATTATGCGAAGAAATTAAGAAGTAGTAAACACTCAGGGAGAAAAAGAGTTATTACACAATCGGAACTTGGCGGTAGCTCTTGGAGGAGAGGAGAACAGTCAAGTAGCAATTTGTTCTTGTCCTTTGCAGGTTTTGCCATGTTTTCTGGTTGTTGCGATTTCCTGACCTAAATGAAAAAAGTAAGCTTCTATGGTTTAGGAAACATGAACAGAATCTTGCTATTGAAACAGTAAACAATTATCAGAAGAAAAAAAAACTGAAAACAAACATGAATGGAGAAAAGTAAGTATCAAGAACAAGATTTGCCAACAGATATTGGAATATGAGAATCGAATCCAATTCCAGAATTCAATAATCAAAATAGATTATTCAATTTCGTACAAGAAGAGGGAAGAAGAGTCTGTACCAAAACTTTGGATTACAAGTTTAGAAATTGAACCCTAAAAGAGAAGATTCATTGGCCAACAATTACTAAAAACAGAGAAGATTCATTGGCTAACAAATATTGAAAACAGAGAATCGAATCGAATATAGCAAAGGGGAAGAAGATTAAATCGTACCCAACAAAACCCACAGAAGTTTAAGAACACCAACCTCACAGAGAAGAAGAGTACACTAAAATTTTGGTGAAGAGGAAGAAGAAAATTTTGGTGAAGAGGAAGAAGAAAATTTTGGTCAAAATCGGGTTAAAATTTGGTTAAATTTGAATTAAATCAAACCGGGTTATGTGGTACCGGTTTATTGGCCGGTTCAATTGGAGGCGTAGTTTTAAGGATGAATCCGAAAGTACATGTTGAAATTGTGAGAATTATCTAAGTTTATGGTGGAATTTTCAGAGGCAAAAAGATTGGGGGGAAAAGCTGAGAATGCAACTAGTTTATGGCTATAAAATCAGCCAACCCTATTAATAACGAAGAAGAGAGTTTTGTGATGGATAATTAAATTATGAGATGCATAGGAGGAATGAGTCAATATTAGTGTGGAGATTTTGTGACAAAATGCCAAATCATTGGTCAAAGAGAGCATTAAAAGAGTTGACAAAATCAACCTCAATCCGACGAGTTACGCAATGACTTGCCCAAGTCAAAAACAACTGAGTTTTTTCTTCTTTTGCTTTTTAAACGGAGCCAAAGAAACCATAACCAACATAACCTATAAACTACCACACAAACTTCTAACAAAAAAAAAAGAGGTAACGATGATTCCAAGCCAATCTTGTTCCTTTTGTGGTGTTGTTACCATATATTTCTTCTTCTTGATGTCCTTCGTTCCAGACACTCGTGCCGCCTCTCCTACGTTTCGCTATTGCCGCCATGACCAAAGGGATGCTCTTCTGGAGTTCAAACACGAGTTTCCGGTCAATGAATCCAACCCAAGTCCTTATGATGCATCGTTAAGTTCATGGAACAAGAGCATTGATTGCTGTTCTTGGGAGGGTGTCACATGCCATGCTAAATCTGGCGAGGTGATTTCACTTAACCTTAGTCACGTTCCTCTTAACAATTCTGTGAAACCAAATAGTGGTCTTTTCAAACTTCAACATCTTCATAACCTAACCCTTAGTAATTGTAGTCTCTATGGAGATATTCCTTCTTCATTAGGAAATCTTTTTCGTCTCACACTTCTTGACCTTTCGTATAACTATTTCGTTGGTCAAGTTCCACATTCTATAGGAAACCTTTCTCATCTTACAATTCTTGACCTTTGGGATAATAAGTTAGTAGGTCAACTTCCAGCTTCAATAGGAAACCTAACCCAACTAGAATATATAATCCTTTCACATAACAAATTCAATGGCAATATTCCTTTTACATTTGCCAATTTAACAAAATTGTTCGTTATCAGCCTTTATAATAATTCCTTCGAAACGCTTCCACTTGACATGAGTGGGTTCCAAAACTTGGACTATTTTAATGCTGGTGCAAACTCATTTTCCGGGACTTTGCCTAAATCTTTGTTCACTATTCCTTCATTACGATGGGTTAATTTGGAGGGTAACATGTTCAAAGGACCTATAGAGTTTAGGAATATGTCTTCATCATCTACTACTAGGCTTCAATATCTATTCCTTGCTCAAAACAAGTTTGATGGCCCAATCCCTGAATCTCTATCTCAATATCTCAATCTCGTAGAGTTAGATCTTAGTTTCAACAATCTAAATGGGTCTTTCCCTGCGTTCTTGTTCACAATTCCTTCGTTACAATGGGTTAACTTAGAGGGAAACCAGCTCAAGGGACCTGTAGAGTTTGGAAACATGTCTTCATCGTCTAGTCTCAAGTTTCTAAACCTTGCTCAAAACGAATTCAATGGCTTAGTCCCCAAATCTGTATCTCAGTATCACAACCTCGAAGAGCTACATCTTAGTTTCAACAATTTCGTTGGGACAATCCCAAGATCTTTATCAAAGTTAGCCAAACTCGAATATTTTTGTCTTGAAGACAATAATATGGCAGGCGAAGTACCAAGTTGGCTATGGAGATTGACGATGGTGACACTTTCTAACAATTCTTTCAACAGTTTTGAAGAATCATCAGGAGTTCTTGATATTGAAACACAAGTCCAATGGTTGGATCTTAGTTCAAATTCATTTCAAGGACCATTTCCTCATTGGATCTGCAAGCTTAGATCATTGGAGATCTTAATTATGTCCAATAATCGCTTCAACGGCTCAATTCCTCCATGTTTAAGCAATGCCACGGTTTCTCTCACAGATTTACTTCTACGTAACAACAGTTTCAGTGGAACTCTTCCTGATATATTTGTCAATGCGACAAAGTTACTATCACTTGACGTTAGTCGCAACCTTTTGGATGGAGTGCTACCAAAATCTTTGATCCATTGCAAAGCTATGCAACTTTTGAATGTGAGAAGCAACAAAATCAAGGACAAGTTTCCATCTTGGTTGGGATCTTTGCCGTCATTACATGTCCTCATCCTCCGATCAAACGAGTTCTATGGGACGTTGTATCAACCTCATGCATCCACTGGGTTTCAAAGTTTAAGAGTCATTGATGTCTCACATAATGACTTGACCGGAACGTTACCGTCATTCTATTTTTCTAGTTGGCGTGAAATGAGCAGATTAACAGGAGAAGATGGCAACTTTAGACTTTCGGATGCTCCATACATGGGAAAAGTTTTGAATGCTACTGCTTTCTTTGTTGATTCAATGGAAATTGTGAACAAAGGAGTAGAGACGGAGTTTAAGCGGATCAACGAAGAGAACAAAATCATAAATTTTGCTGGAAACAGATTTTCTGGAAATATACCTGAATCCATTGGACTGTTGAAAGAGTTACGTCATCTCAACTTGTCAAGTAATGCATTCAGTGGCAATATCCCACAATCATTGGCGAATTTGACAAAGCTTGAGGCGTTAGACTTATCTCAGAATCAGTTGTCTGGTCAAATTCCTCAAGAACTTGGTAGTCTCTCATTTATGTCGACCATGAACTTCTCTTACAACTTTCTTGAAGGTCCAGTGCCTAAAAGCACACAGTTTCAAGGTCAAAACTGTTCTTCATTCATGGAAAACCCCAAGCTCAATGGTCTCGACGAAATATGTAGAGAAACTCGTGTCCCGAGCCCTACACCACAAGAATCAAAGGATTTGTCGGAACCGGAAGAACAAGTGATTAACTGGATAGCGGCGGGAATAGCTTATGGACCTGGTGTCTTCTGTGGATTGGTAATTGGACATATATTCCTTTCACAAAAACACGAGTGGTGGTTCATGGAAACGTTTCGTCGGAAAAAGCCCAAAGTAGTCACCAGAAATGCTCGTCCCTCTAAGCATTGATTTGTGACGTATATGTTGACTAGCGTGTATTGTTTGTTACAACAGCTACGTATTTTTTCTATTTAATGGTCTTCTAATAAATCTTGGCACGAAAATGAATTCAGAAACTTCTTCCTACTCATATATATCTCAGAAGATGTTTGAATTCTAAACCCCTTGGTTATCAAGAATTTGGTGATTTTAGTTTTATCATTTGTGTCTTTCGTCGAAACCCTCACGCGTCTATAAGTCTTCTTCGTGAAACTTTCTAAGTCAAACAAAAATTCCAAAGGAAATTCTCTTGCTTCTTGCACACGTCACTCTTGGCCGTCCTTTACCATCACGAATTTGATTAGGATGATCAAGATAAAAAATGGGAATTTGGAAAAGTGAGGGGGTTAAATGTAATTATAACTAATTATGCACATTATAGAACTTTTTAAACTAGTATGAGGGTTATTTTGCAATTATCACTAGTTATGCATATTATACAACTTTTTAAAATAGTACGAGGGTTATTTGATATTTTCACTAGTTATGCATATTATACAACTTTTTAAAATTGTACGAGGGTTGTTTTGCAATTTTCACTAGTTATACACATTTATCCGTAATCACTTCGCTCAAGAAGCTTCTCCTCCTGTGTGATTCTCCTTCAATCGCCGGCGATGATTCCTCTAACTCTTTCGTCGCCGTCTCTGAATCGGCTCGTTTTATTCACCTCACGTTACTCTCACCCTCCATTTCTCCGCAATTTCAATTCGCTCCCTCTGATCCACCGGAAATTTAAACCCCTTTTTGGCGTAAGGTGTCACGCTAGTAGCAGCAGCTCTTCCTCCTTCACCGCAAAGTCTTCCAAAGAGATTCGTAAAGCTCAAACCAACGTAGTTATCGACGAGAAGCTTACCGCTATCCGGCGGCTGTTTGCTGATCCGGGTGTTGGAATCGATGCTTATATCATACCTTCACAAGATGCACATCAGGTTCTCTTTTCTAAACCTCTTCTTACATGTATTAGCTTGTGATTACAAATTGAATAAGAAGTTATAGTAGATTCTAAACTCAGATTACAAATTGTGTTTTTGAATTCATGAAATTAGCAATGAGTCAATATTGGTCTAAGTGGGCAAGTTTGACTATAGAAAGGAGTAGGTAGGTGATGGACAAGTCTACCTATGGAAAGGATAAGTCTACTAGAGAGCTTCACAATTGAGTTTTGTTTTCTATTTACTTTTCTCTCTAAAGAGAGACGCAGAAGGAAAAAAATAATGATTCCAGGTCCATCGAATTGCTTTTCTGGTATTGTTACCTTGTATTTCTTCCTCTTGGGTTCCCTTGTTCTACGCACTCTTGCTTCTTCTAGGCTTCACTATTGCCGCCATGACCAAAGGGATGCTCTTCTCGAGTTCAAACACGAGTTTCCAGTAACTGAATCAAAGCGAAGTCCGTCGTTAAGTTCATGGAACAAGAGTAGTGATTGCTGTTTTTGGGAGGGTGTCACGTGTGATGCTAAATCTGGCGATGTGGTTTCACTTGATCTTAGTTATGTCGTTCTTAACAACTCTTTGAAACCAAATAGTGGTCTTTTCAAACTCCAACAACTTCAGAACCTAACTCTTAGTGATTGCTATCTCTATGGAGAGATTACTTCTTCACTAGGAAACCTTTCTCGTCTCACGCATCTTGACCTTTCGAGTAATCTACTGACAGGTGAAGTTCTGGCTTCAGTCAGCAAGCTAAACCAACTCAGAGACCTTTTACTTTCCGAAAACAGTTTTAGTGGTAATATTCCTACTTCATTTACCAATTTAACCAAGCTTTCTAGTTTAGACATCTCTAGCAATCAATTCACATTGGAAAATTTCTCTTTTTTACTACCAAATTTAACCAGCTTGTCCTCCTTAAACGTTGCCTCTAATCACTTTAAATCCACGCTTCCATCTGATATGAGTGGACTCCGCAACTTGAAATATTTTGATGTGCGTGAGAATTCATTTGTCGGGACTTTTCCTACATCCTTGTTCACGATTCCTTCCTTACAAGTTGTTTATTTGGAAGAAAACCAGTTCATGGGACCTATAAATTTTGGGAATATATCTTCATCGTCTAGGCTTCAGGATCTAAACCTTGCTCATAACAAATTCGATGGGCCAATCCCTGAATCTATATCTGAAATTCACAGTCTCATATTATTAGATCTTAGCCACAACAACTTAGTTGGGCCAATCCCCACTTCTATGTCAAAGTTAGTCAACCTTCAGCATCTTACGCTTTCAAACAATAAGTTGGAAGGCGAAGTGCCTGGTTTCTTATGGGGATTGATAACAGTGACACTTTCCCACAATTCTTTCAGCAGTTTTGGACAGTCATCATCCGGGGTTTTGGATGGAGAATCAATGTACGAGTTGGATCTTGGTTCAAATTCACTTGGAGGACCATTTCCGCATTGGATCTGCAAGCAAAGATTCTTAAAGTTCTTAGATTTGTCCAACAATCTCTTCAACGGCTCAATTCCTCCTTGCTTGAAAAATTCCACTTATTGGCTTAAAGGGCTAGTTCTGCGTAACAACAGTTTCAGCGGAATTCTTCCAGACGTATTTGTCAATGCTACCATGTTACTATCACTTGACGTTAGCTACAACCGGTTGGAGGGGAAACTTCCAAAATCCTTGATCAATTGCACTTATATGGAACTTCTGAATGTGGGAAGCAACATAATCAAGGACACTTTTCCATCCTGGTTGGGTTCTTTGCCATCATTACGTGTCCTCATCCTCCGATCTAATGCATTCTATGGGTCGTTATATTATGACCACATATCTATTGGGTTTCAACATTTGAGACTCATTGATATATCACAGAATGGCTTCAGTGGAACTTTGTCACCTTTGTATTTCTCCAATTGGCGTGAGATGGTGACATCTGTCTTAGAAGAAAACGGCTCTAATATAGGTACAGAGGATTGGTACATGGGGGAGAAGGGGCCCGAGTTCAGCCATAGTAATTCGATGACCATGATATATAAAGGAGTAGAAACGGACTTCTTGCGGATCCCATATTCCTTCAGAGCCATTGACTTTTCTGGAAACAGATTTTTCGGGAATATACCTGAATCCATTGGTTTGTTGAAGGAATTGCGTCTTCTCAATTTGTCAGGTAACGCATTCACAAGCAATATCCCTCAATCATTGGCAAATTTGTCAAGTCTCGAGACGTTAGACCTATCCCGGAATCAACTATCAGGTCACATTCCTCGAGATCTTGGTAGCCTCTCTTTTCTGTCGACCATGAATTTCTCCCACAACCTTCTCGAAGGTCCAGTTCCACTAGGCACACAGTTTCAAAGCCAACATTGTTCTACATTCATGGACAACCTCAGACTCTACGGTCTCGAGAAAATCTGTGGAACAACTCATGTCCCTAATTCTACACCACGAGAATCTGAGGAATTTTCAGAACCAGAAGAACAAGTGATTAACTGGATAGCAGCGGCAATAGCCTACGGACCTGGTGTGTTCTGTGGATTAGTTATTGGACATATCTTCTTTACTTCACACAAACACGAGTGGTTCATGGAAAAGTTCCATCGAAACAAGCGCAGAGTAGTCACCATAAGTACTCGTTGAACACCATCATTTCTCACAATTTCTCTGAGTGATTGTGAAACATATATGTTTGTTATGATATCTGTCAGTTGCGTTATGCATAAACTCTTTGTCTTTGTAATTTCTACTTTATGGTATTGTAATAAACTTCTTTGGTGGTATCTGATCTTATATATGTTGGCTTGAAAATGCATTCAGATTTTTCTTCCTAGTCAAATCTCAACTTGTCAGAATAGGAAATTCTTCTTCTTCTAAATCACAGGATGAAATTCTCCAACTCGTGTTTTATTTCATCCTCCCAAAGTTTCTTGCTTCGCTCACACGTCAATCTTGCTGTCCCTGAATTCGATTTGGAGATTCAAGATAAAAAATAAATAAAAAATTTAGACCAGTGCGGGGGTTGTTACTCAATTTTCACTAGTTATGCACCTATGCAATTTTTTTTGTCATCTTGCTATGGGTAATGTGTTGTTTCGGTGAATGTTACATATTAGGAGCTTAAGATCTTCTTTCATAACTTCTGTTGCCTGTAATATTTTTTTGTGCCATTAGGAAAGTCACAAATTTATGTTTTACTTCTAAATGTATCCATAAACTGCCTGAGTGTTTCATGGCTTGAGTATGATTTTTGTCCATATTTGTACTAGAGCGAGTTCATCGCAGAGTGCTATGCGAGGAGGGCTTATATATCAGGATTTACTGGTAGTGCTGGTACCGCTGTTGTCACCAAGGATAAAGCAGCGCTATGGACAGATGGCCGCTATTTTCTCCAGGTTTTGATCATGTTCTAACCTTCTGAAAAATTTGATTGCTATTTTATACATACATTTGAAAGGAAATGTGGCGTTTTATATCTACATTCGCTGCAATTATTGTATCAAAGGCGGAGAAGCAATTAAACTCTAGTTGGATTCTCATGCGTGCTGGTAATCCGGGAGTCCCCACGGCAAGTGAATGGGTAGCTGATGTTTTGGCTCCTGGTGGAAGAGTTGGTATTGACCCTGTAAGCTACTATCAAACCTTCTAAATTGTGTCTCCTTTTTTCCTTAGTATTTCATCTTGTATTTGTTCTTAGATAGCTTCAATATTGTAGTTTGTGGTTTGTATTTACTATACTTTGGAATTCATGAAGGGAGCAGTTCCTTTTTTCCGCCGATGCTGCTGAGGAATTGAAGGAGGTTATAGCGAAGAAGAATCATGAGTTGGTTTACTTGTACAATGTAAATCTTGTGGATGAGATATGGAAGGACTCAAGGCCAAAGCCTCCAAGCAAACAAATAAGGATACATGACTTGAAGTATGCTGGTGTAGATGTGGCCTCGAAATTGTTGTCTCTGAGGAATCAAATTATGGATGCTGGCGCATCTGCCATTGTAATATCCATGCTTGATGAGATTGCATGGGTGCTTAATCTGGTAATACTCTAGATTAGCATCTTACATTTGAACCTGTTAGCTTTGTGCCACTATTCTCAGCTTATACTTCACTTAGGTCCCAATGTATTGATGTTGTATTGTGCCTTTTCTGATTGCAGAGAGGGAGCGATGTTCCACATTCACCTGTAATGTATGCATATCTGATTGTAGAGGTTGACCAAGCCCAACTCTTTGTAGATAATTCTAAAGTAACGGCGGAGGCGAAAGATCATTTGAAAAACGCAGGGATCAAACTTAGACCTTACGATTCCATTCTTCAAGGAATAGATAGGTAAGAACTTGATTGTCCATGTCCATTTATAAGCTTCAGAAAAAGGAATTTACCTCACTTTGAGTTTTCTCAGTCTGGCAGAACGAGGAGCTCAGCTCTTGATGGATCCATCAACCCTCAATGTAGCTATCATTAGTACCTACAAATCTGCGTGTGAAAGATATTCTGAAAGTGAAGACAAAGCTAATACGAAGTTTACTGATAGCTCCAACGGACATACTGCCAATCCCTCTGGTATTTACATGCAATCTCCTATTTCTTGGGCAAAGGCCATTAAAAATGATGCCGAGCTACAGGGAATGAAGAACTCTCACTTGAGGTAAAGAAACCCATTCCAATACCATCTTTCCCTAATCCAACCGCCTTTAGAGGATTCAACTTTCCTTTGGAAGATTTTGGTTTCTTTTGTACTTTCAAATGCTAAATATATTAGGCTGACCATATATATATGGAGAAATGCTGCTACTCTAGCTCATTTCTGGAAAACTTTGTTTTTTTCCCTTATGTATGTGAAATGTCTTTGGCTGACCACTTATTTTATGCAGAGATGCTGCTGCTCTAGCTCATTTCTGGGCTTGGCTGGAAGAAGAAGTGCATAAGAATGCGAACCTAACAGAGGTCGATGTGGCTGACAGGCTCCTTGAATTCCGTTCAATGCAAGATGGTTTTATGGATACAAGCTTCGATACAATAAGTGGTATGGTTATTGTCATCCTTGTTGCTGAAACTTGCTTCTCGAAACATAGTCAATATACACTCAGTGAGTGATATGCATTCCTTTCCTAAAATTACTCCTGCAGGTTCCGGTGCAAATGGTGCTATTATACATTATAAACCCGAGCCTGAGAGCTGCAGTCATGTAGACCCTCAAAAACTTTTCTTGCTGGATAGTGGCGCTCAATATGTTGATGGAACAACAGACATCACCAGAACAGTACATTTTAGTGAACCTTCTGCCCGAGAAAAAGAATGTTTCACTCGAGTTTTGCAGGTGGGATATTTGGTTCTTGTTTTCCCCATCATTTTTAATGACCACTGATTACCTATCTTGAGCAAACAAACCTGTGTGGGGTTGCCTTGTCTGTTTGGTTTTTTGGTTGTAGGGTCATATAGCTCTTGATCAAGCCGTGTTCCCAGAAGGTACTCCTGGTTTTGTATTGGATGGGTTTGCACGCTCTTCTCTATGGAAAATTGGACTTGATTACCGCCATGGTACTCTATTCTACCTTTTGACCTTCCTTCACAGAACAACTTTTTTGTAAGGAACTCATGATATTCTTTCTACCTAACAGGGACAGGACACGGTGTAGGTGCTGCACTCAATGTGCATGAAGGTCCTCAAAGTATTAGCTTTCGGTATGGAAACATGACCCCTCTTCAGAATGGCATGATAGTAAGCAATGAACCTGGATATTATGAAGACCATGCATTTGGGATCCGAATTGAGGTACAACTTGGTCACCAGTCCATGACAGTCTTTATAAGATATATAAGATTGGTTAACAATTGTATGGTCTGCTTTTGCAGAATCTCCTTCATGTGAGAGATGCTGAAACACCAAACCGCTTTGGTGGTGTTACATACCTTGGATTTGAGAAGCTTACATTCTTCCCCATTCAGGTACGGAGTGACTTAGCAACTTATAAATCATTCGTCACTGATCTACCTCTCATTCTTCTGGTCAAAGGAGCCTTCTGGTTTTCTTCTAGCTTTTTTGATTTTCCTTACATTTGATCTCACACACTTTTCACTCACCAAACCATGCAGACCAAAATGGTTGATGTTTCTTTGCTATCCGACGCTGAGATTAACTGGCTTAATAGTTACCACTCGGAAGTCTGGGAAAAGGTTAGTCCACACAAACTACTTTGACTTTCACCATTACCTTGTCCAAAAGCTAAGTAGATGAGTCTAATACACAAAGCGTACATGTGCCCTTAAAACAAAGCATATCAACACAGGAAACATGGCTTTGATTATCCTCTTACTGTAATAGATCAAAGTCTTTTACATACAGCTGCAGTTGTTTGAACGGGTAATACTTCCTTGACAGGTTTCACCCTTATTGGAAGGTTCTACTACTCAGCAATGGCTCTGGAACAACACAAGACCGTTAGCCAAACCATGATCAAACCCGCCAAATGTTTGCAAACTTAGATTTGATCCTTCAGGATTAGAACCAGAATCTGCTCCTTTAATTTGCTTGTGTGTGTAAATTACAAACAGAAATGTGATATTTTGTCCTGTATTTTACAAAAAGATCCTCAACTTCTACTAATCTTTTCTCAAATTAACGTAAGCATCCCTCCAGAAGCTTAAATTGCAGAACCTTAGATTTTGTATGCTTCAGCTGCATATTTATCTGAACTTAACGGTCGAGTGGAAAGCAAATTCTATTGCAAACTACAAATAAAGTGTCAAGGCTTGGAATTTTGGTGAATGAATTCGAGATGGGTGATTCAGAAACTGACCCCTCACCTACCTTCTTGCTTCTCTACCGTTTTGTCCCCTTCGAAAATCCTATTCCGGCAGAGCCCAAGTTACCAAGTCTCCACTTTTCTCCTCAACCATGTCGATATGAGCCTTCTCTTATCCATCTGCGGCAGAGAAGGCTGGTTTCCTCATCTGGGTCCTTGTCTCCATGCCTCCATTATCAAGAATCCTGAATTTTTCGAGCCTGTAGATGCTGATATCCATCGAAACGCTCTTGTTGTTTGGAACTCTTTGCTTTCTCTGTATGTGAAGTGTGGGAAGTTAGGTGATGCGCTTAAGTTGTTCGATGAAATGCCCGTGAGAGATGTTATTTCGGAGAATATAGTGTTTTATGGGTTTCTGAGGAACAGAGAGACTGAGTCTGGTTTTGTATTGCTTAAACGAATGCTTGGTTCAGGTGGGTTTGATCAAGCGACCTTGACGATTGTTTTATCAGTGTGTGATACGCCAGAGTTCTGTTTGGTGACAAAGATGATTCACGCTTTAGCAATTTTAAGCGGTTATGACAAGGAGATTTCCGTGGGGAACAAACTGATCACATCTTATTTCAAATGTGGATGTTCAGTTTCTGGGAGAGGGGTTTTTAGTGAGATGGCACATAGAAATGTCATCACTTGGACAGCTGTGATTTCGGGTCTGATAGAGAATGAGTTACATGAAGATGGTCTAAGACTGTTTGGTTTGATGCGTAGAGGATTGGTCCATCCAAACTCAGTAACTTATTTGAGTGCTCTTGCTGCTTGTTCAGGCTCACAGATGATAGTGGAAGGGCAACAGATTCATGCCCTTTTGTGGAAATTTGGGATTGAATCAGAATTGTGCATTGAGAGTGCGCTAATGGACATGTACTCTAAATGTGGAAGCATTGAAGATGCATGGAAGATTTTCGAGTCCTCACAAGAAGTTGATGAAGTTTCCATGACTGTGATATTAGTTGGTTTAGCACAAAATGGGTCAGAGGAAGAAGCTATACAGTTCTTCATTAGAATGCTTCAAGCTGGTGTAGAGATTGATGCAAATGTAGTCTCAGCTATTCTTGGAGTTTCATTTGTCGATAACTCTTTGGGTCTAGGCAAGCAACTGCATTCTTTGGTTATCAAACGAAAATTCTGCGGTAACACCTTTGTCAACAATGGACTCATTAACATGTACTCAAAATGCGGAGACCTGACTGATTCACAAACTGTCTTTAGACGAATGCCAAAAAGGAACTATGTTTCATGGAACTCGATGATTGCAGCATTTGCTCGCCATGGTCATGGATTAGCTGCCTTGAAACTATACGAAGAAATGACTACGCTAGAAGTGAAGCCTACAGATGTTACCTTTCTATCACTACTTCATGCTTGTAGCCATGTGGGGTTGATTGATAAAGGCCGAGAACTCTTAAACGAGATGAAAGAGGTCCATGGAATAAAGCCCAGGACAGAGCATTATACCTGTATTATTGACATGTTGGGTCGAGCTGGTCTTATGAAAGAAGCAAAGAGCTTTATAGACTCATTGCCTGTGAAACCTGACTGTAAAATTTGGCAAGCGTTGCTTGGAGCTTGTAGTTTCCATGGTGATACAGAAGTAGGGGAATATGCAGCTGAACAGTTGTTTCAAACTGCACCTGATAGCTCAGCTGCTCATATCTTGATGGCTAACATATATTCATCCAGAGGAAAATGGAAGGAGAGGGCGAAGACGATCAAGAGAATGAAAGCAATGGGAGTGACTAAAGAAACAGGCATAAGTTGGATTGAAATTGAGAATAAAACACACAGCTTTGTGGTTGAGGACAAATTGCATCCACAAGCAGAGGCTATATATGATGTTCTGTCTGAATTGTTTCCGGTTATGGTAGATGAAGGTTACAGACCTGACAAGAGGTTTATTCTCTGTTATACAGGAGATGACAGAAACGGCACAAGCATCTTGACTCCTTAACGCCTTCTCTCTACATGAATATTCATATCAAGAGTAGAGAATATCCATGGAGTGTTGTAAAGTTTGATTTTGGTAGTTGAAGATCCTTCTAGCTGAAACAGAGGCTTTACTGTTTTGTCACTTTGTTTCAATACCTGGACATTTGTCTGGTCATCAGTTAACGCCTCAAAGGGACAAACTTAGGGGAGAGAGAAGGTAAGAGATTCAGCAATGGAATGTCTTCGTGTATTTGCTTCGGTACCTAAAATCTCTTTCTTCTCCAATTCAAGATACTCAACTTCTCAGCGATTCATCCCCAGTTGCAGAGAGAAAAGCAGAGATGATCCACTCTCCAGCTCTTCACCTTACTCTATACTCGGCATAGATCCAAGCTGCTCATCTTCCGAGCTAAAGGCGGCTTTTCGTGCCAAAGTATGCTTTCAAGAACAAAGTATGTTTTGGTTTTTTCATATGTATCGGTCTTGTTGACTACTTTGTGCTTTGTAAAGGTGAAACAATACCATCCTGATGTAAACAAAGAGGGAAGCAACTCTGATATTATGCTCCGTCGCATAATCCAGGCATATGAGGTCACTTTAACTGTGTTCTACACTATGTTAGCAGATTTGGCTCTAACTTATAGTAGCTCAATAGTATTTTTTCTTTCCAGATGTTAACAAACTATAGCCGGTCAGAGATAATTGAAGGGTATACTCACAATACTTTTTCAGCAAAATCTATAAACACAACATCGAAATGATTTTGGAATGCGAGCCAAAACAACCAAGTAATGTTTTATTTTCTGTGAATTGCATACCAGAGAATGCTTGGATCCTTTTGACCATCCAGAGTGTGAGGCACTTGACGTGTTTGTGAATGAAGTCCTTTGTGCTGGAAAAAGTACCAAACTTGCTTCCTTGTCTTTGAAGTTAGCTCGTTTTTTAGTTGCTCCATTTCTTCTTGAACATCGTTTGGAGAGAAGTTTTAAATCAATGTATACTTGTCTCTCTCCAACTGCAGGATGTTCGTACCCATGCTTTAAAACAGCTTCTCATGTCTTCTCGTGTGATTCATCTGGAACAGCTCGAGCAATGTCCCAAGGTCTGGATGGTTTGATTCCCCCATATTTGCCTCCTACATAGCTCTGTTTCTTCTATTAATATATCCGGTGTGTATATGAACAGGACATGGCGAAGATTACCGTGTACAATCTGCAGTTAATCAGTGTCCGAAAAATTGCATACATTATGTCACACCATCACAAAGAATTATTCTAGAAGAGTTACTTGACAGGTATATATTTCTCTCTACCCTCCTTGAGAAATTCTCTGTGATTGTGAATACTCACTTATCGTCCTAAGTCCAGCATGTTGGACAAACCTTATGATTGTTCCGCGGAAGCAGAGTTTCTCTATGCTCTTATTGTGAAAGCTAAATTTGAGAACAATCGGTATCAGAAGCCAAGTAAGAAACAACCTGAATCTTCAGGGAAACACGTAGACTGGTTCTGAATTGACCGCTGTTTTCCCCTGCAATACGGCTCCAGGATGTCTGGTAGTGAGTTCTAAAATAACCAGAAGAATTTGATGTGGAACATAAATCAATATGTGAAAATCTCTCCACGATGGAAGATATGGAAAAGGGTTACAAATGTGGTTTGAGTCTAAGACTTTAAGATTTCTTGATCTTTAGATTTCAGTTATACTTAGAATTCAAGCAGACGTTGCACTAGTTGTAAAAACGATATTTTTTCTTTGAATATAATATAACATTACATTCAAAAAAATCTCTCCACAAGGTCACATCACCATGGAACAGTAGAGGCCATGCCATGGGAACTCGTTTTTTTTTTTTTTTGGCTGGGAACTCGTTAAATTACTTGTATCAAAGTTCTAGCTAATTAGAATCAAAATGATCCCCGTATATTAAAAACTCTACAACTAGTATGTTGTATATATATACTTTGGTTAAATATTTGAGTCTATGGGTTCCAGACTTTCCCTTCACGAATAGCCTTCATAACATTATTAAAATTTTAAGACTAGTTGTAGAAATTTTTTTTTTTTTTTTTTTTTTTTTTTTTTTTTTTTTTTTTATAACATTATTAGAATTTTTAGACTTTGGTTAAATTTTTTTTTTTTTTTGGGCGCCAAGGCTATTAAAAACGTAGGGGCTTCAATTTCTATAGGGATGCGGTGGTACGGTGATATTGTTTAATTTTATGCTCCTAATGTGACGAGTTCAAGCCTTCGATTAACACATTTTGTACAAAAAAAATTGTTTTAGTGTTTGTTAATGGGCTAAAAAAATTTGTTGCTTTCAGCATAAAATTCATTTGGACCGCCTTGATTACTACATGTTACATGTCTCCTCCAAGTCCAGAGAATTCCGATTTAAGTATAATATTATGTTTTTATTATCACTTTCATGATTATTAAAAAAATAATAAGACTCACCTTTGGTCGATGACTTCATATGACTTTTGTTGTTTCAAAATCTTTAACCTCTTTTCCTTGTAAGAGATGCACATTTTGTAGGCTTTGAAACCGCCAGCTATCACAACTGGGATGAGAAACCGGAAACTTGCGAAAGCTCCATCTAGTCCTTTGTAGGACTTCATCTTGATGTAAGGTGAATCTTCACCTATTATACCGCTAGCAAAACTTGCAAAAACGTTCTGAGGACGCATGGCCACCTCTGAGATCTTTGCACTAACTCTAGGGCTTTCACGAGTTGAGTATTCAAACTCCCTGAAAGTCCTTTGAGTTAACATTGTAAGGCAGCCATCATAGAATGTACCCAATGGGTCTTGAGGCTCCAAAGGGCTAAACTTCTTGCTCCATTGGAATTCAGCCCTCTCATCCACAATCTGGTTCCACTTTCGCCGTTTTGGGTTACAATTGTCATGCATCCGTTGTAAAACATACTCAACGAGTCCTTATCAACAATCTTGGTGCACAATTTGTCCAATTCACAATTTATGGGATGATGTCAACCAGTCTAATTAGTTTTGTTTTCTTCAAATAGCAAGCCATGTATTGCATTTATCGACATAAAAATTTATCTCCGCACAAAAAAAACATAAAAATTGATTTAGATACTTTAGGACAAGACTTGTATTGTATGTTTGATTATCTATATATTGTTGTGAATGAAAGTTCTTAAGAATCAATTAAAATTTGAAATTTGAAACAAATATAATATTTCATAAAATAATATCATATAAATTAACACTTTAGAATTTTATCCTTTGTTTACTCAATATATGCTAGAGTAAAATTCGTAACCTCATAAAAAGAAAAGTTGAAATCAATAGAATATTTTCAGAAATTTAGTTTGTTTGAAAATATTAAGAATGAGAGACTAAAAAACTTTATGAAGTCTAAGAAAATAAAAAAAAAACAAATATATATTCAATGCAACAATAACAAGTCTTTAAAACCTATATTACTTGGGAGTTTTTTTTTGGATAAAAAAGTAGTATTATTCCAAAGATCAATCCAGATTAGAGAAAAAAAATAGTATTGACATCTATTTTTTTGATAAAAAAGTAGTATTGATATCTTAAGAGTATTAATGGTTTAGAAATTTTTTGTATATCTTCTATATTTCTCAAATACACATTATTAAATATTATAAAAGCCTGAGTCTAAAGCCCATATACGAAGTTAGTAAAGTTGAATAAGAAAATTATTTTGAATTTTTATATTTTTTGTTGTTGTCAACTGGTATATTATTAATAAAACCAAAGAAACTATACAATGCTTAGTTATGAGTAAACCAAGATAAACATGAGCCATATTTTCTACTGGATCTGAAAATGAAAACCAAGCCCAACAAAGAAAACCCTTAAGCAAATAAACGCACGATTAATCTCATGTTTAAAGCTTAGAAAAATTCTTCCAAGATTAATCTTCTAGACCCTAGAGATAATTTGGCATTTACAATTTTAGAGTTTAAAAAAAAAACTAAATTAAAATCTTGTTTTTGATAGTTAAAAGTTAAAACACTATATAAACGGCTCATGTAGTGCCCACACGCAACTAAATTCACACCAATTTAGTTTGAAGATTATAAAAGTAAATTTGGCTCACACACAGACACAAAAAATAGCCGTTATGAGTGTCTATTAGTCCGTTGGGACCAAAAACTTTTTTTTAATTAAATAGTAACGAAAGATCCGTTACGAAAGTAAACACCTTTATCCGCTCTCTTTCTCTCAGTTCCCGTGCCTGTTTGACTTTACGTTCAGACATTCACCAACTAGACACAACACACAAGACCCAAATCCAAGATAGAAGGATTCGCGTTTATGTTCGTTTCCGTAACCTAAAAAGACTTTCTAGAGTGATTGAGATCGAGAGAAGGAGAGAGAGAGAGTGAGAGAGAAATCTGGGTTTCTTGAAGCTGTGAGGATCTTCTTATGGGTGGTTTTATTACAAAGGTTTGAGCTTTTTATCTTCAAAACCCAGTTTTCAATTTTGAGGCCAAAGAGAGGTTTTGGGTGCATTTATTGAGAAAAATATATAGAAGATGGTTGCAAGAACCCCACAAAAGCAGAGGAAAGTGGCGATGGTGGTGCCTCCTCTCAACTCAGATCTTCTCAAGGAAACAATCAACAAGGTATTTTGTCCAATTTAATACAAGATTAACATAAAGTTTACTACTTTAATTTTATCGGAATTTGCAAACGCTCCAGTTCTCAGGCTCCTTCCCACTATGTTTGAAGCTTTACTTAGTGACTGAACCCACTGCAAATTAAATAATTGTCGATTTTCTGAGATCTTTCTTTTAATTGATTATTATAAGTTAATTGGGTTTCCATTACAATTGATGTATTCTTGTCGGATTTCAAGATTTCTTAGTTTAGGATTTGAATCAGAATTTGGGATGTAACATTAGAGGGATTTGTTTAGCTGATTATTCTCAATTTGGTTTGATTTGTGAAGGTTGACAAATGTATGGAAAGACTGCAAGAGTTACAGTTCACAATTGCAGGAGGAACCAAAGTTGTCTCCGGTGTGAACCTTAGCCCTCGAAGTACTAGAATTTACTTGAGGACTAGTCTTAGATGCAAGCAAGAAACTTTAAGGTAAAATCAGAATGAGACAAAAACCAAACTTCACTTATAGAAACTTTGGTGTTATCTCAAATTCAGAAGCTTCTCATTCGGGTTTTAATTTCTCCCTTGTTACATATTGTTGTAGGATCAAGAGTGCTACTAATAAGAAATCTCCAGTAGGAAAGTTTCCAGCTTCCTCACCAGGTACAATCTCTCTCTGATTCTCACACATACTCACAAGCAATAAGTATAATAGTTCCTTGTTTCACCAAGTTAGTTTTAGTTCCTGCAGATTGTGTAATGTGTAATTATTGTTTGTGTAATGTAGGAGATTGGAGGAAAATGTCACTCCCCGCAATGCTACTAGGAGAGACTGTAACTAAAATCTTACAAGCCTCACAAGTCAGTCACAAGAGACATTGTAGAATCCATAGCACCAAAGAGGAGTAGAAATTCCAGGAGATTAACAATGTCACAAGAAGACGATGGCCCTAAAACACCCGAGAAGAACGAAAATCCCGGGAACCGATTTTCAGGCTCACAGAGGATAATGGAAGGAAAACTGATTCATGCTCTTTTGTGGAATTGTGCATTGAGAGTGCGCTAATGGATATGTACTCTAAATGTGGAAGCATTGAAGATGCGTGGAAGATTTTCGAGTCCACCGAAGAAGTTGATGAAGTTTCGATGACATTGATATTAGTTGGTTTAGCACAAAATGGGTCAGAGGAAGAAGCTATACAGTTCTTCATTAGAATGCTTCAAGCTGGTGTAGAGATTGATGCAAATGTAGTTTCAGCTGTTCTTGGAGTTTCGTTTGTCGATAAACTCTTTGGGTCTAGGCAAGCAACTGCATTCTTTAGTTATCAAATGAAAATTCTCCGGTAACACCTTTGTCAACAATGGACTCATTAACAAACTGTCTCTCGACGAATGCCCAAAAGGAACTATGTTTCATGGAATTCAATGATTGCAGCATTTGCTCGCCATGGTCATGGATTAACTGCCTTGGAAATATACGAAGAAATGATTTCGCAAGACGTGAAGCCTACGGATGTTACTTTTCTATCACTACTTCATGCTTGTAGCCATGTAGGGTTGCTCGATAAAGGCCAAGAACTCTTAAACGATATGCAAGATGTCTATGGAATCGAGCCCAGGACAGAGCATTATACATGTATCATTGACATGTTGGGTCGAGCTGGTCATATGAAAGAAGCAAAGAGCTTTATAGACTCATTGCCCGTGAAACCTGACTGTAAAATGTGGCAGGCCTTGCTTGGAGCTTGTAGTTTCCGTGGTGATACAGAAATAGAGAAATATGCAGCTGAACAGTTGCTTCAAACTGCACCTGATAGCTCAGCTGCTCATATCTTGATGGCTAACATATACTCATCCAGAGAAAAATGGAAGGAAAGGGCGAAGACTATCAAGAGAATGAAAGCAATGGGAGTGACTAAAGGAACAGGCATAAGTTGGATTGAAATTGAGCATAAAACACACTGCTTTGTGGTTGAGGACAAAATGCATCCACAAGAAGAGGCTATATATGATGTTCTATCCGGATTGTTTCCGGTTATGGTAGATGAAGGTTACAGACCTGATAAGAGGTTTATTCTCTGTTATACAGGAGATGGCAGAAATGGCACAATTGTCTTAGTTCCTTAACGCCTTCTCTCTACATGAATATACATACCAAAATTTCTGGTAGTTGAAGACCCCTATAGCTGAGACAGAGGCTTTACTGTTTTGTCTCTTTATCTTAATAAATGGAGATTTGTCTGGTCATCGGTTAACGCCTCAATGTGAGAAACTTAGGGAGAGAGAAGGTAAGAGATTCAGCAAAGGAATGTCTTCGTGTATTTGCTTCGGTACCTAAAATCTCTTTCTTCTCCAATTCAAGATACTCAACTTCTCAGCGATTCATCCCCAGTTGCAGAGAGAAAAGCAGAGATGATCCACTCTCCAGCTCTTCACCTTACTCTATACTCGGCATAGATCCAAGCTGCTCATCTTCCGAGCTAAAGGCGGCTTTTCGTGCCAAAGTATGCATCCAAGAATCACTAATCTGTACTGTTCTGATGTTTTGGCTCCTGGTGGAAGAGTTGGTATTGACCCTGTAAGCTACTATCAAACCTTCTAAATTGTGTCTCCTTTTGTCCTTAGTATTTCATCTGGTATTTATTCTTAGATAGCTTCAATATTGTAGTTTGTGGTTTGTATTTACTATACTTTGCAATTCATGAAGGGAGCAGTTCTTTTTTTACGCCGATGCTGCTGAGAAATTGAAGGAGGTTATAGCGAAGAAGAATCATGAGTTGGTTTACTTGGGTCCTTCCATATCTCATCCACAAGATTTACACTGTACAAGGCCAAAGCCTCCAAGCAAACGAATAAGGATACATGACTTGAAGTATGCTGGTTTAGATGTGGCCTCAAAATTGCATCTCCCATTGTAATATCCATGCTTGATGAGATTGCTTGGGTGCTTAATCTGGTAATACTCTAGATTAGCATCTTACATTTGAACCAGTTAGCTTTGTGCCACTGTTTCAGCTTATACTTCACTTAGGTCCCAATGTATTGATGTTGTATTGTGCCTTTTGTGATTGCAGAGAGGGAGCGATGTTCCACATTCACCTGTAATGTATGCATATGTGATTGTAGAGGTTGACCAAGCCCAACTCCTTTTTAGATAATTCTAACGTAACGGCGGAGGTGAAAGATCATTTGAAAAACGCAGGGACTGAACTTAGACCTTACGATTCCATTCTTCAAGGAATAGATAGGTAAGAACTTGATTGTCCATGTCCATTTATAAGCTTCAGAAAAAAGAATCTACCTCACTTTGAGTTTCTCAGTCTGGCAGCACGCGGAGCTCAGCTCTTGATGGATCCATCAACCCTCAACGTAGCTATCATTAGTAGCTACAAATCTGCGTGTCAAAGATATTTTCAAGGAATTCTGAAAGTGAAGAAAAAGCTAAGACGAAGTTTACTGATAGCTCCAGCGGATATACTGCCAATCCCTCTGATATTGACATGCAATCTCCTATTTCGTGGGCAAAGGCCATTAAAAATGATGCCGAGCTACAGGGAATGAAGAACTCTCACTTGGGGTAAAGAAACCCATTGCTTTTATGATATTTCCCTAATCCAAATGAAGAACTCCAGCGGATATACTGCCAATCCCTCTGGTATGGTTATTGACATCCTTGTTGCTGGAACTTGCTTCTCGACACATAGTCAATACACACTCAGTGAGTGATATGCTTTCCTTTCCTCAAACTACTCCTGCGGGATATTATGAAGGCCATGCATTTGGGATCCGAATTGAGGTACAACTTGGTCACCTGTCCACGACAGTCTTTATAAGAAATAGAAGATTAGGTAACAATTGTGTGGTCTGCTTTTGCAGAATCTCCTTCATGTGAGAGATGCAGAAACACCAAACCGCTTTGGTGGTGCTACATACCTCCTTGGATTTGAGAAGCTTACATTTTTCCCCATTCAGGTACGGAGTGACTTATCAACTTATAAAAATCATTCGCCTCTGATCTAACCCTCAATTCTTCTGGCTCACTCACCAAACCATGCAGACAAAAATTGTTGATGCTTCTTTGCTATCTGATACTGAGGTTGACTGGCTTAATACTTACCACGCGGAAGTCTGGGATAAGGTTAGTCCACAAAACTACTTTGACTTACCTTATCCAAAAGCTAAGTAGATCGAGTCTAAGACAAAAGGCTTGCATGTGCCTTCAAAGCAAAGCATATCAACACATAGAAACATGGCTTTGATTATCCTCTTAGTGTAATAGATCTACAGCAGCAGTTGTTTGAACCGGGTAATATTTCCTTGACAGGTTTCACCATGAATGGAAGGTTCTTCTACTACTCAGCAGTGGCTCTGGAACAACACAAGACCGTTAGCCAAACCATGATCAAACCCACCAAGTGTTTTGCAAACTTAGACTTGATCCTTGAGGATTAGAACCAGAAGCTGCTCCTTTTATCTGCTTGTGTGTATAAATTACAAACAGAAATGTGATATTTTTCCTGTATTTTACAAAAAGATACCAACTTCCTAGCGTCTAAATCTCTTGCCGGTTCTCTAAAATTTCCACAATTCTTTTTGTCTCTTAAGTTCATGGAAACAAAAAAAAATTGTACTTTGCGCCCGAGGAAGGCCTCCTCTGTAAAGAAATCGAAAAAAAAAAGAAAAAAAATCTTGCCGAATCTCTATCTTAAATTGTTGAATAATGTCTTCGTTAAACTTCAAGATTACATTTTAATCTATTAAAAAAACATGGCGTTGGCTTACCAATGCTTGAAAAGCTTCTAAATTATTCAGCATCTTGTTGGGTTATCACAATAAACTTATGGTAGTTAAGAGTTCAAATATACCGGAGGAATAAGCCTTTTCAGTTTGGCGAGAATCAATTTATAGTCTAGTAAAAGGTCTAGAGCAGAAACAAAGGATGAAAGGATAAAGACGAAGTCTTGTTGGATACACAAGCTAAAATGCTCAAATATGAGGAATCATTAACAAGACTTCCCCTCAAAGCACAAACCAGCATAAAAACATATTAAAGTTGAGCAAACTTGCCAAAACACAACACGATGGGCACTTGAAGTTCACCAGTGTCTGCGGTTAGCATGAGCTTCCTCGAGTAGCTTGATAATCTGAAACATGAGGGAAATACGATGATGATACAATTCGAAAAGAAAAGAATGCCCTTGTTGGAATCAGAATATGAATATTTAATACCTCTTTGTTTTCTTCATAAAAAAGTTTTTCCCTGCGATTGAATTCTTTGTATACTTCCCGAAATTTCTTGTCGTTTCGATTACCTTCTAGAACTTCTGTGGTAACAAAGCAAAGCAGCAATTAGTGCAAATATCTGTGAAGTAAACGAAAACGAAAATGTCAAAACTTTTTTTTCCACTGTTTTTGATTAAATGAGAAACAGAGATCCACATTACCCAAGAAAATGTAGCCAAAGTATCCGATAAAGGCTGTTAGGCCAGGTCCGCCAGAACAGTAGGCATGTTCAAGGTAGCTACGGCTCTGCGATTTTTCGATATCGAGCAAAACAGATCTATCAAACACCAAAAATAAAGGCTAAACCAGACAAAACAGAAGAGTTCATATGAAGAATAATCTCGATTACCCTGAAAATACGATTCAACATCCCTTCTCTCTGGTGTGCTTGGCTCGTCGTTCTCGAAATTAGGGTTTGTTGGCTCTTCTTCTCTCGGCCGAATGTTTTTTTTTTTTTTTTTTTTTGTTGTCTCCTCCTTTCCTTAATCTCGGACTCTGGGCCTAGGATATTCAATATGGGCATGTATTAGTATGGTTCTTTATTGTTGGGTATTTTCTTCGAACTCGTCCCAATTTCTTTTCTAAATAGGAAACGCTAGTTTTTTCTTTTTTTGGTATGAATATACGAACGCTAGTTACGCTGAAGACGCCGTGAATGAATGAACAACGCCCCCATCTAACTTTCTGCAACATTCTGCTTTCGATGATGTTTTTGGTAACACAAGCGATGATAAGAATACAATTTAGTAAGCGATGTCATATTCCTGAACTCGTTTATAAACCATTCATGAAAACATCACCGAGCTAATCTACCTCGAACACCAAGAGGCTAAACCAATGCGCATAACCATCCTATGAAAATATATGTATAGCCAGCTTTGGAAGAATTAATTATACACAACAAAAGGACGTTAACCGGCTTAACAAAATCTTCTGCTTAAGAGTGTAAACTTGACTATACACATACTGGCCATTCTACGTGAACCACGTACTTAACATGAGCAGAAGAGCATGGTCATAGATGATACTTAGTAAGTATCATTAAGAATTTTTTAGGAGATGCCACGTCAGATTTTTTTTCCCCTTCTTTTGGCAAAAGTAAAACGCGACCAATCAGGAGATGCCACGTCAGATGATACTGGTATCAAAAGTATCACTAGGCTGATACGGATCAGGCCCATTCTAATTGTTTTGTCTATATAAAAATAATTTATGGGCTTGTGATACTCTAAAAATATCACCCATGTACATGGTCTAAGATATGATCAGAGAACCTAACGGTCAAAAACTGAAAGCAACCATATATCTATTTGCAGAATTTCAATTTCATTCGCTCAAACAAGTATAAATCGGATCAACATAGCAAACTACTACATATATATACCGTTTTGTCAAATGAGCTAAACCACGAAAAAGATTGTCAACCAAATGGAAGCTCTAATTGGTATTAAGTATTAACAAATCCCATTTCCATCATTCATCTAAAGATAAGGGTAGACAACTAGACATAACCAAAGAATGTAACAAAGAAACAACCCTCAAAGTGATCCCGAGTCTTTTAAGCAGCTTAAAAGAGTGCGAAAACAAACCCTTCCAAATGCACACCACAACTTTCAAAGCTAATGCAACAAACAAACTAAAACCGTTTAGGGAAATTCTCAAGTATTCCAGAAACTCAAACCTATCCACAGAGTGATAGGTAGAGGCTCTCAGCATACAATATTAGAGTTATGAAGATAGACATAGGTAGAGAGATTTTACAAAAGTTTCAGCAGATAAATATTTCGTAGCTGAAGAGTTATGAAGATTGGGGTCGTTTGGCAGATGTTATTCCATAATATCCCATGCACTTCTCCAAGAGTTCTTCATTCCTCTTTAGTAGCTGCTGCTTCTTCATCCACTCCTGAAACACATTAACATGGTAAAAAAAGAGTTGCCCCCTTCCTCCAATCGTGAAACACAATTTCAGTTGAGGAGAGAGATTGCTTTACCTCTTCGATTTCTGCAGCCTCTCCTGAATTGGTGCCAATCAAAAGATAGGCTGAGAAAAAGAAATGACCAGAGGGCAAGTTGTCTCAGCTGAAAGCAAAAAAAGTTGAGGAAATGAAGTAAATCTCTCAAGCATTACTTACCAACACCAGATCCCACAGCCAGTCCAACACAGTGGCGATAAAAATCGTACATCACGAACAAGGCTAAATCCACATTTCCCATCTTCTTGGCCTTTTCAATAAGTTTAAAGTTATCTGCAAAAGAAACGAAGACGTTTTCAAAACTACATTTCATAACAAGAAATATGGGAAGACCTTTTGAGTTGTTGATAAAAGAGAGATACCGAATTCTGGACTACGCATGTCACAGAAATCACGACACCCAGATGATTTCCCCTCCGAGATAACACTGCAACTTTTTTGGGGGAGATTTTTAAACCTCATGATCACGGGTCTCACAAACCTCATGATCGATCGGGGGATTAGGGTTTGTTTAGTGTTGCTCTTCTCATCTCCACGTTTCCTCTTATTCGTCTCCCCCAAGGCCTAATAATGGGCCTATCTTGTTGAGCTTTTTTCCATATCATGGGCTTGGCCGATAATAAATATATTTTTTCATTTCTTCTGATGGAATCAAATTTAACATGGAGACACTGGTGTACTAAAATTTAATTTTAATTCCACAGAAGAAATTTGAATTCAATTTCAAAGTAGTATTTTTCCAAATGATCAATCCAGATTAGAGCAAAAAAAAAAAAGTGTTGACATCTATTTTTTTTGATAAAAAGTAGTATTGATATCTTAAAAGTATTAATGGTTTAGAAATTTTTTTGTATATCTTCTATATTTCTCAAATATTATAAATACCTGAGTCTAAGCATAAATACGAAGTTAGTAATGTTGAATAAAAATATTATTTTGAAATCTTATGTTTTCTTTGTTGTCAACTCGTATATTATTAATAAAACCAAAGAAACCATACAATGTTTGGTTATGAGCAAACCAAGATAAACATGGGCCATATTTTTTACTGGATCTAAAAATGAAAACCAAGCCCAACAAGGAAAACCCTTAAGCAAATAAACGCACGATTAATCTTATGTTTACAGCTTTGAAAAATTCTCCCAAGATTAATCTTCTAGATCCTAGAGATAATTTGGTATTTACAATTTTAGAGTTTAAAAAAAATCAAGCCCAATTTTGTAACTATGTTTTCAATGACTTAATATGACGTTTGTTGTTTCAAAATTTTTCGCTTCTCTACTCTGTTAGAGCTGTACATTTCATATGCTTTGAAACCGCCAGCTATCGCAACTAGGATGAAAAACCAAAAAGTTGCAAAGGCTCCATCTAGTCCTTTGTAGCTCTTCTTCTTGCTGTAAGATGAAGCTTCACCTATTATCCCGCCAGCTGTTGAGATCTTCGCGAACTCTAGGTCTATCACGAGTTGAGTATTCAAACTCACTGAAAGCCCTTTGGATTACAATTGTCAGGCATCCGTTGTAAAACATACTCAATGAGTCATTATCAACAATCTTGGTGGACAATTTGTCCAATTCACAATTTATGATGGCAACCAGTCTAATTAGTTTTGTTTTCTTCGAATAGCAAGCCATGTATTGCATTTATCAACATAAATATTGATCTCCACATAAAAAAAAACATAAAAATTGATCTAGATACTTTAGGACAAGACTTGTATTGTAGGTTTGATTATCTATATATTGTTGTGAATGAAAGTGCTTAAGAATCTTGGACAAAACATAAAAGACTTGTATTGTAGGACAAGACTTTGTTTACTCAATATATTCTAGAGTAAAATTTGTAACCTCATAAAAAGAGAAGTTGAAATCAATAGAATATTTTCATAAATTTAGTTTGTTTGAAAATATTAAGAATGAGAGACTAACAAACTTTATGAAGTCTAAGAAAATAAGAAATAACAAATATACCCCCAATGCAAGAATAACGAGTATTACTTGGGATATTTTTTTGGTTAAAAAGTAGTATTTTTCCAAACGATCAATTCAGATTAGAGCCCAAAAAAATAGTATTGACATCTATTTTTTTTAGTAATATCTTTAGAGTATTAATGGTTTAGAAAAAGTTTGCATATCTTCTATATTTCTCAAATATATATTATTAAATTTTATAAAAACATGAGTCAGCCCATATACGAAGTTTTAGTAATGTTGAATAAAAAATTTATTTTTTGAAATCTTATGTTCAAAGCGTAGAAAAATTCTCCCAAGATTAATCTTCTAGACCCTAGAGATAATTTGGCATTAACAAATTTGGAGTTGAAAAAAAAATACTATATAACGGCTCATGTAGTCCCCACACGCCACTAAATTCACATCAATTTAGTTTGAAGATTAGAAAGTAAAATTGGCTCACAAACACACACACACAAAAGATAGCCGTTATGAGTAGTGTATTTGTCCGTTGGGACAAAAAAAAGATTAAATTAAATAGTAACGAAAGATCCGTTACGAAAGTAAACACCTTTATCCGCTCTCTGTCTCTCAGTTCCCGTGCCTGTTGTTCAGACATTCACCAACTAGACAGACACAACAAAACCCAAATTGAAAATAGGATTCGCGTTTATGTTCGTGTCCGTAACCTAAAAAGATATTCTAGAGCAATTGAGATCGAGGGAAACAGAGAGAGAGAGAGAGAGAGAGAGAGAGAGAGAGAGAGAGATCTGGGTTTCTTGAAGCTGTTGTGAGGATCTTCTTATGGGTGGTTTTATTACAAAGGTTTGAGCTTTGTATCTTCAAAACTCAGTTTTCAATTGTGAGGCCAAAGAGAGGTTTTGGGTTAATTTAGTGAGAAAAATATATAGAAGATGGTTGCAAGAACCCCACAAAAGCAGAGGAAAGTGGCGATGGTGGTGCCTCCTCTCAACTCAGATCTTCTCAAGGAAACAATCAACAAGGTATTTTGTCCAATTTAATACAAGATTAGCATAATAAAGTTTACTACTTTAATTTTATCAGAATTTGCAAACGCTCCAGTTCTCAGGCTCCTTCCCACTATGTTTGAAGCTTTACTTAGTGACTGAACCCACTGCAAATTAAATAATTGTCGATTTTCTGAGATCTTTCTTTTAATGGATTATTATAAGTTAAATTGGGTTTCCATTACAATTGATGTATTCTTGTCGGATTTCAAGATTTCTTAGTTTAGGGTTTGAATCAGAATTTGGGATGTAACATTAGAGGGATTTGTTTAGCTGATTATTGTCAATTTGGTTTGATTTGTGAAGGTTGACAAATGTATGGAAAGACTGCAAGAGTTACAGTACACAATTGCAGGAGGAACTAAAGTTGTCTCTGGTGTGAACCTTAGCCCTCGAAGTACTAGAATTTACTTGAAGACTAGTCTTAGATGCAAGCAAGAAACTTTAAGGTAAACTCAGAAAGAGACAAAAACCAAACGTCACTTGTAGAAACACTGGTGTTATCTCAAATTCCGAAGCTTCTCAATATGGTTTTAATTTCTCCCTTGTTACATTGTTGTAGGATCAAGAGTGCTACTAATAAGAAATCTCCAGCAGGGAAGTTTCCAGCTTCCTCACCAGGTACAATCTCTCTTTGATTCTCACACATACTCACAAGCAATAAGTATAATAGGTCACACTAGAAGCTGTAAAGGATAATTGATTGTGTGGTAATCTTGTAGAATTTCTATTAGATTATTGGATCAAAAGTTCCTTGTTTCACCAAGTTAGTCATAGTTCCTGCAGATTGTGCAATGTGTAATCTTTTTTTGTGTAATGCAGGAGATTGGAGAAAAATGTCACTCCCAGCAATGCTACTAGGAGAGACTGTAAATGAAATCTTACAAGCCTCACAGGTCACAAGAGACATTGTAGAAGCCATAGCACCAATGAAGAGTAGAAAGTCCAGGAGATTAACAATGTCACACGAAGACGATGGCCCTAAAACACCCGAGACAGAACGAAAATCCCGGGAACCGAATCCTGAAACTGGTAGCAGCAATATCAAAGCGAGAAGGAAGAAAGAGAAGCAGAACAGACGATCCGAATCAGATTCTCCTCCATCTCAACAAAGGGCACGCTCAAGAATTGCGTTCAGAACCGTGTCTCCACAGAAAATAGCAGGGAAGGTTCAGGAAAAGGGAAATGGTGAGAATAGTTTTCGTCATTTGGCTAACAGGGTTTCACCAAAGCACAAACCTTGGGTTAAAAAGGCGGTTCTTTTTCCGAACCCTCTGTTTATTTCTGGTACCACTACACAACAAGCCAAGTTCAGTAGAACAATGTCTCCGGTCATAGCCAGAAATGAGATATCCAGCATCAAGAACAATAAAGAGACGCCTCACAAGTTCTTGATCAAATCTCCTCCCACATCAGCATCTAAGTTTCAGGTCAAGATCAGGAGCCCACCTAAGGTCTTGATTTCTCCTACAAGAAACGGCAGTAACTTGGTTCGGAGGTCACCTAAAGGCTCCAGTTCTCCGACAAGAAACGTTAACATAGGAAAGAAGTCGCCTACCGCTTCGATTTCTCCTATTAGAAACTTGGGAAAGAAGTCTCCAAAGCTGTCAACTGCTGCTAAGCTCAGAAGATCATTTACTCCTACGAGAAATGGCAGTAACTTGGCCCGTAAGTCGTCCATTTCTCCGAAAAGAGTCACGCTTCAAGCATTTCTTTCTCCCACAAGAAATGGTAACTTTTGTAAGACGTCACCCAAAGCTTTGATTTCTCCGCCTAGGGTGTGCAATAAGTCGCAGAAGCTGTCAACGGCTGCAAAACTCAGGAGGTCATTTTCGCCATCAAGACTAGCTATGAGGTTGGTCTCTCCAATGAAGAGCAGGAAAAGTGTAGCCAAGTGTGATGATCATGAGATGGTGAGTGGACTGAAACAGCGTCCGGTTTTAGTTCCCAAGAGATTCTCGATGGGGAGAATCTAATATAAGAGAGAGTTTTTAAATGAAAGAAGATATATTCTTTTAGTTTTTGATGCGTTTGTGTATTGTTGATAAGTTATTCTTTCAGATGTTTGATCGTCAAGAGAAAACTTTAATTTATTAAGTGGAATTACTTTTGATCAAGTGTGGGTGTAATTTGAGGTATTAAAGATATCTTTTTATCACCATATGAAAGATATTTGTGATGAAAAATAATAGTTAACTTCTTAACATTAAACCAAAAAAAAAAAAAAATAGTTAACTTGTTATGTGGATCTCTCTGTAGTGGACCTTTAAGGCTTGTCTACTTTCCATGGAACTTTGTAGTGTTATCAAAAGCCAATAGGCAATATGTAACACCAATTTCATAAAAGTCTAATAAAAGTTGGGCTACCAATTAGGTAATTACCTCCTTTTAATTTGCTTTAAGTCATCACTTCTCAGTTTCTCTCTTGTCTTTTCATGACATAAAAGCATTAAAGATGAAACTATGGTTAGCCGTCCAAAACAAAACAATCGATTGGGCCTCACAACATTCCTACACACAATAATATATACTTGTTGAGCAATAATATACTACACGTTACTCTCTCTCAAAGAAAAGAATCTAAAGTGGCAAAATTTTAACAAAAAAGCTTCAACTTTGCTTCGCTCCTTCCATTTACACCACTTCCTATCTCAAGCAAAAAAAAAAAAAAAACCAACCAGAGAGATGATCTAAAGCTCTCTCAATCAATTCCAACACAAAAATGGAAACTTCTAGAAACTCCACCAACTCATTACTCTTCCAATGGTTAGGTCTTCTAGAAGATTCTGATCAGCCTCCTGATTCTACCCATCCTCGAGTCATAACCCTTCTCGCTTCTATCCTTGAGAAGATGATTCAGAAGCACAAAAAACCATTCCACAGAAGACACAACAAGTTTAGTTTATTATTGTCTGAATTGAGATTTCTCTTGTATATATAGTTTCTAGATCCTCCGGTTTTATATTTGTATCTCATGGCGACAGGGATGATGAGATCACTATGTTCCATGGCTCAAAAGCACCATCGATGATTATTTATCGATACACAGAAAGAATCCATAGGTATGCTCAGTGTAGCCCTGCGTGCTTCGTTGCAGCTTTTGCTTACATCCTTAGGTATCTACGGAGACCAGAGGCTACAAGTAAGGATCGTCGTCTCACATCACTCAACGTTCATCGTCTTCTCATTACCAGTCTCTTGGTGGCAGCAAAATTCTTGGACCGCAAGTTAGTATCTTCTTAATTAGACATCAAATATCTCATTCTCTAGATTATTATAACCAGCGTTATAAGTATGTTGTTGTTTTTTTCTTGTGTAATTTAGGTGTTATAACAACGCATATTATGCGAAAATCGGAGGAGTGAGCACTGAAGAGATGAATAGGCTGGAGAGAACGTTCTTGTTCGATATTGATTTCAGACTAAATATTACAACGGAGACTTTCGAGGAACACTGTCTCATGTTGCAGAATGAAACGATGCCTTGTGATTCAAGAAAACTTAGAACAGCTCTTGGAGAGATAGCTTGTGGCTGCCAAGCGATTTGATATAACAAAACTCAAAAAGAGGGGAAAAAAACATTGGTTAGATCTTCTTTTCTTCAGTTTATTGTCAAACTAATGTGTTTTGTCATGAGCAAGAACTAAAATCTAATTAAGTTTGGAATCTAAACAATTCTTTTCTTATTGCTCAAGTAATTTCTGAAACAACTTCTTTTACAACCTCTTCTTTAAAATTCAAGATTATACAATAATAAATCTTTTTCCACTCATCAAACATGACCATGATGGATTAATTACTTCGTGACTTCGTCGTTCGTTGAGCCCACCGGAAGGGTCCGGGTACATGAAAATGTCTACATTTTTCGGCTTTTCAATGTTGGGCCCTATACCAATTCTACTAAATTTATGGCCCAAACCTGATCCAAAAATCATATGAGTGACCAAATAATAAATTTAATTTTGAAACAGTGATCATTTAATAAATTTTGAAAAAATAAAGAAACAAATAAGTGTGACAAACAACAAATTTACGCGGACTAAACTTTTCCGAGGGTCTTTGTTCTAAAGTATTTCCGCGGTATTGCTCTTAGTGAATGTGATAGACAGATACGACAGGTGGGATACGCGTATTAGAGCGGTGGATATGATGAAATTATTATACTGACATAAATATATGAATAAAGTCATAAACATTGTTAACCATACATGTTTTCTTAACCCAAAGAAAAATTTCACACTTTCCGTTATTTCTCTTAAATTTTGAAACACTTTTTTGACTTTTCATAAACAAGTATAAATAGTATTTTAATTAACCACCTCAAAATTGGGTCCCCAATCTCTTTCACACAAGCTTGTATTAATCTATAGGATAATATTGGGTTGTAGAAATTGGGTTTGAGTTTCCTCGTCGGTTCCATGTTGCAAAGGCATTAATGTAAAGTGTGATACTCTTTCTGCCAACCATTTTAAAGATTAAATACATGCATGGTTATCAACTTGTTATTCTTTTCTTTTAGCTGCACATGGTAACACTATTAAAGTATTTAGCTTCTTTGGTGGCCAATATGAATCTAAAACCAATTGATATTAATGCAACAAAAATAAAAAAATGGAAAACAGTCTTTTTTGACTTTCGACTATCTAATGTTAATGCCTTATCTCGTTGACTTATGAATGAGACAAGAACACAAAAATGTCTTTTTAATTACATAAGTTTATAGATGAAAAAACAAAAATCTTTTTCTTCTAAAAAAAAAAACAAGGGGGAGGCAACATGGCTAAAAACTAGGCGATGTCTCATCGTGACAAGGGATAATTAGCTACTGTGTAATGTGGACGACCATGTGCTCTTCGATTAATAAAAGGATCAATTCGCCGGGAAAAAAAGAATTAATAAAGGATCATAAAAATGGAATCGTTCGATAACATAACATCAGATGATCAGAAGCTTCTACATGTTGTGATTTGCATTTGATGTACTGAAAATTTGATAGTTTGTGAATTGTTAGACTCTTATGTTATATTGCACCTATTGGCTATTGCAGTATAGACCATCGTGATTCGTAAAAAGATAAACAAAATTAGCATCTTCTTATTCACTATACGTAGATGAAAAATATACCTGCTAAAAAGATTTAACTTGCTGGAAAATCAGTTTGACGTATAAAAGAATACTTGTTTTTTTTTTTAAAGAATACTTGTTTATTTGAACAGTAGGTGAGATTGCGAAGTTGATAAAGAAACGAAGATAGCGACTTGTTCGAGGCCATTATCAACATTAAAGACATTATATATAAATATATATATATATACCACTCTTTTTACTTAAGAGCATTTCCAACCCACCTCTATATTTGCCTCTAAACTCTATTTTAAAGGTAAATTTACTCCAACCCACCTCTATTCTCACCTCTAAAATAGAGATCTCTATTTTTTTCTCTATATATAGAGGTGAGAATAGAGAATCTCTATTTTTTCCCCTATAAATAGAGTTAAACTTTTTAGAGGAAAAAATAGAGAAATACATTGGAGTAAAAATAGAGAAAACTTACATCTATTTCTATAATAGAGCTAAAAATAGGGAAATACATTGGAGATGGTCTAACAACAAATGCACAATTTTTAATAAGTATATTAAAATATCATATCACTATTCGATTTCCTTTAATTGAGGTAAAAAGAAATTCCCCTTAATGATGTCTCGGTATTAGGACGTTGCAAAAGTGGAAACTCATAATTAGACCGAACGCGTGAACTTTATAAAAATATAAATTTCACCAAACCCTAACCACATTATTAAATATTATTATAATCTATCAATCAATCTTTAAAATATTCACAAGATTTCACTTCAAATCTTCTTTTCTTGGCACTTTTCTCCGTGATTCTCTTCAAGAAGCTTCTTCCTCCTTTTTTTTTTTTTTTTGTCGTCTGTTTTATTAATATCACAAAGAAGGATACATTGTTGAAATACATAAGCCGGCGGAAACACTAGAAATCCCCGGAAACTTAAAGCCCAAAAGAGGGAAGCGAAAGCCCAAAAGAGGGAACCAGTTGAACACGTGGAGAATACAATCCACAAAAACGAAACAAAAGTCAAAAATTTAAACAAAAGCTCGAAAGAAAACGAACTTGCCAATCTTACTCCCACACCAATGTGAACAAAGCCAGCCACAAAGGACAACACGCGTCCATCTTGCAGTTAACGAAACCTCCTATTGCGTAGCCAAGGTACCTCTCAAATCGATTGAACCTAAACTTCTATTCCGACAAGAAAGACGCGAGACAAAGAGACCAAATCCCACAAATCTTTCGGAAGCGGTGTTTGTCGCAAACCACGACCTTTAATCGCCTCGTTAGAAGACATGAACTGACCAGACCTCGATCAGGTCTTGAGTGTAGAGACAAGGAGCGAAACAAACCTCTAACCGGCAAACACTAAACTCAAAAGGAGAAAAGCATACGATCGAACCGGAGAGATCACAATAAAGCTCATCAAAGGACAAAAGCAAGCTCAGCAAGACACGAAAACAAGAGAGCTCTAGCAAGCTCAGACCAATAAAGCTTCTTCCTCCTTTTATTCCTCAATATTTATTTCTTTTAAAATTAATTTTCCATATATCGAAACCTCAATTTGCATATTCTTGTGGGTTCTTGACTTCTTAGTTGTCAGTGATTACGATGGATTCTCTTTTTTTCCGAGTTTTTTTTTTTTTTATATATACTCTATTAAATTATTCTTTTTGATTCTCTCTTCGCTTTGCTTTGCTTTAAAGCGTTCTCCAAAAAACAAAAAAAATGATAATCCGTGATTGGAGCGATTTAATCGTCAATTTCCATTTTTTTCTATTCTGGGTTTATGGGTCTTATTTGTCTCTTCTTCAAAATATTGCCAGATTAAGGAAAACAAATCAGAAATTAATAAAAAGGTAAGGCAAAAATTGTCCTTGTAAATTGGCAATCTCTTTCTTTCTCTGGGTTTTTAGAGTTTGGTTTGTTCTAGAAAATTTCCTCTTTTGGGCTTTATTCGTTCTGATTTCTCACCTGCAAACTTACACCTAAAAAGATGCGATTTTTGATTTAATCCTGATCGATAAAGAGATTCGAATTTCTTCTGCCTATCTAGGTTTCTTCTTTAAAGGTTCTTATATATCTCTCTTCTGAAATCGATTTGCATGTCAAGTTCGAGGATTTAACTAATCTCCCTTAAGATTTGCAAAAAGTCTCAAACTTTTTTTCTTCTGGGATTTTTAGGGTTCTTATCTCTGCTATTTGCATGCATGTTACTTTTGGTGTCTGATTACTCTAATAACTTCGATTCATGCAGGTTTATGACATTTTTACTCGACCCAGATTTTGATTTCATCTGAAAGTTTGGATTTTTGAGTTGGAGAAGAAGGTGAAATCTGAAGCGATATAGCGACAATTTGTCTCTCTCTCGGATGAATTCTCCGTTGAGTTCCAAGAATCTGAGAGTCTTTTCAAAGTCTGTAGCTTGCAAATGTCTTGTTCTTGTTGGTATTGCTCTGTTCTACAGAGCTCTGTTACTCTCTTACTCTCCCAGAAACGCTCTAAGCAATAGCTTATTGTTTCGAGCTCGTCACATGTCAGATTCCTCCTCAACCGGTGGAATTCGGCCTGATAAGTTTCTCGAGGTTCCTCAGATCGTGTGGGGTCTAAACAATCAGAAGATAGCTTTTGCTAGAGCTTGCTTGACTGCGAGAATGATGAACAGAACGCTTCTCATGCCTAGTCTAAGTGCTTCCTTGTTTTACAAGGAAGTCGATAAGCTTCGTCCGATTCCGTTTGATAAAGTTTTTCAGTTTGAAAGATTCAACTCTCTCTGTTCTGGGTTTGTGCGGCTTGCTCGGTTCTCGGATGTTAGAAACAGAGCACAAGTGTTTGATCTAGAGAAAGGTAGTGGAAGAAGATGGACGGTTGAAAGAGACTTGGAACACTTGAAACAATCTGCTCGTAATGAGTCCATCGATGAGTTTGAAGTGATCCGTGTCATAGGGAAAAACCCGTTCTTGTGGCACGATCATTGGCCAGTTGAAGACTATGCTATGGTCTTTGAGTGTATGGTGGTGGTTGATGAAATCTCAAGAGAAGCGGATAAAGTTGTGAAGAAAATCAGAGAAGCAGGTGAGGCAGAAAGAGCGAAACTCGAATCCAAAACCGAAATCCCCGGTCCGATACCTTTTGTTGCAGTTCACATGAGGATAGAGATAGATTGGATGATACATTGTAAGAAACTAGAGCAACGGAAAAAGGTCTCAGAGATTTGTAGTAGCAAAAGAGAGATTATGGAGAGAGTAGGGAACATTTCAGGTTTAAAGACTCCAACAGTTCTTTACCTTGCAGTAGCAGATACTCTCTTAGAAGAAAAAGAGGAAGATTCATCGGTTTTAAAGGGCTGGAGAGACGGTTTAATACCATTTGAGAAGAAGAAGCTTGGAGTTAAAGAGGAGATTTACGGGAAGTATTCATATTTGATACAATCGGCTATAGATTATGAGGTGTGTTTAAGAGCGGATGTTTTTGTTGGTAATAGCTTTTCGACTTTCTCTAGTCTTATTGTTCTTGAAAGGACGCAGAAAGCGAGAAGGTTAGGGTTTATGAGTTCTTGTAAAGATGGTGAAAACAAGTGGAGATCGTATGCATATAATCTGGCTGGTGAATCAAAGGGAGTTCCAAGAAGATGGATGACGAATATGACTCATTCGAGCTTGCAAGCTATTAGCTATGGCTCAAATTCTGTTTCTTGTTCTAGTGGATGAAACTGGCATTTTTAGATTTAGTTTTTTTTTTGGCTTTTCTATACAATTCGTTTATTTGTGGGGGTATAGAGTTGTGTAAATTTTACAGGAATAAGAACAATGCTTAGATCTTCTTCATTTTCATTTAGTTTTTCCAAATAATCTGTCCTTCAGATAATGATAGGAAGAGAAAGAAAGAAAAAAGAGCTAAGAAGTCAAATCTATAACAATTCATTGCTTATGGAACAAGGCATCTTTGCAGAAACAGCAACAATGAAATTTGCAGGTCTGGGATCTTTCTTCAGCTAAGAATTAACTCAGCTTTCTTGCGGTGTAGAGACGGAATGAAGCCAGCCCGGCGATCAAAGCCGCTGTCCCGACTGTTAAAACATTTGGAATCATGATGAGATACAGAAGCATTTGACCAAACATTTTGGAATCCAAGAACTGAACATACTTGAAACCGCCATTAGAGATCTTTTGATTAGCTTGCAACTCCTTTTCTTCTTTGACTCAATCTCTGGAATATTCAAATGAGGATGTTCTGCCGCGGTTAAGATCTTTCGAAGTAAGTTACGGAAATCTCCCAATTTAGAGCTAATTGGTATTGGAGCATCAATCCCTATATCTTGTGTAACCTGCAAAATTCAGTATATGACACATTAATCAACTTATGTTCACAATCTTTCTGAAAATCAAGAAGAAAGATTAGTATTACTCTAGTTGATTCTTGAATCGCCATTGGGAATGGATCAAGATCAGTTTTTGCTGCAACCATTAAGCAAGGAAACTTGAAACCGGCATCTTCGCCAATGGTTGCAACCTCAGCAAGCAAATCAATGGCTCTGTTCCACGAGGACTCATCAGAAGAATCATAGATGAAGATTGCTACATCACAAGCAGCCAATGCTTTATTTGATAACATGAATCCATCTTCTTGAATTCGAATTTCCTTCAACACCAGAGTTTTATCTGTATTTGCAATCACTCCAGATTCTTTAACCATATTTACAGCATAACGTTCATCAGTTGATCCATTGCTGTTATTGATGTCATCATCGTATGACCTTCCGATAAACTGATTGAGCAATGCAGACTTTCCAGCATTCTTGGGGCCAAACACAAAACACTGAAGAACTCGCTTCCTAGTTACGTGAATCGCTGAAGATGGATCATATGGGAATCTAATGTACATCAAATATTCAAGACTCCTAGCTGGATCTATTAGTGTCATCAATGACCACTGCAAAGACAGGAAAGTTTTCAAATCTTTAGGGTTAAAATGTAAAACTTTTGAAATGGGGTTCCTCTTAAAGGTCTTTACAAAACTTGTTTTGATTACCAGTGAGAGGAAAGCTTCAAGAGATAGTCCTCCATCCTTAGTTTCCTCTGTGACATCCTTATAAGGAGCTTCAGTCCAAGGACTGTCATTAATGATTAAATCAATGGACTTACACAGAAGCAAATGAAAGAACATTGTAATCATAAACTGCAGGCTTTTTATGTCGGAAATGTTACCTTCCAGGTGCAGTTTCAAAGATGTATCCCGTTTCATGAGGTTCCAAGTTATTGTCCTGAAAAAATAAAATTCTGAATTGTAGAATCTACAAGTATATAATATACTATGACATAAATTAGAAAAAGATAAGAACTTACACCGTTATTATCGAAAAACTCATAGACTTCCCTTAAGAATTCAATAGCTACATTTGTTAGCTCAACACTCTACACAATGAAAAAAGAGTTGACTGATCAGAAACAGCAACAAATATTCACAATGATGCCAAGAAAAAAAGGACTTCTATTTCTGTAGATTTTTTACCTGATCAGCCTCACGTTTGAATGATGAATAAGGAATCAGACCATCTCCAAGTCTTAGATCGTTATTGTACCCGAATTTCCTAAGCATAGTCCATAGTGTTTGGATTCTTGCTTCTTCGATATAACGTGTGTTTAGAAACAAGAAACCATCCAATGTGAGTCCTCTTTCATTAACTCCTTGTGGAAACTTGACTTGCATAGCTTTTTTCATTTGGTTAATTTCACAAGGCACCAATGGTGTATCGAAGCATTTTTTCTGTTTTAAAAATAAAACTTTAACTCAAGAAGAACAATATAAAACGTAAGAGCTAGAGGGAATAAGAAAAAACCTGAAGCTCGTTTAACTCGGCGTCACTGAGAATACCATCCATGTTATGATCAGAGAGTAAAAAGATACGTTTCAAGGCAGCGATACAGCGAGGCTTCAGTGAATTGGTTTCTTGATTAAACACAGGTCCTACTGGGTGAATAACCGCTTTTTGTGCATAGTAGAGTACTTTTGTAGCCTACAAAAGAAGATTTTGAGTGATAAGAACCTAATTTAAAATAAAAACTAACCATATTCGTCACAAAGATCCAACTTCCAGTTCTTGAAATGCCTAAAGTTAAGATCTCAATCAAAGCAAAGGGACCTGATTTAGCCTCTGAGCAGACCACTGGATAGATGTCTCGACCTCTCGATATTGTTGCATCATAGGTGACGTTATTTGTTCAATGCTGGTTTGTTTATTAGTCTCTTTGTTGTCAACTTCATAACCTGCCACTATGATAGGAACTCTCACCTGTTCAATAAAAGACAAATTTTAATAAGAAAGATTACAAAACTTCAGGGCAATGAGCATAAACTCAACAGTATACTACTTGCAAATTGATTGATGAAGGTGAATAAAGAGAAAAATAAGAAGCAAATTATTAACCTCTAATTGTCGAAACAGAGGAAGCCAGTATTTACTCAAACGGTCAAGAGTCTCCGGTCTATCGAATGCAAATGTTAAAACAATTGCATCTGCTTGCTTAACTTCCTTAACTACCTTTCCCTTATCTTCCGGTCTGCAGATTTTATCAACAGAGACATCTATAGTAAAATGATTCGATTTCTAACCAAGAAAGTGTGATTTAGTGGGTTTTTTCGCGCGGGTTGAAGACTCGGCATGTGTGTCAAAAGCCAAGGATGAGTTCCACCTTCTACAAAAATTGTTGTAGTTCCCTCTTGGCTAATGTCTGCGCCTTAAATGGAAAACATATCCGGCTTTTCTATAAAACCTCGGGGATTAGACCGGATTTTGGCCTAGGATTAACTCCGGTTATCGAAAAAATATGAAACTGTTATTAACCATAAATTTTCAATTATCTCTGCCTTATCCACAAAATCTTATCAGCAAATTCTAGGCATAACCTTTTTGATGTCAATGTACAGAATCAGGAGAAACATTTACCTTGAAGAAGTGTCGATAACAGTAGCAGGTATACGGTCAGGGAAGAATTCAGAAGGTAAATTGGTGTAAGGTAACAGAGAAGCGATGTTTGGATGGAAAGTGTTTCTTGCTGCAGCCATAATCAAGCTTGATTTTCCACTGCCCTTCTCACCAACCACAACAATTCTTATCGGTTTCGGCGAGCCACTAGAATCTCCCACACCCATCCACATCATCTGATATTGCAAACAACATCAAATACTTTCAGAAAATAAACAAATACTGATCATGTAAGACATTTAAGAACACAATGACCAATGTCAGATTATTTAACATAACCCTGAGAACTTTGAAATTCAAGAATCAAGATTCAGGTATTGTAAGTTGAAAAGGAGACGACTTAAAACAGAGGGAAAAACAGAGAAATAGAGCAGATGATCAGAATCTTACAGTGTCTCAGAAACAGTTTAGTAGATAAACCTAAGAGATCAAAAGGCGTGACGTTAACAAAGCTTCTTCTTGTTGTTGTCCTATGTCTTATTTTTCTTGTTTTTTCATTTCATCTATATTATATATTGATTAATTCTCATTAAACCATTTGCAGTAAATTAGCCATGTGTCTACTTAGTGAATAGGTTTTGTTTTTTAACGGTGAAATTGGCGTTTGTGGGAGAGCATCGGACGAAGGATATTGAGGATCTTGACGTGGATACAACTGGTTTTCTTGGTATTCTTCTGTTTTTTCCTTTTTTGGGTTCAAAGCTTTTAATTGCATGCATTAATTTGAATATATCCTTATCTTTCATTAAAATAATCATATCTTTTCTTCGTTAATATTTTAATTTATACAAACAAAATTTAAGTTACAATAAACACATATCAATGGCATCAAATCTGAAGAACACAATAACACCGAACATAGTAGATATGTTGTTAGATTTGAATTTTTTAAATATATAATTAAGCAACACAATCATTATAAAAGGGTCTAATTTTATAAACATGTTAGTAGTTTTGATGATTTTTATGATGTGATAGTATATCTGAATATTGTCGGATTTTAACAGACGTGATATATGTAAAACATGATATGTTAGTTTGAAATATGAATGACATGCTATTAGAATAACGTGTGATACATAGGAAAATTATTTGAATATGGCGGGACATTGAATTATGGATACGTGTCACACACACACACCATCGCAAATTAAAAAAAAAAAGTATTACGTCAAAGCCCATTGGGCCAGAGTGGTTCAGTTTAAGAGCCCGCTTTGTTCCTCAGAGAGCTGCGTTACGGGCGGGACAATCGGATAAGCGCATAAACATTAAAGAAGATGATGTCCGGCGAGAACAACACTATCACCGACACCCAGAAAGTCTCTGGTTCTGTACCTGTAAGCTCTCATCAAATTCCAGTTTTTTTTTTTTGCATATAACTGTGTGCTTTTGATACTTGAGTTCTGATCTGTTGTTTTGTTTGTGACGGTCGTAGTCTGTTGTTCCAGATCAAGACCATGCCACCGTCGAATTCGCCGGTAAAAATGTAACATTTTCTGATATTTTCGGTTGCTTAGGTGGTGGATTGATAGTTAAACATGTAGGAAAGAAACGATTTGATTTTAGCTATTGGAGTTTTGTTTTCTATTATTTGACTTGTACCTCTCCAACTTTCTGAAATCTTGATGCTTTGAATCAGCAAACAGAAGCACATTGTCTTCGACATTATCGCATTGGCCTAATGTAATCGATACATCAAAATACAGCTATGACATAGCTTATTTATTCATGAACTGTGTCGGCTAACACAATCATAGTTTTCTTTCACTGACCACTTAAGATGCTCATATATTTCTGCAGTCTTTACTTTATATCTTTCCTTGTTTGTCGATTTGATCAGCTGCGAACGATAGGGACCATAAATATTTAACCCAAGCTGTTGAAGAGGCATATATTGGAGTTGAGTGTGGTGATGGCCGTCCGTTTGGAGCGGTTATTGTTCATAAGAACGAAATTTTAGTGAGCTGCCATAATATGGTTTTGAAATACAAAGATCCAACGGCACATGCTGAAATCATAGCCATTAGAGAGGTAGTAATCTTCTTCAAGTCACAAAACAAAAATTATCTTTCATGTGGATTTTGCTAACACCTTTTTTTTAATTATATGATCTTTTTTGGCTAACAAACAGGCTTGCAAGAAACTGAATGAAATTAAGCTATCGGAATGTGAGCTTTACGCATCCTGCGAGCCTTGTCCGATGTGTTTTGGAGCCATCCATCTCTCAAGACTCAAGGTAATAAGAATGATCACAAAGTGAAATATGAAAGTTGAGTGTTTTTTCTTTTTGTTTCTTCTTTCTGAAACCTCGTCTTGATTACTTGTAAACAGAGATTGGTGTATGGGGCGAAAGCCGAAGCAGCAGTAGCCATTGGGTTCAATCGCATCATAGCGGACGGTGTGAGAGGCATTGGGTGCTACCATAAGTCTAACCTAGAGATAATAAAACTCGATGTGAGTATCGCGGAGCAAGTGTTCCAGAATACAAAGGGGAAGTTCAGTATATAGTAAGCTCTTTTTCTTCTTCTTGTCATCATCTCTAGAAGAAGAAGAAGCAGAAATGTATTTTTGCTAAACCCTTTTATCAATTACTGTTAATGTTGGCTTGTGTTTGCTTTGGTCCATTTAGAAATGTATGTATAAATACTTTCTTCTTGCAATGATGTCTCTACCATATATCAATTGTCAGATTTTGATTTACTATTGGTAATTTGATCATTGTATACGGTTTAAACTTTAAACCAATGTCTGTACCAAAAATAGAGAGAAGCATCAAATCTCAACATAACGGCAATGTTAACGCCGTCAATATTGACGTCTGTTTAAACTCCCGAGGCAAACTCATGATCGCTTACGCATTTCACCTACCCAATTGTCTTCCCACAGGCGAGGATCCAAAACCTCAATCTGTTTGTCGGAGAGATGGGTGTCGATTTGGAATCGGTGTCGGAAGCGACCTCCGGAGCCATTGGGTCGCTTCTTAGTACAACGATCTTATATCCTCTTGATACATGTAAATCAAAGTTCCAAGCCGAGGCTCGAGCTCGAGGTCAGCAAAAATACAGGTGTTTTCTTTATCCTTTGATTTGGATGTATCGATTTCTATAGATAGTGTCTGTATCCTCTCTTTTTGTAATAGTTTTTTTTTTGGTGATGTTTGCAGATATCTTTCGGATGTTATGTGGGAAGCAATTTCTAAAGGACAAGTCTTTTCACTGTATCAAGGCCTTGGAACTAAGAATTTTCAGTCTTTTATTTCTCAGTTCATCTACTTTTATAGCTATAGCTATTTCAAGAGAGTTCATAGTGAAAGGACTGGTTCTAAATCAATTGGAACTAAGGCTAATTTGCTCATTGCTGCTGCTGCTGGGGCTTGTACTTCTGTCTTGATTCAGGTACGTTTACTTTGATGATCTCTGAGATTTTGATATGTTATGTTTTGGAGTTCTTGTTAAAAATTTGAAGTCTTGGTGTTGGAATGAAAATTTGAGGTCTGGTTTGCTACACTATGTGCTATGATGCAGTATCGATGAATTAAAGCCTTGAAACTTATCTTTGTGTAGCCTCTGGATACAGCTTCATCAAGGATGCAAACGAGTGAGTTTGGGGAATCAAAAGGGTTGTGGAAGACCTTAACAGAGGGTACATGGGGAGATGCTTTTGATGGCCTAGGGATCTCTCTCTTATTGACTTCAAATCCTGCAATTCAGGTAGATTTCTCTTTTTAATGCCATGAGCTACCGACTCGGGTGGCTCACTTCAATTTCACTTGCCTAATTTGCAAATTTTGTTACCTAGTTTTACCTAGACAACATGGCTGGCTGAAATAGTAGGCTACTCTTTGCAGTATACAGTGTTTGATCAGCTGAAACAGCACCTTCTTAAGCAGAAAAACGCAAAAGCAGAGAATGGTTCTTCACCGGTAGTGCTCTCTGCCTTTATGGCGTTTGTGTTAGGTGCGGTCTCCAAAAGTGTTGCCACCGTGCTCACATATCCAGCAATCAGGTATTTCCTTTTGGACAAAGGTTACTAGTATTCTTGATTTCACCCTAGTGAATTATTGTGTGGATATTGATTAAACTTTTGTGTCTCAGATAAACTTCCCAAGTCACATAATTTTTAATACTCTGGCTGATTCAAACATTATATTGGGCTGAAATTTGCAGGTGCAAGGTGATGATTCAAGCTGCAGATGAGTCGAAGGAAAACAACGAAACAAAGAAGCCGAGAAGAAGAACAAGGAAAACAATTCCAGGGGTTGTCTATGCCATATGGAGAAAAGAAGGGATGTTAGGGTTCTTTAAGGGCTTGCAGGCTCAGATCTTGAAGACTGTTCTGAGCTCGGCATTGCTATTGATGATCAAGGAGAAAATCACCGCAACGACATGGATTCTCATTCTAGCTATCCGTAGAACTCTGTTTCTCACAAACACAAAGGGTAAGTTGAAAAGTCCTTGAGACTCTGCAAATCTGTTTGGCCGCCACCAAGCTTATTTACAACTGAAGCAAATAACACAAGTTGTAATTGCTTCCTTGTAATTAGATGATGAATGATCTACAGAGTTATTGTGTAGTTGGGGTGTGTAATAAAAGTGAGAATCTTTGTGTAGAAGCATCAAAGAAAATGATGTAATATGAAACGTTTCTTAAGAAACTCAAATTGAAAACATTATGGTATTGATTTATATTAGTTAAATGATCATTGTGAAAAATCTCCCAAGTCTTTGGAATTTTCAATACTAAAAGTTTAAGTGGAACACTCAAACTTGTTTGTAAGAGTCAAGATTTGTATAAAGTGGATGAATTTGTTAAATAATTTTGCATATCCATTTGTTGTTGAATTGTAAACGTTGAATTTAATATTACCCTTTTTTTTTTTTTAATTAAAAAAAACGTAAAGAAAAATATAAAATAATCTAGTGGGAAGATGCTTCTAAATGAAAAAGAAGTTTTTAGCCTCTGGTTCCCGTCAAATCTAATTGGACCGGAGTAGTAGTATAATTTTCAAGGCCGATTTCGTTTCTTTAGAGGTCTTCGAGACGAACGGAAGATCGGAACAAGATGATGTCCGGCGGGAACTACACGACTATCGACAGCCAGAAAGTCTCTGGATCTGTTCCTGTAAGTTTTTTTTACGCTTTCTCGATCTCGATTGTTTACATGAGTGCTCGTCCCTACACTGATTCTTCCGATCTGATCTTGTTTTGTTTGTCTCAATCGTAGTCTGTTCCAGATCCAGGCCATACCACCGTCAAATTTGCAGGTAACATTCTCTTCTTTGTCAAATTTTCGGTTGCTGAGGTGAATTTGATAATAGAGCGTTTAGGGGAATAACGATTTTGATTTAGGGAATAACATTCTCTTCTTTTTTTCTCTCGGACGCAAGACTATGTTGATCTTAGCTAAGATTACTGCAACTTGTTAGGTAGTGCTATGGATTTTGAAATTAAACTCTAGTTTGAACAGAGAAGGGTTTAGCAATTAGAATGTATTGTTTAGGGAGAAAGAGGAAGTCTTGCAATTGCAAATGTATTTCTTTCTCCTTTAAAGTTTTGATTTGACATGGTTAAGTTGTGATTGAGGGATGCGTTGTTTTTGCAGAATCAAATCTACAAACTTTTCCTCCATCTGCTACTCAGGGCAAGATCTCTGGTGGTAGTAATCCCCCTCGAGATGCTGACGGTAAGATTCTCTCGCGTTAAGGATTTCTCAAGTAGATTGAGGAATTTAGATGTGGAAACGTGTTCATCGACTAGTTTTTGTTGATTGCTCGGTGTCAGTCTTTGTAATTCTGTATTTCTTATGGCTTGTAGTATAAAATTTGAACCTGTTGCAGATACATTTTCTGGGCATGGTAATGGTAGTTCAGATGAACCTCAGTCTGGTGGCTGGCTTCATAAATTCACTGTTGGTGCTTACAAGCCCTTCTTTGATGTCGACACTTCGGATGTTGTAGAGAGACTCAAGGAATCTCTTTTCCCATTCCGTGGAACATTTACAGAGAAGACAGCTGATAAACCCGACTTGTAAGAGTTGTCTTTTCTTATCTTTTTTCAACTTAGAGGGGATTTTCTATTTGGTCTCTCAAACTTCTTCAATGTATCTCAAGTGCTCAAAATTGATTATGTTTGCAGGTATGGTCCATTCTGGATCTGCACTACCTTGATATTCGTTGCAGCATCTATCGGCACATTTGTCACATACATAGCACACAAATGGAAGAAACAAGAATGGAACTACGATATTAATCTAGTGACTTGGTCTGCGGGAGTGTTCTATGGCTATGTCACAATTGTTCCTCTCGCATTATATGTCGTTCTCAAATACTTCTCTGCACCATCAGGCCTTGTCCAACTCTTCTGTCTCTATGGCTATTCCCTTTTCGTCTTTATCCCAGCATTGGTACCAAATCTCTCCTAAAAAGTGTGATCATATCGAAACATCTGAATATAATGAGACTTTTGACATATTCATCTATTTCCGACTCTGCAGTGTCTCTCGGTGGTGCCAGTGGAGATTTTCAGATGGGTCATCGCGGGAGTAGCCGGGTTCATGTCTGCAACATTTGTGGCTTTGAACCTCAAAGCGCATATCAATTCCGCTGGAGAGAGATCGATCCTGATTATCGCCAGCATCTTTCTTTTGCAGCTCGCGCTTGCAGTTGTGCTAAAGCTCTATATCTTCAATGTCAAAGTATGATAAAAAATTGGAAAGTTGATCTTTATAGAACAAAAAGGTAATGTTTTCTGATATCTGTAGATGCTATAATGTTTCTCCTCAAGAGTTATCCAATTTTGTACCGTTTGGATACTGTTCCATTTATTTACACTCCATGATTTACTTTGTAGAAGATAGTGTAATAAATAAATCGATTTGTAGCTGCTGTGAACTCTGTGATGTTCAAACTTTCCGTCTTACTAACCAATTTGGAAAAAAAACAATAGAAGGATTTATAATATTGTTTATGAAGAAATGAAAATGGAAAATAAATAAAAGGACCCAGAATCTTGAATTCTATAGGGTCTAACAAGATTTGTAGTTTTGTACGGATACGGCTGTCTTCGCTAATATCTTCCCTTCACTGGTACATCTGACAAATCTGTAAATATTCTTCCACATTACGTCAATAACCAATTCCGAAACATCTTACGATTTTTTCTCTTTTTTGTTTCTTCTTTTGATATTCTTCATTCTTGTTAAATATTTGTTGTTTTTCAGTGTTTGGCTGTAATAGTAATGTCGAATTTCTCCACAAAATACTTTAGGAAAAAATACAAAACAAATAACAAGTATAATAGCTACACATTATCTATCATGTGGGTCTCAATCATCGAGACTTCCACTTTTTAATTTTTTTTTCCTAGTCTCTTTAAAAAAAAAAAAAAATTAATCAATCTGTTCTTTTGTGAACATGGCCGTTGAATATCGTAGCCAGATTCACACAAATCTTCTTCCTTCAATTATTTCAACTTCTCTTGGCGTGAGATTTGAGGTATGTGATGTGGTGTTAAGTTAGGTACTCTGTTACGTTTGTTCATCTTTTACATCTCAAGCAATCAAAATCACCAAACACTTTTTTTTTTCTTTCTGAAAATTGATTGGGCATTTGGCAGAGATTTTCTTGTTGGGAAAAAATTGATTTTTTTTTTGTCAGAGAGTGAATTGTAAGTGAGATCAATAAATTTGCCCCATTTTTAAAGCTTTCTCCTTTTTATTATATATTTTAGGTTGCAACTAAATTGGAGTTAAAGTCTGCTGTTGAGATTGTTGCTGCAGATGAGTTTGGTCTGAATGTTTGGTGGTTTTGGATATGGACCGGAGGAGCTGGTTATGGCGGAGGAAGTCATCTGAGAAAAGTCCCGGCGAAACTGAGAGTACTGGCTCTGTCTCTTCTCATTCTGAAAGATTCTCAGACGATCAGGTTACACTTTTTGCAATGCCTTTGTTTCATCTTTGTTTCTTGATTGATTCTTTTGTGGTTTTTTCTTGTTCTTGGGGTGTTAGAATGTAATCGAAACTCCGAGAAGATTAGTTGTTGTTTATGTTGTGCACATTGCAGAAACCTTGGTATTAATCATTTTGATTGTGTTTGGTGTGTAATGTGTGTGGAACTTCAGAGATCTCAATCACCGGAATTAATATCTAAACCGGTAACAAGAGAAGAAGAGGCAACGGCGGATATCAAGATTCTAACGGAGAGGCTCTCTGCAGCTCTTTTAAATGTCAGTTTAAAGGAAGATCTTGCTAAACAGCATGCTAAAGTTGCAGAGGAAGCTGTCTCAGGTTAGTTGTTGTTGTTGGTTGTTGTTGTCACATTTCTTTTTAGCAGAATCCGAAATTAGTTTGCGGTAAATGAACGAATGTACATGGGAATTTTGCTTCATCTAGGTTGGGAAAAGGCAGAGAACGAAGCTGCGGCTCTGAAGCAACAGCTTGATGCTTCTACGAGTAAGGTTTCGGCTCTTGAGGATCGAAATAGTCATCTTGATAGTGCGCTTAAGGAATGTGTGAGGCAACTCTGGCAAGGAAGAGAAGAGCAAAATCAGAAGATCGAAGAAGCTATAAACAATAAATGCAAAGAGTGGGAAACTAAAAAATCTCAACTTGAAGCCCGAATTGAGGAGCTCCAAACTAGACAAGACGTTACTACTGCTTCGGTCCACGAAGACCTTTACCCGAAACTTGAGGCTTTAGAGAAAGAGAATTCAAGTTTGAAGCTTCAACTACTTTCAAAAGCTGAGGAGGTCAAGATTAGAACTATAGAGAGGGACTTAAGCACTCAGGCGGCTGAATTTGCCAGTAAACAACAGTTGGAAGGGATTAAAAAGTTGACTAAACTTGAAGCGGAATGCAGGAAACTGAGAGTCATGGTTCGGAGATCCGACAATTCCAGTGAGCTCAAATCTTCTATAGATAACCAGTCAGACTACTCCGGGAGAGTTTCTTTTAGTGATAATGAAATGCAGAGTCCCTCTGAGAGGACTATTGGGAAAACTTCGATGGCTCCTTCAGTAGACATCGGTTTAATGGATGATTTTCTCGAGATGGAAAAGCTCGCTGCTCTGCCGCATTCTGAACCTGGAAGAAAAAAATCAGAGAATAACAAGGACTTAGAGAACTCTAATGCTCAATCAAACCAACTAAAGCATGAACTCAAAACCTCGCTTCACAGAATTTCTGAACTGGAAGAAAAAGTAGAGATGGTAGAGGTAGAGAAATTGCAACTGGAGATGGCTTTGAATGGATCCAAAGAGCAAATTGAGGCATTGCAGAGTCGGTTAAAGGAGATAGAGGGGAAGTTATCCGAGATGAAGAAACTAGAGGCAGAGAACGAGGAACTAGAGTTGTTGTTGGGTGAATCAGGAAAGCAAATTCAGGATCTTCAAAGACAGTTAAACAAAGCTCAAGTGAATATGTCAGAACTAGAGACTAGAAGAGCAGAGAAGCTGGAACTGACCATATGTCTGAATGGAACGAAAAAGCAGCTTGAGACATCGCAAAATCGGCTAAAGGAAACAGAGAGAAAGTTAACAGAGCTTCAAACTCTGCTTCATCTAACAAAGGATGCAAAAGAAGCGGCTGAGGATGGTGTAAAGGCTGCAAATGAGAAAACTGAAGCGGTTGAATCAAGACTTAGAGATGTCGAAGCAGAAGCGGAATCTTTGACCTTGAAAATCAAATCTCTGGAAGATGTCACAGAAAAGGAACGTGATTTATCAGCAAAACACATTTCAAAGTGCAACGAACTGCAAGATGAGATCTCAAAACTAAAACAAGAACTCGAGCATCATCAAGAAACAGAGCCTGAGCCAAACCATATGAAAGGTTTTGAGCTGAAGCAGGTAAGTTTCTCCTCTCATCTTTATGCAACATTACATAATACTGATCCATTGCAAGTTCATTTCTTTTTGTTCTAAACTCCTTAATGACAATGTGGCAATGACAGGAGAAGGAATTAGCAGTGGCTGCCTCAAAATTTGCAGAGTGTCAGAGAACTATTGCGTCGCTGGGCCAGCGATTACAGTCACTGGCTACACTTGAAGATTTCTTGATTGAATCTTGAGGAGGAGCTTGATCTTTCCCCATGAATGCTGACAAGAATCGATAGACTCCTCTAAGATCTGGATGATGATGAGTAGCTGAATATTGCGAAAGAGACTTGGAAATTCCATTCATGAACATAAGTGTAGAGGACACATGAACAAAAAAGAGTCTCTATATACATGAGAAAGTAAGGCTAAGCCAAAACAGGATTGAGATTATTTGTCAATAGAGACAATGGAAAGAACAAGATAACATTTCTTCTTTCAATTATATAAATTATATCCTTGCCTCTTCGTGCACATTATAAGCATCAGAAATCTCACCTTAAACTCATCATATCCTCAATTTCTTTAATGTTTTTGGTTATTAGCGAAAAACAGAAACAATATGGATGGTTAAAGAATGCTCTGTTATGTTCCGTTTTGTCCCATAAGTTATCAAAGATAAATTGTTATGCAATAAGGACAATAAGGTAATTTGCTTTGCCGTTGTGATCAATTTCCTTTTTCTGCAGTCTAATTAATTAATAAATTAAAAGGAAACAATCTAAATCGTCTGAGAAAAGGAAACAACAAACTCTTCAAAAAGAAAAAGGAAACAAACTCAAACCCTTTCCTTATAAATAATTGTCTCTCTGAGAAATCAAAATCATTCATTCTCCTTCTTCCAAAGTAAAATCATTCATTCTCTTTGTTGTAATCTTTCTTCTTTTTCTTTTTGATACGTGTCTAACAAACTTTGCCAAATTTGATCGCCAATCTCGTGAAGCCGATGATCCATGTAGAGTCACTCTCTGCAACCAATTAATCTGCGAAACTGGCCTTGTTCCTTGAGAAGAAGATAGATCGTCACGTTTCTTAGATTGATCGCCATTCTCTGTTGTGCATTCGATATCCCGTGACTACTTCTACAGTCAAACCCTAATTCCATATGGATCATTCACCACGGCAACACTTTCACCGGCTGCTAATGATGCGAGGAAGAAAGCGGGAAAAGAGGGACAGTGAAAGCGAAGAGCATGTAGCAGCTTTGGAGTTTCGATGGCTGGACTGTTGAAGTTGAGTTCCTTGATTAAACCTGCACAAAGAAAAGTGAAATCGATGAGAAGAAGAAGAAGAAGAAGCAAAGGCTCGTGATTGAAGAAGAGGAAGAGAGAACGCAGAGAAGAAGGAAGGAAGTTGGGCTTCATGGTGTTTTGGTCTTAAGAAAACTATTGGGCTACGTTTTTGTTAAGGCCCAAGAAAAACGATGAATCTGAGTCACCAAATCCAGGTACGTTGCTTTCTCAATTATCTATATTTTTAAGTATAAAAAGTATTTTTTAAAAAAAAGTTTAAATTTAAGTGTTAATTTTTAATTCCGTTCAAAACCAACCGAACTTAGCATCCGGTTAGAATCTCTTTAGATCGGTTAGAGGTGTTAAGTTCGATTTGTTTACACGTAACTAAATTTTAACATTTATTTTTAGATTTTCTTTTTAATTAAAAACGTTTTCAACTTTAATTTCCGGTTTTATAACTAAATTTTCATATTTTTTAAAAATAAATTTTTTGTTTGAAACAAATTTTTAAGGGTTTTTATTATTATTTAAACTAGTATTTTAAATAAATATTTTTGAGCTTATATAAATTTTTAAGTATAAAAAGTATTTTTTTTAAAAAAAAGGTTTAAATTTAAGTGTTAATTTTCGATTACGTTGCAAAACCAATCGAACTTAGCATCCGGTTAGAATCTCTTTAGATCGGTTAGAGGTGTTAAGTTCTTTTCGTTTACTCGTAATTAAATTTTAACATTTACTTTTAGATTTTCTTTTTAATTAAAAACGTTTTCAACTTTAATTTCCGGTTTGATAACTAAATTTTAAGATTTTTAAAAATAATTTTTTTTGTTTCAAACAAAATTTTAAGGGTTTTTTTATTATTTAAACTAGTATTGTAAATAAATATTTTTGAGTTTATCTAAATTTTTAAGTATAAAAAGTATTTTTTAAAAAAGATAGTTTCCAGCGTCAAGTTTTGATTGTAAATACTTAATCGCAAATGTTTAGAATCACGCTTCTCAATTAACGTCTGTAAATAATTGTGTATACTTGTGAAGACTTAAAAGTAGTAACTATAATATATGATAACAAACATGATCTAGGAAGAAAAATTTTCATGCCTTGTTCCACAAACAAAGAAAAACCCTAAATCAAAGATAAAATCAATTTCAGTATGCCTAAATCAAAGATAAAATAAGCTAAAGAAAAACCCTAAATCAAAGATAAAATCAATTTCAGTAGTAACTATAATATCTGATAACAAACATGATCTAGGAAGATAAATTTTCATGCCTTATACACAAGGAGAAGCCTCAAATAGCTGATATTTGTCAGTCAATTGTCATGAAGCATGTCGAGTTTGTATATATCTGAATGGGACTGGTGGTTATCCCAAATAAGCTGATTTTCACCACGTGGAATCCTCCCTAGCTGCACCGTTGCGATGACTTGTCCACGTCATCTAAATTGAGATGCAACGTGGCACATCACTCAAAGAAGCTCTCACTTACGCCTTCTTTAGCTTATTTGTCTCTCTCGATCTCTAGGTTAATTTACTTGGTCGCCAGTAACCAAAAACTTTCCCGGAAAATTTTTGAGTACTGTGAAAGGAGAAAATAGAAATGGCGAGTGGGTTTCCACCGCAGAAGCAAGAGACACAACCAGGGATACAACATGTCATGGAACCAACTCCCGAGTTCTCTAGCTCTAACTACAAACCTTCCAACAAACTTCATGTATATATAGGCGTCGATTGTTTTTTCTATTCCCGTTTTCTCTATGGTTTAAGAATAAATCAGATATCAACAAACCTATATGAATTACTAACTAATATGTGAAGGAAATTAAAGCAAAATTGTCCTTTTATACACACCTACTTCTTCTACTTGTAATACAAGGTATATATCTTTGAAATTATCCGCAGGGAAAAGTGGCGCTCGTGACAGGAGGAGACTCAGGAATAGGTAAAGCAGTGTGTCACTGCTACGCACTTGAAGGAGCGAGCGTGGCTTTCACGTACGTGAAAGGTCGGGAGGACAAAGATGCAGACGAAACGCTGCGTTTGCTTCATGAGGTTAAAACAAGGGAAGCTAAAGAGCCGATCATGATCGCTACTGATTTAGGGTTTGAAGAGAATTGCAAGAGGGTCATTGAGGAAGTGGTGAATTCCTTTGGACGCATCGATGTGCTTGTGAATTGTGCAGCTGAGCAGCATGAGGTTTCCATTGAGGATATCGATGAGGCTAGGCTTGAGAGAGTGTTTCGTACCAACATCTTCTCGCAGTTTTTCTTGGTCAAGTGAGTAAAAACATGAAACTCGGACTTTGGTTCTGGCTAATTGATCCAGTTAGAGTTAATTGGTGGTAATTAATTATAGGTACGCGTTGAAGCACATGAAGGAAGGGAGTAGTATCATCAATACGACGTCGGTTGTTGCATACGCAGGACACTCAAGCTTACTAGAGTACACAGCTACAAAAGGAGCCATTGTTTCCTTCACTCGTGGCTTAGCTCTGCAGCTTGCACCAAAGGGTATACGTGTGAACGGAGTAGCTCCTGGTCCGGTCTGGACTCCACTGGTAACTGCATCGTTCTCTGACGAAGCGATCAAGCAGTTTGGGTCAGAGACACCGATGAAAAGAGCGGCTCAGCCAGTGGAAGTGGCTCCTTCTTACGTCTTCTTGGCTTGTAACCATTGCTCTTCTTACTATACCGGCCAAATCCTTCATCCAAACGGTAAGTTCAAATTTGAGGTGGTTAGTCCGGTTTTTTGGTTTAGTTTCAGTTCTGATTTTTGATTGAAGGATTTTTTAAAACAGAATTAGATTTAAACCCGGTTTAGCTATTTCGGTGCGGTTTTCTTTGGTTTTTGATCTGTCAGTTAGACCGGATTAGGCTTTCCTAAGTGAGACACAGGCTAGTTTGCCACTGAACCGGAAATGTTAATCACGACTGCCATTTTGGAGTCTGAATGCCACCTCACAATAGGATAATACTCCTTTACCCTTAATGAATATCAATATCCTTTAATTGAATTAATTTGAAAAGGAAAAAAAAAACAATTGAAATCGAGAAATGAATTCTCGATCCAATCTCGAATCTGTGTCTTCCCTTCCCCCGACATTGTTGAAGCGAAGACACAGAGCCATGGTTGCTTGGAGATTTGCGGTATCGATGGCGATTGATCAAGGTAGGGAAGAGAGAAGACTGTGTATGTTCTCGGTCGAAGACATCGGAGGTAGAAGAAGAAGATGTTCACGGTGATTTGATTCATCGGATGATGTTGGTTTCAAGATTTCGAAATCGTTAAGCTGTTAGTTAATTAATCTCTATCTCTCGGTGACAAGAAGATTTGTGTTATTGCGAGTAGACAAAAGAACTCGCAGGTTACAAAGTTTATCAAGAATGGTATGTGGTGGAGGTCTTTCACCGACAATATTGTTTACTGATTCAAGGAATGCATGAGTTCAAGCAATTAGGCTCAAGCGATGAAATCAGAGATCCAAAGATTATTCAAGAAAGAAGAGGTTTGAGGCTGCTGCAGAACACTAGATCAAAGGGAAAATTTACGATCTGTGTTGATGATATCTAGATGCTGAATGATGGAGATCATTCATTGGTAATGTTGAAGCGTCTGTTACAAGAATTTGTGAGTTAAAGGACGTGACTCATGGTTACAAAGATCAACGTTGGATTAACAATTCTCAAGGGCCAATTCTTGAAGACTTATAGTCTGTTTCCGCTGAAATCACAAGGTACAATGTGATGTTCTCTGTGAAGGTTTCCGGATACTCGATGTTTATATATTCAAGGATTAGAGTATAATGAAGCTCAAGGTTTTGAACACTGATTCTGCAAATGGATAGCCAAGATTAGTAATGGCTTCAGGCTGTATGATTTGTTAATCAAATCTGGTTGTTAAAGTTAGATATTTGCAGTGTTCAAGTATGGTTTAAAGATCAGCCATTGGATTAAGATTCTTGATATTGGGGGACGCCTTAGTTTATTGAATCTTATGTGTGTTAGTGGCTGGTTAAAATTTATTGAAGCTTTGTTGTTGGTAAGCGTCAGTGGCACATTGTTGCTGGAGTAAAGGTGGAGTCTTGTGTGCATTGGAAGCTTGTGTGCACAATATTCAGCTGTGTGCTGGAACAAGAGACTCAATGTGGTAAAAACAACATGAATTTGTTTGAGAAGATTGCGAAAATATTGAAGGAAACTCAGGTCAGAGTCTTCATAGGCAGTCTCAAAGTATATTTTCTGAAGATGACAAGAAATTAATGTGCTCTTGCTGGAACTGGTGGTGAGATCAGTGGTAAAAGAAACCAAGTAATTGAAGACGGTTTCAGGCTCTAATGCATACTATTAGTTCAACTAGTTCAACTAGGTACATCAAATTTGTATTTTTTATTAAATTATTAAGTTATAAATTAAGATTTATATAAGAAATTCCCTAATAGAACCAAATGCATTGCCCCTGTGGAAGATACATGATTATTAATTAAAAGAATTCTTGATGACTAAAAATCCTTTGTATTTGTCGTACAACCATGTTCGACTGGGTACAACTAGGTTCGACTAGTACAACTAAGACCATAAGTATACTGAGTACAACTAAAACCATAACTATAACCATATATGTATAAATATATGTACTTGTCGTATTCGTACAACAATGTTCAACTGGATATAATTAGGTTTTGACAAGGTACAACTAAGATCATAAATGTATCCGTATGTGTATTTAACAAATATGAAAAACGATAAATTAGAGTTAACAAGGATTCCGAAAACATGTGGAACAATAAAGAAACAATTTTAAATAAATAAAACTCGAATTTATCATTTTCTTAGTGTATACTATTGTTTTCATATAAAATACTCTTTATAGTACAAGGAACACTTTGTAGGTGATCACTTCTTTTGATGCAAAATAGGTGAAAATTATGATTTCGTACAAATTATATTATGAAAACCTCTTAAATGATAATTAATAATGTAACATCATGTGTCCAACTTAAAATTACTAATTTTTATTAAAGTCCAACTAGAAATACACAAAAATCGCTAAAGTCCAACTATGAATATGAGAGTACAACTGGACAACTAGGTACAACTATGTTTAAAACAAAACAATTTTTTATTAATATCATGTTGTCTTTGGCCCACTTTACCACGTGTGATGATTTTAAATTAATATCCCGCCGCCAAAAATCATGCTTACGTGGGTCATATTTAATTTTTATTTTTTTATTTCGTTTAAATTTATTTTATTATCAATTTTAATTAATTTTTAATTGTCTCAGTTGTACCTAAGTGATCTAGTTGTACTTTCTTATAAGTAACCCATACACGTAGTTGTACCTAAATAGACCAGTTGTACCTACAAAACCAATTGAACATAAATATAATCTAAATATTTTTTTGGTTTACAAAAATATGAAGTCATTTGTTCTTAATCCACAACACAACAAAATACAGAAATGAAATACAAAAACATAAGTCATGTGCAATCTTAATCCACAAGTACGTGCAGACTTGACTTGTGCGCTTTCTTTCCAGTTCTTGAAAAAAACATAAGTCAAGCTCTTCCTTCCAGTCAATGCCTTTTTGCATCTACCCAAATCAAGCAAAAAGTATTACACCTAGTTCTATCATCTAAACTCTCCTTGCCTTCTAGAAATCTCTTCAATCAATTTATGCATCCATTAACGAAGCAAAAGAGATGGCAACATATCAGTTTCCCATTCCACAACACAAACCTTGGCACAGTAGGATCTCTCAACACCAAAAGGAGCTATATAAGATTACAATGTTTTTGATCCCAGGAAATGTGGAAGAAATATGTCCAGCCTCTTCAAATGTGACATTTAAAACTAACTACTCATGTATTTTGTTAAGATCCAACTTAACAAAAGCTAGCTCAATACTAACTAATTTGGGATTGTAACAGCTTTTGGCATAAGTTGGTAAAACTCAAGACTGATGATACACTGACCTTAAGGCCACTTCTTGGCGAACACCGTATCTTACTTTCTTCTCGAAACATCTAGAATTCCTCTTCTTTCGAAACCTATCCAAGGATTGTGCCCGTTGCGGAAGGTTACAGCGGTTCTGGTATTCTACAACAGGCTAAAAATAACAACAAAATGACAAAGGTGGAATCGAGATGATTTAAGCAGAATTTGAACACAAATAACAAAGTTACCATATGATTCTGCTGAGCTAGTTCCATCACATGCGGACCAGGAGCAAGCTCAGTAGAACCACCCAACAACGACAACACATCATCCACCTACGAAATCGATTTCCAAAAATTTGGTAAGACTAGGTGAAGCAAAAAAGTGCCCAGAATTATGCATTCACTTGAAAAAAGAGGCAATCTTTACGTGCCCTAAGCCATCAGATGCATTCCATCGAGACTTCACAGAAACAGCAAAAAGTAGAATTACCTTGTCAGGACCAACAACATCAAAAACTTAAACTTGTCCACGGAACGAGATCGTGAGCTGATTAGCCCCTTCCGGTGGCCGAGAAACAAGTAATTCAGAGCCATCGGATCGGTGAGCAACCAATTGAGAGCCATCGGGAATCAAATCGGAGGCAGCACCATAAATGGAGTCAGGATGAGGGATTTCGTCCATATCGTCGTAAGGAATGTGACCAGACGTTGCGGAGGCAGAGACATGGTCTTCACCAGCGGAAACAGAGGCGGTACCAATCTGGTTATTGGGGATAATCACCGATTGAGAATGGCGACCAAACATCGGAAACTGCCAAAAAGGAGAGCTTTTTTCACATTGATTGAAGGATATGGAGAAGAAAAAAACCTAACCCTAAGAGCAAAGGAAGAAGAAGGAAATAGTTGACATCGAGAATGAAACCTTGGCACAGTAGGATCTCTCAAATAAAACCTAACCCTCTGATAACGGAGAATGAAATCGAAAAGGAGAGTGTGGTGATTCGTTGTAACTCTGAGAAGAAGACGCAGAGAAGCTTATTTGTGTGGGTTGTATAGGGATAAAGACGAAAAGTCTCGCCATTTTTATTTTTGTTGATTTTGGAAACAAACGATTGGCAAAGGCAAGTAACATGATCTGGAAGAAGAGGAGGAGCGGAGGAGACGAGAAGCAGCGGAGGAGACGAGAAGCAGCGGTGGTCGTGCGCAGAGAAGTATACATGGTTGTGGTTTTGAGGGAATAATTGGGAGAAGAGATTGATTGGGAGTGTTTGGTTGTAGAGATAGTAAATTTGAGGTAGGATTTGTAATTGTTGATCTTTTGAAAGGGTTTTTGGACATTTTCTTAGCTTTTGATTTAGAAAAAAATGTTAAATGAAATTAGAAATTAGAAGGTGGCATTCCAGCATTTTTTTCCTCAGATAGTGGCTTTCTAGCCATTGATTCTTCCTAAGTCCATCAGAGTCCTCTGTTTCTTTGGTTTAACAAATTGATCTGTGTTGTGGTCTATTGTAACGCATACGTGTTTTGTGCAGGTGGTCTTATCGTGAACGCTTGAGCTTGGAATAAGTGTGTGTATGTGTACATGTCTCTGTTTAGGAAGTTTTTACAAAGAGAGTATATCCAGTATTATAGTTGTGTGATGTAATAAGGTGAAATGTGTGTCTGTGTGTGTTTTTTTATACGGTGAATAATGTGAAAAAGAGAGAACAGAATAAAATGGTATGGTTGGTTTTTTGGTTGGTTTCGTTAAGGAAAAGATCTTCTTAGCATTACACAAAGTAAAACAAATCGAAACTGGTATATCTATAATCGGTAGAGATCACAAGAAGTTGAGTTTCTTTACATGGTACAGAAGTGATAAGTGTTTTGTCTCAGTCTGAGTCTTCCTCGAAGATAAACAAATAAGGAGTCACTCTTGTTCTTACATTATGTTCCTCCACTTCTTCTCTTTCTTCACTAGCTGCACCGATCTCTCTTCGGTTGTTCCAGCCTAATCGCTGCTTATAGATTGCATCATAAGCCTCCATGTTCAGTCCCACTGCTAGGAAGAGTTCGAGCTCATCCACAAACCGGTCTGTTCTCGCCATTACAAATGGACGTGCTGCTTCTGAGACAGCTGCTTTGAATTGTTCTTGATTTGTTGTCTCTGCACTTCTTGCTTCTTGTTTGCGTCTCTGTTTGATTCTGATATGAGAGAAAGTAGGTCCTTTTCAATTTTCATTCATGCCACTCAGAAATAGAGACTAATTTACTGGTTTCATGAGCAACATAAACACATATACATGTCATCCGCGAAACATCATTCTTCTACTTTGATCAGTTAAACTCTAGCCAGTCAAGATAATACAATCCATGAGTTTCAAGTTTTTCAGTTTTCTTTAAGCGCTTTACCTTTTGCAGAAGGAATCCATCACACCGACTAAATGATGCATAACAATATCAACATCTTCCTCCTACAGAAAAGGGAAGAACAAAAAATGATCTTTGCGAACAACTAGACAAGAAGATAACAACACAAAGGAAGAAATATCCTCCACAAAAGGGATTTGTACAAAAGCAAACCTGCATTAGAGCTTGAAGCTCCCTCCTCAACCAGGCTTCAAGGCACCGGTTTGGCTGGAGAAACTTTTGCAGCTTCCAAAACCGTGCAACATCAAATACATCAGCCAAGAAACCTAGTTAAGACCACATAGAGACAGAGAAAGGACTTCTTATAAAACTTCCATTCTTGATCGATTAAACACATTTGGTTCTACTGATAAGTTATCTATCAGTATTGGATATTATGCGCAAGCGTGTTTTGATCATTAGTTTCTCGGTAATATAACATGGATGAAAGCTCCTTTATATTCATAAGTTCCATCATAAAAAGGAACGACGCTACAGGAGAATGAATATGTACAAACAAATGAACCATTCAGAAAATGCAGAGAAGGGAAAAACCTGATTCGGTGTAGTAACACTGCAACCTGTATCTCTGTTCTTTTGTTAATACAAAACTGAAAAAAAGAAGATGAAATTAAAGCTAGACATCAAAATATTCTCAGAACTCAAGGAAATCACAAGATAACCTACCCATCTGGAATATTCCGGTTGATATAATGCCGCTCAAAAGAACACCCATCGTAGTTGTGGATGATGGAGAAATTCTCTGTCTGCATATTGTTATGGTCAAACAAGTTCTTCAACGTGTTGTGAGCAGAAAATAATATTTTGCCAAGAAGTAGACCTTACAGAGAGGACATTTCACTGAGGAAAGTTGCTTCGAGGCCTTGCTTGAAACAACTTTGATCCATTGTTTGATACAACTGAAACAAAACTTGTCTGCAACACAACAGAAAAGCAAAACAAAAGACATGCTCTAAATCAGTTTATGGTCAACTTGTACGAATGTATCACCTTAACCATAAAAAAAGATTGAATCTTTGAATACATCCTCAAAAAAAGACTTCAAATTCTAGATGAAATCAAGGAATCATCTATAACTTTGGCGCAGCATCTAATCACAAGTTTTAACCAAAGAAATTGAAAGAGAGAAGAAGCGTACGGAAACAGGTATCAAGGTAGGAATCATGGAGGAATGGTCCAAGGCAAATAGGACATGGATCAAAATTGGATCCGTCGTCAATAGAACCGCTCCCGCCGGCGATCTCCTTCGCCGCCATACCAACTCAGGTTCTCTCCCAGTTTCCGCTTTTTTAGTGTTGCGACGTCGTTTTAACCAACACACCCATTATATCTTTCTTTTGCTGAAAATTGCTAAATAATCCTTAATAACTCTTTCAACATTCAAAATAAACCCAAACTAATTTAAAATGACGAATTTTACACAAATCTCTTTGATGAGTTTGTTTGTTTTGCTTCCAGAATGAATTTCATGATAATAATCCTATACTAATATTTGGGAAGTACATCCTAAGGATCATAACGTTGATTTTGTAAGAAATTACAATATATGCCATTAGAGAATTCTAATTATAACCATTTTATTCCATGTCATAATATATATTAACGGGTCAAACGGGTTTAAAGATATTAAAAGATTTTGTTTATATAATTCATATAATTCGGAAAAATATTTCTTCAAACGACTACACAATTAATATAATTCGAAAATGTTATATACTAATCAATTCGAAAATGTTACACAATTAGTATAAATGTTATATACTAATCTATTATTCGAAAATGTTATTGAAAATGTTATATCTACATATACATTTTTGCAGGAGATTTTGGTTTTTAATTCAAATGGTCGGGTTTTGACCCGAATTTATTCTATTCGGATCGTGGATAAGACATTTAAGGAAATTTTTTTAAAAAACGTCATTAATATAGCTAATTACATATATATTCAGTTTAAGCAGATTTCCAAAAATCTCTCCCAAATCAAAGATATTACGCTAAAAAACTGTTGCCAAAAATCTCTCGCTTTCCTTCTAAAATCTCTACTATTGGCTGTCATCCCAACTAATTACTCATAATTATTTTTCCTAGATTTTTTCCTTTTCGAGATTTGCAAGAAAATTACTCAATTCCGAAAATAAAAGATTTTGAAGATATTGTGTACTTGATTAGCAAGATTTTAGGTACTCACTCCTCCAAAACCCTAAAGTATTTTCAAAACATTATAAATACCTTCCACTAGCGTAATCTAAACTCACCAGTTTAACAGAAAATGAGAGAAATCACGGACGTGATGCAATCAGTACGGACTCCGGAAAGAGCGAGGAGACAGTGGTGAACGAGGAGGAGATCGTAATTCTCTAGGTTTCGAACCACCGAGAGAATTTTCAACTAGGAAAACAACACGATCGACGATCCAAAGCTCCACCGCCTGAAACCCAACATCGAATTGATCACACAGAATAGCTTCAGATTTTGGATATGTTTTCCGGCGGTAGCTTCAAAATACGCGCCGGGAATTCCTTGATACGCGACACGGAGAGTAGATCCATGCGACGGCGCCGGAGATAGATTTGTAATCGTTAAAGGCTGAATCAATCGAGGATTCGCGTTTTGCTGCAGCTTTGAAGGAACAAGGCTCAGATCGACGGAGCCGTTACTGTGACCGTTAACGACGGCGACTTGGTCGGCTATACCACTGATGATTGAGTTTGAATTCTCAGCCGAAACTACTTATGATATCGGTCTCTGATTTGTTTTAGAGAGAACTTTCCGTTTCTAAATTTTTCATTTTGGTCAAATGAGAGAGTTGAATAAAAACAAATTTGGCTTTGTGGGTCTTTACAAAATTGGTAGAGTTTTGATTCTTTGTTATTGGGTTCTAATACTGTACGTGTTTATTTTCTCATGAAGTATGTGAACTAATGAAAGTTGATTAATAAAATTTTCTTTTTTTCCACGGCACTTCTTAACATATTATTTTTAATATTTGTGATTATATAACAATAATAGGATAGTGTTAATTACATGGATCATTAAGGATAGATTAGTGATAAAAAAGTAGAAAAAAAAAATAACCCATGTCTTTTTCTGAATTTGCTAGAAATAATTAATGTTCTCAAATAAATTCAAATATGAAATCTTCACAAATACATTAAATACATAAAATTTGAAATTATGGAGCAATCTTTATTATTAAATTCAAAATTTCTAATTCAAATTATTATTGATATATTTAAATTTTGTGGCTTTTGTTTGCCCATTTAGCAATGGTTTTGAGTTTTTATAATATAAGAAACAAAATAGTTTTAAATCTTACGGGATAAATTATATGGCACGGATTTAGTTAGGATTAATATTAATATAAATTTAAAATATCATTAATACATTGCTATAACACGGGTGGAATCCTCATTTTATTATTTAAAATTCAGCATGTGATATACCGCTGGTAAAATCGGTATAAAACAGGTTAAATCATCATCTTATTCAAAATCATTCAATTCAATCTGTTTTTTTATACTACATCTATTTATATATACATTTTGGCATGGAAATTTGGCAAACAAATGCTGGCGGGTCAGGTATCTTTTTTTACAAAATTGACCCAAAATATTGGCGATCGGATCTTTGGTATTTCATACCATTAAACAAAAATTAAAAATGACATTAATTATTTAATTACCACCTAAATCGTAAACATATATATGATATCTCTAAACTAACCATATTTGTTTTTTTTATCTTAACTAATCTCTAAACGATTTCTATCCTTAACTCTCTTAAATCTTATCTTTCCTTAACTACATTCGATTAATTGCTAATTTCCTAAAATCTCTCTACTTAATTTAAACATAAATATATGATTCTTCTTTTACTTTGATTTGATCTTATATTTAATTTATTTTGAATTTTTATAAAATACATATAGTTAATAAAATATTAGATTTTTATCGGCATATGATGTGATCAAATTTTTAAAAAAGACATATATTACTCAATAGATGAAGCAAAAAAAAAGTCTACAATGTCCCACATTTCTTAAAAAAAGATCAATGGTTCAGAGTCCTATTATAAAAAGAACACAAATGGTTCTAAAAACTAGCAGAAACCTTGATTTATCAAATGTCCAAAATTAAAAGTGTTATCCGGTTTACTCCGGTTATTTATTTTAAAGATATAACAATCAAAATACAATTATGAAGTTTGGGTCCATATTAAAACTTTTATGAAGTTGCAAATATTATAAATATTTGAACTTTATAAGAAGATGACAAAATGATGTTTAATTTCACGGGACGGGGTTATATGGTGGACGAGTTTGGGTTATTATTAATACGTGATTATATACTATGACTGAAATCATAAAATTAACAATCAAAATATAAAATCTTTAACCCTAAACAAAACAAACAATATTAACAAAACAAATACAACTTAAAATTTCAAATTTTTAATTATAAAATATCGTCCCGCGGTGTACCATACATTTAAATCAAACAAAACTATAGCATATATCTATAGATCATCTTAAAAAAAAATTCAATTATTTTTTCTAATAAAAATATAGGCCCGCGGTATTCCGCGGGTTAATATTTTGTATGAGAGAATATAGATGAAGAAGCACTACAAACCAATTCTCTCTCAGCTAGAGAATTGCAGATCAATGGTGGAGCTGAATCAACTCCATGGCCTGATGATCAAATCTTCAGTTATCAGAAACGTCATTCCTCTAAGCCGACTAATAGATTTCTGCACTACTTGTCCTGAGACTATGAATCTCAGCTACGCGAGATCAGTTTTCGAAAGTATCGATTGTCCAAGCGTGTATATATGGAACTCTATGATCAGAGGCTACTCAAATAGTCCAAACCCAGACAAAGCATTGATCTTTTACCAAGAAATGCTGCGAAAAGGTTATTCTCCGGATTATTTCACTTTTCCTTATGTGCTCAAGGCTTGTTCTGGGTTAAGGGATATTCAATTTGGGAGTTGTGTTCATGGGTTTGTTGTGAAAACTGGGTTTGAATTGAATATGTATGTTTCTACTTGCTTGCTTCACATGTATATGTGTTGTGCAGAAGTGAATTGGGGTTTGAGGGTTTTTGAGGATATCCCAAAGTGGAACGTTGTTGCTTGGGGAAGTTTGATCTCTGGGTTTGTGAATAACAATCGGTTTAGTGATGCTATTGAAGCGTTTAGGGAGATGCAGAGTATTGGTGTGAAGCCAAATGAGACAATAATGGTGGATCTTCTGGTTGCTTGTGGTAGATGTAAGGACATTGCAGCTGGGAAATGGTTTCATTGGTTTCTTCAAGAAGTAGGCTTTGATCCATATTGTCAATCAAAATTTGAATTTAATGTGATCTTGGCTACAAGTCTCATTGATATGTATGCAAAATGTGGAGACATGAGAACTGCAAGGTATCTGTTCGATGGAATGCCTGAGAGAAACTTGGTTTCTTGGAACTCTATCATCACAGGGTATAGTCAGAACGGTGATGCAGAGGAAGCAATGTGTACGTTTTCGGACATGCTTGATTTGGGTATAGCTCCTGATAAAGTAACTTTTTTGAGTGTGATTAGAGCTTCGATGATTCAAGGATGTTCACAGTTGGGGCAAACGATTCACGCTTATGTATCGAAAACCGGCTTTGTGAAGGATGCTGCCATAGTTTGTGCACTTGTAAATATGTATGCTAAAACCGGTGATGCTGAGAGCGCAAAGAAAATGTTTGAAGATCTGGAGAAGAAGGATACAATAGCTTGGACCGTTGTGATCATCGGGTTAGCCAGTCACGGCCACGGGAATGAAGCATTGAGTATATTCCAGAGAATGCAAGAGGAAGGTAATGCTACACCAGATGGAATCACATATCTCGGGGTCTTATATGCATGCAGCCACATCGGTTTGGTCGAGGAAGGACAAAGATACTTTGCAGAAATGAGAGACCTTTACGGCTTAGAGCCAACGGTTGAACACTATGGATGTATGGTTGATATCTTGAGCCGTGCTGGTCGTTTTGAAGAGGCAGAGAGATTGGTAAAGACTATGCCGGTACAACCCAATGCTAATATATGGGGTGCATTGTTAAATGGTTGTGAGATACATGAAAATCTCGATCTTGCTGATCGGATAAGATCCATGGTTGCTGAATCAGAAGAACTCGGTAGCGGAATCTATATTCTTCTATCTAATATCTACGCCAGAGCTGGCCGATGGGCCGATGTTAAGCTAATTAGAGAATCCATGAAGAGCAAAAGGGTAGATAAACTTTTAGGTCGTAGTTCTGTTGAAACAATGTTCTAATTCAGGGTCCTACTTGACCTCGTTATAAACCTTATTTTAAATTGTGAGGTTGTGATTTTCACCTCATTAACAACTAATTAAGATCACTTAAAAGAATAGTTTTGTTTGATTTTCTAATAGAACAATAGTACTTTTGAATTTGTTTTTCTTTGGAATAAAAGAAAGTCTAAAACTGAAATACAAAAAGTCTTGGACTAAGTTATCAAAACTAAAACAAGAACTCGAGCATCATCAAGAAACACAGCCTGAGCCTAACCTTATGAAAGGTTTTGAGCTGAAGCAGGTAAGCTTCTCCTCTCTTCTGAATGCAACATTACATAATACTGATCCATGGGCATATACAGTTTTAGAACCTCTTAGGGACTTGCAAGTACATTTCATTTTGTTTTAAAAACTCCTTCATGACAATGTGGCAATGACAGGAGAAGGAATTAGCAGTGGCTGCCGCAAAATTTGCAGAGTGCCAGAGAACTATTGCGTCGCTGGGGCAGCGATTACAGTCACTGGCTACACTTGAAGATTTCTTGATTGAATCTTGAGGAGGAGCTTGATCTTTCCCCATGAATGCTGAGAAGAATCGATAGACTCTAAGATCTGGATGATGATGAGCAGTTGAATCTCTGCGTTGGAAATCTCATTCATGAACATAAGTGTAGAGGACACATGAACAAAAAGGAGTCTCTATATACATGAGAAAGTAAGGCTAAGCCAAAACAGGATTGAGATTATTTGTCAATAGAAACAATGGAAAGAACAAGACAATATTTCTTCTTTCAATTATATAAATTATATCCATTCAGATTCTATTGTTAAGGTCAAATCAAATATATAAGGGAGATTAATTTCCCATCATCATCATCACTATCTGTTACTTGTAAGCCCTTGCCTCTTCGTGCACATTATAAGCATCAGAAATCTCACCTTAAATTCATCATATCCTCAATTTCTTTAATGTTTTTGGCTATTAGCGAAAAACATAAACAATATGGATGGTTAAAAGAATGCTCTGTTATGTTCCGTTTTGTCCCATAAGTTATCAAAGATAAATTGTTATGCAATAAGGACAATAAGGTAATTGTTTATTACCGTTGTGATCAATTTCCTTTTTCTGCAGTCCAATTAATTAAAAGGAAACAATCTAAATCGTCTGAGAAAAGGAAACAAACTCAAACCCTTTCCTTATAAATACTCGTCTTTCTGAGAAATCAAAATCATTCATTCTTCTTCCAAAGTAAAATCATTCATTCTCTTTGTAATCGTTCTTCTTTTCTTTTTGATACGTGTGGAGCAAACTTTGCCAATGTTTGATCGCCAATCTCGTGAAGCCGATGATCCATGTAGAGCCACTCTCTGCAACCAATTAATCTGCCTTGTTCCTTGAGAAAAAGATCGATCGTCACGTTTCTTAGATTGATCGCCATTCTCTGTTATATGCATTCGATATCCCGTGACTACTTCTACAGTCAAACCCTAATTCCATATGGATCATTCACCACCGCAACACTTTCACCGGCTGCTAATGATGCGAGGAAGAAAGCGGGAAAAGAGGGACAGTGAAAGCGAAGAGCATGTAGCAGCTTTGGATTTTCGATGGCTGGACTGTTGAAGTTGAGTTCCTTGATTGAACCTGCACAAAGAAAAGTGAAATCGATGAGAAGAAGAAGAAGAAGAAGCAAAGGCTCGTGATTGAAGAAGAGGAAGAGAGAACGCAGAGAAGAAGGAAGGAAGTTGGGCTTCATGGTGTTTTGGTCTTAAGAAAACTATTGGGCTACGTTTTTGTTAAGGCCCAAGAAAAACGATGAATCTGACTCACCAAATCCAGGTATGTTGCTTTCTCAATTATCTATATTTTTAAGGGGGATTAGCAAAAATACTCTTTTTCTCATGTCCTTTTTCAAAAATACCCCTTTTAGATATTCATTTTCAAAAATGCCCCTTTTTAAATCTGAAATTTTTATAAAGTTTTATTAGGTTTATAAGGTACTTATGGATTGTAACTACTACTTGAAGACTCGATCCAAGTATTTATAAGGTTTTATAAGGTGTTTTTAAAGGTTTTACAAGTTATTTTAAAGGATTTTTAAGGTTTTTCAAAGGTTTTACAAGATATTTTAAAGGTTTTTAAAAGTATTTAAAATGCATTTATAAGGTATTTATAAAGTATTTATAAGATTTTAGATACATAGAAATGTAGTTTGTGTATGTTTTAATAATATTACATACATATTTGGGTAAATCTTATATTTTTAAGAGCATTTTTTATAAGGTTTTAAAAAAAGGGTATTTTTGAAAAGTGGCATTGAAAAAGTGGCATTATTAACAATTTCCCTATTTTTAAGTATAAAAAGTATTTTTTAAAAGAAAGTTTAAATTTAAGTGTTAATTTTTAATTCCGTTAAAAACCAACCGAACTTAGCATCCGGTTAGAATCTCTTTAGATCGGTTAGAGGTGTTAAGTCCGATTTGTTTACACGTAATTAAATTTTAACATTTATTTTTAGATTTTCTATTTATTTAAAAACGTTTTCAACTTTAATTTCCGGTTTTATAACTAAATTTTATTATTTTTAAACAAAATTTTAAGGGTTTTTATTATTATTTAAACTATTATTTTAAATAAATATTTTTGAGCTTATATAAATTCTTAAGTATAAAAAGTAAAAGTATTTTTTGAAAAAAAAAGTTTAAATTTAAGTGTTAATTTTCGATTACGTTGCAAAACCAATCGAACTTAGCATCCAGTTAGAATCTCTTTAGAACGGTTAGAGGTGTTAAGTTTTTTTCGTTTACACGTAATTAAATTTTAACATTTATTTTTAGATTTTTTTTAATTAAAAACGTTTTCAACTTTAATTTCCGGTTTTATAACTAAATTTTAATATTTTTTAAAAATAAATTTTTTGTTTAAAACAAAATTTTAAGGGTTTTTATTATTATTTAAACTAGTATTTTAAATAAATATTTTTGAGCTTATATAAATTTTTAAGTATGAAATGTATTTTGTAAAAAAAAATGTTTAAATTTAAGTGTTAATTTTCGATTATGTTGCAAAACCAATCGAACTTAGCATCCGGTTAGAATCTCTTTAGATCGGTTAGAGGTGTTAAGTTCAATTTGTTTACACGTAATTAAATTTTAACATTTACTTTTAGATTTTCTTTTTAACTAAAAATGTTATCAACTTTGATATTAGGTTTTATAACTATGTTTTAAGATGTTTCTGAAATAATGTTTTTCTTTTTTTTTCGGATTTAAAAGAAGTGTTTTTTTTTTCAACAACTAGTAGTTTAAATAAACAAAGATACTTTGCAGAAATGAGAGATCTTTACGGCTTAGAACCTACAGTTGAAGACTATATGTATGTATGGTTGATATCTTGAGCCGTGCTGGTCGTTTTGAAGAGGCAGAGAGATTGGTGAAGACTATGCCGGTACAACCCAATGCTAATAATAATATATGGGGTGCATTGTTAAATGGTTGTCAGAAACATGAAAATCTCGATCTTGCTGATCGGATAAGATCCACGGTTTCTGAATCTGAAGAACTCGGTAGTAGAATCTATGTTCTTGATGGGCGGATGTTAGACTAGTTAGAGAATCCATGAAGAGCAAAAGGGTAGATAAACTTTTAAGCCATAGTTCTGTTGAAACAATGTTCTAATTCAGGGTCCTGCTTGACCTCATTATAAACTTTGTTATGAATTGGGAGGTTGTGATTTTCACCTCATTAACAGTTCTAAGAGAACAATAATACTTTTGAATTAGTTTTTCTGTCGAATAAAAAGAAAAGTCTGAAACTTTTCAGAAAACTGAAATACAAAAAGTCTTGGACTATGTTTGATGTTTTATTCAATCTTCATCATCTGTATGCATCTGGTAAACTGTAACCAGGCATGACTATCTTGTCAGCAAACATCTTCCCGGTCTTGGGCATGACATGCCAGTGTAATGTCAAGTTGAAGTCTTTTCCCCGAAGATTCTGTCCCTGAAAAGTCCCAAATGATGATCAGTTCCCGTTTCTAAAGATGTAAAAACGAATAAGACTTGGTGGGCTTCTTTACTGTACCTGATCGATGAAACGATACTTGTTTGAGACTTGAATCCGGAATTTGGCATGTTCCTTGTCAGGGATAATCGCATCCCATAAAGAAACCTGCAAACGAATGTCAACATTCATTGGTTATTAACTGAAAGAGTTCCAATCTTATGCCAATCCTGAGAAGAAGCCATTGCATTCAGCTGTCATACCTGATTCAGGGAATTCTTCGGGGTTTCATATTCCGCTGCTACGAAAACAAAAACCTGCAAACATTTTCGGTTTATGTCAGCATTTTAATCAAAGATTATCCACCAGGAGCAGTTCATTTTCAAGAGGCTTCAGGTAATAGCAAAAGACAAGAAGGACTGGTAAGTATTTTAAGATGTTAAACCTGTTTGGTGTTCCAAGTAAATAGTGACTGCAAGTCTGCTGATATATCCAATGTCAAGCTGACCTGCATGACATGTAAAAAACGATCAGCAATTTGAATATAAGCAACATCAAGCAATCGATAGAGGGAACTCGGTAAAGAAGAGAAAGCTACAGATAAACTTAAGGTTATTCAGTGACCACAAATCAACAATCTGAGAGTAGTCTTATAAACTAGTATCACCGGTGTCTTATGTTAATCAAATTCGAAAGCTTTGAGATGAATTACTATACTTGGGGAAGAAAGCAAGCAACTTTCGCAGTTCATAAACGTATATAATAAAGAAAAACCTTAGGTCAAGGTCGAAACAATGAAAATATTACCTCATCATTGCCATGAGATTGCTTCTTAAACCGATTAATATTAAGTATCTGCAATCACAACACAACCAAATTAAAACCCAGGCTTTTCCATGATTCCAAAATCTACAGAAACAACTTAAGACATATTTACATTATAATTCCCAAAATCAAAACAAACGAAGATCGATTCGCTAGACACAGAAACAACTTGATCCGTCACAAATCAATCCATTCATACGCAGATCCACAACATAAGAAACCAAACGTAACCAATTGCACATACCTGGATCTCAGCAGAGGGATTTTGGTTGCTGAATTTGTCCGAGAAAGAAGCGATTGCGCAAATGAACGCAAGAGCCGTGACTGCGAATGTGAGCAGAGCATTTGCTCTGTAACCAAAAGTATGCATCTTTAAGCCCCTTTCCCTTTAAGATTACTTCTTATGGCTTTTCGATCACCGGAATCTTATCGCGATCCCGTCTTCGTTACAAAATTTGTCTGTGTGCGGAGGAAGAAGTAGAAGGTGAAGAAGACGAAGACGAGCGTTTTTAATTTTTTGAAGTATCCATTAATTTCTCTCTTTAGTGATAGTCTCTGTAATGTGATTGGTCAAGACACGTATGATCCCCCACCGGGGGTACTATCTAAACCGGTATTCCGGTTTAAGAATAAAATCATTTGAGATATTGGTATGTATAATATTAATATGGTTGGCTGATTAAACCGGGATTTGTCTATTACAAGGCAAAGGCCTGACACTCTTTCAGGCCCAATAGATTATACCAAAATATTAATTGTGCTACTCTAAAAAAGCCCATCGGCAAAGGAATGGTAAAATGAAAACATTGTCTCCAGTGTAGTGTATTGGCCAAAATATGAATTCTAGTTTTGAAAAAGGACACAACAGTTTTTAGTGAATCAACTGGAGTGATTTCTCGAATCATACACTAATTTGACCTTTTGAAAATTACTGGGTCGAAGAACAGACGAACACAATTGATAGTTCTCAAAGTTTTATCCACACTTTTTTGGATTTTTTTCTTTCGAAACATCATAATCAACACATGGGTCTCCAGGTTGGTACTTTATGGGTCAAATTTAATATGGTGTGATCACACAATAGTAGTGGCACACTATACAAGTTGATTATCATAAATGATAATGCTGTTATACCTACTATATAGGCGGCTGCGAAATCCTTTTCACACTAAAAAAAACACTACATATCTTACTTTGTATGCAACCAATAACCATCCTTTTTCCGAAATCGAGATATTATAAACATCATTCCACTAACAAAATTAAAGCATATTTGTTTCCAATCCTCGAAAGAAAAAAAGATAAGAACATCCCCAAAAAATAAAACATAAGACTAAGACAAACATTCATGTCCATATTCTAATTTAACATTACAAAAGATGATCACATAATACTACAACTACCTGGATTCTCATCGCTGAACATATGAGTATAAGAATCCGAGTGAGGAGGCGGCATCGGTGGCGGGTGAGCATAATTCACCGCAGGATAAGGTCGAGCGTACATCATCGGATGGTACATGTCGCCACCGTGACCACCACCATAGCCTCCATGAGCTGCAGCTTGTTGTTGTTGTTGCTGTTGGTTCATCATCATTTGCATATATTGTTGTTGGTTCATTTGATGACTTGCCTGAGGTGGCCCTGGATAATATCCTCCTCCTCCACTCATCGGCAAGCCTTGAACCGCTTGGTAAGAGCCGCCTTGGCCACCCATTGGACCCATAGGACCGCCTGGACCCATCATACCCATCGGACCACTTGGACCCATCATACCCATCGGACCACCTTGACCCATCGGACCACCTTGACCCATTGGACCGCCTGGACCCATTGGGCCACCAATACCTTTTGCGCTATGATTATGATTGCCCTTGTTACCTCCTCCTCCTCCTTTACTGTGTTTCATGAGCTCATCAATATCAAAACCTCCATGGGCTCCTCCTTTGGACCCACCTCCTCCTTTTTTAGGCCCACTATCATAATGCTGAACTCCTCCTCCCCCACCAGGAGATTTTACCTTATTACCCCCATGACCTTCTTTCTTCCCAGAGCCCTTCTTCTCATCTCCTTTTCCAGTTTTACCCTTTTTGAAAAACCCTAGAAGGCCACCACCACTTTTGGCATCTGTTTTTCCGGTTTTGCCCCCACCTCCTTTATTCTCCTTCCCTTCTTTCTTACCCTTCTCTCCTCCTCCTTTACCTCCTTTTTTACCATCCTTTCCATTTTTACCCTCACCCATTCCCTTCATCTGCACCGGAATCTCAAACCCACCGCCGCCGCCTTTCTTTCCTCCACCTCCTCCTCCACCAGCACCGCCTTTGAACCCATTCATCATCATCATTATCTCATTGGGGCCCTTAGGTCCACCACCACCACCATGATGACCACCCATCTGAGGCATCTTGTTAGGCATCATCATCATCTTATTAGGAGGCATGTGATTACCTCCACCTCCTCCATGACCATGTCCCATCTCATCATCGTCATCTTCATCATCATCGAACTCATCATCATCATAATCATCTTCACTGAAATCCTCATCATCATAATCATCTTCACTAAACTCACCATCATCTTCATCCGCAAACTTAACAGACTTCTTCTGATCCTTAGCTGCCACAGGCGGCATCTTCATCTGACCACCACCGCCACCACCATGAGCAGCAGCAGCAGCCTTCATCATCATCATATGTTGAATCTGTTGAGGATTCAATTGCATTGGTTGACCATGTCCATGATTCTGACCTCCTCCTCCTCCTCCACCACCACCAGCTTTACCCTTAACTTGGTTACTCTCCTTTCCACCTTTAGGCTTATTGTTTCCACCCATGTTGAGATTTGCAAATTGCCCATTCATATTAGGAAAACCCTTTCCACCGCCGCCTCCTCCACCACCGCCCAAGATCTCGGCATGTTTGCCTGATTTGCTGAGTTTCTTAACGAGAAGAGCTGGGTCAACGTTCCCTGTAACAGTGACTCTCCCCTGTTCTACATCTGCTTTGACAGAGTAAACGCCTGAAATCAAGGAAAATAAGATAGTAAAAAACCCATGTCAGAGTCTTCCCAAGAAAGTAACATAATTTGAGTAATTTTCGGTGAATGGACAGCTCATGTGTTAAAATTCAAGACTTTGGACTCCATGGTTAAAATTAGGAACTTTTATGTCAGATTATTCCAAACAGATTAAAAAATTCTTGATGTAGTTTTGGGAAATTGACATAAATGGAGGACACACAGATAGTAAATCTAAAAACTTTGAACTCCATAGTTTTGGAAAACTAGTAAAACCTTTTTGATGTAAGAGATGAAAGTATCACAAAACAGGGGAAACACACAACACAGTTCATAAAATTCAGAACTTCCTATATATTTGAGCTGATAATGTTTTTTAAAAAATCAGTATTCACAGATCCATGGCTTCTGATGAAACCCCACTTCATAAACCTTAGACGTTTGTGTTTATGTTTTAAAACTAGTTTCACAAAATCAGCAATTTGAAAGGACCAATAGAAAGCAAGAAGAGACCTTCGATTTTCTGCAATTGTTTCTTCACTTTATGCTTACACCCTTCACAGTGTACGTTCACTTTCAGAACACAAGTCTGCAAAAATAAAAACAAATCCGACCAAACAATTAGCTCAATTATAAATAAACACACACACAAGCTTGAAGAAAGAGAGGAAGAAGAGAAGGAGACGTATACCTGAAGTTTCATAACATCTTGTTTATTCATAACTTCTCTTGGATTTGTGTGTTTTCACAGACAGAACTCTGGGCTCTATAGTAAGAGAAAGAAATAGTTTCTCTATCTAAAACTCTTTTGTTCTTCTTTCTTCTCCTTTATGAGTTTCTTTCTTTCTTCTGAAGAGAAGAGAAGAAATGGTGAGAGAGATTATAAGAGAGTTTTGTGTAATAAAGACGGTTGTTGTTGTTTAAGAAGGACAGAGAGAGAAAAGAAGAGACTTTAAAAAAAAAAAGAACACTCAAAACTTGTGTTTTGTTTTATCTCTGTTTCAGGGTTTCTTATTTCTATGTCCGTAAAAAACCTAAGAGAGAGAGGGCGGTGGCACAGCTTGCAAGGAAATCTTCCAACTTTGATTTTCCAAAATATCTTTTTTAAATTGACACTTTTTTTTATTAATTCTTTTCTTTTTTCTTGTTTTTAAATGTTTTAAAATTTTCGTACTTTTTTCTTTTTCTGAAACAGAGTTCATGGAAAGAAGAAGCTTAAAGGCAGCTTCTTTCAGTACAGCCTCAGCTTCGTCTTTGTACTTAGCTGTGTTATGTATTCATCTTCCGGATTAATTCGAATATTTAAAGTTCCTTAACTACAATTACTTAGCTGTTTTTGTGTTTTTCCTAATTATATTTGCTTTGTTGTTCCTAATTTCGTATATCTTATGTGTGGTTTAGATGTAAATCAACTTTAATATGCTCAATAATTTATGTTTGTTAAATACTATTTTTTCCTCAAAATGTCTATATCCATGTATTAATAGACAGACGTGTTAAGTAAATTCTTCAGATCTTTTGACTTACGCTATCAATTTTAAGACATTGAATTTTCTCTAATAAGTAATATTGGTCATAGCATATATCATTTCCTTGCATACTTAATTACTATAATAATTTATGTGACACTGATAGTATTATGAAAATTTCAAGATTTTAATTATGATTTGTGATCAATCATTTTAGTGATCGTTGACGAGAGGGTTTAGGATCCAATCGCAAGCAAGAAAGCGTCTTTGTCACCAAAATGGACTTTGTTTAACAACATCACTTACGCAAACTATGCAAGGTATTGAGTTTAAACATTAATTAAAGACTCCTATAATGCTAAATTATGCGATCTAGATCTTACGTATAAGACTTAACATACACCATCAATATACTAAAAAGTCTCTCATAAACTGTTAGATTGTCAACATAATGTGGTTAGCTCAATTAATTAAAAATTATATAATTCGATTAAATTTACTAGTAGTATCAAACCAAATCTTTTGAAAACCCGATTCGAAAACTGAATAACAACAAACATAATTGTATTTGAATGAAAGTCCGATAACTCAGAACATATAAAACCAAATTCAGTTTTTGGTTTATATGTTTCACAACCTGAGAACTCTGAAAACTAAAACCAAAAACTGAATTTTAACAACTTTTATCATTGGGGAGGCATGATAATTTATAAGGAAATAAAAAAGAAAATATACATATTATTTAGTTTTAATCGAAATACTATATAAGAAGAAAAGGGGACAATAATGTTAATGGGGTTTTAATGGGTCATAAGACAGGTAGGTCGCTTCCACTCTTTGCTGTGGATAGAGAGTTATCTTGGGCCAGCTTTCAACCACCAATTAGTTCCGATATATATCAATTATTAATAAACTATTTAAATCTATAGTTGAAATATTTTGTGGGTTTTATGTTAGAGATAAAATCGATTTACTTGCTAGTGCATGTGACGCATGTGCACCACTTCAGTGAGATAATAGTAAGCGATTATTTTCTTCCATAAGAAAATAAATACTATTAATAGACTAATGATATTATGCTTGTTATTTTAATTCTCATCGTGCAGCTTTAAATTTTGTACGACTTTGACTGAGTTTAGTTACTAAGATTAAAATAACCCCCACACAAGTGAGTAAGCGCTAGATAGAATACACGTGTAGGACCAGTGGTAAGATTATATGAAAAGTGACAAATCTGGAAAACAACTAAAATCAAACTGATTTAAGTAAAAAAGAAAACTATTCATAGTTCGAATCTCACATACGCTCCTTGTCTCATCGTTTCGGCCATAAGCTTTCTTTTGGTTCGTTCCCCTCCTAAGCAGAGGCTTCGTTTTGATTGAAGTTGTGTTAGTCTCCATTGTTTGCAGCTGGTTTTTCTTCTTGGTGTTGCTCGCTGTGGTTGATAACTGTCTCGCTCCATCGTCTTGCTTGTTCAAGTTCGGTGTTATTTGAGAGGTTAGGCTTCTCTCCTTGTCCTTGCTTTGCAAATCTGTTATGATTTGATCGCGTTTTGAAGGCTTCTATCTAGACGTTAATGGACGTATCAGTCGTCGTCGTCGCATCCGGAAGTGTATTTGAGTTTCCTCAGTAGTCGTGCTTGCCGGATTATGAAGTCCTTGGTTCTGTTTTCGAGAGCTTGGCTCTCATCTTGATAGGAGAGGGTAGATGTTATCTCCGGGTTGGCCGAGGGCATCCTTGATAAATCTCATCCATAGGTCCTTCACAAGAAGAGGTCTTGTTGCTGCTTGAGACTAGTGTATAATTTGGAAGGTTCTTGCCTTGTTGTTTCTGCTTTTAGTTGAAGGTTTCGTCCACTTTCGGTTTAGGTTACAATAATTCAGCTTTGTGTTTTCAGTATTTTTAGTTTCCTTTTCATAAGGTTTAGATTCCGGGGATTTCTCGTTATCCTCCGGCTATGACTCTGGGGACATTCATGTCGTCCGTCGGCTTTGTTTCCCTCTTTTGGGCGTTTGTATTCCATCGTTGGTTCATAACAAGTTAATCAATAAAAATTTTAGATGACAAAAAAAAAAAAAGTTCGAATCTCACATACTCTACGGACCTAGAATTACAAATTACACAGACTAATCGAACCGTGTACATGGTCGGTCCATGCAACCTTTGAAGTCAAAAAATTTCTCCGACCTAAAAAGTCAAATTAAAACACGAAAGCTATATATATATATAAGAGAAAAAGATGGGATAAAAAATAGAATTGTTTGAAAGGGTTTTTGAGCAATCATTTTCGGAGGTATTTTAGACTTCTTTTTCTAGATAAAAATTATTAACTTTCTCTGTTGTTTTTTCGTCTTGTATCAAGAAAACCAACCTCGTGACGAACATTGCTGTCAGTTTAATTTCTTTTGTCACATATCAGTTTGGTCATTTTATTCAATTATTTTATTCTTATTGTTTCAATTCATTGCTGTTTATAATCCGTTAAGCAAAATTGTAACGTTGGTTCTTTTTACCTCGTAAAACTCCGTTTAAAAAGATTTAAAAAGCTCAGCTTATACTATATGTATCTTTTAAATTAAATCTAATTAAAATCAAAAAAAATGACACACGTTAGTTCCTAAGAGATATCTTCAAACTGAAAGTATCATACCTATGTTCCTAAAATATTTCTACAGTTTTTTTTTTTAAGTAGAAACTAGCTAGGCTTTAACTTTTCCTTTATGTTTTCCATGGAATTTATCATAAAAATGATATTTTATTTGCTTTTAGTACCACTACTATACACCTTTGACTAATCAATAAAATTGTTAATGTTTTGGAACCATTATAAGATGTGGGGTATTTTTGAAGCACATGCCAATGAGTATCCAAATCAAACTGTTGTTTTATGAACTTTGTTTGCTTTATAGACGTTGGACCTAACCTATATTCTCATCTCTACTACTCTATTCAAATCCAGTTCAGTAAATTTTTATTCTCTCCAGTTAAATGTAAATGAATTGCTATATTAAAAAAAAAAGAATTGCTATATTTAAAAAATATAAAAATCTATAAATCAGTCTTTATAATATGCAATATACTCATTGGTTCATCTTTTAACACAGTGTTATCTAAATTTTCTAGTCGTTAACCAATTTGAGATTGCTAATTTTTATTTAGTCCATATGGTGTGATATGGAATATCCAAGTTTTGGGATTCAATTAAAAATAAAATAAAATTTGGGATTCTTTATGGCTTAAATCTCAATTATGATTTAAAAAAATATATATTGGTACTTACTTACATGTGTATTGTTAATTAATGCATGTAGAGCTGGAAGATCATACCATACCATTTTGCTTACGTCAAGTATAATACTATACAAAGTTACAAACATACTATTAAACTGTGTGCTCAGATACCATAATCGTCCACATAATTAGCCAGAAAAGTTTCCCTCAAATATGTGATTAGATACATTAATCGCCCACTGACATATGTTTTTCAGATTAACTTTAAACTATTTGACAGCAATTTGATTCTCGCGCTCAGCTTTTATCTTCTCTCGTACGAACCATGCTTCCACATATTGCAGGCTTTGATTAGCAAGCCTAGTAGAGTAGCAATATATTTTAAAGTAAGTATCAACTGTTTTAAATCACGATCATATTCAGTTATAAAGTTATGATGATGAACAGAATATGTTATTCAACGGTTTAGTATTTAGTTAATTTTCTTACAAAACATGATTAACTAGCCATAGCTTGCTGGTACATACTTTGTTCTAATAAACAAGGGTAATTGTCTAATTGATATAATATGATTATATTCTCATGAAAAATAGGGATTTGTATACTAACCAACAAAAGGGAATAAACACAAGAGCTAAATGTATCACGTGTTAGGTTTGATTTTGAAGGTCAAATGACGAAGGGGAAGATACGTGTGGGAATACGGACGAAATTTGTTAGTAGTCGAAGTCTCAAAACAAATTATGAAATGCAAATTTGTCAACACCTTTGACTTCATCTTTTGAAAGTATCTCTCGGAAGTAAGTTTCGCTGTGAAACTCTATCGAATTGCAGACATGCATGAAACACATGTATATATTCAACATTTTGGTCTCACGTTTTTATAAGTTCTGTTTCAAACAAAAAAATTAAATCACAATATATTTGTCACAATTTTTTATTATACAAATAGATGACTGAAATAAAAAGATCACTCCCCAGCATATATAGAGATCGACACCATATTTGAATTACTGATCATTTGACAAAGACTAAAGATATTTATATTTTGATGAATCCGAATTTCTGATAAATCATGATAATGTGAAAACACAATAAAGTTGAACATACCTTTTTGATTCATATTATGGAGCTTAATTAATACCGAAGGTGATTTAAGTCTACACATTTCTAACACATACGTAATCCTAGCTAGATGAATTTCACTAGCTTTTGGATTCAATATCTTATTCCATGATTAGTCTTTTGGAATCAACATAACTTTAGATGGTATAATATGATGATTAACGCGCATGCAATGGTAATTAACATGAAATCTGAAAAAGGCGTAGATCCATCTAAGTTCAGGAACATGTTTGATTTTCACTGCAAACAAACTCAATTCGTGTACAGAGATTTATATTTTTTTTAATAATAAGTGATTTTAAATTTACTACTTTCACTATTGTTATCAAAATCCGAATGTTTATATCTATATTGTATTCATTTACTGAAAGAATCTGTTAATAGAAATTTTTACAATTAAACTATGGTAAAAAAACAAAAGAAAGTGAGAAGGAGACGAAAATGTAGTATTGTAAGGATGCCCACAGCTGGAGGCTTTGGACTGCATATCCAAAATTGGGTCACAAACTTTAGAGTACATAAATTATGACACTTCTATGGTATCTATCAATGTATCTATATATATTATTAAAGAGAGCATTGTATTGTTTGGTTAGGTACAAATGCATCAACTTTTGAATCTATATGAGTGTACATATATGTGCAATAGACATATATACCCTCACTTGCAAGGACACCTACCCTTAAGTGACAAATCACTAAAATATCTTTATTTCAAATGACTCATTCGTGTTGAATGTTGATGATAAGATGGTGATTTTTGTGGTTCATGTTATTTTATGTCTTATCATTTTATTTTTTTTATCTTGATTAGGGTTTTGTAGTTTCTATTTTATATGAGAAAATTCACATGAACTTAACCACTATCTAAATGATTCATAAACACTTTTATAAGCGACAAAATTAAATATCTTGCAATTTGTATTCAATATTCTCACCTAAAAGAGTTAAAGCCATACAATTGGTTGGTAACGACTATCATCGAGCAATAGCATGAAAGTTAGGTGATGAGAAATACTTATTTTGTTTAATTATTTTTATTATTTTTAATATGAATATATTGCTTCATTTTAATTTTTAAAAAATTTAATTTTTGGATTAAATCATAATTTTTTTCAAAAAAAAACTATATGGACGTTGAAACAATCTCTGTATAACACAGAAACCAAAGTCTCGTGTTTCATCAAGTTTTATTTAACCATAACGTCGTTTTGGTCTAACGGTTTTAGAATCACGAATGTTTTGATTGTTTTTACAGGGTAAAATCCATAAGACAAGAAGAGTATTGGGGCAAAACCGAAGAAAAAAAGTGTAAAGAGAGCAAATCCCAAGGATCAAGAAAAGAAAAAGAGAAGGAAAATACTTTATTGGGTTTGCTAAGACATGAAGCAGAATGAAACATCTGCTTTCGTCCGAAAAAGAGGGAAGTCAGATTCCAAAAACTGCACATACATTGTTTACATACACACACATTCATGTATATATTACTGTGTTTATAATAGTTTCCTGATTTTTAAATATTATTATTGATCTCTTTTTTCCTCCATCATAGACTTTCACTTTTGTCCCCTTCATGTTCCAACATCCTCAGTCTCTTGATTTACTTTCATTAAACATATACACATATACATATATTTTTATGCACATTCATATCAAGGAATAAGGGTTGTTGTTGTGTTACAAAAGAGTAACAAGTCCTCTAGGTAATCATAATAGCAAAGGAAATAATTACTCTTCACTTTTTTGAAAAATGTTATTTTGATCCGATATCAAAAATACTGAACGAATGGACCGGCAATCTTTTTGGCTGATCAGAACTATTGTACGAAAAATTAAGCTTTTACTTTATCAGGTTATTTATTTACTTGTTTACCCATGTCTCTCATGACCGATTCACTTACACTTGAAATATTCTCTGCACTTTTCTTTTACCAGTCCTTTGCAACTTTACTTTTTATTGTCGATTGCAATTTAAAACCATTCACACCGAAAGCTATTTTTTAATTTATAAAAAGAAAAGAAAATGCTATTAGTTGATAATAATGCAAAGAGTGGTGCACAAAGTTCAAGTGTTTGTGTCGATGTTGGACAAGACATTGACTAACGCGTTTGAAACATGTCAACAAAAACTACAAATCTAAAATATCTAATTTGCAAAAAGCTGCTAAACGGTCGAATTGCATTAAACGCGCACTCTACATAAAGCAAAACCAAACTAAACCAAACCAGACAAACCTAATTCTTGTTCACAAACTAAACTATTAATCATCAAACCTAACAAAATAGAATTATAGATCTACTAAACTCAAAACCAAACTAATAAAATTAGCGCGTCTTCTTTGATTACCACATATATGAAAGTTTTATTTCAACTAAATTCATGTGTATAGTTCCATATCTAAAAATTAAATAAAAATCATCAACGTTTAAAAATTTAAAATCCAAGGCGAACAACTTTTTAGACCATGGACTTGGGCTAGCCATCTCAAGCTTCAATAATCAACCAATTCCATGATAGAGATCGCACAAATTAGACCCAGTAAAGCTAATTTTTTAATTTTTAATTTTAAGTTACAATTTAGGAATATGGTCACCATGGCCTTGCCCAATGAACAGAACTGTGTTATTCTTGGTGGATTTCAGCATCTGACTCGGTTGTTGCATCTTTCTCCTTTTGCTTCTCTTTTTTCGTGCTAAGTTTATCAGAGTAACGAGCAAAAACAGCTGACAGCGCGGTCTTCACAGTTTTCTCGGGCTCTTTCTTCTTGCGTTTTCTCGAGTCCTCCACAAAATCTTCATCTTCTACTAGAGGTTCCTTTGAGCTCACATCCTTCTGAACTGGAGCTTCCGGGATTGTTGGTTCTACAACAGACGGGTAGCTTGAAGTTGCACGCTTGAAAGGCTCGTGGAATGTATCATACAACCGCTTAACCTGAGGTTTTACAGTGATTCTCAGACCTCTATTATTGAGATTTCGGCCTATAGACAGAGAGATCATGTACCTTACGTTCGCCAATCCCGGGACAACGTGCTAAATCTTCCATGGATGCATCAATTATATGAGCAAGAGACTGCAGAAAACATGATTTTCGAGGTTTCCAATATTAGTTTGAATCAAAAGAAACATAAATTCACAATAACGGAAAATAAGGTCTTTTTAGTTCAACCCCGAATGTAGAACCAAGTGTAACTACATCGCTCTTGTTTACATGTCGAATGCTTGTAAGAGAATGGTTTAGCTGCAATCATAAACAACGTGAGAATTCACAAAAATGACCAAAAAAAAATCAATAGAGCAGGCTAAAGAGTTTCCATACCCGTGATAGATAATCTGTATCCATTTGGCCTTGGATGAGATCTGCGGGTTTGTTTTCATAGACTTTTATCGTTTCCAAATAACGGGCACATTCTGTCATGCTGCAAGAGAATTCACACAGAACGTTGCATCAACGAGAAGCAGAGTGATTGAAATGTGTTTTCATATGAGCTGCAAAATAACTTGATCAATATATAGACAGACACCTCCAGGCGCACAATAGAGTGCAATCATGAAGTAGAGCGGTTTTCGTGACTTCAAGCAACGGTTTCACAGTATCTTCCTGTGCATAAGTATCATAAGACATAAATGAAAACACTAGATGCAATGTTACAGCATAAAATTTACAAATTTCATTTGAGATTTAGCATCAAAATATGATTTTAAGACTTACCACGTCGACATGGCAAAGAACAACACTTAGCTTGAAATTCTTTTGTAGTTCCCTAATGCGGAAATAGAGGTAATCCGGATGTAGCAGATGATACCTCAAGCTGCAGTGCATTAGATGTTTCTACTGTGAGTGTGTGATCTTAGAATAAGATAATATTTTGTGTGAATTTAACACATTGATGGAAAATGAAAGTTGCAGAGTTTCACCTTAAATACAAAGCGCAAGAGCTTTGACCAAGCACGTAATCTGGAATGATATCAGAGAAAACCCATTTCACATTCCTGATATGTTTAAGAAGCGGGTTTCCTTTCTGCAATGAATGTGATCCGACAACTAGAAATCAGATGAATCCCAAAGAACATGGAAACTGAACCATGGAGGTTTAAGTCTCCTTACCTGTCTATGGCTAACGAGGATTGCGTTACGAGTTTGAGTTGTGTTTAATGGTAAAGAGCCAGTAGTTACAGGAGTAGAAGAAGATGAGGCTCCATCGGTTTGAAGCGGTTGGCTAAGACAAAAGCAACATACACCAACAACAATATGGATATATAATTACGCAAGAAACAATGCAATCATCAAATTAGCCACAAAACTGAATCTGATTGTTGGCATAAGAAAAAAAAAGTAATAAACAGTTAAAGTTTCCACATTTCAACCTCAATCTCCATTTTAGATAAAGTGTCAATCTCCACTTTTCAACGAAATCAACAGATAAATCTAATTTTAAAGCAAGTCGCACAAATATATAACACCTTGAACTGGGCACCTGAGAAGCGCCTGACGGCTGCGAAGAAGAGGCGGCGGAGGAAGACGGAGGAGGAGGAGGAGAGTAGACGTCGGACGATTTGACGAAAGCGAATGCCTGAGAGAAACTCTGGGAAGGCTTGAAGAGAGAAGGAGGCGTGGACTTCGTCTGTGAGCTTTCTATAACTTCCTGGTACGATGGCACACCAATTACGATCTGGGTTTTGGGTTTTTTAGCAATCTGTTGGTGCAGACTTCTGGATTTCTCACCGTCGTCGTCTTCGTTCGCCATGAGTGATCGAATCTCTGAAAACTCTTCCCTTTTCTTTTCCCGGACTCGTTTTTCTCGTTCTCAACTTCCGGAAGAACAAAGGCTTTCTTGGGCCTTAATTATTTAAGCTCAAAGCCCATTAGTTATGTATTTGTTTTAACGTGTTACGTGTCTTTAGATTATAGACGACAGAACAAACTAAAAACAGAATGTTTGCACACTATCAGTCTCCATCCAATCTGTCTAAACTCTAAAGAATATTAATGTTAATAATGGGGCCAAATATATGCATAGATTTCATGTGGAACACAACATTATACACTAACTATATTTATTATAAGGGCTAATCCTTCTGGATGGAAATTGACTAATGATAATTCAAACACGATGAGATCCGTGACCTGACTGGAAACCAAGTGGGGGTCAATAATTTTCATATATAACCAAATTTGCAGGAAGTTATATATCTGTAATAATATATTGTTTCCTTTGGGAAATGCAATAATTCTAAATTGTACTTTGACTAAAGATTTTTCTCAAAACGTTTCTGATAAATAGATTTCTTTCTTTAAAGCGTAGTAGTGTTTCTTTAGCACATGTAATCTTATGTATAAACTATGAAGTAAAACTCTGGTTATAAACCAAACACATTTAAACTGATCATCATCAAGTATCATTTCTGTACTAAATTAAGAGAGAGCTATATTCTATTCGAAGCGAGAAAAACAAAACTATATTCTATATTCTTTGTCCACGAATAAAACTTTTTTATCTTGAAGAAACAAGAAACCCACCTGCACCACAACACACCTCATCATTGTCCGTTGTTTATAGTTTTTTATACATTACTTTCAAAAGTAAATCTTATTTTCGGATCTGACTTTATATGTACGTTACAGAAACTTTAAACAAATAAGAATGAAAAAAAGTAGTTGTACACGGCTAAAAGAAAAGTCAACTAAACCGGTAATCTCATCGAACCGCTAGTTGAGCCACTTGCACCGGTCGATTTAACCGAAGTTCCTTCGCCGTCTTTATTGACTCCTCCTCTTGGCACATGTACCGAAGAGTTCCTCCACAAAAACGACGCGTTTCTTAGAAAAGCCCACCGGTCTCCTGCACGTACCGAATCACCACCGGTTGAACTTGGTACAGCGTTGGCTCGAACGCTACCGGTAGCACCTAACCTAATCGAACCATCATCACGACTCCTCCAAAGAAACGAAGGCGTTTTACGGAACAACCATCGATCAGACCGAGCCCTTGACCGGTCAATCGGTTTACCTCTCCTTGAACTCCCTCCTCTAGGAAGAACCAGAAGACTATTCGTCCGGTTCAATTTCCATTCCCTCATTATCCTCTTCCTTACATCTTCCGGTAACCGAAGAGTAAACCGCTCGGTACATTCTCCCGGTTGAACCACCGAATGTCCCGTCGTATGCGATCTCGAGAATTTGACTCTTTTCAAATCCACCGGTACTCCAGGTAATCTCCTCGAATCGACTTCAATCGTCGACACTTGTTCCGGTACCGGAGCAGTAACCACCGGTTCAGGATTAACCACCACCTGCTGCAACTCAAGATCCGGCTCGGTGCCTCCCGGTTCAACCGATTCACCTTCAGCTACCTGTTCAGCAAGATTAGCTCTGCAAACAGGACAAGTCACGTGAGCCTCGAGCCAAGCATCGATGCAGTGAGGGTGAAACACGTGATCGCACTTGGGAAGCAGACGCAGCGTTTCGTCGTCTTCGAACTCGTTCAAACAAATTGCACACTCTAACTCTCCTTTGCCAAGCTTCTGCGTTTTGACATCAGAGTACAAGAACGTAGGAAAAGTCTCGACAACTGAAGCGTCGAGACCACGCGCCGCCGCGTTGACGGTTGCTCTGGATCTAGCTCCACCAGCTGGAGAAACGCCGGCGTCTGGTACGCCGGAGCAGTGACGGAAGTAGATGGAGAAGAAGCCCATGAAGAAGAGAGCAGCTATTAGGATCACGACGATCACTGCCATGGCTGGACTTAGCCTGCCGTAATTATACGGTTGATTTGTTGGACCGGGCTGTGCTTGACTCGCCGCTAGATCCGCCGATGATAATATAAGCAAGAAAACAATCGGAAAAACGCCGGAAAAAGGCGTATGATCGGAGCTTCTCATGATTTTTTTTTTTGTGGTTTCTGATTTGTGTTTTTTTTTGGCTCTTGGAGAAGAAGAAAGTGAGTTTATAGAGTAAAAAGACATTTGAAGGTTCAGAAGAAGAGATGGGGTAGTGATGTCAGCAATTGTGTCAGACTTTATGTCCACGTGGCAAGATGAAGGTTCTTCCAATCGGTATATATGGAAATTTCTTTTCACATTGTGTCATTTACGTTGAATATGCAAAATTTTCCTCTTCTGGTTGGTTTCGAATTTTATTAGTTTGGTGATTAATTTTATGAAACATCCCTAACAGATTTTGTTACAGCCAAGTGTATTTGTTATTTCTGAGAATAGCATCTTTCTTTGGGTTTGTTATTCTCCATTTTCTTTCATTCATTTCACAAATTTGTGGAAACAATACAAAATTAGCCATTAATAAAATGGTAAATTGTGGCGAACATAAAAGTTTATAATCTCTCCATTGCGTTCTTTTAGTTTTCGTTAAACTTTTTCAGTAGGCTCAGAAAAATATTTTAAAATAATTATAAATACATATCATCACATTTTTTTAAACCATCTTTAACACATTCAAAACAACTTTGGTTTAACGAGACTTGTTAATGTTTAGATAACATTTGGGACAGTTTTTTATTTGTGTTAAAGATTGGATTCAAAATAGGGAGTAAAATGTTTACTTGGTCAAAGACTCAAAACTATGCTAAATTTTCTTTGTTATCGTTTTCACTTCGTTGGATGTCTCAGAAAAGACTTTTTTGTTTTGGGGTAAATTAATTTCAACGGTTTTCCAGAATCTCTTTTATACGTGGCATATAAATGAGGACTCCATCGTTTTCATAAATTATTTAGCTGTTTCTTTACTACGAAAACCCCCCATTTTATCAAAAAATTAAAATATCTTGTGATAAAGAAAAATCAGAAATCTACTTGTCACTCAAGTAAAAGAAACTCAAAGAGACGACAAAATTCCTAAAGAATCGGGTTCCCCAATTAATAGAAATAAAACGAAATTTTTTAGGCCATTAGCGAATTATGCCTTTGAAAACTCGTTTCTTTTCAGGTCATGAAGCTTTTTATACATCTTAAAAGACAAAAATAATTGATGACAAACAAATAAAAAAAGTAAAGTAATTGGAATGTTTATATAAATATGATTCGGTTCCCATTAAACAAACACTTTAGCGAACGTTGGACCCCTCTGGCCCTGAGTCGTGAGTTAATTAATCAAGGAGGATAACTGCCGGCGGCGGCAACCGAAACGCTATCAGAATTCTATCGTATATCACATCAATATATATAAACTAGTCTTCAAAATACTACTATAGTTTATAAATGTTCATGACTCCACAGATTTATATAACATAAATTTATAGATACGGAACTACAAAATATGAATGTTCACTAGTTCTCATCTTTCTGGCATTTTGTCAACCATGAATGGAATATATATTATTCATAAATTGAAAAGTATATTTAATAAAGTATATATATATATATATATATCTAAAGATCTATAATCTTGACTATATTTTAAGTTGATTCATTCCAACTTTTCACTCAAAAGAAATATTGAAAAACTCAAAGTTGATGATATACATTATACACCATCGTTTTCATTATTATTCTTTATGTAATTGATTAGTGAATACTGGTTTGTATCATACTTCAAAAATTAAAATATATTAAAAAATTCCAAGCCTTAAAAACATCGTTTGATTGAAACTTTTAAGATATGAACATATAGCCTTCCTATTTTAATCTCTTCTTGAATCTTTCACGTGAATGAAGAAGCTAGTTAAAAATTCAACAACGTTCCTAATGGTCTTCTTGTTCGCTTCCCTCGACCTCTACTTTTTCTTTAGCGTCTTTCTAATATTCAGATTAAGGTTGCAAATTGCAATTATTTAATAAGTGCTCCCTCTCTCTTTTTTTTAAAAAAAATACTAATAAACTGAATTTTCTAGAAAAGGAAAAGAATCAACGCTAGGTTGTTGGCTTTATTTATGGTCATACTTCTCACGTTGGGTCAAACAAGCAAATGCTGACTTTGATTTAAGTCTACTCGACAAGCTTGACTACACACAGTTTTCCATCGCCATGCATAAACTACTCGCCGTTTTGGTGCCAAGATAAGAAGAAACGACTATAAGAAGGCTACAACATTGGTATCCCCTGAAAAAAGAAAGAAAGCTTCTTTACTTACGTGAAAGGAAATCTATTAATTAAAGATGACGCAAAGCTTCATGTTTTTTCCTCAAAACCAGTTGAATCATGTGAGAGTTGAATGCTTTTTATTATTAAGTTCCCTCGTAGCTGTGTTTCAAATCCTAAATAAACGGTATAAAGACCCACTTGAATCATGTGAAAGTTAAATGCTTTTTAATCTACTCGTGCATTTGCTAAGCTATTATTAAATCATAACCAAAAAGTTTAATATACTACTCCCAGATGGATTAATCAACAACTTTGATTACCTCTTGTTTTGTATTTCAGGGCTCCTGATAAGCAGGTATTGGCACACCTGAATCCTCTGTCAGTTTCTTGTAAGCTTTTTGCAGTGTTCTCGTTACCGGTCCAACTTTGCCGTCACCAATCACACGTCCATCGATTTTCACAACCTGTAACAAAAGAACAGGATATTTTTTCATATGGTTAAGTAAGATCACCTGAAGATTTCATCAAGAACTTTAGATATGATGTCATTTCTTCAAAGATTTAATTAGTGAATGTCATAGATTCAGGTGGAGAACGATTGAGGATGTTTTATTCGTAAGCTACTAGAGACCCTATGTACATACCGGGCTTAGTTCTCCCATAGTTCCAGTTGTCCATACCTGCACAAACAAAACCATTGTTAGATTTTTCTAGAGAAAGAGTGAGGCACAGATAATTCAATTTGATCCCCCAAAAACTGATAATTTGTAAGCTGAAAGAACCTCATCAGCTGTATGGAATTCGGAGAGACTAATTCTTCTTTCTTCTAAGATGAAGTTCTCTTTCACCACAAGTTCCATGACCTTTTAAAAGTTGAAGGAGAAAAGCAAAAAAAACGTTTATATAAATTCTCAATAAAAGAAAGTGAATTTTTCTCTCTTACAGTTGCTCTGGTTATGCCAGGGAGACAGTAATCTGCGTGAGGAGTAAGTACACAGCCTTTCTTCACCATGAACTGTATTAACAGAGTAAATTTGTTGACAAGATTAGCTTCTATAATCTCTTAAAAACCTACTGAAATTTGATAGAATAGCCTGCTGAGGAATCACCAAAGAATTACTTACAATGTTGGTTGCATTGGTTTCAGACACATAACCATCCTTGTCAAGCATAATGGCGTCAGCGGCATTCGTGTTGTTACTTTCAATCTGATTGTTCCATTGGAAAGAAACATTAATCTCACAGCGTCAATTCTTGAACTTTCTTGTTTTGAAGACAGTACCTTTGCTAGTATGTTATTGAGAAGGTTGTTGTGATGAATCTTGGAATCCAAATTCTGACAAACCAAAAAGAATTTCAGAATTTAACAATTTTTTACAGACAAGTTTATCATGAACAGAAACGTGGAACCAAATTCATACATTAGGCGAGTTGCGACGTGTGGTTGCGGTCACTAGCACAATTCCACCATCATTGTCATACACCGGAGGCTTCCATTCCGCAAGCACTGCATTATATGAAAGAATTAAACTCCAGAGTAATCATTTTCGCACAATGAGTTGTTAAGATAAAGCTGAAAGGATACCGATTAAAGTACATCCATATCGATTAAATGCAGGGCTCATTCCAGAAGTTACCTTACAGAAAGAAGTTGCACAGTTTTCTTTAGACTAAATGGTCGAAATGAAAACAGAAATTTCTTAAATCGGTTTCGAAGAAACTTGAAATACCTTTTTGCCTCGAGTTAGAGACAACCTGATATGTGTATTGTCAAACATACCATTGGTTATGAGAGTTCTGAAGATTGCTTCTTTTATCTGCATGTTTTGCCACAATAAAGCTATCGTGGTAACATCGTTTTGAAATAACAAAACTTAGCACTACAATCATCAGATGCTTACCTCTTCACGCGCTGGAACATTTTCGAAAGCCAGAGCCTTTGCTGAATCAAACAACCTAATCCAAGATTCCAACATATAAAACAAGATTGCTTAGAAAACTCTGTTATTTGCTTCTGGGTTTCTGGATTTGACTGTTCTTACCGATCTAGATGTTCCTCAAGCTTGAATATCTTTCCTTTGTAAATCCGAAGTCCTTCCCATACCGAGTCACCGCCTTGTACAACCGAGTCAAAAACAGAAACCTTAACAAGAAAAAGAAGAAAAAGAACATAATCAGTGTTCAAAATGCAAATCACCAAACAATGAGATGTTAAGTTTTCTTCAACATTTCAAGAACACCTTTGCCATTTCACGAGGCAAAATCTCATCACCGACCCATGCAAGAAGTTTTGCGTTTTCAGAAACTGGGAGACTAGGAGGAGGCAAGGGACTGCTCAAGAGGGAGGAACTGTGCTTCACGTGGCTCCTGAGAATGTTGTAAAGCGGTAGACTTTGCTCCAGCAAATCATAATGCGACAAAGGGAATGTCTGAAGGGAAAAAAACAATACCAAATACATCTTAGATTGAATTCAGAATCATTAACCACAACAAACAAGGGCCTTACACGAGAATACTTCTTTGGAGATGAGAACCCCGTTGATTCGTGCACACTCTTGTACCACCATGGTGCCCATACTCCATCTTCTGGTATAGGACCAGCCTTCCATCTTAAAGAAAACATAACAAAACCAAAGTGAAATTTAAAGTTTTGATATCAAACAAACTTTAAGATTATGATAGGAAATGACCTTACTTAAGCATAGAAGCATGAAATGGAATCTCCAAATCATCACAAAGACCGCGTAGTGTAGTCTGCGTGTATATATGGATAGCATAACATGTAAGAGAAAAAGACATGTTTGTGAAACTTTTACATATTACAGAAACAAAACCTCGGGATCTCGCTGAAGTTCATCCGCATCAATGACTGCTGGTGGTGTTCCCATCTGACAGAGATCACTGTATATCGACACTAAGTCCCCCAAGCCTAATTCGAGAAACGATGGAGGGTGTACCTTCTCAAAGGAAGGCTGCAAAAAGGATAAACAGAGAAGAACATTAGATAAAACATTGGCTAAAAAACTGCAGAGAACCAGTGTTTGATGAGAAAGCCAACCAATATGTTAAGAGGATTGCGTATCAATATGAAATGCTTTCCTTTACTCATCAGTTCACTTGGCAAACCGAAAAGCCGCTGCTTCGAGATATGCTGTTCAGAGGGAAAAACAGAACAACAAAAAAATGTTTGATAATATGAACTTTGAAGCTTATAAAACAAACAATCAGAGACGTTTTACCTTACAATACCGGTATTTCTTCGATCCAGATCCATATATGACATCTTTCACAACTCTATCTCCACTACACTCCTATTTAAATTACAAGACAGAAAATTAAACTTGTTTACTCAAAAAAAGACTAAGAACTAAAATCCTAATCAGTTACTACATAGAGAGAGACATACCATCTTGGAGAGAACCTCGTCTCTGTATGGCCTATCAACACCTGTAGCTTTAAGAAATGCTGCATACAACGGCTCGTCGACAACTTCAGTGTCATCTCTCTGAAACATGGACACAACATCAATTAGAAAATAACACCAACGTATTTCCACAGTGATTCTTTCTAGAGATCTCACGTTTTTTTCCAACTTACCAAGTTATTTATTAGATAAATCAAAATCTTTAAAACTCATACTCAATTTTCTCAGAAGACACAAAACAAGCAAATCAGAATTGAGATTTGGTTTTGGATGATCACAATCTTTAGAGCTAACACTCATAATTCCTGGAAAATATGAACAAGTTTGGTAGGGTACCTGAGCAAAGGAGTACATGAGGCTGGTGCTGAGAGATCTTGGTGCAGACCATGAGTGAATCACCTCCGGTTCTGCCATTGACGACGGTGATCAAAACTCTAATCTCTGGTCTCTAAGTAAAGTGTTGCGACTTGTGAAGTGTGAAGTGTGCACCACACCTCCAAAAAAAGAATGAGGACAGAAACTTGCACGCATATCAAGCTTTTTCTCTGTTTTGCTTGGAATTTAGTAAGAGAAAAGATGCCAACTTTGTGTTGCCTATAATATAAAAAAACAACTTTCATTAAAATAAGAAACCTTAAAAATAATGTAAGAAATATCAATTTAATAGTATTGCGAATCGTGGTTAGATGACCATCTTTGCCGTTCGTGGTTTCCTCATAGTTACGTTGGCTTTGAAAGCCCGACGATAGATTTGGACACGACACGGCGAAACTAGAACTCCGGCGAGTTAGTTCCATTATCTTAAGTAGAGAGCCTAGAAAGGAATATTTGGGCCTATCAGGCTTATTGGGCCTAACCTAAAAAAATAAAAAAAAAAGGTTGAATTTTTGATACTAAAAAGAACAGCCTTTGATATTTACTCATAATGGTTCGACGACCGTTAATTTATAATTTTCAAATTATTGAGCTTTTTATCTTCGGATATCGTATAGTCGACACAATATTGAAATTGATGTGATTTCCGTATATAAAACAAAAAAAATGTCACGAGAGAAAGGACTTCATCATTTTGTTTCTATCCATATTTCCAAGCAAACCTCACATTCCACTTTCATAACATTATGTATACACGCATATATTTGTATCCACATAAGGATGTATATTTTTCTTTTCTTTTCTTTTATTTTTTTTTAAATCATAATATATAATGTATAGTTGTATACAGTATGTAAGAATGATAAGACTGAAAATACATTGTTTGAGCCATGGAAACTCTTTTCCACACTCTTCTTACATTATTACTATTCGTAGCCATCTCTCATACTCTGCCTCCTCTCGCCGGTTCTTTTCCGATCTCTAATATTTTTCCGGCGGTTTTCAACTTCGGAGACTCTAACTCCGACACCGGAGAACTTAGCTCCGGTCTTGGATTCCTTCCCCAACCTTCCTATGAAAAAACCTACTTCAGAACTCCAACTTCCGGAAGATTCTGCAATGGACGTCTCATCCTCGATTTTCTAAGTAACCATTCATCATTTCTAAATCCTTTATTCTTTAAATCTTTCATTTATTTTTCAATTTTCATGACTTTTTGTACAAACGTGATTATATACCATTTTTATATTATTTTGTACCACGGCGAAATTGTCATGGTTTCCCGTTTTTACTGGAAGCGTTGCACTTGCATGAACTACAACAAACTAGTCGACTTAAAAACATGACTTTTAAAAAGTTGCAAGATGTTTTGATTGATCTTAATATAGCGCGGTTATCACGCTCATGTAATTTACATTGTATGTATAAGGATTCTTATGTACCATAAGAACATGAGAAGTTTTTGAATGGGCTTTATGTTTTGTAGTGGAAGCAATTGATCGGCCCTATTTGAGGCCTTATTTAGATTCGATAAGTCGACAAAGTTACCGGAGAGGCTGCAATTTTGCGGCGGCTGCGTCAACGATTCAGAAGGCGAATGCTGCATCCTATAGTCCCTTTGGTTTTGGTGTTCAAGTTTCTCAATTCATCACCTTTAAGTCCAAAGTCCTTCAATTGATACAACAAGGTAACTAAATATCAAATGATACCAAAAGTTCATCAACATTTTAGACTTAGTTGAATCATTTAGTAACGGACCAATGTACTTTTTTTGTTTCTCTTTTGTTTATCAGATGAAGAGCTCGGAAGATACTTACCGTCCGAATATTATTTCAAAAAAGGATTATATATGTTTGATATCGGACAAAATGATATTGCCGGAGCATTTTACTCCAAGACATTAGATGAGGTTCTTGCTCTGGTTCCTACAATCTTAGATATATTTCAAGATGGAATAAAGGTTAGTATTTACATGAATCTTAAATCCTTTTTTTTTTTAATAGTTTGAATACAACGCCATCTTAAATAAAACAATAAATGACACTTTATTAAAATTGTTACATTGATTCTCATTTTTGGGGAAATATTTCAATTTGATTAATTTGAGTCCAAGATATCATCATATTATTATTAATTCATTGTGTAATTCTTTATCTAGAGATTATATGCAGAAGGGGCAAGAAACTATTGGATACACAATACAGGACCACTTGGGTGTTTAGCACAAGTTGTGTCAATATTCGGGAAAGACAAATCAAAGCTTGATGAGTTTGGTTGTGTCAGTGACCATAACCAAGCCGCTAAACTTTTCAATTTGCAGCTTCATGGTCTTTTCAAAAAACTCCCTCAACAATATCCCGATTCCCGTTTCACATACGTAGATATCTTCTCTATCAAATCCGACCTCATCCTGAATCATTCCAAATATGGTACGTATTAATAATGATCAGTTCACTCAAATTAGAAAGCATTTTTTTACTTTTTGTAGTGGTGGCATTTGAACCGAAACGCCATATGTGTAAATGTAACAGTGTTTGAAACTTTTTTTTGGTATGGTAATAGGTTTTGATCATTCGATAATGGTATGTTGTGGAACCGGAGGACCGCCATTGAACTACGATGATCAGGTTGGTTGCGGTAAGACAGCAATATCAAATGGTACGATCAAAACCTCCAAACCTTGTAATGATAGTTCCAAATATGTCAACTGGGACGGCATTCATTACACCGAAGCTGCAAATCGGTATGTTGCACTACACATTCTCACCGGTAAATACTCTGAGACGGCGTCATCTTTGAATCTTTAGCAATGTAACAAAGAAAGTTACATTATCATTTCTTTATGGATTACATATATCTATTTAGTTGTATGTTAACTGGTTTATTTATGAGTATATGAATAATTTCCATAAACTTAAATTGTTACATTTTTCTAACTTTCTTTCACAAAGATAAATGCTTTGGCACAATAAAATGAATCTTTCAAATTTCCTGTAATGTTTCTGGTGTTATAACGATGTGTACAACAAAGCTTCATCAGTAAATGGTACAAGTTATTATCAAAATCAAATTTTCTGAATTCTTTAGTTAAACTTTTCTTCTCATGTATGCTTTTGTTCTGTAAAAAATTATCAGCAGCATTTTCCATTGTATAACTCTGGCTCATTGCTATATTCTGAACTCGTTAGCAGATTTACCCTTTTTCCCTCTTCTTCTTCTTCTTCTTCTTCTTTTTCTTCATTGGCCTCAGTCTCACACTCTCTATCCGAATCTGCCATATGATCGAAGAAATCACCAAAATACCACTTACAATCTTCTTTCCATTCGCCTTTATGCGCGTTAACCCGCCACTTTTGATCTGCAATCATCTCTGGTGACAGTCCCCATGTGGCTAACTCTTCCTCTGTGTGATGAATCGCCAAGCTGTAATCACCGCCTTGTCCTAATTCCATTACTCTGATCTCACTGTTCCCTGGATTGTTTAGTCCTTCAAACTGTTCCACAGTCCACTTGAACCATTTCATCAGAAAGACACGCGATGTTAAGCCGTGTGAGACAATCACAAAGTTTAGCTCATGAGACGGGTTGATGTGTAGTCTGTTCATGTCGATGTCTCTCCATAGAGACTCGAGAAAACCTGTGTAACAACACGCAAACAGACCACATCATGTCTTAATTTCTTCTTGTTTACTCACACAGAGATTGATGGAAGAAAACAAAGCAAAGAGAAAAGACAAAACAACAATGATGAAACAATCACTAGCCAGGACTAGCTAAATTTTTCCATTTTCGTGACATTTCAAAAGAGATTGATGGAAAGTAAATATTAGACTTTCTTCTAATTCTGAGAAAAACCTCTTTCTTTTCTATTCAAGACCACAGCTAGTAAAACGCATTTCAGCAATTTGCTGGATCCAGCGAAAACTCAGGTTTTAATAGAATGATCAGAGACTTCATAACAGTGAATGTATCAAACTCAAACTGTGATCATAACCTGAAATCAAGCATGAATGGCATCAAATCAAATCGATCCAAGGGTTCTAAGGTCAGATATCAACCAATTCCTCTTAACAGATGCATTTGGTTTAATGTCATTGTTCTGCTACTTAACCAAAAAGTCCTCAACTTTTGCTACTTGTACAGGCCAGGATCATAGAGAATGATCTAAAATCATGCTGAACTAAACTAAACTAACTAAATTATCATCTCAGATCAGTCAATATACATATTGATAACGAGATATTTAGACAATCAACAATGTGAGTAAAGTGAGAAACTTTCGAATAAGCAAGGAAGTGAAACATACTGGAGACGCGATCGAAGACGTCGGCGGCGGATTCTCCCTCCGGGAACCGGTAAAAAAAGCGGCCAAACCTCTCTCTCACCTTCTTCGTTGCTCTCATTCGCTCTTTAACCTGAAAATTCCCAAAATCCTGTTCCCTAATTCGACATTCTTCGCGAACACCAATCACACGGCGACGCGAGAACGACCGTCCGATCTCCCGGAGAGTAGATCTCGTCCGATCGTACGGCGAAACGTAGAAGTACACACGCCACTCCGGTGAAGAAGGATTTGAAGAGATCAAAGCGTGAAGACGAGCTCCGGCTTCCTGCGCCTGAAGCAAACCGGAATCCGTTAACTGGATCTTATGATCCGGCGTCGTTGTGTACGCCGTCGTGTCGAGATTCCCTTCCGATTCACCGTGACGTACGAGGATGATCCGCTTCGGAAGCAGTTTATTGTCAGGACTCATGGATGATTGAAAAAACGGAGAAACAATTTTTCTAGGGTTTTTTTGATTCGCCGGAATCTGAGAAATTGCAATTTGAAATTCGAATCAAAGAGAAATGTGAGAATCGAATTTCATGTAGATTCCTTCTTCGTCCAGATTCTCTGTGTAAGTGTGCTTCGTTTGCATTACCTTCTTGCTCAAGCTTAAGCACCAAACGAGTTTTTCAATTTCTTTCTTTTATCTAAGTTAAATAAAATTTGTACGTAATGTTAAAGCTAAACTAATTAAGTAATGTTAACAACTAATATTATTTCTGTTTTTATACAGTGAGATTAACAACTAAAATTTGGGTGCAACGAATGTTTCCAATACTAAACATATGATAATGTTTGTAAATTAGAATATTATCCACGTCTGCTCCATTACATTACACTAGAGAACAATTGTATATGTTTTTTAATTAAACAGAGATTTAAAGGTCAATCTGGATTAGTTTTAAATTTTAACGTGGCAAGCCACCATCTCTCTTTTGTTTAAAGAATTCATTGACGAATTTTAAAGAAGTTACTGGAAAAAAAGGAATTGTCTTGTTTTTCGGTCAACAAAAGTATATGTTAAATAAGAATCGTATCTCTTGTTCACTCATATGGGCCAAATAAGTTAGCCCGGTAACAGATTTGTAGTCCAGGATGATTAGCCCATGTAAAATTAATTAAAGAAAAAAAATGTCAGCTAATTTATAGTTTCTGAAAACCTGTTGGGCGTTATCTATATTTTAGTAGGCCCATGTAAATGTAACCTCATTATAACAATTTATTGTACACACTAGAAAATAAAAATCCTTTCTGTTTTGTCAACGTAAATTCGTCTAACGTTCCTTAAGTCCTTATTATAAGATAAAACACAAAATTGACTGAATCTTTAGTTTTGGTCGAATGATGATAATGCTCCGAGTAGTATGGATCTTACTCACGTTCAACTACAGTTCGCTATTCAAACATTACAAATTTACAATATATATTGACTAATTTTACAGACCATCACAATTAGTCTTCACTAAGGATTTTACAAAAAGATTTTCAAGAAACAAATGAGATATTTTTTCGATTGATTGATTGGTCAAAGTACCGTTTGTAAGAAAGCTCATTAGATATGTATAACATGTCACTATTACGTGCTCTAGAAAAGGGATATATTAGGCTTACTATAATATCTTACATGTCTTGTTCCATAAAAATATGGAATATAAAAAGGTTGCGTTTGTAAGAAATCAACATCCTATAACAAGAAAAATAATAACAATAAATTGTGAGATAACCTTCAAAATTTTGAATAGTGGAAATGGATAGGTTTCTTGTCCTTTTCACTCTTGATTCCTTTCAGACCTTTTCTTTTATTTCAAAGAAATATTACTTTCATGACCAAGCCTAAAGGGTTTAAACCATATGCTTATTATTTTCTATATATTTATAATTTTGTATATATTCTTCTTAATTATGGGACGTAAAAAACTTCTTTGTATACAAGAAGTGGTCCTGAAAGAGAAGATTCATTGTGGATACAACAAAACCTAGTTTTTCTACTGAATTGGACCCGCTGATGATCATGAAAAACCGCAAAAGGAACCAATATTACAACGAAATGTGTATGGGTGGGTACAGAAGAAATGGACAATCCCATCTACAGTTCTACACTATGCAGTAATAAGGATAGTGTCTGATGAAGATTGAATCGATTGCCAATTCCTTATCATATTGTCTTGACAAAAACTTAGCTACTGAGAATGATTACCGGAAAAAAACGTGTGATAAGACTTAGGATGGGCATTGGCCAATTGGGTAGTTAAAATATGAAAAGGGTGGGGTCTCATATTCTTTCACTTGTCCACCATAATTTAAGATTTCTCGCTCCTCTATCATCAACAATCATTCATGTTAACTAAAACAAACCCCCCAAAAAAAAAAAAATCATCCATGTCAACGATACTGTAGAACGATACAAAAGCATATGATGATGACGCACAATAAATAATTATAACCATCATCGTCATTATGTTGGAAACACGTTACACTATGCTTGACTTTACTTGTTATTAAGTGAGTTAGTTAACACAACTCCCGTTTAAACTTTATAGTCTTCGTTTCTCAACAAACTCCCATTTGTATAGTCTTCACCGATAATATAAACAAAACATAAACATATGTATTTCATTTATAAACCATTCTTTGTTTAAAACAGATGTAGGTAAAACAATTTATTTTTTTATTTGATAAAAGGGTACAAATATACTTTGTTTTGCAAAAATTACTTTAGGCACATATATTACTTTACCTCGTATTACAAATGAAAAGATGATTATGGCACCTTTTTTTTTAATTAGTTGAACCTTATTTACCAAAAAAAAATGAAAAAGATACTGAGACCATTAGTTGCTTAGGTGGCAAATTTTTGTATATATATTTTTAATGTTTTTTTTTGTCTAGCATTAGTTGCTTGGGGTAAACAGCTCGATCCACATTTTTTCCTTAAATATTTTCCGTCTTTATTTAGAAAGAAAATATTTGAATTTGAGAAACATCCTAAAATATTTATATCCATGCTTTGTACGACTTTTGAAATAGGATGTAGAAACTTACTCAATCTTCCCGAGTCTTCCTTGAATTTTACCTAAGCAATGATAATTTTTTATTTTGGAAAAATACTATACTTTGAATAAGACATGCGTATGACTATGAAATATCAAATTGTCAAACTTTATTGAACAATACTCACTAAAATATTATTATGGCTTTTTGTGAATATTTGTAAAATGATTTGAGTAAAAAAAAAGAAGTGTATATTTAATGAACGGTAGATACGTCCAACGAATATGTTGGTCAGTTATTGTAGCCCGTATTTTTTATTTGTAATTGGTAAACATTAAAACATGGTGATATAGTTTAATCATATTTATGTTGGTAATATGTAACACGTTGGACTAGAGTAATTTGGATAGGCTTCAACAGAATCTTTCCTTTGATTTTGGTCAATTTATTTCTTAGTCTGGTTAATCAGTTTTGTAGAAAATTTATAAGGTTTCTGTGATTTTTATCACTGGTAATGTTTCTTATATGTTTGATTTTTGTCTATTTTATTTTCTGAATACATAATTATATCTAAATATTAAGTTTTCTCTTACAAAAAAAAAAACTATTTGGAACAAAAAGAAAAGAACGTACAACTTGTATTGAGGACAGATAATGAGCTATATTCAGTTGGATGCATTCAAAGTTGGCATTATTATCTTAATACAAAGGGACAACAAAACTCGAAATTATTAAAAATGATATAAAAATAATTTAATTATAAAAATATGATAATATTCGAGATCGTATTCTATAACAAGCCCACTTGTGCACATCATGAAGTGCTTGAACCCCACAAGTTAACTCTCTCTGATCTCTCTCTCTATCTCCCTTCTCTCTCTCCGATCCTCTGTTTCTATCAACCAAGAAGAGTTTCTTGTTGTTTCTTGGGAAAATTCTGAAAAAAAAATATTTTAAGAGAAGTGAAGGATTAATCGTAAGAATGGTGGTGGAGGAGAATAGAACCATGGAGGAAGGACTTCTCCGGCATGAAAACGACAGAGATGATCGTCGTATCACTGCTTGTGTTATCCTCAGCACTTTTGTCGCTGTTTGTAGTGCCTTCAGCTATGGATGTGCCGTGAGTTTCTAAATTTCTCACTTTATAGTCTTAATCTCTTAATTTTTCGCATAATAATAATTATAATTTCTTGGATTTTGTAGGCTGGTTATACTTCAGGCGCCGAGACTGCTATCATGAAGGAGTTAAACCTTTCTATGGCACAAGTATGTAATTTGTTTTTTCTTAGCTTTTATCACTATAAATTAAATACCCAATTAATCCCTAATTAATGATGCTTAAAATGCGTAATTACCTGTTAACTTAAACATCAGCTACTTGTATGGATTACTAAACTATCAGACCTAAAATCAAATTGATAATTATACGCAATTACGTAGAAAGACATCATTATTGATAAATTATAGTTTTCCCTACTGGAAATAATTGTAGTGAATAATTTACTATTATATTTTCTAACGAATTTATTAATTTTTATTGTGGTCCAAATTAAGTTACGCGTAGATCAACTTTGCTGGGAAATTTGTTGAGAAACACATGTACAAACGTTTAGAGAGATGCGTCTGTGAATACTAGAGAGATACGTAAGTTAATATTAGAAAATGAATATTATTAAAATGCGATATATATATAGCTGTTTTGTACTTGGAGAGATCAGAGATGCATTCATAAAATGCATATGTGATACCGACACCGTATTTCATATTTGAACTTGAATAATAAAATGTTATTAGTAATTTTGTCATTATTTTAGTTATCGAATATGGTTTTTTTTTTTTTTGGGACAAATTTATCGAATATGGTTCTTCTGACAAATTTCATAAGAAACTAAAAAAAAAAAAATACACGATATCTCTTTTCTTTTTCTTTTTCTTTTTTGTTAATTGCTTGAATTAAAATTAAATGCGGCAAAAAGGCCTTAATGTGTTAAAATTAATTACAAACTTACAAATCCCATTCTAGTAAGTTTACACGAATCCAAACTGAACCCAATTACACGATCTTACTTGCCTAACAAATAAAATATATAAAAAAAATAGTAAACAGCTTAGCATTCCAATTTGAACGAATTCATAATAATCAAATAGTACAAAATTGTGTACGAAGTACTTAGAGATGTTTTGGAAATTAATTGTAAGATAAGAAGCTTTTTTGTCAAGATGTTTCACAAAAGCTTTTTAAATACTATTGTTGGAATTTTTTAAAAAAGTTGTGACATTTCTGAAAAATAAAAACATGTGTGATTACTGATTAGTTACTCTTTTTTTTTTTTGGCCAAACTGATCAGTAACTCTTTACCACAACTTACCGTTCTCTTTTACTGCTATTTTTTTTTTTCACCAGTTTATGCGATCAATAAGTATTTTAAGGCTATTTTTTCCCAAGAAATGATTAACTTTTTTCTTAATCAGTTTTCAGCGTTTGGCTCCTTTTTGAATGTGGGAGGTGCGGTAGGGGCCTTGTTCAGCGGTCAATTGGCAGTCATCCTCGGCAGAAGACGGGTAATTACCATTTTACCCTTAAATCATACTACTAGTAATTATTACATCAAATTATGCACTTGTTTACTTTTAATAATACTTTACTCAAAAATGATTTTCGTAGATTCTGATTGATATATCTTTTTTTTTTGGTTGATTAACGATTAAAGACGTTGTGGGCATGCGATTTTTTCTGCATTTTTGGCTGGCTCTCCATTGCTTTCGCAAAGGTGTAAATCCGATACAAACCCTTAATATTTTTTTCTTTAAAAATAAATTTGGTTGTTGAAATATCTAATTTATAGATTTGAATAAATGTGGAAACAAAAAAGAATGTCTTCTGGCTGGACTTGGGAAGAATTTCCTTGGGCATAGGAGTCGGCTTGATTAGCTACGTGGTAATTAAAAAAATATTTATACCATTTACATTTGGTAATCTCACATATATAAATATATGTATATATATTATTGATTTATTTCACATTTCTTAAAACCAACATTTTAAATAATATTCATACAAGGTCCCTGTCTATATTGCGGAAATCACTCCAAAACATGTTCGTGGCGCATTTACTGCTTCAAACCAGGTAAACTCCTATTCTACTCTTTTTTTTTTTTTTTTAATTATAATAAAGTCTATTCTTTTATTTTATATCTCTAATAAGTTATTGAAGCTATTACCCCTTATATATTTTTATTAATAACCCACACTATTCTTTGGTTTTGAAGCTTCTTCAAAACAGTGGAATTTCCCTCATTTATTTTTTTGGGACTGTAATTAATTGGCGGGTTCTGGCTGTTATAGGTAACGGAATATCTCGTTGCGAGGCATTTACATTATTTTAAAAATAATACTGTAATATTAATATCAAAATGTGATTTTTGTTTATTTCAATATTTGATAAAGACTATACATATCAATTTTATTTAATTACATTTTCTGGTTCAGGTGCAATTCCATGCATCCTTCAAATGATCGGTATATTTTACATACCGGAATCTCCAAGATGGCTGGTTGGCATTTTTCTTTTAATCATTTCGACTATAAAATTTGACAAGTATGTAAAGGTTCTACTTCAGTCATTTGTAAATATTTTTTGTTGTTGTTTTTATCAGGCTAAAATCGGTTTAGGCAAAGAAGTAGAAAGTTCTTTGCATCGACTTAGGGGGAAAGATGCTAATGTTTCAGGTGAAGCAGCTGAAATTCAGGTATATATATTTTTTTAAAAAATCATTAGCTATTATAGATTACTGTATTAGTATTCTTTCTTTCTTTCCTTTTTTGTTAAATTATTAGGATACTTTCTATATATGTAACTGTAGTTATATGCGTGTTATACTTTTTCAGGTTATGACAAAAATGCTTGAAAAAGATTCAAAGTCTAGTTTCTCTGACATGTTTCAGAAGAAGTATAGACGAACTCTTGTGGTACGGTAACATATATAGGAACTAGTAAGGAATAGCGTGAAAAAGGCTATTTATTTACTTATGATATTACATTTGATGAAAGTAATGATTTGTTTTGAATTTACAGGTTGGAATTGGTTTAATGTTAATACAACAATTATCTGGAGCTAGCGGTATCACATATTATTCAAATGCCATATTCAGAAAAGCTGGTTAGGATATTCAAAGTCTTACTATTATTATTTATGAAATTATTTTGCTTTCATATAAATAATACTAGTAGTAGATCTGTAGATATCACCACCAATATTTAATCCTAATTAATATTATCTGCATTTTGCGTCTTTTAAACAGGCTTTTCAGAGAGACTTGGATCAATGATATTTGGTGTGTTCGTGGTGCGTACCTTAAACTAATTGATTTTCTTTGATGAAATTGAATTCCTCAAAGGCCAAAGCTCTTTCGATTATACCTTTTATGATTATTTTCTACTCTTTGTAGATCCCAAAAGCTTTGGTTAGTCTGATTCTTGTGGACAGATGGGGAAGACGACCACTCCTATTGGTTAGAAAAATACAGTTTACTCTTTATAGTAACAATTTATTAATTATTAACATTATCTTGATAAACATTATTCTAGGCTTCTGCTATTGGAATGTCCATCGGATCCTTACTTATTGGAGTTAGCTTCACGTTACAGGTTACTCTTTTATTGTTTATACTTTATATATTGGACTAATATGAGATAATTATCAACACGTATGATATTACAATCTTTTTATTCTTATAATATGATTTTTGTTTCTGATACAGCAAATGAATGTGCTTCCTGAATTGATCCCAGTTTTCGTCTTCGTAAACATTCTGGTAAAATATTTTATTTTTTCCCAACAATTATTCATTTTTCCATGCATAATTTTTTTTATTGGTCTTAACTTGTAATAAGAAATCTTTAATTAAATTTGGTTAGGTCTACTTCGGATGTTTTGCATTCGGTATAGGAGGGCTACCTTGGGTCATTATGTCTGAGGTAAATAACATTTTTTAATTTATAAAAATCATATAGTTAAACATTTATGAAAGAAAAAAAAATTGTTTATTGTGTGTGTTTGTGTTTCTTTTGTTGTTGTTGCAGATCTTTCCGATAAATATAAAAGTTTCAGCAGGAACAATAGTAGCATTAACATCATGGACTAGTGGGTGGTTCGTGAGTTACGCTTTCAACTTTATGTTTGAATGGAGCGCACAAGGTCTTTATTTTCTCTATTATTTTTAATTAATTTTGATAGATATAGTTCCCAAATAAAAAATTTATAGTCACCTTAAGGAAAAAAATACAAACCAAACATAAAGTTAATAATAGATAGATAGAGTAAAAAATACAACTAGAAAGACGTTTTAAAATCGTGTTCGAATTTTTTATATTTATATCAAACAGTTTTAGATGTGAAAAATGTGCATTCATAAAATATCTATTGGATTCATGTTTTGTTCAAATACTTTTGTTTTCTTGTTTAGATCGGATGATTTTATTTGAAATGATGAGTTTTTGTCTAGATTTTTAGTTAGGTATCCTGTATTGGCAATATATTTTCAACTTCAATTATGTCATTTACGTATTGTTAATAATAATTAAATAGGAACATTTTACATATTTGCGGCTGTCGGAGGAATGTCATTGATTTTTATTTGGATGGTCGTACCGGAAACCAAAGGACAGTCACTGGAAGAGTTGCAAGCTTCGCTTACCGGGACAACCTAAATAGTAAAATACACGTTATATTGTAATATATTAATTTTGTTTATTATAAATATATATTCATTATCTATTGGGAGTCGCATTGCAAATAATTGTGTATTTTGTAATATTATTTGCATATTCTTGATAGTGATATACCTTTTCTAGTTTCTTCCTTTGCGAATCAATGATTTATACTCTGTTTCATATTAAGTATCGTTTTAGACTTAAAATTTCGTTTCAAAATAAGTGTCGTTTTCTATTTTAAATGTAGATGTTTGAGAAAATTTCTAATTTTATCTCTACTACATTAATGTATTGACTAATAAAATACACCAAAAAAAATGCGTTGACCAATAAAAATTCGTATTATATATTAATAAGGGATAAAACAGAAATTTTGTTATTTTTTTTAATAAATGTGAAAAAAACTTAAACACACTTATAATGAAACGGTTAGAGTAATATAATTTTTAAAATAACAACTGAAGATGTCCGGCAATTAGGATGTCTATTTGTTTTTTTGAACAGGATATGTCTTTATAAATACACATTTACATTGCATAATATTCTCTCCGTTTTCTAATTTTAAATTAAATAATGTTTTCTAATTTCACAATATTACAAAAAAATGGATTTAAATTAAATTTTGGAAATCTCTTTTGAAAAAATACAAAGTTAATTGTCCATATCATATAGTTTTTAATTTAATATGCAAAAATTAAATGTATTTAATAGTTTTTGACTAATTATATTTTATAGCATATTTTTTATTAGTTGTAATTAATGATATTTTTATATAAAAAAGTAAATTAAATGAGATTTTTGTGATTTTTTGATTTTTGAGTAAAAATCTTAAAGTAAAAATCAATTAAAACAGAGGGAATATTAAATAAAACGTATAGGAGACAATAAACAAAGACAGCAGTGGAACCATTATACAAAAAATACGAATTTGGACAAGAAAAATATATAAAATACGAATTGCATTAAATGAAAGAATTAGTTGGACTATATTAGCCCTTCAATAAACGTGGCATAAGCTATATAATTCACTGAACCTGGACCCAAAATGAAAGGTGTATCAAGACTAAAAGATTGGGATCTGGGACAAAGAAACGTGCATGATAAAACTTCTTCACATCAGTCATTGTGAAGATTTTGGTTAGCAGATTTTGGTTAGCAGATTTTGGTTAGGTTGGCTCGACTTCTTACGATCTAAGGAACCTAAATAGAACAGGTTTGGTTTGACAAAAAAAAATAAAACAACTTTCGGCATGATGATTGATGAACAACAACTTAATTTCTTACATGAAAAAAATTGATTGTTGTATATACACACGTTTATAATGGATATTTGAGATCAACTCAAAGTATTAATGAGCACGTCGAAGTTGGATTTCTTCTAAAGTTAATCCTCGAGTCTCAGGCACCAAACACCATGCGAATACAATCGTTACTCCACTTATCATGGCGAATATAATAAAAGTTCCTACAATTCGAATTTACAAAAATAAATTAAGATATAGGCTTCGTCATTGGAATCTTGAATTTCATCAATCATATATCAATTTAAGATCCAAAAATATATCTAAAGAGCTCGAGACTCGAATAGATAGCAGTTCCATTATATCAAATGTCTGTTAGTTTTCCTTTTTTATCTCTGTTGTTAAGTTATCTAGTTCCGTGAATTAGAGAGAAAAAAAAAACTAAAACGAGCTAACTCATTAATAAGGTTCAATTTTGATGCTTTTGGACTGGTTTTGACGTACCGGTTGGGCTCCAAAGAAGCATAAAATTGAAACAGTAGCTGACGATCCAACCAGTTAACCAATTCGTTATGCTTACTAAACTTCCAGCTACTACTTTCATGTTTATCGGAAATATCTACACAAAAAGTGTAAGGAAATGAACAATTTTGAATGTCACAAAAAAAAAAAAAAAAAGTAAACGAAAAGGTAAACATATGTTCATATACCTCAGACATTATAATCCATGGTAGTCCTCCTAATCCAGCTGCGAACATCATATTGTATGTCTGTTTGGATTATAGATTTATTATCTTTGATCACATTAAAATGTTATTTGGGTCGGTTTAACTATAAACTTAAAATATTTCAGGTTGTTTTTATTCAAATAGAAAAAAGTGTATGATTTTTATTTTGAAGATAATATAAATTAATGAATTGGATGTCACTTACCAATATTCCTATAAATGCCAAAGTGGGAGTAACATTTACATTAATCCCAGGGACACCTTTCAATCCAAACGCCAATGCAAGAGAGATACAACCTAAACATAACCCAAATGCCGATGCCTGCAAATTTGTACATTAAAGTATGTATACTTTATAAACGTAATTAATCAATTAACACAATAAAATTATACTAGAGTAACAAATAAAAATATTATAACCATAAGAAGCGGTCTTCTTCCCCATCGTTCCACAAGAATCAGACCCAATATAGCTTTTGGTACCTATCATGATCAATACCATTTCATAGATTATGGATAAAAGTGTAAATATATAACAACGATCAGATTATGAATATTTTACATATACGTACTATGACAATAGACAACACCGTCATCCCAATCCGAGAAGGAAATCCTTAAGAGTTAAAAGTAAAAATTAAATTTTTAAAAAACACATTACACATTTATATTTTCACGTAATAATCATTACAAATAAAATAATAATAATCATTAACTTTGTTGATGAAACTTTACCAGCAAGATCAAATACGCTACCAGCGTAATAAGACAACCCTGCACTTCCACCTAACTGTTGCAGAAGCATCAAACCTACACCGATCTTGATTCAATTTACCAAAATAAAATTAAAAAAAGTCAGTTAATTAAATTTCATTTAAACTACTTTAAAATTTTAAATTTTTACTGATGATGAATGAAATCCCCCTTTTCATACTATAAGTTGATGAGTATATTTCTTTCTGAAGAGACTACGCATGCTTGTATTTGCGGAACCATCAACAGACATCTGCAAAAATTAGTATAAAAATGAGCAACATTTATTTCAAGAATAGATCTACAATAATATTCAAATATTTTCTATAAAATGAAGGAACAAATAGTAATATTTTTTTTAATTATAATCATTATTAAATGAAATGTTAATATTTAATTTTCATAATGATTTATACGTGTGTACCATGATTTCTCGAATTTCTTTAAGAATATCCGCTTCATCTCCTCTTAATTTCTGAAGAACAACCTGACATTCTTTGTCACGACCTTCCTTTGCCTGTAATAATTAATCATGCTAAATGTGTATATATAAGTTAGCTTTTAAAATTACAAAATTAGACAACTTAATTAGAAAATGTATAAGATGATTCATATAACTAACCAACCATCTTGGAGATTCGGAGACGAAAAACAACCCAAAAAGTTGTATCAAGCATGGAAGGATGCCTAAAGACATTAAAGTATCTTTGATAAAATGGTTTATACAAGAAATTTAATTTACTTATCAATAATAGATATGATGAAATTTGCAGAAAAAAAAAAATAATAGTTAGAAAGAGTCACCTATTAGGGCTATCATTCTCCATGACAGAAAATTTCCAAGATAATACGCGGTTGCTAGCCCACAATTTTGCAACAGCTGTAAATAGCTAAACCTTAGTATAATATAATATATAAGTTTGATAATAAACTAGTTATAAATTTATATTTACCTGATTGCTAAATGTAAAAGTGCCTCGCACAGTTTTGGGAGTTATTTCTGCGATATATACAGGAACCTATAAAAATATTAATATATAAACTCGCGTTATTAAAGTTTTAGAGATATCTACCAAAAAAATTAAATTTTAGGGATGATCATAAAAGAAAATATTAGTACTGAAAATATATATATATAAATTACCACGTAACTAAGGAGACCAGCTCCAGTTCCCACAAAGAATCGTCCCAAGTCCAGCCAAATAATATTCTACGCAAAGATAAATTAATCAAAATTAAAGAGTAATTAAGCTTATAATGTAATGATACTAAATCTTTATCAAAAAAAAGAAAGTAATGATACTAAATGCGTAGTGAAGAAACCTTGGCTAGTGCAATTGCAAGCCATCCACTTATGCAGAAAACCTCAGCGATCCACAAAGTCTAAGAAATATGTTAGAGCGAAAATATTATTAAAAAAGATTAAAGGTTTAAAGATTATGCCAAATGAATTTAATTAATAAAAAAAATTAACCATTTTACGGCCAACTAAGTCTGCAATCGTGGCGCTAAATATTGCGCCAATCATTCCTCCAAACGTTAATAGCGAACCAAATACAGAAAACTACAGAAAAAACATTTATAAAAATAAATTCCAATTATCATAATTATCGAAATAAATTTTTATTTGTTAAATCTTATCTGAAATAGTAATGAATGTAGTTAAACAGGGACTTACTTGTGCGATAGAAAGATCAAGCTCTTCCATAATGGAAGCCATTGTACCAGCAGTGTGGCCTAACTGATTCTCATAAAAACAATTGAGATACATGCATGAATATCTAAATAAGTTGAACACAGTTAGAATATTTCAATGCAAAACCCAATTCTGATTTTCAAAAAAGGTAATTTGGAATCCTTCAAAACATCAAAAATAGATAAATAAGTTAACAAAATATGTTTACCAAAAAAAAAAAAAAAAAAGTTAACAAAATATTTATAAAAAAAATAATAATAAGAAAACGTACGGCAACGCCGAAGGAGAAGGAGGCAGAGACAATGATGAAAGCGGTGAAGACAAGAAGTGGAGTTGTATTTGCATTCTCTTCCTTTTCTACCAATAATCCTTTCTCAATGCTACTACTCTCTCCCTCCATTTTCTTCACTCAAATAAGCCTCAAAAATACTAGAATTGAACCGAGCTAAAGAACAAAAGAGAGAGAGAGAGAGATAGATATACTCTGAGAAGTGAGAACTATGCCTTCTCTTTATATATAGATTCATGTCTCATATTAGTGCATCACAATTTTTATTATATATTTCTCGAAGACAATAATGTATGTTATAAACAAAAAAATTAAATAATGCTTATAAGTTTTGGATTTGGTATAATATATTTGCTATATATATTTTTTATTTTCCCAGGGTATTACGGATTACATGTTTCAGAGAGATCAAAATGCAGTACTGATCCAAGTTGATAATTAATTAATAATTATATACATGAAAATATTAAAACGCTGTTGATACCCGAAAAATTATAGACATTTTATTGACAAGTAAAAATATGGATCACGCTTGTCCAAATACAAAAATATGAGGGTCCTAATAACTTATCTAATACGGTAATACCTACTTAATGGACTACGACGAATTTTAATTCTGCTACGTAAACGTAATAATAATCAAGAAAGAAAAAATTCCCAAAAATAATAAAATATGGCCACGTACTTCACGCTGTTTCCTATTTTAACTTATTTAAGTCGAATACATTATTATATATCGACAGTTTAACGTTTTCTGATTGTGGTGTGTAATATGAAAACTATATATCAACAGAAACCGTGAAACAGGCCGCTCAATCGGTCAATCAAACTATTTTAATTAATGAACAAAAATCGAGAAACCAAATTTACCGTGTGAGAACTGAGAACACTCCGTCCTCACCAAAGGAGGTAGAAGTTAGAGACAAAAGAGCCATCATGGCTAAAGCATCGGTTACACCATTGTGAGACCGAGGTACAAAGACAAAAGAGATAGAACTAAAGTTTTCACTAAGCAGGAAAATATCGTGGAGGATTCTTCGAAGCTCCGTGACACAACCTTTAGAGTTGATCAGCGAAATAAGGGATTGTGAGTCCGATCGAGTAGATCACCATCGGGTTAGCGTCAGTGTTTGCTGCCAACAATGACAAAGCACTACGCAAAGCTAAAGCCTCTGTGAAGTAGCACTCTGAAACAAGTGCCGAGGAGACAAACCTCCTATGAGAGGAGAAGGAGTGAGAACGGGTACTATTGCTGGTATCTTGAATCACCCAGCCCATACCACAGAATCCAGAGGAAGCATTCCATGCGGCGTCAACGTAACGAGTGGTCGCATCAGAGCGAGAAGGGAGTGGCCATGGCTGAAGAGGAGCGTTGTAACACCTCTGCTTAATTAGAAGCGTCGTTTTTTACCTAGTTATGAGAGACCATGCCGGCCACTTCTTGACTAAAGAACATTTTTTTTTTTTCTTTAATTTATGATCAACGACGACTAAAGAACATGTTCCATGCCATAATTCTATCAACGAAATCCGAAGATCCAATGCTAAATTCATAAAATATGTATACAGCCTCACTTTTTTAAAAAAAATTGCAGTTATGTTAACAAGGGTAGGCATTTGGCTGTAAATTTTTATAACTTACATAAAAAAAAATTACCATGTATTATACAGTATAATTCTATTATTGCTTGAATCTCTTCCAAGGTTCTGCATTTAGTTTCAGAAACAAGTTTTGCTATGAAGACAATAATAGCCCATACACATTGAACAGGTTTGGTGTGACAAAACAAAGAAAAAGATTATAGCACAACTGTCGGCATGATGGGCATTCTGACATATATAAAAGATTTAGTAATAAATGTAGACCATGCATAATCGATTCACATTGTTTGTATATATGAAATCCGATTATGATTGTTTTATAATAGATATATGAGATCAACTCAAAGTATTATTGAGCACGTCGAAGTTGGATTTCTTCTAAAGTTAATCCTCGTGTCTCAGGCACCAAACACCATGCGAACACAATCGTTGCTCCACATATCGTAGCAAATATGATAAAAGTTCCTGCAATTCGAAATTTTAAAAATAAGATATATGCATTGTTATTGGAATCTTTAAATTCATAAATCATATATCATTGTAAGATCTCCAAAACTATATCTAAAGAACTCGAGACCGGGATCGGATAGATAGTTGCAAAAAGTGTTCAAACTGAGAGAGGAGGACTATCTAATTTTTGTCTCTGTTGTTAAGTTATATAGTTATGTGAATATGTATATAAATACCGAATCTCTAAATTTGGTTGATTATAAGGGTATTAGAGAAAGAAAAGGAGAAGAAAACTAAACTAGGTACAATTTAATGCTTGTGGACTAGTTTTGACGTACCGGTTGGACTCCAAAGAAGCATAAAATTGAAACAGTAGCTGACGATCCAACCAGTAAACCAATTGGTTATGCTTACTAAACTCCCAGCTACTACTTTCATGTCCATCGGAAATATCTACACAAAAAAGAAATGAACAATTTTGAATGCCACTAGAAACTAATTAAAAAGTTTGTTCTAGCATGTAAAAGAAAACATATATACCTCAGACATTATAATCCATGGTAGCGCTCCTAACCCAGCTGCGAACATCATAACGAATGTCTGTTTGGATTATAGATTTATTCTATTCAATCACATTTTGAAATTTCTATAGAATCTAGCTATAACTGAAAAATGACAATATATAGCTTTAATTTTAATATGCGTTTTCAATGATTGGTTCTAGGCCAAGTGAGATTATGGGCAAAAACTTAGACTTTCCTTATTAACAAAAAATAATAATAAATTCAAACTTAGATTGTTTTTAACGATTTTATCAAACTTATAAACTTCGAATACTTCAGGTTGTTTTTTTTTTTGTTTTCAATAACAAGGTTGCTTTTATTCAAATAGAAAAAAAGTGTATGATTTTTATTTTGAAGATAATATAAATTAATGAATTGGATGTCACTTACCAATATTCCTATAAATGCCAAAGTGGGAGTAACATTTACATTAATCCCAGGGACACCTTTCAATCCAAACGCTAATGCAAGAGAGATACAACCTAAACATAACCCAAAAGCCGATGCCTGCAAATTTGTACATTAAAGTTTGTATACTTTATAAACGTAATTAATCAATTAACACAATAATAATACTATAGTAACAAATAAAAATATTATAACCATAAGAAGTGGTCTTCTTCCCCATCGTTCCACAAGTATCAGACCCAATATAGCTTTTGGTACCTATCATGATCAATCCCATCCATTTCATCATGAAATCGAAGAAATTTAGGAGTCAAAAGTGGTAAATAACAAGGATCACGTTATGAATATTTTTACAAATACGTACCACGACAATAGACAAGACCGTCATCCCAATCCGAGAAGGAAATCCTTTTTCAGAAAAAAAAAAAACATTTATATATAGACGCAATAGTCATTCAAAAAATAAAATAATGATAAGCATTAAATCCATTGATGAAACTTTACCGGCAAGATCAAACACGCTACCAACGTAATAACCTAATCCTGCACTTCCACTTAACTGTTGCAGAAGCATCAAACCTACACCGATCTTGATTTAATTAACCAAAAACAAAAATCAGTTCAGTTAATTTAATTACTTTTAAAATTTTCAAATTTTGCTGCTGATGAATGAAACCCCTTTTTCGTACTGTAAGTTGATGAGAATATTTCCTTTTGAAAAGACTACGCATGCTGATATTCGCGGAAGCATCAACAGAAATCTGCAAAAAAAAAATAGAATGAAGATGAGCAAGATTTTTTTTCAAGAAGAAAAATATTAATTTTAAAATTCTGTGTGAAAAAATGGAAGAAATAGTAATACAGTTTTCAAATTTGATCAAAATTAAACTAAATGTTAACATCTAATTTTGATTATGATTTATATGCATGTATACCATGATTTCTCGAGTTTCCTTCACAATATCCGCTTCGTCTCCTCTTAATTTCTGAAGAACAACCTCACATTCTTCGTCACGACCTTCTTTTGCCTATAATAATTAATCACACTTAATGTGTGTATATAAATCCTCTTATAAAATATACAAAATTAACAACTTAATTATAAAATGTATAAGATGTTTCATATGACTAACCAACCATCTTGGAGATTCAGGGACGAAAAACAACCCAACAAGTTGTATCAAGCATGGAAGTATGCCTGAAGACATGCATTAAAGTATCTTTGATGAAATAGTTTATGCAATAAATTAAATTTCATTATCAATAATAAATATGAAAAAATGAAAGTTGTAGAGAAAAAAATAATAGTAGTAGATGAGAAAGAATCACCGATTAGGGCTATGATTCTCCATGATATGAAATTTCCTAGGTAATACGCGGTTGCCACCCCACAATTTTGCAACAACTGTAAATAAGTAGACCTTCATCAATATATATCTATATATATGTGATCATACACAACTTATAAATTTACATTACCTGATTACTAAATGTATAAGTGCCTCGCACAGTTTTGGGAGTTATTTCTGCAATATATACAGGAACCTACAATAATATATATATAAACTAGCGTTGTTAAAAAGCTTAGAGGTATCTAACAACAGCAAAAAATAATAGAAATTTTCTATCCAAAAAAAAAAAAATTACCACGTAACTAAGGAGACCAACTCCAATTCCTACAAAGAATCGTCCCAAGTCCAGCCAAATAATATTCTACGCAAAGATGAATTAATCGAGATTAGAGATCGAGTACGCTTATATAGTAACGATACTAAATGCGTAGTGAAGAAACCTTGGCTAGTGCAATTGCAAACCATCCACTTATGCAGAATACCTCAGAGATCCACAAAGTCTAAGAAATTTATTAGAGCGGAAACATTATTAAAAGGGGTTAGAGGTTTATATATGCCAATAGGATTTCAAATAAGAAATATCTAACCATTTTACAACCAAATGAATCTGCAATCGTGGCGCTAAATATTGCACCCAACATTCCTCCAAATGTCAACAACGAACCAAATACAGAAAACTGTGAAAAAAAAACAAATTCCAATTATCATAAATTATCGGAATTAGATTTTTATTTGCTATAAGCTATCTGAAATATTAATGAACTTAGTTAAATAGAGACATACTTGTGTGATAGAAAGATCAAGATCTTCCATAATGGAGGCCATTGTACCAGCAGTATGCCCTAACTGATTATCATCAAACTAATTGAGATACATGCCTGAATATCTAAATAATTAAGTTGAACACAATTGGAATATTCTACGCCAAATCCAGTTCTGAATTTCGAAAAAGGTTAATTGAAATTCTTCAAAACATGAGGATAGTTACATAAATTTTATGCCTTGTATATATGAATTTCGGAAAAGGCTATCTGGAATACTTCAAAACATTAAAAAATAAATAAACAAAATATTAAGAAAAATCGTGGCTAGAAGTGGTATCTCTAGCCAATTAATATTCCTATCCATTCGTAAAAATTTGATTTGGCTCCCTAAAGACTCGAAACTGAAACTCAAAACACAACCAATTTTTGATAAGTAAACGTATAGCTTTAAAATTTACTTTAAAAGACCCTAAATCGAAAGACTGATCATGCACGGTGATTCGTTGATGGATCCCACGTTGTTAAATCCAATTTCTTTTGAAATCGTAAGGTTTGTCTATTAACATGCTAATGAACCTTTAAAACTAATGAGTAAACAAATTAAAAACACGCAAAGGACGTCAACTTTTTAACTTATGTACTGTATATTTACTTTTCAGAAATTCTTGCCATTAAGTAAATATTATTTTATATATATATATATATAATATATGATTCCCCAAGAAAAAAGAGAGGGAAAAAAAGTAATATGGAATACTTCAAAACATCAAAAATAGATAAATAAGTTAACAAAAAGTTAAGAAAACGTACGGCAACGCCGAAAGAGAAGGAGGCAGAGACAATGATGAAAGTGGTGAAGACAAGAAGTGGAGTTGTATTTGCACTCTCTTCCTTATTTACCAATAATAATCCTTTCTCAATGCTCCTATTCTCTCCCTCCATTTTCTTCACTCAAATAAGCCTCAAAAATACTAGAATTGAACCGAGCTAAAGAACAAAAAAGAGAGAGAGAGAGAGATAGATATTATACTCTGAGAACTATGCTTTCTCTTTATATATAGATTCATTTAGATGGTTTGACCTCGTTTTTACTGTAAATTAAGACGAGGATAGTTACAGAAATGTTATGCCAACTATTTATCTATCTATGGTAGATTAGATTCGTGCTCATCATTGTTATTATTATTTCTATAATTTTATACAGACAATTTTACATACATGCAGGTTAGCTAGGTTTATCTCCCTGTACCATTTCTACAATTAGAAACTTATCAACCAACAAATGTGTAAAAATAAAAGGGAACTGAAGACGAGAGCATTATAAGTTGTTATTTTCACAATTAATAACACCTTTGAATATACATATTGTGAGTACAATTAGTCAATTATATACCAAAAGTGTGCTCTTAATTCAGTTTTATCAACAACGTTTGCCTTTAAGTTATTGCAGGTGTATAAGATATATATGTCTCGATTTGCCAACCATAGCTTTTTTAAAATACATGCTTGAAGTTGAAGTAAAATAATAATCATAATCCGAGAAACTCTTTAAATTTGCTCAGTAGTATTTCACCTTTTTAATGTATTTATGTATTTGTCAAAAGATGAAAACATTATACTAAAATCAACAGAAAGTGTAAATGACAGACCGGATGAATTGGAAACGATAAATAATTTATTAATTTGTCCATTTGATCATTAGCATGACTACAGTTTGCTTGAATTGTTAATTAGACGACTTAGGAATAAGGATGATTATTCGGAAATTATCATCTCCGGAATTCAATAAACTTACTTACGCAACTTCATCGCCGCACGTCTTCCCATTAATTAGTGGTTCAACTCCTGTAGTGGTGTTCCAACTTCTAACGTCACATGCATGTTGATCAATTAGTTACACATTTAATCAAAACGAAAAAACAATACTGATATGTGTTGGATTTGGTATCCTAATATATTTTTTTGGAAAATGTTGTACTAATATTACCAGAAACAAAAAAAAATCACACTGCGGTTTGCTGTTATTTTTTGTGATGACCTTTAGCCGCTCCTCGGTTATGATGTTTTTTGTGATGGTTTTTATAACTAAACATGATTAATTAATTAATCAGTAATGACAACACAATCAATCATGTGGTGATGCGCAATCTGAATTCGATTATATATGAAAATATTAAAATAATTATTCAACGTTATTAACCCCGAAAAATTGTATACATTTTTATTGACAAGTGGATATGGATCACGTTTGTCCTAATACAGAAAATATGATGGCCCTAAATACCTACCTAACGTTATACTAATGGACTACGAAGAGATGACGTAAGCAAAATTCCAAGAATAAAACATATGGCCATGTATTTCTCGCGGTTTGATATACTATCAGTAACAATTTAACAATTTAACGGTTTTTTTTTTTATTATGATGTGTAACGTGAAAACTATTTATTAATAAAATCTATTTGTAGTACCAATTGACCATAAAATTAGTTTTTTTTTTTTTTGATAAGAATGTAAAATTAGTTACATAGCACGATGCATGGCCATTTTAAAATGTTTAGACTTAAAGCTCATCGAGTCAACGCTTATTTTGAGAATATGTTTTTTTTTTTTTTGGATTATTCCTCACAGAAAGAATAACGTGTTACGAATTGAGAAACAAAGCTTTATAAAATTATCTAACAAAGAAAAAGAATAAAAATTTGACTGTGTGAATATTCGTTGCAGTTTTTTTGTCAATTGACTTGTGATTTACTATAAAGATGAGAATGTTTACTCGTTCAAAATCGAGGGACCAAATTTACATTGATCGAAGAAAAAGCGTTAAGTCGTTATAATTACTGTTGTAGCCTCAACTACTTTACCGTGCGAGAACAAATCCGTCTCGACTATTTGGCCCAATGTTTTGACCATTGGGTTCGAGAAAACCCATTTTAGGAGAGGACATGCCCACTTCTTGACTGAAGAACTTGTTCATGCCATAATTCTATTAACGAAATCTGAAAATTCAATGCTAAGTTCATAAAAAGAATTTCGGTTATATTGATAATGGTATGCATTTGCATGTAGATATTATAACTTATAATTAAGAAAAAAATTAACATGTATTATATAATTATAGAATTACATCATCATTGCTTGAATCTCTTCCAAGGTTCTGCCTTTAGTTTCAGGAACAAGTTTTGCTATGAAGATAATAGCCAATATACATACGCCACCATACACATAAAATGTACCTAAAACAAATAAATGCGATCAATACTGATTGTTTACCTAGTTATGTATATAAATTAAAACAAAAAAATGTAATACCATGAGGGCTCCAAATCATGAGAAAGTTGAAAGTGAATGAGACAAGCCATGAACTTAGCCAATTTACTACAGTGACAAGTCCTCCGGCAGTTCCTTTCATATTTATTGGAAATATCTGGAAAAAAAAACAATTGGCAGCAGAAAAGTAAAAATTTTAAAGTTAATGACAAGATTATGAAGAAAAAAACATGAAATGTGAACATTTTTTATTGTTTTGAAATTACCTCAGACATTATAACCCATGGGATTGCACCCATTCCAATAGAGAACGAACCAATGTAGACCTGGAAATTGTTTTTTTTTGGTCAACCGAGGAAAACACAAGACTAAACCAGCCAAAATTTGGGTTTATAGATGTTTACCAAGACACCACTAACTGCTAGGGCCGGAATGATGTCAAGTGCTAAACCATGAGCCTGGTTAATTAATATCAAAACCAAAATCAAACCGGTTAAACTATACGTCCTATATTTTTCCTAATATTATACTCGTTTAGGTTATTTTGTTGATTGTCATATGATTGACCTTCAAAAGAAATGAATTTCCAATGAGCAAACATCCAATCAGCATCCCAACAGCTGAAGCCTGCAATGTACCGACATGGTCAGACCGAATAATCCAAACCGGTATTCTTTGGTTTATTGGAAACTGAAGTAAGAAACCATACCATAAGAAGTGGCCTTCTTCCAAGACGATCAATTAGCAATGTTGCGCCGAGTGCTGTAAGAATTACTTGTTCGATCGAGTATAGAATGCTTCCAAGAGTTGGGGATGCTCCTGGTACACCAAAACCGGAACAAAAACCGATGATTGGACTAGAAATTGAGCATGTGAAATCTCAACATTTGCTAAATCATTTCTTAATTATAACCTGCTGATACGAATATTTGTTGTGCGTAGAAGATAACACCATTTATTCCAACGAATTGTTGGAAAAACATCAAACCAACTCCAACCTGATACAATACAAAAAATAAGATTAGACCAAAATCAAACCGGGAAACATAGTTACTTATAATCGGTTAAATGGAATTAGAGATTCTTCTTACAATTACAAATCGAATATTCTTTTTGTCAATAAGGTCCCACAGCGTGGCTTTTGGGAGGTGAGCAAGAGTCGCTAAGTACTCCTATAAACCGGAATCCAAAAACAAAAATGTTATGTCACGTACAAACCGGTTTTCTAATTCGATTCTCTGGTTTAGACTGTACCTGAATTTCCTCGGCTTCTCTCGTGATATTGGCGTGAGGACCCCTCAGCTTTTGCAACGCAATTTCAAAATCGTGGTGGCGGCCAACCATTTCCTTTAAATACCAAACGCGTATGAGTTGCGTCGGTTAGTTTCAACCATAGATTGTAAAACCGAAACCAAGCTGAAATTGAGTTTCGATCTTACCAGCCATCTGGGTGATTCAGGGATGAACCAAGTCCCAAAGAACAGAACCACGCACGGTGCAACTCCTGAAATTGGTTAATCAAACCTGGTTTTGTTATAACGAAACTAAATTCAATACCATCTTTTGTACAGTTACTAAACCAATAACAAATATTTCCGGTTAAGCTACGGCACAAACAAGTTTACCGGTTAGTGCAAGAGTTCTCCAATTTACGACGGCGCCTATGAGGAACATAGAAGCTAATCCGATTACGATAAAGAGCTGCAAAATTAACAATAGCAATTTACTTCAAAGATCTAAATAACTCTAAATACTGTTTTGATTTTTGATCACAAAATAAACCTAATTTGTTTGACAAGGTGGAATATCTCGAAAACACTAGCACATTTGCTAGCTCTGATTCTATTGTAACCAGTACATTTTCTAATGCAGTAGTAAATAAAAGGACATCATCACCTGGTTAAGCGTCGCTAAGGCGCCTCTCAATTTTCTCGGACTAATTTCAGCGATGAATACCGGTACCTACACAAAATCATTGCCAAATGTGGATTTCTTAAAAGTTTCATAATAAGGATTTATTTATAAAACTATGCATGGCTTTTTTTTTATCCATACGAAGGGGAAAAGGCTATGAAAATGTCGTACCACAAAGGAAAGGGTGCCGCAACCATAACCCGTCAGAAATCTTCCGAAATCCAAAGGTACGTCACCCTAATATTAAAAAAATTGGCACTATTTAATTGCAGATTTTCAATTTTATTTGAAGTTTTTTAAGACAAATAATGAAGAAATTTAGCCAAAGGAAAAACCTTGGCGAAGTAAATTATCAGCCAGCCGATGGCAGAGATCACTGAAGACAACCTCATGGCCTGTCTCAAAAACCATGTGAGCCAAAAAAGTATATTATATTTTGTAATATCATAACATGCATATAATCATATTAACATATCACAAAATGTGTAGTGCATTTGATTCTTGTGGGCTTTTTTTTTTTTTTGAGGGTTTCTTGTGTGCATATTGAGATAAATTAAATTGGTTTAGGTAGGTTTTACCCCTTTCCGACCGATGAAATCAGAGATCTTTCCTGATGTAATGGCGCCGAGCACTGCTCCCACATTCAGTGTCGATCCAAAAACTGAAAACTAGATTCCAAAAGAAAAAACAAAGGTTAAGCAAAATATATCGTTAAACATCTACAAACGTCAAAGACTTAATTAATTTAAATATAAACCTTGGAATATGATAAATTAAGCTCTTCCATAATCCCAAACTGGGTTGGAGCAGAATATCCCACCTATTAAAGAAAACACAAATTTTCTCGTATCAACAAAAGATTAATCGTTATTAATTCTTAGTTAGTCATCTTTTTTAATCTTCGTCATCGAAGTGATAGATGTCGTAAAAGAATCTTACGCATGTTCCAAACTCGTAGGAACCGCAAACGGCAATGATTGTGCTTAGATAAACCATCCACGACGCTTCTTCTGAGACGTCTGATCCATTCTCCGGCAGCAGCAACGGCTCGGATTTGTCGTTCATTTTCTCCATGTCGTCTTTTCTTCTCTCCATTTTCTTCGTAGAATGCCCCCTTTTAATTCAACGAATACTTATCAATTTTTAAGTAGATAAAATATAGGATATATGAAAAGAAAACAAGATTTGGATAACTCACCGAAGGAAATGAGAAGGCACCGTGTTTTTAGATCTAAAAACTCTGATTTATTCCGAATTTATTGATATATGTCTATATATATCTCTGTATAAATCAGTACATGTAGCTAGGCTGTCTTAGCTAAAACCCATGCAGGATGATTTTGGACGATTTAGACAATTTGAATTAATTTATTCTACATATTTTGGCCCCCAATGCATTAATCACGTTGGGGATTCTCTAGATCCGTTATATTTATCTCTTCTAATTTTAACCAATTATTATGTCATGTTAATAATATTTAAATAAGAATTAAAAATTAAACAAACAAATAAATAAATTAAGAACATAAATCATTGTTGTAGAATCGTCTATGTAACAGTTCTCATAATTTGCAATAAATAATAAATCTAGACGTAAAAAAAAAAAGAACATAAATCATTAACAAAATGATTAATTAATTAACAGAGTCGGCGTGATTACCAAAACAAATTAATGGAGGGGTCGATGTTTTACCCATCTGGGTTGTTCTTCTTTCATGATGTATCATTCACAAGAATCTATTAGACGAATTAATCAAAAACTTAAAAAGAGAAGACGACTCCTCTGTTAATTTATTTTGGTAATCACGATGACTCCGTTAATTAATCAATTTTGTTTGTTGATGATTTATTTTCTTAATTTATTTTATTTGTTTATTTAATTTTTAATTTTTGTTTGAATGTTATATGACATGGCATAATGATTGGTTAAAACTAAAATGAGTGAATACAAGAATTGTTCTTATGACTGAAGGGATGTAAAATATATAGCAAGAAGTGTGTTAGTGGATCTTAGAATGGTTCATATATGGACCGCCACTCTAGAAATCATCAAAATCTATCAAAATGGTTTTGTCGGTAAACTTGAATTGAGCATGACAATTTGGACCCAGTTTCATCGAGCAAAAACCTATTTATTTAATCATGGGTACAGAAAGTTAACGTAGGGTATTGATATGATAGAACAGAACAGTACCTAACAAGATTTTCATAAATGATCGATGTCCCCTCTCTTAGTCAACACTGAAGTATTGAAAAAATAACTCCCAACAATGATTGTGGTTAATAATTGAACCATCCAAAACTTATATAAGAATTACTCTTGAAATAATATTTGTGAATCACAAAAATAAGAATCATGAAACTAGTCCATCCATATCTATATCTCAGACAAAAAAAAAATACAAATAACTGGGTGCAAAGCATTAAAGTCAATGCCGGTTTTAATGCAGGCTTTCTGCATATATACACGGGGTAATTATTCTTTTTACAAGAAAGAAACTACAAAACGTATAATTATTCTTTTGTTACTTGAAAAAAAAGATATAGAAAAGCTATTAGTTACCATGCTCGCAATGTAAAGTTCTACTATTGATAAGTAACGGTAAAAATACTTAAATAGATTTACTCAAGTTTGAGTTTAACTTATAACTAAAATCTTTTATAAATTACCTTATCAACAAGAAAAGAAAGTTAAATCTCTTGTTATCTTAAAAAGACTCTAAATTAGGAATATGAGTTTAGATAACGAGACCGACAGAAGAAGCGATTTCTACGGTCCCTTAACCCTTTCTGCCATAAATGAAGCTAAGAGAATGCCATTCAATTCAATCTAAAGAGAGAATATCAAAAACATTGCCAAATATAGGATTTAGTCATATTAGAGTCTAACTATTTGCTTAACAAAAAAAAAAAAAACTACTAGTAGATATACCATTGGTCAACGGAAAACAATTAAATTAGTAAATCAAATTTTAAACACAAAGACAAAACCTTTTCTTTCGGGTGTCTCGAGACGAACACCAACTTCAAAACTTCTTTCTATTTTTATTTTTATTTTGGTTTTTTTTGTTAACTTCTTTCTATTTCTTTTCAATGATCCTCTCTATCTTTAGGTATTTAGGTTTTTGAGAAAATCTTAAAAGTTTCATGGCGGTAGACCAAAGCAAAGAAGCTTGCCCCTTGTCTTGTGCTCTTCCAATGTAATTATTCAATCAAAAGCACTTTTTCTATGTTTTTATGTTTGTTTGTTCTTATATTTGATTAAGTTTTGTCCGTAGACATGATATAAATGTCTGAAAGTTTCGAATTTTATTTTCTATTCTGCTACTCTCTCATAATTTTCATTGAAACTTCACAGAATGTTTAAGCAGATTAACGAACTTTACCTCAATCTTCTCTTACTTTCAATTTACAGAAGAACAACATGTTTAGTTTGTTCTTTTAATCTGAATCTTCCGATGCAGGTACAACTCTAAATATTCAAGTTATGTCACTGACGAAGATTCAAACGACATGAATCATATGACAAAACATAAAAGAACCAACGCTTTTCTTTTGAATTCTGCTTCAGCTCACGGTAAAACCTAGCTCCTCTTTTACTCTGTTTCCTCTGTTTTTCTCTTCTCCTCTGTTTTCTTATTCATTGCTTGTACACCAAGAAACCTAGCTTCTTCCAACGTTTTCTCTCCCTTGTCCTCTCAGATCTAAGATGTCTAGAGGTCGAGAAAGAGAAGCAAGACCCTAAATCACCGAGAGGAGCCTTAGAAGCCTGCTTAACCCGTTCCTCAATCTCTTCCTCTTCCTCTGACGACCCTCCTCCAAACAGAGAAGCTAGCGAGAACGCAGATGCAGACACAGATGCACAGTGCAAGAATCACAGAGCATCATCAAACTGGGGAAAATTCTTCAAGCTATGGAAACGCAGATCCATGAAACGCCTCTCTTCCTTTCCCCCATTAAGTGGCGCCGCCCCATCGATCTCCAAAAGCAACAAAACACACATCGATGGTATGGTCCTTCACGATATCTACGATTTCCAATCATCTCTCCACAACTTCTCAATCTCTGACATCGAAATTGCAACTGACAATTTCAGTCCAGGTATCAAGTTATTATTCTTATAACAATATACTCTGTTTTTTTAACTTGAAGGACTGTTTGTTTGGTTGCTACTATTACTGCGATCAAAATGACACTTCTAAATGAATGCAGAAAACATTATTGGAAGAGGCGGTTATGCTGAGGTATACCAGGGAATTCTACCGGAAGGAAAGCTAATCGCTGTGAAACGCCTGACGAAAGGCACACCGGATGAGCAAACAGCCGAGTTTCTATCTGAACTTGGGATAATAGCTCATGTTGATCATCCGAACACCGCCAAATTCATCGGTTGTTGTATCGAGGGTGGAATGCATCTCGTGTTCCGGCTATCTCCTCTTGGAAGCTTAGGCTCTCTCCTCCATGGTTTATATGTCCACCCCTAAACTTAACATATATATATATATATCGGACTTTTAAGCTTATCGGATCTAAATATTTAATTTTTGCAGGACCATCGAAATATAAGCTGACTTGGAGCAGACGTTACAATGTAGCGTTAGGAACAGCAGATGGACTAGTGTATCTTCATGAGGGTTGTCAAAGACGAATTATTCATCGAGACATCAAAGCCGATAATATTCTTCTCACCGAAGATTTTCAACCGCAGATTTGCGATTTTGGGTTAGCCAAATGGCTTCCCAAACAATTGACACACCATAACGTGTCCAAATTCGAGGGAACATTCGGGTAACAATTTGAAAATTTATTTAGGAATTTTTTTTGAGGTTTTCTTGTGTGGTTTAATGGAGAAATTTGGTTGGACAATGGTTTAGGTACTTTGCACCAGAATATTTCATGCACGGAATTGTAGACGAGAAGACAGATGTTTTTGCCTTTGGAGTTCTCCTCTTGGAGCTCATAACGGGCCACCCTGCTCTTGACGAGTCTCAGCAGAGCCTTGTCTTATGGGTGAGTATATATAGACCAGTTTGACATTTGAGGCTAAACCGGGCCGGTTCACTATCCTTTTATCAGTCTGGTACGAGTTATGTTTCCTTTTTTCTTATAATGGTCACAGGCTAAGCCGTTGCTAGAGAAACAAGCTATAAGAGAATTGGTGGATCCATCTCTTGGAGATGAGTATAACAGAGAAGAGCTTATCCGGTTAACTTCCACTGCTTCTTTATGCATCGATCAGTCTTCTCTCCTACGACCCCGGATGAGCCAGGTACAATGTAATTCCATCCCGGTTTAGATGTGAAAGTGGTCAAATTCTTGTAGACCAACATTTGGTTCCGGTCTTGAGCTATACATATTTTCCGGTTCTGAAATATCTCTATACGTTACAAGCTAACAATTGATCTAGTTCTATCTTGTGTAATTAGCTAGCAGCTAAGTCCAGTCTGATAGTGGTCGACCGTTTTTGAATCCGGTTTGATCGGTTATTTTTGCTAAGAGGTTTGATCGGTTATTCTGTTTCTTAAATGTATCCAGGTTGTGGAATTGCTGCTAGGTCATGAAGGTGTCGTAATGACTCCAAGAGAAGCCAAGATAAAGATGATGCAACGAACGTATTCGGAAGAATTATTAGATAGTGTAGAATATAACTCCACTAAGTACTTGGGAGATCTTGATCGCATTCGAGAGATTGCTTTAGCTTCTTGAAATTGATCAAAATTATAATTATGTAAAACTATTTTGGTTTCTTTCATTGGTGAATATAACTCATCGTAAAAATGACAAAAAACTAGAATATGGATAATAGCTGAAATTTTTAATGGATGGGAGTGGAACAAACCAAATTTAAACCGGTTTATTTTTAATGGATACACATGTACGATGACTCAGCACCGTAACGGAGTTGACTAACACCCGTTAGATTGACTCCGATTTTTGCCCGTTGTATCAAGTATAGGTATGAGATTCAAATTTTATTGAAGTTCAGGTTGTAAAATATCCTACGAAATTGTCCAGGTATGAAAATTCACGGTGCAAATAATACGGATATGAAAATCCTTTTTTCCCTCAGTTTCAGAGTATGATTTTGATTTAGTACGAAATCACGTGGCAGTCACGTGCTATTATCTAAAAACAGAGAAGACTGATGATGATAAGATAATGGATCTTAAAATCTGGGCCCTAAATTTTGAATTTGCAAATTTACCCCCAAAAGCGTTTCGTCTCTCTATCTCCTCTTCACACTGACCATCGAAATCCTCAAAAACCCTAATCTCCGCCTCCACTTTTTTGCGACCTTCAAGAATCCCCAAAACAATGGCCAAGAAGAAAGCGTCGCGTAACAGTAACGACACCGCTAATGATGATAACCGACAACAGCACCATGACCAGAAACCACCCGAGACTGACAAGAAAGCCACGCCACTCAGCCGTCAGTCTTCCATGGAAGAACACGACTCTTCGGAGGAGCAATTCCAGAACTTGAAGTCTCTTAATGCGATGCTTCTCAAACAGGCTATGGAGAAGAGAAACCAGATCGATTCTCTCGTTCAGGCTAAGGATGAATTGGAGACCGAGTTGGCTCGTTATGGGTCGGAGAAAATGGATTTGCGTCACGAGTTGGAACAGGTGAGTGATGAGAATTTGGGGTTGAAGATTGAATTAGATCTGGTTATTGATTTCGTTGAGAACCGGTTTAGAGAGATTGGTGTTGGAGTTGATAGGTTAGTGAAGGAGAAGAGTGATAGAGAGAGTGAGGTTAGGTTTTTGAAAGGGGAAGCGATTGAGCTGATGGGCAAGGTGGAGATTGAGAAGGAACAGTTGAGGAAGGTCTGTGATGAGAGGGACTTAATCAAGAATGGGTTTGATTTGGAGCGTGAGGAGGTGAATCGATTGAAGGAGTGTGTGATTCGTTTGGAGGAGAAAGAATCCAATTTGGAGCTAGTGATTAGGAAATTGAAAACTGAAAACGATAGGTTGGTGAAGGAGAGGAAGATGAGAGAAGAGTTGATTGAAGGGGTAAACAAGGAGAAGATTGGTCTGGAGAAGACAATGGAGGAGAAGAAGAATGAGATTGATGGATTGAAGAGAGAGATCAAATTGCTTTTGAGTGAAAAAGATGAGATGGAGAGTGTAAAGATTGAACAAAGGGGAGAAATCGATGAGTTGGAGAAAAAGCTTGACAAGTTGAATGAGACTGTGCGGAGTTTGACAAAGGAAGACAAGGTTTTGCGGGATTTGGTTACCGGGTTAAAGAAGAATCTTGATGAGTCTATGGAGAAAGAGAGAGGAATGAGGGTGGAAATTGATGTGTTAGGGAAAGAGATGACAATCAAGGAATCTGAGCTTGAGAGGTTATTGGAGGAGAAGAATTTGGTTGAGAAACAGATGGAAATGGTCAATGAGCAGTCATCTGATAAGGAGATGTTGATTGACCAGTTGTCTCGGGAGAAAATTGAGCTTGAGGAACGTATTTTTAGTCAGGAGGCGAAGCTGGTTGAGCTAAATCAAAAGTCTGATGAGCTAACTCATGCTGTGGCTGTGCTACAAAAGGATTGTGATGACCAAACAAAGACTAACGACAAGCTTAGCTGCAAAGTTGGTCAGCTAAGCGATGCTCTTGCGCAAGTTGAGCTCAAGAGAGAAGAAGCTGATAAGGCACTTGATGAGGAGAAGAGACATGGAGAGGATCTTAAGGCAGAGGTTTTAAAATCAGAGAAGATGGTTGCAAAAACTTTAGAAGAGCTTGAGAAAGTTGAGATTGATCGCGAGAGTTTATTCTCAGCGAAGAATGATTTGGAGAGTCAATCCAAATCATTGAAAAGCGAAAAGGCTATCCTTAAAAAGGAGCTTGTAGAGCTCAAAAAAGCTATGGATGCTCTGAAAACAGAACTAGAATCAGCTGGAATGGATGCAAAACGCAGCATGGTGATGCTAAAGAGTGCTGCATCTATGCTGTCCCAATTAGAGAACAGAGAAGATAGATTGGTTAGCGAGGAACAGAAGCGAGAAATTGGAATTGAACCCTACGCGGTGGAGCTAGAGTCGATAGAGAAAGCGTTCAAAAACAAAGAGGAGATAATCGAGGAAATGAAGAAAGAAGCTGAGATCATGAAACAATCAACGGAAGAGGCACACAAGAAGCAGAACTTCTGGACTCTCGTTTCGTCTGTAACAACAGTTTTTGCTGCTGCATCTTTTGCCTATGCCGCTAGGACTCGTTAAACGTCTCAGAATGGTTTTGCCACATAACTACAATCATGACATTTATCTCATTCGAGTTTTGTCAGTAACAAATGAGCTTTTTACTCCTACCTTGCAAATAATGTTGTTTAGGTCTCTGCAACTATAATATGAAATATAAATCTTTCTCCCTGAGCTCTATATATGATCTAAAAGAAACTTTCTGGAGTAAACAACTTCTATATATATGCATAACTTTTTGGAGTTGTTACAGAAACTTTTAAGATCTAAAAGAAATAATTTCATACAGTAGTTCATCATAATCCAAAGGCAAGTATAGCCACATTCTTCATGTCATGAGTTTGCATACTCTTGGTCAATTCCATATATGGTCTTAATTAAGGTGGACTCCACTTATTTTGTACATTTGTCTTTTTGAACAAACTAATTTCTCTCGTTTTCCTTGTTTCCTCGAGCTCTAGCTGTTTTCTCATCATTTGTACCAAGAATTCCTCACAGGTCGAAACAAAAATCTTTTTATACCTTTTTGGCTCTTTGAAACACACAATATTAAAGATTTATTGTTGTTTTAACAAGATTTGGAAAAAAACAGGCAATGCTTATTTTTGTAAAATCCATTAAGAGTACAATGAAAAAGAGGAGCAACAATACAACTGCAAACCCTACATTTACCAAAATCACTACATTCTTGAAATATTTATATTTATATATATTTAATTACCACTCCCATGCCGAAAAAATTCAGCTTTTAGTTAATACAAAAGCTCAAGGCTAAAAGCTAAAGGCCAAATATTACAGACAAAAAAAGGAGAAATTTTTACTACTGCTTTGTTCCTTTCCAAGTCTCTAAACGCCTCACTATTCTTCCACAAGCTTTAGCGTTTCAGAATCCAGCGTTTAAACAGTCATCACAAAGGCTGCCGCAAACCTCCACACACTTAGATACTAAACACAAAAACAAAACTAACCGAGAGAATCCACAGGCAATACATTCACCTGTTTGTTAGTTTGAAAGATTTCTTGGCTCTGTTAAAACAACCTTCTTTCTCTAAACACCTTGTTAACGTTCGTTAACATTCCGCGTTTACAAACGCAGAAATCTCATCCATAACATTATGGAAATGATTGTTATTAGGCAAGAGGTAAAACCCAACAGTTGCTTTCTCTAAATGCATAAGCTTAACCTCTTGACCCGCTTTCTTGAGCCCTTCCGCGTAAGCCAACTGCCAATCTCGAATCAAATCCAAACCTGCGACAACCACAAGACTCTTGGGGAAACTCAATCCTTCTAAGCTTTTCGCTCTTGGGCTAAACGGATTACACGCTGGATGCTCTCTATCTTCTCCCTCAGGTAGAAAAGCTTTCCAATACCAATCACGGTCTCTAACTGTCACAAAGTATTTCCCATCCAAACTTTTCTCAGACTCCGTCCTCTCATTCCCCCCAAACATAGGATTCAGCAGAATGTTCCCCAAAACATTGATTCCTGATTCACCCGCTTTTAGTGCTACATTATGCGCAATGTTACCTCCCGAGCTATCCCCCGCCAGGAAAATATGAACCTTTGAGTCTTTCTTGGATTTAAGCCAAGCTCTTGAGTTAACCCAATTAAGAGCAATCCAACCATCATCGTAAGCACAAGGGTATGGATTCTCGGGTGCTCGCCGATAGTTCACAGAGACAACAACACACTTGCACAAACCAACAAGCCTGCGACAAAGAGTATCGTAGATGGCACTGTTTGCAGAAGAATGAGCAAAGCTACCTCCATGGAAGAACAATATAACAGGGACAATGTCGCCATCAACAGGCTTCTCGAGATCTAAAACACTAGGAGGTTGCTCTTGATCTGCATAAGCTGGTCTATAGACTCTACTTAGAAGATTGATCCTGCGATCAATCAAGACATCGAACGAGAACACCCCATCCACAGGATTGGCGTTTGCAGTGACTTTACGGTCTAGATACTCAGCTAAGTGTCGGTTAAAGGTTCCATCGGGACGACGCAGGATATTGTAGGCTACTTTGAAGTTGGATATTAGAACCCATGTATTGAGAGGAACCACTGTCTGCATCAAACACACAAAATTTGCAGATTACTTAGTTCCACCACAGAGAACACCAATAGAAGATCAGATAAACGCATTAACAAGAGATATCAATGAAAGGGTTTAAGCTTATCATATACAAACCACACAAAGAGAGTGCTTTGCATTCAATTCAAGCATCAAAGGAGAGTCTTTATCAAACACAAAATTCAAACTTTTTGATTAACACTGCATAGTAGAATCCAATCAAAGGAAGACTCGGTTGAATTTAAGTGTGAAATTGAATAACAAAATCTGATTAAACACTCAGATTAAAAATCAAACAGAAGAAGACAGAAAAGCTAAGGAGAAGCACAGAGACCACTATCAAACTAACGACACGTTTCATCACCTCAAACGATTTGAAGTCCTAAAGCTTTCAATTTATCTTTTTTTTGAAGAAACAACAATCAAAACACCATAAATCATTCTACATAAGCTCAAACACAAAAGCAAAAGACGAAAAAACATCAGGAACAGAATTAAATCAGAAATCGAAAGAGACCCATGTCAAAATCACTGATAATCTATCCCCCAAAAATCGCAAACATCAGAATATATACTTGGAAACTAAAAAACAAAATTAAAGCCAGAAAAAAGAAGCAACAAACTTACTCTGCTCTCAATAAGATTAACTTCATCGCTCGCAGCCATTTCTGAAAAACCCCCTTTTGTTATTTTACTAATCAAGAACAAAAACCCAGATCGAATTCTGTAAAAAGGACGAGAATTTTCAAGTCGACAAGTGAAAGCTCGTAACTTTGATTAGTGAAATTTCTCTTTCTGGAAAAGGAAAATCTCCTGCTTTTGAAAACTGAGAGATCAAAATGGGGTTTAATAGTGAGTGATTAGAAAAAAACTGGGATAAAACAAAAGGCTTAAAAATAAAGAAAAAGATATATATTCCGCCAAGAGGTGGAGGATAAGGAATATCTGCGTATTTTAGCATCGTTAGGAGTGTGTGGCGTAACGTGCGCGCATAAGTTTGGACGCGTCGAGGGATGAGTAGGGAGGTGTTGTGTGTGATGACTGTTGGGTCATGGGTGGGCCTCAAAACAAAAATTAATAAAAATAAGTAAATAACTTTCTTACTTTATTTATTTTTTAAATATTCTTATTTGATATTTCTTTCAAAGTGTCACTAACACAAAAGAGAGAATATTTTTCTAGGAAAAAAAAAATTCGGGAAAAGAAGAATTTTGTTAAAAGATGTAGTATATTCTTCAATCTTCATCGATATTCAATACTATATGCTTATTCGATTTGAAAATAGTATAAATTAGATTTCACAACTTTTGTATAATGATGATATATCATTAATTAGTTAATTGAGCCTTTTTTTAAAAAAAAATCAGAGCATGTGTCAATTTATTCGTGGAATAACTTTTTAAGACTATGGGCCGGAAAAAAGCATTTAAAATTGTGTAGAGTGTCTATCATTATGTCATTTGTTGCTTGTAACTCTTGCCAAATAACGACAAAAAATTAGCTAAGTATAATTATGTCAAGTAAACCCGTTTGGTAATTAAAAGGGTAAGTCGAGTAACTGTCGAAAAAGCATATGACTATTTTTAGTAATTATACTGATCGCTTTCACTTTTAAAATCAATTATGTCATATACATAATCACATACATAAAAAAATTTTATCGAAAAACTATTCGTAATTAAGAGTCACGTAGAATTATTGGCTAAATAACTCGTCTGAAAGAAGTGGATCAAGGTAATCAATAGTCTATAAAACCATGCATGCATGGTCCTTAATAATCATATGCTGCATAATCGTAACAAATGTATATATATAATTAAGTATATCTTGAGAATATGCATGCATATTAAACAACAATTAACTAGTGAATGTTTAGTTAAATGAGACGATTGGGTGCTGAAAATGGCTAACAGCTGCTTTTCAACGTGCTTCTTATTGCCTACTCTAGTCTCTGTCTCTATCTAATATCTTTAATATTATGTGTTGAGTGTCACGATCTCGCTCGTGAAATTTCATCTAAAAAGCAATGTCGGTAAAACGTTTTAATTAAGAGAAATAAAAGCAATGTCGGTATAAAAACGATTAAGAAAATTTTAAAGTAATGTCGGTAATCTTCTATACAGTATCTAAGGTAAATTATGTTGAAAATTAGCCAACTAGGTAAAACCATATAATTGATTTTTTCTTTGAACAATAAAAAGTAAAACATCCAAAAAGGTATATATATATATACGACTGAGACTTATAAGTTATAACCTAGGTGCTTGTATTATTAGTATCATTTTATCACTCTCCACATTCAACACAACTTGTATGTGCATATGTGAATGACGATGGACACAAAAGCATAAGAAATAGTGAACCAAACAAGAGAGCAACTTTTATATGATATCAGATAAAGAGTGAACCAAACGTTCATAGTCGTCATTATTGATTAAAACAAACACATTAGTATACAAAATTTCCGAAATAGATATAGGTAACGAAAAAAGATAGGAAGAGGCGTGTGGCTTGTAAAATACCAAAGGTTTATAGCAAAAATATGATAAATAAAAAGATTTGGAAGCATTAGAATTTGGCGGTCAACATCTATGGACAACAGCTTGTTTCTACTTTTTTTTTTTTAATTTTTTTTTAGAGAATATATAATTTAGTGGTTTGTCCTATTATTAGGGTTTCAATTTGATCACCTCACCAGTCCCTATCTTCTTTAATAATTCTTTGTCATTTTCCTCTAACCTTTTATCTCTTTCCCCTCAATTTGTTTTATTCATTTATCACTATTAACTTCTTTAATAATTAGCTTTTGTTTTTTTAGACCAAGTACATAAACGAGTAGATGGATCATGGATGTTACACTTATTTATTACGACGACTATTCATCATCATCATCGCTCTATTATTCTCTCGGATTTATGTTTTCTCTGTTCTCATTTTACATGGTTTTTTTTTTTTTTTTTGGTATTTCTTCTGTAAACATAGGACTAATCATATAGTTAATCCCAAAAAACAAGTCATATCTTGAACTATTAATGAATCCTACAATCACATCTTACTACGTATCTCAATTATTACCAATGGATTTCTAATTTTTTTACAGAAAGAATGTTTCGCACTTGTCACATTTTTGCACTTAATACTATTGGGCCTACTATTTCCTTCACTCAAAGTTAATGGGCTTATTCATCTTATGAAGCCATCTCGTGATTCTCATCTGATAAACACATACGACAAAATCTAACGGCTAAAAAACAAGCAGACTAGGTTGATGCGTAATCCAACGGTTACAAATAAGACGTACAAATATTTGTCCCGAAATACACTGTACTTTTCTCTGATAATCCTCCCTCCATTTTTCTACTTTCAGTAAAATCAATCAAATTTCTCTTCTTTCAAATTCATTTGTGTCTAACGGAAATTTTTGTAAAAAAGGAGCAAACTTTATTCATCAGTCTTCTTCCTCTTAAATTCTCCAGTCTTACAGCAACTAAAAAATTGTAAATGGAACCAGAATTCTCACCATCTTCTCGAGTAGACACGCCGGAGCAAGATCCGTCACCGGCGCAAACTGAAGATCAGTCTCGAGAAAGGTTTTGTTTTTTTTTGTCTTCTTTCTCTTAAAGCTTCCGTTTACTGCTGTGTGTTTAATTTTCTTCAAATGGGTCTCTCTCTGATCGTTTAGTTTTATTTTTTATTTTTCATGACAAATTTTGCTCTTTTTCTTTTGATTTTGGAATAATTAGGGTTTCTGCTTATGATCTTGTGGTAGATGAGGGTGATTTAGAGGGATTAGATCAAAAAAAGGAGGAGATGCATAAAGTTTTAGATCAGATTCAAGAGAAAGCTTCATCTGTTCTTGAGTACTCGCTTAAGTGGGATGAAATCTATGAGCAGTTTGATTTGCTAAAGCAACAAGCCATGGAATTAGAGTTAAAGGAGGTATCTTTAAAGAATCAGATTCTAGAGATGGAGAAGAAGGAAGAGCGACTTAAGCTTGTTGAAGAGAGAGCGAGGAAGATTGAAATTGAATCTGATGTGAAACAGTTTCTGGAAGAAAATGTGGCCAGATTGTTGGTTCTTCTTATGCAGAATGAAGAAATGGTGGTTGCTTCACTTAGCGCAAAAGAGAAATTTCTTGGTTTGCTTCAGGGTTGGATGATGAAGAAGCATGAAGGGGTAAAGAGAGAGCTTGAAGCGAGGGAAAAGGAGGTTGCTTTGCTTTCTCAGTCGATTGATGACAAGACTAGTGATTTAGAGAAGAAAGTGAAAGACTTTGATTTGAAGCAAATAGCAGAGACTGAGAGAAGGAGAAAGGAGGCTGAGATGATGGAGATATCCCATAAGCAATTTGAAACGAGGGAGAAGGAGCTTAGCTTGCTTAATGAGACCATCAAAGAGAAATCAATTGAGCTGGAGAACAAAGAAGTAGTACAACAAGCAGAAGCCAGAGAGACAGAATTGAAGAACAAGTTTCTTGAGTTAAAGGAGAGGAAACTCGAAGAAAGGGAGAAAGAGCTGGAGTTGAAACAGAGAGAAATCAAAGAAGGATCAATACAAGCAGAGGCTCGTAAAAGATCTAGGCTTGAATCTGAGTCTTCATTGTTGGATAGAGATGCTGAGTCTCGTATTCGCCCTGGAAAAAAGCATATACCCAATAAAGAACACAACCATTATGATGAAGCCAAGAAAAAAGATTGGGCTTTTGTTGTTCCAGCTTTTACATCTTCTCCTGTTCAAATAAGTGAAGAAGATGAAGGAGAGATTGAAGAAGTTATCTCCATAGATTGCATTGATGATGATCATGAGCCGTTAATGTGTGTTGATTCAGAGTTTCATGATTTCAGCAAGACAATGAGCTCTTTTATGGCTGGTCAAATATGGGCTCTATATGATGGTATAGATTCTATGCCTAGGTTGTATGGTCGGATCAGGAAAATTACTATGGCTCAGTCGAGTCTTCAAATGACATGGTTTGAATCTAAAGATGAGGAATCTGTTCCTGCTGCTTGCGGGAGGTTCAAGTTGGGGAATACAGAAACCATAAAAAACCACTTGACCTTTTCTCATCAGATGCACCCCATCATACATGACAGACACTTCATTGCTGTAATTCCGAGAAAAGGAGAAACGTGGGCTCTTTTCAGAGACTGGAGCAAAAGCTGGAACAATAACCCGGAAAAGCACAAGCCTCCTTATAGATACGACTTTGTGGAAGTTGTGGTAAACTTTGACGATTGTCTAGGCATTGGAGTGGCCTATTTAGGGAAAGTTGATGGATTTGTATCGGTCTATAAGCAAGCTGTGAAGCATGGAGTCGTCTCACTCATGGTCACACCAGAGGAAATGCAAAGATTCTCTCATAGAGTACCATCATTTAGATTGAATGGAAATGAGAAAGAAGGAGTTCCCGCTGGTTCTTTCGAGCTAGACCCTGCTGCTATACCCAGTTGTACACTCAAGCGTCATCACTCTATCCGTAAAGAAGCAGAAGAAACAGGAAGACAAAGTGAGGGTTGTGGTAAAAGTAAAACTGGTGAGGTTGAAGATCAAGAAGGGTCAAGAAATGATTTCCCCATTATCTTAGATTGAGATTGGTCTATATATTTGTGAGACTGATGGTCTTATATAGTTCTTCTAGTTATCTATGTAGTATTTTATTACTCAAATTATGGCTACTTGTTGCAGAAAATGGTACTGTGATCCTTTTGTTGGACATGCCTCCTTCTCTTGAATGATGAATGTTTCTAACTTCTTAAGGTTTTATGAAATTTATATCTATTGGGCTTACTATTTTTTCCTTTATTGAACGTTAATGGGCATATTCATCTTATGAAGCCCTTTTAAGTGATTGATCATTTACGAAACTAATCCCTTCCATGGCATCTCGTGATTCTCTCATCTGATAGACGAAATCGAACGGCTACAAAATCATTAGAGACTCTGGTCAAACAAAATCTGACTTTTAAGTAATCCAACGGTTAGGGATAATTTAATCCAACGGCTGTAAATCAAATGACGTACATATTTGTCCCGATACGTGTATGCTAAAACTTTTTCTGAGCCTAGCTCCCTCCATTTTTTCTATTTTCAGTAAAAATCAATCAATCATCTTCTTTCTATCTCTCTCTTGTTTTCAAATTTGAAATCAAAATTTGCTCTGTGTCTAAAAAAGCAAACTTTCTTAGTCTCTCTACTTCCTAGAGCTCAAAAACTCAATTCTTACTAGTAATGGAACCGGAAAATTCTCAACCTTTCACTTTCAGAAGCGACACGCTGGAGCAGGAATCGGCGCCGGCACAAACTGAAGATCAATCCCGAAAAAGGTTTACTTTTTTTTCCTGGGTTTTTTTTTGTTTTCTTCTTTCTCTAGAAGCTTCCGTTTACTGTTGTGTGTTTATATTTCTTCACATGAATGTCTGAGATGGTTTATTTTGTTTTTTAATTTGTCCTTTCTTTTGATTGTTTGTATACTTAGGGTTTCTGCTTATGATCTTATGGTAGTGGAGGGTGATTTAGAGGGAGTTGATAAAAAAATGGAGAAGTTGCGTAAAATCTTTGAACAGATTCAGAAGAAAGCTTCATCAGTTCTTGAGTTCTCTCCTTGGTGGGAAGAAATCGATGAGGAATTGGATTTGCTAAAGCAACGAGCCATGGAAGTAGATTTGAAGGAGGTATCTTTAAAGAATCAGATTCTGGAGCTGGATAAGAAGGAAGAGCGTCTTAAGCTTGTTGAAGAGAGAGCGAGGAAGATGGAGGCTTCCATCATTGAGCGACTGAGTGCGTTGGAGGATAAAGAAAATGACTCTGATGTGAAACAGTTTCTGGAAGAAAATGTGGCAAGATTGGTTCTTGAGATGCAGAATGAAGAAATGGTGGTTGCTCAACGTAACGCACAGGAGAAATTGCTTCAGGGTTCGATGAAGCTGAAGCATGAAGAGTTAATGAGAGAGGTTGAAGCAAGGAGAGAGGAGGTTGCTTTGCTTTCTAAGTCTATCGATGACAAGACTTGTGATTTAGAAATCAGAGTGAAAGCCTTTGATCTGAAGCAAACAACAGAGTTTGAGAGGATGAGAAAGGAGACTGAGCTGATTGAAACCTCTCTTAAGCAACTTGAAGCGAGGGAGAATGAGCTTAGGTTGCTTAATGAGACCATCCAAGCGAAATCGAATGTGCTGGAGAAGAAAGAAGAGAACTTTCAACTGAAACAACAAGCACAAGCCAGAGATATGGAAGTTAAGATTAAGTTTCTTGAGCTAAAGGAGAAGGAACTTGGAGAAAGGGAGAAAGAGCTGGAATTGAAACAGAGAGAAGTACAAGAACGATCAATACAAGCTGGGAGTCGAAAGAGATCTAGGGTTGAATCTGGACCTTCATTGGATGCTGAGTCTCTTACACAACACAACCAAAATGATGAGGAAAATGATTTTTCTGCTTCTGTAGTTTCAACTTCTACATCATCTCCTCTACAAAAAAGTGATGCACATGAAGAAGTTGTTGTGTCCATAGTTAGAGGAACACATCACAATGATGAGGCCCATGAGCCATTAATGTGTGTTGTTGATTCAGAGTTTAATGATTTCAGCAAGACAATGAGCTCTTTCATGGCTGGTCAAGTATGGGCTCTATATGATGGCATAGATTCTATGCCTAGGTGTTATGGTCGGATCAAGAAAGTTAACAAGTGCCAGTCGAGTCTTCAAGTGACATGGTTAGAACCTAAAGATGAGGAATCTGTTCTCGCTGCTTGCGGTAGGTTCAAATGGGGGAATACAGAAACCATAAAAAGCCACTTGGCCTTTTCTCATGAGATACATCCCATCATACGTGGCAAACACTTCATTGCTGTGAATCCGAGTAAAGGCGAAACGTGGGCTCTTTTCAGAGACTGGAGCAAAAGCTGGAACAATAACCCGAAACAGCACAAGCCTCCTTATAGGTACGACTTTGTGGAAGTTCTAGTCAACTACGACGATTGTCTAGGTGTTGGAGTGGCCTATTTAGGGAAGGTTCAAGGATTTGCATCAGTCTATAAACAAGCTGGGCAGCATGGAGTCATCTCATTCATGATCACACCAGAGGAAATGCAAAGATTCTCTCACAGAGTGCCGTCATTTAGGTTGAATGGAGAGGAGAAAGAGGGAGTTCCCGATGGTTCTTTCGAGCTAGACCCTGCTGCTATCCCCAGTTCTATACTCAAGCGTGATCGCTCTATCCGTAAGGAAGCTGAAGAAACAGAAAAACAAAGCGAGGATTGTGGTAAAACTGGTGAGAATGAAGATAAAGATGGGTCAAGGAAAGATTTCCCCATTATCTTAGATTGAGGTTGGTCTATATTTGAGAGTCTGATGGTCTTAGTTCTTCTAGTATGTCGTATTTTCTACTTCTTGTTGCAGAAAATGGTACTGTGATCCTTTTGGACATGTCTATGTCTCTTGAATGCTAATTTCAGGTGGAATGTAGTTTTCTTTGCAGTATTATTGTTGACATTTTATATCAAATTACTGAAAAACAAACAAGTGGTAACAACTTACAAAATCTGAAAAAAGAATTTGTCTTTGGTTACAAACAAAAGAATCTAGCCTCATCTCTTATATCATTTGGCCACTACCGTATATAAACAATACATGTATCTCTGACCACAAACACAAAAATTAAATTAACCTGATACAGAACAATCTTTCTAATTCACAGCTTTTGTAGAGAGTCTTTCCCTTTGTTCACCAAAACAACCTCTAAATCTCCTTAAAGTCGACAATGGAGAGCAATGGCGTGTAGAGAAAACCGAAATACACTCAGAATAATACTTCAACCGGCTTTATGTTTTGAACCGTCTAAACCCGAACCAGATCTCGTAGTGATTAAACAGCAAGCTATCATGTGTTTGTTTTCCAAGATACTCAAGTCCTAAACTTGCTAGCTTCTGCGAACACTTGTCTTGTCCTAACCGCGAACAAAACTTTACGTTATGTGACACGAAGATTCTCCCGTCGTAAGGCTTTAACTTGTCTACTAGTCTTTCGAGTCCAGTCCACACGAGTTTATCAGGCATGTGGAGAAAGACTGCACTTGCGTATATCAGATCATAGGTTGTATCTGAACCAAACTTGCTGAATTCCATATCATCGCCTCTGACTATAAGAGGTCGTTTATGTAGAAGTCCTTGAGATGGAAGCTCGTACCTTAAAGCAGCCATTAGAGAAAGTTCGTCCTTTTCAAGGCAGTGAAAATGTTGGGGATTGAGATAGCGGATGAAATGCAAACCCACACGTAACGTGCCACATCCAATTTCTAAAACACGAGAGTTTGGTTTAAGACTGGATGATTCAGCCAAGAACTCGAATACATCGCGCCCACCTGCCCAAGGTTCACCATAGTTGCTGTGATGCTGCTCAACTAGTAACTCACCAGGACATGGAAGAGCTGTGTGGTTGTTTGCTTCATCTCCTTCATAATGAGATATACCCTTGTACCTGATTTTCCAAGAGAGTGAAATCAGAAAAAGCCAACACACAAAGCTCAAACCTTCAGATTATAAAAAACAGAACAAGAAATGATAATTTAACAACTGGTTATGCAAAGTCAGTGACTATTAAGAATCAAGAAATGAGCAGAACATTATAGGATCTCGTCAAAGAGCCCACATTGATGAAACAATTCTATAAGAATACAATCCACAGCTAAATCTCTAAGCAGCAATCAGATCCTTTGCTCTCACTAGATATACAACATAGTAACAGTAAACCATCACCTCACATTGTCATTTTCTAATCACTTAAAGAGGCCATAAAGTTAGTGAATTCACATACATATATCATCAAAATTGCATATTTTTATTCCGAGATTTTGAGACATATTTAGCAATAACCAAACTTTAATTACTAAGCTAACATCAAATGGAACCTCAAGACAATTACTAGCCACTCAAGTTTCCAACAAAGAAGCTTGAGAATCTGTAGAGCTTGTAGCACAAACAATAGAGAGCAAGTAAAAAAGAAGAATGCGAGAGAGGATGATTACTGTTTCAGATCTGCGAGTTGTTGATCTCTAGTGCGAGGATTAATCCCTTTTCGAAGCTCATTCTTCTGCATATGCAAACCGTTGGATCTAATCAGATCTCTAACCCACTCAATATCCTCATGCGTCGGAGATATCCTCTCCTCAAATCTCAAATCACCGCCGCTTCCACCGACAGAAGCTTCAACAGCGTCGTTCCGGGAAGAAGATAAAGATTCAGGACAGGAGCAAGACGATAAAGAAGACGAGAGGAGGAAGATGACAGCAGCTGCAAACGAAACGGTGAGTACGAGTACCGGCATGGACACAAAGATACCTTTTTGCATCGCCGGAGACGATGAAGAAGAGGAGGAGAAAAACGCCATTGATGAAGAAATAGGAGAGATCTCAGTCTCTGCCTGCTTAAGGAAACTACTAGTGGAATTGAGTTAGTTTACCAATAATAGTATTTGCACGATCAACGGTAAAACTGTAAAAAGTTTTTCTTTTTGTTTCTTTTTTTGTCAACCAAGTTTTCCTTTTTTCTTTGTAAGAATATTTTATTCAATAGTTTTGTAATTACTAATTACCAATTCTGTCTTGTAATATATTGATCCCCTTGACTTATGCTTTTTCAGTGGGACACTGATTTTCTAATGCATCGTCTTAATTAATTTAAAATACTTATTTACTAGTATCAAAAATTTACTATAATTGCAACATTATATCCTAGAAAAAGATAAAAAAAAATAAGAGGTTGAATATGTGACTTTTAATATGTCGTATGGCAAACGAAGTGAATGATTATTGTATATGATGAACTACTAAAATTTAATGAAAATAATATGCATAAAATTTTTGTAAGGATTATTTGTGGTTTTAGCAAATATTTATTATTAAATCTCAATAGTTAAGTCACTTATCCAATAAGAAAATAACAGCCCTAAGAGGATTTTTATATAATCTTATCCAATCCCAAACTATATTTCGATTTTATTTACTAAAACGCTATTTTGTTCTATATGGGCTGATTTTTTTTTACCAAGTCTCGAGAGCCTTTGAGAGAAGAGTTTGTGTTTCCTTAAGGAAAAAAAAACACTTTTTTTTGGTTTCTTCTTCATCTTCTTCCAATTCTCCAAACGCCATCACGCCTTTGGAAAAAAGGCTGCTCTTTGTTTGTCCGTCTTGACTCTTCAATTAACAATATTTCTCAAATTTTCCAAATTTGTGCTAACTTTCGACTTTCTAGATCAATCCGATTCCCAAATCTCGTTATTCACTCCCGCGCCCAACGATCGATTCTAGGGTTTCTCTGTGTGTGTGTGTGTGTTTTGGGTTGCTGAATCACGTTGTTACTATCATCGATTTCATCTCAAGTTCAGATTTTTAAGGTATGTTGATGATTTCGTTTACGACTCATTCCACCTTTTTCTATTCTCATCTTTTAGATATTGTTCAATTTTTGTTCTCCTGTTAGAAATTGAGCAACTAGTTGGAATTAATCGTGTATGTTGTTCAATGGAGGGGTGTGAAATTGATGGTTTTTTGGGTACTGTGTATGGATCAAAAGTGAAGAGTCTTATAGCTAACTAGTGATGATTTTGTAATCAATCTCTTGTTCATCGAAATTGAGTGTGAGATTTTGATTTTGATCTTCTTCTTCCGACTATTTTCCTTTTGATGATTCAATTGAGGATTTTGGGAGCTTATAAGCTGTTATTCGATGTGGATAATTGATTTTTTTTTCTCCGGAATATTTTTGAGATTCTCTTAAGAGAAAGAATCTTAGTCTCAGCTGGGGATCTCTATGGCTGTCCCATAGGTTCTTGTTCCTTCTCGATTCAGACTGATCACTCTACTACTACCAGCTTTTTCTTAGCAGCAATATTCGGTTTGGTCTTGTTTTGTTTTGGATGATGATGATAAACTAGTTTGCTTGAAGAGGAGGTTACTTGTAGCTCATTTGCTGGTTTTTCTTTTTGTGGTTCTCCTTTCAGGATACTTTGAAATGCACCGGGTTGGAAGTGCCGGCAGTAATGGCGGTTCTGTTCGCACTCGCAAAGAGAAAAAGCTTACCTATGTATTAAATGATGCCAACGACACAAAGGTCAGGTTCTTTTACACCAATATGGTTTATTGCCATTCGGAGTTGTGTTACTCTTTGTTTGATTTTTATTTTCTAGTTCCTTCATAATTCATATTCTTTTTAACTAGAAAAGACTTGAATAGTTTGAAGTTATGAGGCATCTTCTTCTCAACTCAATCCTGATGATGTTTTTCTTATGTTATGTGAACGCTGCAGCATTGTGCTGGCATAAATTGCTTGGATGTGTTGAAGTCGTCCGTTTCTAATGATCAAAGCTACCTCTTCACTGGAAGTCGTGATGGTACACTCAAGAGATGGGCATTTGACGAGGATGCGACCTTTTGCTCAGCTACGTTTGAGTCTCATGTTGACTGGGTATATAGTTTTCCTGACACTGAAATTTAATATTATAGGGATGATCAGTAATTAGGATCCTGTGTTTCCTGATGTGAATCCTGTTCTATAGTGCATCTAATAATTTCAAACCCCCGTGTTGACTGGTCAGGTGAACGACGCTGCTCTGGCTGGTGAAAACACTCTTGTTTCTTGTTCTTCAGACACTACGGTCAAGGTTTGTGAATTTGTTTTGCTAGCAGTATGAAACCAACATTGTACTTTGTTTTGTTTTTATTGGTTTCTAAATGCGGCTCAATTATTCTGTATCTAGACATGGGACGGTTTATCAGATGGAGTGTGTACGAGGACCCTCCGTCAGCATTCTGACTATGTTACTTGTTTGGCAGTTGCTGCAAAAAATGTAATTTGTCATTCTTCATACTTTGTTTTCTTTATAGTTCCACCTAAAAAAAATATTGCTTGGTATGGTGGTGCAAGTTTTGTAGGATATATGTGCTTTTCATTGTCACATTCTGATTCTATCTTGATTGTATAACTTTTAGAGTAATCTTGTTGCATCTGGTGGCCTTGGTGGGGAGGTTTTTATATGGGATATCGAAGCTGCTTTGTCACCAGTTACAAAACCTAATGATGCTAATGAAGATAGTTCTTCTTCAAATGGTGCAAATGGTCCTGTTACAAGTTTAAGAACTGTTGGTTCGAGCAATAATATCTCTGTGCAGTCATCTCCATCTCATGGGTACACACCAACAATTGCCAAAGGCCATAAGGAGTCTGTGTATGCTTTGGCGATGAATGATACCGGAACGATGCTCGTCTCTGGTGGAACAGAGAAGGTATTCGTACACTCCAGGTTGCAGAGAGTATACCTGAGAACAAGAACCTAGAAATTTTTTGGGTTTTTGATTTCTGAATATACTATTCAGTTCTTTCTTTTTTATTGCAGGTTTTACGTGTCTGGGACCCTAGAACCGGTTCAAAGAGTATGAAGCTGAGGGGGCATACAGATAATGTCAGAGTGCTGCTTCTGGACTCAACTGGCAGGTAAGTTTTCTTTTTAATATGCCATCAATGGTTAATTTTGGGTCCTTTTGGTACCTATTTTTTTCTCTGACTGACTGAGTTTCCTCGTGTTTCTCACCTTGAGACTGCAGGTTTTGCTTGTCTGGGTCCTCTGATTCTATGATAAGGTCTGTATTTTTTCTGAATTAGTTCATAACTATGATACCCACTGGCTGAAGTTATAGTGATCATTTCAGTTCTAACTGGTTCTAAATTTATATCTAGACTATGGGATTTAGGTCAGCAGCGTTGTCTTCATACCTATGCGGTGCATACAGATTCTGTTTGGGCGCTTGCTTGCACTCCATCATTTAGTCATGTTTATAGCGGTGGAAGAGACCAATGTGTGAGTAGACACCAAACTTGCTTGTTTCTTTGGTTCCCTTCCAGCGTATAACTTCCTTTTTGAATTTCATTTATGTGTTATGTTTCCGTCAGTTATACTTGACAGACTTGGCAACAAGGGAGAGTGTTTTGCTGTGCACTAAGGAACATCCAATTCAGCAATTAGCGTTGCAAGATAATAGTATATGGGTTGCAACTACAGACTCCTCTGTAGAGAAATGGCCTGCCGAAGTACAGAGTCCTCAAAAGGTCTTTCAACGAGGTGGCTCTTTCTTGGCTGGGAATTTGTCTTTTAATAGGGCGAGGGTGTCTTTGGAAGGACTAAATCCAGTAAGCAAAACAATTTCGTCCTGTAAATGCTTCTGTTTAACCTTTGTTTACTCAGTGTGGTTAACTTTTCACTTGTCTGCAGCCCCCTGCCTACAAGGAGCCGTCAATAACTGTTCCAGGAACTCACCCAATTGTGCAACATGAGATTTTGAATAATAAAAGGCAAATTTTAACCAAGGTAAAATAGATTTCTCTGAATACTCTGGTAAGAGACCACCATTGATAGTTTTGTAGAGGGGTCAATGATATGTGTTTGGTTTTTCTCTTGCAGGACGCAGCTGGCTCAGTGAAACTATGGGATATAACTAGGGGTGTTGTGGTAGAGGACTATGGAAAGGTATCTATGGAACCTAGACATACTTTTTGAGTTCAATATTGATTAATGTATCTGCCGCTGTAATTCTGAAATATCATTATCATTCACCTCCAAATGCAAATGGAGACTAAGTCAGAGAAATATATCTGTTTCCATCTTTGCAGATTTCATTTGAAGAGAAGAAAGAAGAACTGTTTGAGATGGTAAGTCTCTTGTTTTATTTTCAAAGGTTATGATTCTTTATCTTTAGTGAGACTAGCAGGTTTGTTTACCTTACTGATATCTTGCTCATATTTACTTTTGTAGGTAAGCATTCCATCATGGTTTACTGTTGATACACGACTTGGATGCTTATCTGTACATTTGGAGACTCCACAATGCTTCTCTGCTGAGATGTATTCAGCAGACCTCAAAGTTTCTGGGCGACCTGAAGATGATAAGGTAGATTAAATGCTTGCATTTTAGTTTATGTTGAATCTAATCAGAAAGTTTTCTATTATCTTACTGTTGCATATAACTAATGGATCTCTGTACGCATTTTAATCTGTTACCATAATTGAATATTTTAGACTTTTGTTTGCTCTAACCTAGTCAAAGTAAACCTAATTTTGTCATTGGATTATGTGATTTGTAGATTAATCTAGCTCGTGAAACACTGAAAGGCCTGCTAGGTCACTGGCTGGCAAAGAAGAAGCACAAACCCAAACCCCAAGTTCTTACCTCTGGAGATACTTTATCTGTAAAAGATACCAAAAAAAATCTAAGTGCATCAAAAGCTGAAGACAGTAGTGCTGCAAGTGATCCTGTGTATCCTCCATTCGAGTTTTCTTCCGTCTCCCCTCCTTCCATCATAACCGAGGGTTCTCAAGGTGGACCATGGAGGAAGAAGATAACCGAGTATACTGGAACTGAAGATGAGAAGGACTTCCCATTGTGGTGCTTGGATGCTGTCTTGAACAATCGCCTTCCACCTAGAGAAAATACAAAGTATTCGGCACTACCTTGTTCTTTAATCAAAAAAATAGTTTGGACCTTTAGCATTTTCATCACATATGTTTTTACATTTTCTTATAAATAGATAAAACATCTTCCATAAAATGTCTGACTTTGAAAGCTCTTCAAATTTCCAGATTAAGCTTCTTCCTGCATCCATGTGAAGGTTCATCTGTGCAGGTGGTTACACTAGGGAAACTTAGTGCACCCCGGATCTTAAGAGTTCACAAGGTGCATTTATCTGTAAATTGAACTTGTAGTTTTGCTTACATTCTCTGTTATTCACTGGCTTCGTACATGTCTATGTAGGTTACCAATTACGTTGTGGAAAAGATGGTCCTTGACAATCCGTTGGATAGTCTAGCTCTTGATGGAACAAGTGTTTCAGGAGGACAACCTCAGCCACTGTTTGCCGGAAATGGATTGTTACAGTCTGGATTAAAGCCTTGGCAGAAACTTAGACCTTCCATTGAGATCTTATGTAATAACCAGGCAAGTCAGACTTCAAGAGATCCAACTATTGGTCAACTTTTGATTGCTTAAGAGAATTCGTTTCACGTGTCTCAATTAACTGTTTGCAGTATGAGGCTGAACAAGCTGTTTTTCTGTGATTATTTCAGGTCTTATCTCCAGATATGAGTTTAGCAACTGTACGGGCATATATATGGAAGAAACCTGAGGATCTAATTCTCAACTACAGAGTGGCTATAGCTAGATAACTTTTGAGGTAAAATATTAGAAAAAGGTGAAAACTTATGAAAATGCATTATGTTGGTGTGTTTGTCAAGATAAAATTTGTGGAGCGGCTCCATCTACTTGACGGTTTTTACTTGGAAAGGTGATTTCATATTAGGTATTTTCATCAGAAAGAAAAAATAGAGATACTTGAGTTGGTAGATTTTTCATGTGAGGTTTTCACAACTCCTGATACCAAAGCCTTTGTAGATTGCTCTTTTTGGTTTGAAACAATGATAGGAACAATAATCTATGTTGATCGAAGCCTTGATATTGAATATCACCATATTTATCTATTGCTCTACAGATTGGGATCTGTCTACTGGTGCATTTAATCACATGGAAGTCTATAGCTTTTCATTGCTTTTCCTTCAAAAAGCATAGATCTTGGTTTACCTTGGCCTAGTGTTTTACTCAGCTTCATGCTGGAGAAATAATTCTGTTCTTTGGAGCTTGGATTCATGAGAAGTGGGCACCAATAAAGGTCCAAGATTTTAGGTGAGATGGTGTCGAAAACTTTACTAAATTTGTACATTAGGTTTGAGCTTTGCAAAACAAAAAAAAAATACTTAGTATCTATTTTTGATTGTTCCCTAGTAATAAACCAATGTTGTATCTAAACTCCAACATCCACTGTGGAAGCAACATGCCGAGAAGAAAGTTCTTAGGAGCTGTGTGTTGTTTTCTCAGACTCCCAACAGTCTTGCGAAAACTAAACCCGTCTAGCCCGAATAAGAATGTAATTTGGTTTTTAGTTTGGGATGTTTCTAAGCGAAGTTATCAGAAACCACAGTAAATCGAATCAAACCAAAAAACGCAGCTCCATTAATGATCAAACTAGATTAACACCGATGTTGAACCAAATTTAAGAGAAAGTACCACACTTAATTCTACTCAGAATAAATTGCGACTTTTTTTTCTTCACACAAGAACATAAACCTACTATGTCTATGGCAATGGCAGTAGAGTTTTACACACGAGGAGAAATCAAGTCCTATGGTCTAGTCACTTCGAATGCTTTAACAGATAAAAAATTGAGTAGAATATAATGTTCGGTGGTGGTTTCTTTGATGGTGTCGTTAGGTTTCAACTTTCTATGGTGTTACCATCAGCTTCAGCCGTCTCACGTTCTTTCTCATGCTCCTCTGCAATTAGATGATGAAAATGCATATGTTAGTTCCATAATAAACAAACACAAACAGATCACTCTATTTTGGACTTGTGAGATTTGGTATCATACTACCAACAGATTCAGTGTTCATCAAAGTGTTACTCATGAACTACACACTAATGTCTTAATCTATCCTTTATTATTAGTAAAATCGCTTAATCAAGCTTCCATAGACGATATCAGTATGTAGATACAGTTGCCACTTACCCATGAGTTTATACATTGCCTTTTGAGTCCGCCTTTCGAGCTTATCAAGCTTCTTCTGCACATCTCTTCGGAGGTCCCAGTTCGGCTTCTTTGGAGCGATGTTAACAAATGGGTCCTACAATGATAAATTCGTTGTAAGCTTAAGAGGGACAACTAAAGCAACCAATAATTCGAAACAGAGACGCTTTAGATGATCCTTATACAGAGAAAAGAAAAACATTCTCACACACCTCTTTCTTCTCCACAGCAGGTGGAAGTGCAAGAATCGGATCTTCGAATTTGGGTAGCTCTGGTGGGGCGAGTTTACCATCCTGAAGCTCCTTAGCTTGGGGAACATAGTTTCTAAACTTCATGGCTGGACCACTGTAAAATTGAAGATAATCCATAAGCAGTACGCAAAATGGAAAAAAGGGACTTTCGCTCGAATAATCAAGCAACAAAACCAATCATCTAAGCACAGTATACACTACAATGCAAATTGAAATTGGAAAAAAATTGAAAGGTAATGGGTGTTGCAAGAACACCATTATTGATTCTCTCACAAATCAAAGCACAAGAGAAGCTCCTAGGTAAGCTATAGCCAACACGCAACATTAACAACTTCATGTGCTAGTCAAAATGTTCCATGTTTTGATAAAATAAATTTTTTTTTAAACCAATACTATAGATAAGAATCAAGACAAACAAAATTAGCAAAGAATAAAGCAAACTCACTCTTCTTCGACAGCTTCATCCTCTCCGTCCTCCTTGATCTCAGACAGTTCCTGAGCTGCCTTCAGAGCTTTAAGTGCCTCTTTACGAGCAGCAGCTTTTTGTTCAATCGATTCATCTTCACTAGCCATAACTTCCTGCAAAATTAGATTATCGACGTAAACATCGAACACTAGCCCACCTTCTTCAAACACTAATCACACAACTACTGAGATTAACCCTAAACAACACGCAAATTCGTGATTTTCAGGATCTACGGAACCTAATCAGATAAAGATCTTGCAAAATCAGAGCTAAATACGAAATAAATTTGAATACAAGTATGAAAAAAGTTCACTACCCAGAAAATCAACGAGAAAATTTGAAACCGTACCTTGAAGCTTCGAGCTCTATAAATCCCAGACAAATCTGTATACACAGAGAAACAAAGGAAATAAAAAAAAAAAAAAAAAAACTAAAAGGAGATAGAGAAGATTAAAACGCCGACGTATTAATATTATAGACGGGCCAGGTTAAAACATCCATTCAGGCCCATTAAGTTGAAACCTAAACCCTAACTATGGAAGTTATAGAAATACCCCTTTATAAAACGCAGCGTTCTAAGAAGGCCCGACTCGTCTTTAACTGTTATAACACCCTCTTAAAACCCTAAGTGATTCTCCGTCTCCGTCTTCTTCTTCATCTTCCTCTCTCTCACGCAGCTGCTTTGATTAACTCATCAGGTACTTAATATCTCTCATCCTCTCTCTTCCCGGTGAATGCTTTTTCACTTTTCGATTCTTGCTGGAGATTGTGGAGTTTCGAATACTCGGGCACAGTTTTAAGGCTTTTTGTAGTTTATCTCTCTGTTTCTTTTTTCTCCTGTATTTCTTATGTGATCAAAAAAGTATGATTAGGGTTTATAGTGAATGCTGTTTCTTACTAGTTTTTATATCTCAAAACGTTAACTTTTAGTTTAATCAGTGTGACTCTGATTCGTATCTTTACTGTTCTGATTTAAGTTTTGTCTTAATTTTCTCTTTAGGTCCAGCTTAAGAGTTTTGTGAAGATGGTCTTAGTGCTATACGAGACAGCGGCGGGTTTTGCCCTCTTTAAAGTGAAAGATGAAGGAAAGATGGCTAACGTTGAGGTGAGTTATCTTCATTCTTTTGTAGTCTCTTATCTCTTCCTTAAGGTTCTTTGTCTATTGTTGTTGTTATAAAAGTAGTCCTGGATTAACTTTTTTTTTTTGCAGGATTTGTGTAAAGAGTTCGACACTCCAGACTCAGCACGAAAGGTGAATTGTTTTGCTTCTTCATGCACTAATAAAGTGTTTGGTTTCAGAACATCTGAAACTAGATTTAGTGTTGAGTTTCTCATATGTTTTTTTTTGGTGTACCAGATGGTTAAGCTAAAAGCTTTTGAGAAGTTTGACAACACATCTGAAGCTCTCGAAGCTGTGGCTAAATTGCTTGAGGGAGCCCCAAGCAAAGGTCTGCGCAAGTTTTTGAAAGCTAATTGTCAAGGTGAAACCTTAGCTGTGGCAGATTCAAAGCTTGGGAATGTGATCAAGGAGAAACTGGTTTGTAATTCCCATTATTACATCCTTATTCCTGTCTGGTCTGTGTTTTGTTTCTAATGAAATGTCTTAACTCATTCAGAAAATTGATTGCATTCACAACAATGCTGTTATGGAGCTTCTACGAGGTGTTAGAAGTCAGTTTACTGAACTCATATCTGGGTTGGGTGATCAAGACTTGGCACCTATGAGCTTGGGTCTGTCTCACAGTCTTGCCAGATATAAGCTAAAGTTTAGTTCTGACAAGGTACTTTCTGTTCTTGACTAATTATATAGGTCTTTTTATTTGGTGATATGTCAAGTATATGAATTTGTTAATTGATCTAGGCTAACTTGTGTTAAATTATGGAACTTTTGTGTTGAACTAGGCTTTGATTATCCGATATTAAATGTTTCCTGTGTTTGTCTTTGCTTCTCTTGCATCTCCTAACGGTTTAGATTTTGTCAGGTGGATACCATGATTATCCAAGCTATCGGTTTACTTGATGATCTGGACAAAGAACTGAACACATACGCCATGAGGGTTAGAGAATGGTATGGATGGCATTTTCCTGAGCTTGCTAAGATCATATCAGACAATATCCTATATGCCAAATCTGTTAAATTGATGGGAAACCGAGTTAATGCTGCGAAGCTAGACTTCTCCGAGGTAAATTTTCATTTTTTTAACTGTTTAGAGACTTTCATTAACAAAAACGCCCTGATTAACGTCTAAAGATTCTCCTGTTTCTGGTTTTATTGTAGATCTTAGCGGATGAAATTGAGGCAGATCTCAAGGACGCAGCTGTGATATCCATGGGAACAGAAGTCAGTGACCTAGACTTGTTGCACATCCGTGAACTCTGTGACCAGGTTCTTTCTCTTTCTGAGTACAGAGCTCAGCTTTACGATTACCTGAAAAGCAGAATGAACACTATTGCTCCCAATCTGACTGCCCTTGTTGGAGAGCTAGTTGGTGCCCGTCTCATTTCTCATGGAGGTAGTCTACTGAACCTCTCCAAGCAACCTGGGAGCACGATTCAGATACTCGGAGCTGAAAAGGCTCTCTTTAGAGCTCTTAAGACAAAACACGCCACACCCAAGTACGGTTTGATTTACCACGCATCTGTGGTTGGTCAAGCAGCACCAAAGCACAAGGGAAAGATCTCGCGGTCATTAGCTGCTAAAGCCATTCTTGCTATTAGGGTTGATGCTCTTGGTGATGGCCAGGATAGCACTATGGGACTTGAAAACCGAGCTAAGGTAACCGCACTCTTCAATAGCTTTCCTCTTGTTGATATCTCTCTGAACAATCTTTGGTCTCCTACTTAACTGATGATGTTTCTGGTACCTGGTGATATCTTACAGCTTGAAGCGCGGTTGAGAAATCTTGAAGGAAAAGATTTAGGACGTCTGTCTGGTTCAGCTAAAGGCAAACCTAAGATTGAAGTCTATAACAAGGATAAAAAGATGGGATCTGGCGGTCTTATCACTCCTGCTAAGGTCAAGATTATTCTCTCTCTTTTTTCATCATCTTTTCTTCTAGTTTTGGATTTATGTCGGAGAAACTCCCTGTTGCAATTGAGTTTTATATCTCTATCGATTTGTTCTTGAGTTTACTAAGTAATCTGAGCTGTTTTTTTGTGCAGACTTACAACACTGCTGCAGATTCTCTTCTTGGGGAAACCTCGGCTAAATCCGAGGAGCCATCGAAGAAGAAAGATAAGAAAAAGAAGAAGGTAGAAGAAGAGGAACCCGAAAAGGAGGAGCCATCAAAGAAGAAGAAGAAGAAGAAAGCTGAAGCAGAAACTGAAGCCGTAGAGGTTGCTAAGGAGGAGAAGAAGAACAAGAAGAAGAGAAAGCATGAGGAAGAAGAAACAACTGAGACACCAGCCAAGAAGAAAGATAAGAAAGAGAAGAAAAAGAAGAGCAAGGACTGAGGGAGAGGAAAAGATTTTGAGAAATCTCTGAGTGTAAGATTAGTGTTTTTGTTGCATTGCTTTTTATCTAGAGGAATAGGTGTTTTGAGATAAAACTTAATTTTCTGAAATCCTCATTTTGAATGATGGATTCATATTTAAATCCTTTCCACCCAAACTTTATATTTGTACTAGCCTTCCGGATGATTAATTTTGGAACTCTTTTTTTTGTTAATTTATAGTTTGTAGTTGTAAATTATTCTCCTTGCATTGATTTCATATCTGGAAGAGGAAATACCTAAACAAAAATAATGTATTCCGATAAAATCAAATAGTTTATTTGCTACTAAACGTGTTTGTAGATTCACCAAATAATTTACTCTTTGATTATGATCTTAAAGATTTACAGGCAGAGTATCTTTATAATGATCGTATTTGTTGACTATGCATGTTTATCTTGGTTATTTGTCTGGCAAAAGAATTTGTAATCAATTTTAAAATAATCCAAATTAATGAGGTCATTAAAATTAGTATATCTTCAGTAAAAATACATAATTATTGTAGTTAATAATAATGCTTAGAATGAATGAATAAACACATAGCTTTTAATCATTCAAAAAAGAAAATGGTTAGTTCTAAAGGACAGAAGTAATCACTAGTTCCTTAAGCTTTTGTTCCTTGTTTGGTTTACAATAGAGTCTTGATAAAGGAGCTTCTTTGATTGGAGAGATGAAGGAAACTCTCATTACATATCATATTTCTTAATTTTATCTGTTTTTTCAATTCCTATTTTAATATAAAGAAGTCATAGTGTTATTTTAATAATACAGTCCAAAATTAGGTGGATACATACCAAATATTCTTTACTTATGTTGAGTAATATTGTTTGACCAACAGAATTATAGATCAATCTAATTTTTTTATATGATCCTTGTCATTGAGAAAACCACTTCTTTAGCACCATTGGACCTCTTACATCATTTATCTTAATTTGTAAAAAAAAGAAAGAAGAGTTTACCTCTATATAGCCGTTTCCTATCCGAAATTAAGCGTTATAGTGACCAAAACTCATTTTCAATACTAATACTTCTTCTTTATTATGTGTTAAAATAATTAAACAAATACAAAGATATTCAGAATTTAGAAAAAGGAAACAATAGTTCTCCCCAAACTTTATAGTACTCCACAAATTTAAAAAATTGAAAATTGTGATCGAGAAAAAAGAGAAAAGAGAGAGAAGAAATGAGTAAAAAAAAAAAAAAACTAAAATTTAAAATTGGTGCTGAGAGGTTTTAGGTTGGTGGGGGCTGAAGAAGAGTAGTAACTTTGAGCCTTTTTGACCAAGAGTGGTGTTGCGTCCAAAAACAATTACTTACACATAATAATAATAACAAATAGCCAACAGATCTTCGTCTGTTTCTATTTATTCCTTTTTCTTGTCTGATTCGCAGAAAAAAAAAAGAGTTCTTTTTCAAGTAAAAATTCTGAAGCAGTTCAACGAATCCTTCTTCTCCTTGAGAAATTTTTACCCAAGTTGGTCTCTTTCTTCTCTCTCAACTAATGGAGGTAAAGTATATATTATTGGTCTACGAGACTATAACTCTGTTGTTGTATATGTGTATGTATCACCTTGCCTTTTATTCCAAAGCCCTAATTGATTTTTCTTTCTTCTTTTTTTGTGTGTGTGCTTTAAAGGTTTCATTTTTAAAATCTTCTTGGACTCCATTTTTTCCTTTTCCTTTTTCTTCTTTTTTGCCTCTCTTTGTGGAATTTTTGAAATCATCCCTCATTTCATTCCTATTTTTGTTTCTCCTGAGTTTGAGTCAGCTTTGTGTGTGGATGTATCTAAATTCTAAACAAGTTTCAGATCTTTACCTTCCTTTGACTTGTCTCCTGTCTTTAAACTAGGGTTTAATTTTCTTTCTCTGTTCAAGTCTCAGATTTGACCAGCTGGGTCGAGAATTTCGCTTCTCCTCGATCATAAAGTAAGTAAATTTCACCGACCCTTTTTTCAAAGTCTCCTGTTTTAGTCAAATCTGATCTTCGATGTGTTTCGAGTTGGAATCAATTTTCTTGTTTGTTTCCTCATTTTTTCTGTTTGAATTTTCCATTTATGTGTGTGTTGCAGTCAAAGTTGATTCAAAGAGATTTGATTTCGCCACAGAGATCTCTTTTAGAAACATGTTGAGCAAATGAAGGTTTGTTTGATGAGATGGGTTGTGTATTGGGTCGACCCGGATCATCAGGATCAGTTTCTGGGTCTAGAGACGAAGTTAGTACAAGGATTGAGTCTAATCGACATGAAGTTAACAATGTGTCTGTGACCAAAACCGAAACAACAGAGAGCACTAGTGTTGTTGTTGCTTCTGCTTCTAATGGTGAGGAGGTTAGGAATCATGAAGCTGTTGTGGATCAGAAGGAAGAGAATGGCTTTGTTGTGACTGAGGCCAAAGAGAGGAAATCGAAAGGCGAACGAAAAAGGTCTAAGCCTGACCCGAGAAGGAGCAACCCGCCAAAGAATTTGCTGGGTGAGCAAGTTGCAGCTGGATGGCCCTCCTGGTTGTCTGAAATCTGCGGGGAAGCTTTAAGCGGATGGCTTCCACGAAAAGCGGATTCCTTTGAGAAGATTGAGAAGGTGAGAGCAAAATCTGTTTTCGTTTTCTTCTTTGCAATGATTTTGGGTAATTGAAAATGTGTTGTTTATGTGTGTGTAGATTGGATCAGGAACGTATAGTAATGTGTACAAGGCGAAAGATTTGTTGACAGGAAACATTGTGGCTTTAAAGAAAGTGCGTTGTGATGTTAATGAACGCGAGAGCTTGAAATTTATGGCTAGAGAGATTCTGATTTTGAGGAGATTGGATCATCCCAATGTCATTAAATTGGAAGGTTTGGTTACTTCAAGGATGTCGAGTAGTTTATACTTGGTTTTCCGTTATATGCATCATGATTTAGCTGGTCTTGCTGCAAGCCCGGACATAAAATTCACCGAGCAACAGGTTAGGTCTTGGTGAAATAGATTCACAACACAAAATCGAAGGCAAATCCTAACCGTGTTAATAATGCCTATGTTTCAGGTTAAATGCTATATGAAGCAGCTACTCTCAGGGCTCGAGCATTGCCATAACCGAGGAGTTCTACACCGTGATATTAAAGGATCAAACCTGCTTATAGATGACGGTGGAGTTCTTAGAATAGGCGATTTTGGGCTTGCAACGTTTTTTGATGCGAGTAAGAGGCAACAGATGACGAATCGGGTTGTTACTTTGTGGTACAGAGCACCAGAGCTTCTTCATGGTGTAGTTGAGTATAGTGTCGGAGTTGATTTATGGAGTGCTGGTTGCATTTTAGCTGAGTTATTAGCTGGTAGACCGATAATGCCAGGTCGTAACGAGGTTAGTTCTCAAGTTATGATTTTTATTTTTCAGGTTTGAGGAAAGTTTGAGTTATTCGTATGAAATGTTGAATGTGAACGGGGATAATGTTCACGCGGCAGGTTGAGCAGTTGCATAGGATATATAAGTTATGTGGATCGCCTTCGGAAGAGTATTGGAAGAAGATTAGGCTTCCTTCTACTCATAAGCATGCTCATCACAAGCCTTTACCGCAGTATAAGAGAAGAATAAGAGAGGTTTACAAAGATTTCTCTCCTGAGGCGCTTTCTTTACTCGATACGCTTCTAGCGGTCGATCCAGCTGAGCGCCAGACAGCTACAGATGCGTTGATGAGTGATGTAAGTTTATTGCAGTGAAAAGTTTGACACTTTGGGGTATTAAGTCAGATTACAGAAATGAGAGTGACGCAAGTAGTTTCAAAAAAAAAAAAAATGCTTGGAACTTTTGAATCTTTAGGCGTGTGAGTGTGACTTGATATTGGTTAAAACTTCCATGGCTGATTTTTGTTGTTGTTGCGCAGTTCTTCACCACGGAGCCATTGGCATGTCAACCTTCTGATCTCCCGAAATATCCTCCAACTAAAGAGATTGATGCCAAGAGACGAGATGAAGAGTATCGAAGGTAAAGGTTTCTGTTCCAATTTGTGTATAACGAAAATAGTAGATAGGTTTGGTACGGTCTTAGTTTTAGTCGAATATGTTTGGGCTTAGTATATGGTTGCTTGAGAGATTTATTCATATCCGCAGACAAAGAGAAGCCCGTAAGGCCCAAGGAGAGAGCGGAAGAAGAATGAGACCCCGAGAACGAGCCCCAAGAGCAATGCCGGCTCCTGAAGCCAATGCCGAAAATCAAGCTAACATTGATGTAAGAATTTAACACAAAAAAAAAAAAAAAAAAAATTGAATCTTTGATTGGTTAATATTGTCTGAGTGTTTTGGACTTGTTCTCTTAAAACAGAGGATGCGTTTGATCACACACGCGAATGCTAAGAGCAAGAGTGAGAAGTTTCCTCCACCGCATCAAGACGGGTCGCTCGGTTTTCAGGTGGGATCTTCAAGGCGACTGGATCCATCAGAGATACCGTATAGCACAAACTCATTCACATCATCATACTCGAAAGAGCCATATCAGACATGGTCAGGCCCTTTGGCTCCCATTGGAGCATCTGACTCAACCACAAGGAGGAGAAACGATATTAACAAGGAGAGAAGAATGGCTTCTAAGGTTAAAGGCAAAAGAATCGTTGTTTGAGATTATTATTATTATTCATCTCCAAATTTCAAAAGTTTCCTTTTTGATAGAGAGATACTTTGAGGAAAAAAACAAACAAAATTCCGAAATTTTCTTCTTTTTTGGTGGGTTATATATGTTCTTTATTTGGTTGCTATGTGTATTGTACAAGAGAATTGACAAAACGCTGAAATGAGAGGAATTATTTACATTCTATGATATTTATGTAAATTCTTTATTTGATCCTTCAAATTTATTTTTATTGTACTATAGATAGTCTACGTCAGTTGGCGTTAGAATGTCTTTGAAATCGAAAACACATTAATAATAATAAAAATCGACCTAAACTTCTTCTTTACATATATCTATATATACACATATATATCGTAAACCCCAAACCCCAAAGCCAAATCAGAGATTCTGTAAGCAAGACGAGGAAGAAAGTGGGAATCTCTACTTTTGGTAAAGTTTCGTCTCGCAAGTAATGGAAGATAGCAGCTCCACGGCGAGTAATGTGGCCCGAGCGATTCTCGCCATCGTCGATTATAGCTCCACGTCCGACACTCGCAAATCGGCGGTCGAATTCCTGGATTCTGTAAATTGTTCTGTCTGAATTTTTTCACTTGTAGTCTGTAATCGATTTATGTTGCATGTTGCATATATGATGTAGCTGGTGTGATCAAGCTTAAAGGAGGATTTGTTACTCTGGGGTTTAATTTAAAAAACCGAGCTTTTTTCATTGATCTCTTGAATCTCGAGTTAGTTCTAATTGGAATTTTCCTACCTTTTTGGTCAGAAAAATAAACTGTGTTGTCGAAAGAGTTGTTTATTATCTTAACCTAATTTTGTTCGATTAGCTGTTGAAAGTTAGTTTTTGATCTTGTTATAATGGTGTTTCGATTGAGTAATGTGCGGTCTTTGAAAATACTTGCAGATCAAATCTGGAGATGTCAGGGTTTTGGCAAACACTTCTTTTCATCTTGTGAAAAAAGAGTGGTCTTCTGAAATTCGTCTCCATGCTTTTAAGATGCTACAGGTTTGTATTGCTTTTGATTTCTTTTACTTAAACTGCTGTTGCTGAATGAAACTGGACTGGATTAGATGCTTAAGCTAAAGGACGGGATTTAGAACACATTTGATTTTAGAGTCATAGAAACCTTATGGTGAAGCTATCTTTCTTTTGCAGCATTTGGTTAGACTACGATGGGATGAATTAAGTCCTCCGGAGCGCAGGGATCTTGTTAATGTTTCTGTTGAACTAATGTCAGAGATTGCTAATGCATGCGAGAATTGGCCTCTTAAGAGTCAGTCAGCTGCCCTTGTAGCTGAGGTAGGAGTTCTAATTGGGCTGAGTTTTTTTCACTTGCTTTGATCATTGCTACTTGTTCCCGTTCACTTTCTCAGATTAATATCATTATCTTATTGCAGATAGTTAGAAGAGAAGGCCCTGATGTTTGGCAAGAGATATTTACTATATTAACTTCATTGTCTGCTCAGGGCCCCTTACAAGTAAAATGCTCTTTCATTTATTTACTTAAGTGATTTATTTATCGCGGCAATCATTGAAAGTGTTCCCATCTGCTTTTCTTAAACAATAGGCTGAATTGGTCTTGATGACTCTGAGATGGCTTCCTGAAGATATTACAATTTACAATGACGACTTGGAAGGTATTTAAGATTGACATATACTTTATTTTCGTAGTAGTCTGTCCACAGAGGGAAGCTTTTTCTATTGAAGTTTAGGTTAAGCTAAATTGAATCGGTTATGGACAGACACATATGCTAACATTTGTTAGTTTTGTAATTCTTTGTGCTCACCTTAAGTTTTCGGTTTAGTTATACTTAATCCAAAAATGGCAGATCATTCTGGTGGACTCTTGTTTCATCATTATGGTTTAGCTCAGACATTTTGAAGAAATTATTGGGTTATAAATCTTTTCATCCTCTGAGCTCCATCCTCCTGTCTAACTTCTGTATTGGACATCTCTTCAGGTGACAGGCGTAGGCTACTGTTGCGGGGACTTACTCAATCTCTGCCTGAGATTTTGCCTTTATTGTATAATGTATGCCACCGATAAATTCCTCTCAGTAAAGTTGTTTTGCTGCCATGGTAATTTGCTGAATATACTAAAATGCAGCTTCTTGAGAGACACTTTGGAGCTGCAATGAGTGAAGCTGGTAGGCAGCAGTATGACTTGGCAAAACAGCATGCAGATGTGGTTATAGCTTGCTTGAATGCCATCATTGCATACACTGAGTGGGCTCCTGTTCCAGATCTTGCCAGATATGGAGTTCTTAGTGGGTACGGTTTTTGTTCACACCCTGAAGAAGATTGTTATATTGATATTAGCCCTGCATTATTTCTTGCTGATGACGTGCTCGCATACTTATAACAGGTGCAGCTTCTTGCTTTCTTCTCCTGACTTCCGTCTTCATGCTTGTGAGGTTTTCAAACTCGTCTGCTCAAGGTATGCAACTGGATTGTTTGATCTGATGTGCTTACGTGAGCACGCATAGGCAGCTTTAATTTTTTTTTGCTTTTCTTGTCTGCAGAAAAAGACCCAGTGATACTTCTACTGCAGAGTTCGATTCTGCAATTAGCAATTTGTTTCAGATCCTGACGAATGCCTCCAGAGAATTCTTATGTAGATCCTCCTCAAGTTCTAGCGTTATAGATGAAAATGATTATGATTTTGCTGTATGCTTGTGTGAGAGTATGGCCTCTTTAGGCTCAACTAACTTGCAATGCATCTCTCCTGATGGTGGTGTTATGGCTGTTTATCTTCAGCAGGTACTGATTTCGTATTGTTAATGTGTTATTTTGATACTTAACTGCATGTTTTCAGTGAAGAAGCTGGAGATATTAATTTATATTGAAGAAAAAAAACTCTGTGTGTGCTGCAATGGCATTCTGAAACAGGATAAGTTTGAGATATTATTTTTCGTTCTTGAATGACTCTAGTCCAAGTGTATACTAAATTTTGAATGCATGCTGAATGCTGATATACTTTGATTGGATGTAAGCCAATTGTAATTTTAAAATCCTTCTATTCATGTTAGCAATAATATTTTGCATTAGTAGTGTTTTTTCCCCACAAATAATCATATTGAGTTTATGTTGCCTTAATCGTTTTTATTTGTGTAGATGCTTGGCTTTTTCCAACACTTCAAGTTGGGCCTTCACTTCGAGGCACTTCTCTTTTGGCTGGTATGTGGTCTTCTCTGATCCAACCTTCTTCATTGGGAAATTTCAAAGACAGACATATTTGTTGCTAACTTCAGCGTCTTTTCCTTTTGGGTTTTAGTCATTGATGCGGGATTTACTTCCAAAGCCTAAGGCTGCGGCTTATCCAAGTGGTGGGGGATCATCAACTGGCGGTGTGGATAGTTCAAGCCAGGTTGATAGTGAAAAGAAAAAGACTTTAAGTCTTATTAATGATGACATCTCTAGCGTTATACTGGATGTATCTTTCCAGCGGATGCTCAAGAAAGAAAAAGTTCCTACTGGAATTGCTCTTTCGCTTGGGCCTCTAGAACTCTGGAGTGATGAATTTGAAGGGAAGGGAGACTTTGGCCCGTACCGATCAAAGCTTGTATGTTCCTGAACCAAATGCATTGGGTCTTACTTTCCAGACAAACACTTAACTAGAAACTTCTTTCTTTCGTGCAGCTAGAATTGATCAAGCTTACTGCTTCTCACAAGCCTCTCATCTCCAGTACCAAAATATCTGAAAGGGTGATTACACTCATTAAGCACCTATTGGCTTCTCCAGCACCTCTTCAGGTTTTGTCTCGAGCACTTGTTTTCCGCTGTTGACTTCCTTTGACAATCATGCACTCTTAGTTTCTGCTATATGGAGGCCTCTTTGATAAATCAGTTCTTATTTAAGCTCATGGTACAAACATTCTCAGGATGTAGCAGTGATGGACAGCCAGCAGTTAGCACTTGACTGTATTGTGGCAACGCTTTTTGATGGATCAAATGAGTTTGCTGGTGGAAGTTCTGAAGTTCATTATGCATTACGTGGAATATTTGAGGGTATATTGCAGCATATTTCACATTCTTAAGGTTTTGTTTACTATGTCTGGGCTTGTATGATACTAATACTCGGTATTGTGCTGTTGATGGCCCAGGATTGCTTCAGCAGCTTCTCTCTTTGAAATGGAATGAACCAGAACTTATGAAAGTGCATGTGCACTATCTGGATGCAATGGGTCCCTTTCTCAAGTATTTTCCAGATGCAGTTGGAAGTGTGATCAATAAATTATTTGAGCTTCTCACCTCTCTTCCACACGTTGTGAAGGTTTATTTTTATTATTTTTGTATATTTTTACATACATGCGCTCATACATACAAATAAGACATTTTCAATTTTTCGACAGTGCACAAGTCAAGGTGTGGATGAGTTATCTAATAGCTTGTTTCTTTGGCAGGATCCAGCTACTAGTACATCTAGAGCTGCAAGATTGCAGATTTGCACATCTTTCATAAGAATAGCCAAAGCTGCAGAGAAAAGTGTTCTGCCTCACATGAAGGTAGCTTTGATCTCTCACTAATTACATTTAGGAACTCATATCAGTAAACGCTGGAAAATTGTTTGCAGAATTTATGTTTTGTTAAGCTTGTGCTGTTTGATATATGGATATACCACCACACAATTTTATGGCTACCTTCTCTCTGGAAGATACCTTTATCATACTCTCGTGAAGCTCGGTATCATGATTTATGACATTATATGGCTACTTTCTCTCTGGGGAAGCTACCTTTATCATTTTTGTGGCAGAACTCTTATTGTGCATTTTCTTTGTGGCCTCTGTGGATAATCTATAGCACAAACAAGTCATGTCAAACGTCATCTTTACAGTCATAATTTTGCGCAGGGTATTGCTGATACAATGGGGTATTTGGCAAAAGAAGGAACTTTACTCCGTGGGGAGCATAACATTCTGGGTGAAGCATTTCTTGTTATGGCTTCCTCAGCAGGGTAATGTTTGATTCAAAATGAAGTTTAATATATTGCATATTTCCAGCTTCAGATTTGTCATGTTCTTAGATATAATCTAAACTTGGCGCAGAGCTCAACAGCAGCAAGAAGTTCTAGCTTGGTTATTGGAACCATTGAGTCAACAGTGGATCCAACCAGAGTGGCAGAACAATTATCTATCAGACCCGATGGGTCTTGTTCGTTTATGCTCCAACACATCCTTCATGTGGTCCATATTCCACACTGTTACATTCTTTGAGAAAGCACTCAAGCGAAGTGGATACAGAAAAAGCAATTTGAACACGACCTCTGCAACAACCCCAGCTTCACATCCTATGGCTCATCATCTTTCTTGGATGTTGCCACCCCTCTTAAAAGTATGCTCTGAAAATGTGGACCTGCTTAGTATAATTCATAATTAATTTCCTTAGTGCCATATTGGGATGATTTTTTCGTTTTTGTTTTTGCAAGATTAACATGACAACATTCATATTTTTTTACATCTACAGCTACTCCGTGTTCTTCATTCCCTTTGGTCTCCCTCTGTATTTCAAACATTACCCCCAGAACTGAGGGCAGCAATGACAATGACTGATGCTGAGCGATGCAGTCTCCTTGGTGAAGCAAATCCTAAATTGTCAAAAGGTACATCGGTTTATGCTGATGGGTCATTCGATGGAAATAAGGAAGGACAAGTCGAGGCAAGTGAATCTGATATACGAAATTGGTTGAAAGGTATCCGAGATTGTGGGTAAGTTTGTAGTATCCTCCTTTGAGCAAGCCTTGCATTGATCATTTGATTTTTCTCTCATTTATCTAAACTCATAAGTGTTTGTTTACATATTTAGATACAACGTGTTGGGCCTATCAACAACCATCGGAGAGACATTCTTTAAATGCTTAGATGCTAACTATGTTGCGATGGCACTCATGGAAAATTTGCAGTCGATGGAATTCAGGCACATTCGGCTGTTTATTCATACCTTTATAACTTATATAGTCAAATCTTGTCCGGCGGATATGTGGGAGTCATGGCTCGGAGTGCTTCTGCACCCATTGTTTATTCACTGTCAGCAAGCTCTCAGCTCCTCCTGGTCCGGTCTTCTACAAGAGGGCAGAGCAAAGGTTCCGGACTTGTTTGGCATACAAAGTGGATCAGACATGAAACTTGAAGTGATGGAGGAAAAACTGTTAAGAGATTTAACTCGGGAGATTGCGACTCTCTTTTCAACAATGGCTTCTCCTGGACTAAACACAGGAGTTCCAGTTTTGGAACATTCAGGACATGTTGGTCGTGTGGACATGTCTACTCTCACGGATTTGCATGCGTTCAGATCCAACTCTATGGTTGGGTAAGTATACTACCTCTATATATTTCAGATTAAAAGTTGTTTGGATAAAATAGATAATAACGGAAAAAAAAATTGGATTGCAGTTTCCTCCTGAATCACAAAAGCGTAGCTCTACCAGCACTGCAGATCTGTTTAGAAGCCTTTACCTGGACAGATGGAGAAGCGACTACCAAAGTCTGTTACTTTTGTGGTGTTGTTGTTCTTCTAGCTAAACTAACAAATAACGTGGAGCTCCGAGGATTTGTTTCAAAAGATATGTTCTCTGCAGTCATCCGCGGCTTAGGCATGGAATCCAATGCCATTAACAGCCCTGATTTAGTTAATATATGCCGTGAAATATTTATCTATCTCTCTGACAGAGACCCAGCTCCTCGCCAGGTGAGTTCAAGTCAGAAGCATTCATGGTAGAGTCCTTTTGCCTGTTGTTCGCTTGCATTGGTTTTTTGATCTTGTTTATTCGATGCTATCAGGTTTTGCTTTCGCTCCCGTGTCTCACTCCCAACGACTTGCATGCTTTTGAAGAAGCTGCAGCCAAAACTACCAGCCCCAAAGAACAAAAGCAGCTTATGAGGAGCTTGTTGTTGTTAGGTACTGGGAACAACTTAAAAGCACTTGCTGCTCAAAAAAATCTGAATGTTATCACCAATGTCACAGGTAACAAAGTTTCACTTCACGCTTACGATATCTCTGTTTTTTAACAGAATCTAAAACTTGGCTTCTTTTTTGCCTTCAGCAAGATCGCGGCTACCCGCAAGCGCTCCAGAAACAATTGGAGCGGGTGTTTTGTGGGAGGAAGAGCTCTTACAATGATTAAAGAGTTGTACAGAGTCTAAATAGAGTTTATTTGAGATGCCATGTAATAGTAGAGAAGCAGGTTTCTGTTTATGTCCTTACCTTAATACCTTTACTTGTTAAATTCATAGGTAGAAAGAAACCAATGATTAAGAGGATAAGTGTTACATTAGCAATAACAACATCTTAAAAAGTCATTTTATCATCTTTCCTGTGTTGAGTGACAATATCAAACATCCTAAAGAACCACTCAGACCAAAATACTCCTGTGACAAGATCGATTTCCAATTGAGAAAATGAAGGTGAGATTAGTTCCGATGAGTACCTGGAAGCAGAAGTGAAGTGATGATCAACAGAAGACGAATTCGAATTTTCCATTTTCGCCGGTTTTTTATTTTATTTTTGTTTCTCTCCTCTGTTCTCCGGCAGATTTCGTCGTCTCTGTTTACATGGTTTTTTAGTCTTCGTGGGAGGGAGAAGAAATATTTTGGTTTACAATGGTTTTAAAATTACAATTAATTTTCGGTTCGGTTTACATTGGTTTAGAGAAGAAGAAAACAAAAACAAAAAAGGTCACGCGATGGAAATTTTGGAGAGAAGTGCGTCGATTAAAATAGGCATGATTTCGAAAGGTAAACCCCTTTAGGAATTGCTCTCACTCGCGCAACGCGCACTTTGTGAGAGTGGGTCTGAAATAGAGCCTTCTGATTGGCTTAAAAACTCTAAAAAAAATGAAATAGTAGACATGTTGCTAGCTCTTCTTTTATAATTTTCTTCTTCTTCTCTGTTTTGAGGCAAAATCACGAAGAGCTCACCACTATAGATTCATGCTTTCAGATTTCGACTGGTGAGTCTAATCTGTATAAAACTTAATTATTGCTTAATCTGTATAAACCTTAATCTGCATTATAAGATGTTCAAAAGCTCAGAAGAAGAAAGCAATGATTAAGATGACAAAGAGACAAGTGTTGTTACCTTAGCAATAACAAGATCTTCAAAAGTCAATTTATCATCTTTCCTGTGTTGAGTGACCATATCAAACATCCTTTCTCCTAAAGAACCACTCAGACCAAAATACTCCTGTCAAAATCGAAATACAAGAGATATCGTGAGGCTTAATTCAAATTTATCGACCACAGAAACCCAATGACGAGAGGAAGGATACAGAAATCGTCAAACCTGGAAAACAGGGTACGATACGTATTGGTCATTGCTCTGAGACTTGGAAGCGAGGGAGACAAAGAGAGATTTGAGATCATCGAGCTTCTTCTGAGTAAAAGCTCTGCAACAAAACACAAACACACAATTGATAAGATCGATTTCCAATTGAGAAATTAGAGAGTGAAGGTGAGATTGGTTCCGATGCAGACCTGGAAGCAGAAGTGAAGCGATGATCAACAGAAGACGAATTCGAATTTCCCATTTTCGCCGGTTTTTTTCTCCGGCAGGTTTCGTCTCTGTTCTTCTATTATTTGTTTGATCTTTCATTTCTTCAAATTTACAAAATCAACCCCTTAAAATCTAAATATTCTTACTTTACCCCATTACTTCTCGAGAAAGCAGAGTAAAAATCGTTCTTATCGAATCTATATTTCTCGCCTGAATTTTTTGGTGCTATTATTTGTCCATGTCTGTTTTGACTTTGTTGCCGCGAAAAATTACTAAAACTAGTAAAGCTAAGCTCGTTCAGTCGTTTGTCATGTTTAATTGAAGCAGTGAATTGTTCTTCTTCCTCTATTCGATCCTATGGAAGTAGAAATCTTCAGGAATCTTCTTGGCTTGATTCTGAGATTTTGGAATTTGAAAGTTTAATCCTTTCCTACAGTTTTTTGTAATGTTCAAAGATTACTATGATTTTGGATATTTTTGTATCAGTTCATAGTTCGTGATTTTGAGTTATGGTGTTTCCTCTTTTTTAATTTTCTGTCCAGAATTTGCTGATTCCGTTAGAGTAAATATGTTGATTTCGGTTCAGTTTATATGGTTTTGAAATTAAAATTGATTTCTGTTCGGTTTAAATTGGTTTAGAGAAGAGAACAAAAAAATAAAAGAGTCACGCGATGGAAATTTTGGAGAGAAGTGCGTAGATTGAAATAGGCATGATTTCTAAAGGGGTACACCCACAGAATTTGGCACACTCGCGCAACGCGCACTTTGTGCGAGTGGTTGCGAAATAGAGCCTTCTGATTGGCTGAAAAACTCTAAAAAAAGTGCAATAGTATACATGTTGCTAGCTCCTCTTTTATGTTATTATAGATTTTTCTTCCTTCTTCTCTCGGTCTGAGGCAAAAACTAGATTCATGCTTTCAGATTTTGACTGGTGAGTGCTAAAATCTGTATAAACCTTAATTACTGCTAATCGTCTTTTTTTTCTTATCGAATATATAATTCTGGTCTGAATTATTTGGTGTTTTTTTAGGTGTCTATGTCTGTTCTGACTTTGTTGCTCAGAAATTTTATTAAAACTAGTAAAACTAAGCTCGTTTGTCATGTTTAATTGGAGCAGTAAAATGTTCTTCTTCCACATTGGATGTGGACTTTTTATAATTTGGAACCATGGAAGTAGAAATCTTCAGGAATCTTCTTGGCTTGATTCTGAGTTTTTTGGAATGTGAAAGTTAAATACTTTCTTGTAAATAGAATGTTCAAATATTACTGTGATTTGGATCCTTTTCTATACATGTTAGTTTATTAGTGGAATGAACAAGTTGAGAGTGAAACTGAGACTAGTCGTCCTCTGATTCTTTCAGATAAAGACCAACAACATATACCACAATGCAAAGAATCTTTGGTGGGTAAAGGTTTGTTTTCTTATTCATTTAATTTGATGTCTCTTACTCTTTGGTGGAATTCAAACAATGTAAAATTGTTGCGTATATTGACCTAAGGAAGGAGTTGGGTTCTTAAACTGATACTTTACTTGTCCAATGCCTTTTCTGTGACACATTCCGTTTTAGTGACTTTCTTAGTTTCTTTACATGTTGAACCACACACAGTCCATCTCTTATCACTCTCTAAATCCGATTGTTTCGTCATGTTTCTTGTCACAACTTTGTTGATATGATCTTTTTCTGAAAACGTGTTCAGTTTTGTTTATTGTTGAGTGTAGTCTTGGGAAAGCAATAAAGGCTAGTTTTCAACTTCATCACATCCCTTTGAGCATATCCCAATCTTGACTCCTCTAAGTGATGCATTCGCATATCAAGCATTGTTATCTGAAATTCCACACTCTTAGTTAACTTCACTAAACCACTTGATTGCCAAAGTATATATGCTTCAAAGTATCATCTAATGATGATATGAATGTCTATATGTGGCAGAAAACTCTATCTCAAGAAAAGAAATTTCAGAAGCTTAATGAGCTGGTCCGCGATCTAAGGAGGCAGTTACTGCAATGCAGAAACGAAAATCAGGTTGAGTTGACGGAGCTAGAAATTGAGCTTGATCAGCTGCTGGTAACAGGTGTTTAGCTCCATATTACAGGTAAATTCTTTCCATCTAGTACATCTTTCTGTGTAGTGATGCATGATTGAAAGCATTCATTGACTTAACAGTTACTTTTGATGAATCTTGAGATTACCTATTAATTTAGGCTTTAGATATGGTGGATGGCTAGAATTAAGTTGCCAACTTGATGCACTGGGAGAATTGGTTATACTGGATATGATTATCTGGGCCAGGCTTATGAAAATTAATTTTCTATTTGAATTTCATTGTTAGTTGATCAGCTACATTCATCATTTTTATAAATTTCATTAATTTAGTAAAAGAATTCATTGTCTGTGATTCCACCATCAATGCTCTTATTAGATCGCAGGAATTGCAAGTTCGGAAATGAACCATAACTCAAATCAACCCACAACAACAAAGCTTTGAACTCAAGACGTTCTACTTCAACCACAAGGTTAGGGGATGCATCCAACTCCTGCCATGAACCATCTTCACCACAGGTTTGAACCACGAATCGGACTCCCTTAACATCTGATCCAACGACCATATCAAAGACATAATAAGCATCAACATGAGCTGTTCCAAGAAACACTTTCTCGCTTCTTGGTTCTTTCATAACCTTCCTTGGTCTATAATCACTCGAACTCAGATTCTCTGCATACACATTGTACTTTGTAAAGACAGAATCTTCTTCAGGATGCTTCAATCTCCATTCTATCTTACAACTTAAGGTCTTGGAGCCAGAACCACCCGGTACAAACTTTACGTGATGAGCCTCGATAACCCATGATGACGCCAGAGGAAAAAGCTTGTTTTTCTTGATGGAGATATGTCCAAGCAATGCAAAATACTCTAGTGTGTTTGTTTCTTCAGTGAGATCATCTGGTCTGGAGCAGAAGGCAGAGATCTCAGTCAGTGTGTGCCCATCCAGAACAAGGTTTGTTTCGTGCACCGCCCAACCGGATGTGGTCTGTTTTGATGTGCGAAGACATGGCAGGAACATGTCGCCAAATCTGTTGATGGAATCATTTGGCACCATAGGCAAAGACTTTGTCTCATGTGAAGGAGATGAAAAATGGAGCACAATGCTTAGCTCGGATCTTTTATCTGACTTCACCTGCACCAGTCCAAAGACTTACATGAGTAAACTTAAAGACTGAAATTTTGTAATGATGAGGAAGAGCTTATCGTCTTAATTGAAATGTGACGCATCCGTCGCTTAGGTATGAGGAGCAGAAACTTACAGAAAAGGAGATTGAGATGGGGGAAGAAGAAAGTTGAAGCTGAGGTTTAAAAAGTCTTGCTGTGAAATGTGCATTTCTCTTTAGTTTTCTTCTGAAACTGACGTTCCTTCCTCCATTATAAGATGCTTCCCCACCACTACCATATTTGTGTTCTTTAATGTTATATGTTAAATTTCATTTCTTTTTAGGCTTCTTGAAAATCAGATATGAGGCTAGTGTGATCAGAATTCAGAACTTACTCAACAGTGACTTGCATGAGATATCTGAATTCTTTCCTTCATTGAATTATAGGAGTGGCTGTCGCAAAGAACTCAACAGAAGACCAGATCAAATTGGGATATAGATAAGTCTAGATGAAAAATGTGACAAAAAAAAAAAGAGAGTTCTATTGCAAGAAAAGCTATAACAAGGAGTGAGCATTGAACCTGCATACTTTGGCATGAAATGTTGTACCAGGGAGCTTCTGACCTCCAAGAGAGAGATGAGAACCAAGGCCCTATACAGTAAACAAGAGAAGAGCTTCAAAACTTAGCAGAACATAGAATAACCATGCTCATACATACAAATAAGACGTTTTCAAATTTTTGACAGTGCACAAGTCAAGGTGTGGATAAGTTATCTAATAGCTTGTTTCTTTGGCAGGATCCAGCTACTAGTACATCTAGAGCTGCAAGATTGCAGATTTGCACATCTTTCATAAGAATAGCCAAAGCTGCAGAAAAAAGTGTTCTGCCTCACATGAAGGTAGCTTTGATCTATCACTAATTACATTTAGGAACTGGTATCAGTAAACGCTGGAAAATTGTTTGCAGGATTTATGTTTTGTTAAGCTTGTGCTGTTTGATATATGGATATACCACCACACAATTTTATGGCTACCTTCTCTCTGGAAGATACCTTTATCATACTCTCGTGAAGCTCGGGTGTCATGATTTATGACATTATATGGCTACTTTCTCTCTGGGGAAGATACCTTTATCATTTATGTGGCACAACTCTTATTTTACATTTTCTTAGTGGCCTCTCTGGATAATCTATAGCACAAAAAGTCATGTCAACCGTCATCTTTACAGTCATAATTTTTGCGGAATTGAGAAACACAAACACACAATTGATAAGATCGATTCCCAATTGAGAAATTAGAAAGTGAAGGTGAGATTGGTTCCGATGAGTACCTGGAAGCAGAAGTGAAGCGATGATCAACAGAAGACGAAATCGAATTTCCCATTTTCGTCGGGTTTTTTTTTGTTTCTCTCCTCTGTTCTCCGGCAGGTTTCGTCGTCTCTGTTCAAATCGAAATATTTTGGTTTACAATGGTTTTAAAATTACAATTGATTTTCGGTTCGGTTTACATTGGTTTAGAGAAGAAGAAAACAAAAAAACAAAAAAAGTCACGCGATGGAAATTTTGGAGAGAAGTGCGTCGATTAAAATAGGCATGATTTCTAAAGGTAAACCCCTTTAGGAATTGCTCTCACTCGCGCAACGCGCACTTTGTGCGAGTGGGTCTGAAATAGAGCCTTCTGATTGGCTTAAAAACTCTAAAAAAAATGAAATAGTAGACATGTTGCTAGCTCCTCTTTTATATAATTTTCTTCTTCTTCTCTGTTTTGAGGCAAAATCACGAAAAGCTCACTACTATAGATTCATGCTTTCAGATTTCGACTGGTGAGTCTAATCTGTATAAAACTTAATTATTGCTTATCGAATCTGGTGTTCTGGGTGTGGATTTTTTGTGTTTATTTGGGTCCTGGTCTGTTTTGACTTTTTTGCCGAGAAATTTTACTAAAACTAGTAAAGCTAAGTTTGTTTGTCATGTTTAATTTGGAGCAGGAGATTGTTCTTCTTCCTCCATTAGATGTGGATTTTTTATAATTTGGAACCATGGAAGTAGAAATCTTCAGGAATCTTCTTGGCTTTATTCAGAGTTTTTGGAATGTGAAAGTTTAATCCTTTCCTACACTTCTTGTAAATAGAATGTTCAAAGATTAATGTGATTTCGGTCCTTTTCTACAGTTGTTAGTTTGTGATTTTGAGTTGTGTTTTGTTATGTAGCAAATTTTAAAATATCAAACAAAGACCCTTTTAGCTGCAAGATTACTAGATCCTGTTTATGTCCTTACCTTAATACCTTTACTTGTTAAATTCATAGGTAGAAAGAAGGAACCTCTTACCAAACCTTTCATGTCATAAGCAAAGTTTTGTAATTTCGATTTTGTTCTTTATCAGTATTATTTAATCAATCGGTCAATTCGTGATTTCACAACAAAAAAGTAGGATTTTATTGTCAAATAAAGTTTAAGCACTTACAAATATCTACTACTTTTGTCTGCTTTCTACTATAACCTCTCTAACGCAAAAATGAAATAACGGTTTATCATAAAAAGAAATTAGATTCTAAAATCAGAAAATCTCATGGTTTACTGCCGGCAATTTACATGTGCAAAATAACATTTATATCACTGCTCTAATTTTGTAGCCAGCAATTATGCATTGCGCAAGAAAAGAAGCTGGTTATTATTATAAGATATGATACCGCAATGTTGTATGAAAATGCAGAGCGAGTCCTCAAACACTAATTGTGTTTTGCCTATCCGCAGGTGCAACACATCGCCAGAGGGAACAATAAGGCGGGATATCTGCCGGATCTAACCCCAACCCAGAAATGTTTCGGCCATACTCCTGGCAAGATATATTAACCGACGATGTTACTTCTTTCTAAAACTACTATTTTCAGAGCACACAATGAAATATCATGAGGGTTACCTGAAGATCAAGAAACAACTGCATACACATCTTGTCTGTTTCAGATACATTCTGGTCAGATACACCTGATGCTGCACCTGCTCGTTTCTGTGCATTTTGTCGGTGTTTCTGAAGCACTGTCTCTCTTTTTCTCGCCTGTAACATATTACTGCCTTTTACTACACAAAGTACTCACCAACTATTTCTGCATCACTATAGTAATAACAAGAATTTTAATACTTATCAATAATCCTTACCTCGCTAACAAGTTCAGCAGCTAATTCATAATACCGCCTGGAAATTTCAGTGACAGTGCCAAGCAATAACTCCTCCCTTGTTTCATGGGTCAAGTAATGCCTAGCCTTATCTCCCTCCAAAAAGGCCTATTAATATGAAAGATGTGACAATCCACACTTCAGAATTCATCAGTCAAATAACTATGACCTTAAAACCGCAACCCCAAAAGCTAAATGAATACCTTTAGAGGACGCAATAGTCCAATGACGTATGGTGAGTGCCTAACAGGCAGTGGTTTATTAGGCATCATAAATGTTGCGATTATTCCCCGCAGCTGCCTTAGGTCCTATAGGAGAGAAGAAACCATTTACCATTACAGACTTGAATATGTATGACTTGGATAAAAACTGTAACCTGCTCAGCTATAAAGCATATTGTACTCAACACTGTTCTTGCAGATGCTCACTAAGGCAGTCAAAACAAATATTGAAGAGCATAAATTAAACAATGGACCTAATGTTTTCTCCAGGGCTTTACCTCAACAGATTTATCAACAATGACTTCAATTATTGTCTCGGTAACTAAAGGTAGGACGTTCTCTAATGATTCTCCACCCTGTAACATACTCTTCCTCACCACATCCAGAACTTCAGAGGAGCATGAAGATAAATAGTGTGATATATGTCCAACGTAATCGCCACGAACTTCTGAGACTAGACAATTTACATCATGTATAATCTGCAAGGAAGGTAACATGTAAATATTCCGATAAAATCAAAAGATCAACTATATGGTCTATGTAACCAGGTTTCATGTATTTATGTGAAAATCAGATATTTCGAGTTTACTTGTTAACCATAGCATTTTTTGTTACTCTATTTTTTTAAATTTAAGTTCACAACAAAATAAAAATTGAAAACAGTTATCAAGCTATCCCAGAGAACATAACAGCAGCTGAATTAGTAAACACAAAATTGGAGAAATCCCAAAAATTCCAAAATAAGTGGAACTGAGAAACAATCCACATTAAAAGTGACTTACATATACAAAATCTTCTGGAGTGGCTGAAAGTGCCCATTCACATCCAGGACTCGGGTTGGCATTACCCTTTCTAGTATTCACCACAGATGACACCCAGTTGCAATATCTACATGTTAATAACACATTATCAAAATGAGAACTGAAACAAAAACTGGTGAGAGATGATGATAATATTATAGTCAAATTTCACAAACCTCGAAAGAAGCTGCAAGGTCAAGCGAAGAAATTTGTCAGCAGCAGAGAAAACGAGAACATCTTCTTTCCAGCATGATTGCAAGCTCTCCAAAAGACTAACGCTCTGTCTGAGCATTAAGTTGCGGGAGCTCGGTTTATCTAAGTCAGAATCCTGAATGAAAACAAGAGAAGCAGAAGTAAGAGCAGAATCCAAGCCTCCAGCTATCTCCTGAAACCTGAAATCATGTATTTCAAGTTAGAGAAGCTAAAAAGCCACTATTCTAATGGTAAGTCAACAGCCATCTATGATATTCTCAAGTACCTCAGTGAAAAGTACACTCCCACATTCCATTGCTTCATGAATTCGGTACATATCGCTTGAGCTCGAAACTTAGTTACATCAGACCTTGACGGACAATAACCTTCACAAAAAGTATATGGTATGACTCAACTGAAAATTATCCAAATAATTCCACTACCAGGTATTAAGATAAATTATTTTCTTATACAATACAAATGAAAACAATTCACAATGCATCTGATAAGCGTAAGCCATGTGATGAAGCTCAGAGAAAGATGTAGATCGGTTACTCTACCTTCAAGATGTGCCAGGAAATCCAAGCTTGCCTTGTAATTCTTCAAGAACTCGGTAGGCCTTCCAGGAGAAAATGCTCCTGGTTTGGCTCTCTGGATTGCCGAAAGAACTTCTTTCAGGATAGAGTTTGCTATGAAGTTGAAGACATGCAAACCCGATTTGTCTGTTTTAGCAACAAGATACCAAGAAAAGAGTACAATGAGTGAAATATAAAACGTCAACACAGAAGGAAACAATTTTCCAATTATGATTAACGAACAAAATTGGTAATACATCAAAATATGAAGCTAATAAGCCATAAAATTTAGGTTACTGTGTAGTAGCGTAAAATTCTTCTTAGAATATAGAACAGGAAAACTTCTTTGCCAGAGAAACATGGAACTAAAAAGGTGATTGGAGATCTACAACAAATATGATCACACAGATACTGTGAGCGAATTACCCGTTGAAGATATTTCTAGCAGCATTTTACAGTCCTTGGCAATAAAATGCTTGATCTGTTTGTAATCGTTTTCAAGTTCATCTCCCGATGTTCCAGCAGCATCAGCTGATGTTTCATGTGCAATAATCTTATGTACAAAAGGAGCAACAATCGTTGTACGAAAAATTTCTTCTGCATTCTTGGCGTTATCAATAGCAGCATAAGCACGTAGGCAATTGTAAAGGACGCTTGTGTCGCTGTTGTTTAGCCCGTCAATGAAGCAATGACCCAGGCTAGCATCCAATAACACACTAGCGCTCTGAATAGTCTTCTCCATCTTCTCAATGAAAGGCAGGTTCTGTACTGGCATACAGAAAAAACAGTGAGCATCAGTTGTAAAGAAAGTTTTGTTACCAGCTACTTTGGACTGTAAAGTAACAGAGGTAGTGCATTCCTAATGAAATCTATATCAGCAAAAGAAAGAAGAAGAAGAGTAAATGCATGATGGAGACCTGTGCATGAGCCATGTAGAACTTGAGACGATTCATTTCACTAGCTATTCTTTCCAAAAGCATGCTCTGTGTTTCTCTCATGGTTGTACCATCTTGCTGCGTCGGAATTTCAACATTCATAGAACTCCTTCCCAAGGAATTATCATCCTCGTTTCGCCAATCAGAAGGAGTACTTGGTAGAACTTTAATAAGCTTCTCAACCTACATTTACAACGTGAATCATTCAGATAATCTAAAACCAAACAAATCAAAAAAGAGCAAATGGAAAATCATGAGTACCTTGGAGACCACATGAAAAGTGTTGAGCAACAATTCGAGAACCTCCCTGACAGAAGCAGCATCGGAACGTTGGTGCAATCCATTCCTTAGTGCGAAAAGCGCGACCTCCAGAGATCCACGAAATCCATTGATCTTCTCACGGAGCTCAAGGAGAGGAACGCGCATGCGGACTACAGCTGCATCGATATCCACGAGCTTGGTGCTCAAATTCACGAAATCGGCGTAGTCTCGATTGATGTGATCAACAAGTTCGCGGTTCAGGGATGCAAGGTGTGACCGGAGCTGGGATCGGAGAGTGTCAAAGGGAACGAATGTACGGAGCTCTGAAATGTAGGACTCGGAGTCGAAGCTAGGGGAAAGGAAGAGGGAAGGCTTGAACCATGGAGGATGTGATTCGTATGGATCCGAGAAGAAGTCTGAGGCGGATCTCGGCGCTGACGACGGCGAAGGCAATGTCGCGACCAGGCTAGACATTTTCGATTCGATGTTTCCTCTGTGCGGACCGGAGATGGACTTATATATCGATGTATTGGACTGCGTGCCGAATCCAAGTTCTAGAGTTAAACTGCTCCAAGTTCTAGAGTTAAACTGCGTGCCGAGTCCAAGTTCTAGAGTTAAACTGCGTGTCGACACGCTCTATCCAACCAAACCGGTATGTAGTTGCTCGGTTTTCATTCTTTGACATCGATAAATCTTCCGTTCAATTCTGGGTCCGACGTTGACTCTGATGAAAACGAAAAAAACAGTGACAATCTGGGCCATTGGCCCATCTTTTGGTTGCTTCTTTGTGTATATCCATCTCTTTATTGGCCCAGTTTTGGATGCTCCATATGCATATGATACTTCCATGCATAAAAATATTTTGATTTCTTCTCATTTTTCTTAATTCATCACGGTTTGCTTACTCATGCAGATACAACTTGTTGGAATAACGGACATGACATTCTTTAAATTCTTAGACGCAAATAACCTATATCCTTCATGTGGTCCATATATTACACAATGTTTTATTCTTTGACAAAGCACTCAAGAGAAGTGGTTTCCTCTGTGATAACTCCAGCTTTACATGCTATGGCTCATCATCTTTCTTGAATGTTGCCACTCCTCTTAAAAGTGTGCCCCTGAAATTGTGGACATGCTTAGCCATTTACACAATCCATATACGGACGAGGAACCTCTACCCAAAGCTTTCATGTCAAAAGCAGAAGTTTTTGTAATATCTTTGTCAGTCTTTAAACAATCGGTGAATTCGTGATTTTACAACAGAAAGGGTGGACTCTTTATTAATTGTCAAATAAAGTACTTATTAGTACTATAATTAAGAAACTCATATATATATATATATATATATATATATATATATATGTAATAAGTAGTATACTTTCTACTAGTAGTATTAAGTAATATCTTTCTCTTTAACTTCTTCAACGTGGACTTTATATGATGATTATATTTAACTAAAGAACAACGTTGTACTCAATTACTCACGTAGATCGAATCATGGTTTCATTTTGAAAATGAAATGAGTACTGTATATATATTATATTCACGTAGATCGAATCATGATTTCATTTGAAAATGGAATAATTATTTACCATAAAAAAGCAATTGGATTATAAAATCAGAGAATCCCATGGGTAAGTGACGACAATAATTTTGACAAAATAAAAATAAAAATAAGTGACGACAATATACATGTGAAACTGAGCATATATATATATATAGTTTTCTTAAAAATCATTCTAAAATACTGTAAAAGTTTTGGTAAAAAAAGAATTGTTTTTTATTCATTAATATAGCACATATAGTATGAAAAAAGCACCTGGTATGAAACCTGCCAACAATACATGGTTCTTAGAAATTATAAGGAGTCTCATATATTCTTTCAGTCGTGGACCAATACTGAAAATCATCGAACTCAAACGATCGATCACACTAGCTATGTTGCCCAAAATGAAGGAAACAAAAAAACGAGAAAAACAATGAAACCGCTAAGTACAAAAAGAAAAAGGAATCAAAGAAATGGTGACAAACTGACAACGCATTGATATTATTAAAGTTAAATCTGTAAGTAAATTCATGAGATCTCCGTTGAACACAAGACCCATGAACTTTTGTCACCTTCTAGGTGCAGGCCCCCCAATCAAAAATCAATTATTATTACGATTTTTTAAAAATTATTATGATTGCTTATATTATTATTTATTAATCATATACAATAGTATAGATTTTGTTTCAAAAATATTAGCATCTATTCTAGAATAGAAGGGAGATAACACGATTTAGTTAGTGTTTTTTTTTTTTCTTTCTCAAATAATTATTTTGTTAAACAATACAAAACAGATAATCGTTGGCACTTATCAACTTCTCTGCTATGTGCTCTGGTAGGAGTCTGGAGAATCATAAAAAATAAATAAGAAAAATTGTTAAAAAAATAAATAAGAAAAATTGTTAAAAAAATAAATAAGAAAAATTGTCATAGTTATTCAGGAGATTACTTGTCTACGACGAGGTCCACAGTAACTCCCAAGACATATAGACTCTAGAGTGATCTAGTGAATGTGAATCTATAAAGCCGCCAAATCGTTTAATCTTTCCTTTTAAACAGATTTTATTTTTTACGTTTGCGTTACGAATCATCTTTTTGCCTCTCTCTCAACGCAATCACCCTACACGTGTTTCTCTCCTTTCCCGTTTAATTTTCTCAGTCTCGCCGTGAAATTTGTTCTTCTCTTCTTTTCCGGGCGAATCAAAATCCTTCTCTGTTCCAATCGCGTCTCCGTTGGTATTTTACATGAACGTTTAGCGGAATCTCGGGTTTAGCTTCGGAGCTTTGCATTTGATCTTCCTCTGTGTCGTCATTCTCTCGGATTTTGTTTGTTCGCTGCTGCAAATCAGCGAAATCTATTCCTGGAAGTGAGAAGATCGCTTGGAAGCGTTTCAGGTTTGCCACCCGGATTCATTATCTGTGTAATCTTTTCGTTCTGTTTTGGTTAAGGTTGTATTTAATTGCTATGAACAAACTTTAGTGGTGATTAAGTTCGACCTAATTGTGATTAGCATGCTCTGATAAGCTGAGAAAACTGGGTTGATGATGTTTGCATTCATAAATATGTACTAAACAGTTTCAGATTTGGTTTCAATGTTAGATCCTTATGTGGTTTCTAGTGTTGTGTATGTGTCATCTCGCCTTCATTGATTTCTCTACAAGCAGATTATCTTTCTGTTCTCAGTAATTATCGACGCTGAAGGAGCTGGTTTTTTTTTTTTGTTGAAAAGGAAATCTATTGGACTTGTTTTGCTGATTCTGAGAATTTTGTTTGGTGTAACACAGGGAGTTGTTGGAATGGAGGGTCCGGAAAGATGAGGGATTTTTAATACGCAGTTAATTCTTTGACGCCTTAATAGTTTGCTGTCTTACACGTCTTTGGTAAAGATACTCGAAGGAAAAGGGAAAAGGAAGGTAGTTCAAGAAGATGACAATGTTCGCCTCTTTAACGTCTAAAATTTTATCGTTGTCAACTTCTGACCACGCCTCTGTGGTTTCACTCAATCTCTTTGTTGCCCTTCTATGTGCTTGTATCGTGATTGGGCATCTTCTGGAGGAGAATCGATGGATGAACGAATCTATCACAGCTTTATTGATTGTAAGTTCACTCCAACCATCCCTTCTTTTGGGTTGAATAGTAACTAAAGATGTTACTGCAGGATGTCTTACTGATAAGTTTTTACTTTTTACATTTTGGATATTACCATATCAATGTTTCACTTTCATCTTTACCGAATTTTTACTCAATTTGGTTGCAGGGGCTTTGCACTGGTGTCGTCATTTTGTTGATTAGTAGAGGGAAAAACTCACATCTGTTGGTCTTCAGCGAAGATCTTTTCTTTATATATCTTTTGCCACCCATAATATTCAACGCAGGGTAAGTTTCTACATCCAGACTGATCATTTGCTTCTTCATTTTGATGATAGTTGCATATTTTTGGTCTTTCTCTATTTGATAGATCTTTTGTTGTAGTAATAGATTTGGTTGGGTTGTGTACTACAGAGTAGGAAAAAATCCGTTTATTTTCAGAGATGTTACTGGAAAAATGTTGTATTACATTAGTTTTTAAACATATGAATTATAGCGGATTCTATGAATATGCTTTCAAATATCAGCTTGGAAGTACTTGTGATTGTGACTAGAATAGGACGTGGGTATAATGTTTATGGTCAATTTTAGTTTGATTTATCTACAGGTGGTCCTGCTATTTCTTTGTCGTATGATTCAGCTCTCTTTGTTTCACACTATGTTTTACAGATCTTTCCTGACCCATAATTATTTGTTTGTCGTTGTATCTAGATTTCAAGTAAAAAAGAAGCAATTTTTCCGAAACTTTGTAACTATCATGGCTTTTGGCGCCATTGGGACCATAGTTTCTTGCACCATAATATCTCTCGGTATCTTACTCCCCTCTCCCTGTAATTGAATATGTTGAAAGCTTATTCCGGATTAGTAATTGTGAACATTAATATTCTTGTGATGTTTGAAACAGGTGCAATTCAGTTCTTTAAGAAATTAGACATTGGGACCTTTGACTTGGGCGATTTTCTTGGTAATGTGTTATCGAGTTTTCTTTTATCGATTTTTTGTTCTAGAAGACTTGATTTATTTTGTGTTTATTTATCAGCAATCGGCGCCATATTTGCTGCAACCGACTCTGTATGCACGCTGCAGGTAAAGTGATTCGCCAATTAGCAGAAGTACCTACAGGCGCAGAATGGAAGTGTAATTAACAAAAACTCTTGTTCCTTTGGTGATACAGGTTCTCAATCAAGATGAGACACCTTTGCTTTACAGTCTTGTATTTGGAGAGGGCGTTGTGAATGATGCCACATCTGTTGTGCTCTTCAATGCAATTCAGAGCTTTGACCTCACACACCTGAACCATGAAGCAGCTTTTCAATTTCTTGGGAACTTCTTCTATCTGTTTCTCTTGAGCACCATACTTGGTGTCGCAGTAAGTCCCTTTTCTTCTCTCTACTGCTCTTTCTTCTGGCTACTACTTACACGATCTCTGTTAGCTACAATCTCTTTATTTTTCATCTTGCAGACTGGTCTGATAAGTGCTTATGTCATCAAGAAGCTATATTTTGGAAGGTAGATAATTGGCTTTAGTTTCATATGTGACTTCATTTCTACAAGCCTGTTCTGTTATGTAGTCTAAACTGGATATCTTTCTTAGGCACTCAACTGATCGAGAAGTTGCCCTCATGATGCTTATGGCATATCTTTCATACATGCTTGCTGAGGTTAGTTTTGTGAAATTTTATACCACTTTCATAATTTAGGCATGGAGACATTCAGTTGTATCTTAAGAATCCTTTATTGATGATATATTGTTTGGGTTGCAGCTATTCGCCTTGAGTGGTATTCTAACTGTATTTTTCTGTGGGATTGTGATGTCCCATTACACTTGGCACAATGTAACCGAGAGCTCAAGAATTACTACCAAGTAATATAATCTCCATTTCTCTTGAAAACAAAACGTTTTCCATCTTCAATACTTACTCACTTTCTATGCATTTACGATGATACAGGCATGCCTTTGCTACTTTGTCGTTTCTCGCTGAGACTTTTATTTTCCTCTACGTTGGAATGGATGCATTGGACATAGAGAAATGGAGATTCGTGAGTGACAGGTATGGTCACTCAGTAGAAACATAAACTCTCTTTTTGTTCATTGGCTATATACATAATCTTCTTAAGTTTCTATTGTTTGGTTTTGGACAGCCCGGGGACATCAGTTGCAGTGAGCTCAATTCTAATGGGTCTAGTCATGCTTGGAAGAGCAGCTTTTGTCTTTCCTCTTTCCTTCTTATCAAACTTAGCCAAGAAGAATCAGAGCGAGAAAATTAGCATCAAGCAGCAAGTAGGAACAATCTACTTTGTCTATTGAATTTAAATTTTCTGAGGATTGTTGATGCTTACTAATCTTCTCTCACTTTTTCTATAGGTTGTGATCTGGTGGGCTGGTCTAATGAGAGGTGCTGTATCTATGGCGCTTGCCTACAATAAGGTAAATTGAAAGCTTAATGGATAGTAAACAGCGAGATGGTGATTGGTGAAAATCTAACAGATCTTTTAACTTCTTTATTTTTATCTGTGCTCTCTAATGCAGTTTACAAGATCAGGGCACACAGAATTGCGCGGGAATGCAATCATGATTACCAGTACTATAACCGTCTGTCTTTTTAGCACCATGGTAAGATGTTTCCCTCTCAGGTTTGGAATACTAAATGTATTTTCTCTATATAGATGTTGTCAATGTGGATAAACCAATCCTGAGCCATAAGAGAGATTTGCCTTTTCTATATCCGGAAAACTGAAACCAGTCCCCCCACCCCTATTTGATTTGTTATTCCAATATATTTCTCAGGATCGCTAACACTGAACCCTGTTTCGGTTTATCTGATGCCGGACATTTAACATATAAATTTATTTCCGCGGCTTTCAGGTGTTTGGTATGCTGACCAAACCGCTGATAAGATACCTAATGCCACATCAAAAAGCGACCATGAGTATGTTATCCGACGATAATACTCCGAAATCAATCCACATTCCGCTCCTTGATGGCGAACAGCTAGATTCATTTGAGTTACCTGGGAGCCACCAGGACGTTCCACGACCAAATAGCCTTCGAGGTTTCCTCCTGCGCCCCACACGCACTGTCCACCATTACTGGAGACAGTTTGATGATGCCTTCATGCGTCCTGTGTTTGGTGGTCGCGGTTTCGTTCCGTTTGTCCCTGGTTCTCCGACTGAGAGAAGCACGCATGATCTCAGTAAACCTTAGGAGAAAGATTATAGAAACTTTTCAGAAAACCAAAGAAAAACTTGTTCTGGTTCTTCCCTCGTATGGTCACCAGTACTGGTGATGTAAATGTATTTTTGGTTCTTCAAATTTATACATTCTTGTGTAAATTTATTAATATTCGATGATGAAGAAGCTTCTTTTACCTTATGAGAGACGTGTGGGGTTCATGTGTATAACTATTTTAGTCTTTGTTTTGTTTAACGAAACTACAAATTTTGACTCTTATGGCTCATGGGGTCTGTTGTTGTTGGTCAGAACTTGACTAACTCTTACGATCTGATTGGCATGGTTTGGTACGGTTTGGTTCGATTTCGGCAACAGAATAAAAAAAAACTTATCAATAGAAAAATCCGGTTAAATTGGCAAGTGATATATATACCAAATGGGCTGATTAAGGAGGCCCATGCGATTGTATGGAACGACGTCGGAAAGGGTGTAGGAAGAGCTTATAAATGAAAGCAGCAAGCAGAGCAGTTCACGCTCTTTGTACACTCCGCCCTCTCTCCCCATCTCTTTCGACAGATCTCTATCTCTCTCGTGATTCACGAAACAATGGCGACTCAATTCAGCGCTTCTGTCTCCATGCAAACTTCTTGTCTGGTAATCAAATCTTCTTTTTCCATTTTAACAATTGATATTTATCCTTAGAGATCGCTTTGATCTTACGATTCAAGATCATTTCCCTCTGATTCCGATGCCTGGTGTTGTTGCCGTATTAAAAATCTTGTCGCATGTTAATTATGTGGAACATAGAAGATCTTCCCTTAAGTAATGATCAGTTTTATATGTTCCTGATTATCTCTAGTTTCAAATTTTGTGATCGGCAACATAAGGATTTAAAACCCGTGGTTTTGTGGATTTTTGTCTTCTGCTTGTAATCTAGATCTACATTCAATTGAATTCATGATTGTGGAAGTGAATGCTTACTTTTGGTTGTGATTATTTGTGCATAGCCATTCATTGGCTAAGAATTTGGTTTGAGTTATGAAAATTACAGAGAACAAAGTTGATATGAATGCAATGTTTTGTGTTTGATGACACAAATAGGCAACAACAAGGATTAGTTTCCAAAAGCCAGCTTTGATTTCCAACAATGGAAGGACTAATCTCTCCTTCAACCTGCGCCGTTCTATCCCATCTCGCCGCCTCTCTGTTTCTTGCGCGGTATGTCCATTGCATTTTTTTTCCGAGTTTATTAATCTATATATATATATATGGCTCTCAAAAGTTTTAAATGACATTACTTTGGTTTATAGGCAAAACAAGAGACGATAGAAAAAGTTTCTGAGATAGTGAAGAAGCAACTATCACTTACACCGGATAAAAAAGTCGTTGCAGAAACCAAATTTGCTGACCTTGGAGCAGATTCTCTCGACACGGTATCCTTTCACTCGAGTGGCAATTAACACAGCTTCTTCTAAATTTTTTTGATACTGATCAACTTAGTGCTTTTGTTCAGGTTGAGATAGTGATGGGTTTAGAGGAAGAGTTTAACATCCAAATGGCCGAAGAGAAAGCTCAGAAGATTGCCACAGTGGAGCAAGCTGCTGAACTCATCGAAGAGCTCATCAAGGAAAAGAAGTAATTTAGCCCCAAAATAAACTTAAAAAAAGAAAACGACAAAAAAAAAACAGGCCGTTGAGTTTGTTTTCATTATGTTTGATCTCTCTGTCATTTTCTTTTGTGTCTAGCGAGTCTGTCTTTGTCCCAATGGTTTAGTATCTGCATTATGTATCCACGGATTTCTATTTGTCACCTTAAACTTTTGGTGCCCCAACGAATATCATTGACAATAAATCTTTCTTATTTTCTTTCCAAGATCGAAATGCATACGAGAGACACAAGTATGTCACATCATAATATACAGGGTGTCTGTCTCCACAGTCTTAGTACTAACACAAGTCAAGAAGAGTATGCCCTACAAGGAAGTGACAGTAGTTGCTTTTTTAGATTTATCCTATTCACCTTGTATCTACAGATCGATAAGACTACATGGTTCTTATTATTCCCAATCGGCGTCGAAGAATCCAGCATCTTTCATCTCTGAATAGTAGACATTCTCCAAATTCAGATCTTCCTCCTGCAGGAAACACAAATTTTTAGCACCAAATTGATCATCCCAACTATAACACGCCTAAGGAGTTTTTGTGATGGTGATGATGCAGATGGTACTACGGTGATGATGATGGTACTATGGTAATTGTGATGGTGATGGTGCTATAGTGATAAAGAAGGTGATGGTGATGTGCTATAGTGATGAAAGTGGTGATTTATTGCATGTTTGTGGGTACATAGATATTTATGTATAGAGAGAGAGACATGTTAATATGAGGGATTTACCTGGAAAAAGTCTGCAAGGAAAGTAACATACAAAAGAGGAAGATAGAAGGCGTGGTAACAAACACTTGTGACCCCATACAACCTGCAAGCATTTGCAATTTTTATTTTCTAATGTTAGAAGCAAGCGAAAAATCTGACTACGCGACTTTACTCTTTTGATTGTGAGGCTTTTGTTTAAAGGGCTTACCATAATCCAAAATGAGCACCGTTTGCCGTAAGAGCACATGCAAATAGGGAGAGCCCATTTAAGGCGAGCATGACAGTTATGTACTTGTAGAATGCAGGTCTTGCTGTCAAAACGGAAAATAAAAACATATGGGATGAGTAATAGAAGCCAGTGAATAGCTATTGGCTTGTGCAACCGTAAGGAGGATGGGAGTGGTAGATGTATTTACCAGGTAATCTCTCTCTCCATTTGGAGTTGTACATGAAGAATATCATACCATAAATGCCAGCGAGTAAGAGCTTGTGGATGACCCATAAGCCCCATTTGAACTTTTGTATATGTTCATTGTTGTCGATAAACAATGGTACTCCAAATCCAAAGAGATAAATTGCCTGCAAGGAAGAATGAAAACCTTGAAGAAAAAAAAAACTGATGGTAGTTGAGTAACCAGACAACACAAGTTTGCATATTATCAACTGTAGTGGAGACATGAACTAAAAATTTTGCATAAGTAAGACCAGGCATACATCATGTCAATATACCTCAATGAAGTATTTTCTATCTATCTTTCAGAAGGTATATCTAACAGTTATGAACACAAGAGTACCTTGAGAAGCAAATCGAGACCTATAACAAGCCCCGAGATGAGGAAAGTTCGTGTTAATGCTTCAGCACCGCTTGCATAGTTTCCTTGGAAGAGAAAGGCTACCAAGCTTACTTCTAGAAACAACATTCCAGATGTTGTGAACAAAGTTAATAGATTCCAAATAACTTCTTTCCCAGGAGTGCATTCCCATGCCTACACACATGAAAAGTAATTTGAAAACGAAATCTAGAGTAAGACTAAATCAGGTAAAACATTTCCTCTTAGGAAACATCTAACCAAAGAAATCACCAATCACAGCTTACACAAAACACAAAAGCTTTCTAATCACCAGTGTAGAAGAACAACAATGTTTATACAATTACTGAGCCTAAAACACTCTAAAAAGCATTCTTCTTCAATCTAAGTTGTGATCTTTTTACACGCAACATATCCCTAGTAATGATATACTTCGGAAATGAATCCAAAAAAAACAAAACTTGACGAACCTGAAGACAACACCAAGTAAGATTGAGCAAGCTAACAAGCCAAAGAAAACCATAATAGGCGATCATAATGTAAGATCTCCGATTCGACAACTTGGACAAGCTCTTCTTCGCCTCGTACGCTAAGTAAGCGACGAATAGAATAGATGCTAAAACCAAAACCGTGTTATGCAGAAACCCATGGCACTTTCCGACCCATCCGCCGATAAACCCTCCGGTGGCCGTCGAATTAGGGCTCAACCGAGAAATCAAGAAAGGTGACTCCGCGATCTCTCCGAGAACTCGCATTTCATCAAATTGTACGAATCAGAAACCAAGTAGAGTTAGTGCAAGGAGTGGAAAGCAATCCCTAATTCCAGAAAAGGACCTCAATTTCGAGATTTGATGTTTTTTGCGATACAGAATTCATATGAATCGTATATTTCTTCTCTCTGGTGACCAAATCCATACACTGAGGCAAACATAAGTAATTACATAAAAGTTAAAGGGTATTTTTGGTAATTATAATACAATATTGGGGTGGAAACTGTAAAATAAATAAATGAAGGTGCTATCGATAAATATAATAAAATAATGGGGAGGAAAGTATAAATAATTAAGGAGAAGAAGAAGAAGAAAAGCCTTTTCTCAATCCGACCGTTGAAAGGCACTCGCCATTTCTGGCTAAACGACCGGATCGGTTTGAGAGAAATATTCGCTGCCATAAATGGCGATTTTATTCTTCGATTTTGAAACTTTCTTTGAGATTTCTGTTGAATCTAATTTCGTTGCGTTCTGTTTCGATTTTTCTGGATTTCACTTTGCTGTGATTTCCAAAATTTCGACATGGGTTTTTCGTAAGAGAGATAAATTTGGTAACTTTTTTTTTTTGATTCGATGTTGAATTTTTAGTTTCAATCAACCGCCATTGATGTGAATGTGATGATCATTAATTTTTGTAGTTGACGATGAGAAACACGAGACCTGTTCATGTTAGGAATAAGAGTACGGAACCAGGAACCCCATCTTCGCCTATGATGACGTCTCCTCTAATGCATCGACATACACGTTCAGGATCAAATGCTGGCCCAGCTTCCAATGCTAAGAAAGCTCAGACAAAAGCAGCTGCTCAGAGACTTGCGGCTGTGATGTCAAATCAAACAGGGGACGAGGAAGATAGTGATGAAGACCTTTCCTTTGACTATAATGCTTCCGGTACAGGGAGCATTGGACTCGCTGCCGGAAGATCTCATCCTTCTCGCTCTCCTGTGGTAATTGAAACTATAAAGACTCACTTTTTCACTGTAATGAGGGTTTTGCAATGTAGGGATTTTATGTGATACTGTTTTCTGGGACGACAGATTAGGAACCCTATGGCAAGGCGTCCACAGATGGCAACTCCACAGTTAGCTGATGAGGACAATGAAGATGATGATTTTTCAGTGGATGTATCGAGTAGCAGACCAAGTATTGGACTTCCTGGTGGAAGAGCAATGAGACCTCAGTCTCCTGTAATGGTGAGTCTTTTGCCTGCCAAATGTATTTTGGCTTCAACTTTCAGATGCTAATACCCTTTTGGTGTAGACTAAGATTGCACCTCCCAGACGAACACAACCAACAAATGAAGGAAATAAGAATGATGGTGATGATGATGATGTTGTTTCAGTAGATTATACAATTGGTAGACCAAGTATTGGGCTTGGAAGTGGGAGGGCAATGCGCCCACAGTCTTCTATGGTATTGATCGATTCTTGAAACTCTTTCTGTTTGTACGTTTTTCTATTTTCATGTCTTGTCTTGTCTTTTCTTAGAATTTGAACTTAATTTAACGTTTAGATGAAAATATTTGCAAAGTGCAGAACAAAACCCAACCACAAGGGCGTCCCGTGATGGCAGCTCATCAGCCAGTGGATGAGGATAACGAAGATGATGAGACTCCATATGTTTATACAAGCGGCATTCCAAGTGTAGGACTTCCTGGTGGAAGGGGAGCTCGGTCACGTTCTCCTCTGGTACTTAGTTTGTTAAACAACAATCCATTTGAAACTTGTATCACGCCTTCTATCATAAACATAAACTCTACTTTGTGTACTACAGACTAAAAACCCTCCATTTAGGCATCCACAAGCAGTAGCTCAGCCACCAGCCAATGGAGACAGTGATGCTGATTATGATGAGTCGTATACTAGTGGCATGCCAAGCATTGGACTTGCGGGTGGACGATCAATGAGACCTCGCACTCCTTTGGTAAATTTAGTTTGTAGCTATTCTGGTTTTCTTGCTCTCTCGTAGTGGTACTTGCTTTTTTAAAACTTATAGTGTACCCTCTAATGTGAATCATGAACTAGTACATGTTTAACTAAAATGATATTTTGCTAGATTTTCAGAAATCCGTCAATCAAGAACCAGTTTGATACTCTAATACATCATAGCACTATAACACTGTTTATTGGTGGTTTGAAGTTTGCAAAGGTTGCATTTGTATTTTTATCAGCATTATGGCATTAACCAGTAAAGAAAAGTGTGTAGTTAACGTTTCTGACTATCTGCATCAGCATTAAATATATCACGCCTCAAAGTGTTTTGTTGCTTTTAAGTCTTCTAAAACTTCCTTTAATTTTCCATTAGTCAATTCGTACTAAGGAACAACCTCAGACCGGACTTCCAACTTCAGGTAGCCGATCCTCATTATGTGAGGATTCCACAGAATCTTCAGCTATTCCATCTCAGACAACAAACCAAGTGGAGCAATCTCCATCTGCTCGTTCTGCATTCTCTAACAAATCATCTCAGTCTCTCAGTTCTATGGATCAACCTCCATCAGCTCGTTCATCTTTCAGTGGTCGTCCAATAAGGACCGTTCCATTAATGCCATCTTCGGTGCCTATATCACTCAAACCAGTGACTCCTGCATTTCAATCCGATACGCCAACCAATCTTCGAAAAGATAAAAGGTAACTAACCGATAGCTTATCCGAATTTAAGTTAGGGATGTGTTAGATGATGCTCATTGGCCCTCATTCTTCACATTCACCTACTTCATTTATTTCCAGTGTGGCCTTAGTTCAGTGATTTCTGTCCATTAGTAGGTTTTCCATGGATATGGGAAGCTCAGGCAACTTAAGAGAGTTAGGGAGCCAACGTTCTACTTCAGCTTTGCAAGATGAGGTCTGACTTCTCTAGCTCGTGCCTTTTATTTTCTTAGATTTCTTCATTAGAGCCTTCCCAACATTTCACACATTTTTTTTCATGACTTTTCGTTTTCATTTCAGGTTGATATGCTACAGGAAGAAAATGAAAGTTTGTTAGAAAAGGTGATGCCAGTAAATTTTCACAGTTGGTGTCAGTATGCAATAGTTACTCAATTTCTTTTGATGACATCTTTTCCTAAAAAGCATTCTATTGATTTGTTACAATTAAGCAAACATGAATTACTCTGGCAAATTTGAAACTCTGTATCAAAAGAAGCCTATATAAATTTTGTCATAGTTGTTGGCTTGTTGCTAAAATTCTTTGTGAAGTTAGATGATCCCTGTACTATTTATTATGGTTTGCATCCCATCCTAATTTGTGCATCCCCAGCTTCGACTTGCAGAAGACAAGTGTGAAGAAGCAGATGCAAGAGCTAAGCAACTTGAGAAACAGGTAAGCAGGTGGTTCATGCCTCAGCATAGCATATAAATCCCTTATTACGTACTGTTTATATTGTTTCAATGCCTCGAGCTTTTATCACATCTGTAAACTCGAAGCCGCTTTTTATTAGGTTGAAATCCTTGGAGAAGGTGTCACTATGGACGCACGTCTTTTAAGCAGGTAAGCTTCAGTTTTAAAATTTTGGATGACCTTTGACAAATTTCTAAGTCTTTGAATGTGTTTCTTGCTTCAGAAAAGAGGCAGCTCTACAACAGAGAGAGGTCAGTGTCTTATCATTTATCTACATGGTCTCATACATTATTTTTGGGTTATACAATTCCAATACTTATGTATGCCAACAGTCATGCGTTTCATTATTAGCTATGTCTGCAAATTCTAACAATATGTCCAAATCTGGACAGAGTAACTTGCTTCAGCGTTTTTTTAATTGAGCTTATTCTCCATTTTTGTACATGTGAAGGAACTTTTTCAGGGTAGATTGTTTTGACAGCTGACTCATGAGGCTTTATGATTCTAGTTTAGATCTTGACATATGAAAAAGTAGCATAATCCACAGAACCAATTTCTTTTCAGGCTGCTTTGAGAGTTGCATCACAAAATCATGGAGGAAGGAGGGAAGATGTTTCGGCTCTTCACACAGAAGCTGAGGTACTTCAAGTTTTGGTATTTTGTTGTTCTAACTTGCATCTGTACTAACATTTTAGATCTTGGATTGGATTTAGATTGCTAGGGAGGAGGCAGCATCTTCATTAGAGCAGCTTCATGAAGTTGAATTAGAGCTTAACTCTCTTAAGACCGTGACCAAGAGATTGGTATTGACTCAGGAGGAGATGGTATGCTAGTATTGTTAAAAGTTCATACTTTTCGTTTCTATCTAGTGTTTTTTAAAGTCGATAGTTTCTCATCTGTAGCTCTTTATCTTAGGAAGAGGTTGTTCTGAAGAGGTGCTGGCTTTCACGTTATTGGGGCTTATGCGTTAGACATGGTAGGACCTTGCTTTCTTACACATTATAATCTATAAATTTATAAACAAACAAGATCGAACAACGCGAAACAGAACTTTACACTGATTTTAATGTTAAAGCTTCTCTGAATATTGTACATAATGCGCTAAACTTGGCTGAGATGTTGTGGCAGGCATTCAAGCAGACATTGCAGGAGCAAAGCACGAATACTGGTCATCGTTTGCACCTCTTCCTCTAGAGATTGTTCTGTCTGCAGGACAAAGAGCAAGGGACGGAGTTATACAATGTAATATTTTCATCTTGCTGCAGAAATTTAACTGAAAATGTTTGGAATTATTCTGACCTCACTTGTTCTTATCTCTGCACCAAGCAGCTAATAACACTTATGGAGAAAGAGAAAAATCATTGCAAAACTTGCAAGAAACTTCTGGGGAAGGAAATCTCGAAAACATGATATGGGTCGAGAAAGGTTTGCGAGAGCTGGCTTCACTAAAGGTGTAAAATCTTAACATGAGAACTCTTCTTGTCGACTATATCCTTTATAAGAAGCAGAGGTCTGTTGTTAGATGATTATTCAAGAGAAAGATTTGAAGTATTATTCTTTGCTCTGTCTAAAGGTTCAGGAGGCAGTTGCATTTGTCATGGCTCAAAATAGACGGAACACATCATCAAAGTTTTTTGTTTCAGGTGATAACCAAATATCTAAGCTTAAACCATGCTTAAATTTGAATATTTTCCTAATTCATGTTTTCTTTTCTTGAACAATTCATAGACGAAGTGAAAATGCCAATGGATGGACAATTTGAAGCCTTTGGTAAGTCAATCATTTGTACACTATGATCTGTTCTCATTATCACGCCAAGCACTGATGTGATCAGACCCTACTTAAGGTCATTCATTATATGATAAACCCCTGAAATTCTGCTCTCAAACATTCTTTGCATTTTGGTTTTTCCTTTACAGAGTTAAGCGACGAGGAAGTTGAAGATGTGAGTTTTAAACAGGTAAAGAAAAACACATCAAATCTCTGTTTTCTATGGTTTTTCCAGAAGCTGTCATGTCTCATTGTAGCTTTGCATACAGGCCTGGCTTTCATATTTCTGGAGAAGAGCTAAAAATCATGATATCGAATCTGATCTTGCGGATGAGCGACTCCAGTACTGGATAAACCAAGGGACTCGATCTGCCACATCACAGGACGCTGTTGATGGTACGTTCTTACTCACTCTCACTGTCAATGATCTGAAGCAAAGAAACAATATATGTGTCTTTATCATATGAATTGGGTAAATTAACGGATGTGAAATGCAGTTGAAAGAGGGCTAATGGAGCTGAGGAAGCTGAACATAGAGTCACAGCTCTGGCAAAAATCAAGGAAAGGGCTTGACTATGAAGCCAACCCTTCTCATCTTGAACTTTCCTTCTGATTCCTCTCTTCTCCCACTTCCACTCTTAAAAAAAACTATTTGTTTTTCTCATCTTTTTATTTTCAACTGATTTTAGGGGAGTTAATTACTGGACCTGTAATGTTTAAAGAATTTAATATTTTTCTTTTCAGTTGTGTATCTTGAAAGAAAGTCTATTACAAGCTGATCTAATTTGTTGTTTAAATATAAAATAAATCTTGTGAGGTGTCATGTGCTATTCAATAATCATGATTTATTTATTTATATTATAATTTACAAGTTAGATGAAGAAGAAAATAAACTATATCTTGGTTTGCTTAAATAGTAGAACTAATTTTCATTGGGAACAAATTCGTTGAAAATTGATTTTTAACAATAAGTCATCCGCACCAAAAAATAATTTTGAATTCACTTATGAGAAGGAAAATTGAACCAAGACGATCCGGAGAGATTAAGGTTATCGTGACTCTTATAAAAATTAAGTCACAGATCAGAAATAATAGAAACTATTAAGGACTTAAATGTAAATACTCTACAAGTTAATAGATCGGAGCTTCGTTGCATAAGCCCAAACCGGTCGAGAGAAGACGGAAAGAGTCTGAGAGAGAAAAAATGGGGAGAGAAGTGGCGGAGAGCTGTGTAGACACTATGTTAATGGAGATGGTGGCGATGTACAGTGGTCGATTCTACGCTAACAAGCCGGAACTCGCCGCTCGGAGAATCGAGGCCATTGGTTATCAGGTCGGCCACCAGCTCTCCGAGAGGTTTGTTGTTGTTAGTTTACACTTGATCATCATCTTCTTTCGATCTGGTTCATACTTCGTGAGACTTTTCTCGGTAGGTGTTTCGGATGTTAGTATTAGTTGTAGATCTGAAGATGATGGCGAATTTATATTGTTAGCAATGATTCTCTGGTATTGGATTTATCGTTTCTCGTGTGTAATTGGCTGAGAATGTGATAGATAGGAAGATAAATCGCGCTGATTTGAGTTTTTCTCATTCGTTGGGGTTTTGGTGTTGAGGAACTGTGAAAATTTGGGGATTTTGAGATCGATTTGGTACTGAAATGAAGATATTTGCGCTTTCTGTTGTTCTGTGACCTAGTAATTGTTAGAAATCAAGAAACTTGGAACTTCAACTGTTCTTGTTAGTTTCTTGGATATGAGGTTTTTTATTAATCAATGGCTGGCTCTGAGGATTGCCATTACTCAAGAATTTTAAATCTGACATCAACTGTCATGAATTCGGATTCCATGTTTTACTGAATTAGAAAATTGGAATGGTGGACTCAGTTCTAGTAGCTAATTTTTCTTTTTACGTGCAATGTTTTGGTGAAGAAATTCCCTTGTTACCTAAGACATATGTCTCAGAAGATTTTGATTCTCTTAGTCCCTGTTTACCTATAATATGTGTAAGAAGAATGATTTTAGTCTGTTGAAGCATGTTTTGTTGCTTCTAAAGGTGTTTGCCTACATAATAACTGTTTTACAGTGTTGTATCATGGCAGATATTGAGCATCTTACTTGACTATGCATAACGCCTGCCTATTTATCTAACTAGGTACACTATGGAAAGACCAAGGTTCAGTGACCATCTAGAGGCAATCAAATTTATCTGCAAAGACTTCTGGTCTGAGGTCTTCAAGAAGCAGATAGATAACTTAAAGACAAATCACCGGGTGAGATTTCCTCTAAAAAACTGGAATTGCCTGAACAAAGGCGAAACTCTTCTTGTGTGCTAAATTCTAACAAATGTTTCTTCAGGGTACTTTTGTATTGCAAGACAACAAGTTCCGGTGGTTGTCTCGTGTCTCAATTGACCCTTCATCTGAGAACGAAACCGAAGATCCATCTACTCCAGGGGAAAGCAAAGCAGCACAAGCGGTGAGCATGTACCTCTATTTCCCATGTGGAATCATAAGAGGTGTCCTCTCCAACTTGGGGATACCGTGTGCTGTCTCTGCAGATATATCAAGCCTTCCCACATGTGAGTACACAGCTTGGTTTTCTTGTTTTCGAAAATCTTAATCTTTCACTTTCTTCTATATTCTCAAAATCACACATTGGAGGGAAGAAAGATAGAAAATTGTTAAAAATATTACTTATTTTGGTATTTATTGGCTGTAAGCATACTCGTCTTTTAAAAGCTTAAGTACACATTTGTTAAGTTTGCTAACATAAACTCAGCTAGGAGTCATATTTCAAAACCTGTAGTGCCTGTCATTATAAGTTGCTTCAGTTCAGTAACTATCCTGTTCATGTGTTCACAGGCTCTTTCGTGATTCGGGTCAAGGCTTGATTCTGCATTTAGCTCGAGTACTTGGCTTTAGATTCCAGCTCGGCTTTATACTTTCAAGGAAGACAGTTCCTTCGGGTCTGATGTAACTAAACCCCATTGCAGACTTATGTTTGCTGTTCTTTTGACACACGCAAGAAACATTGAAGGCTTGGTTTCATGTTTGAAATGACTTTTATTTTTCCAATGTAAATTTTTGTTGACATCTCAAATAGAGTAATTCTGATGCATCTCCATTTCATATAATTTTTTTAAAAAAGGCGTACATTTGGGGGAAAACTTGAAAAACTCTTTTTGAACAAATTTTACTAAAAATATAAAAATAAAAAAAAATCCAAATCCAAATCGTTGGTTTATAGGAGGAGCTTCCTTCTCGGCCTTAGGTCTAGAATATGTCTCTAAAAGGCCACAATACTCTTCTAAAGGTTCTAGAGGACGAACTGTGGTATATATGTTTCCTCTCCTACTCGATTCATATAATTTAGGGTTTATTTTCTTTCTTGTGAATCTGACTCCTGTGTAAGGTTGGTTTGACTTCTTATTCTAGGGTTTCAATTTCTCACCTTTTTATGTCGATTCTTCATTTGTTGGTAGTGTTCCGGCATGTGTCTTTGGAGACGTGGTTCATACTCGTAATCATCTGATTGTTTTGTAAAACACTGTTTGGTTGAGTGCTCATAGAGTCTTGTTTAAAAATCTGATGGTGGTGTTTTGCTTACTCTTGAGTCAGTGTGACGGTTTAGAATCAGGAACTTCTAGGTTAATCAATCACAATTATGAAAGTAAGTAGTCTGGAAATTGTGTTGTGCAGGGACTATATATGAGTGATTGGTTCCTTTTGGTTGAGGCTGCGAAAAAAGTTAGCAGAGGGAAAGATGGATGAAATGGACAAGCGTATAGATGACAAGCTTAAGCAACACGAGGAATTCATGCATGATGTTAAACCCACGCATGTTCAACAGCCTGATTCCTGCAGTGATCACATGAATATGACCATGAAGAAGGTCCAAGGGAAGATCACAAGTACAGGTCCAATATTATCGCAATCTTCTTTTCAATCTGAATTGTTTCAATCTCTTTCAATACTATTTTTTTTAATTATCATTCTTATCAGTCGGTATTGCAATGGCAGAGGACGAATATATCTCCTTGTTGAGAGACGAGACGATATATCACACTCTTGTGGATGCTTCAAGGCAAGCTGCTGAAATCCAGAATGTTACTGACAGATGGAACGATATGCCACCTGCGTTGAAGACAATTCGAGACGCCGATATTTGATAAAGGTCGGATGTTAATTGCGAAAGAAGCGCAACAACGACAGAGAAGCCAAGAACTTGAAGCCCTAGGGATAGAGATTGCAGAACTTCATCAACGCAAGGGGACTCTCACTTTAGAGGCATCGGATTTGGAAAAAAAATCGGAGGATTCTCAGCAGCAATTAAACACACTTCAGGAACAGTACAAAAAGACTACAGTAGAACCTGTATAAATTAATACTCGATAAATTAATAAACACGATAAAATAATAAATTTTGGCGGTTCCGAATCGGGCCAATGTAAAAATTAATCAAATTCGATAAGATAATAAGATAATAATTTTTTTGAAATCTCTATGTAAAAATAAGGTCCCAATAATATCATAAATTAATAATCATATAAATAATATATATATATATATGTATATATAAATAGAATATACTAATGCATTATTTAATGTCTAAGAATTTAAATTTTTATTAGCGATTGTCTCTAACTTTTATTGTATAAAACAATTGTTTTGTGCCTTTAAAATAAAGTGTTCTATTATATTTTATAACTACGTATTAAAAATGACTAATTTTTTCTATAAGTTTGTAGGAATATGCATAATTTTTATTTTGATAGTCTTTTATGATGTTATAATATGACACATGAGGTCACTAATCATAAATTTGAATTTAAGTATATCGTTTGTATTACTGAATTTTCTTATAATCTTTGTAACTTATGGGTGAAAAAACTTTTTTCTACATATCAAATCCAAAGTCTATAATTTAAGATCCAAAACATCAATTTCAAATTTTTTAGAAATTTAAAATTTAAACCAAATCTCTCTGAATTTATAGATAAATTAATATCATATAAACTAATAAAATATCATGGTCCTAACATTATTAATTTATAGAGCTTTTACTGTACAAGATCACTTAGTTTTAATGAACCAGCTTGAGGAAAAGAAGGCTGAGTTGGAATCACTAAAGGATCAGTCAGCGTCTACTACACGAAAATTGCGTAGAAAACAAAAGAAACTCGACTCTGTTGTTAAAGATGTGCGGTGGATAGAGGATCAAATCATCGAAAAAGAGGAGGAGGAAAGGGAGGTTAAAGAAAGTTAAGAACGAGGACCTCCTTGCACTCAACGAGGCGAACAAGTCGATCGTCCATATTTCTACACAATTCTGATTCCTCCAAGGAGATAGATATACTATTATGGTTTTAAATTTAGTCTTTGTTTCGTTTTTGCTCCCTCTCCCTGCTTTACATTACGTGATTTACAAACAACGATGTTTAATTTTAAGTTATTTTGAAAAATAGCTTGTTCTTTAAGACCACAGATTCGTTACACACATACTCTTAAACAGTAGTAACCTAGAGATCCATCATCTCTATAAATAATTTTAAAACAGGGCAAGAACTCCCTAAAACCCCAACTGTGTTTTTGTGCATTGAACAAGTCTTGCCCCTTCTGTCATGTCCATGAGAAATATAAGAGATGAATGAAAATGTGATCTCATCAAGTGATCTTTAACCATAAAAGAGCACTAGATGAATTGTAAGAAAACAAACAGAGACATAATCAAGCAATGAGGCCTATATGAAGAGACTCTTTGGTATCATTTTTCGAAATCTTATTCTCTACAGTGATGCAAAATTTCACTTTTCTTGTCCATCCTGATAGCAAAGATTCAGGATATATTTATGAGACATACAGAGAGACAAGTGTCCCTTGTTTTTATGCTCGGTTTAGTTTCTCATTGCTCTAGACTCTAGTGGCTTAATTTTCCTTTTACTTGTGCAGTGTTTTGGTGAGGCCCAACAAGACAACAAGCAGCCCATCTAGCAATGCTCCCTAGTCCCTTAATCGCAACGGCTACAACAATAGAGTCAGGGAAACCAACGTCAGCTTAATCCAACGGCTGTTATTTCATTCAATCTAACGATCATTAAATTTTCGCTCAATAAAGAAATTAAAACGTTAGAAAACGAAAGAAAAAAACAACATTAATTTATCTGCTTTACTTCTCAGTCTCCCTCCATTTATCTTTTGTCATCTTCTTCTTCTTCCACCTCCAGCAGAAGAAACTCAGACTCTGTTAGCACAAAGAGATCAGTCTTAGGTTTACTCTTTCTTTTTCTCTAAAACATGCGCATTCTCTCTTCAAACTCTCATTTTCTCGCCGTTTCTCTCTACATTTTTTTTTTTAGAAATTTGTTGTCACTTTGATTCAAAGACCAAAGTTAGGGTTTTTATTGTTCTTCTGAGGTGACTTGCTTTTAGTTCTTACTTCAGTTTGAGCTTGTTTTTCTGTTATTATAAGCAAGGATTTTTGTCGTTGCTTAGGCTAGGGTTTTTCACCTTTGCCTTGATTTTCCTCTGTTCGTCCTCTCACAACTAAAAAAATAAAAGCTTTCATCTGTGTGGTTGATTTTGTAACAATGTGCTCATTTCTGGAGACTTATTTTGCTTTAGATCTAAGATTCTCGTTTCCCTTTTGATTTGATTTCATGGGTTTTGTGTTCATGCTTATAAATCTCATGTCTTTTGTTGTTTTTGAATCAGGTTTGCAGATTTTCAACAGAAAGTCTTCATCTTTGCCTGGTGGGTTGGGTTTGTTCACTGTTAATCGTTTTGTTATTTGCTCACTGTAATGGAGAAGACTAGTTATGAAGAATGCACTGAGTCAAAGATACAGAATCACCGCAAATCAATGGAGAAACTTAAAGCTGATGCGTCTGGAATATTGACCTACACCAGTCAATTGAAAGGTTTACTCAAGCATTTTGACAGTGTTGAAGCCAATATTAAAAAGAGGTCACGAGAGCTAGAGCTAAAGGAGAAGGAACTGCAAATTTTGAGCTCAGACCTTGAGAAAAAGAGTCAAACTTTTGAAGCAGAAAAGTCTGAAGCTGGTGATTTGAAGAAATTGGTTGAAGAGTGTACTGAAGAACTGAGATCAAAGAGGAATCTACTGACTGTGAGGCTCGATTCTTTGACAAGGGTTCAGAGAGAGCTTGAGTCAAAGGATAACCAATTGGGACAGGTTATGGCTGAGATTAAGAGACGTTGCAATGAGGCTCGTGAGGTTCAAGAGCGTAAGAGAGAAATGGAAGATGAAACAGCTAGAAAGAAGAAAGAGTTGTCACTGATTGTTGAGCAGATTAAAGATTCTGGAAAACAGCTTGCGACGGTAGATGAGCAATTAGAGGCGCGACAGAAACAGCTTGCAACGGTAGATGAGCTACTAGAGGCGCGACAGAAACTGCTTGAGATTCGGTCATTGGAGCTAGTTTCTACAGAGAAGATGTTGGGAAGTATGAGAGAATCTGTTAAGCTTTCCAATTCTGACCTTGAGCTGAAAGAAAGTAAGATACAATCACTAAACAATTTGATAACGGACTGTAGTAAGACGATTGACTCGAAATCTCAAGAATTAGGGGAAAACCAGAAGCTGATTGACCAACAGACCAATGAGCTTGGTGTCTTGCAGAATCAGCGTGATACTATTAAGCAGTTTATCCAAATACTTTCTGAAGAGCTTGTTGCTAAGGAGCAGACACGCAAGGAGATTTTGGAGACTATTTGCAGAAGCTCCTCTGAGATGGAAGAAAGGGCTAAAGAGATTAAAGCAGCAGAGACGGAAGCAAGTAATTTAAATGCAAGATCTGAAAGGGTTAGGCAGGAGGTTGAAGGTAAAGAAAAGGAACTAGCTCTGCTTAAGAATCAGATAGAGTCAGAGATAAATAAAGTCACTCAGCTTGAGAGAGAAATGGAAGAGGAGACAGATATAAAGAAGAGAGATTTGGAACTTGTTCTTTCCAAAATTGAAGAATCTGGCAAGCAGCTTGCAATTGTGAATGAGCAACTGGCGTCTCAGCAGAGACTTCTTGAGATACAGTCACTGGAACTAGTTTCTAAAGAGACTGAGTTGGGATGCGTGAGAGAATCCATCAAGCTTTCCAGTTCTGACCTAAAGCTGAAAGAAAAGATGGTAGAATCACTCAACCACAGGGTATCAGTTTGTGGTAAGACGATTGACTCGAAATCCAAAGAATTAGGAGAAATCCAAAAGCTGATTGAGCAACAAACCAATGAGCTTGGTGTCATGCATAGAAAGAAGAGAGATTTGGCACTGATTCTTAACAGGATTGAAGAATCGGGCAAACAGCTTGCGACGATAGATAGGCAACTAGAGTCGCGACGGAAACTGCTTAAGATTCGGTCATTTAAGTTACTTTCTGCGAATAAGAAGTTGGGATATGTGAGAAAATCCATCAAGCTTTCCAGCTCTGACCTTAAGCAGAAAGAGAGGATGATACATTCTTTAAACAACAGGGTAACAGTTTGTGGTAATACAGTTGACTCGAAATCCAAAGAATTAGGAGAAATCCAAAAGCTGATTGATCAACATACCAATGAGCTTGTTGTCTTGCGGACTCAGCGTGATTCTATCTGGCAGTTAATCCAGGGACTATCTGAAGAGCTTGTTGCTAAAGAGATGGAGTTGGAATGTGTTCTAGAATCAAGCAAGGACTTCAAATTTGACATTGATGTCAAAGAAAAGAGAGTCCAAGCATTAAACAATCTGATAACGATCTCAGGTGAACAGCTTGACATGAAATCTAAAGAGTTGGGTGAAATTCAAAGAGAGCTTGACTTGAAGAAGAAACGGCTGAGACATATGAGCACTGTTCTTGTTAAGCAAGAGAAGCAGCCAGCTGCAGCAGAAACTGCACCGTTTAGTGAAGATGCTCTCACGCATCATGAATTCCCACCTTCTCTTTCGCGCGATGAAGTTGCCGATCATCTTAGAGCTTTACCTAATCCAGCAGAGTTTGTTCTGGAAGATGTGCAGGAACATATTAGTGGGGAATTGGGATTACAAGATGACTCATTTCTTGATATTTTGGTTCTTTGTTTGGAGGAGCTCATAGAAATTCAGCGACGAGATGATCCTCAACTGCAAGACAAAGCCACACAAGTGGCAACTATATGGAAAGGGAAGATAACCATCGAAGCTCCGAAATCATCTCTCGAGGCCTTAGCGTTTCTTCTGTTCATTGTGGCATATGGATTAAAGAATTTGATCAATGAAGAAGAAGCTGCTCTACTTGCTTCGTCTATTGCTCATTACGAACAGGCTCCAAGACTCTTCAAATCTCTTAGTCTCAACTGTGAAATCCGAAGTTAGTTTTATAGCCATAAGATCTTCAGAAACACATTTTTCTATAAATTTTCTGCACATATAAAGAAGTATGAATCAAGGTTTAACTCTTTATCTTTTGCAGAGTTTGTTAAAGAGCTCATCAAGAAAGAGCAATATATTCCTGCAGTCCGGCTTGTATGTCTGTTTAAGCTGAATGAAGAGTTCTCACCCTCATACTTGTTAGAGAAAGAGATCATCAATTTAAGATGGTCTGTCCTGGGAAAAAGACCAACGGAATCCTCCCAGGTTCAACTCTTTTGTTCACTCCCCTGTTCTTGTAATTGATTAATTAGTCACTGATTCTATGTTTTGGTTCTTCCTTTAGGCTAAAGGAAAAGATGCAGGAAGACTGCGGGCTATACTTGAACTTGTGGGAGATTATAAGCTCGAAATCAATATCCCAGGGTACCTTATTGCCAAGCTCATGATTCAAAGAGAAAACTTACCCCCTCTAGTTCGTTGCTCTGTGAAGCATGGCACTTCCTCATCAAATCCACAAGCTAATTCTCCTAATCCGGCTTCTGCTCACCGTTCTCCTAATCCGGCTTATGCTCACCGTTCTCCTAATCCGGCTTCTGCTCAAAGTTCAAGCGTGAATCCTCAGGTTCCTAAACCAGATGTTAAACCCTGCTTGAACTAGCTCGATCCTACTGTTGCTATATGTCTGAAGGCTAGTAGGAACCAAATCAGGCTTGTATATAGCTCGTGCTCATATGGTAGATCTTAGGCTAAGTTTCTCTGGTTGCAGAGAGAGAGAGAACCATTTTGTTTTCATTGTAGGTACTGCTTAAATTCATCATCTCTATTGCCCAGAGTCTTGTTCATGGTTTGTTCTGTGGACCAGAAACATTCTTTTTAATGAAGGTTTTATGTAAATGTTATTTGCACTGTTTATGGTAGCTTGATAGATAAGTAATTAGTGCTTGCCACTCTAATTAAGAAATTTCACTAAGGTAACCCTAAAAGGTTAAAACCCATCTAAAAACATTTATTTATGCTTCAAAGTTCGAACCATAAATGTTATGAGTTCGCCCTGTTGGTCTAGGCCAGGGATCGATCCTCCCCAGACGCAGTTTCGCTCTCTCACTCCTGTGGCCACCTGGGAATTTACCTGCGGACTTGCTCAGGCGCCCCAGACCACCAGTTTATCAGGGGGCCCTTAAGTGGAGGCTTAAAAATCCCTGTGACGCGGACTTAGGCCCAGTGGGCTAGTCAGATCACTGTGTGGTCTGGATACTGGGTTATCAAAAAAATAAATGTTATGAGTAGTCGGAAAATACATTGTTTGATTAAAACGACTAAAAGCCCAATGGGTCTCACTCTTCCAAAGAAGCCCGTTAAGCAATCTTTCCCATTCTCTAAGCCCGTTAAGCAAGCTTAGACTCAAAGGAGACATTATTAATTAAGTGTGTGAGGTTAAACAAATCATTTTTTTTTTTTTTTTTTTTTTTTTTTTTTTTTTTGAGGTTAAACAAATCATATTTGCATCTACGAGGGACGAGGCAATGATATGATCTTTAGGGCCAACTTGTAAGTTAATAGAGTGCGACTCTCTAGGTTGTTCTCTTTGCCTCGAACATTTGATGGATGGATTCAACATATCATCATTTTGTTTTTAGTAACGTAAGCCTTAATACATAATGACCATTTTTATCACAAAAAGGAAGCTTGCTAGTATATTATATAGATTGAGTAAGAGTAATTCAAGTTTTTCATTACAAAAATATTCTAAATGTCGTGGAAAATGCATCTAAAGTAAATTATTAATCATCTCATGCTTAAAACTGGTTTACGGGTAATTGAATAATTTACTTTGTAAATAAAGGAATATTTGTCATTTCCTTTTCTAATTGTCATTTAGCTAAATCTTCGTTGGTAAAGCATTTCAATTACCAAAGCGTCACCCAGAAAATTAATTAAAGGAAAACAAAAAAAAAAGAATTTTCCCTCCTTAGTAATATTTCACTTCCCTCTCCGTTTTTTCTCATTTTAGCTCAGACTCCACTTTCAAATTTAGGGTTCTTAAATTTTTCTTATTGATCCTTTAAGTCTTGAACTCCGATTTCGTTTCGTCTCCCTTCCGTTCGAGCTTCTGCTTATGTTGACGGATTCTGGGATTTTCTTCGTTGTTCTCAGGTTTAGTTTCTCCCTCTTCGCTGTTTTTTTTTTTAATTTTATTTTATTTTCCGTTGATTGCCTCGTTTTGATCGGAACTTGTACATGCAGTCACATTTTGATCTCTGATTTCGATTTTCGAAAGAGATATATATAGTATCAGTATCTCCGGTGATTTAGTGTTTGGATTATAAGAGTTTGATTTCATGCGTTTCTCCATTGATTTTGTGTTTTCGGGAAGACGAATAGTCCGTACAATTTCGTTTCTATTAGTGAATTAGTTCTAAACTATTCTATTCTAAAAATGTTAATCTTAGGTTTGATTTCGATTATTGTGCTTTCTACTGATGCTTGGTTTATCTGCAGCCCTATAAATTGAACACGGACGAGTAATATCCTCTAGTCCAGACTCTTAAGCCTACTGGATTTATTTATGTGATGAAGGATGTGTGCATTGTTCACAGGTCACACAATTCTTGTCTCTGAACTGGTAAGCAATGAGTACAGAGTTTTAGAGTGACGGATTAGCATTAGGAACTGATAGGTTTATAACAATGTGAGTGACTGCTTTTTTTTTGTATTGCAGGGACTATGAGTTATTGGTTCCCTGACTCTGCTGCTGTTTCATAGACTTAGCTGACTTTGGAGGTTTGATTTGTGAGGCTTATCGTTGCAATGGAATGCAATAAAGAAGATGCTATTAGGGCGAGAAAATTAGCAGAGGAAAAGATGGAGGCTGGTGATTTTGTTGGAGCTCAAAAATTCGTTACCAAGGCGCAAAGACTCTTCCCCAATCTCGAAAACATAGTGCAGATGATAACCATATGTGATGTGCATTCTTCTGCAATTAAGAAAATCAAAGGGCTTGACGATTGGTACGGTGTCCTTCAGGTTCAGCCATATGCTGATGCTGACACAATCAAGAAGCAATACAGAAAGCTTGCGCTGCTTCTCCATCCTGACAAAAACAAGTTTGCTAGTGCAGAGGCTGCTTTCAAGTTGGTTGGGGAAGCAAACAGATTGCTTTCTGATCAGATAAAACGTTCTCAGTATGATAACAGATACAGATCCCATTCAATGCTTGCTAAAAAGCAAGTGCATGCATACTCGGGTCGCCACTGTGCAGCTACAAACAATGATGCGGAGAATATTGCAAGTGTTTACACATTCTGGACACGTTGCAGGCACTGTGGCCAGTGGTATAAATACTTGAGAAAATATATAAATACAGTTATGTACTGTTCCAGTTGCCGGAAATCTTATGTCGCCTGCAACATGAGGTGTGATGGAGTGCCACCTAGTAGTTCAACTGCTGGCAGAAAGGAATTTCAATATCAAGGGATGTATAATACATCTCGGCAAAATGCTTCTACAGGAGCAGAATCAGGCGGTTCAGCAGCTGAGATGGGTAAGAATGGGACAGCTGGAAAGAAACTCAACAAGAAGAATCAAGAAAAACAGAAAAAAGGTGCTGCTAACAGGGAACCCAAGAAAGACGAGGGTTGTACAGAGAATGACGCTGAAGGAAGAAACCCCCAGAATAGTGAGACAGCGACGAATAATTCTGCTGAAATACCTAAGGCTGATGTATTGAAGCCGCAGCATCAGGTAAAAAAACCACATACTAGTGCAGCAAAGTCAATACCTGATTTATCAGCTCCAAAGAAGAACCAGGCAGCCAAAAAGAAGAGAAAAGCTGTTGAGGAATCCTCTAAAAGTTTTGAGGTTGATAGCTCTGCTGGGGCTAAAACAGATACACATGAATATAATAAGAGGAAGTCATCGAGGAAAAAGCCACAGGTTTTTTGCACAAAGGGTGGAAGCGATGGTGATTTTGTCAGCCCTCCAAAGAAAAAGACAAAATCAGGTTGTGAATTCGAGTCTGAGTTTGATACGAAGCAAACGGCTGAGGATAATCAGTCATCTGAACTGGCTGATTCTCCTTATAAAGGAAAGGCCAAGAAAAACGTGCATTCTGGAAATGAAGAAATCTTGTCATGCAAAAACAAAGTTTGTGAAGGCTGTGATGGTAATGGAGAAGATGCAGCCTTGTTGAGCAAGATTGGTAGAGTTGAAAAAGGATACAAAGTTAATGAAAATCCTAATCCGCTTGATATACCTGATCCAGAGTTCAGTGCGTTTAAAGTTGAACGGAATACAGGAGATTTTGCTGTCAATCAAGTGTGGTCTACTACAACTGATTCTAGAGATGGTATGCCTCGGAAATATGCTCGGGTAAAGAAAGTGCTGATTGGCGAGTTCAAGCTGTGGATTACCTACCTTGATCCTGTACTGGATAAGAATGATGAAAGTATTCCAGTTGCTTGTGGAAAGTTCAAAAATGGGAAAACAGAGGAAGTTGAGGACCGCTCAATCTTTTCAGGTCAAATGCATCACTTGTCTTGCAACAAAACTGTTTTCATATATCCAAGGAAAGGGGAGATATGGGCTATTTTCAGAGAATGGGATGCGGAATGGAACACTAGTCTAGAAAAGCATAAATTACCATATAAGTATGACTTTGTGGAAATTGTCAGTGATTTTCATGATCTTAAAGGTGTTGGAGTGGCCTATCTGGGAAAACTTAAAGGGTCTGTTCAGCTATTTCACTGGGAGCCGCAGAATGGAATTTGCCAGATTCAATTTACTCCGAAAGATATGCTTAGATTTTCTCACAAAGTACCAGCAGTCAAAATGACTGGAAAAGAGAAAGAATGTGTTCCACCTAACTCATATGAACTGGATCCTGCTGCATTACCTAAAGATATATTTCAGGTTGATGCGGTTGATATGGAGATGGATAGTGAGATCCTGAAAGGTAAACCTGACGGCCCTGTTCCCGAAGCTTCCAAGGTTGGAGCGAAGGCCAAGCCAGTTCCAGAGACCGCACCATCTCCAAGGAAACGTCGAAAATCTGATGATGACATGGGCGTATGCAGTAATGTTGGGGAAGTCATAGGTGGAACGAACAGAAGCCATATTTTTTCTTCTTGTGAAGTTGATGAAAAAAAGAACACACCAAACAAGTCCAGAGAGGATGGTGAGGCCACAGATGTTTTCAAACTTGGAAAATCTCCTCGTCTTCAAACAATTCCAAGCCAACAAGAAGATGAGAAGAAAAGAGCTAAACAAGGTAACAAGATGAATACCCCAAAGAAAATAGAGCAACAAACCAATGAGCTTGGTGTCATGCATAGAAAGAAGAGAGATTTGGCACTGATTCTTGACAAGATTGAAGAATCTGGCAAACAGCTTGCGACGGTAGATGGGCAACTAGAGTCGCGACGGAAACTGCTTAAGATTCGGTCATTTAAGTTATTTACTGCGAATAAGAAGTTGGTATGTGTGAGAAAATCCATCAGGCTTTCCTGTTCTGACCTTAAGCAGAAAGAAAGGATGATACATTCTTTAAACAACAGGGTAACAGTTTGTGGTAATACATTTGACTCGAAATCCAAAGAATTAGGAGAAATCCAAAAGCTGATTGATCAACATACCAATGAGCTTGTTGTCTTGCGTACTCAGCGTGATTCTATCTGGCAGTTAATCAAGGGACTATCTGAAGAGCTTGTTGCTAAAGAGATGGAGTTGGAATGTGTTCTAGAATCAAGCAAGGACTTCAAATTTGACATTGATGTCAAAGAAAAGAGAGTCCAAGCATTAAACAATCTGATAACGATCTCCGGCGAACAGCTTAACATGAAATCTAAAGAGTTGGCTGAAATTCAAAGAGAGCTCGACTTGAAGAAGAAACGGCTGAGACATATGAGCAATGTTTCTGTTAAGCATGAAGAGCAGCCAGCTGCAGCAGAAACTGCACTGTTTAGTGAAGATGCTCTCATGCATCCTGAATTCCCACCTTCTCTTTTGCGTGATGAAGTTGCCGATCTTCTTAGAGCTTCACCTAATCCAGCAGAATTTGTTCTGGAAGATGTGCAGGAACATATTAGTGGAGAATTGGGATTACAAGATGACTCATTGCTTGAGATCTTGGTTTTTTGTTTGGAGGAGCTCATAGAAATTCAGCGACCAGATGATCCTCAACTGCAGGACAAAGCCACACAAGTGGCAACTATATGGAAAGGGAAGATAATCATCGAAGCTCCGAAATCATCTCTTGAGGCCTTAGCCTTTCTTCTGTTCATTGTGGCATATGGATTAAAGAATTTGATCAATAACGAAGAAGCTGCTCTACTTGCTCCGTCTATTGCTCATTACGAACAGGCTCCAAGACTCTTCAAATCTCTTAGTCTCAACCTTGAAATCCGAAGTTAGTTAGCCAAAAGATCTTCAAAAACACATTTTTCTATAAAAAATTTCTGCACATATAAAGAAGTATGAAATAAGGTTTAACTTTTTATCTTTTGCAGAGTTTGCTAAAGAGCTCATCAAGAAAGAGCAATATATTCCTGCAGTCCGGCTTATATGTCTGTTTGAGCTTAATGAAGAGTTCTCACCCTCACACTTGTTAGAGAAAGAGATCATCAATTTAAAATGGTCTGTCCTGGGAAAAAGACCAACGGAATCCTCCCAGGTTTAACTCTTTTGTTCACTCCCCTGTTCTTGTAATTGATTAATTAGTTACTGATTCTATGTTTTGGTTCTTCCTTTAGGCTAAAGAAAAGGATGCAGGAAGACTGAGGGCTATACTTGAACTTGTGGCAGATTATAAGCTCGAAATCAATATCCCAGGGTACCTCATTGCCAAGCTCATGATTCAAAGAGAAAACTCACCCCCTCTAGTTCGTTGCTCTGTGAAGCATGGCACTTCCTCAACAAATCCACAAGCTAATTCTCCTAATCCGGCTTCTGCTCACCGTTCTCCTAATCCGGCTTCTGCACAAAGTTCAAGCGTGAATCCTCAGGTTCCTAAACCAGAGGTTTATTAAACCCTACTTGAACTAGCTAGATCCTACTGTTGCTATATGTCTGAAGGCTAGTAGGAACCAAAACAGGCTTGTATATAGCTCGTGCTCATATGGTAGATCTTAGGCTAAGTTTCTCTGGTTTACATCTGGAGAGAGAGAGAGAGAACCATTTTGTTTTCATCGTAGGTAACTAGGTCCTGCTTAAATTCATCATCATCATCTCTTTCGCACAGAGTCTTGTTCATGGTTTGTTCTGTGGACCAAAAACATTAGCTTTTTTAATGAAGGGTTTATGTAAATGTTATTTGCACTGTTTATGCTAGCTTGATAGGTAAGTAATTATGAATTTATGCTTCAAAGTTCAAACCATAAATGTTTTGACTAGTCGAAAGATACATTGTTTGATTTAAGTATAACGACTAAAAGCCCAATGGGTCTCACTCTTTCAAAGAAGCCCGTTAAGCAATCTTTCCAATTCTCTCAAGTCACAACGGCAACAATCTCAGGTAGAGCTAAAGCATCAATGGCGGAGCAGACGGAAAGTCGATAAAGAGCAAACCCTAGTGTAGTACGGAACCACCACAGAAGTTTCTTTTCTCGTTCCATTAATCTTCGTCTCCCTTTTCAGAATCCTCTCGCTCGTCATTTTTCTTCTACAGTAAGGTAATTTCTTTGCCTATTATTGGTTTTTTATTTTCTGCCTCCACCTTTTGCTGGAAAATTTCTTCAAATGCTTTCGTTTATGGTGGATTTTGTTTAGAGTTTAGAATGTTGAGTGTATCTGGACACTAAGAGTTCTAATTTCCTTCCTTTTTTTTTTCTTTTTTTTTTCTTTTTTTTTTCGTTTTGAGTTCTGTTTCAGTGTTGTGTTTTGATTTTCTGACATGGATTGGTTTTCAGGAGAAATTCTATTGTTGGGGCTCACTGATTTGAAGAGAAAGAATCTCCGAAAATCTATGGAGAAACTCAAAGCTGATGCTTCCGAAATAATCATCTACGTCCGTCAATTGAAAGGTTTACTCAACCATATTGGCATGGCTGAAGCCAACATTGGGAAGAGGTCTCGAGAGCTGGACTTAAAGGAAGAGGAACTGCAAATTTTGAGCTCAGACCTTGAGCAAAAGAGTCAAACTTTTGAAGCAGAGAAGTCTGAAGCTGGTGATTTGAAGAAATTGGTGGAAGAGTGTACTGAAGAACTGAGGTCAAAGAGGAATCTACTCACTGTGAGGCTGGATTCGTTGACAAGGGTTCAGAGAGAGCTAGATTCAAAGGATAATCAATTGGGACAGGTTATGGCTGAGATTAAGAGGCGTTGCAGTGAGGCTCGTAATGTTGAAGAGCGTAAGAGAGAAGTGGAAGATAAAACAGCTAGAAAGAAGAAAGAGTTGTCACTGATTGTTGAGCAGATCGAAGAATCTGGCAAACAGCTTGAGAAGAAGTCTCGAGAAGTAGAGTTGAAGGAGAAGGACATTGAAGAGAACAGAAAAGAACTTGATTTGGTTAAGAGTCAAGTCAAAGCATGGGAAAAGAAACTCATTCAGCTTAGGAAATTGGTTGATGATGATTGTACAAGAGAACTAAGTCCAAGGAAAGATCATGTGGATTCGTCGAACAACACTCATGTGAAACTGACGAAAACCGTGCTTGTGAAACATAGTGGTGTAGAGGAGGAGAATCATGGCAAGCTTTCTTCTCTTTTCCCTTGTTCATTATGATAAACACAAATGTTCAGTTAATGTAATGCTTATTACTTAAGTTTCAGGTTTTACTTTGCCAGTCAAAGTTGTTATGATGTCATCATCTGATGTTAGTTCCATCAATGAGCCCCAAGCATCCTCCACTCTTCTACACACACCAGAGGAAAGAAACGCTCAAAGACCCTGAGGAAACAGAAGAAAAGCTTAGACTCAAAGGAGACATTACTAATTAAGTTTGTGAGGTTAAACAAATCATATTTGCATCTACGAGGCAATGATATGATCTTTAGGGCCAACTAGTAGAAGATACTAAGTTAATAGAGTGTGACTCTTTAGGTTGTTCTCTTTGCCTCGAATATATGATGGATTCAACATATCATCATTTTGTTTTAAGTAAACGTAAGCCTTAATACATAATGACTATTTTTTTTTTTTTTATCAGAAACATAATGACTAGTATATTATATATAGATTGAGGAATTCAAGTTTTCCATTACAAAAATACTCTAAATGTCGTGGAAAATGCATCTAAATTCTAAAAGTAATTACTGATAAATATTCATCTATTTGACAAAAGTATACATTAAATTGTGATTGTGTGGACAAAAAAAATATTCCTGTTGATTAAATTTACAATGTAGAAAGTAAGAAAGTAGAGTCCATCAGAAAAGAAGACATTGAATAATGAGTCTCTGAACATCTAGTGAGTCATGTGAATCATCAAAACAAAGTTCCAGCAATATGAAGCAGAGTCCATCAGAAAAGAAGACATTGGATTATGCTTGCTAATTCGAGAACCCGATCCTGGAGCTCAATCAACTGAATAGTGAATAATCATATTATGCTTAAAACTGGTTTACGGGTAATTGAATCATTTACTTTGTAAATAATGGAATATTTGTCCTTTTCTAATTGTCATTTAGCTAACTCTTCGTTGGTAATGCATTTCAATTACCAAAGCGTCACCCACAAAAATAATTAAAGGAAAAATAAAAAAAAGAATTTTCCCTCCTTAGTAATATTTTCACTTCCCTCTCCGTTTTTTCTCATTTTAGTTCAGACTCCATTTTCAAATTTAGGGTTCTTAATTTTCTTCTTATCGATCCTTCAAAGTATTGAACTCCGATTAAGTTTCGTCTCTCCCTTCACTTCGAGCTTCTGGCTATGCTGACGGATTCTGGGAATTTCTCCCTTATCCTCAGGTTTTGTTTCTCCCTCTTCGCATGGTTTTTTTTTTTTTTTTTTCCCGTTGCTTGCCTCGTTTTGATCGGAACTTGTACATGCAGTCACATTTTGATCTCTGATTTCGATTTGCTAAATCTCTATGTATCGTCTCTGGTGATTTAGTGTTTGGATCATAAGAATTTGATTTCCTGCGTTTCTCCATTGAATTTGTGTGTTTCAGGAAGACGAATCGTCCGTACAATTTCGTTTCTCTTAGTAATTAGTTCTAAGCTATTCTCCTAATCGCATTCCCATACCCGTCTAAAAATGTTAATCTTAGGTTTGATTTCGATTATTGTGCTTTCCACTGATGCTTTGGTTTATGAATCTCATCTACTTCTTTCACGGTTTTTATTTGCAGCCTTATAAATTGAACACGGAAGATTAACATCCTCTCAGTCCAGACTCTTTAAGCCTTTGGATTTATTTATGTGATGAAGGATGTGCGCATTGTTCACAGCTCTCACAGTTCTTGTCTCTGAACTGGTAAGCACTAAGTAGAGTTTTGCTTACACCGAGTTTTAGAGTGACGGATTAGGATTAGCAACTGATAGGTTTATAACAATGTGAGTGACTGCTTTTTGTGTGTATTGCAGGGACTATGAGTTATTGGTTCCCTGAATCTGCTGCTGTTTCATAGACTTAGCTGACTTGGGAGGTTTGATTTGTGAGGCTTATCGTTGCAATGGAATGCAATAAAGAAGATGCTATTAGGGCGAGAAAATTAGCAGAGGAAAAGATGGAGGCTGGTGATTTTGTTGGAGCTCAAAAATTCGTTACCAAGGCGCAAAGACTCTTCCCCAATCTCGAAAACATAGTGCAGATGATAACCATATGTGATGTGCATTCTTCTGCAATTAAGAAAATCAAAGGGCTTGACGATTGGTACGGTGTCCTTCAGGTTCAGCCATTTGCTGATGCTGACACAATCAAGAAGCAATACAGAAAGCTTGCGCTGCTTCTCCATCCTGACAAAAACAAGTTTGCTGGTGCAGAGGCTGCTTTCAAGTTGGTTGGGGAAGCAAACAGATTGCTTTCTGATCAGATAAAACGTTCTCAGTATGATAACAGATACAGATCCCATTCAATGCTTGCTAACAAGCATGTGCATGCATACTCGGGTCGCCACTGTGCAGCTACAAACAATGATGCGGAGAATATTGCAAGTGTTTACACATTCTGGACACGTTGCAGGCACTGTGGCCAGTGGTATAAATACTTGAGCAAATATATGAATACAGTTATGTACTGTTCCAGTTGCCGGAAATCTTATGTCGCCTGCAACATGAGGTGTGATGGAGTGCCACCTAGTCGTTCAACTGCTGGTAGAAAGGAATTTCAATATCAAGGGATGTATAATACATCTCGGCAAAATGCTTCTACAGGAGCAGAATCAGGCGGTTCAGCAGCTGAGATGGGTAAGAATGGGACAGCTGGAGAAAAACTCAACAAGAAGAATCAAGAAAAACAGAAAAAAGGTGCTGCTAACAGGGAACCCAAGAAAGATGAGGGTTGTACAGAGAATGACGCTGAAGGAAGAACCCCCCAGAATAGTGAGACAGCGACGAATAATTCTGCTGAAATACCTAAGGCTGATGTATTGAAGCCGCAGCATCAGGTAAAAAAACCACATACTAGTGCAGCAAAGTCAATACCTGATTTATCAGCTCCAAAGAAGAATCAGACAGCCAAAAAGAAGAGAAAAGCTGTCGAGGAATCCTCTAAGAGTTTTGAGGTTGATAGCTCTGCTGGGGCTAAAACAGATACATATGAATATAATAAGAGGAAGTCATCGAGGAAAAAGCCACAGGTTTTTTGCTCAAAGGGGGGAAGCGATGGTGATTTTGTCAGCCCTCCAAATAAAAAGACAAAATCAGCTTGTGAATTTGAGTCTGAGTTTAATACGAAGCAAACGGCTGAGGATAATCAGTCATCTGAACTGGCTGATTCTGGTGTTTCTTCTGCTTCTTCACATGCTTATAAAGGAAAGGCCAAGAAAAATGAGCATTCTGGAAATGAAGACATCTTGTCATGCAAAAACAAAGTTTGTGAAGGCTGTGATGGTAATGGAGAAGATGCAGCCTTGTTGAGCAAGATTGGTAGAGTTGAAAAAGGATACAAAGCTAATGAAAATCATAATCCGCTTGATGTACCTGATCTAGAGTTCAGTGTGTTTGATGTTGAATGGAAAATAGAAGATTTTGCTGTCAATCAAGTGTGGTCTACTACAACTGATTCTAGAGATGGTATGCCTAGGAAATATGCTCAGATAAAGAATGTGCTGAATGGCGAGTTCAAGCTGCGGATTACCTACCTTGATCCTGTACTGGGTAATAATGATGAAAGTATTCCAGTTGCTTGTGGAAAGTTCATATATGGGACAACAAAGGAAGTTGAGGACCGCTCAATCTTTTCAGGTCAAATGCATAACTTGCATTGCAACGAAATTGTTTCCATCTATCCAAGGAAAGGGGAAATATGGGCTATTTTCAGAGAATGGAATGCGGAATGGAACACTAGTCTAAAAAAGCATAAATTACCATATAAGTATGACTTTGTGGAAATTGTCAGTGATTTTCATGATCTTAACGGTGTTGGAGTGGCCTATCTGGGAAAACTTAAAGGGTCTGTTCAGCTATTTCACTGGGAGGCGCAGAATGGAATTTGCCAGATTCAATTTACTCCGAAAGATATGCTTAGATTTTCTCACAAAGTACCAGCAGTCAAAATTACTGGAAAAGAGAAAGAATCTGTTCCACCTAACTCATATGAACTGGATCCTGCTGCATTACCAAAAGATATATTTCAGTTTAGTGCGGTTGATATGGAGATGGATAGCGAGATCATGAAAGGTAAAGCGGACGGCCCTTATCCCGAAGCTTACAAGGTTGGATCAAAGGCCAAGCCAGTTCCAGAGACCGCACCATCTCCAAGGAAACGTCGAAAATCTGATGATGATAATGGTGTATGCAGTAATCTTGGGGAAGTCATAGGCGGAAGCAACAGAAGCCATATTTTTTCTTCTTCTGAAGTTGATGAAAAGAACACACCAACCAAGTCCAGAAAGGATGCTGAGGCCACAGATGTTTTCAAACTTCGAAAATCTCCTCGTCTTCAAACAATTCCAAGCCAACAAGGAGATGAGAAGAAATGTGTTAAACAAGGCAACAAGCTGAATATCCCAAAGAAAATGGATAAGGGTCTTGTGACAGATTCTTTGGGAGTTGATGAAAAGAACACACCAAACAAGTCCAGAAAGAATGGTGAGGCCACAGATGTTTTCAAACTTCGAAAATCTCCTCGTCTTCAAACAATTCCAAGCCAACACGGAGATGAGATGAAAAGTGCTAAACAAGGCAATAAGATGAATACCCCAAAAAAAACTGATAAGGGTCTTGTGACAGATTCTTTGGGAGTCGGAAAATCTCCCAATGGCATTCACCAACCAGCAGAGAGTCAGGAAGGAGAGAGCTCGAAGAAACAAGGATGCAATGGTGAAATACCGTCTCTGTCCAAGCAGAATGATTTGCCAACTCAGTTGGGTGGTTCTATGTATGAGTCCCCTAATACAACTCATGTGTCACCAAATTGCAAAACACCTCGAAGAAATGCCTCTGACTTCAAGAACCTGAGATCTGAAGACAAATTCGGAATTGATCAGATATGGGCTATTTATAGAAATGACAATCGAATGCCCTCAGAGTATGTCAAGATCAAGAAAATTGAAACCAAGCCTAAGTTCGTGATACGTGGAACCCCGACAGAGCTGTATCCGCCATCTACAGAACCCGTGACCCGCACAGTGTCTTGTGGGGAATTCAAGTTGCTCAAAGGAAGACCCAAAATCTTTCCTCATGCGAGCTTCTCACATCAGGTCAAACCCTTCGACAGTAGTAAGAAGTTTATAGTCAAAGTATACCCAAGGAAAGGTGACATATGGGCTCTGTATAAGAACTGTGATAGCACCGAAGAACCTGACATTGTAGAAGTGGTGGAAGATAACTGTGATGGGGAGATCGTAAAGGTGGTGGCTTTGACTGCTGTAGGCTCTAGTTCTGTATACAAATTTCAGAGGAAACAAGGGTCGAATGTGGGTTTAATAGACATTCCAAAGGCAGAAATGAGTAGATTTTCTCATCAGATTCCGGCTATCAGACAGCCCAAGAGGGCAACCAGGTTAGTTGAAGGAGGATACTACTGGGAGCTTGACCCTATAGCAATTCCAAGCGCACCGTAGTCATAGACTGAGCACAGTTCCACAATCCGACTAGTAAGTATGCATCTGATTTCTTTCTTCAGAAATTATGTGTAGATATGCATAATTAGTAGAATGTAATGGAAGTTTAAGTTGTGAGTGAAGAAAACATTATTTGCAGACACTGTTTCTGTTCTTTTTCTTTTTCTGCGCCGCGGAGAATGTATAAGTTTAGTGTTTAGTTCATCGCAAATGGACTCTAAACGCAGCGTTATATATTTCCAGTATTTTCCACAATCACAAACAAATAGTTAGTCTTTTACCATATAAATATCAGATCATGTATAAGGTAACATGTAAAAATCTAAATTGCATTTGAGGACCAAATCACAAAAACCAGTCAAAGCTACCAAAAGCTATAAAGTAGTAAACTACATGTAAGAAAGGACGAACTATTCCGATTTTCGTTTTGATTTGCTGGAAGAAGATGGTCTTGATGATAAAGGGAAAACAATCTCAGAAACGTTTTGAAAACTTCCTCTATCATACAAATTCCGTTTCACTATCGCTTCGGCTTTGGCTTCTCCTTCTTCATGGGCAGAGGATCTTCCACAAATCCCGAAGCATTTGCTTGCAGCTGTTGGCTTCTTTGATTCACATGACATTCCGGCCTTGAGAGCAGCAGCGCTCGCCTTAGCTTCACTGAGCCTCTTCTTCAAGCTTATATACTCTCTCCACTTAAACGTCTATCAGAAAGCAAAGAAACCCCAAATAAACCTGTTATTAAGCGGGAGAGACAGATTTAATTTGCAGAGACGGAAAAGTTAAAACCTCATTAGTTGTTGTGTTGGTTAAGCAGAGATTTGCGTGGTAAGCGAAGAAGCCAGCGAGGAGGAGAGAAACAATGGCGAGAAACACCATTAGGAGAATCTGGGTGTTGTATGTACCAACTAGCCACTGTTTCAAAGACATTTGACACTTTGATATGTTACAAGATTTACACACATGAGCAAACTGTGAGATCAAGAATTTGTTAGTTAGGTTTACTTGCCTGTAAAACTCGAGGAGCTAAGCTTCGAAAAGATTTATCTACGCCGTAATAGACTGCAGCAAAGAGAAAGAAAGACCACATTAGGAATCGAAAGGGATAACAACATCGGAACCAATTTAGGAAGATTCGATTGTTAACATAACAAAGGCATGTTTGATGTCTACCAGTTAAAATATGTACAACACGGAGTTCTTTTACTCGCCCAGCAAGAATAAACCCGATGGCTACTGTTCCGTACAAGCAAAGAAGGAAATGCCTACAAAGCACTAAAAAACCATTTAACATAAAACCAAAAAAATGATGAGGACACCAACACAGCATGGAATCTTCCAAGTAAATGCAAAGAATTTTAAAACGAAAGCTCACCACAAGAGGAAAGCCATGAAATATTTGGTATTCCTTTCGCCTATACAGTTATTCTGAAACCGGTAGAGAAATGTTCATGTATGCTGGTATGAAACGTTGAGAAGATTGAAAACAAAAGAAAACGGGACAGAGCTCAGGGGATAAGTACAAACCATCCACCCACAATGATGATCAAACCGAGCCACACAGCGGTTGCAGATGCTGCAATGCTTGGATCTAGCAGGCCTGAATGAGGAAGATGCATGTATAGTTTTAACATAAAGCACATACGTTCTTTAATAAGTTTACCACAGAATTTTCGATGCACTCACTTTGGGATTTTACACGTAGAACATTCTTTCTTCGAGTAAATGATATCATCATAGGGGTAAGCAGAAATGTACCGTGAAACATTCTCAGCGTTCACAGTACCTGGATCAGAAAAGCTTGTTAATAAGAAAAGTATGACACCAACAATAACAGCTAGAAAGCTTGTGTACCTACAAAATCAAATACGATGATTTAAAGGATATGACGTGGGATATGCATATAATTTCAGGACATAAAATTTGAAACAGTAAAAGAAGAAGCAGGCCTTACTTGTGAACATCGCCAATATAATATCCAGGTATATAGATGAAGGAAGATTTTGCAGTCAAAAAGTAGGTTGATCCCATAATGGCTATATATATGACCTACATAACCCAGTAGAAAATCGCTTTATCTAAATCTGATATTAAGGAAGATTTAGAACAACTCAAAATATTCACCAAATCATGTGTTGATCTCGCAGGTAAGTAGTTAGATTCATCTGATTATATATCATCTTATATCTCAAATTCAAGAAAAGGAACCACTCAAGATCATCTTAACATGAAGTCTAGACCAAAGCCAAGAACAAGATCATCTTAATCACAAAAAACGAATCTCCAAGGAGTCTAATTAACCAAGTCTAGACCAAAGCCAAGAACAAGAAGAATCTAAAAGAAGTCTAATCACCAACTCTCCTTGAAACCGAAACCAAAACCGAAGAAGATTGACCACAATGCCTATAAAGATTCTAGAGCAATGGATTCTTCTGTTCCTTAAAAAAAAAGCGAAGATCGAACTCACTTGCAGTATCGGATTAGGACGATCGCAGCAGAAATACTCCACAGACAGAATCACGTCCGTACCCTTGGAACCAAACACCAATCCGACAAATTTCCTGCAACCCACCACAGAGAACGATCAGAGGAACCCTAATTGAGCTAAGATCAAACGGAGAAGTATGGAAGAATCAATCAGATGAGAAGAAGTAGTACAGGAAGTAATCGTAAGCGCCGAAAGTGATGAAGTAGTGAATCCATTGAAAAGGTGTGCCTTTGAAGATTGGCCATTGACCACAGAGGAAGGAGATGACCACCGTTAACGTCATCATCCCGTGACACACCAAAAGCCACTGTACCTCCATTTTCGTACTCCGATCGTCGAAAGTTTTCTCCTTTTCTCAAAACCCAATTACTAATAGCTTTCTCCGCTTCCTGGGAAGAAAATCTTTTGTCGAGCTTACAATTATACAGTTGCAGAATTAGGGGGTTGATTTGCAAATTAGGGAAAATAGTTAACAAAATTGCAAATACTAAAAGTCTGAAGTTCAAACTCTTTCTTGGGGCTATACAAGAGTACTGATCAAGTTTTTGTTATAGTGAAGAATGAAATCTAAGCAATTTTAACAAACCAATAGAACCTAATTCAAGTTACACAAGTTATTTTTCAACTATTAAACATCATTATTTTAAAAAAGAGTCAAAATTGCTTTGCCAAAGCTAGTAAAGATTAACACTTTACACTCTGATAGTTCCAGGAAAAAAATCCCATATCCAAAACCAAGAACAAGAAAGATGTAGAGGTTTGGTTGTGGAGCTGACCACAATGCCAATAAATCAAGCTCAAAATATTCACACAATTTAAATCTCACAGATAAGTACTTAGATATCTCTAATAATCCTATCCTTTTATATCTCAAATCTCACAAGTAAGCAATGGAACCAAATCACAAAATAACAATGTTGAGAGACAAGACAACATGATGTTTGTTCTTAATCTTTTTCAAACTTATTGGAACTTTGTCAATTCCAGATTATGCATGAACGACAATAACCACACAAAGGCAGAAACACAGAGAGACTCTCTTGACCCCAATCAAAACCAAACTGTTAAAAAGAAAACAAGAAGTCAATAACTTTGAAACGGCTCTCAAGTCTTCATCAACATCTCATCACCTCATAATAATTCTCAAATGCAGTTGCATTCCTTTCCCTTTCACATTCTTATCCTTTGATCATGTAATTGCAGTTTAGATCAAGCTGCTTAAATATCTGAAATCGTGAATACAGTCATGAAATAAAGAGGATTTCTACCTGATAAAGAAATTCATTAAGAGACAGATCCAGGTTCCAAGGAATACAGATCCAGTTCCATGCATCTTCTAAATACATTTATACTTATATAAATAAAGAACAGTGAACACATCAGACTTGCACTTAACTCAAACCAAGACTATGGGCTCCATCTTTTCTTCTTTGACATTAGCATCTTTAAGATAAAATCGAGGAATAGCGGCAGGATCTAGCTCAAAAGAGCCAGCTGGGACTCCTGCTTTCTCATCTCCAGTCATTTTGAAAGACGGAACTCTATGAGAAAACCTAAGCATTTCATCACATGATATCATAATTTTGACAAGACCATTTTGCTCAGCTTGTTTATAAAGTGATGTGAATCCCTCCACTCTTCCTAGATAAGCCACTCCAATGCCTCGATCACTGTCAAATTCAGTCAGGACTTCCACAAAGTCGTATCTATAAGGAGTCTTGTGTTGCTCACTGTGACTCTTCCAAGTCTTGGTCCAATCTCTGAAAAGGGCCCACGTCTCGCCTTTTCTCGGGTTTATTATGACATTTTTGCCACGTTTGATGCAGTACATCTCATGAGAAAACATCAAGTGGCTTCTGGTCTCTGGTTTTCCATGTTTGAATCTCCCACAAGCAGGAATTGGTTCCTCGTTTTCTGTGGTCTGTACTGATTCAAGCCATGTCACCCGTAAACCCAGCTGAGATTTCAATACCTTCTTGATCTGAGCATAGTATCGAGGCATATCATCTATAGGATCATATAGAGCCCATACTTGACCAACAGCGAAAGAGCTTATTGTGTTGTTAAAATCGTGAAAGTCTGGATCAGGACAATTAAATGTAAATGGCTTATCTTCATCTATGCAGACAACTTCAGGAGCCTCTCTTCTCTGTACTTCACTTGTATGTTCATTTTCAGTTTCAGCTGCAAGATCAGGAAAAGTGAATGGCTCAGGATCCTCATCAATGCCATTGATGGAGACAGCTTCTTCAGTCTCTCCTTCATGTGCTTCAATTATTTGTACATGAGAAGATGTAGAAGCTGGAACTACAAAAGCCGAATCTGTAATGGATTTATGCTTTTTTCCAGGGAGAATCAGAGTCTCACCATCTCTACCCTTCTCTGTCAACAATGGAGACTCATATTCAAGCCTAGTTCTCTTACGAGTCTCTGCTTCTATTGCTCGTTCTTCTATTTCTCTCTGTTTTAACTCCAAATCTTTCTCCCTTTCTTCAAGTTTCTTTTCCTTTAAGTCAAGAAACTTGTTCTTCACTTCAGTCTCTCTGGCTGCTGCTTCTTGTTTCAGTTGAAAGTTCTCTTCTTTCTTCTCCAGTTCAATCGATTTCTCTTGGATGGTCTCATTAAGCAACCTAAGCTCATTCTCCCTCGCTTCAAGTTGCTTAAGAGATGTTTCCATCACCTCAGTCTCCTTTCTCATTCTCTCAGACTCAGCTATTTGCTTAAGATCGAAGTCTTTAACTTTCATGTCTAAATCACACGTCTTGTCATCGATCGTCTTAGAAATCAAAGCAACCTCATTTTTCCTTGCTTCAAGCTCTGTCATTAGCTCTTCATGCTTCTTCATCACCGAATCATGGAGCAAACCAAGAAATTTCTCTTGAGCGTTAAGCTGAGAAACCACCACTTCTTCGAACTGCATTTGAAGAACCAATCTCATCACATTCGCTTCCATAAACAGCATCAGATCAGATTCATTTTCTTTCTCCTGCAAGGCACTGATGGAATCCTCAATCTCCCTCTCTCTCTCTTCAACAAGCCTCAGCCTCTCTTCCTTCTTCTCCAGCTCCAGAATCTGATTCCTTACAGATTCCTCCTTCAAAGATACTTCCATGGCTCGTTGCTTTAGAAAACCAAACTTCTCGTCGATTTCTTCCCACTTAAGCGAGAATTGAAGAATTAGTGAAGTTTTATTCTGAATCTGATCAAACATTTCACGCATGTCCTTCTTTTTTTGGTCTAATCCCTCTAGATCACTGTCCACTACCATAAGATCATAAGCAGAAACCCTAAATATTCAAAAAAAACAAAAGAAACGAACAAATCCGTCATGAAAAGTAAACAATAAATGTCTATTTGAAGAAAAACAAACACACAACAGTAAACGGAAGCTTCCAGAGAAAGAAGAAGAAGAACAAACTAAACCTTTCTCGAGACTGATCTTCACTTTGCGCCGGCGCCGGATCCTGCTCCGGCGTATCTCGTGGAAATGGTGAAGAATTTGCAGGTTCCATGGATCTAAACTTAGTTCTCTGTACTGAGAATGTTGAAAGAGGGCACAAAGAGAGGAAGAAGAAGATAAAGGTGAGATTTTTTAGAGAAAGCTTTAATTTTTATTTTTGTTTCTGTTTTTGTAGACTTATTAAGAAGAAAAGATGAGAGAGAAAGAGACAATTTTTACCAGAAATGGGAGGGAGAAAGAACCTCACTGAGAGCATCTCCAATGGTTGAGAGCTCCCCATGAGCTCTCTCCATTTATTTAATATAAAATTTTGAGATTGGTTAGATGAGAGCTTGTGCTTTTTTAAAAACAAATTTCATAGTCCAATGGTAGTCTTTCAAGTAGGGTTCTCAGAAATTTTTTTTTTATAAAAAATTATAATATAGATTCATGATCTACACATATTTTGATTTTTGAGTGACTAGAAAACAGAGATTCAAGACAGAGATTTGGTGTTTAAGTATTGATAAACACATTCAAGACAGAGATTTGGTGTCTTGACTTCTACTTGGCCTATACAAAATTTTGCCATTAAGAAGACAAGGTTTGTTTACCTTAAGCTAAGATAGATCAGATAGAGGATCGTTCCTTCGTCTTGTGTTATCAATTGATTCCTTGCAGCCATCAGATGCAATCCTTGAAGCGACAGGATCGTTTGGAGGAGGCGGTAAGGAGACCTAGTTATTCCAGCAGCTTTGGGAGGTGGGCAAGTGCTAGGGGTTTTGGCTTCCCCTATCCTAAATATAAAACGTATACATCAGATGGGTTTTGCAAATAGAGTTTCATTTTTGTTAAAATCCTTGAATATTTGAATTACTAAACTGTTGCAGCAAGTATTAGATTGTAGGCTGAAGAACATAAGGAGACATTTTATCTAACTGGTAGGACTCATCAGCTAGCTATAACAGTTACAATAGTATTCCAGTAACCCCATCTGCATTGTCACAACTAAACTAATCCAGCATCTCAAAGGTCATCTAGTCAAGACCAAAAAGACAGCTCATACTCTCTGGAAAGCTACAGCAGAAGGGAAACTAGAAAAAATCTACAACAAACATGACGTTAGGGACACAATGCACCATATCAAGTATCAACAAAAACCATTATTTTCAGCTCAAATCTAACTCTACTTCTACATATTGAATAATCTAAGAAGATTAGCTCTTATTAAGGAAACTGATATTGAAGAACTCAAAATCACCAAACCATCTTTCATAAATCTAAATTGATCAAAGATAGTTTGAAATTGATTACCTCGAAGGATATTTGCAAGTTCCTAGATCAAATCACGGTCGAAAGCCAAGTTCATACCACACATTGGGAAAAGTGTTCCCTTTGGGATGGTCATGACAGCATCCACATATCAAACGTTTAGCAAAAACTGAAATTGGATTGCCACATACCTTGGCAACCTACATATACACATCAAAGAAAACACACGAATGAAAAAGCAGTTAAAATCCATATCAAACCATTAATAATCATCCAGAAGACCTGAAAGAAATCTTCCAAAAAACTCAATAAATTATAAACTAAACACAAGCATAATTGAGACTCATCCTTGGATATGACCACAAATCTCAATCCACCTCCACCTCCATCCGTTGTCGGAGAAAAGCGATCGCCGCCGGCCTCAATCGTAACCTCAGTCGTCGGAGAAAAGCGATCACCATCGCCTTCGCAAAGAAAGAGAGAGAAGAGTCGGGAAATGAAATCGACTTTGGCTTCTTTCTTTTTTTTTTACGCGTTTTTTTTTTTTTTTTTTTTTTGATCAAAAAAAATCGATGGCTGAGAATAAGCCACGTCATCGGCTCTCATACTACTCAAGATTTCTCTCAAGAGAGCTGTCTCTCTTCTTAATTCACAGTTTTGATTTATTTTTCAAACAAAATTTCAAGAGAACCTTCAATGAGAACTCAATAATGCATCCATTGGAGATGCTCTGAGCATTCTTATTTCGTGACGTATGACTTCGATTTTTAGCCGTTAGATCAATCCAAGATATCTCAGCCGTTGGATTATGAATTTAGATTGCTTTTTGAAGTTTGATCGTATTCACTATTGTACGTACTGTTTTGTAGCCGTTGGATTGGGTTTCTTTCAACGACATGATATATATACTTAGCCAAAAAAAAGTTTACATGTGACTTTTATTTCATTTATTAAGGTTCTGAGAATAAATTTAAAAAGGTAAAGTATTCAGAAGAACTGATTATTGAATAACCTTACAAAAAAAAAAAAAAAAATCCCAGTATCTTCTACTACAACATCTCACCTAAAATTCATCTGTTTCTCTTTGGAAGAACATAAATAGCAAATGAAGCCAAGAAAGATTCAAAAGAAAGCTCGTAGATTTGTAGCTTAATGAAAAATGAACTCCAACAACGATCGATCAAACTCGATCTTTGGATGTTTTCGATCAACTTGTGTGTTCTTCAATCCTTTCCGCAACATCTTCAAGGAAGAAGAGAGTGCAATATCAACACAACAATAAATGGAAAAGCAACAAGATGATGAATTCACATAGAGGTGCAGCTTTGAGTATTTGCTGGAAAAGGGAAAGCTCTTCAAAGTTGTTTACCTTTTATATCTCTTTTTGGAACCACAGGGACAAAGTGCATTGCGGCTGATCTGCCCACTTTTGGCTAAGTTTGATCTGGCCAGATCCATTGGTGTTGACCCCATCATTTTTTGCAGCTTCAATAGACCAATATAACAATTTAGTGTCATCATAACTACTAGCTTAATGGATGCAGCAAAAAGGAAAACAGTAAACCAACAGGTAACAAACTGTCTAAATGTAAACGAAAATCTTAACAACACTAACATAGTTCAAGATGACTCCTGTTTCTAATCACTGAACATCTCTAGCCAATAATGCAAAACAACAAAGTCACAAACCAGCTCTTGTTATAAAAGAGGCCTGCTCTTGAGCCGGGAATCAGTTAGGTGTAGAAACTTAAAGTTTGTTTTGAGGATGATCAAAACAAAGAAGAGGGTGTCAATGCACAATCTCATAAGCTTTAAACACTATTCTAAGTCTAAGAAATGAGAAACGTGACCACACAGTCATGCAAATTTCCCCATGCAAAGGAGCTTGTGGAGCTAAAAAGCATATGAGTATAAAAAGTCAGAAGAATACCTCTCCCATATTCTTTGGTAACGGTTTGCCTCCTTCTTTCAACTCTGCCATCTTCTTGTGAGCTTGCCTTGCCCAAGTAAACTTGGCCAGCGTATTCTCCACATCTGTTATCGTGCATTTGCAATGTTTAGCCGCATCTTGCTTTTGACTCGCTTGAAGATTCTACACATCAAGAAACCTAGTGCCACAGTCAAGACATTGACTAACATACCAACCAAAAAAAAATCTTGTTTTCACTGATTTTGCAGACAATTAGCAATGATGGAACGGATAGATACATAGCCAGATTCTAGTATGCTAAGAAAGAAACCAACCTCTCCTGTAACATCAAGAGCTCCAAGATACCTAATAACAGCTTCTTGTTTCTCAAATGCATCTGAAAAAGTGGCCTCGCTGCTTCGACCCACAATGTACTGCTTGAATTTCCCTAACCTTCTAGCATTCTTTAGTTCATCAGCAAATCCTAAATTCAATTTCAATCCGAAGAGAAAACCTTTGATGAGTATATCAATCTATCCACCATTACAGTCACATTTCTCAGATAACTCAATCACACACACACAAATCCATGTAAGACTTACGGAGAAGAGTGAAAGCTTCAACGGGTAGATTTGATTCTTCCAAAGGAGTATTCTTATTCCCGGTAAAAACGCCTTTGATCGAATCCATCCATCCATTAAGCGGCGCCGTGGAGGTAATCGATCGGTTCTGCGACGGAATTGGAGCACCTCCGGTGATGCGAGATAGCGAATATGCGGAAAACGATGAAGAAGAAATTGGTTCAGGTCCTAGCCTGAAAATATACTTGAGAGCTCTCGAAGACCACATTTTCCGCCCAAAATTGACGCCTTTGGAAACTAATTTCTGAAGAATTAGGGTTTTAGGGTTTCTCAGGTGGTAGAGGAAGAACAAGTAAGAAAATGGATCCCGTTGTTGTTCTTCACCGTGTCGGAATCCAACCCTGTCCCCAAAACGCAGCGTTTAAAAGATCGGAGATAATAGTTTATTTTTTATTACAAAAAAATCAGAATAAAAATGTGAAATTCCTAAGAAAGTAATAAGTGAGTAAAGTCCAAATAGAAAAAAATCTAAATGTCATAAATATGATGAGATTTTCTTCTATAAGAGAAAATCTACTACCAAATGTAAATAGAAATCTAAATAACAAATAGAGAATCTATTTATCATAATTTATGTCGTTTTGTTTTTTCTTCAACCGAAGTTAAATATATAGGGTATCCGAAAATTGCAAACTACAAAGCAGGAAAAAAAAAATCAGAAACTAATTATGAAGAACTCTTCGATTCTCTTCTTACTAATTGTTGTTTTTCTCATTTCTTCTTCAGGTAAATTGTTATTTTGTTTTGTTTTAATTGTTGGCTATATTAATTTGATAAGTTTCTCTGAAAAATCTTTGATTGTTCTTTAAGATGAAATATGTAAAATAAATTTGTAATATTTTTGTTTTGATGAATGAATAAGGAAACAAGAAGATGGTAGGAGAAGCAAAGAAGTGCGATAAGACGTTGAATTGCGAAGGAGAAGACAAATGCAGAGAAAAGTGCAAGACTTTGTACAATGGAGATGGAATCTGTCATCTGTGATTTGTACACTGCTCCTTGGTTCCTAAGCAATGTTTCTGTCACTATGATTGCTAATTAATTAAGCTCTCTCTATGCAATTATAATGTTCCTTGTTATTATGCACCCTTAATCCGTGTGATTAAAATAATAATTAATCCTCTCTCTTTTCCGGAGTATAAGAATTTTAAAATATTAAAAAATTATTTATATAAATATAAAAAGTGACGCAATACAAATATAAAAAGCGATACAAAGGTCAATATAAAGTACAAATATAAATCTAAAACAGACTATAAGCGTTTTAATGCTAAAAAATATGTTTTAAAACAAAAAGCAAAGGTTTTAAATTTTTACGTATTTTGGTTTAAATGCTAAACTAAAGTAGAAATTTGAAATACAAGTATATAAATCTTATATATAAAAAAGAGAGATAAATGCAAATATAATAAATATAAAGTTCTTAAAAACGATAAAGTACAAATTAAATATTTTCCTATAAATATAGTCGAATTTGGTAACTGCAAACTACATCTTAGAAGAAACAAATTTAGTTGAAGCCTCTCAAAAACATTTACAAATCCGAGATATAATGAAAAACTCTTCTCTTCTATTCATACTAATTGTCTTTTTCGTTATTTCTTCTTCAGGTAAATTTTTTTCTTTAATCATTGTTTGATATACTACTTTTGATCAATATCTTGTTGTGGATCCTTGGTCGGAACTGAGAAAAAACAATAAAACTGAGAAAAAGATACAAAAAAGTTCCACTTCTTTTTACATTGATAAACTTGTATTTGTGTTTTTTTTTTTTTTTTTGGTCAACTTGTTTGTGTTATTTAGAGAAGTTGTCTTTCTTTTCTTTTTTCTTTTGATAAATAGAAAACGGCAAAGTGATAGGAGAAGCAAAAAAGTGTAGTAAGTCATGGATTTGTGAAGGAGACGAGAAATGCAAAGAGAAGTGCATGGCTGAATACAAAGGCAATGGAACATGTTATTACCCATCTCCTCCTTCAAAACAACATCCTGAGTTTTCTTATCCTACATGCTGGTGTGGGTTTCAGTGTTAAGCTCGATCTCTATGTCCATTGAACCTATTAATCAACAATATATACTAATATACATAACTTAAATAATTTCTCTTACTTTTCTTTTATCTTTTATACATTTAAGATTGATTATAAGAGTTTAGACGATGAAGAAGAAACTGGAGATGGAATCACAGATTCTTTGGCTGCTAAGCAATGTTTTTGCCTATATGATCATTGCTAAGCTCTCCATACAATAATAATGTTTCTTTTGTTATGGGTGGATAATGGTAGACTCTTTTACCGTCAATGGCATGATTAAAGAATATTTTTTTATTAACCCTCAATTTCGTTTTCTGTGGCTTCACAGACAATTTTTTTTACTCTTTTCTTTTACGTCCCTTTAATTTTCTGTTTAAAATTTTGATTATAATGAATCAAAAGAGTATAGAATTGTTCACATACACAAATTGACAACTCTCTCAATAAAGCAAATAGAAGATATGACTTCTAATAGAGTCTACGTCAAAAAAAATTGTATTATTACTACTATTTAAATTAATGAGCTCTACGACAGATTTGCATGTAAAATACGACATAACTAACCAATGGACAAAAAATGATATACTCACCGAAGTATAATAGTCCTTCAAAAAGTCAAATTAAGTTCCACCAACCAAAAAAAACATGGAGATCGATCTCTCAAGAGTTACCCTCCGGCCCTTCGAACTAATGGACGCTCACGATTTCCTGAGATGGGCCGGCGATGATCGAGTGACCGGAAATCTCCGTTGGCCGGCTTTTACATCGGAGGAGGAAGCTTTGACCTTTATTCGAGACGTATGTGTGCCACATCCATGGCGGCGTTCCATATGCATCGATGACCGTTCTATCGGATTCATTTCAATCTTCCCTGAGACCAGTGCCGGCCTTGACTACAAGCGGGGCAAGCTACAGCTTGCGGCCGATAATTGTTCATATATTAAATCGGCCACATTTTTTCCAAAAAGTCATTGGTTCTGCTGGTTAAAGTGTGTTGGGAACTAAGAAAAGGTCCATGGTTCGACTCTTACAAGCGAATAAATTTTTAAAACAAACTTTTTTCCAATAAATCAATAATTAGCTAACCAAAAAAAAAATTCTTGCTTGCAGCCCCAAAAATCTCCAGGACGGCTCTGCCTGAGACCGGTGATAATAGGTACCGTAATTTCTAGCTGTTGGATTTTTCTCTAAACCTCGTTATCTTTTTCATAAATGATTTTATTTATAGCATATGTTAGTCCAAAATCCAAATGAATCGAGTGTTGTCAATTTAGTGATGTGTAAAATTGTAAAGAAAAAATTAAACTACTATATACATAGGAAAAACATATTAGATCACGTTTTTATCTCTCTGCTAGTAATTTTATTTCGAGTCCACTTATTTTAAAAAAAAGTTTTAGATTTTCTATATTAAAAGTATGCCATAACATGGTGATTCTATGGTAATTTTATATAAAAGTATACTCCCTCCGTATTTTAATAAGTGTCGTTTTAGAATTTTTATTTTTTTGAATTGGATGTCGTTTTCAAATTTCTATGCAAAATTTATTACTTTTTAATGTTTTATGACATCATAAAACATTAAAAAGTAATAAATTTTGCATTGAAATTTGAAAACGACATCTAATTAAAAAAAAAAAAAATCCTAAAACGACACTTATTAAAATACGGAGGGAGTATATTTTAAAATTATAAATTTTAATTGTTTTGTATACTTTTTATTTTCAAGATTCAAAGCGCATATTGGGTATGGATTATCTCATGAGTATTGGGGAAAGGGAATAACAACAAGGGCAGTGTCAGTTGCAGTATCACAGGTGTTCAATGACCTGCCTCATGTTTTGAGGCTTCAGGCTTTTGTTCAAACTCAAAACAAAGCATCCCAAAGAGTTGTTGAGAAGATTGGGTTTCAAAAAGAGTGTCTGCTCAGGAAGTACACTTATCTCAAAGGTCAAATCTATGATGTGTTTGTTTATAGTCTCTTGTCCTCTGATCTTCTTCCTCTTCCATAATCCTCTAACCAAGTTGTCTACTACTAGTAACATGGGTTCAGATTCTATTTGGCCATTACATAGTTGTAGATTCTTTGTCAAAAATGGTTGTACACAGAGACTTATACATATATTAGATAGAAAACAAGCAAAACAAGCAATAGAATGTCAAAGGACAGTCCACCTTAGAGGCTAGAGATTGGGGATCAGGCATCAACTGAAATCTTAAAGTTCTTGAAAGTGTAAATGTCAAACCGAAATCTCTGCACTTTTTCATCAAACCAAACCGAGTCAGGTAGTGTAAAAGCCTCAGTGAATTGGCAAATTCTCTGCTTCATGTCTGACCGATTCGAACAGTGAAGTCGATAAGTACCGTTCCCCGCCGCTGGGGAAAATCACCTGAAAGACCAGACAGTTACCGATTCATTTTTGCTAAAACCTCAGTGAATTGGTAAATTATCTCTGCTACACGTTATGATTCTATTTTTTTTACTTACAACTATGAGTTTCCCGGCGTTTTCTGGCCGCTTTGCCACCTTTATCGCAGCGGCGGCTGCAGCTCCGGAAGATATTCCCACCTGCCAGACGATAACATTGATCAGAAATGTTGTTTTTATGGCTTAAACCAACACATAATTGTTAAACTGATTGAATCAGTGATTCTACCAGTAATCCTTCTTTCAAGGCAAGAAGTTTGGCTGTTTCAATTGCTTCCACACTTGTCACCTGAAAAAACGAATAGGAGATTACAAACATCTCAGTTTGATTTATTTGACATCTCATCGCGTTTACAAAGACAACACCGATAAAATCTCAGCTACATTACTTGAATGACTTCATCAAGAACGCTGAAATCCAAATTATCTGGGATGATTCCACCCCCAATACCTTGGATCAAATGTGTACCTAGAAACCGGAAACCAGTACGTTAGACTCAAGATCAAGATTTAAAATCTTAAATGCAAGAGAGAAACAAACTCACCCGGTTTGCCTCCACTGATTACCGCACTTTCTGTAGGTTCCACACCGTAAACCTGTTGATAACAGAAGTGCTTGAAAAGCCAAATATATAACTAATGTTTTTTCATGATATGGTTGGACTTCAGTATAAGTTTCTACCTTAAAGTCTTTATTCTTCTCCTTGAGGAATCTTCCTGATCCGGAAAGCGTTCCACCAGTCCCAACACCGGCAACCAATATATCTACTTCCCCTGCAGAGTCTCTCCATATCTCTGGACCCGTGGTTCGATAATGAGTCTGCAGAAGAATCAATTTAGATTGATAAAAGAAGATAGACAGAGATAAAAAGTGAAGAAGAGCAAATATAATGTGAAAGGAGAGTCCATACTTCCGGGTTTGAAGGATTTTTGAACTGTTCTAGCATGATACTATCTGGAGTTTTGCTACATATCTCTTCAGCTTTGTCGATGATTCCTTGAACGCCTTTACTAGGATCTGTGAGGTGAACCTCTGCACCTAATGCTAAAAGAATGATTTTTCTCTCAAGGCTCATTGTTGAAGGCATTGTGAGAACCACTTTGTAACCTTTAGCTGCCCCGATGAAGGCTAAACCAATCCCGGTGTTACCAGAAGTAGCCTCAATCAATGTGCTCTGAGTAAAGCCACCAGGATTTAAGTTTCAGTTTGATATTAATGGCGTAAAAGAGAAACAGATGCATGATTTACTTCACTCTACCTTCCCGGGGGTAATCAATCCCTTGTCTTCTGCATCTTTAATCATACCGTAAGCAATTCTAGCAAGTGAAAGATGATTCAAAGAACCAAGGTATTTCTCAGAAAACACACAAAAGAACATATATTGCTTGGAGCAAACAAGAGATATAGAGAGAGGTTTCTAGTATATATACCGCTCCTTGACACTAGAGCAAGGCTCCATCATTTCAAGCTTAGCTGCAATACGGGCTACACAACCATCCACAATGTTGTTCAGATATACCATTGGGGTGTTACCTATCAACTGTCACAGAATGCAAACACACACCAAGGAACTAAGTACATTTTACTTGAGCAAAGAAACTAAAACTAGTTTATTCCAATGAAGCAATTGATTAAAAAGGAAAACTGAAAGATTATGATTACTTGAGTTGCATCATCCTTGATCGAACACCGGTCCTCCTCCATGCTAAGGGTCTTTGAAATTCCAGCAAAATTCCTCCCAATTTAGGTTCTGAAGATCACAAGAAAATCAAAAGATTTAAGACACAATCTGCATGCAATGTCCCTAATAATATTGTCATGTTTAAAACATTTGAGAAACCAAAGTGTTTTGAAACTGCTTGAGATCCGAAATTGTAAAGTGAAACCAAGACCATGATTTAAGTTCAAACTCGATTATAGATCAGAGAACAAACAAAATTCGGACAGCAGAAAACATGAGTATCAAACTAAATATAAGATGTAACAATGAAACAAGTGAGTTTCTCAGTGATGAGTGATACAAAACATTCGTGTTCTTGAGCTGAAATCGAACCTGAGCAGGCGAAATTATTAAGGAAACAAAAGAACAGTTCAAAAGATACAAACCCAGAAACTTAAAGAGCTTACCAGTTCCAGATCCAATCGATGAAGAAAAAAGACTGTCCTCAAAGAGAGAGAACTGTTGTTCGAATTAGTGATAAGATTTTATAAAGTGTAATATTTGCATATATATACACACCATGACACAAATATACACTCATTATTTCATTTATAAAATTTAAAAATTCATGTACTGTATCTTCAAAAGTTGTTTTGTTAGATCATGTATCTACAAATTTCCATAATTCATAACAAACCTACCTAACATTCTTTGCCTCGTCACGTGGACAAAGTTTCTGCGTTCTTGAATCTTGAAATCGTTTTGTTTATACGTTTCTTTAACTTTTTTTACTTAATCAAGAAATAAATATTCTTATGAGCACTAGCAAAAGAAATCAGTTCTTGAGTCCTTGTCATAAAAGCACTTTTGTGTTTGACAAAGGACAAAAAAAAAATAAACCATTGATTCTATTTTTCAAAAACATAAGTTTTAAGTATCTAAACAATCAATATGAATATATGATAAAGAAAGTGGTTAAAGTTTAATACACTTCAATAACAGCATCCGATCAAGAAATAAACATGTTATTACAGATTTTATTAGACAAAGAAAGATTAGCACACAATTTAGAATTATTCTTCTTTTTTTCTTTTTGAGAGAAAAACAGCTAGAAGTCTGTTTGTTATTGAACAAATGATTCTACGAAAAAAACTATAATCTAATACAAAGGTTATACACAAACCCCCCACCTATGATTCATCCCTATTGACAAATAATTTTAAGATAAGAAAAAAAAAATCAAAACCTAGAGAAAGATCACAATACCTTAGCAATTTATAACTTAAAAAAGATTCAAATCTCTTACTATACTCACCCACACACCAGAAGGTTAACTCAGAGATATCAAATATCAACCTAACTGGTTATTTCTTGTCTTATTCTTCTTGCTCTTCATCATACACCACTCGGCATCGTCTTTAACTCGTTCAATGTTGTTCTAATCTGCTCTTGAACCAAGTCTAATCTCCTTGAATACACTTCCAGCTCCAGAATCTGTTGTTTCCTCCACCGCTCATCTGCCACCGCCTTGTTTCCTCCCCCTTCTACACCAAAACCGAAATTGAGCGGCCGTGTAAACATGGGGCTTAGCGAACCAAAGCCATGACCACCACCACCACCTGGAAACCCTCCTCCCATTGCAGCCATCATCATACTTGTTGTCCCATTCATCATCTCCTTGATCACAGGAGAGACGCAGTTTTTCACAGTCTCTTCGATCAAAACCCCGAGATTTCCTCCAATACCAACAGCAGCTGCGGTTTCGTTGAGGTTAACATTGCTAGCTGCATTTGGTATCTGCCCATCAGATGGAGTGATGACGGGTTTGTTGTCTTCCTCAATCTTCCCAATTCTTGATCGTGATCGTTTTCTTGACACGCTACTGCTACTCATTGTCAATTTCTTCTCGACTCCGTTTTCGGAATCGAGCTCCAGAGTAGGATTAGAACTAGGGCTGTTAAAGGTTGAGTAGTTACCATTGGTGTTATGATGGTTATTGGTTTCTTCGAAATCCATTACATTATTGTCTTCAAACCCTATGATTTTCCCAGTTTGATTCCAGATTTTCCTAGAAATCTCGAAAGTAGACTGATCATGAGGGCTCTTGAAGAATACCTCTTTACCAGAGCTGATCTTGCTCATCACATTCCTGTACTTCTTCTTCAATCGCCGAAGCTTCTCCACGAGCTGGTTCTTGTTGAAATCCAGCTGAAGTTTTGACTTTATCTGCTCATAAAACGGCGCCGTATCCGGCGGATGCGAGCTGCTTCCTCGGTGCGTCGTCATGTAATCGAGGAAACCACGAAGAAGCTCGATCTCGTCTTCATCCGTCCACAGCCTCTGGAACAGGCGTCTAGAATCATCGATCGGAGGTCTCTGATGAACGATCTCCGTCATACGGTGCCATTTCGGATCGGAATCAACGGGAATCACAGAGACAGGGACGGCTGATCCAGCCGGAAGAGCAACAGTCACGGCGCCTGTAGAGGAAGTCGCCGTCGGCTTCCCGGAAACAACAGCAGTCGCCGAGATCGTAGAAACCATGGCGAGTGATGATGTAGACGGAGAATTGAGATCTTCCTCTTCGGGATCGTCGTCTTCAGCTTCGGCTTCGTTCGTTTCCGGCATAACAACATCATCGTTGTCACGCAAATCATCGTCAGTATCAGATTCTCCTCCGTCTCCTACACCTCCTTCCTCCGGATCCGGCGATTCCAGAGAGAAATCAGCGTCGCGGTGATCCGATGTCATCTCCACCGTAACAAATGAACGGAGAACAATTCGAGATAAGCTCCGAAGAGATGAAGAAGAGACCAAGAAGAAGAACCAGATCCAGATTGGAGAGAAGGTGGTGTGTTCACGAGGATTGTGATTGGGTTGGGTGGTAGGGGCATGAGATTCCTCGACCCAACCAGGGGTAGTTTTGGTATTTCCATACTTAACGTTTAAGACTAGGCAAAGTGGTCACCCACTACTTACACACACGCGCTTCCTTATTTGCGGATTGGTTGAGCCGTGACGTCTCTCTCGGTCCCAACCACACTCGGTAACTAATAGCGTTTCCTAAACGCGGATATTTGGTAGAGCGTTTTCGTTAACGCGATTTGCTCCTCAGAGGACAAAACGCACAGGCCAACATAAACCGCAAGTAACAGAAAAGTATAATAAATACTCCCTCCGTATTTTAATAATTGTCGTTTTAGAAATTTTATTTTTTTGAATTGGATGTCGTTTTCAAATTTCAATGCAAAATTTCTTACTTTTTAATGTTTTATGATCATAAAACATTAAAAAGTAAGAAATTTTGCATTGAAATTTGAAAACGACATCCAATTCAAAAAAATAAAATTTCTAAAACGACAATTATTAAAATACGGAGGGAGTAGTGTTTTGACTTCTCTCAATCAAACTGATACTAGTCATCGTATTTGCAAGCTAAATGATATGAGCTAACTAAAAACCAAATGGACCTTAAGAAGTTTGTTATAATTACTTTCGTATTCAGAAAATGACAAGTAACGTGCAAAAATAATATCATCAGAAAAATAGTGAAATTCCATGACTACGATCTAAGTTACGAGGTCAATAGGTCATTATGTGAGTAAATTACTTCGACAAGAGAGACTCACGTTTACAATTAAACGCAGCCGCACAAGCCACAACCAATCAATTTCTAATCACCTAGAATGTAAGAAGTACGAACATGGAAACTGCTTTCATCTGCAGCGAATGGGAGTGGTGGAAACAGACGAGAGATAGTTTAAATAGATGTATTGAACAAAACCTTAGATCATATGTTCCTCTAAACTTAAAACATAAATTGACCGAAACAAAATAAACGAAAATCGGAGATTTCAGTAAACATGTCTAGTTGGAGAAACGATCTAACAGCAGATAAATAACATAAAAGGTGATTGATTATGGAGAACAAGAACCCACAAGATAAAGATTCTCTCTTCAGGATCTCACTTCTTCTTGGGATCACCAGCCTTTGTCTGCACACATTGAACAAACAAGATTCCTAAGGCTTCCGGCACAATAAAAAAAAAAAAAGAGGATAGCAAGGCAAACATTTCGTAACCAGTAGTCTCACCTTCTTAACACCACGGATTTTCTTCGCCCTGTTCTTCCTTTCCTTGATTTGTTTCCTTGACTTCTCAATCTTAGTGTCAAGTCCATTCTGCCAATCGCATAGACAAAGCATTTTTAAGTATAACAATGCAGAGAAGCCATGTACAATAGAGTGTCAAACATATCACATAGCTTATTATTTCCAGACAAACTATAATGAGCGAGAGCACTGATTGTAATTTTAAGACGGGACATTGTGAGCAGCAATATAAACAAGAGTGGAGAGAGCATGTACCCTGATAAGTCTGTATTTGGGTTCAAACTTCTTGGCGCTCTCAACAGTATCATAGATCAAACCAAACCCGGATGATTTACCACCTCCAAAGTGGGTTCTGAATTTGAAAACAAAGATAGCATTTGGGTCCTTCACCTCGTACATCCTTGCTAGCTTCTCCTTCAGCTCAGCCTATAAGCAAAATTACAACCAATTCTCCCGTTAGAACCCGAAATTGATGCAAGTAACAATGGAACTGAGAGTAAAGAACAAACCTTTGAAACATTGGCTCTTCCAGGGTGAAGAACATCAATAACCTACATTCAACAATCCACCATAACTTAGAAATCCAATCCAAAATCTCAAATGGAACTAATTGCGCCAAATCAACACTATATGAGATAAGAACTAGCTATGCGAAAGTTTTACATATTAGCTACATTAGATCGTAAATCTGAACAATTGACCTAACACATCAAACCCAATAAACATAAACGAATGCATTCGCTTAAGATTGGGTTCATATCAATTTATATCTAGAATCCGATTAACACAAAACACACAAGAACGAGAATGATATACGAATAGAGAAATAGACAAGAGTATAAAACAATGGAACTTACGAACTGCTTCCTGGAGAGAAGTCTGTTGGTCATGAATTTCCTGGTTCGGATGGTAACTGCCTTTTCAGCCATTTTTGCGAATTCTCAAGGATTAAAGTGAAAGATCTCTGCAAGCTTGAGTGTTTTCGTCCGCTCGGGTGAAGGAAAGAGACGCCGAAAGCAAGTCGGAGCTTTTATATAGTTGAAGGTTATTAGGGTTTCTTTTGTCTTCTCTTTTTTATGGGCCTAAATTTTTAAGTTGGGCTTACTAAATCCTGGCCATTTGGAGGAGTTTCAGGTTTTAATAATAAACGGGAAAATAAAACGGAGCCCATTGGGCCTAAATATTTATAGCCTAGTTTCACAAACTATTGTCATTGGACATTGGTTAAGTACTTAAGTCTACCTTTTAAATTTAACCATTTTAAGTCAATATTTTCTGTACATACTACAAAACTGGGGTTCATTCAATGTTACGAATTCAGCAATTTTGAGTTATAATGAACCAATGTCAAAACTCTTAGAATAAATGACAGTTTAACTTTATACTATATACTTGTGTTCAGTTGATTAGAAGTACTAACTTGTACTTTGACACTTTATATATATAAACCTGCAACTTTTGGGAAAAGATATACAAAAGTGGCTATTTTATTCGTTTTTGGTTTGGTGTTTTACACCTACACCGTACTAATCATTTTTTGTCTTGTCAACGGTGTTACTTTACTATTTAATAAATAAGAATTGTGTGCTGGAGCTGGGACTAATGCAAACAAAGATTGTGAAACTTTTGGGAAGAAGAGTAATTTTTATAACTAAAAGATAAGAAACTTAGAATTAGCCAGTAGCCACACACCCACGAGTGTGTTAAAATGAGTTGGCTTCCACCGCAAAAGATCATTTGAAGGTTGTACTCAGATTTCGACCATTCGCTGGAACATAAATTTAAGATCCACCGATATATATATGAGGACAAATTTAATAAAACCATATATATTCGTTAATTATTAGTTGCTGGTGGTGATGACCCTCTTGCATTATATTCATAATAATGGATGGACACACTTGTAATAATATATTGATAAAGTAATAAGGAAAATCTTGAGGGAAAAGATTTAGGACCGACAAGAAAATGAATGGAGGGAAGATATGAGAAGAATGGTTGGCACTGAAGAAGTGGAGTTGGGTACGAAAAGAGTACGTTGATCTGTACATTCAATACCACATGCATGTTATCAATTAACGACCATTTACGATTTTGCTTTCTTAGACTTATATTATATACTACTATAAGATCAAATGATATCAATTATTATTAATGGGTCAACCTAATTCAATTCTGCATATGTCCCTACTAGCTGCTACCATATTTTTCATTATCTTTTTATTCGTTTAGTTCCATTGAATTTTCTTGACGCGTATAACATAAATTTTCGAGTTTGAATTTTGACAGGGTATATACAATACATTATTCTCATGTTTAAAACCATATATATATTTTACAAATATATACCAGGTTAAATACTATATATAGAGAACTTTTCTAAAAAAATTTACAAACATAAATGATAGTTTTTGGTGAATTAGTATGGCGGTTGTTAAAAAAAATAAACATATTTCTATTGGTTTCACTAGTCTTTTTTTCCCAAGTTGTTGGATTAATAGCATATAAACTACAAATACAGTGGCGGAGCCAGGATTGTTTTTAACTGGGGTCAAAATAAATATTAAAAAAAATCGTTTATAAACTGTAAAAAGAAAATCTACAATTGCATTCTACATTCATTCATACATTTTCTAAAAAAACGAATCATATCACAAAAGTATAAGAGATTTTTAAAAACAAAAAAAGAAAAGCAAAGAAAGCATTACTTTGATTTAGAGAGGCCATAATTTGGAGTTTTTTTTTCCAGCGGCAAATTTTTTTTTATTGTTATTTCTCTATTAATTCATATAAATCATTAAAAGTTGTATTATTGTTTTGGGTTTCGTTTGAACGTGGGCTCAATTTATAAAAATATTGCACTTTTCATGTATGTAAATTAGTTTTTTGATTGAATCAATGGGGTCAATGGATAATTTTAATTGGGTTCATTAGATCTAATGTTTAGACATATGATAGAATTTTAAAAAGTAGTTGGGGTCATCACCTATATCTGAAAAATACTTTTCTTTTCTTGTGATTTGTATGGGAAAGTCGTAAGAAACCTTAAAGTCTCTGAAACCACTTATTTACACAAATAATTAAATAATATCCACAAGGACCAAAACAACCACAATGATCATCTTACGTTTCAAAAAAGATTTGATCATTTACCTATCTAGATCTCCAAGATACACTATCTGGATCTGAGCTTCGGACATTATATATAGTAGAAAATTACTTATAACTTGTAATATAATAAATATTGGCTTAATTACGGCTTACCACATCAAATCACACGTGATTGTAAAAAAATTTAGATGCGTGTGATACTTTTATTTTTCCATTTTGGTGTATGATTTGTATATACTACAAGATTCAACAAAGATGGGTTGATAATAATATTTTTGTCATAAAGCTTGAGATAATATTTTCTGCCACTATTTGAGGAATCGTTTTCTAGTACATGGAAGAAAAAAAAAAGAAGGTCATATTGAAAATGTCCAACCATTTCCTATAATAATCACATAGTAACGACAAACCAACCATGTTATATATTATACAATATATGTTTCCAAAATTTGATGAAAAATGAATACAAAGGCATGTGGATGAACCCAAATTTCTAGTTGAATGGTCGGCAATGGAACATGGCGTTGTGCTCCTGTGGGGTTACTCTTTATAATTGACTATTTTTTTTCCTTTTTGTCATTTTTATTTTTCTCCTACAATTTCATTTTACATTATCCAAAGTGTCTTAAGAAAATTGTAGACACGAATTCATTTTTTTTTTTTTTTTTTGGTTTTTCTTTATTAAAGTTATTAATGTACTTTTGAGTAATTTTAATGTCCGAAGTTATTCCGAAACTGGTTTGCTTACTTCACATCTCTCAATAATTTGCTTTCATTATTGTTTGTCATCAATTATTGTCATTTGCTAGCATAGTTATGTGACTTATGTCAATGCTTAAAAGATTTAAAACAACTTGCTAGAAACGAAATTTCCAAGTAATCAGTATTAAAAAGGGTTTAAAACTCTTATTGCATTTTGAAGTTTCACATACTAGATTCTCGAGTAGATCGAAAGGTAGTATTGTACAAATAACCCCCAAAAGAATTGAACTGGATCTCTTAAGTATACTAGTGTGTTGTTACACTGTAAAAGTCCTTATAATAGCAAACAAATATGTATACATGAAGAAACCACAAAGTAATCAAGAATCAATGGCATCAACAGGCAGTGAAGTTGTCCTTTTCAGACACTTTGGTACCAATCTTCCTCCAAACATCTCTTTTACCGTATCTTCTTCTCTTCCCAACCCCGAACCCGAACCCAAGAACCCGTCTTTCGGAGAAATTTCCACCTCTTCTCCGGATTCCGGCCACCGGGTTTTTAATTGCTCATCCTGAATATCTCTGAGCTCAATTTGGCATTTGGCTTTAAGCCATCTCAACTCTTGTTGGACCTGATTTTCGGTTTTCTCGGATAGCTCATCGCAGTATTTAGATGGCATAAACGAGAACGACTCAGAACCCGATAGATGGTTTATCGCGTTACCTTCCTCGCAAGAAAACATGTTTTCGGGGTTTTCGTATAGTACCTCCTCTTCCTCTTCTTCTTCGGAATGGTTATTGCCTGAATCTATCGAGCTTAGTTCGCGGCTTTCTTGCTGTTGCTGCAGCTTCCAAAGCTCTCTAAGACGAACCTCAGTTTCTCTGATCGTGATCTCTTCAAACCGGCCATGAGTCTCGCCGCACCCGTTTCTGCAACATTGTATCACATTTGCCCCAGGATTGGTTCTCAGGAAATCCATCACCGAGCCCATTGAGGTGCGGTTTGATACGCAGTTGTTGCAAATGCTTGCAGCATTTGCCGCTGCCGCAGCCGCAAGACATTCTTCGAATTCAGGTCCCGGTCTCCAACTGGGTACAAGAGAAGATATCTCACCGTCAATCATGTTAGCGATTTTTGTGACTCCATGATCGTCCATGTCCAGTTCCGCTACCATCTCTGTTGCAACGCTCAATGCAGTGTCTGTCTCGATGTCAAATGGGAAGTAAATGTTTCGGACACGTCCTGCAACAAACGTTCCATGAATAAATTGAAAGAAAGTTTCAAGTCTTTTATGATCAGAAACCGAGGAACTTTCGAACCGAGAACATCTAAACTTTCATACTTAAGAACCGGAAAAAAACTATCAACTTTGGAACTCAAAGAAACTGCATTTTTACCTCTTGTTATAGGTTATGAAACAAGGAAAAGATTAAGAGAATATCATTACCTTCTTTGTCGGCGATCCTAAGACGCAAGAACAAGCCACCATCATCTCTTCTCTTCCCTTTGATGGTTATGTCAACATTACCAGATTTCTTTTCTTCTTCTTGATCATCATCGTTTCGAGATTCAAAGAGCTCGATTCCGTGAGTCTCCTCTGTCTCAGCTGGATTATACGCCCATCCGTTCTGATACTCGTGATGACTATTATAACCATTTGAGTACTGACGATTCAAAGAGCTACTATTCGACGGGTAATTGCCATTTGAGTACTGACGATTCAAAGAGCTACTATTCGACGGGTAATTGTAGTAGTCAGGAAGATGGTGCGGCTGCCTATAGAGTGGACCGACCGAATCATCCATATCAAGTGATCTTAAATCAAATTCACCATCGTCTATTCGGAGAAAAGGGTCATCTAGTAACTCACGAGCAGAGACTCTAAGCGATACGGTGGCCAAGCATTTCTCAATGAAACATTTAACCTCGGGGTCTTTCACCTTGTACAATGCATCCGGTTTCTTGCCCTGAAACCGAATTTTTAGCTCAAAAATCATGGCCTTTTGAAACAGAAAGAGATGAAGCTTTTTTATCTTAGTGTTTTAGTAATCGGAGAGTCTCACCGACATAACTTTCTTGTAGATCTGAGCAGGGTGAGTGCACTCACAGTACGGGTAATCAAACGTAACCATTTCCAAAATGCACATACCGAACGAGTATATATCAACCAATTCGTTATATGCTTCTTCGTAAACTTCAGGTGCCATGAACTCAGGAGTCCCTAACAAAAGATCAAAACTTTCTACAATCAGAAACAAAGAAACTCAGCTAAAAAGCAGAAAGGATTGAATTTGGATTTGCATATACCAACGCAGTGAGCAGCATGGGATTTTCTTAAAATGGCAGCGAGGCCAAGATCTCCAATCTTGACTTCTCCTTGATTCCCGTTAACGAAAATGTTGTCACATTTGAGATCCCTGTGGATCACAGGAGGATCATGGCTATGAAGATAATGTAAGCCTCTCAAGATTTGCCTACACCAATGCTTCATCGCTCTTATGTTCACTCTCTTATGCCTGAGTCTATATCTGTATCCATAGATTTAGTAAGAAATGAAGTTATCATCAAAGATAAACTAAAACCAAAGACAGACAAGTTAGTTCACAAGAGAATCTTACTGTCTTAAGGTGCCAGAAGTGAACAATTCAGTGACGAAATTGATATTTCTATTGGCGGTATCGACCCAAGAGGTGTAGAATTTCATGATGTTCTTATGTTTTAGAGTCTTGAGGAGATGAATCTCACAGTAAAGCCTCTCAAGATCCTCAGGGCTTTGTAAGAAATCGTAAAGCTTCACTTGGTTCCATGCTACTTCTATGCCTTCATATTCATCAAATGCTCTGTAACTACAAATCAAAAGAAAGAAGATTAATAATGTGTGTGTATGATCAATTGCAGAATCTGAATTGGGTTTAAGTCAAAGCAATAAAGAGATCCAAAAAAGGTAAAGTTGTTGTTGTTGAAAATTTCTCTTGTGGGGAATTAATGACCAAACTACAAGTGATTCAAATAAGCAGAAAAACAAAAAAGCTCAACTTTTTTATTTCCTCTTTTACAGGATTAGATTCAATCATGAATCAAACACAAACAAACACACAAAAACCCAAAAATCGAAAGGAAAAATTTGTTGGATCACAAATGGGTTTTGATTGGGAAAACAAAAAGTTTCAAACTTTATGAAGAAAGATCAACAGATTAGGCTTGAATCATCACCAGATCCAGAAAAGAAAAAGCTGCCAAATTTTGAGAGAAACATTAAGAGAAGAAGCGAGAGATTCTTACACAGTCTTTGAAGCTCCTTTACCCAGAACTTCATTGTACTGCAAACAACAAGAACAATGAACTCAACAAAAGATCACACAAAATAATTGAGATTTGAATTTGATAAGATTGATTGATAGGAGGAAACATTACTCTTCCATATCTTCCGGTAGGATCAACTTCAACAAACTCAGAGTAATCTGGTTCAAGATAACTCTGATAGTTCATCTCTTTCTCTCTTAATTAGTAGGAACAAAAAGAAATCCCAAAAGGAAGATTAAGAATAAATATATAATAGATCTACCAATAAAACTTGTCTCTTTTTTTAATAAATGGGAGAGAGCTTAGGTTTCTTCTTATAGCAATTTCTTCATAATCATATTTTTTTTGTTCTTCTCTGACATAAGGAAGGAGTTGAAACTCATGTAGTAGATAAGAACAGTATCTGTATTTACTCTCATTATTACATTCGCATAAATACTCAAGACTCTATAGAGAGAGAGAAGGAGGAGGATTTGAGTTTAGAAGACAGAGAAGCAAAGCTTTCTTCAATGGAAGTTTTTTTTTTTGTGACAGAGAAATACAAGCACCTCGTGAGAGAAAACAAAGACGGTGTGCGTTTCTTGAGGGAACTGTGGTCCAAAAATGGGATATTAAATTATACAAATATCAATCCTTCATTTTTTTCTCTTCTCAAACTATAGAACTCTAAATATAATACCAACGGATTATACTTTATACGGTATATAATTAGTGTCCTCTATTGAACGAAGAAGCTTTATTTCTGTGGGTAATTTAATTGATGAATTAATTATGGTTACTACTTTATGGAACATTTTAAAACTAGCTCAATAATAAAATAATTTATTTATTTATTGGAAATTATTCAGTGGTATTAACAATTGTTCGGTGGAATAATAGAAAAGTAACTCTTTCAAAAAAAGTTAATTAATAGAAGAGTAACTGGAATTCTTGAAAATTATGATTGATTAATTTTAGTTATTATTCTATACAAATTCACAAGTGACAGAAACAAAATTGTTACTATTACTTTACCTTTCTTTTGGGTCGATATTATTTTTGTTTGTTATACACAAAGATGCTTGTAAATGGTAATAATTCCATCAGCCGACGAAAAATTGCTGTAAAGTTTTTGGTTAAAACAATGTTTTTTTTTTTTTGCTTGAGACAACGTGCCAAAAATGTTCTTCCTACCGGCTAAACAGTGTATGCTGCCATTTAAAGTAATTAGAAATTAACAAATTACTATCTAGAACAAAAACCATGATGTTATGAAAATGTAGTTGATGTTATTAAGTTTTCATTTCAATTAGAACAATCAATATTCAAAACTAATTATCTTTCAAATAAATTGTTAACTCAATTAGATGAATATTGGGGTTGCCGCATGTGGATGTGATCGTCTCAGTTCTCAGCTATCTTAGAAAAGGGAATATAGAAAGGTTCTCTCGTACGTATCTTTGAGTGATGGGAATGATAGGACTGTTCCAAACGTTTATACCATTGTGCGATTGCAATTGTATTAGCGTATGGCTATATGTCATCATCATTTCAACTATTGATATTCTAGTATTTTGAAATGATCATCATCGTTCGTTTGACCAAACAACAAAGAAAAATATAAATGATCATTGTTCTATGATTACGTTCGTTGGTGGGGAATAATAGTATCCGAAATGCACTACGAATTTGATCATATTACTATAGTTATTTTAACATTTTATCTAGATTCATCCATCTTATATTTGGTTTCATGATCATGATGAATAAATGTATACAAAAAACTTAACCAAAACTTATATTAGACATTCATATAAAAAATAAAATTCATTACGTAATATAAAAAAACAAAAAAGAACGCCTCATTGCAATCGCTATAACCTATACAACTACTTCTTAACGACTAGTCTACTTCTTCTACCATCAAACAACAATGCTATATAACTAACCAATGTTTCGTTTTTGTTACAAATAACTAACTAAATGTTTACCAATATAAGCTAGCTTGGAAATAAAAACACACAAATTAAAAATCTGAAAATGGATTGGAGACAGCGAGACCATACATTAGCATGTCGACTGGATGTTCCAAAGGAGGCAACAAAGGCTAGTTTGGCCACGTGTTAAGTTAAGTTGCTCGTGTTATCTATCTTGACCATACATCATTTCATTTACACGACAATTCATCAACAAACTTTACATACCATGCATGTATATGGACTATAGTACAGTGAAAAGAAATCATGTGCAATATATAGGACTTAACGTAACTATATTCGAGTTTGGTTTAAGTCACAGTATAAATATTTTGATAAATCATTAATAATATGAAATAAAAAGATTGATGGGGCCAATCTAATTTGAGATGAAGAACACACATGTGCATGTGGGTGAATACAAAGACATGCACGATCAGCATAGCCTTTTAAACGAAAAAAGCAAATAAGCCTTGGTTGTGAATAATAATGAATCAGACCAACCACAAATCTTATCCATTTGGCCTTTTCCTCACACCATTTTACTTTATCATAAAGTTTATTTTTTTGACATGATATTAATTTTCTTTTTTATTTAATGTCTATGCAAGTAACTGCGAATATCAATTGTGTTTAACAGTAAATTATATTTAAAACATAAACTAGTTAGAACGAGATTTATAAAGTTTCAAGAAATTTTTCATATACTATCATTTTTAGAAATACGTTTGCCGATCACTACAAGAAATATTGCGGAAGACGTCGCTTTATTAAGGTCGGTTTATCAAGTGACGTGAATAGTTAAATTGGGAAGCAGATTAGTGTCATTTGTATAACCGACGGTAATTTTACAGTTCTCATTAATTAACAAAATAAGTATGTTTGACCTCAAAAATAAAAGGAATCTGTTTTGTGACCCTTGTTCTCTCGAGAAGAACATCGGCGACGACGACGATCTCCGGAGACCTAGAGACTCAAGGCGATTGCTCCGATTCAATTTTGCATCTTCGATTTCTTCAAAATCAATGCTCTCGTTACTGGAATCCGATTAAACTACGGTACAATCACAATCCTGGAGATTTTTCTTTTCTAGTCTTCGAGATTTATCTTCTCTAATCGCTCAAATCGAGAAGGCTAGTATGGTAGAATCTCTTGCGATTTGGGTTTGTCTGTTTAATAACTTGATTAGTATAAGAATCTCTCAATTTCATCAGAGAATGCTTCCAATTTTAAAGTTTCTGGTTAGGGTTTGTCGATGAATCTCAAATTCCAGAGATGGTAAGAACTTTTGACCAGATTTCATTTTCATTGAAGAAGTTATGGTGGAATTTGATGATCTTTGATTGCTGATTTGCTATTTAGTCAAAGTTTTAATATTTTTGTGATAAATTGTTGTGGATGCATGTAAGTCACTAACAGATTGCAGTTCCAGCTCTGATTGGACTTAGTTTGGTGACACTAGTAATTAGAGTTAAAGATATTGTCAATGCTTATATTTCAGAAATTAGAGTGTCGTGAAGTTTATAATTCAATTTTGCCATTGATCTCTGTTTTCAAGCTTCGACCTTGTTTCATCTTAGCCTATATTATTGTTCATGTTATCAACTTAAATATCAAAAAGTGGCTATCAATATCATTTATCTCTCTTTCTCTCTCTATTTCATTTTTTTATTCGCTAACATCTTTTCTCTATGCTTTGATGTATGAAATTTAGGCAATACATCATCATTTGTCAAGCAATACAAGGACTGCAATTTGAACTGAACCGAAGAGTATTCTGATTACCTTGATTTCACTTAAAATCGGTATGTGCTTCACATGCTTAACTATAGTTTAGTCATCATCCCTAGCTTCTATAGTTCTTTCTCAAGATATAATAAGTCATTGGATTCTCCAGTCCTATGATACTCTCTAAAGACTTGACCATTTGGGTTCTCTAATCCTTATATACTCTCTAAAACCTTGACCATGCTTGTCATATACTAATGGCATTATTTCTGAGATTATGATTAGTTGGAGTTGAAATACTAAAATTGTTTGCTTGATAACTTTTATACATCTAACTAGTGAAGAGTTTGAGAACTAAATAGACATAATTCCTTTTTTTTTTGCTGCAGTGTCACTTAAAGCCTTGATTGGTCTTGACTTTTCATAGTTTCTGACTGCCGGTTTTAGCTATAGTTGTTAAGTGTTAACTATTTGGTACCTGATGAAGTCGGATTGTTTTTTTTTCTTTGTCCACTAGCGATGCAACCGTCTATTCTGGTGAATCGCGGATGGGTTCCTCGAAGTTGGAGAGAGAAGCACCAGAATCTACAGATGTTGACTTCGTTGCAAACCGGTCAACAAATGTTTAAGTTTAATCACCTTCCGATGAACAAAATTCCTGGTGGAAATTCTTGTCTAAGACACCGTTGATCACTAAGGTTGGTCTTGTTATTCATGTTCAGAAACTTCTTTCATTTGGCCATAAAGCTGGCTTCTCATATATTTGGTTTTGTTCAAAACTGTAATATTGTGGATGCATTTGAATAGGAATATCGGATCTTTGTGGAGACAGATTAAATTCAGCTATCTACAAAGTTTCATTTCTATATAGATGAACCTGCGATGTCTTGAGTCATAGACTTTCCCGGAAACGCAATCTACGTAGAGGACGTTTGTGAAGACAAAGATCGGAGTAGGCCATTCCCTGTTCCTAAAGACATCAACATCGATGGTATAATGAAAAATCTAGGTGAGGACTGCAATTTCTACTTCTCTGATCATCAAACAAAGCAGTTTAATTGTCATTTTCTTGTAATTTCTACTAACTTTTGTAATCACTAAACAAGATGTTGTATTTTCTTATGACAATTGTGTTTTACCTCTTATTAAATAATATTTGATTTATTTTAAGTCCGTTGTTTTGTATTTTTGAATATTGCAGTTTTATTTTATTTAACAAAAAAAATAATAATTATATAATTGATAATTGGACAGATTGCGTCGGTTTTGCAAATGACGTTTTAAACAAAAATAAAGTGCCGCTATAATTGTGACGTTAATGTAAATGTCTGTTGTCTAATTGACGCAAAAAAAGTTTACGTCGCCCCATTATACGACGGTTACTAAACCGATGCTATATTATTAGAGTCAGTGTATAAACGACGTTAACCCATATATAAACTGACGTCAAATGCCTTGTTTTTTGTAGTGGATAGATTAAGTAATAATTAAAATCGGACCTTGTTTGACTACTTGGCTGGTGATTCCGTGGTTGCCCGTACGGAAATAATCAGTGTAAGCTAATCCCAAAAGCAATCACCTAACATCAATTAACTACTCTACTAGTAAAACAGATTTAGTTTTTTTTTTTTTTTGTTAAGAAATTGACAATATTTGCCTCGTTGTCACTTAACGAATATTAAATTAATTAAGCATATATGGATCCAACTATCTGTCTAAAATTAAATAATACTTGTAAAGATTAGCTGAAAAAAAATAAATAATGGTGATTATTATTGATATGATATGCTTGGACATAATTAGTTGGTGATCGATGATATAAAGCACATCAAATCGATATTTATAATTACAGAAACATGGAATTGATTGAGAATCATAAAATTACGATTGATTTTTTTTTTTTTAATTGGCTACGGAATATTAGTTTTTTGGATTTTTTTGTTCGACCATCAATCTAAAAAATGCAAAACTTGACATATAAAAATTATAAATGTAAAATCTAATAGTCAAGTCTCAAGTGTATAAAATATCCAATACATCTAGAAGCCTGGACACAATTCAAACTTTCCATTTCATTCTCTTTTAAAAATCTTGTAAATTAATGAATAATGATAACTGAGAAAGTAATACACTCAATGACTCAATATGGTCAAGAAAAGAATTTTGGAACAAAAAAATAAGTCAAGAGAAATATAACTAAATAATTGCGTCGTTTAACTAAAGCCATGTCTCATGCTCTAGGAGGGATTGTCAAATCTTGTAAGATTATAAGAAAGATACATAGTTGATGACCTTACTTCCCAAAAAAATAACATCAATTAAAAACTCGATTTTTTAGTAGTTAAAAATTCATATGTAACTGGTAAGAATTTTTTTCGAACTAATTAAATACGAAATTATTACAGAAACTGTAAATTAAACTTGTACAATCAATTCAGCCGGTTTAAATTAAACCCGAACGTGATTGATTTACGTTTATGTAAAAAAGAACCCAAATTAATTTGGTTTGTTCGGTTGGGCTTCAGACAACGGTTATGGAAAACAGTTACGTTTACCGGATGCTGATTCATTCATTCGGCCGGAAATATTGGGCCTATTAAGCCCAGTATAAATTTGAGCCCGAATACCTTACCTTGTAACAGGCTTTTGGTGATTCAAAATTATTTATTTTTGTCATTTGGGTTATGGGTATGTAAGCCAATATATATCATTACAGTCACACAAATATTACTAAGATATTATTTAGGAAATGTGATTTCGTTTTTTCCTTTTGTGTGAAAGTATATAATGTACTCTTAAATTAGAAAAATCTAATCTAGGGTAAGTAGTGGTTAAAAAAAAAGATATTGCTAAAAATAATTTATCTTGATTAGATTAATAAAAAATGTAGAAGAGGAACAAAAAAACATTGTTAATGCTGAAAGAAATTAGGGACACTGATGGATACAGTAACAATCTTTTAAGCTTGGGATAGATGTGCACTTGCCAGTAGTCATGAGCCAGCCATGCGTATTTTCCGCAATACATTGTTTAATGCATTCATCGTTTGTGCATGGTTTCATCGGCACTGAATATCCACACCATTTTCCTGTTGGTTCTGGTACTACTGGTATTTCGAATCCATTTCCTATTTTCATTTCTGCATGCAATTATTCTTTTTTTAAAAATAATACAAATTTAATCAAAACCAACTTAGATCAACTAGACTAAATCTGAGAGAAAAGAAAACAAGTAAACCAATTTGTTAATCTCTGGCCATCGTGCAATGCAACTTACTAGATGAAATAACTTTTTGCATACTAATACATGTAAAATTGTTCATTTAACGTATAAAAACAAAAAGGATTATCTACCAGCAGAGAAGAAGACGAGCACAATAAGAAACGCTACCAAAAAACTCTTCATTTTTTTGTATCTTGTTTCTTTTTCGTAAATGATTTTCTCTATTTTATAACACTATACCATTGATGTTGATTGAAATACAAGCATGACTTTATATTACACATGACCTAATGTATGTTCGTTCTACTCAACACCAATAATAGACGGTTGAATTTGAGTTACCCTAAAAAAACAAGATTTTGACGCTATTATGATTTATTTCCAATTTGACTTGGCAAATCCGGTGTATATAAATGGGAAAATATTACGATCTTATTCTCTCAACCTCTGTGTGTAACTTAGGGGGGTGTATTGAAACAGTGATTTTGGAAAATTTTGGTTTTTTTTGTTAAAATCACCTGTTATTCAATTAGTCATTTTACAATCTCTTCCCAAATTCTATGTTATTGAAACTGAAATTTATGTAAAATCATTCCAAATAATTCCAAATCTCTTGTTATTCAATTAAGAATTTATAAAAACCATATCAAATCCACTGTTATTCAAACTTCACAAAAATTTTTTTAGAAAATACTGAAAACTGATTTGGAGAGACTTTAGCTACCTTTTTAGTTCAAAAATAAGAAGAAAACAATCACACCTCTAGAGGTGGTATTTGATTAAAAAAACACATGGCTAATAATTTCGTTATCAATTAGGGTTTGGAGATTTTGATCCCAATTCAAATGTTTTTATGTATGTGTTAATTAGCGTCAATAGCTTTGCCCTTGACTCGAGGAGAGTTACGGAGAATTCGTCATATCAAGATTTTAGTCATGAGTGCACCAACGAGTCCGTACATGAGTCATGTACCTAGTCCACGAAGGAAAAGTATGGCTGAGTCTCATCACTATTATATTGGTTTAGTTTCTGAGAAGATTTTATCGGTTTTGACCTTTGTGCTTGGTGTTTCGTCTATGGATTCACGTTGGTAAGCTTCTTTATACTCGTTTTCTTGTTTCCATTCATTTGAAATTAACTGAAATTTTGGTTTCATGTTGAGGAATGTGTGGGTTGTATACAGATTGCGGATCAAGGCTTTCAAAGGAAAAACTTCATCTCGTAGTTATAGACACTTTTAAGATGATCATTGCATAATCCACACACACTGTCACGAAGTTAACCATAAGCAATAGAGATCAGCCATGTCGAAACCTTAATACTACTCTCTAATCTCCATGTTTCATCGTATCAATTGCCTTAGTCTTATTATCTCATTTACCTTGAAATCAAAGATCAATGTTTATGTAGGTAGAGAGAGAACCATAAGTTTGGTTAAAACTGAAGCTTATCTTCCTCTGTAGTTTGTACCTGCAACAGTAAAAATAAGAAACTAGAAAGAAAAAAAACACAAGTAATTGTTTATGAATTTTAAGCACAATCCTCTAATTTAATACGACATATTACAATATTTGTATCCTTGATCCAAAGTGAATGATCTCCATTAGTAACAAGACATAGCCGAACATGTGAAGAAATATACAAACTAGTGATTTCTCTTTACTTTTGTGATACCAATTGCAGTTGCACCGTTCCATCAATTATTCAAAAAACTGAGCTAGCAACCAACTTCTGATTTTACTCCACTCTCATCCGAGTTTCAACTTATGATGTTATATAATTTGTGAGGGTTTTCTAACAAGATACGAAGTCTTTGGGGGGTTTCAAATCGTTGGCTTCTTCTTTTTTTTTGTTAATAAATCACTCCAATAAATCTCACCAAATTACCAATTATTTTTCTTTTAAAAAAAATAAAAAAACTAACAAATCAACCCAAATATCCTTAAAAATTACTCAAATCTCTCAAAAACCTAAAATATGGAAATTCCACCAAATCCCTCCAAATGTTTAATTCAATACACCCACCTTACAGTAGTTCGTCTTTAGTTACCATTTCTATATGATATCGGAGCCTCTAATAATATCACAAAATCAGAAAAATATATCTTCTTCCATAACTATATCGAAATGGAATCAGTACGTTGACATAAATAGAAAACTATAAATTTAGTATCTCACATGACACAACTCTGACTAAATATTACAGTTTTGAATATAATTAACATCCAGATTTAAACTCTAGATAGACAGATTCTTGAGATAAAAGTGTTCAAAAATATAAATCAATTGGTTTTCTGGTTACGTTTCAACAGATACTAGCTAAGCAATTGCAGTAGCATCCGTGATACAGTAGCTTTATACATATTGAAAGCAATAATGGAGGATTTGGAGTTTCCGATTTGCATATTGAAAATGAATCTCCAGTGTTGTGAAGACTTTCCTTCTCGGATAAAGAAGCTTTTGCGCAAAGTAAAAGGAGTTTACGCCATAACCATAGACCCTGTGAAGGGTCTAATTTTGGTCTCTGGCACAGCAGAACCTTCAGTGCTTATCAAAGCCGTCGCAAAAATCGGGCAAAGCCCCCAACTTTACGCCTACGAGAAGGATCCAGCTACGGCTAAGACCCGATTCCGCACCTTGCTTAAACGTTACGCCACCAACAAGGGCCAAGATGAACCATCCTCCCCTGCACCTGTCACGGAAACCAACCCCGTGGAAACTTGTCCAGCGGGAGGTGGAACATTTAGAGGTTTCGGGTATCCTGGACCACCGACGATGATGCAGATGCCGGCCTTTACGTTGCCCCCAAGGATGGGACCGCCTGGATGGTTAGCACCGGCGGCAAAACCGAGGTTGATGGTGAAGTACGAGGAGCCGAAGGTGACGACCAGGAAACCGCCAGCGCCTTATCCCTTTGATTTCTACGAAAACTTGGGTTTTCCACCATCCGACTCTCTTTTCAACTATTTCAGCGATGAGAACGCTCAACCTTGCACTATCATGTGACTGGGTTTTTCTTAGTTACGTTTGACAATGCCTTTTTTTGTTCGAATTATTGTACGTACGATCCAACTTTTTTCCTCATTGAAACTTCACTCTATCAATATTATTTTGGTGAATTCATAATATATTAACAAATGTACTAAGAATTGGTAGACATTGTTTGGACCATGGCCAAATGCATGAATCATAGTACTTAGACTCTCAGTCACCGAAGGGAAAAGACTTGACGGTGAATATCTGCCCGACTGCTTCTAGCGCAGAGACATTCCAGCTCTCGACATGCCTCACAATCTTGTACAAAAATCAGAGTCTGGATAAGTCTTATGGGTTTAACTAACGAGCGAGAGATATAATATTATGATCGAAAGAGTGGAAAAAGGTTCAATCTTTTCTTACTTTGAAGTCTCGATCCAGATCATATACCGTACTTCCGTTGATCGATATTAGTGGTCTCCATGGAAGTTTCAGGTAAGTCCTGTACATGGTCAAGACATTAAGATAACGCACAAGTCGCAACACTTTCTCACTCAATATGTTTGTGTATAAAATTCATCAGAATACCTTAGCTTCCATGTCGCCAGTATATAGTTTCTTTCGAACGACTCACTCTGTTATTACGGGAACAAACACTCTCCGTGTTTCAAAATGGATTACAAGAACATTGAGACCATAAACCAGTTGGGACTAGGATCTAAACAAATGTTATTATACCTTGTCCATATTTTGCAGTTCAATGGATGCATCTTCGAGGAACGGAACAAGTAATTTCAAGTTGCGTTCATACAACTCTGTACCTGCAGAATTGGAAACCCCAAAGGAGACTACTTATTCTCACATCAACATTCAGGATCTTATAGGTAATATGATCACTCTACAAGCTTGACAAACAAACCAGAGAGCATGAAGATCAGATTATGCTACATTCAGATAGACCTATCATTAAGCAGTAACTGAGATTGCAAATAGAGAATAAAAAGAGGATTCTGTAATTCCTTACCCTGGAAGCTGATAGTCGGATCCTCGAAGATGCATTCATCCGAGTAAATTGAAGAAGTCAAGATTCCTGGTTCCCAGTTAGTGTGTGAAATGGGAAAGCTTTATGAGTTTAGCTATGTTGAATTGAATCAATGCAGATTCCAGAAACAATTTCACTTTATAGTTCTTAGTACTCTTGGAACAGAGAGAGTCATAAACCTGTGACGAAGTAGGCATTTCGATAATCTGATCTCAAAATCTCCATCACATCCTCAACATTTCCAGCAGAAAGCTCATACCTTGATCTGTAGGAGTTTCCAAATCGATCTTCACGAGACAAAAGACGAACAGAGGGGAATAATTAAGAAACCTTAATTGAAACTCTTTCGAGATTACCTATCTTTATTTGTAGGGATGGAGGATGAAGACGGCGCACCGGAGAACAGCCGAAGCAACTCAGTGACTCCACCAACCGCCCAATTCAAAACAGCCGGTGTTTTATTCTCCGGCGAACCAGAGAAGCATCGCGGCCGATGATTAACCCTCTGCAAAATCAACAATCCAATATTAAAACACAACAAATTCAGCGAAGGAATCGCTAATCGCCATAGATGACTCACCCTCAAGGTCGACGATCGGCTGATAGATATCTGGCAAGCCACTCCCGCCATTTTGTACTTACCCCAGTGAGTACAATTGTCGTCGCCGGCAATGCTCAATGACTCCAATGTTTATGTGGGTCCCCCCTATAATTTTAGAGACGAAATAATTGTACCCAAAACTTCTATTTATGGAAAAGTAACCCAATGTCTTTCAACATTTGAGGGTCTTTTTGAATTAAAATAACTTAAGGGGTCAAATGTGGTAGACTAATGTAACTGATGTCTCCCTATTTTTTCTAATTTCCATTTTAAGATAAATCTTGATTCTTCTGGTGGGCACTGCTTATGGTTTCAAACCTCTGCAAAGATGGCCGGAGCTGTTTCTGCCGTCGAGCAACCGTTGAAAATCATCACCGGAGCTGATGACTTTGGAGCGAGCCTCAAGGACGCGATGGTATCCCACCTCCGTTCTCTCGGCATAGACGTGGAGGATACCGGAGTGTCCTCGTACTACTCCGCCGGATCTGAAGTCGGCCGCCGCGTCTCAGCTTCATCGTCTTCCGAAGTTCGCGGTTTAGTCTGCTGCGGCACCGGCGTCGGAGTTGCGATGTTCGCTAACAAGTTCCCCGGAGTCTACGCCGCCACTTGTCTCTCCGTCGAAGACGCCGTGAACGCTCGATCAATCAGCAACTGCAACGTCCTCGCACTCTCCGGTATTAAAACCTCCCCGGAAACTGCCATAGAAATCTTCGACGCTTGGATCAAAACTCCGTTCAAATTCCCTTGTCCTGCATCCGGATCCGAGCCATGGAGCTCAGATATCTCTTCCTTCCTCGACAATTCTCTCTCCGAGATGGCTCAGATCGGAAAATCAACCGCCGGCGATTCAACAACCAAAAAGATCGATGAAACAACCGCGTCTTGCGCGATTTGCTGCTTGGCGAAGAACAGAGAGTTCACTCCAGTGGACATCATGCCGGGAGGCTCGATGAAGATCGTGAGGGAGACGCCGACGTCTGCGATTGTAAGATTCAAAGCGGGAAGTGTGGAACCGGCGCATCACCACACATTCGGCCATGACCTTGTAGTTATGAAGGGGAAAAAGAGTGTGTGGAATCTGAGCAAGAAGGAGAGAGCTGATCTCATTGACGGCGATTACCTATTCACGCCGGCTGGTGATGTTCACCGAGTCAAGTATCACGAAGATACTGAGTTCTTTATCACTTGGGATGGCCATTGGGACATTTTCCTTGACGAAGATCTCGAAACTGCAAAGAAAGCCATCGAAGAAGAAGCTTGAACCTTTTGCCTCTATTGTTTTCTTCAATGTGTAAACTTTGTCTAGTCTTTTCTCTCGAATGTTGTAAGCTTTGAGAATAAACTTTCTGAAATTGATGTACTTTGTAAGAATGTTTGATTTCAAAAGATTGTGTCATAATACAAATGCTTTCTCTTATGAACACTACTAGGATATATACCGCGGGTTAATTATTTGATTTTTTTTATATTTTTTTATAAACTGATGAATTTGTTGTGTATGATATTTTTTTGTTGTACACCGCGGGTCACATGCGTTGTATATAAAAAATAAAAATTTTAAGTTGTATTTGTTTTGTTTACTGTTTAAGATTTGTATAACTAGGATTTCACCCGTGGTATATTGTCCCGTATTAATTTCGACCCAAACCCGTCCCACCATATACTCCTGTCCTGTGGAATTAGACATTATTTTGTTATTTTTTTTAATAACACTTTTATTTAAAAGATATATAATTCGAGTCAATTTAAAAGTTTACTTTCAAATGGTTTCCATAATATATATATTTTAAAATTAGTATGTGTTTTTGAACCAACCCGTAATTTTTTTTTATAATTGTATCTTAAAATACTAAATAATTATATTTTGATTTGTTAATTTTAGGATCTCACCCGTGGTATAGTGTCCCGTTTTAGATAATTGTAGAAATTAAGAAAGATCTGAATGACTCAATTTCGGGTCAGAATAAAAAAACGATTTGATTAAATGTGCAATTTGTTCTTAAAAAAATATTAATATAGATTACGCACATATTTTTTTTCTTCATCGATTGAGTAATATATGTCTGTTTTAAAAAAATTTGAATCATAACATATGTAGAAAAAAAAACTAAAATTTATTAACTATATATATTTTATAATAATTCAAAATAATATAAGTATAAGATTAAATAAAAGTGAAATGAGAATCATATATTTATGTTTAAATTAGGTAGAGAGGTTTTAGGAAATTAGCTCAAATTTGTTATATTATCATTAAATTATCATATTTGATTTCCTAATCTATAAAAATTGTAATGAATATACCATAAATAAATAGTTTAGATATAGTAATTAGTTGAGAAAATATATATAATTTAGATTTTATTAGGTATTTTCGTTTTAAAATTTTGCCATAATTTAAGGAAAGATCCGATTGAAGATTTCCGGGTCAAAATCAGAAAAAAACCCGACCCGATTAGAAGAGCAAATTTGTACTTCAAAAATGTTAAGTAGATATAAAGGGTTTTCTACATATGCTTCTTCTTCATGTACCCATAGTGTCTCAAATCTTCATCAATTAGCCATTGGGAACTATTTTCAAACATTTTCCCATCATTAGACCAGACTTAGCTCATCAGGAACTGCAGTTGCAGAAGAAGAAAGCTTCTTGTTTAGCTCTGCTAGTTCTTCACCGGCATCACAGATGTATGACGAAGCTTGTCTCCCTGATAATGTTGCTCCTTCCATACTATCTATGTAATCCTGTAACAAGTCCAGAAACAAAATTCTCACTGATCTTTCGGATTTCTCAGACGCAATTTGGACACAGTTCTTGCTTGCATTTGTCACTATTGGGAATCTGGCTGAAAAATAGTAAGAGAAAAAAGTTACCTGTTTTGTGTATGAACCAGCGAGGAAGAAATTCTTTATGGGCGTCTTCTGATCGGGTCTGAATGGATCTTTTCCGGGTGCTTCACGGTACAGAGACTGAGCGATTTTTACAACCGATGACCAAGTGACTTCTAGGCTCCGTGACGATGGAAACAACTCGGTGACCTGAACAAGATTTGAGAATCAACAAAAAACCAACTTGACAAAAGTTTTCTCAAGAGTTGAATTCAACCATGTTCTTTACCTGCATCGCTACTTTCTCTATGATCTTATCGTTCGGCATTCGCATGTATGGATCTCCCGGTGTTAGCACGCACCTGTGAAAACAGAATTCAGTTTCAAGACACTGAGAGACCTGCATGCTATTTTGTGGACAATTCTTTCTTACTGAAGTAAAGTGCCTTGTCCTTCGATGTAATAATCTGCAGGCGAAGCGAGTGCAAGATCCGCAAAGCACGAGAAATCAGCATCAGGAGTGTAAAGAAGGTTATCTAAGCCAACCGCTCGTTTCAACTGCCTACAATTTTCCGAAACACAAAACGACGACTTAAAAACCCACACAGAATCAATCCATCATGATCATCCCACAACATAGGATTCTAGATTACCAACCTGGAAAGTTCAATGTCCTGTAACTCCGTGACCCAACCATTGTATCTGAGCTGTACTGTAACAACAGGTACTCCCTCGAGTTCATATATATCGTTGAAAAACCGAGATTCCCTCCATTCTTTTGGAAGTAACCTTTTGATTCCTGGCACATCACATGCTGCAACATACACATCAGCTTTCACAATCTTCTTGTTCGTAGCCTGAAGCAAACCAAAAAACAAAAAAAAGTCCTTAAACTTTCATATCAAAGTTTTGAGCCTTTTCTCTACCCAGAAGCTGCAAACTTCAGAATGTATTAAGACATTTTCGCAGATCCTATGTCTGAAGCTAAATTTCACCTTAGAAATTGCTAGTCCAGTGACATAAGTTTCTCCATCTGCTGATTTATCATAAAGTATCTCCCTGCAACCCCACCTTAGATGGATTCTGTTTGAAGACATTATTAATACCCGATAAGCCAATGACATAATAAATGCGAGAATCAATTATTATAGATAATAACAGACACGCACCTGCCACCTCTATCTGTGATATATTGTTTGATAGGACCACTCAAGTAAACATCAGGCGAGCCCTTTAGCATACGCAACAAAGAAGCTTCTGTTTTGGTGGCGAATAATGAGAATATGGTAAGCATACATCGCGCACTCATGTTATCGCAGTCTATGAAACCGAGTGCATAAGCAACAGGATCCCACATTCTCTGGATACTTGCCCGTGTCCCACCTTTCGACAGGAACCAATCCGAGAAACTTATCTGCAAAAAGTATCTCAGAAAATTTAGAGAACATAAATAGTTGTACTAATGATAAGAAGCACAGGAAAACTATCATTCTTTACGCTGTCAAGATTGCGAATGTCTCTCATTGCTCCATCGGGGTCGACGAGAGCTTTAACAACTGGGCTTAATGCAAGAGCCAGTGAATTCCTTAGTTTATCATAGGGCTGTTCCGTCAAGACAAAGATAAGCCGTAAGTAAGCCCGATATTGTACATGAAGTAAGAAACTACTAATCCTTTGCTATGAAATTTGGGAAAACTTTTGCTGATCTTTTCACGGCGGTAAAGTGCATCAACATGAATCCAAAGATTTAGATGTCTAGAGAAATAAATTTACAAGTTTAATTTATACCTTGAGTTGATTTGTGACCAAAAATGCGCGAATACCATGAATTGGAGCTCCAACAGGAAACCGAAAATCAAGCTCTACAAATTATGTGTACATCTCAGTATGATAAAATCACAGAGGCGATCATAGCAAGAGAGTAATGAACTGAGCCATACCTCCAACTGTCCCGTCTTTGTTTATAAATGTATGAGTATGGTCTTTGACAAGAAGGTTTTTATCAGCACCCACCTACATCACCAAAAAGAAAAAGAATAAACAACCCCTACATGAGTATGAGACTCAATCATCAAGTAAACTCGAGCGGAAGCTTTGGGAAAGAAAAAACCTTCTTCATCAAGCGGAAGAGATTGTTGTAGCATCCGAAGAATACATGTAATCCCATTTCAATATGGTTCCCACGTCTATCTACAAAAGAACCCACTTTGCCACCAATGAATGTCCTAGAATCATATATATCCACCTGAAACAATCACGAAGATTACACATTTATGCAACCAAATCAAAGGTAAACAAACAGAAAACAGCAGAGGAGTAAACACCTCGTGACCCTGATCGAGAAGCTCTACAGCAGTTGACATGCCTGCAAGTCCAGCTCCTATGATAGCTACTTTCAGCTTCGGTCCCTTGTACGGTACAGGCTCTGGAGGAAATAACCCCTTTGGAGCTGCATTCATAACCAGACCATTTAAAACAGTAAGAGATGATCAAGAACCACGATGCTCCAGAACATGAATAGAAGAAGAAAGCTTTTCATAACATGAAACCTCAAATCTAAATTTGATTCCTCAACAGCTACTACTTCCCATGGATAAACTAAACTGATGATATAAACAAAAGAGAATCTTGGATGGACTGTAAAATTTCGACCTAGCTCTCCATTTCCAATACTAATGATTTGCCACAAGAGTTTCATATTTTCATCTAAACTTTGAGAGTTCAGAATTCATCTATAAGCCAAGAAAGAAGTTATTTCTCATCAAAATTAATAGATTGAGTTCATCTACATGCCATGAGAATTGAAACCTGATCCTCTTCAAAAGTGGGATTGTTCGTGGCATAAAGCTAAGCCTTTTAAGCCTAGTACATGTCAATTTCTCAAAATTTCCATTAAAAATCCGATTTTCTCAAGAATTCAATTCAAAAACCCAGAAACCGAAACATCCAAAGGAATCAACCAGACGCAGAGGAGACAGTAAAGATTTAATTTTAGTTTGGCTAATTACCGTTAACACTCATGTCGGAAACATCGGAGTCGAGTGAAGAATTAACAAAAAATCTCCGAGACTTCAAAGGAGGAACGGAGAGAAACCCAGTAGCCGGAGTTGCAGCAAAGACGATTGAAGAAGCCATGGCCAATCAACTGAGATAAGAGCAATCGCTCTGTTATTCGAAAAAAAAGATGATGTTTTTTTTTTCTCTTCTTATAATAAAAGAGGAAGAAGAAAGAAGTAAAATTCTAATGACAAATGACTAATGAGCGATGAAGAAACTTGTTTGTGATGATGAATTGATCATGTATGATGCTTTCTCTCCTCATAAACTCTGTGGTGTTAACAACTGTGTTCAGTGGGCTTAACTCTTTTTTTTTTTTAATAATCAAAACCTATCCCAACTAAAATTTAAATTAGGTGAAGAATTGAGCCTAAATCCATTTTAAATGGTCCATTTAGAAAAGAAAACAATTGAAACGATTTTTTACTAAACTTTAGTTCATATTGCCAAAATTTTTAATCTGATTTGAGCTTTTTTAACCTTCTAGATTATGTTCGAGAAAAAGAGTTTTCACTTGAGAGACATAGAAATTGATTCTCTGGTTAGCCGCCTAAGCGTTAGAGTGTTTTCTAACTATAATATCGGTTCTAACTTCTAAGTAACGTTCCCTTATTTGTGAAATCATAACCCGACTCAAATATAGGCTGGTCTATTTAAAAAGGCTGAGGCCCAAAACAATATTTCTCTTTTTAGGCCAGAGTTCTCCTTGATATCATACTTCTTTTGCAACACATCAACTTATTTTGTTTTGTTTTAATGTTGAGATTTTATACATTCTTGAAAGACATACAACTCATCCTACAAATTACAGTCGTTGTCACCGTTTAGAAAAAAAACTTTGCATTTTTATTTTCTGTTTCGAAAAGATGTCCGTCACTCAAAGTAGGTGACGTCAAAATAAAAAAGTAAAACAAACTTAAAGTAGGTAGGGAGACAGATTGTTAAAATTTAAATCAATACTATAAATTATAAAATAACAAACAACACCAGCAACGATAATAATATTAATAACGAAAATGAAACTACAAAAAAAAAAAAAAAAAAATCAGATCTCAAGAAAATAATGTTAAACTGGGACCTGCTTAATACAGGTTGGTCCAAATCATATATGAAACATACACGATGATAATTAATTAGTCGAAGACTTTTGCGGTAGGCTGGTAGCATTGTCAAAAAACCATAACAAAAGGAACAATAGTATCTGAAGACAGAAGAATAAAACTAACCAATATTAGTAAACAATTTAAGATCAAATTAGAAGTTTATGGTGATTTTTTAAAAATAGTAAAAATAAACAAGGTAAATGGTACAAACATGTCAAGAAGATCATAGTAAATAAAAATAGATTGAAGACAGCAATCTTAAGGAAAGTATATTCTTTTAAAAAATTATAACAACAAAAATAGAAAAATCTAACAAGCTATTTGGTATGCCTATAGCACTTATTTAAACAAATTATTTTGAGATTTAATCGTATGCTTCACTTCACCCACCTATTTGGTTGACAATCGAATGAAAAAGTCAAGACATGTGATTGATTATCGTATGAAATATTCAATCTCTCTTTTTTTTATATATAAAAACGGTATATATATTCAATCTCTAACCACCTCTATTACTGTGTGACTAATTAATTCATTAGCGAAAGCCCGAGAGAGTAGTATGGGCTCAGTCGTGGGCATTAAATACATGCCTACTTACTTACTAGTCATGAGATACCACCACACGTGTTAACCATTCCTTCCAGCCTTTCAACTTCTTATTTTTTTATCCTACTTTTTAAGGATATAATTTTTTTTTAATTTAGGCTATGAAGATAATCCTTTCAAGAAGGATTGACTGTCAGGCGTTTGAAACAGACTGTTCGGAGTTAGTCTCGATGATACAGTCACCTGATGAATGGCCCGCTTTCGCCAATCTGCTAAACGAGTTTGGTCTTCTCCGTGTCTCTTTTCCTTTTTTCTCGATTTCTCTTATTTCTCGCTTATGTAATGTCAAAGCGGACTGCTTAGCCCGTTCTGCTAGAATTTTATTTTCTGAAGTTACGTTTGTAAACTCTATTCCTCCTAATTGGACAACCAATCAAGGAGTTATTTTTTAATTAATGTGTGGTTGACAAAAAAAAAAAAAAAATATTGAGACAAAGTTAAAACACTTTTTTTTTTTTTAATTTAACTTCAAGCACAGAAGAAAAAGTGACTATTTGTGTTGTGTCAACAATGACAAAGTTCGAACCAAAGGTTGTTTTTTTGATTAAAATCTGAGATAAGTGTATTGATAAAAAAAAAATGTAAATAAGTTTTTGTCCGAAATTTATCGTTACAAACTTACAGTCGTTTTCCGCGGAATTAAATTCGAATTTGGTACTTTGCCAAGAAAATCGGGTAATTATTTTTTAACGTTTTTTAAAAAATGACTCAGACAGTGAAAACAAAGTTTCCTTTTTGTCTGTTTCTGTCTTATTTTGACTACAGTAAGCACACATTCTCCTCTGTTTTGGCGAATTTTGCCCTGTGCATTCTTCTTTCTCTCTCCCTCCCGGAGTCTCAGGCTTCATTCTTTCCTTGGTTGATGAAACTCGATCGATTTGATAAAACCCAGATCAAATCTGTTGACATTTTTCCAAATTTCGATGCTTTTTTGAGATTGGGTTTCTCTTTCTTTTGAATTAACTTATCAGTTTCAGGTAAATTCTAAACACTTTTTTTTTTTTACGAAATATCGTTACTAATCTGAAGTTAAATTCGCCGCCTTTGAATTTCTCAGCGTTGCGCAGTTTTGTCCACAAAGTGTTTGTTGAAATTCCTGAGAGAGAGAAGCTGGAAATTGGGAATTCCGTAAGAAAATGAGAGATTTTCCTTCTTGCTCCGGTGAAAATGGCGTCCAGATTGCGGATTCTTCGTCTTCCTCGAGCGCTGGTAGAAATGCTCAGAATTTGGTCATTTGCATCTACCGATGCCGCATCCGAGGTAGGACTTGTATGATCACAGTCACATGGACTAAGAATCTGATGGGTCAGTGTGTTACCGTGGGAGTTGATGATTCTTGCAACCGAAGTCTGTGTAAAGTTGAGATTAAGCCGTGGCTCTTCACTAAACGAAAAGGGTCCAAGAATCTAGAGGCGTATGCCTGTAGTATCGATGTTTTCTGGGATCTCTCGTCGGCTAAATTCGGATCCAGCCCTGAACCTTTAGGAGGGTTCTATGTTGGAATTGTTGTCGACAAAGAAATGGTTCTTCTTCTTGGTGATATGAAGAAAGAGGCTTTTAAAAAGACGAATGCTGCACCTTCTTCATCTCTAGGTGCTGTGTTCATTGCCAAGAAAGAGCATGTCTTTGGCAAGAGAACGTTTTCAACTAAAGCTCAGTTTTCAGGTGATGGCAAAACTCATGATCTTGTGATCGAATGTGACACCAGTATCAGTGATCCTTGTCTCATTGTTCGTGTTGATGGAAAGACCTTGATGCAAGTGCAGCGGCTTCATTGGAAGTTCCGTGGCAATGATACCATAATTGTCAATAGGATCTCTGTGGAAGTCCTCTGGGATGTTCACAGTTGGTTTTTTGGGATGCCATCATCACCAGGAAATGCCGTGTTTATGTTCAGGACTTGTCAATCTGTTGAAAAGACCTGGTCTTTCACGCAGGTCCCCACAAGCTCGAAATCTCAAAGTTTTGGGTTTTCATTGATTCTGTACGCTTGGAAGAACGAGTAGAGAAGAAGAGTTTTGAGAGTTCTTTTCTTTCTCTTGAGTGCTAACTAAAGGTTAAAAAGGAACACGGTTGATTCTTGTCGATTTATTTTATCATATATGATACTATGATCAATTGGTTTCAATTATATTTTGTCGTAAAATGTTGGAACCGGATCAGTCAAGAAGAGTATATATCAGTTTCATATGTCAAAGTTTCTACATGAGACTTGTAAAGAATCTTGTTCAAAGCCGATTGCTTTGGTCCTGTATCAAGAAACCAACTATTCAGATACTCGGTTTTGGTCTCCATGTGCATAATGTTCCTCACTAGAATGGATAGTTTGGCTTATGGTCTTTCTTTTATTATGACTTCATGCTGCTCATTTGTGGACAGATCAGATTATAGCGGCCTGAGCTGAAGCTAGTAGTTGCTCTTAAGATGATTATCAAACATGTGCTTTGCATCCATCTAGCAACATTGATATTCTTGCTGTGTCATTTAATTATGCATATGTATATTCCTTAGAGATATATCATGTCTTTGGTTTTGTTTTGCGCCATACCTTTTCAGACATTGTAAATAGTTATTATCCAGCTCTTTGCAGTTTCTGCAGGTATAAAGAGTATTTTATCAAGGAATCTAGAGAGACATGGGTTTGTACTTGAAGATTCTTGAATTGTGTGAATCAGTAAGTCATGTTTCAAGTTTTCACATTTCAATTATTTCATTGCTTTGGCCTGTTCTCTAGCCATCCTAGACTGTTGAAACATTTTCAAATTATAATAGCATCATCATCTTGTTGTTTAGTGTTTAGGTAGAGTTTTCAACTTGCTTCAGACAAAACTATCTATAGTTGTTGTTCCTGTTCCTAAGAAAAACTGTCTGAATAATGTTTGTTGGATTGTTGAGCTTGGCCAAATACTGTTTTAAAATCTTCTCCTAGAAGCTGTTCTTGTAACAAGAACCCGTGACATGAGAGAGTTTTGCATAGTCTTATCATGATTCTAAAAGTGTACAACATAGCACTCTTGCTTGAAAGAACATCAAAGTTATCTTGGATTGTCAAGTCAGAGAAAGATGTTTTAGAGCAAGCCAAGTTACTTTAAACGTCAATTCAAACTTTTAGATTTGGATATCTCAATGGGTGGGGGGACCTGAAGACAAACTACATACAGTTTTGCAAAGAATCTCTGAAACAGCTTGCCGTTTGTTTGATCTCCTGCATTCTTTTTGGCTCCTATTGTATGAGGGAATCTTGAAAAGGTTAATGAGAAAAGGAGAGACATAAAGATGGGTCCTTTAGAATGCTTCCTATGGCTACAACAAAATTTCTTTTGGGTCTATGTGGAATCATCACATGTTTGCCTTTCTGTCTGGTTCTGTGATAATAATGCCATGACAAATACAGTAGCACCATGCCACCTGGACCCCACTCCAACGTACCGTACCGGAAACCGGTTAAGACCCGAATGTTGGTATTCACAGATCAATCTCGTTTGTTATCAGGCCTATACGGGTTTAAGGCCTTAAATTAAAACCCAATGGGCCCCTTATTTTCTCGCTTCCATTGATAAAAATCGATTTTCCTTCTTTTTTTTTTTTTTTTAATAATGTAGATTTTTTCTTTTTTTTTTTTATAGAGAGAAACGAAAGAAAGCACACGGCTTTTCACATTACTGTTTCCCGCTTTCCCGCTCCTCCTCCATTGAAATCTCCACCTTCTTCCTCTTTTTTTTCTTCTTCTTCTTCTTCCTCTTCAGTAACCGATCCACTCTCTTCTTCTTCTTCTTCTTCTTCTTCTTCTTCTTTTAGGGCTTCGTTGGAGAACGACCCATTGAGTATAAACCTCGCCGGAGATGGATACACCAGATAAGAACCGCATCTCCGCCGTTTCCTTTTGCAACTTTGAGGTTTCTCTCTCAATCCTTACTTTCTAATTATGATAATCTGCTCCTACTTTATATTTACTTCTCTTCTATGCGTTTTTTGGAGTGAATTTGCATCTAGATGTTTCCTAAATTCGCTCGTCTTCATCTGATCTATTACTCTTTGGATCCATAATTCATATGATTTTAACTGTCTAAATTAGGTTTTGGGGCTTATGATCGTCTTCGTTGCCTTAATTTTCAGCAATTTGACTCGATTAGAGTTTTTTTTTTTTGCTACTAGATTAGTATCTTTCCAATTATGCTTGAAATTGGGGTCACTAATTATTTGTATCTGTTCACATTTCTTTGTTGTTGAACTAAGAGTTTTAATGAGTGTTAGATTCTCACTATAATCTGCAGGATTCTCCAGTTTTTCAATATATTAATGAACTCTCCCCAATAGAGCCAGTAAAGCCAGCACGCCCAGAGAATATCTTGAACTCACTGGCTTTTACATCTCCATCATCTCTATTTAGTTCCCCGCAGTTAACCTCGTACCGAGATTCCAGATTTTCCATCAAAAGGTAACTTTGATTTTTCCTTTTAGTTGTCTTCTTGATAGGAGTTGGATTTGTTCTTAGTGTTTATATATGCTGACATTGATATTGTTGGGTGGCTATGTTGCTTGTTTAGGCATCGTTCTCTAGATCTATCTAGTCCACTAGTTCTCATTGGTGAGACTGTAAAAAACTCACCAGATGCTCAGGAAGGTGTTAAGATATCTGATCTATGTGAGGAGCAGCTAAAGTGTAGACCTGAGCAGTTGGAAAATGTTGCTGAAACCAAGTCATTTAAGGAGCAGATAAGCTTAGCAATTGAGTTGGCGAATTCATTGAAACAGGCAAGGGATGGATGTGATACTCAAATGATTTCTTGTGATGAAGTACCAATGGATGCTGAAAATGAATTAGGAGGCTGTGGTGGATCGAGAGAGCTGTCTGACGAGTTATGTAGACACCCTATTGATCCACGTGACTTTGATGATGATTCAGATGGAGTACATCAAACTGAAGAAATGGAAGCTGAGAGTGGTTTTGGTCCAGAAGTAATAATGTTTGATGTTGCTGGTATCCAGAACAATGAGCAACAGATTCCAAGGACCGCAGATCCTAGATTTTATTCTCTTGCTTCTGTGCCTCAGCAGTTTTCTATCCTTTGTAATAACTCAGCGAATGTACTTGAGCCTGGAGGTTCTTGCAGTGTACAAGTTGCAGCTGGAGCTCCAGACATTACTCTCAGCAGTTCCTCCAAAGTAGCAGCTATTGTTTCAACTGCTGAAGCTGAAGACAAGGAAGATAAAGACTTACAGCCCAGTCGCAAGGTAACTTTTCAGTAAATTGTTTGTTGTTGATTTTATGCAGTGGTAAATGTCTTCTCAGACCTCATGATTACTCATTAGTTATGTGTACATTTCTTTCATTCCTTACCTTTTAGCGGGCATTGTTCTCCAAAAGTCATCGAAATCATAGATGTGCTTTTGGAGACATAGACTTCAGGTGGTTGTTTATTAGTTAGATCATTTGTTTTCCTATTGCAAGTAAAGTTATTTTTCGTCTGCTAGTTAATGAATTGATTTAAACTGTAGAACTTAGCTAATAACTATAAATTGACTATTGCAGCAACAAAGTGTAAGCAGGCGCTGCTTGACCTTTGACATGGGAGGGTCTCACAAAAGGATACCTTTGCGTGATTCTACAAATGATCTTCCTCTTGATTCTACCTCTATCAACAAACCTCCTAGTCCACGAAAGTGTTTAGACACCTGTAAACATGATACTGATGAGATTCTACCCATACCACGAACAATTGGCCTGCACTTGAATGGTTTCGTGAACCCCTCAGTCTCAAGTGGCCGAAAAAAAAACAAAATCAAAGATGGTCGGGTTTTTCCTCCTACAACATTTCATCATAATAATGAAGATGAATTCTCAACTCCTGTCTCCACAAAAAGAGATTTGGTATTCAGTGATGTCAAAATCATGGAGGCTCCTGAGAGATCAATGGAAGGAGAATGTATTGACCAACACATGGCGATAGAGAACAGGTGAGAAAATACTCCGATGTTCCTAATCTTATTCCAGCCATCAGGTATATAGCTATGGATACTAAACTTATACTTGAAATACTGATTAATGCAGGCAATTGGCTCAAGGACTTGACAAACTTGGCAGCTGTAAGCGCTGTAAATGTAAGAAATCACAATGCTTGAAGCTGTAAGTTCTTTCCTTACCATTATTCCCTGGACACAATTTTCAGATGCTAAAAACTTCTGTTTTCTTGTTATTATTTTCTTTAAATGATAATATTAGGTTTTATACCTACTTTTCTAGATGCTATTAAGAGTCGCTGTCATTGGATACTCTACTTTCTTGCGAATTAGATGATGTATGAAGTCTGTTGCAGATGTTGTTCTGTCTCGCTGAAAGTGCAGCATTGTCAGCTTTTGTGTTCCAGAACTCTTTTTTTTTTCCAAAAGTTCATATCTTTTTCTTGTCCAAAATGCTCATACCTTTTTTGCGACCCAGCTTGAGTTGTTAAATACACTGAATTTCAGGTTATGCAGAACATAGACACCCACTCGTCGTTAACTACCTATTCATATCTTTTGCTGTACAGGTATTGTGAATGTTTTGCTGCTGGTCTATACTGTGTTGAACCTTGTTCATGTCAAAATTGTTTCAATAAGCCCATTCATGAAGACCTGGTTATGAAAAGTCGTGAAGTGATTGAAGCTCGCAACCCATTAGCTTTTGCTCCAAAAGTGGTCTCCACTTCTGATACTGCTATAGATTTATGGGTAAGAGATATCATGAGATCAATAGTGAGCTCAAATACATAACAAAGAAGAAAATAGACTCTACTGACTTGTCTTGATTTGCTGATTAATGTATGGCTGCAACTAGATAGTACTGAGATTTTATTTTTGTATCTCATGTTTATATTACATCTGTAGGTCGAGAACAGCAAGACTCCTGCTTCAGCAAGACACACAAGAGGATGCAACTGCAGGAAATCCAACTGCTTAAAGAAATATTGTGAATGCAATTTGGTAACTTCGGTTTTACTTATCCATCTTTGTTCACACTTAAATTTTGAATAATTGTCATTCTTCTGAACCATTGGATGTTTCAATGACTTTATCAAGATGGGCGTTCGATGCTCCTCGAGCTGTAGATGCATAGGATGCAAGAATGTTTTTGGTCACACAGATGGTAAGCTTTCAATATCTATTGTCTTTACATTCTAGTACAGAATCAGATTCATCTAAGATTGTTTACATTATTTTCAGAGAAATGTGCGGGAGAATCTGATGCAGTAACAAACAATGATGAAGCTAAACATTGTGGTGATTCAAGGTATCATTAGTAATCTACGTTGCAATGTCCAAATCTCAAAGTAACAGTGAATAGTGATCTCTAAACACTAACATTCCCGGGTTCTCTTTCTCAGGCAAAACGAAGAAACCTCAAACAGTGAGAGAAGGAACCGCTTGTTGCTCCCAGGTTCTGTAGCATTCCGTTCCTTAACATCACTGTCTGAACTTTGAGACTGACTACTCAGAAGCACCATCTGAAGAACCAGGAGAATCCTGTTATGTTATCACCAACGACTCAATCAATCAAAACCACTGTGTCTGGTACAGTTGCTCTATTGGGTTTTGTTTGATCTATCTTTATCTCACTTTGATCTGTTATTTCCAAGTAAGTCTAGTTTTGGTGTGTATATATTACAAATATATGTATTGGAAGATTTTTGCTTAGGATGTGAATGTGTGTTATCTGTTTTGCTCTGCTAATCTAGAATTCTGTAGTGTTTGTTTTTCACTGAAGAAAGTTTTGTAATGGTGTTGTCTGTCTCCTTCCTCTGCTCCTATTTTGTTCTCTCTTGTAGCTAATTCATTCTTTCAAACAAACCACCACAAATCAGATTCATTATATTCTCCATACGTAGTATGTATATCCTAAAAATAAATAAATTCATATACATTTTCGAAAATTGAAGAATTAGTTGCTTTGGCATGAAATTTGTCGTTCAAACTGTGTTAAATGTTTTTTAAGTGTCCATAACATTATCACTGAGCTTGTATAATCACAAAAGTTTATAATGTTCATTCGATGGAAAAAAATGGGAAAAGTTCGTATAGTAACACGACTAAATCAACTAAAGTTTGGGGATGCAAATAGTCTTATGGAGGAACTCAAATTCAGAGAAAAAGGTGTTCCATAAATTATCAAAAACTCGCAAGTTTACACTGAGAAAAGTCATCAATACAGCAAAAATTAAACTGAGGGAACAAAAGAGAGTGTGAAACGACAAGCATTAAAAAGCTAAAGTTTATGAGAAAAAAAGAGATCTCTCAATTTTAACATTTTATCAAAAACCATTCTTAAGCTCCGATGATTTCAGTAGGTTCCTCAACGGCCATCTCATCAGCTGGCCTCTCTACCTTAACACCAACATCTTCTGCTGAATAATCTCCATGAACCTACACCAATTAAACACAAGCATTCAATTTATATATATCCTTGATAAACAAATGTAAGTGTTCATCTTCTTCACTCACATCCATGAGCTTGCCAAGGTCGAATTTGGGTGCCTTGAGGATCTTGACTTTACGGATGAAAACGTTCTGAAGAGGGTAGATGCCCTGAGTTGCCTTCTCAATCTCCCGGCCAATAGCTTCAGGAATGAACTTAGCAACAAGATCCTTAAGGTCACATGAGGAAGCTTCCTTAATCATGATATCCCTCATCTTCCTGCGAATCTGAGGAATTCACAACAAATACTGTGAATTTCAGACTCAAATTAGGGAGAAATCAAGCAAGGGAAGATTAAGAATTATTGACAAAAGGAACCATCTAAGCTCAATAGATATGAGAGATCAAAGATTACAAAAGTAGGATTCAATAAAGAGAGCTGACAGCATTTAAGATTCCAAGCTTAGAGAAAGAGAGAGCAACAGATTTTGATAATATGTGGATGAAGTTTCTGTAGTCAGGCCAAACTAGTTTTGAAGAGGAATGTGTGGATACCTGACGGATTTGGCTGGATTGAGCGTAGCAAGTCCTCTTGACCTGGTTAGCACGTCTCTTGGTGAAGGCAATGCAGAATAGCCTGAGAGTGTAGTTGTCAGTGGTTTTGACATCAACATGAGCCTCAATCAAAGTCTGCCACTTTTTAACCAATGACCTAAGTTTGTCAGTTGTGAAGTCCATGCCCTACAGATGAAAACATAAGAGAGTGTCAACATACAATCAAAGCATAGGAGGAAAAACCAAATTTACTAATAGAAATCAATGTTTTCTTACCCAGAATTGGCACAAAACGTTCCTGCCCTGGACATCTTCAGCTCTGAGACGGATCTTCCTGTAAGCGTTATCTTCATCACCTTGAAGATCAGCTAGAGAGACCTCAAAAACTCTGTGTTTCAAACCTTCAGAGGCAATCTGGGAGATTTAGAAAAGACCAAAGTTAGATACAAGAATTATCAATCAACCACAACAACATTGAACACTCTCACATGCAGTAGTAACGTAATAACATAAGATATACAATCAATCTAACAACCATAAAGCATTGCACTAGGTTACTCAAATCAGCTTAATCCTAGGTCGAATCTAAACAGCTAAGTCATTTGAGGATATTGTAAAAAGAGAGAGAGAGAGACAGAAACATTACTTTGGTACCCTGAGTTCTGGAAACAAGTGTCTTTCCAACATTCCTGTTGGTGAAGTTCGAAGGAGCCTTGACATCATACCAGTCCTTCTTGGAGAAAGGATCAACACTGCATCATTTGTTGATTCAAAAAATGATAAGATTCAACATCGAGAGTGTACTAATAATACATACACATTGTTAAGAAGAAGAAGATTCAGAAAACTTACGCCTTCTTCTTTCCTCCCTTCCTACCCTTAGAGATTCTCTTGTTTTTCCTACAGTACAACACAAAGATCAGTGACAAATACTTTAGTGATACGAATCAGATAGAAGAAACGAGAGGAAATTCTGGGAGAGAAAAAGTACCCGACGGCCATGGCTGAGGAAAATAGGTCGACGACGAACACAGAAGAATCAACAACAACAAGATTTAACCTAAAATGCTTCTACGGCGCCTCTTCAATATAAAGTCTTCTTCTAGGGTTTGAGTGATAACACAGTTTTGGGCTTTTAAACTGACCCAATAATGAAGTTCTCGATTATTATTAATGGGCTAAACCCTAAGATGTTTACTTACACAGAATGGCCCACTCGAGTGTTCAATACTAATTTGTTTTGTTCTTAGTTTTTTTCTTTTTACTCGACCTCTAGCTCTAGATGAACACTTTCAAAACCAAAATTTACCGTTCATGAATTTAGGAAAATGATCAAGTATAAGTTGTATATCATAGATAGTTGTAAAATATATAGTTATTATTTAATTTCTAGACTATTTACATGATTATTAAAATCTCCGTTTTATTTTGTCTCGTTTGGACTGAGTCATCGATTAAATCACCTTAGTCAACCGTATCAGTGATTCAATATATATAGCCAAGAGCGAATATGAATAAAATTATAAGCGTAAAAGAAAAGGAGTGAACAAAAGTCTGACTGTAAAAAGCTTTAAACCATTACCAAAACACCAAAAAATTCTTTGGACTCTTGTGCTTTGATCTAAGAGATTTTCAAGTTTCTCAAGGCAGAAGTGAGGAGGTTGAGCTTAGCCGGAGCTTTTTGCTTGTACTCTCTCTCCAATGCAGTTGCAGCCAGAGACTGAAGCTCTGGTGCAGCCATGTCCTTGTCCTCTTTGTTCCTTCCTTTTGACAGCTGTGCGATCGCTGATCCACACTGATTTCAGAAACACGTAGCGGTCATTATGCAAACCAAATATGTATCGGTCATTTTTTCACTTGCAATTCGAAGTAGATTTAACTGGTGTGAGGAAGAAATGAGTCTTACCAAGCATATTCCGAGAAGTGCTCTTGTGCTTTTACCACCTGTCAAGTCTATAGTTGCTGCATAGTACTTTCTTGCTGCGATGAGGTTTTCTAGTCCACCCATTGTGTAGAGAACCTGATTTTGAGGATTGCACGCATAATGAAAATTACACAATCATACATGATCAAAGCTGAAGTTCAGAGTTTCGAACAATAAAAAAACTTTCACACTCTTGGATTCTCAGTTTTGCCTTTCCAGAAAATAGTTCACTCTTCTATTGCTACTTCATGAATGGACATATGAATGACAATTAACTTCCAGTGTAAGATATAAGGAACAACTAATTGATTATTGGATGCAATCTAAATACACAATGCCTTCAACAGTCCAAGACATTTTGATGCTTTTTGGTGATGGCCACAAATGTAAAGACAAAGAACAATTTGACTTTTTTTTTTTAACAAAGAAATAAAAGAAGGGACTTACATCGGCATATGCTAAGTGGTACAATGGAAGAGTAGGCTGAGTTAGTATGAGCTCCTCGTAGCAGAAAGCTGCTTGCTTGTACCTGTTACAGATTATCAATTTAATTGGGTTAGAAGAGATAACCCCAGAAATGGAAAACGATTGTTAGTTGTTGCGTAGTCAATTGTTTATCAAAAAGAATTGAGGACAGAGGATAGAGAGGCGCACATTTGCAAGGAAACATAAATTTCTGCAAGTTCTCTCCAGGCATCATGATCAGCCATGAATCTACATAAGAAAGAAGAGCAGATAAAGGTGATTAGCTGTGGTTTCTTCTGAAGTACTTCTATTAGTTCAGCTTGGGGTTAGTAAGTACTCACACTTCAAGATATTTGTTCAGATGTTCAATGGCTAAGGAAGGTTTGCCCTGTGCCTTGGCCATAGCCACCTTTCTTTTGTGTATTACCTAGACATCGAGTTTTACTTACAACACTTAATATTTGGAAACAGCTTGAGGGTTGTTTCATGAAGAAAAAATGCGGAAGCTTACTTGATCAAGTGGATTATCCTCCAACAGGCTCGAATATGCTTTTTCAGCCTCTTCCCACATTCCCTTTGCTTCTAGCAGCAAAGCCTCCAGCTTGCCTGAAATATATTACCAAGATGCAGCTCAGATTGGTATCAAGGTAAACTAAGAAACTAGGTGCCTGCAGAGCCCAACTTTCAGTATAACTAGAAAACATCTGAGCATAGATATGAACACCTAGAAGACCCAAAAATGGCAAAGTAGACAAAAACTTGTGAGTAAGGACATGTGAATAGACAAAACTTACACATGTACACCATGTGAATTCAGCATGACTTAGCTGGTATACTATAAACTTGATAATTTGTTCTTACTTTCAGAAGGAAATGCGATAAAAAGTATAAAGAAAATGGTAAGGATGAGGAGTTAACATTTCTTGTTCCTGACCTAGTTATCAATTCGTAGGTGGTTTATCCTAGAAGCCTAGAGACTGGATGCGAGTAAATTATGAAGTCCAACAAGAGTGAAGAACTGCTCAGTTTTTCAAGGGTATGTTGACTTACCAACACGTTTGCTCTCTGGAAATTTCTTCTGCAAAGCCTTGATGCAATTCTGAAAAAAGACAAAGTTTATCCAAATTGTCTTGAGGAGGCTTGAAAAGTGTGGATGAGAGAATGTTTATTTGGAACGCAAAAGCAAAACCCAAGTTTGAATTATGTTTTTTAATCCTTCATTTTCAGAAAACAACTCACATCACAATGCATCCATGATATCCATTAATGCAAGAATACTTTGGAAAAGAGGCTTAAACCTAAGAAATAGCATTCACATACATCCCTAGATAACTGATGCAAGTTTTCAACAAAACATTATCTTAAAATAGGATCATGTAGTTTTCAAGGTACCAACTAAAAGCGTAACGGAAATTCACCTGTGCAACACCAAGAGATTGACAGTCCATAGCTGCGATCGCTACCTGCTCATACAGGGTCCATTCTGCAGAAATATAGGAAGACGCTTTGCCCTTTAGTTTTTATAAAACGAACATAATGTGCAAGCAGCTCTTTTATTGAGTTTCTACAATTACCTAAGACAAGAACAACAACAAATTGAACCAGATTGGCAGAGATATTACATGTAGAAAACAAAACAAAAAGAAATCCATCTAAACGAGTTCACCTGAAACAAAAGTTTTGCTTAATTCTGACCCTTTATCAGCTAAACATATGTTTAATTTCACAAGTAGGAATGAAACAGTGAACAAATCAATCTAAGAATACCAGATATAGCATTGAGCAGATAAAAGGTAGATCAATTATCACTAGACAATGGAAGCAGAAGCACAAAACCCGCTAAATTCAAATCCAAATAATGAAACGCAACAATATCATATCGAATTTCAAAGAATTTTGTTGATTCAGGAAATCAACAAACACACTCTATCTTCAACGAGAAGCACATCTACAAACTATCAAAACCAAGGAACTCAGAATCAACAAACCATCTGGACCAAGAGCAGATCGCTTTCCCGAATCGTTCAAGATCGAGAGACCGTGCTTGAGCACAATCTCTGATCGGCGAACCTTGAGCTTACGAACGAGGCACAGATACTCCCAAACACCTCCTCCTCCATTCTCAACTTGATTCTCGAGTTGGTTCAACTGTGTTTCCTCCGTCTTCGTCACCATCTCTCTCTCTCCGATTTGCTCTGTACCTTCGAAAATTTGTGGATCTGTTAGTTAATGGAAAGTCGCTTTTTACAAAGAAGACATTGACATGAACCGGTCTGGTTTTTATATTCGTACCGATCTGGTTTAAAGCATATTCGAGGGATTGATTAATGACGAACGAAACGCTGCGTTTTGACGAAACATTTGATTCATTGGTATCGATTTGGTTTAGAATATTTATCGGTTTAGTGGGACTGAAATCTCAATAACCGGGTCAGGTCAATGGAGAACCGAAACGGTGCGTTTTACGAAGCATTCGATTTCAATTGTCTTCGGCCTTCCGCTGAAGAAGGCAATGAAATTAAGTAGAACTGTGTTGTCTTCTTTGCCGTCTCTGCTAAAACCCTACTCGAGCTTGAGCTGGACTACTACAATGGCGACGACAGCTAAAACCTTTGAAAGTATGAAAACAGTAGATGAAGCTGACGTGGGCATCTCCTGTTTCATCTCTCAGCTCCCTGGCTTCCGAGGAATCCTCAAACAAAGGTCGTGAGATCAGTTTAAGCTTTTTATGCTTCTTCTTATACACAAACATTCTTGTCCAATACAGCCAGAGATTGAGATTAGGATAAAAATTGAATTTTTATTTTTTGTGTGTATTTGTGTTTCGTAGATACGCAGACTTTATTGTTAATGAAGTGGATATCGATGGTAATGTGGTTCATTTGACATCCTTGGACTTGCCTCCTGAGATGGTTTGTCTCTCACCTCACCTGATGGATCAAGCTACGTGTTTTGTTTCGATTTTATCTTTTAGTTTGTTTGTGCCAATGCGTTGTTGTTTGTTGTTCAGGATGTGAAGGAGGAAGATAAAACGAAAAGTTCTGATAATGTACCTCAAAATTATACTTCTGCAATTGATTCTTTCAGATCAATTTCCAGTGTCACTGATGCAGAGCGTTTGGAAACATTGATCAATCAAGTCACCTCAGGAACTGGTGATGAAATCTCACCAGTTGTTCTTGATCCAAGTTCTGACAAATCCAAGAGAACGGTATAGGTTTGGGTTACTGAGTTACATATCCTGTTATCGACATTATCTTTTCACTTCTTACTAGATTTTCTTTTTCTTATACTACTATCCAGGCTATCCACAACTTTGTTAAAGAGAATTTTAAGTTCCTAGTGACTGACACTGTTGATGGTCCTGATTCTACTTCAAAATGCATCCGTGTGCGAGTGAATTCAGGAGCCCATAACAACAGGGGTAATAGATCAAAAAAACGCAAGGAAAGAGGCGATAAGCCTTTTGATAGCAGAGGTTCAGAGCATTGGCCAGAGCATGTTGGCAAGTTTCTCAGGTAATATCTATAAATCAACTTATACCTGACATTAAATTTACTATGTATTGGAACTAGTAAATTAGTCTATCCTGAAGAATGGATACCTGAACTGGAGGTATTTCTCACTTTAGAGATGTAGATCAGCGTTTTGAAATTACTGATACACTCTTTCAATTTTATACATCAACAAAGATACATCATATTATATACACGTTTGAGTGTATTTTATACATCATAATCTCTGTAGTGCTTCCAATTTATTAATGCATTTGGACGTGCAACATACGTGTCATTTGATTTATGAATGGTTAAGTTTATAGGTTCCATCTTTACAAGGAGAACAAAGATACACAAGAGGCCTTGGGATTGATCGGAAAGATGCTAGGCGTTCAGGTGTTTCCCATCTTCTTCTGTCTATAAAGGGGCTGTTTTATCTCTAGCCAGTGTACTTTTCCTTGATAAGCTGTGTTTGAAATGGTTTTTGAATTTTACAGCCAAAGTCCTTCGGATTCTCTGGAACAAAAGATAAGCGGTCTGTTTCAACTCAGCGTGTAAGTTATCTATACCTGTTTTCTTGGTAAGATGAGTTTAATTGTTACAATTCATAATAAGAGAATTGGGCTTTAGGTAACTGTGTTCAAACAGCAAGCCAGCAAATTGGCTGCGCTTAACAAGAGATTGTTTGGTATCAAAGTTGGTGACTACTGGTAAGCCAACATTATTCTTGAATGTTTTCATTTTGACCTATTTATGTGGTCTTAGAGTTAATGAGGATTGCTACCGCTTTCCAGCCACGTCAAAGAGGGCCTTCTCCTTGGGCAGCTCATGGGAAACAGATTTACCATCACATTAAGGTAAGAATGTAACTGGACATAAAAAGAAACTCTTATGATCTTCTGTCAACTTCCAGATTCTCTTCTTCAAGAAACATATTTGATCAAATTTGGCAGGGAAATGATGCAAAGATTTTCATTTTCATGGAATATCATTATATGTATAAATTCTTATATTTTCAGAGGAGTGGTTGCGGATTCTGAAGAAACTATAAAAAAATCTGCAGAATCCTTGGGGAAAGATGGCTTCATCAACTACTTTGGCTTGCAGGTACTATTCTCTTGTCGAGTTGTGATGATATATATGTTATTTTCTCTTTTTAGTTGCTAATTCGACTTGCTCTTTTGCATTGTGGTATCGAGTAGTGCCTTCCCGAAAAAAGTCACTTGAATCTTATACCCAATATTAATATTTTCTTATGAATTTTGTATTTGTGTGATAGCGTTTTGGAAGTGGTTCAGTACCAACCCACCATGTTGGAGCTGCACTATTGAAGGGAGAGTGGAAAGATGCCGTAGACATGATTCTTGATCCAAGAGAAACTGATATCCTTTAACATGACCTATTTCAGCTACAATTGCTAATCCGTCCTAAAACCATATTGTGGCTCTACGAAAAAAGGAATGCAACAATGCATGGTTTTTCTTGACTTTAAGCTTTTTCTACAAAGGCATGTAGTAAATGATGCCCGGGAATATTACAAAGAAACTGGCGACATTGACGGGACTCTAAGGCAACTACCGCGATACCTCGTTGCTGAAAGAGCCATAGTAAGTATGCAGCTACTCCTGTATTGGTTTCTACCATGAATGGTTACCATGATAATCAGTTTTAATCTTGGGGGTTTTGAAATAGCTGCAGTGTCTGAAGAAATGTCCAGGTAACTACCTGCAGGCTCTGAAAGGCATTCCCAGAACTTTGAGAATGATGTAAGCGCTTGATTCTTTAATATATCTTTAGAACCTTCCGAAACAGTTTACCTTTTGCGACTGGGATATGACATGCCAAGCCACAGGCGCAGATCAAGTTTTTTTAGCTTACTGTATATCTGATCCTTACCATGCAGGTATGTACATAGTTATCAAAGCTACTTATGGAACAATGCAGCAAGTCTGCGTGTCACAAAATATGGTACATCTCTGTTGTTTCTTTATAAATCTTGTGCTATTCTGGATGCTTGTCGATGGAGGTTTTAACTTCCACCCTTTTGTTTTTGTCGTCTTGCAGGGACCAGCCAAGTTGTCTTGGGGGACTTGGTAAGTACAAAGGTAGATGCTGAAAAAAGAATGGTCGACAGTCTTACCTCTGAGCACAACGAAAGCAACGTAGAGGCATTGGATTGTGACCAAGTAGATGATACTGCTGTTGTAGATCTTCCAGCTGAAAGGAGTGACCTTGTTAAGGTTAGTTTTATTTTGAACTTCTTCTTATTAGGCCGTTCATAATTGAAAACATTTGCTGCCGTCATCTTGTGTGAAAATACCTTCAGATTATGTGATCTAATGGAACTTTAGGCATGAAGTTTGATTAATGAGATTTCTGCATTGTCTTTTTTACATATTCATATATGCTTTAACGCATTTACATTCTCATTGTTATTTGTTAATACTAGCATTATTCATGTGTGATATTTTCTTGTGTTTTTCAGGTTGTAAGTATAGAGGATTTGGAAGCTGGAACTTACTTAACCAGTGACATCGTCCTCCCTCTACCTGGGTTAGTTGCTGGAAGAATTTTCCAGTACATGTAGATTTTCACATTTTACTTCTTGAGACCTAAAGACTTTTCTTTGTGCTTCAACAGTTCAAGAGTCATTTACCCGTCTAATGACATTGCGGAAATTTATCATGATTTGGCAAAGAAGGTTTGTTAAAGTCAAGTTCATGTTTGTTCTAGACAAATTAAACTCACTTACTCTCAGTTACTTTCTAAAATTTACATCTCTGCTGATGAATGTATGAATTTCTGCTTACATTATTCAGGATGGTATCAGCCTAACTGAGAGCATTCACGGTGTAAAGTAAGTTCTGATATGCTTTTTTTCTTGTAAATCCTTAGGCTTGTATCACTTTGCATCACCAGAGCATCTGCTCTATTCTACTAAAAACAAGTATTGTTTCAGGGAATTCTCAATAACTAGCATGACTGGTGGTTATAGACGTGTTTTCCAGAAACCAATAGACTTTGAATGGTATGCTATGTGTATAGTTAGTGCTTCCTCCAGTTTTGAGATCAGACATTATATGGAAGTAGAGAGTAGAGACTAATTTTGTGTGTAAATTGCTGCAGGGAATTACTGACTTACACTGACAGCAATAAACCATTGGCAGCGACGGATCTGGACAGGATAACCATGAACAAGCCGGTGGATAAAGTTGGATCTGCTGAGGAAATTGAAGTTGAAACGATGAAATGTGATACTAACCCACATGAATCATGTGAAACCAATTTGAAGGACCAGAAAGATAGCAAAGAGGATGAAAAAGACACTGGAAATCCAGATTCTGAGCAGACACAGATAGCGCTTAAAATGGCACTCACTCTTCCATCTTCTTGTTATGCCACAATGGCAATCAGAGAACTGTTAAAGACGTCAACTTCTGTAAGTACTCAAACAGCTCTATCTCAGAAATTCTTGTGTTTGGTATTTTCAAGGTTACAAATTGAAGTTAAAATAGATTTCTCAACATCAGAATATTAATTGCAGGTTGCATATCACAAGACACTTAACTAGTGATTAACATCCGCTCCTCCTGGCTAGCGCACACTTCGTATAAAGCCAGTTGCTCTTAGATTTTTTGCTGGTTATATTACTCTGTTTCAGACACTTAACTAGTGAATCTATCTTGTCTGCTTTAAACATGTGTACATTCATGTATTTGTGCGGGAAGTTCAGGAAATTTTGTCTGAAATAAGCATCAAAATGGAAGTTCTATTTTGGTAACCAGCCAAGTTTTTTCTTGAATTTCAATGTATCAGACAGATGGTCAGCTACTCATTAAAGATGACAACCTAGGTAGTTAACTTTGATACAATTTTCTTGACATCTGATTGAGAAACTGTTAAAGGTGGAAAATTTTCACGTCACAACAGGTTAGAATTAGAAATCCGTCTCTCAATCTTCCAGCTTATTAGTAGTAGTTTCCTTGAAGCTCTTGGACAACCAAATCGCTGTTTCTCTGGGTGAGACTTTGCCTGGACCAAAGGGTCTCAATAAAACATTGAGCTCATCGTACCTCTCATCTTGAAGCAACCTTGCACTGAATTCAAGCAATCCCTCCAGTGCCTCAGCCCGTTGCTGGTAAGAGCTAGGATCAAATCTTTGTCTCCTTACACCCGACGAAGCTCTGCTTGATGCTCCAGCTGTCGCATTCTGATCAGATGATTCACTCCTATCTTCCAGATATGCATCTTCATACACCGCCTTCATAATCGCTCCTTCTCTGTTTTGGCCTGGTTCAAGAGTAAATTTGTCTTTTGTGATTGAGCAGTCTAGTGGTGGCTCTGGAGGTGGACTGTAGGAACCTCTAGACGATGCTTTCTTCTTCTTACCACGCACAACCGGAACAAAAGGCTCTTCCTCGTATGACGCTAGCGGAAACTCAATCTTGTCAATTCTTGGTGCGTTCATTGACACATCAGGAGAATTTATCTGGCGGAGAAAACTGGTTTTCGAAATGTACAGAGAGTCTTTGATTTCTTTTGCAGGTTTTCTTGAGCTAGGCATGGAGGCTCTACGAATCAAAGCAGCTGGTTTTCGGTTTTTAAGCTGTGATGAAACAGGAAGCTGCAACATATAGGAACCACCATTCTTTTATTCTGACAAAATAATCAGTAAAACCAGTAAAGAAGAGCATTTTAAATGCATCACTTACTTGACCAAGGTCACTCCTAGGCTGTCTCGGTCTCACAGGTGAGGCCGAAGCTCTCACTGGAACATACCTAGAACTCTTAGAAGCCTCTAAATTTCTACGAACAACCGTTCCATCACCGCTTTCATCTGTAGACAAGTCCACTTGCCTTTCACGATTCAGAAATGCGGGCACAGGTTTTTTTATGGAAGAAACAGAATCTTCCTGGTTACCCCTAAACCTGCTTGGGCCAAAGCTATGGCTTTTGCCAGCAGGACGCCTTCTCTGCTCTGGAAAGCTGTTTCTCCTGGCAGATTCAGATTCTGGCCATTGCGCAGGCAATACATTACTTCCTGGATCATTCACCTTCAAATGAATCTTCTGGATATAAGGTTGAAGCAGCGGTTGTCTAAGAAGTTCAGCAGCCTACGCAGAAGAAGAGAGATGAAGTTTACTTGTCAAGTTTGTTCAGTATCAGGTTGTGACCATAAACAAAGGACAGATGATATGACGTACACTTGGTCTAAGTTCTGGATTTTTCCGGAGCATACTTTTGACCAGACCTCGGCTGAAGGAAGCAGCACGCAAACTCAGTAAATTCTGATAGATCTCACATTTAGACAAACAAGATCCTATAGACTTACAAGGCAGCAGAATATTGCGCCGGAAGTGGGGGAACGATTGATCTGTTAATCCTGTTTATTAGCCCTTGCATGTCCTGCAACCATTTGAGACGCCAAGAACCATTATAAACATCTGATGAACAGTACCAAGAGGAACGTAAATATAGGTGTAAGAGCTTACAAAAGCTTTGAAAGCAGGTTTCATAGCTGTCATCTCATACATACAACATCCTGAAGAAAAGAAGATAAAGATTCAGATGAATATATTATTTTGTTATCTACAGCTAAAGTTTAAGAATCTATCTTAGCCATAGATGAGAAACTTGCCAAGCGACCAAATATCAGACTTAGACCCATAGGGTATATCGGCTAGTAGCTCGGGGCACATGTAACTTGGTGTTCCAACCACCTGGTTTTTAAGAAGGGTAAAGATCAAACCTGAGTTCGGAACAAAATCCTATGTAAAGGATTGAAGGAAACTATACTTACTGAAGACGCGAGGTCATCTGATGTTAAGACTTTGGCAAGTCCAAAATCGCCTGCGGAGATCATAGAGCCGATTTGTTACATTTTAGTCAGTGTTGTGTTAGTCTGACTAGGAAAATGATATAATGTGGAAATTTGTTTAGCATCTCACCAAGGCGTATATCCTGATCCTTTGTCAAGAATATGTTCGAACACTGGAAGGATAAAAATAGGTTAGATTGTATCAGTATGGAGATTTTTCAATAAATTGTATTAGTCTCCTGAGATTATAACCAACCTTGACATCGCGATGGAGAATGTGATTGGCATGCAAGTATTCAAGAGCCAATAAGAGCTGAACAAGCCATTTGCAGAGTTTCTGATAACACATATTTTTTTTGGAGAGATTCAGAATTTGGAGTATCAATGGCCAAAATTTATCAAACAAGTCTCGCACAAACCTCTTCAGTGAAGTGTACGCCATTGGTTTTCTTTATCGCTTCCGCCCTGTAATGCAAAAGAAACACAAAACCTCAGAAAGTGTATCAGAGAGCCTTTTTTTTCTCTAGTCAACCAGGCGAAAACTGCTGAAAAGGAATAAGCTTACATGTCTCCTCCTTTGCAATAGCCTATGATAATGCACACATAGCATCCCTGATAGCACACATCCATATAGACAATAAAGCTGGTTATATTTTCAAATACTTTGTTCACGGTAAGAAAAGATATGTATAGATGATAATACCTTTTCAACCCAAGAATCTTTATATTCCACGATGAATGGATTATGTATCTTTGAAATCAACTCCATCTACAAGGAGATAACAGGATATTGTTAGTCTACAGAAGTGAAGTCAACATCTATAGCTCAAGAATACCGTATGATCGATAACAGTATTACCAAAAAGAGAATTCAACATTAATCAACAAAGTAACATCAAGGGCCACTGTCTACACTAAAATCTTTCCAAGAGTTAAAAATTACATGATCCATGTCTAATATTTGCACACGAATTGGCCTCACGAAAGCGTAAATGTATGTGAATGATACAGAACACAGAAAAAAATTCAAGCAACCTCTTGATGAGCAGATCTTCTAGTCCTACCAGTCTGCCGAGCAAGCCGGATTTTCTTCAAAACATACCTTTAGAAAGCAAACACAGAAGAGCAGAAAATTCAAATTCTCAGAAACCATCTATATTCACACAATCCTGTTTTAAAGTTAAGTACTTACAGTTTCTTCTCATGTTTATGTCTCACAAGAAGAGCTGACCCAAAGGAACCTTTTCCAATTTGCTCAAGAACCTCGTAATTCTCCATTGACAAACTCTAAAATTCACCTCCTTGTCTTAATTTCGTCTATAGAATCTGAAGCCAAATGAAGATACAAGACACATTGTAAGATCAATTTATCCTTAATAACCATTGTTCTTATAAGTAATACAAACCGTACCTTTCTGGAGATTATAACTAAAATATCAAATAGAATGAGCAAAAGTAGTCAATAAAACGGAAAAAGTTGATCTTTTGAGGATATTCAAAATTTAAAGTCGTAAAAATCGAATCTTTCGTCATAAAACATGCAAGATTTAAGTTTTATTTGTGTCCGATGTTGGCAAAGATGAAACTTTCTCTGAGATTATCTGGAAGAATTTACAGATTATTTTCCTCGCATTCACAGAAATTAACAACCCATCACAAATTGAGACAGTCGATAACACAACAGAGAAACAACATTATTTGCTAAATAAACAAGAAACCGTTACTTGGGTTCGAAACTTAAAACAAGAAAAGAGAGAACAAACCTAAAACGACGTCGTTGCGAGATTCAAATCGGCAGATTTAAAAGACGAAAACGAAGAAGAGGAAGAAGAAGTTGAGAGAGAAAACAGTTTCTGCATTTCCTAAAGGAAACTACAAAACGGCATCGTTTCCGGAGAAGCAGCACCGGTAGTGAAGAAGAGGCATTGGAAGAAAACAAAGAAGAAGATGAAGAAACTGGTTCGCCATGAGACCTGCTCTCTCTCTCTCTCAGAGGAAAACGACAGATTTTGCTCTCGATGGAAAATAAGACTTTGTAATTTCCTTATTATATAAAAATTCAGACAACAATATTCTTTATTATTTATTTAATGTTATGCAAATTTAATATCTGATTCACCCTTTTGTCTGAATGATGTGACTTTACTTTATTTTTATTTTTATATTTTTTTGAAGTTTTTAACAGAAAAAAGCATAAAATGACAAGTTCTTCTTGGGATAATATATATTATTTTTTGTAGTTCGTGCATTACGAATAATTAATACTATTTGAGCAATTATTGATTAGGTCGCGTTACCAAAAAAATTATTTAAATGTTATTGAATTCTTTTGCTATATAAACTAATTTTAGCTTTTGAGTATCACACAATACGTTGGATTGTTTTGTTTGTCTTGAAAATAAAAAAAAATTATCGTCGAGCCTTGAAGTCTTCTTTAAACTAATATGCAATTTGTATTCCTTGTTTCTCTTGGCTTGCTTTGAAAAATAAAAATTGTTGCTTCTATGAACAACTTTTTGAATGAATATTGGTTAAATGTATCGGCAAAAACAACAAAAAATGAAGTAATATAATAGTTTGATGATTTGATCCACTCATTTTACATCAAACAAGGTAAGCATTGTGATTAAAATATAAAAATTATGAATTTTCTAAACTGTCCTTCTCATGGACAAATAATTCTTCGGCAGTGTCAATCTCACGGTTTAAGTCTAATCGATTTAAATAATTGTGGAAAAGAACAATACTTATCCATCTAATCCACTCATGTGTTATGTCATTTCTTTGAAATTAGGTATGTATTTACAGGCATGTAGTTATGTGTATATCGTTGTCCGAGATTTTTTAATTGTATACATTGATTCTCCATTTACAATTCAGTTTAGTTCAACTAAATGGCTCTGAATTGTATATTAGATAGTTAATATGCACACAAATATGTATAAACATTACTCGATACATTAACATATAACATAGTGGAACCCAACAACATTTTGAAAGATTTTTGTCTCTCAAGCTCATTGGCCGAGAAAAATGATTAATTACAAATGTAATATATAAAATCGTTAGACGAATATTTCTAATTGATTTTTTTTATTCATGTTTATAATTTTCGTTGTAGTTTTTGTAAGTTTTTTCGTCTTACTTCACACCCACTTATACAATTGCCTTGTTCATGAAACTATTTATTAGACCTTTAGTAGTTTAGGGCAAAGGCAAACCGCGTGAGCATATTAAATTATAATAACCACGTCAACGTGAAATCTATTTTTCTTTCTATAAAGGCTACCAAATTATACAGAGATGTTCAAATCCAGTATTTTGGTTTTATGTACCTTAGAAATGTGCAATCATATTGCAGGGATGTTCATTGTTCAGTCCAATCAACTTCTGGCTGTATCCTCGTCTTGTTTCTTCACCGTGGTTGTATTATAGAATATATATGCATTGGAAATTTTGAAAATACAAACTTAAGAACATGATAAAAGTACTTTTTAGTCGAAATGACTATACATACATTCACTCAAGTATTTTAGTCGAAATAACTCTTTAATCTGGTAATAACTAATACTCCCTCCGTATTTTAATAATTGTCGTTTTAGGATTTTATTTTTTTAAAAATTAGATGTCGTTTTCAAATTTCAATGCAAAATTTCTTACTTTTTAATGTTTTATGATGTCATAAAACATTAAAAAGTAATAAATTTTGCATAGAAATTTGAAAACGACATCCAATTCAAAAAAATAAAAATTCTAAAACGACAATTATTAAAATACGGAGGGAGTAATAAGATAAAAAGGAATCACAAACCAAAAGGCCCAAGATAAAATCTTAAAAGCCCAAACGTTTCTCTAACCTCGTAATCTAGTTCGCGTAAGATAAAGAGGGTCCATAAACCAAAAGGCCCACTATTAAAGTCTTAAAGCCCAAACGTTTAGGAAAATAAGATACACCAAAATTCTCGGATTGTCCCCAAAGTTATTTCCTTTTTCTGCTTTTGACTTAAAAGTTATAAACCTCACGATTCATCCCTTAAACCCTAAGCCTAAACAAGAAACGCAAAAGCCCTGACAATGGCGGATCCGACGAACCCTAGCACCGGCGATCAACAACACCAGAAGTACCGTCAGTACAATCCCTACCAACAAGTCAATCTTCCGTACCGTCAGCTCTACGAACTCCCAACTTCGCCGGAGTTTCTCTTCGAAGAAGAAGCTACGAAAAAACGCTTAACATGGGGAGAGAACCTCACCTTCTTTACCGGTTGGGGTTATGTCACTGGATCGGTTCTTGGAGCCGTCAAGGGTACAATTAACGGGATCGGAGCCGCCGAACGAGGTGAATCCCTAAAGATCCGAACTAATCGGATTTTGAACTCCGGTGGACACGTTGCAAGACGCAGCGGGAATTGCTTAGGATCTATAGGGTTGATGTTCGCAGCTATGGAGAGTGGTGTTACGTATCTGAGAGACGGAGACGACGGTTCGTTGACAACTGTCATCGCTGGTTTAGCCACTGGTGTGCTTTACAGAGCTGCTTCTGGACCTAGATCCGCTGTGGTTGCCGGAGCTGTCGGAGGAGTTACTGCTTTGGCTGCTGTTGCTGGGAGACGCATCGTCAAACGATTCGTTCCAATCTGATGAGTATTTCTCAATTTCTCAAGGTTAGGGTTTAAGAATTAGTTTAAAGGAGAGGCCTTTAGTGACTGAATGAATCATTGGTACTGGAATTAGGGTTTATGAATTTCCTTCCACTGTATAAAAAGTTGACATTTTTATTGATCTGATTCAACTTTTGCTGATGTTGTCGATTTCACGAAATTGAAATGATCTCACATAAACTCAATTGGTAATTTTACAAAGGAGAAAATTTGTCAATCAAATGTAGAAGAAGAAGAAGAAGAAGAAAGATTGAATTTTGAACCTCACTTGTTCATAACTTCAACACCATTCTTTCCGGCGATAATCACAGAAGTAGCCATTCCTAGAAACAGACCATGCTCCACCACTCCTTGAAACTTGCCGATCTCTTTCGCCGCCGCGAATCCATCCTTCAAAGGATTCTTAAAATACAAATCAATAATGTAATTACTGTTATCAGTCACATAAGGCTTGCCATCTCCATCAACTCTAAGCTTAGCATCACATCCAAATTCCTTAAACAGATCTTGCAATCTAATCAAATTAAAGTTCCAGCAGAATTGAACAACTTCCACCGGCATAGCTAATCCACTTCCACCGAGTCCTGTAACGAGTTTGGTATCATCAGCCACAACAATAAACTTCTCAGCCACAGCTTCCACCATTTTCTCACGGAGAAGAGCACCTCCACGACCTTTGACTAAATCAAGATTCGGATCTACCTCGTCTGCTCCGTCAATAGCGAGATCGATTCTCGGATGCGTGTCTAACCCAACAAGAGGAATCCCTAACGATCGTGCTTGTTCCTCCGTTCGTTTCGATGTTGGGATACCAACAATATCGTAGAGTTCACCGGAAGAGAGTAGTTTCCCGATCTGATCAACGGCGAATGCTGCGGTGGATCCGGTTCCGAGACCTAGAACCATTCCAGGTTTAATTGCCTCTACAGCTTTCTCCGCCGCGAGCTTCTTCAAATCGTCTTGTGAAAGCGCGACGGATTGAGCCTTGACGGAGAATGAAACGGAGGTTCTAGGAGAAGAGCCAGTGCTGCGTAGGGAAATAGAAGGAGTGCGTAGCGTAAGGTGGGAAGAGGAAACGAAGGATAAGGAAGCCATTGGAGAGAGGATTGAGAATGATTGGAGAAGAAATAAAATTGAAAGGTATGGTTTTTGACTTTTGAGTGGAAGAGGAAGGTTTAGTGGCAAGTTATAGAGGTTTGAGGGTATTATTGGAATACTAGTTTTAAGGTTGTTGTATTTGGGTTGGTGAAGATGATAACCTGCTAAACCATTCAGAGTGTTTAATATACGACGTCGTTTTTGTTTCTTTGAGAAATTGAGAACAGAGTTATTATATAAAACCTTTTTTGTTTGGTTTCGTGGAGAGTCTAATTATTTTCTTCCACTTTCTCGATCTTTGAGATTTCTTTCAAAGGAAGAAAAAAAAAAACTCACGATGTCCGCCGAATCAGCTAGCCAAATTCCTAAGGGACAGGTGAGTTAACGAAGATTTATAGATTTTGATGGTTTTCTTCAATGAGGAATTCAATTCTTGGGTGGGAAGATTATCTAGGGTTCTTATCTGTGGTTCGAATCTTGGGTCGAAGTTTTTTGATGTATTTAGTTAATCGATTCTATCTAAGTTTTGGTTGTTGTGTTTGATTTTCAGGTTGATCTACTAGATTTTATTGACTGGTCTGGTGTTGAATGCCTTAACCAAAGCTCAAGTCACTCTTTGCCCAATGCTCTCAAGCAGGTTAGTTATTCTCTTATGTTCCTAGTTTAATGTAGTTGGTATGTCTGTACACAAGTTTGTGTTTGTGGTAAGTTCTTGAATCTGCTTATGTTCATATCTACAGATACTTGTTTGCTATGACTTGTCTATGTATAAATTGTTATATGATTTTATGAGATTAGATATAGATGATTGACTACAAACTTAGGTTTTCGTGGAGTAATATTGCGTGCCAGCCTCCAATTTGTTTTTTTTTGAAAATAGTATATCCTTGAGTTCTTTTTTTTCCTTGATACAAATTGTGGATTTTGAATTCATGGTTACCTGTTTCTGTTGGTATTTTATGACCTGAGAGTGATTTACTTGGTCGTGTAGGGTTATAGAGAAGATGAAGGTTTAAACTTAGAGAGTGATGCTGATGAACAACTTCTGATCTATATTCCTTTTAACCAAGTTATCAAACTACATTCCTTTGCTATCAAAGGCCCTGAAGAGGAAGGTATATTGATGTTTTATATTGAAAGATAAGCATATAGGTGTTTGTGATTTTAGTCTTGCCTACAAGAATTACTTCTTGTTGCTGAACTGGAGATAGATTTAGATATGTGGGGATGTTACTTGTTAGTCGAAGAGATTTAACTTTGTTTGATTCTAACTTTTCTACAGGTCCTAAAACTGTAAAGTTTTTCTCAAACAAAGAGCACATGTGCTTCAGGTAATGTGAATCATTTCTAATGTCTATCTAACAATAAGATTTATCTCGAGAAAAGCTCGGACTCTCATCGGGTCTATTAAATAATGCAGCAATGTCAATGATTTTCCTCCAAGCGACACCGCTGAACTAACTGAAGAAAACCTTAAGGTACGACATATCTGAATCTAACTTTATTCATTTTGTGACATAATCTGGTGATCTATCTGTATTGAGACCTCTGTTCAAATCCATTTACAGGGAAAACCGGTGGTCCTTAAATACGTTAAGTTTCAGAATGTTCGTAGGTAAGGATTTACCATGTTTATAGTGTAATATTTCTAAGCGAAATCACAGCTCGCTCTAACCATATCTATTTTAATTCAAGCTTGACGATCTTCATCGAAGACAACCAATCAGGTTCTGAGGTCACCAAGGTTCAGAAGATTGCTCTCTATGGCTCAACGTAAGTCTCTGAAATCTTTTTGTACAAGTCTGTTTACAAAGATTATCTCTGCCTAAAGAGAATGTTGTTCTTAGCTTTTCATATTTCTGAAATCCTTAACTTTGCAAATTTATTGATCTTTACACCATTATGTGCAAATAACAGGGTGGAGACGACTGATATGAAGGGATTGAAAAAGATTGAAGATCACTGAGCAAACAAAAGTGTTTTAATCATATGATCATTTATCACTTTGATTTCTAGTGTTCTATTGTGTTTTATCGTTCGTTTTGCACTTACTTAAAGTTCTTGAATTAAAATAGACCAGAACTTGTGATTGCTCATTCGTATTCCTGCGAAACGAATGGTAAGTTCAATAACAATTTGAAAATCCCCCTTGCAATTCTTAAACAGTTATTTATATATATAAGGCTATTACACAAACAACATAATACGAGTGATGATGATAGAACAAGGCATCAAATCTTAACAAGTAAACAGTTTTTTAGGAGAGGCCAGTGTCCCTCAAGCACACAACAACACCACTCAACAATTCCACAAACCACTCCATCTTTATCCCTTTCCAATTTAATCTCTGCACACCAAATCTCGTTTTTCTCTTGAAGCTGTTTTTGTAAAAGCACGAACACCTTTCCACCGTATGACATGGTCCGTGCCGAAAAAACATCATCAGTCAATCTTCCCACGCCCTTCACACCTTTCCAAAATCTTTGTTTTGTATCATATGCAAATAAAGTTTCCAGAGATGGAAGATAGTAACACGATTGTATTCCCTCTATAACGCATTCATCAGCTTTCCACGTCTTTGAATTTAAGATATCGTCCTTCTCCCATTTATCTTCTGCCGGATCGTAAACGAAGCAATTCTTTGAAGTCTTGAAGTAGATTCTATCGGGTGTCACCACACTGCTACAAACCCACTTGCATACCTTCATGGCTGGTCTCCAACTGAACCATGTTTCAGATTCGCATTCTCTGATATATATCTTCTTGTCAATGATGTTAAAGACAGAACTAGCCATTTCGCTTGGCATGCTAGGGAGGTGTTGTGCCGTGTGAACCCGACTATCAATGAGTAACGTATTAGTAGGTGAGAGATTCTCATTGTTAGATCCTCCGATCACAAAGATCTTTGAATCAACGGCGACGTAGATGCCACCTGTAGGTATAACAGGGACTGATGTGATAGAGACCAAGCAATGATGGTTAGTTGAGTTGGATTTTCGACGAAGAGTATACAAACGTTCACCACCATCGTTGTTCTCGGATTGAGAAATGGTAACATAGAGACAACATTCGGTGCGGTCTAAGAGAGACCGTGTTACGTATAGTTGATGATGCGATGCAACAATTGATCGAAATAATTTCGAAACGAGAGAAAGTGTTGGATAGTAACGTCTCGGTACACGAGCTATACAATCTATAATGATATCTGCAGGAAGTGAAGGGATCGAAGACATCGCTATAAATATTAATCTTTTGTTTTTTACGAAGGGTGTAAATAAAGACTTGGCAGAATCAATTGAGGTAAATAATAATAGTAGGTTATTAAAAGTTTTTAAATGGTGAAACATTACTTTTATTTATATAATATTGCAAAAGATAAGAAAAAAATTAGATAGATATATTAGTCTTAACTAAACATAGATATCCAATATGAAAATCTTGATTTATAACTATTAGAATTAAGATGTGGCATGTTTTCATCATATTTAGACTTGGGGAGGCATTTGACTGGGATTTAAAATAATTTTTTCCTCTGAATATTAATATAGGAAATAGTTAAGGGTTTTGTGCAAAAAAACCCTCCAACTCGCCCATTTTTGCAACTTTACCCTCCATCTCCGAAAAATGCAGATTAATACTACGAAGTCCCAAATAATATGCAATGTAACCCTTATTCGTTATAGTCAAGTTCGTAAAATTTTGACAAATAATATATCAAATCGAAGCCCTCGCGATGAAGAGTTCAACTCTACTTTTAAAATTTTAAAAAACCAATGTATGTGACCGAAAAAACGTTTACAATATACGTATAAGGGTTATATTGCACATTATTTTGGACTTCGTAGTATTAATCTGCATTATAATGTGTGTTTGAATACACAATCTCAAGATGTGTGACTGTGAATTTGGGTTTGCAAGTCCAAAACAATAATAAAAAAACCCTCCAACTCACCCATTTTTGCGACTTAACCCTCCATCTCCGAAAAATGCAGATTAATACTACGAAGTCCAAAATAATGTGCAATATTCTCAGATTAACACACATTCTCAGATTGTGTATTCCACATTATAATATTGAGATTGTGTATTCAAATACAAACATTCCAAATAACACTTTAATTCTAATAATTTACTCTTTTTTGTGAGTTTTTTTCATGATTTTTTAAGCTTATTTAGTTTCGAATAACACTGGATAGCGGAGTTGAGTGACAACACAGTCTTCCATCCTACACATTCATCTATTTATACACGAGATATTCATCATCTCATTTATACATAGCCATATCCTACACATTCATCTATTACATCCATATCCACATCCTACACATTCATCTATAACATCTACTTCCTACACATTCATCTATAATATCTACTTCCTACACATTCATCTAGAACCCACATCTACATTCTACACATTCATCTAGAACCCACATCTACATCCTACACATTCATCTATACATCTTTATCAGCCATCACACATATATACACACTACATTTACATCCGATCATCACATCTATCTCAGCATTCGTCACACAAGGTTCATTTGGACTTCTCTGTTCTGTCAGGGATCAGATCACTTTACTAGTTAGGACTTCTCTTTACACACTCCATTTGAGTTTGTGTTCTTCATAAACATCTGCAAAATCAGAGCAATAATCCATTACAATCTCTTCCGAATTTCAGTCACTTTTTTACATTTTAATCATGCAAGTTTTATATAATCCAAAATTCAAATACACTCATGCCGGAATAAAAGTAAATATACATTTGAGACTTGTATAACGCCCATTATTTTTATTTTTTTAAGGTAAAGAGAACAAAGAATCTTAATCTTTTCTATGCAAATTTTAATATTCATTTTTATGATCTTTAATACATGTTTTTCTTAGGACGAAACAGAACATCATTAAAATGAGTGTTCAACGCGACAAATTAAATCAAGTCTAATTACTAAGAAAATTTTAAGAGTCATCTAACAAATAAACGACCTACGAGAGATTGATTAACTAAAGCAAAAATAAAAACAGATCCTGAGTTTTAGAATCATTTTATAGACTTCTTTGTTATCCCCTTACACATGCAATTCATTGAAAAGGACAACAATATGCAAGATTTTGAGAACATTGTAGTTTAAACAAAGAAAACAAAAGAATCAGAACCAAAACGTTACCTCGTAGGGTGATGTCTCTATGGTAAGTCGCTGGGGGAATGAGAATATCAGAGATAAGCTTGTGTAGAACGAAGCACAAGAAGCAGATATAAGCTTGAGCACAAGAACAGAACACAAGTAGTAGAAGAGATAAGCTTGAGTAGTAGAACAGAGCACAAGAGTAAAACTTATTTGAAGAAAAGTGTTTCGGAGTAAGTAAGAAGATTTTTGATGTCTGAACCAAGGAAGACGGAGGTATATATAGAGATTATTTCTAACGGTCAAATAAGTTACCGTTCGGGTGAAAAGTATAATATAATATAAAAGTTACCGTTTGCTAATTACTCTTAGAATAAAAAATTCATAACGGTCAGATAAGTTACCGTTCGAGTGAATAAAAAATAAAAGAAATGTAGAAAAAGTTACTGTTTGGTAAATTCAAATTTATTTTCACTCTAACGTTCCGTTGACGTCACCGGTGACGACGTAAACATATGGTAGGTTTCAAATAATTATTTTCTTTCTTTGTCTGAATTAAGTTAATTCATTAAATTTTAGGAAATAATTAAGTTTGGATTTGGGCTATATCGTTTTTAGTTTTGGGCTTTCAAACCCAATTATCACGACTCTTCTACTTACTTGTTCGTATCTTGAGTGGAACCCATTTTAGGGTTTTCCGGAGTATCTTGTGGGAAACACACTATTTAGGGTTTTCGAGAGAAGAGAAAGAAACAGAGAGAAAAAAAAGAAAATGGCGGCGAATGGAGGAGCTACGGCGGCTGGTCAGCTGTCAGAGAAAGAAGTTGATATCCAGATGATGTTATCAGCCGATGTTCACCTTGGTACCAAAAATTGCAATTATCAGATGGAGCGTTATGTCTTCAAAAGACGCAACGACGGTAAAACTCTCATCTTCATCCAAATCTCATTGTATATATAGACGCAACGATTCCACATTCATATACTCGTAGCTTTCGAATTGATAGTTTCTCCAGTTTCCATAGTTTTGGGTATTCATCTGTAATTCTCTGTTTTAAGAGTTCTGTTATGTTTTTGAGTGTTTTGGCTCTTTTTTTTCGGTTTATGAAGTTTCGATTTTTTTTAATGGTCAGGTATTTACATTATCAATCTTGGAAAGACATGGGATAAGCTTCAGATGGCTGCTAGGGTTATTGTAGCAATCGAAAACCCTAAAGACATAATTGTTCAATCAGCTAGGCCTTATGGTCAAAGAGCTGTCTTGAAGTTTGCTCAGTACACTGGTGCTAATGCAATTGCTGGAAGACACACTCCTGGTACCTTCACTAACCAAATGCAGACTTCTTTCAGTGAGCCAAGGTTGTTGATTCTCACCGATCCAAGAACCGACCATCAGGTATAATGAATTGGTTTTACCTCAGTTCTTAACAACTGTGTAGGTTTTTCTGATGCTGTTTTGGTTTGTGTTACCAGCCAATTAAGGAAGGTGCGTTGGGAAACATTCCGACTATCGCCTTCTGTGACACGGATTCTCCAATGGGATTTGTCGACATTGGTATTCCTGCTAACAACAAGGGAAAACACAGCATTGGTTGCCTGTTCTGGCTTTTGGCTCGTATGGTTCTCCAAATGCGTGGAACCATTCTCCAAGCTCAGAAATGGGATGTCATGGTAAAGTCTAGAAACACTTATCTTCTTAAAACACTCTCATTGTGTATTAATGTTTCTCCAACACCAAACAAAGATGTTGACTAGTTTGTGTTGTGTAGGTGGATCTGTTTTTCTACAGGGAGCCCGAAGAAGCAAAGGAAGAAGATGATGAAGAATACGGGCTGCCTGCTCCAGAATATGGAATGGTTGGTGGTGACCAGTGGACCACTGCTCAAATCCCTGATGCTGCATGGCCTGGTGAACTCGAACAGCCGATTTCTGCTGCACCTGCAGTTGGCGGTTAGTTTCTTGTCATCATATTATTGTCTCTCGGAATCTAAACACCAAATGTTTCTAATGTGTTTGCTGTTTTTTTTTTTGCAGCTGCTGCTGGATGGGACACTGCGGTTCCACCCCCAGCTTCTGTTCCAGCTGCTGGTTGGGAGTAAAAGTTCCCTTCATTTTAAATAAGCTCGAATTCGGTTAAGATATAGACTTGATTTTTTGTTCTTTTTGAGATTTGGGGAGAGGATTAGGACCATATTAGTTTGTTTTACTTTTCTTGCTTCTTGTCTCTTGAGAATTGAGACCATTAGCATTAGGTGCATTTTTGCCGGTATTTCCAAGTTTCAACCGTATAAGGGTATTTCATTGAATTGACCATGAGTTTCTATTAAAGTTAAATTTTTTCATTGATCTTGCAAAAAATTCTGAATGTATGAATATTATGCATACAGATTATAGAATCTCCTGTATGAAATCGCTCACGAAAACTCTCACGAGAACAATGAATCGAAATTTAAAGATCTAATGTTAATCAGCTTTAGTAGCAAAAATATTCAGGCAATTAAAAGTTTCGATTTAACCCCATAATCTTAAAACTAATGAGAATATGATATAGTTAATCATTGATTTGTCTCGAAGAAATCAAATTACTTATCATACTTTGATGGATTTACATGTGATTGGGTAATAGAGGATTGGTTGGCTAAGCAAACGACAACATTATAATAACCAAAAAGTGGAATATAATTAAATTTTAACTTTGTTAGCCGAAAGTGAAACGGTATCTAAGTATGCGTGTTATGGACTCGGTCTCACCATTAAATAATTGAACTGTGTTACAAAATTTCTAACCAAAAGAATTTGAATAAAATATGATTTTCATCATCACACTTTTGCAGTCTTACAGTTCATGGTTCACATGCTAACACCATCCTTAAAGATTATCTAGTCTAGTATAGTAGTATCCATAAAAATTAATGGAAGAAGAAAACTTTATATAGGGTTATTATTAATAATAATGTTCTTTTGGAGAGTGATATATAAACGCTTTCGCTATAAAGAAACCCTAAAGCAACAGTTATTTTCCTCTCTTTAGTAGAACTGCAAGAAGGTACGGTTGACAATTCGAGCTAATCTATGTTACGCATAATAAAACTTCGATCAATTTGTTTTCTGAAGAGTATTTTGAAGACATATGTCGTTTGGTATTATGTTATGTTATAATAAAATTGTGACAGTTTAGCATAAAAAATCCCCATTTAGTGACGTAACTATTACCAAAAAAATCTTTATATAAAAAGAAGAAGCTATTAGCAAAAAATTACAGAATAAGTCATGCAACGATGACGATCTTCTTGTTACATGTGACTTGAAGCTATTAAATATCAATGTTTGGTTCTTCGATGATGTTTGCATGTGACTTGTAACTTAAGAGATCCGTGTCAACATGGTGCATGAATATAACCTTTGGATGATAATAAATCTGTCTAATTTTCACCTTCTAATACTAGTATATACTAGAGAATGGTGTTGTATGTGTCAGCATGCGTTGTCTTTAGGCGTGACAATATTCAATTTGTATCTTCTTTTATCTGTAATTAATAACGGGACCACAAGTTCATGTTCTCACTTTTTCAACTCCCCAAATGCTTTCTTTGTTAAACATAGTACTAAATACTAACGGTTTATACTAAATCGTTTCCAAAATGTAAATACTATATATTTTGATGTTTTCAGTTCAAAATTCAAACCAAAATTCTCTAAATAAAGTTAGAAATTCTACAATGTTGTTATTGGGGGAAATATATAGTATTATTTAAATGTATGTTGAGTATTTTATTTTCTTTTTTACCATGGGTGAGAAAGTGAAGACATCTATAATGAAATGGAAAAAATATAATATAAAAGTAGATGTAATTGGTTGTATTGGTTAACAACCTAACATATATAAATGTGGAATCATGACCAATTAAGCTTTCTCCTTTTTCCTTAAACTCATTATTTTCTTCAAGATGAAAAATAAGATTACAGACACGTGTATCTTAATAATTGTGCCTTAATCTTCTGAGGAACCAAACACAGAAAGTGTTAATTAAAGAGCTTAAAATTCACATAAGATTGACTAGTAAACGGAACTACAGTTTAAGAAAAGTATTATGTATTATAATAATTTGATCAGTCACAAATCAATCTCTTAGCGAGGCTTCTTCATACTATATATATCATTCTTCTCCATCTCTCTCACTACTCACACGAGAAACAAGAAGCTAACACAAAGCCTACATATACATAAATCCATGTGTATATGCAAGTAAATATATAGTCGTATTCATCTATGTATGTATACGGTATACCATGTACCAGTAGCAGTTAAGCTGCCAGCATGATCTTGTCTTCCTCTCTTAAGTTTCATATATAATTAAGTTAATATAAAGATTTTATACAATTCTTGTTCTTACATACAAGATTATATGATCATAGCTTAGAGAGAGAGAGACTAGGTCATGCTGGTAGTTTCACCTGCTAATGATTGTAGCATGAAGAAGAAGAAGAACAAGAACAAGAACAAGAACAAGAACAACAAGAAGACATACGGTATTCAGTATTCTCCTTATAATCCTTCCGATTCAGAAAGAAGATCTCATGAAAACATTATAGCTTATTTAAGCAGGTAACTTTTGTGATCGCTGTGAAATCTCTTTATTGGGTTTCTTTTAATTTGTTTATTTCATATCTCTTTGTTTTTGAACATTAAAATTATTTTCATTAATTGATATGTAACTTGTGTTAATGTTACAATCATGAATTCAAATTAGAAATGCAAGCTAGGATAACCAAAGTTATTCGGTTAAGATAGAGAAGAGAAATAAGAAACTTACGAATGTGATAAGATTTATCAGTGTGATCCAATCATTAAGTTTTAAAACGAAATCATATTATAAATCATACTAGTTGGTTACAACTTACAAATGGACAGAGAGGGCTTGAATTACAGGTTATAAAGGAATATCCTATTACCAAAGATATTATTAATCTTCTATGTTTTAAAAGACATTAGACTCAAATAGAGAGATTCTCTTTTTCTTTTTCTTTTTTGATTCAAGAGAGTATCTAAAGCCCAAAATCGAATGTTTCGTCCAACCGTCGCCGTTTAGTCTCAACGTAATGTTTTGACCTTTTTGACTTTGGAAGACAGACAAACGTCACTCAAGTACGAAAGTACAAAATTGGATTTTGGGACTCTATCCTGTAATATCCTATCCTTACAAAAATTATTTAAGGATTGCATTGAGATTACAACAAAACGAGTGGTGTTGCTCTGTTCTGCTCTTCCCACTCCTCTCTACTCCAAAAATCCTAACTTTTCGCATTATCTTTTCTCTTTTCCGTTTCGATTCTTTGTCTGAATTTCACAATCCCACTCTCTGTTTTTGCCCACAAGACTTATCTCTTCCATGAAAAATCGAAACTTTATCTAGAAAATGACTCCATTCTCCTCTGAACTCGTTGGTTTCACTATCCCTTTCTACTCCAAAACTCAGAAACACTATTCAAATTCTTCTCACGGACTACTACTATCTCACAATCGAAGCCTCTTAACCTTCTCAAACTCTAACCCTAACCACGACAATGGTAAATCCTTTTCATCTTCTGGAGCAAGAAACCTTCAAGCCACCACAACTGACGCAGCAATTCCCACAGAACGAAGACAACAACAAAACCATTCACAATCTCTCGGATTTAGAGATACCCAGATGCTTAAAGTCTTCCATCGATCATGCCGTTCAGGGAATTACATCGAGTCTCTACACTTACTCGAGACCATGGTACGTAAAGGTTACAATCCCGATGTGATTCTCTGCACTAAGCTCATTAAAGGGTTCTTCACTCTAAGAAACATCCCAAAAGCTGTTAGGGTTATGGAGATTCTCGAGAAATTCGGACAGCCTGATGTTTTTGCTTACAACGCTTTGATTAATGGGTTTTGTAAGATGAATCGGATCGATGATGCTACGAGAGTTCTTGATAGGATGAGAAGTAAAGATTTTTCACCAGATACCGTGACTTACAACATAATGATTGGTAGTTTGTGTAGTAGAGGTAAACTTGATCTTGCTTTGAAGGTTTTAGATCAGTTGTTAAGTGATAATTGCCAACCGACTGTGATTACTTACACGATTTTGATCGAAGCTACGATGCTTGAAGGCGGAGTTGATGAAGCATTGAAGCTTTTGGATGAGATGTTGTCTAGAGGGTTAAAACCGGATATGTTTACTTATAACACAATCATTAGAGGAATGTGTAAAGAAGGGATGGTGGATCGCGCGTTTGAGATGATTCGGAATTTAGAATTGAGAGGTTGTGAGCCTGATGTGATCTCTTATAACATCTTGCTTCGTGCTCTTTTGAATCAAGGGAAATGGGAAGAAGGAGAGAAGCTAATGACTAAGATGTTTTCGGAGAAGTGTGATCCTAATGTTGTGACTTATAGCATTTTGATTACTACTCTATGTCGCGATGGAAAGATTGAAGAAGCGATGAATCTGCTTAAGCTTATGAAGGAAAAAGGGTTAACGCCTGATGCTTATAGCTATGATCCTTTGATAGCTGCGTTTTGTAGAGAAGGTAGGTTAGATGTAGCTATTGAGTTCTTGGAAACCATGATCTCGGACGGATGTTTACCGGACATAGTTAACTACAACACGGTTTTAGCTACGTTGTGCAAGAACGGGAAAGCGGATCAAGCGTTGGAGATTTTCGGGAAACTAGGAGAAGTGGGCTGCTCACCGAACTCGAGTTCTTACAACACGATGTTCAGTGCCTTATGGAGCAGCGGGGATAAAATCAGGGCGTTACATATGATATTAGAGATGGTGAGTAACGGGATAGATCCAGATGAGATCACATATAACTCGATGATATCGTGTCTATGCAGAGAAGGAATGGTGGATGAAGCTTTTGAGTTATTGGTTGACATGAGGAGCTGTGAGTTTCATCCATCGGTTGTTACATACAACATTGTTCTTTTAGGATTCTGCAAAGCTCATAGGATCGAGGACGCTATCGATGTTTTGGATTCAATGGTGGGAAATGGATGTAGGCCTAATGAAACTACTTATACTGTGCTCATTGAAGGCATTGGATTTGCTGGATATAGAGCAGAAGCAATGGAGTTAGCAAATGATTTGGTTCGAATCAATGCCATTTCTGAGTACTCGTTCAAGAGATTGCATAGGACTTTCCCTTTACTTAATGTTTTACAGAGATCTTCTCAGACAATTGGTCATTAAGTGAAAGTCGAGAAAAAACACATTATGTTATTGTTTTTGATGTGTGTGTGATGAATCAGAAGCAGACCATAACCTATTGTTGTAAATTAGCGTCTAACTAATTTTGAAAATATTTTTTTAAAAAATAATAATAATTACACTTGAATTGTTAACCTATAATAGCAAATTGTGGTTTTCAAAAAGAAACAAATATTGCTCTGTATTTAGTTGGTATAAATTAATATATTCAGAAAGTCAGAAATCTCAAGAGATTGCATAGGATTTTTTTACTTATTAGGTGCAGTGAAATTGAAAAAGAAAATGACATAAATTGTTGGTAATGTCAATGTCATCTTTTCATGGCTTAACCAATGAATTTTGTTTTGGCATTGTACATTATTCCACCAATAATCCATCATGGCCCCAGTCAATTTCCTAATAGTGTATTTAGGAAGTTTAAAACAAGCCATTGCATAAACCGGGAGAGCTAAAGCCACTGACTTCAATAAAACTTCTTTGCCTCCTTGAGCCATTGTTGAAAGAAAGAAAATGGATTATAGAAATATACAAAGAGTTCAAAATGGAGAGCTAGAGAGGACAGAATTGTGAACCGTGGTGGCAGTGTTGGCAATGGAAGTGTTGAAGGGAGGGTGGATTTCCCCAATAGCATCCATCACCTTCACCGATGGAGTTGCTATGAAATTCACGAGTCCCTTTCTGGCGATCTCTGAGGGATTCTCAGGGATATCAGAGAAAGAAATTTGTTCTCTGCTTTTATATATAGTCGGCTCTTGGAGAGCTAGTTACCACATTGAACATCCAGAAAAGAAATAACAAATCACCCTCAAACTTCTCACCATCCCTCAAATTTCTCAGAATGGAAGGAGGTAAACAGCCAGTGCCGGCCCTTCCATAAGGCAGACCAAGCAAGTGCTTTAGGCCACAATTTAATAACTTGTTATAAGGGCCACATAATTATGTTGTTCAATGTTAATATAGCGTTTTCTTAATATTCCATATTGCAATTCTTCTAAAGTTTGATAGCTTCCATGGTATTTTGTCATATTTATTTTATTTCTAATCATGTATATTATTAAATAAAGATTTTTTTAGTCCTATTTTATATAAGTTTTTCTTTTTACATCAAAATCCTATATTTGTTTAGTCCTATTTTATATATGTTTTTTAGTTTTATAGATAAAAATTTATATATTGACAAAAAAAGATATACAAAAAAAAACATAAATAGTAGAACACATTTTTAAAATTTTGCTTTAGGCCTCGAAATTGTTAGGACCGGCCCTGTAAACAGCATATATAACCTTATATGTTTGAGTATAACTTAAGATGAGAAGCAAAACATAGCTGAATTTCCCATTCGTCTACTTTTGTATTAGTTATAACTTATATGATATAAATATAGATATATTAAATATTTTCTAAGACATCAAATGAATTTTTTTAATGAATTAATGATAAATTATTTTTGACTACAACTCTATCAATACATTATAATTATTAAAAAATGAATTAAGATTAAAAAAACATATTAAGAAAATAATAAGCAATATTTAAGCAATATATAAACAAAAAATAAGAAACAGATGAAAGAATAATACAAATGCAAATTACTTAATTTATGAATGACGTCAATTTGTATATTTTTTTGCAACAACTTTAATAAATATTGTTTAAAAGAGCCATTCATGTGGACAATTTTATTTGTATATATAAATCATTAAAATGTTTGAAATTAACTTTGTAAGTTTCTTTTTATACTAAAAGGTTGTGTTATTGTATAATATTTATATATATCATTATTTTAATTTAAATTTTTTTAGTTTATCTACAAAATTTAGTTTTGACATCTAAGGATTTAATATAAAAACTTTGAATTCTTTTTACAATCGTTCTTTTCTAAATTTAAATAATATAAAATTTACATGTGCATGACACGAGTTCTTACCTAATTGTTTAGTTAAATAGCTATCATCAAAAAATAAAAATAAATAAATAACTAATATCTAAACGAAAAATAGTGCAAGATAAATAACTATCATATAGACGAAAAATAAATAACTATTACATAGATTGCTTCACGCGCTTTGGTCGTTCCAGTTTTCGAATTTTGGCAAAAAGTGCGTAAATCTGTGGTCTATATAGTCCACGAAATATGGAGACACGCGCTATACGCGCTTACAGTGCGCATGCGTATCATAACACTCGTATATGGGTTTAACGCGCGGACCTTTTAGTCAAACTTAGTATAGAATAGTCCATATTAATCGGGCTTTTAATGGGCCAGTTGATATATCGATGCGGCCTAAATTAATTCTTAATTAAGAACATAATTACATAACTACGTGTCTTTTTTTGTTTTTAAAAAAAAACTTTTATCATCAAAAAATAGTAGTATGTGCTTTGTGTTGTTGCGGCGAGGAATTCGATTGTTTGGCACAGAATGTGGGAGCAAGACAACAACATGGGATCCTGTTCAATCACTTCAGCTGAATCATCAATCTCTTGTCTTGCTCGAGAATTGCAATTCCAGGAATCAATTCAAGCAGGTTTTGGCACAGATCATGCGTTTCAATCTCATCGGCGTTACGTTTCCCATGAGCCGTCTTATCTTCTTCTCGGCGATCACATACCCAGAGAATCTCGACTTGGCGAAGCTTCTGTTTCTTAATTTCACTCCAAACCCGAATGTTTTTGTTTACAACACAATGATCTCTGCTGTTTCGAGCTCGAAAAATGAATGCTTTGGTCTGTATAGTTCTATGATTAGGCACCGTGTTTCTCCGGACAGGCAAACGTTTCTCCATCTCATGAAAGCTTCGAGTTTTCTGTCGGAAGTGAAGCAGATCCATTGCCATATCATTGTTTCTGGATGTTTGTCTCTTGGGAATTACCTCTGGAATTCTCTGGTTAAGTTTTACATGGAGTTGGGAAGTTTGGGTTTTGCAGAGAAGGTGTTTGCTATAATGCCTCAACCAGATGTCAGCTCTTTTAACATTATGATTGTTGGTTATGCGAAGCAGGGTTTTGGTTTAGAGGCACGGGAACTGTATTATAAGATGGTTAGTGATGGTATTGAACCTGATGAGTACACTGTTCTGGGTCTTCTACTTTCTTGTGGTCATTTATTGGATATTAGGCTTGGGAAAGGAGTTCATGGTTGGATTGAGAGGAGAGGCTATGCTTATTCATCTAATTTGATTCTGAGCAATGCTCTTTTGGGCATGTATTTCAAATGCAAAGAATCCGGTCTTGCTAAAAGAGCTTTTGATGCGATGAAGAAGAAAGACATGCGCTCTTGGAACACCATGGTTGTTGGGTTTGTTAGGCTTGGGGACATGGAAGCTGCTCAGGCTGTTTTTGATCAGATGCCCCAAAGGGATCTCGTTTCTTGGAATTCTCTGCTCTTTGGTTACTCAAAGAAGGGATGTGACCAAAGAGCCGTTAGAGAATTGTTCTGTGAATTGCTGATCGTGGAGAAGGTCAAGCCAGACCGCGCCACTATGGTTAGTTTGATAAGTGGTGCAGCAAACAACGGAGAACTGAGCCATGGAAGATGGGTGCACGGATTAGTGATCCGTCTGCAACTGGAAGGTGATGCCTTTCTGAGTTCGGCTCTGATAGATATGTACTGCAAATGTGGTCTCATTGAGCGGGCTTTCATGGTTTTCAAGACAGCTACTGAGAAGGATGTCCCGCTATGGACATCAATGATAACTGGGTTGGCCTTCCATGGAAATGGCCAGCAAGCTCTGCAGCTATTCGAAAGAATGCAAGAAGAAGGCGTGACGCCAAACAAAGTCACTCTGCTCGCTGCCCTGACAGCTTGCAGTCATAGCGGACTCGTGGAGGAAGGGCTACACGTTTTCAACCACATGAAGGAGAAATTCGGCTTTGACCCTGAAACTGAGCATTATGGAAGCCTTGTGGATCTTTTGTGTAGGGCAGGGCGAGTAGAGGAAGCGAAAGACATAGTGCAAAATAAGATGCCAATGAGACCGAGTCAGTCAATGTGGGGATCGATCTTAAGCGCTTGTCGGGAAGGTGAAGACATTGAAACCGCAGAGTTGGCTTTATCAGAATTGCTTAAGTTGGAACCTGAAAAAGAAGGCGGATATGTTTTGTTGTCTAATATATATGCAACCGTTGGAAGATGGGGATATTCAGACAAGACGAGAGAAGCAATGGAGAGTCGCGGAGTAAAGAAGACTGCAGGATATAGTAGTGTAGTTGGAGTAGAGGGAGTTCATAGCTTTGTGGCTGCAGAGAAGCAGAACCATCCAAGATGGACGGAGATAAAAAGAATATTGCAGCATCTGCATGATGAAATGAAGTCAAAAGCTGGATCTTTTGGACTTGTTAGGAACATAGATCAATTAGCCATCTAAGCATTTGAGAGAGTATGCATCACCGAGGAGATTTCTCGACACAAAGTAAAGCATGATTTCGTTGTAAGCTCCCAAGAGAACAAACGCCGGTGCTGGTTGGCTTACGGTGTGGGGATAAAACAATCCTCCTCCTTGAAAGAGATATCGCCTCATTTTTGGATCAACCTTATCATCAGTCAATTTCACAGACAGTGGCACTGTCACAGTGCCGACAATAATATCCATAAAAAAAAAGCTCTGTATTTGAAGATGAAGTTAGCAAAGGAAAAGTGGTAAACTCAAGAGTTTGGTACCTTCTCACGTAGCGTGCTTGTTGCAATAGCCGCCCACAGTGCCGGCTCAACATTTTAGTTGTCCAAACTCTTTTTTTTCTAAAATTCATGATATAATATTTTACCATAACCAGATTTTGGAATAATAATCCTAATTGGAAACTACTAGGCTAGGCTGTCAATGTGAAATTTTCGAACATTCAGATCGTTATTATTTCTGAAACTGCTAAATGTTTTGTTCTTTTGTCAAATTAATTCTCATTTTTTCTGGGCTCCTTTGTCTTTTGATTGGTAACCATATATCGAGGCAAAACCTCCTTATACTGGAAAATTCAACGTCTACATTCTACATCATGTTTCTAAGTCCCAATAGAAAAAGAAAAAAAAAATCAGCATAATACGTATGTACACATTAAGATATAACAATTTCCCAAAACTGACAAGAGTTTGACCTCTCTATATGGTAAATTCCTTTTGAAGACTGTTGTTGTTATTACCTTCTCTCAGACCTTGAAGACATAGATGCAATGTTCTTTGGACACTATCTGCAACCAACTTGAGTTTCCCTTGAGTCAAATCTCCTGCAGCAGAACCGTTGACTTCCACTGTACGACTCACTCTCTGTTTACATTTCTCCCAATCGTCCACTCGCTGCCAACAAGCTCGACCTCCATGGCTTCCTTCCATTCCAAGAAACGTCACGCTAGGATTTTCGCCAAACGTGTATCTTAACCTAACCGATACACAGTAAGGCAACCATGCTGCTCCTCCAGCCGCGTTTATATGGGGTATGTGCACAGGATCAAGAACGACGGTTAGCGCAAAGTCAACCGTGTTGTGTGGCCGGTCGTAATGGATATTGCTTTTAGCCGAACAATTGTTGTCTAGATCTGTACCGGAATGATTCTCTAGACATAGCTCGATTCGAGGTCTCTGTGCAGGAGCCATCTCTCCAGCTTGTTGTGATTGGGATAATCCTTTTTTCCAAGCTATCAGTTTCAGAAACTCTCTCAAGACCGATATGGGTAACGTGAGGAGTGTTATGAAAGAGGCAACTCTTGAAGCATCATACGGTTCTGATGCGACACGGCGGCTGAAATAATCACAGATTTCTCCAATCTCGGATTGGGTTAGCTCCTCTTGAGCAGCAGCGGAAGAACCATTTTGTTGCTGTTGTTGCTGCTGGTGATGGAATCGCCTTACGCTAAGGACTTGAAGAAGGAGCTGAACTCTATGGACACTCACCGCAAATACATAGCCACTGCAAAAACAAAAGCAACAATTAGATAAGCTTAAGCATAATCCTTCAAGATTGAGCCTAAGTTTCTTCGTTTGGCTTACCCGACAAAGAAGCGTAAGGCTGGTTGTTCTTGGTCTAAATTCAAGAGAGCGCCTTCGTTATCCTTCAAGATTGAACCTAAGATCTCTCTTAAGAGATCTGGTAACTGAGCAAATAGCCACAGTACTCCAAGATATTTAAGGATACCACGCAAAACCTTTTTCAGAGCCACAAGAGGAACCCATCCTCCGCCATAGCCACCATCATCACCTAACCCGATAATCGCTGTGTTTAACTCGCCTCTTACATGTGCTGGTACAGCAGTGCCTGGTGTTCTACGCACAGACAATCCTGAAGCAACACTGGCTACACGATTCATCGCGGCTCTTGACATTGCACTAGAAGGGGAAAAGTTAACTCTGTTCCCACCGTTAACAGTTGGGTTTCCACTGCTGGGATTTGTTGCTCCTTGGCTACCTGTCAAATTCGGTTCTAATCCGTTCAACTCTTGAGCAACATGCTCCATGATGAAAGGTCTGAATTGGGGACATGGCAAGGAGCCTCCAATAGAAGCACCACCCTTGGGTGGAGTTGCTGGTTGCAACCAGACTTGATCTCCAGCAAAACATCTCATGTCCACTGCAAAACGTTTACGGTATATGATCCTTATCCAATAGGGTCCACGGAGTACTACAGAGACATCGATTGGCAAGAGAGAGCTTGGAACGATGCCAGGTCCGCTTCTCCCTGCAGCTGCTAGCATTGCAACTCCATGGAAACTTCCACCGAGTGGGCTTGGAGCAGAAGAAGCAACAGTATTTCCTGAAGTTGCTGAGACAGACTGGCCAGTAGCATTAGGAGCTGCTAAAGTTGAAGGGGCAACAATTCCTTGAGTTTGTTGTATCTGATTTGATTGTCTTGAAGACGCTGTAGCAGGTACGACAGGCATACCAGTGGCAGTACTAGCTCGGGCAGGGCGAGTAGCGGCCGCTAATGCATGCAAAGGCCCAGCAGTAAGGCGAATGCAATCCAAAAGAGATTCTACCTCTGCTCCATTTATGAAATCTTCCAAGAACTGTACAAGAGTAACTCACAATGAGGACAAGCATATATTTGGAATTCTAATAATAAAAATATTTCCCATGAAGAGAGCAAATGTTAAGTTGTGTGAACAACTCACCTTTGTATGTGGCCATAGTTGGTCAGGAGAGACATGCATGGTGCATCCATCTTTACCTGATTCCCACTCGACAACAAAACGCGCCAAAACGCCTGAACCAAAGCTAAACCACAGGCTTGTTAATCCCACTGCCTCAATCTTGAAAGCTCTCCATCTATCTACTGGCTCACCACTGCCTTTCCCTCCAGCAGATCCTTTAATAGTGGAATTAGCACTGCACTCTTCTGTTTTTTCATCTGGCTTTATGCCAAGTAGTTTCCGCATACCAAGGGAGAACATTCTAGCATTTGAAAGCCTCTGTATGTCGGCCACAAGCTTCTTTATACTATCGGCTTCCACAGACTGATAGCTCAGAACTACACCTTCAGGGTCATAACGGATATGGGAATCAACATCAGATGAATTTGCAATGTGAACTCCAGATCCCCATGGTGTGGTTTTAATTCCCTTTTGAAGTTCCCAGAGATCCCTAAAGTGTTGGTCATTTATTTTCACATCCCAACACATGCTTCCAGGTCTACCAAGCTGCAAGCATATATGTTGCCAGGAATCATTTTGAGCAAATGGAAGACGGAACCATATATCTGAAAATGCATCTCTTAGTCCCATTTCCTCAACATATTGAATATCCAGTGCCTCCATCTGACTAGTTAGTTTGGCATGCTTTATGGACAACGAAGAATGCCTGACAACATGGAGAAGAGCATAGACAAAAACGCTTGAAGGTGCATTCCCCTTGTTTGCTTCAGCTATGAGATTCCCATAGCTGCATCCTATAGTTTTTGTTGATGTTGCCACGGTGGATAAAGTCTGTGATGCAGGGCTCCAACTCTTCACTAATTCACTCTGTACCAGTTCAGAGGTTTTTCTTCTCTTAATGGGACTAGCAACACCCTCCACTCCCTGGAGGGATGGGATCAATCTTAGCAAATCTGAAGCTGTACGTTTCCGGGGATTCTGATCTTTTCTCAACAAAGGACCAACAGATGTTGTTGCAAGATCAGCTGTTTGAGCTGCAAATAACAGAAATTATGTAGTCTGATATTGAGAAAGTTCTATGAAGGTAAAAAAAGGCTATGGAAAAATGTTCTTACATAGAGGAAGAGCGGACAATGAGGATTCAGTGACCAGTCTAGAGCCTGACTCAGAGACTCCGTTCCCAGCAGCGAGGGATGGAGACAGTATCATGGATAACTCCTGGTCAGAGTTAGAGATGGCTATCTTCTTCATAGCTGAACCCATCCCAGGGGGAGATGATAACATATTAAAAGAGCTAGATTGTAAGGGACCCTGTAGATTATACAAGCAATCTGAATGGTAGCTAGTCAACATTGGAGCTTTTCCAGGGCCATTAACAGCAGAGAGATTCTTGGGAACGAAACCATGCCCATCACTTGACACAAGAGCCGATGTCTCTTTCTGAAGTCCAAACACATCATCTACAATGCTGGAGAAACTCAACTGGCTTCCACTCATTTCTGTCAAAGCATCGTCAACCAATCCAGGATGATGGTGTCCAGATGCTTGATTTATGCCCTCAGCATCTGAGGATGAAGATACAAATTTAACCACATCGGATGTAATCAAGTTAAGATCATCTTCGAGAATCCGTATCTGCCCTATATCAATTTTCTTAGCTCGCAAAATATTGCTTGGATCATTGAAAGACTGAGGTTTTCCCGAACCATCCATCTGAGTTTCCACTAATTTAAACAATGGTGTGAAGTCTTTTTCGAGCTCCATGAGCAAAAGGTGAGAGCTTTCACAGTCAGGGAATCCCAAAGTCAGAATGCTTGATCCATCCAAGAGGCTTTTAGGAACTTTGTTTATACCAAAACCATGTTCGTAGACCTACATTAAACGCAAAAGTCAACACTCCCAGCTCCAAAATTGAATTTGAACAACAAGCTGAGGCAAACAATTACTACCTCAAGACCCAAAAATTTGCCAATAGCAGCAAAGAAATGCAAAATGCCTTTGCTTCTCAAGTTGATAAAGGCATCAACTGCAGATATACTTCCTTGGTTTAATGCATCTTCAAATTCCTCCAAGATGGAGGAGGTCAAGATACTCTTGGATGACTGAAGAAGGAACCGACCAGTCCTGCAATCAATAACATATAATGAGGAAAGCCAGCTAAAATAAGATCTCTCCCTATAAAAAGATGAAAATATTATACCTTATATTTATCCCGAGTGTGAAAAATGAAGATCCATAGGCTCGCACACGTAAGACCTCTGGCTCTACTCGTTCCTTAGAATCTACCGTGTTACCTCCCTAAAAGAAGGGCGAAAGAGTATGACCCAGTTAAATTCGTTATTGAGATTTAAGACAGCAAGAGAAATATGGCCTGCGCTATACTAGCTCCACAGCCAAAAGAAGCTAGGCCATAGGCCATGTGAACTGTAGAATTTACACTAATTCTCGAAAAAATATAGATTATCGAAACCTAAGTTCGGCCATCTCTGAAATTTAAATTTGTGATTATTAATGCTTAATCTCATGGGCTACAGCATGAAAGCTATGAACAAATTAGCAAGGGGTACGTGTCAGAAAAACAGCAATCTGACTATTGACATGCGAGGGACATACTTAATGTCCAAAGTAGCTCTGACCTGGGGAAAAAAATCCTAACACTTTCAAGGAACAAAATATCCAACATTAAGCCAAAACCAACTCATTTTTTACCTCAATACCAGGCTCATCCAGGAGGGACTGAAGGATGACATCACTTGGAGCTCGACAAATACGAGCATTCCTTAAAAGCTCTTTCTGAATTTCAAGAAGACGGGTATATCTATTACAACATATAGCTTTAAGCAGAAGCTTCTCCACGTCAATACAGCTCTGGTTGAGAGAAAACTCGGCTTCCTTGCCAGTAAGTGGGTCAATTACAAATGTGCTGTGAGAACATTTAATCTGGAGATCTGACCCTGGTTCAATTTTAATGAATGGGCCAGAGTTTTTATCAGAATCTGACCAGTACATAAGTTTCACTCCTGGCGTTCGAAGACTAACAGAATCTGCCTCTCCTTCTTGGTTCGCTGGCGTGGTACCAGTATCTGAAATTAAGTCGAAGCGAATTGCATCTTTCCATCTTCCCTGGAGAAGAGCTCGGACCTGTCTTATGACTGTGTCCATGACAATGGCAACGCACAGCTCATGGAGCACCGCATATAATATTGTGAATGGATTTTCTGCCACGGACATTCGGCGCTCTAAATCATCTCCAAGGATATGCCGTCTTGTCACTTCGAGTTTAATGGGGCCACTTCTTTCACCAACAAGCAGATCCAAATGCAATATCCTCCACATGGATAGGTGCCCTCGGTAACCAAGAGTAACAAGAACCTTAAATTCCCCGTCGACAGAAAAGGTAACTGTACCTTTAGAAATTTTCACCTCTGTTATTTCTTTTGGAAGTGTGATTTCAAGTAGTTTGGAACGTACAAGAACCTCCAGCTTTCTTAGAGCTGGTTTCTGTTGCTGCTCATCCAAAGAGCTCTGCATCCCCACATCGTCCAGACACTTTGGCAGGCGCTGATAAGAACCTGTCAGCAAAATCTCAACAGCAGAGGGAACATCATATACAGGAGCGCGAGCTTGCTGTAGACCTTCATGCATAAAAAACAGCGAATCCGCAGCTTGTGTGAAGCATATATCATGAGCTGATAATGTGCTCCCAAGGTCTTGAAAGTAATTTATAAGAGGAACCTGCAGCCCAGGAGGTATAGCCAAAAGTGAATAAGTAAAGATAGTGAACACAAGCAAGCATCAATAATCTAGGAAATCTTAACTTTGAAAAATGGAACGTTGATCTAAAGTAAACTACCTTGACCTTTCACAGAGACACTACAGTCAAAATATTTTCTTACAATATGTATAAATAACAGAACCGCATGATAAGCCTACTTGGAAAGTCAAGTTCCATGGAATTTTGTCTCTCACTAGGACAAATCTAGTGAAACGTAGAGACTATATAAATGCCAACAAATGACTTGCTTTTATGGACCAAATGGTATCCTAATTCCTAAACAGACCATTAATGGTGTTTATAGTGAAAGTGACTCAACCAAGGCAAAGTTCTTAGCTTTTATGACACACGCAGCTAGAAAACTAACACTAGAAGTAAAAAACGCTGCAACTTTAGCAAACACTTGGCGCTATATGAAAGAGTTATCAAAAGACATTACTTCATACAATTGCAATAGAAAAAATCATAACTTCAGTAGACAAGCAACGAAACCCAAACAAGAACAAAAACATCAAGGACAAGATCACACAAAAGGATCTTCCAATTCCATTCAAAACTAAATCCACGGGAACAGTGATCAAAACTAATAGATCATGAAATCAACAAAACCATACCCTAATCTTGCAACATATCCGATTCCAATCCAAGAAAGCTTCAAACTTTCACTTGGACCCACAAACCAAAACGTGTTAAATACTTTGAAGAAACAGAGAAAGACAAACCTGTTTACACCACTTGGCGAGGGCATTGAGGCGGAGCATCCGTTGCTGAGTCTTAGCAACATACTTAAGGAGGCTAACCTTCTTTTCATTATCAGAAAGCTCCGTCGACTTAGACTTTTCCACAAGTTCCTTAAGAGAAAGGAACGATTCCTCTGCGGTTCTACCAACAAGAGCGGAGAAATCCACTGTCTGTTGCCCTAATTCCGCCATCGCGGACAAAGACACAAAATCGCCACCACCCGATTCAGAAACTTAGAGATCCACGATTCGAAAAAATTAGGGTTTTTCTCCTCCGCTTCCCCCCCACCACGACAAAGCTTCCCTTTTCCAGCAACCGGATTTGATTCGGACAAGAGAGTAAGAGAAAAGGGTTTTGAAATTGAAAGGGGTCAGGGAAGAGTCGAAGGCAAACGTTGAACGGAAGATGAAAAGAAAAAAGAAGGATTTTTGGTGATTCGTCTGAAGAAGCTTTTTTTAACAAACGGCAAAATCTAATTCTGTGTGGGTCTCTCTTTTATCCACGTAAGCACAGTAAGTCACTACTATATTAGTTGTCACTTTTAAATTATTAATTAGACATTTTAACCATCATTAAAAAGGTTAATTACAAAATTATCATTAATGTACACTACTCTTAAGTAGAAGATGTGTAATGTATATATATGGTGAATAGTGTATAACAATTTTTCATAAGCAATCACAAGAATCGCTTATATCTAATATTCTAATCATATACTTAATCAACTGCAAAAAGTACTCAACTAAAAAACATGCAACTATTCCAATTTGAGATTTTGGTACGAGGTTTCTAGTTATTTATTTTTCCATGAAGCAATAGTAACAGTGTAACGCTATGTAGGAGTAGCATGGCCTTATCACTTGTCCAACTAATTTATGTTGGGCGGCAAATAAAGAACCAGCATGAATGTTTTATATACTCTTTCGAACCCAATACCAAAAAGCCCAGCCATGTATTCAAACAGTTGTCTATATATCAGATTTTGACACACTTGTCTATAAATATGTTTGGTGTATTTTGATTACTATTAGTTTATGATTTGCATATTATTGGTGTCAAAAAATTTACTGTAAGGAAAAGTGCTTTGTTTTCACTTCCATGTACTGAAAAAAATATGAAACCTAATCTATTGATATGTTATAGAGTACATAGAAGTCAAGTATTAAAATATTAGAATTACTATGACCACAACATGCATATCTAAAAGCTTGTTGACTACTCTGGCTAAAAAAGGACTATATATATAAATACATCTACTACTAAAGAATTCTATAGGTACATTTTCTACCAGTCAATTCAACATCCTATTGTAATTTCCTTTTAAGTAGAAGTTGTATAAGACTCTTTCACAAGATCTATTCACTATAATTACCACGAATTGAACCATTTTTACCAACAAATACACATTTTCCCCACACACACAAAAAATCACACAAATCATGAGCAATATGAAAAGAACAAATAGGTTAATGCTAGTGGCAACATTCATAGCATGTGTGTTCATAAGCAGCATGAACATTACGGTTGGAAAAGTAATCGGGTATCCAGGATTGAGACCTGATCTCCCTTGTGATCATCATCAGTATCCTTCTGCATGTGCACCCTCCAAACAACCGGTGAATCCGTACAGAAGGGGATGTGAAAAACTAAATAGATGTAGACGCGATCCACCTCCACCAATTTCTAGAAAGATGTTAATACGAGCTCAATTTATTTATAATAATGCATATAACCAATCCCCATGAATAACAAATCTATGGGTTTGGTTGTGTTTAAGCCATGTTATTTTCTACATATACAATATACAATTGATGAAATCATGTTTATCATTCAGTTTTGTTCGATTTTAGTTCCTTCTTATTAATGATAAAATAAAAAAGAAAAAAATCAAATTCATTATCAGCTTAGCTGAATGGAAACAAAAATTTGTTATTTAATAGTAAAAAACTATAAACTGATACTGGACAACTTAAATAAAGATAGTGGAATGATAACTTATCTCTTGCACTATACATGTAAGGATTGAGTCAGAAATTACACATAGGTATCTATCAGCTATCCGATAAAGATGAAGGACACGGTAAGGTTTGGGGAAGACGTTGACGGTGTTAAGGCGATCAGAGGCAGTACCCATATATTCATTGCATTTAAGGACCTGTTGTCACACGTGTGAACCTGTAATGTTTGTTATACACACACAACAAGACCATGATTTTTGACTGGGCCCAGCCCACACGAGGGTCCTAACATCTATCTCTATCGGGTTGGTGTTTTTGGGCCCAGGTGGACCCTTTTATCTCCTACTCCTCACGTTTTTAAGTTTAATCAATTTTACTTATATAAAATTCTTGGCATCTAGATTAAGATGAAGTCGTTGTCAACTTGGTCCTTCAATTTTTTATGTCAGATTCTTCCATCGTAATCATGCATGGGGGCATGAACATGATGTTTAGCAATAAATGATCTTGATGATCATTATGCTCTTATAATTTTTTTATATATGCTTTAATAATTTGCAAGGAGAGTTTAATTTTCAACGCTAATATTATTATGCTCCTTTGTGAAAAATACTAATACCAAATTGTAGGGTTGACGACATGGGCATTGTCCCGCCATACCACATAGGCACATATGGTTGACCATTAAAAAAATAATGATATACCATTAAAACTCGCAATTGCTTTCTATATATGATTTTCAACTCTCTTTTTTTTTTTTTTTTTTTGGGTAATCGCGTTTGTCAAATAGGGGCGTTTTATATACGCATTCACATGTTCTTATATTTTACGAAATGAAATGTCTATTTCAAATCATATCCATAAAATTTCACTTTGCAATATTCCCATTTAATGTGTTATCTCAGATACATATCACAAGTATAGATATATCACAAGTCATACCACTAAAATACATACTGTATAGAGATATGATATAACATAAGTCATCATACCACTAAGGCACTAACAAGTTACGGAATGATAATGATTGCGCGACAATAACGATGAGAAATTAATGCGAATGTTATCACTTATCAGCTAATCTCTTAAACAGCGAATACTATAGTATAGAGATTATGCTTCCTTGAAAAAAGATTTTGATTGTATTTCTACTAGTTATAAGGATCTTGTGTCTTTCTTTCTCTCAGCCAGTAAACCGGTTCATTTGATTTTCACTAAAAATACCACTTCAACCGTTTAACCAAACTTACTGTTGAGTTAGTCATGTTTGGCCCTTCCCACCTAATAATTAGTTAGCATTAGACCACTTTTACAACGAATTATCATCAGATTAATTTATTCCCAACATTATACTATATCCTAATCATCGTTCGGAAGGAATGTTTCCTAATTACATAATGCAAGTCATCTGAAATTGGTAATCATGTTTAGTGCACAAATTACTGGAATAACACAACATGAATCCCTAATTCTCTATTGACTTCACAAAAATCCATAAATTTAGAGCCAAGACAGAGGCACATGGGAAGAGTATAGTACGAAAACGCTATGGCAGACCAGGACTTTTAGTTTACTTTAAACTTTAAATTTTAAAATTTATTTGATTTCAATAAGTATTTGTCGGCATTTATAATATAAGAAATTATTTTATTTTCAAATAATTGAAAATAATAGCCTTAAAAAAGGCAAGCATAGGCCATTAGGCCTTGTGAATGGCGGACCCCATAAGAAGGACAACGAACGAATCCATGGGAATCAAAACACATGTTTGAAGCTGACCACTTTCGATTTCTTTCCCATCTGTGGGTTCCATTATGTCTTAGCTGTCATTTTTTATTCCATTTTTATATAAACCATCACCTATAATTATAAATTTAAAATAATTTCCCGACAAAACACTCTTATTTTAGTTTTTTTCTTCTTTTTTCTTTTCTATTATAATCAAATTGAAATTTCTGTTTTTTGATATTACAAAAACGTCCCATATACCTTTAAGATCGATCTCAAGACTGATTTAAGTAAGGAGGAGAGATATACCTTTTCTGGTAGTGAATAATTAAATCAAACTAAAATATCCCTTATATATTAATTGAGAAGCATTATTAAAAAATAACCTTACTTTTACGTGTGATTAACGAAAATGCCATGCTGACGTGTCGCGGTTACAGAGCTCCTCAAGTCATTTAATTAATTTTCCATCCTATACTAGAATATTTACATCAATTTGCCATTGGTATTAATAACACTTATTTTACTCATTCATTAATCAAAAATTAAAATTATGAAATGCACTTAACGTGGGCACTTAACATGTTCTTATTTCAACCAATTAATTAAAACGAAATTATATTTAATATTTGCAATTAAGAGTTACTAATCTTTAGAAGATGAAGCACCTAACATTTTTTGTATTGATTAACTTTACAACTATACATGTTTATATCATATATACACGTTGCATTTAAAAGGATGAATCAATTTAAAAAGATTAAAATCCACAAAATATCTAAAATATGGAATCTAACAATATTTGATAATTGATTGGTAATTCAAATTCTTCCACCGATTATGGTACTTGCTAACTATAAGTTAATAACCGAATTTATAATTACCTCAAAACTTTCATATATGGACTTATATAATTTTACCATGCACCTAACAAAAGAATATTGAGATATATTAGTTGACTTATTCAAAAAAAAAATCCTGACAAAAGATATATAAATATTAAAAAATTATGATTTAGAAAATATAAATATAAAAGAATAAATTTTGGAGATACTTTAAATGAAATATTGATTTTAAAACTTTAAGGATGTAGAAAATGTAAGAATGATATTGTGAAATTAATGGAACCCATGTTACTCGCTCGATCTTTTAGTTTTATTTAGTTGATCAATATTAAGGCTTTTTTTTTCAAAAGTCTACATGTAATCATATAATGAGGCATTTTAGTTTTGATGTTTTGTGAATGTAGTCAAAACATAAAATATATTTAATTATTAAAAACACAAAAAGATATATGTGCCATGAATGATAATATTTCACCAATACTTTCTCCACATAGAAGTTTTTTACCACGTTCAAATATTTTACGGGTGAAAACAAATTCTTATACAAAATATTTGCAAATTTGAATAGAACAAAAAACTTTACTATATGTTTCGTTTTATACAAATGTATCTTGGATCTCATTAATAATTTTACCTATTATAATTTTACTTGAATCGTTTCATCCCGCACTATGTGCGGGTTTTTATCTAGTAGTTAGTATTAACTTTGAATACAGAATTAGTTTTAAAAAAAAAAAAAAAAAAAAAAAGTTTATGTTTTAATTTTGGTGGATGAATTCGAAACAGAAAAGGAGAGACTGTGTGCCAAGTTGGCCTTTGCCCACTGGCTTGGCCGCAATTATTCTCAGGGAAATGACGCCATTCGTGACATCATTCTCTCCCGACAACACTCTTTACGGTCCAACCAATCCCAGCATCCACCTGGCAACATCGCGTCCGTTCAAATAATGATCCTCAATGATGAATTCCATATATAATTTTATACCACACACGATCCAATATTTAGCCCTTTGTTTCTCTACACACATCTCACATCCTCTCTCTCTCTCTCTCTCTCTCTCTCTCCCTCCAGACATTTTTAGTTCCCAAAATAACTAAAAAACCCTAGAAGCCGAAGAATTTACTACTCGTTGTCGGCTCACCGAACTTATTACTCGTTGAGAATCATTATATCAAAAAATATGATTAATTTTGAGGCGACGGAGCTGAGGTTAGGGCTGCCGGGTGGTAATCATGGAGGGGAAATGGTCGGAAAAAATAATGGCAAAAGAGGATTTTCGGAGACGGTTGATCTCAAACTGAATCTTTCATCGACGGTTATGGATTCAGTTTCCAAAGTCGATTTAGAGAATATGAAGGAGAAGGTCGTAAAACCACCAGCCAAGTAAGAACCTTAATTTCAATCTCTATTTCAACTAATAATATATTGTCTTCTAGTAGATTCGGAAAAATTAGCTAGGTTATACTAGACGGTAATGATTTAGAGATGGATATGCATGCTTTAACACGATTACTAGCTAGGTTAGGGAACTCGATCGGAATAATTATGCTAATACTTCTCCTATAAGATCTTTGATTTTTTATTGTTTTATTTGGTTTTGCTCCATGTTTTCAACAGCCTTACATATATAGTTAGGTGTGAGAGTTCTGTTTGATTTATTTTTTTGTCGGGAAGAACTAAGAAAAATACAAAACATAAGGAATCTTTCTTTATCTACCAAAAAAGATTAAAGATTAAATAAACTTTTGGACAACTACAGCCACCGAACATCCGACACGTGTAGAACAACTAGATCATTTTCAAACATTTTTACAAATAATTAATTAGTACTATTGAAATAAAAATAAAAGATCTTTACGGAATTTCAGGGCACAAGTTGTGGGATGGCCACCGGTACGATCTTTCCGCAAGAACGTCATGTCCGGCCAAAAACCGACCACCGGAGATGCCACCGAAGGAAACGATAAGACTTCTGGTAGCAGTGGAGCCACCTCATCCGCATCCGGGTGTGCGGCCGTGGCTTACGTGAAGGTTAGCATGGACGGCGCACCGTACCTACGGAAAATTGACTTGAAACTCTACAAAACTTACCAAGATCTCTCCGACGCCTTAAGCAAAATGTTTAGCTCTTTTACCATAGGTAAATAAATTGACAATATATCTACTAAAAATATGATTCTTTTTATTCTATATAGTTAAATTTTTATTTTTTAAATTTCAGGCAACTATGGACCACAAGGAATGAAAGATTTCATGAATGAGAGTAAATTGATCGATCTTCTAAACGGATCAGATTATGTTCCAACATATGAAGATAAAGATGGCGACTGGATGCTTGTAGGAGACGTACCGTGGGAGTGAGTATTAATTTATTTTTATATCTTTAAATTATATATGAATTATTATATAAATATGTCAATACAAAATATTTATTTACATGTTGTTTGGACTATTTTTAGGATGTTTGTCGATTCATGCAAACGTATACGAATAATGAAGGGATCAGAAGCAATCGGACTTGGTTAGTATATATTGTTTAATCCAAAACTGATAGTAAGATTTTATGATTTTTAGGATTGAAGTTGTATACTTTTTCGCTAATACTAACTTTCTATTTAATTATTGCAGCTCCCAGGGCATTAGAAAAGTGCAAGAACAGAAGTTGAGTTCTCGACGACATTTCTTGTTCTTACCTAAAAAGGAAGAAAGACTGTTTCGATCGGTTGGATATCTCGAACCGAGAAAAGCCAAACCGGCTCGAAACTACTGTTCCGAGCAAGGAGTTTGCTTATAATATTAATTAATAATAATATTAATATTGTGATGTATTACATTTTAAAAAATTTAAACCGTTTTTGTTATATGTATTATACATATATAAATATGTATATTTAATTAGGTTGCATCTATTTCCGTTAAAAACAACTTTTGTTTTTTACGCATTATCGTGCTGTCTATATGGTCAGTACTGTCCGTAAGGCATCTTAATGTGTTACTTTGACGTATCAAATTTTTACTTACATTATTTCATTTCAACCATCTTTTTTTCAACATTTTCAACCGTATTAAATTATACCTTCTTGTTTGTTTATAGTTTATTTTAGTAACATTTCAGTAAGTGGAACTAAATGACATGAGAAGGTTAACAATCGTAAAACCAACAAATGGAAGTTTAATAGTGTCTTTGTATCAATATAACTTGAAGACCAATTATTGTCGTGTGTATTAGGTTGGCCTCAACAGGATCCAATTGGTGTTTAGTGCCTACCTTTTTTATAAGCTTGGCCATAATTCAATTTTTTTTTTTTTTTTAATATTACATGTATCGTTTTTTGGATCTTTTCGGTGAAACATATATGTGAAAACTTTAAATAGATCAAGGTAATGTGGATGGTGGAAAGGGCAAGAGCATGTGGATAATGTAGAGTTGTTGGGGGACAATATTTTAATGAATTCTGAGTAAATCAATAATGTCTTTTATATGTATGCTCCATTATTGATGCTTTACGCTGTCATCGACATCCATTGCCTCAACAAACAACGGGTGATAAGTGTAACTCATGATATTTGTTTTTTTTTTTTTTTAATTTATTTATTTATTTTATCTTATTTCTTGGTAATCTTGATCTTAGTTTATATGCTTGGTTATCAAATTCACCACATGTATTTATTTATTTGTAGAAGAATTAGTTCAATATAATAAATTGGCTGCTTACAAAAAGATTATGCGTTGACAAAAAAAAAAAGATTATGCTGAGTTTTCTCTTTGTGTTACAACTTGTAATTTACAAGTACAAAATGCACAAAAGATGATAACACGAAGATGAAAGATACACAAAAATAAACAAGAAGCACTCTAGAACACTCTCTTCGCTCCTCTCTTTTCTCTCTTATACTCTGTTTTAGCCTTGTAACCAATTTATAAACAAATTGAAGTAGACATGATATGGGCTCAGTTTCTTTAAAACCAAACCCGTGTGTGGCCCATTAAGCCCACAGACAAACAACTCAAGTTGACTTTGAATGAAGTCAACACTTAAAGATCTGTAGGCTCGCCAGTCTCTCGATACTATCTTAGATCAAACTCGAAAATTCATATTTTGTATCTAAATGAATATAATATCTTGTCAATAAAGAAAAATTACGAGGAAACGGATGGATTTATTTTTACTTACGCATTATAGAATAAACTTTTTAAGCTGCTAAGTGAATTTTAAGAAACAAAATTTTAAATAATCCAAAATGGCTAATTCAATGGACCGATTATGTTAACTTTGATTAGTCAAAGGATCCAATACAATATTTATCCAAATGAGAGCGACTCTTATCTACCAGGCTGCTATTTTCTACAAACAAAAACAAAAACAATCACAATTAGCCGCCTCTCTTCATCAGTAATCACATGTACCGCGAAGTACGAAGATACACAGTGCTTCCTTGTTTTAAACCGTCCGATTAGATGACTTTGACCACTAAGGTTCCGTTCAAAGAATATCGACGGTTCTTAGACACACATTTCCCACCGGAGTTTCACACTCATCCCGTCATCATAATTTCTCGTCAAAGAGCATATACCATTGATATTCCAAACTATATCAATTCTTAATTTATATTTATTTTCCAAATAAAATCTATTTTATCAATTCAGAACTCCAATTTTGTAGAGAAAATTTCAGAGGAAAACCAAAGATTTGTTTTTTTTTGTAACGAATCTCTTTTAAAAAATCTAACAACAGAATTAACACAGTTTTTCATGACCAGTTGAATTATTTGTTTTCATATTCTATAGAATCCAACGAAAGTTCAATATGTTGGTATATAAATTTAACCTACGTGTGTATATCATATGGTTTAAGCACGTTATCTGTAACGTCTGTAATTAAATCAATTACGTAGAATCGAAGAAAAACATTATTATATAATTAACTATTGATTTTATATTCATATATATAGATACATGCGTTACAACACCCAGAAGGCAAAATTAAAGACTTATCGATCATGAAGATCGGACTTAGCATAACCATCATACTTTTATCTTACACGGTGGCTACGGTTGCCGGACAACAATGCGGTCGTCAAGGCGGTGGTCGGACTTGTCCCGGAAACATCTGTTGCAGCCAGTACGGCTACTGTGGCACCACCGCGGACTACTGTTCTCCGGACAACAACTGCCAGAGCAATTGTTGGGGAAGCGGACCTAGCGGACCAGGGGAGAGCGCGTCGAACGTACGCGCCACCTACCATTTCTACAATCCGGCGCAGAATAATTGGGATTTGAGAGCCGTGAGTGCTTATTGCTCCACGTGGGATGCTGATAAGCCATACGCATGGCGAAGTAAGTATGGCTGGACCGCCTTCTGCGGACCGGCAGGACCTCGTGGTCAAGCTTCTTGCGGCAAGTGCTTGAGGGTAAGTAATTATCCTTTTTCTAAATTCTTTATAAAATTATGTTTGTGAAAGATGTCTATATAGAAAATGTAGGAACCAAGACGAATATATATGAAGATTAATTTTGTTACCAAAACAAAGTCGATATTGCTGTGTTAGTGAATATATATTCAAAAGATTTTTAATTTAGCTGATTTTATATATAGCCGGTAAAAATAGTGATTAACCTGTAGGTATATATGGATACAGGTAAAGAACACAAGAACAAATGCTGCAGTAACAGTGAGAATAGTGGACCAATGTAGCAATGGAGGATTGGATTTGGATGTTGCAATGTTCAATCAAATAGACACCGATGGTTTTGGCTATCAACAAGGCCATCTCATTGTTGATTACCAATTTGTCGACTGTGGCAATGAGCTCATTGGGCAGCCTGATTTCAAAAACATCCTTGTTTCTGCCATTGATGGCGTTTGATATTATGCAATGATTTCGAGGTCTACACATATATAATAAAGACCTCGATATATGTGGAGAGAGATATGTTTCGTATCAATAAGGAGTTTTCGAATGTTACAATAAATCGATACTACTTTAGAAATGCATATTAATTACATATTAGATCCAATAAGTATAGATCAATTATGAAATACTAATTTAGTAATTTATGAACGGTGGTCATGGCAAAGACGTGCACGTTTTGACTGATTAATGGTAAACTGGTAACTTCGTCTTTTCTTTCCCCTGTATATCTTGGTATTTATTAGTTAGATAATATACATATTTGTAATAAAACTTTTAACAAAGAGAAATATTTGTAATTAAAAACATTTTAATTTTCACTTTTCTTCACTAGATTTCGTGTATACCAATAAATATTGCACCAATCTCTGTTTTTCTAATTAAAATTTAATTACAGTTCTTGATTTATTTTTAAAGCAAAAGGTTGCATTCAATGTGAACAAGATCTTTTGGTGAACAAAATTTTATATTTATACAAAAAAAGAAAACTTAAATATTTGTATCTTATCATGCGGAAATTAGAATAAGTTCTCATATCATATATTGGCCTAATCAATTCTTCTATAATAAGATCGTATAAACTCAATTAATCTAATGGGATTGAATTCAACTGCCATGGAACGTGAAACAAACGACTAGAAACGTCTACCAAGAATAGTAAGTACATTGAATATTCAAATCAAAGCCAAAGAAAATCATACACAACGGTCCAAGCGTTTTATTAGACTTAACTAGTCATTTCATAGTATATAATTTTCTATAAATAGAGTTTCATCAATTCTTTATTCTATCTATCAACACAGAGGAAAACACAGAGGAAGAAATGTCAAGACTTAGCGTATGTGTGTTTGTGTTGCTATGTGCGTTTGCGGCCAAAGCAGCCGCTCAATCCGCACCTAACGTAAGAGCAACTTACCATATCTACAATCCTGCACAAAACAACTGGGATCTTTACCGAGTAAGTGCGTATTGCTCGACGTGGGATGGGAACCAACCGCTTGAGTGGCGTCAGAGGTACGGCTGGACAGCTTTTTGTGGTCCAGTTGGACCGCGCGGTCGTGATTCTTGCGGTAGATGTTTAAGGGTAAGTCATTTTATCTTTTTCAAAAAATCACGTTTTCAAACGCCCTTTTCTATATAAAAATTGTGAATGTGTGCATATGTCCCCTCAAACGTAGGTGACGAATACTGCGACCGGAACTCAAGCCACAGTGAGAATCGTGGATCAGTGTAGTAACGGGGGTTTGGATTTAGACGAGGGTGTTTTCAGACAGCTTGATACTAACGGTCAGGGTATCGCCCGTGGGCACTTGATTGTCAACTACGAGTTTGTCAACTGCTGAAGATCTTCAAGTTCTAGTTCCTCTAAGGGATCACAACATCTACCTTTAAACTATAACTAATAATTTTAATAAGAGAAAATAATGTCTCGAGTTTATCTTTCATATCAATGAAGATAAACCCACTAAATAATGTGTTTGGAAAGTTTTTAAGGAATAAAATGATAATTGAATTTGAATATAAACAGGTGTACACCCATGCAAATTTTTGCATCCATAAGTTATATACACATAGATTTGCATGTTTGTTTGGTCATAATTTTAGATGATTGGCTTTTAACCGGTTCAGAAGGATTGAAGATTTAATCATTAACATATTTCTCACAAATTAAAAAATCAACATCCGAATATCTTAACTTTTTAGTGGATATATTGATCTCATTTGTTATTCTTAATTTCTTTTTGGTTTCACTGGATATATGAATATTTTAGTTCTAGTTATAAATCACGTAAACCAAATATTGAAATATTCTGAATTTAATATTTGAGTACTTATTCGAATATAAACTCAGATGTCTTAGATCGAATAGTAAAATAAAGACTCATTAAGTCATTAGTAGTCAGTACATAACAAAACCAAAAAGAAAAAAAAAGTCATTACATACACTTACCGGCAAAAAGAAGCAAGTCATCAAATTTGATATCCTAAACACTAAAGAGACATAACATAAACATTTGTCCCCTCTAATAAATGATCAATCTTATTACCTCATAAACTTCCAATTTCCACCACAAAACTTGAAAAAGCCGCCATAGACATCTCCCAAGGCTAGCCATCCACTGAAAATTCAAACCCTAAGAAAAGTTTTCACAACGTGACAAACTTTTTGGTATAGCAATTTATTCATTCTGTAAAAAAACTATTTCCTTATAAATTTCTTCGTCCATCTATATATGATTGTATATCACAATATATTTTAGAGAACAAACATAAAAAGATCGCCTATGGCAAGACTTAGCATATGTTTGTTTGTTTTGCTATGCACATTTGCGGCTAAAGCAGCGGCTCAAACCGCTTCTAACGTAAGAGCAACTTACCATTACTATTATCCCGAGCAAAACGGTTGGGACCTTTACAAAGTAAGTGCGTATTGCTCAACATGGAAAGGAAACCAACCTATCGAATGGCGTAGGAAGTACGGTTGGACAGCTTTCTGCGGTCCAGTTGGACCGCGGGGCCGTGATTCTTGCGGAAGATGCTTAAGGGTAAGTCACTCTATTTACAAAAATCACGATTTATGAACACTGTTTTCCATAAAAAATATATATATTTTTCACGTGTCATGTATCCTATTACATTTGATACATAATTTCAAAAAATCAAAAACTAAAACGCAAACGCAGGTAACGAACACTGCGACGGGAACACAAGCGACGGTGAGAATCATTGATCAGTGTAGTAACGGCGGTTTGGACTTAGACGACGGCGTTTTCAGGCAACTTGATACTAACGGTCAGGGATACGCACGTGGGCACTTAATTGTCAACTACGAATTTGTCAATTGCTGAAGATCTTCAAGTTCATCCAAATCTCCAATCACCGCCTTACATCTTATTATTATCACATTCCATAAAAATTTAAGATAAAATAAACATCACGAGTAATTTGTATTTTGTAATGGAAATAATTATCAAATATTATATAGTATCTTACGTACACGGTGTAATATTCGTTTTAGATTTCCATATACCCAACTCGAATCCTTCCCCAAAGGCCCAAATCAAAACAGGAATCAGGAGTTAAACAACCGACTTAATTAGGTCTTATAAATAGATTGTATCGCACTCCACCATTGAACCATCACTTTTTGGCTTTCTTATTTGTCAAGTATACAAGAAAATTATAAATCTAAGCAAAACCTTAATTAAAAGAGAGTACTACTACTATGGAGAAGATGATCAGAGAACCTCTGGGTGTACCCGATCAGTCTTCATTGAAGCATGTCTCCGTTCTTGGCAGAGGGAGCTTTGGCTATGTCTCTCTCAAGCGGGGTCCTGACTTCCGACTCTATGCAAAGAAATCATCATCTTCGTTCAACCACTTGAAGAATCTCGAGAAAGAGCTTAGGATCATGCTTTGTTTCCGCAATCATCCTCGCATCGTCCAAGCCTCAAGCCCTGTTGTTCACTTAGAGATCCAACCCGAAGGATGTCACATCTATATGGAGTTTGCCTCCAAAGGCACTCTCTTCAATATGATCTCCAAGTTTCGTGGGAATCCAATGCCTCAGAATATGATCAAACGTGCCGCTCTTATGATCATACAAGGACTCGACGCTCTTCACTCACACGGCTACGTTCACTGCGACCTCAAGCCAGCCAACGTCCTCGTCTTCCCTTCCACAACCTTCGGAGAGCCATGGGATCTCAAGCTTGCTGATTTCGGTTCATCTAAAGAGCCTTCTACGGATTCTAGGTCGTTATTTCCTGGTACGGAGCAGTACATGCCGCCAGAATCTTTTGGACATGATGGAGTGATGGGACCGGCCGTTGATATATGGTCTCTAGGGTGTATGGTTATTCAGATGTTTGGAGGATGGCCAGAGATGATGGGAGACTGTTACATGTGGAGGCTTCCCAAACTTATTTCTCCGGTGGCCAACGACTTCTTGATGCGGTGCTTGGAGTTGCAGCCGTCACGTAGGGCCACCGCGGCCGAGCTGTTGAGCCATCCTTTTGTTGCGGAAAGAATCAGTGTTCCATTGCCAGAGATGCTTCCGTGTCATTATTCTTTCTTAAGGTTTCCTTCCGCCATAATTGACAAAGTGATGGAAGAACTTTCAAGAAAACAAGGAGGAATGATGGTTTGAAGACCTTAAGCTTTGATAAACGGTGGAGATGATCCCCAAAAAGAAAGGAGTTTCATGTTACGGCGGATGTTTAGGGTTGGTTCAGTGTTAAGAGTCGTATTTAGGTTTTGGTTGAGTTTGGGCTTTTAACTTGTTTCTCAAGGTTTAGGTTTAAGTCATTGTAATACATATCTTCATCTTTTATCAAGGATAATTTTTCAGATTTAATGTATAACAGAATCATCTTAATGATCTTATCTCTTAACTTCGATATTTTTCTAATATTACGTTGTGACTAAACACTGTTGTTCGTATGTATATATTGTCATTTTAAGCTTGAACAAAAAAATACTATCCCCCTAAAGGAAAAATAATTGCCGAGGAGAACTAAAGATTTGGTTTTGTTTGTTTATCGACATTGATTATGGTAATCAAACTTTGGTTTGTAAGAATATAAGAAAAGTTTCAAAATCAGACTAATTTTTTATCTAAGCTGTAAACTCGGACAAATTACCAAATCCAACCACAAACAAAACTTTGTTCCTAAATTTTCAGAACATTGAGAACAAAGGTAAGAAGCAGATCAAAACTTCATACAGATACTACAAAGTGCCATCTCTCCAAGATCTTATGATTTGGCCTTAACCTCATCCTTGCCGTGAAACTTTCTTCCGGCATCTACAGCTTCTCTGTAAAAGAAAGTGACAAAAAAAAATCATCATTTATCTCGAAAACCCAATACAAACCGAGAAAAATCAACATCATAAGGGTTTCCTTACAAACCTGAAAGCATCAATGAGCTCTTTGCTTTCAGGGCTAAGCAGTACTCCCTCATAGAAAGCATTGGCTGCCTCGTCAAACCGCTGGAGATTCATGAGAAACTCGATGAATCATACAGTTTCAATGTAAAAGATCAAAGATTTTTAATGGAAATGTAGATGGTTTTTACCTGTAGCAAACGCAGAGCAGCGCCTTCTCTGAAGCAACCTTTAGGCCAATCTGGTTTTAGTTCTCTGCAGGCTTTAGCATCAGATAAGGCATGCTCAGGTTGTCCTAGTCGCAGCCAGCAGAGGCTCCGGTTTGAGAACAAGGTATGATCCGTTGGGTCAAAATCAATTGCCTATGTTCAAACAAAATGCCACAAAATCACATATAGGCATAAATTAAGAATCTTGTTTTGATTTTACAAGTTTTAGAGTAGTAGAATACTTGTGTGTAAGCATCAATAGCCGTCTGGAAATCCTTTCTGTGAAAGGCGTCTTGTCCTCTTGCTTTTGCTTCCGCGGCTTTTGCCTTTGCTTCTGGTGAGACCTGTGGAAGTTAAAAATGGTAATTTTAAGTATTTCAAACAAATTGTGGTAAGAGCAAAGCATATCGATCATAGTATGAAGTACCTCAGGAAGATCTTTCTTGATACCGGTCTCTTGGGATTTCGCCTTGTTTGAGTTTTCCTCTTGTTCCTGAAAATGCTAAGTTGTTTCAGACAAAAAATATCGAAATATACGAGACTAAAAACCAGGAAAGATCTGATATCCCTACTTTGTTTGATTCCATGTGAGCGAGAATTCCATCTACTGTCCAGTCCGAAACAGTTTCGGATTTTGTTGTCAATGGGAAGAGGATCTCAACAACCTTTCTGTTGTCTCTAGCAGCTGCAACTTCTAATGGCCTATTTCCCTCCTGAAAATAATCGAGTTTACAGTAGAATTAGCATAGTAACACAAGATTGTATTCATGTCCTACCAAATGAACAAGAGAATAGGTTCTTGCAAATGTACTGATTTCCAAGTTGGTTTTACCTCATCTTTCTGATTCGGATCAGCCCCAGCTTTAAGTAAACAGTTAATTAACTCAAGGTTTCCAATATCAGCCGCAATGTGCAATGGAGTTGCACCACCAGCAAACACGTTAGCTTTGGCACCTGCCTGTGATTACGATAAGAACATTTTTTTTGTTAGCACTGATTTAAGATATTTGGCAACTGAACCAACGCAATACTAGAGATTAAGAAGATGTTAAACCTTGACCAATAACACTAAGCAAGCTAGAGAACCCGCTGCCACTGCAGATAACAACGGAGTGATATTATCTTCAGTCTCAGCATTAGGCTGCAGAATCATCAAAAAAAAAGTTTTAGGTTATATGAAAGTACAGTTTCAGACAGACAATCAATTAGATAAATACACGAAAGTTTACATCGGCATTGTGTTCTAACAAAACTTCCACAGCATCTTTTTGGTCGTGGCCAGCAGCCCAGATTAATGGCGTCCCAGATTCACTTTCAGAATCAACAGGAACACCTCTGGAGAGCAATTCTTTTAGCAACTCAATTTCTCCTAATAAATGTATAGAGAAGAGTCATATAAGTAAATCATAACACTTCATGACTGGACAAAGTAAAATAAAACTAATAACAGCGCAATTAGTAACCAACCTGTCCCAGCCGCATGATGTAATGCTGTGGCTCCTAGTTCACTTGCTATATTGGGATCAGCTCCGTGCTCTAAAAGATACTTTGCCGTTTCAATCTGTCCTTGCCTCGCAGCATGAACAAGCGGAGTATCACCTACAAAATCAAAACAATCTCACTGATTAAGTTTCACAATTAATGAATTTGAAAATAGAAAAGTTCAGTAATTGTAAAATCCAAGGAAAACACAAACCAGCTTCATCTTTAGCATCGGCATTGAGTTTAAGTTCTTCCAAAAGATATCTGCATATTTCAGTTTGTCCTTCTCTCGCAGCGAAGTGAAGCGCTCCACGCTTGTTTGCGTCTTTAATACTCTCCACAGTTTTTGTTAAGTCTTTTCCTTCATCAAGCTGCTTAGCAACATCTGCTTGGAGAAGTGATATCAGTAGACAAAAACAGATTACTGCTTGAAGAACATTGAAAAGCAAAGCAAAAAGTAATTGAAGCACTCACTCTTAAGGAATTCAAGATTTCCTGTACAAGCTGCATTCAGGAATTGCTGAACTTTCTCCCTCGCTAGAATAAGAATTCAAAGATGAAACAAAATTAGAGATTCAAAATATCAACAAAACTTACGCTCTCCTCCAAAGTGTTCAACTTCAATTCTTATCTACTTTTACAACAAACCAGAGACAATTCATAGTATTTGATTAAAACAAATGCAAATTTTCAATTAGTATTTGAGTTTCTAAAGTTCTAGTTCTGGACAGAGCAGAAACATATAGCCAATGAAAATTTCACAAAAAGGAAGATGAAAAGTTAGCAAAGAAGAAAAAAACGAAACTTCTTCATCAGATCAATTCAGCTAAAGAAAACTAAGAGAACCCATCAAGGAATATAGAATTTATACGCATTCAAAGACAGATATCGAAGCAGGAAGAGAGCAGACCTGCTAGAGCAGTAGAAGCATCAGGAGCCATGGCAGATACTAAGCCCTAGCTTGTTTCTCGGAGAAGTTAACGAAACTTGGAAGTGGGTTTTGGATATCGGAGTTAGTCCGTTAGTCGATACCGGTGTTTGTTTGTGTCTGATTTATCAGAAATCTGAAGAACAAGCTTTTTTCAGTTGGTCGGACTCGGAGGCTTCTAGGTTTTAAGAAGATTCGAGAGGCTTTTTTTTAATCTTTTAATAAATTTGAATCTTAGACCCTCATATATTTATTTATTATAAAATACACCCAATAATACGTTTTGTACAAAATACACCCTGGCTTCTCAAATCTCTTCATGTTCTCTTGATGTTTATGGCTCTTTTTCTCGTTTTTCTCGTTATACTAGATTGAAATATGGCTCTTTTTCTCGTTTAAAAATCGACTATTTAGAAAAAAGTTCATTTTATTATCCAATCCAAGATCATATTGTAATCTTTTTTTGTATACAGCTTATGAACAAGAGGTGTTTTTTTTCTTTCTCTTTCTCTCATCTTGTGAGTATATATACAGAGCCACAATTTTCATCTCTTTTTCTCCAAAATTTTCTATATTTTTCTGCTTCTTTTTGTTTCTTCCGAATCCTAATTATAAAAGATTCGTTTCTTCCTATCTCTCACATATACACTTCTTCAATAAGACTGCATAACAGAACATGCAACTGCTTGAGCCCAATGTCTCAATCTTTGCTTCATTTGTTGAGGATCATCCCCTGCAAAAAAAAGTCATATTAAATCATTAGTTTATAATTGTTATTACATTCAAACCAAACACCAAAAAGACGAGTTTTCTATCTTTAATTACCTGGGCATAAGATTTTCAAAGAATCTGAATCAGTTTTTTTTGGACTACAAGGTATACTGTATGAGAAAGCTGATGCAGATGCACTGCTGCTACGGCTGCTGCTAGGTGAAGGGAGAGGCGAGAGCTGACGATTCACTGCAAAGTAAAGATCAAGAGCTGGTAATGTATTGCATAGCTTTTGTCCTGCTTCTTCATTGAAACCGAAACCTAGCTCAATCGATCCTTTTAGCTCGTTTAAATCTTCATCCGTTAGATTCGCTTGTACACAAAGATTGTCTGAAGCGCCTTTATGAAGCAACTTCTTTTCTTGAATCATTATCATCTGACGTCTTCTTCTTTCCCAAGCAACGTCTCTTGGTGTTTCACACATAGAAAGTTGTTTTGATAATCGATGTTTTGGTTTCTGTGAGGCCACCGGCGTTGTTGCTGCTGTTCTGACCTCGGGAAGCGCCGGTGTTATGATTGGCAATGTAAGACCTTCTCTTCTTCTCACCATTTTTGATTTTTTTACTTGATGTGTATATAAAGCAGAATGACCAAAAGCTAATGTGTTAGGAAGAGGTGGATTATGAATGCAAATTGGGGCTCTTCTTTATGGATTTATTACCTCTTTAAGAGACTATTTTCAAAGCTTAAGGGCTTTGAATCCTGTGGATTTTTTTTTTTTATGTATGTTCTTTGTGTGATGGCCGCGCTCGAACATATTACGCGGCCAACAAAAAGGTTATTATGGGTCGGGTTGATCAGATGTCAGCTTTATGCTCTTCTCTAGTTGGATTTTTCCCAACCCGACCAGATAAACTTTGAAGAGACTCGAAGTGCTTTAATGGAGGATAGCAAAACAGTTTCCACCATTGATCTATGTAATGGATAAAGGTCAAAAAGCTATTTTCCACCATTGCTTAAAATTGATGATTGATTCATCCAGATCTTTAGGGACTTTCTTTCTTTAGATCCTTGACCATTCTAAGAAAAGAGTTTCAAAAGTCATCGTTCAAGTCAAATTTTCAAAAGCTTGTACTGTAATAATGTTTGAAACAATATGGTTTAAGACTTCCTATATTTAGATAACATGAATTTATGTTGGAGTCAAAGCAAAAAGTCTTTTTAATTTCTCTAACTATATGCTAAACATAGCTTGTTCGGGTAATCCTCTCCGCCATGGATTTTTCTAACTAATTTGGTTTCATTTTCAGACAGAACAACGAAAGATGAGAATTACACCAGTAACCTCATAATTAGAGAGAAATCAAACTAGACAAAACGAGAAATAGAAAAGGAAAAAAAGAGTGTACCTTGTGATTTTTGTCTTGCATGGTTTCTGCTTCTTGTTCATCCATGCAAGTCCTGGGTTTATATGGTTAGGTTAAAGAGAAAATAAGAAATTAACTTTAAATTTTGTCTACAGGCGTAAAAGTGACCACCTTCTCAATCTTAATCCTTACAAAAGAAGAAGGATTTTCTCTCTTTTTCTTTTCTTTAGGCCGAGAGTTTCTACCCGTTGATGTGTCAGCCATGAACGGGAAAACTCGGATTCTCTTTTTCCTCTCATGTCTCTCCATTTTATTGGTTTTTCCAACAAGATCTAACGGCCAAGATTTTGCTCTGAGCTGCGGGGCATCGGAAGCTTCAGCTGACCAAGATAAGAAAAAATGGGAACCAGATACAAAGTTTTTAAAGGCGGGAAACTCAATTCATGCAACGGCTACATATCAAGACCCTTCACTTCTCTCAACAGTTCCTTATATGACAGCCAGAATCTTTACAGCTCCAGCAACTTATGAAATCCCGATTAAAGGAGATAAAAGACATTTGATTCGGTTATATTTCTACCCATCAACATACACCGGTCTCAACATTTCCAACTCGTATTTCAGTGTGCAAGCTAACGATGTTACCCTACTGAGCAATTTCAGCGCCGCGATTACGTGTCAAGCTTTGACACAAGCTTATCTGGTTAAAGAATACTCTCTTGCACCCATCGAAAAAGATGTTTTGAGCATCACGTTTACTCCATCAGATAAATACCGAGACACATTTGCCTTTATAAACGGTATCGAGGTGATTCAAATGCCAGAATTGTTTGATACGGCAGCTCTTGTTGGTTTCACCGATCAAACAGTGGATGCCAAGACCGCGAATTTTCAGTCAATGTTTAGGCTTAATGTTGGTGGTCAGGACATTCCTGGAAGCCAAGACTCTGGTGGGTTGACAAGAACTTGGTATAATGATGCACCTTACATCTTTAGTGCGGGTCTTGGTGTTACACTTCAAGCAAGCAACAATTTTAGGATCAACTACCAGAAAATGCCGGTGTCTATAGCTCCAGCCGATGTATACAAAACCGCAAGATCTCAAGGCCCAAACGGAGATATCAACCTCAAATCCAATCTTACATGGATGTTCCAAATCGATACGAACTTCACTTACATTTTGAGACTCCATTTCTGCGAATTCCAGCTTTCCAAGATCAACCAGAAGGTTTTCAATATCTACATCAATAACAGAACAGCGCAAGCAGATACTAATCCTGCAGATATACTCGGGTGGACAGGAGAGAAAGGAATCCCGACTTACAAAGACTACGCGATATATGTTGATGCCAACAACGGAGGCGAAGAGATTACTCTTCAGATGACTCCATCAGTTTTTGGTGAACCAGAATATTATGATTCGTCTCTTAACGGGTTAGAGATTTTCAAAATGGACACACTGAAAAATCTTGCGGGTCCAAACCCCGAGCCATCGCCTATGCAAGCTGAGGGTGAGGTTAAAAAAGAATTCAAGAACGAAAAGAGAAACGCTTTCATCATTGGTTCAGCCGGAGGAGTTTTAGCGGTTTTAGTCTGTGCGCTGTGTTTTACGGCCTATAAGAAGAAACATGGATACCAAGGAGGCGACTCTCACACATCAAGTTGGCTTCCTATATATGGAAACTCTACCACATCAGGAACCAAATCAACCATCTCAGGGAAGAGCAACAATGGAAGTCACCTATCCAATCTTGCAGCAGGTTTATGTCGTAGATTCTCTTTGCCTGAAATCAAACACGGAACTCAAAACTTCGATGATTCCAACGTCATTGGAGTTGGAGGGTTTGGTAAAGTCTACAAAGGAGTTATAGACGGCACAACCAAAGTAGCAGTCAAACGATCAAACCCAAATTCAGAACAAGGACTCAACGAATTCGAGACAGAAATCGAACTTCTCTCAAGATTAAGACACAAACACTTGGTCTCCTTGATAGGATACTGCGACGACGGAGGCGAAATGTGTCTCATATACGATTACATGGCTTTTGGAACACTCCGTGAACATCTATACAACACAAAGAAACCACAATTAACTTGGAAACGAAGGCTAGAGATCGCTATTGGAGCTGCAAGAGGACTACATTACCTTCACACAGGAGCAAAGTACACGATTATACACAGAGATGTTAAAACAACTAACATCCTTGTAGATGAGAACTGGGTAGCGAAAGTTTCAGACTTTGGGTTATCCAAAACAGGACCTAACATGAATGGAGGCCATGTAACAACCGTTGTCAAAGGAAGTTTCGGATATTTGGATCCAGAATACTTTAGAAGACAACAACTGACTGAGAAATCAGATGTTTACTCATTCGGAGTTGTTCTATTCGAAATCTTATGCGCAAGACCAGCGTTAAACCCAAGTTTGCCTAAAGAACAAGTGAGTCTCGGAGATTGGGCAATGAATTGCAAACGGAAAGGGAATTTAGAGGATATAATTGATCCAAATCTGAAAGGGAAGATCAATTCAGAGTGTTTGAAGAAATTTGCAGACACGGCGGAGAAGTGTCTTAACGATAGTGGAGTAGAACGGCCGACAATGGGAGATGTTTTATGGAATCTTGAATTCGCACTTCAGCTTCAAGAAACTGCTGACGGGACTCGTCATCGGACTCCTAATAGTGGAGGAAGCTCCGAGGATGTTGGCGGAGGAGGCATGGCGGTTAACGTCGCCGGTAGAGATGACGTGAGTGATCTTTCCTCGGAGGATAACACCGAGATATTCTCTCAAATTGTAAATCCCAAAGGGCGATAAGGTAATTTTACAACACTTATGTATACCGTTTTTTCCTCTCTTGATTTTGGTGTTAAAATCTTAATTTTGGTGTGTTTTTGTGTAATTGACAGGATTGAAAATAGGAATCTGGATATTAAAAAAACTGAAGATGATTTCTTAATATTGAGTGGTATTTTTTAAAATAATTAATCAAAACATTTGTAAGATTATATCCCTTTGTGATATTACATGTAATCAACAATACATTGTATTAAGATTCGTAGTTAGAAATTTTTCATATGGTAAATTTTTGTCGGATGAGATCATGTTATATTTTCCTGAGTTTATTATAAAGAAGCTTAAGCTAAAAACAAATTATCATGTTAACCGGAAAACTGTGGAGGGATTCTTAAAAAAATGGAAAATGTTGTTCAGGTCGGTTAACGGCTTAAACCGGGATTGATTCGTTTTCCAATTTTGCCCTTATCGAAAAATGGAAATTAAAGCGATATAACCCTAAGTATATGGTTTCGTAAGTCTTTCTCAGTTCTTTTTTTTTTAAACTCTGTTTCTCCTCAAGCACACTTTCGCGAATCTCCGACCTCCTCCTTCTCTCCTCGCCGTAGTTTGTCTCGCCGTTCATTCTTTCGTCGCCGTCAGTCTTCTCTCCATTGACCCTTTTTAGTAATTCGTCTTTTTCACTCTCTCATTCTCTCTTTTTCGATTTCTGGGTACGGAAATCGATGGCCCTCGTTTTTAGATACTTTCTTTAGTTCTCTCTAATGATGAATTTTGATACATTGGTTGTTTGAAATTGATCTCTGTTGCGCTTTATGATTCCTTCCGGGGTCAAGATTGGGTAAAGTATTTAAAATCTAGTAAAGTCTGCATCTTTCTTCTCTGTTTTCTTTTTTACACTCTTCCAAATCCTTGAAGCTATAAACTTGATTATACTTTTGTCATAGGTTGAAGAAGAAGAGCAATTTACAAGGGCAGGTGTAATGACTAAAGAGAGCTCCTATATCTCCGTGTGATAGTCTACAATTATATCTTACTCCGAGTGAAAGCAATGGCTTACGGTGGTCCGTCAATGAATCCACCGGCTTTGAGTGGCTCAGTTTCCGGGTCTGCTAATCTGAAGCAAGTGAAATTGGAGAGAGAAAGCGAGCTCAGGATCGAAGTCTCTGAAGAGCCTCTCAGACTCCGTGTGGTGAACGGGACGGCTGAGATTTTCGGCTCTGAACTGCCACCTGAGATATGGCGTACGTTCCCTCCTCGCATGAAATTTGCGGTATGTGTTTTTACCTATAAGCGTTATGTTTATGGCTAATAGATAATGAGCTTGTTGGTAACATTTTTGGTGTTGGGTTTGTTGGTAGAAAACAACGAGCCTTTCTTGATTTAGTTTCTGTTTGTGGTTATCTTTCTTGAAGTGGGTTCTTGAGTTGCTATTGGATTCACCCTCTGGCCTTTTGGGGTTGGAAAGGTACATCCTTTGCCAGTGAAATTTGATGGTTTTTGGGTTTGAGTTGAATGAAAGACTTAAGATTTAGGTTGTAAATGAAGATTATGCTGTGTAGGTAAGAATTGTTAAGTGAGTTGTATAAAGATTGATAAATGTGAACTTTTCCCAATTTCTTTCTGTTTTTGTTTCCCTTCTGCTAATGATCTTTGTAAAGTTCAAGATCGGAGCTCTGAAACACCGTGCTTACCATCTTGTGCCTTCTGATTATTGTTAGGTTTTCACCTGGTATGGAGCGACAATTGAGATGGATGGTGTCACGGAAACTGACTATACAGCAGATGAGGTTGGTTTACTTGTTTCATTCCCACGCTTGCTTTAGATACGTAGAGAAAATTTTGTTTACTAACAATGTCTCGGTTTGTAGACACCGATGGTCAGCTACATTAATGTGCACGCCATACTAGATGCAAGGAGACGTTTTGCCAAAGCTTCCACATCTAATGATCCAGAATCTTCTCAGGTACTTTTCTTCTATATTCAATATTATTGTATTGCGATATTAGCAAAGTTAAAACACTTGGTTCTTAAGAATTCACTTAAAGCAGGGACCTCGGGTTATTGTAGTAGGGCCTACGGATTCCGGGAAGAGCACATTGACAAAGATGCTTCTTAGTTGGGCAGCTAAACAGGGATGGAGACCTACATTTGTAGACCTTGATGTTGGCCAAGGCTCGATTACAATACCAGGATGTATTGCTGCTGCCCCTATTGAAATGCCACTGGATCCAGTTGAAGGGTTTCCTCTTGATATGGCCCTTGTGTACTACTACGGCCACGCATCACCAAAGTAAGTGATTTTCAAATTTCTCCTTCCCGTCATACCTTATTCCGTCGATGAGGAATTTAAAAAATGTCTATTGTGGCTCTCTCAGTATCAACGTTGAACTGTACAAAGCTCTGGTGAAAGAGCTGGCTCAAGTTCTGGAGAGACAGTTTGTCGGAAACCCTGAATCTCGAGCTGCTGGAATGGTGATCAACACAATGGGATGGATCGAGGGTATTGGTTATGAGGTAAAAAGTTAGATCCTTTTTAGCGTATTTTCTGGTAAAGTTAGCTCCTTTTTAGTGGATTTCATTATGCAAACACTTGTTAAAGAACTGTATCTGTGTCGTCTTGCAGCTGCTTCTCCACGCAATAGACACATTCAATGCCTCGGTTGTACTTGTATTGGGTCAGGAAAAACTCTTCAGCAGGCTTAAAGATGTGCTGAGAAGTAAGAGTAATGTCGACGTCGTGAAACTTCACAAGTCTGGTGGAGTTGTAGCCAGGGTCAAAGAGGTCCGTAAAAGATCGAGGAATTTTAAGATTCAGGTAAAATTTTCAATCTCAAATATTTTGATATCCCTTTTTCATGCCTTTGGAGGTGTAACTCAGAACTCGAAAACTGAATTTCCAGGAATATTTTTATGGTTTATCGAAAGAACTCTCTCCATATGCCAATACATCGAGTTTCAGTGATCTGCAAGTGTTCCGAATTGGTGGTGGACCACAAGCGCCAAAATCAGCTCTTCCAGCCGGGTCTACCTCGGTTTCAAATCCGTTGCGGGTGACGCCTGTAAATATCGATGATCGGGATCTGCTGCATTCTGTTCTGGCTGTCTCATACGCAGAAGAACCAGACCAGATCATCTCAAGGTAATCTCTAAAAGTTCTTGCTGTATCCAGAATCAAAGGCTTTCGTGTTTGTTGTCTTTGTGTTTTTGATATTCACTCTGTTTTTTCTTTTCTTGATGCAGCAATGTTTCTGGGTTTGTGTATGTGACGGAAGTTAATATGCAGAAGAAGAAGATAACGTATTTAGCACCATCGCCTGGGACATTACCTAGCAAGTTGTTGGTCGCTGGATCATTAACATGGCTTGAGTCAGTATGATCATTAACATAGCATGTTTTTGCTTGGAGAATGATGCAGCAGCTCGATTATGTAATTTTAATTACAAATAGCATTTTTTTCTTTTTATAAATGCTTAAGGTTTTCTTATAGTTTTTGAGTTTAAAAGATTATTGTTGTGGATTAGATGGTTTTCTTTTGTAATTTGACTTTATGAAGTGGGAAAAAAAATGATAAATAATGTTGATTTTTTCTAGTGCGTTAGTTCTATTTGATAGGTTCAGTACTTCAGCATATTCAAGTCGTGATGTGTAAAGCATTTTAAAATTTTGATAGTAGAACATATCTTATGTTACTGGATGATTTGGAAATAGTATATGATAAATTTCAAAGTCACACATGTATTAGTTATTAATTCAACTAAATAACTATCACATTTTAAGTCACTTTAATTGTATTGTTGAATAAGCTCTTACTTAAGAATCGGATCCGTAGAATATTAGATGTTCTGTCTACCCAAGTTGCATTAATCTTTTCTCTTAATTGTGTCCTTTTCCATTAATCTGTTTTATGTTTCTCCTAAAATAGGAAAGAATGTTTTAACATGTCAAGTACAGTATAATATTCAATTAACTGCAAAATAGATTATTTTCTTAGGTTATACTAATTCAATTCAAACGGATATGTTTTGAATCCAAAATGTTAGAATTGCCATTTATTTGCAAAAGACCAAACATATTTAGAAAATTCTAAAATTACATGCTACAAGATCTTGTATGCTTTAATAAACCTCATATTTTGTAACCCTGCACATTAAATACAGAAAATCCTAAACATTTGACTGATGATTAGAGATATAAGAAGAAAGTTTTACATATCATTGTGATGATAAAACAAGAATAAGAAAAATATCGTATAACGAAACAACACAGAAAAAAAACAGTAAGAAACAAAAAAAGATAGAGCTAGTCAACAATCGTGATACAACGTGCTAGAGAGACGACCAGACGAGATAAGACACGTGTCGAAATCTGTACCGTTACTTTCTAACTTCCGTGCTCAGAATTCGAAATCTCAATGGGGGACACGTGGGTTCCACAATGGACATTTTCTTCCATCTCATGACACTCGAGAAATAGTTAAGTAAATTAAAAAATTATTTTTTAAAATGAATACAAAATCAATTCGAAATTTGCTTTGGAATAAAAATCAATTTTAACACATATAGTAGTGTACAAGAATTTTTCTGAGTCAATGTCCAAATTTCATTAAAATAGAAAAAAGCAAGGTCTGAACTCTATTCCATTATCTTTCTCAAATTTCCTTAAAGATAATGGTAATTAATTACATCATTTACTTTAGGGAAAGATATCCGAAAATCAGAAAAATGATAAGATACATTATCTAATTTCCTTTTATTGATACGGTTTATGATTTTAATCAATTTTCTATCTGTCCGAAAAACAGTAGGTATAAAGTAGGTCCACTAGTAGGACCCACCTAAGAAACTCTTTAACAGAGGTCTCTGATTTTTCTTTTCATCTCCTCTGAAACTGCGACGACCACATCTCTGTTCTGTATTTGTTTTTGTTTTGGTTTTATTTTCCCCAGAAATTAAATAACATCATCAGCTTTTAAGAAAAAGGAAAAAAGAAATTTTTTGCCCCAAAAGAAGAGAACAAAATATTGAAATTTGGTCTCCTTGAGATGTGAATAAATGAAGGAAAAAAAAAGGAAATAAAAGTGTTTTGTTAAAATATTTAGAAATTGTAGAAATGGTGGGGGAATTTTAAGTAAAAGCAAGTCTAAACTCTTCCCCACCCACAAAGCAAAAGTCATAACCTTTGACACTTTTTATCTCACCATCTCTCTCTCTCTCACAAAGAAACAAACAAGACAAATCTTTCTCTCTTTATTTTATCCTAAAATTTCCTATCTGATTTCTTCCTCTCTTGAGCTAAATTTTACCTTCTGGGTATTCAAAAAGATCTCATTTTTTCTTCTAGCTCTAAATTTTCTCAGGAAGTTTCTTCTTCTTTTTCTGAAGACCCTTTGTCATGAGCTAATTTTATCTTCTGGGTGTTGTAAAGATCTCATCTTTTAGCTCTAGGATTGAGTGAGTTTCGATTTTTAGTTAGCACTTTTCCTTGGAAGTGATTTGGTGGAACTCATGGTGATTGGTTTCTTCCTAGGTTTATTAGAGATTGACTTCTGGATTTTTCACGCGCCTTTGATTTGATCTAATGTACCCTCTTTTTTTCATGTCTTAATCTGGTTTAGATTTTGATTTTTGAGATCTTTTGTTATAGGTTGCAAGTTCTGTGTTTTTGTTAGGCTTTTTAGTTTCTGTGTTGATTTAGGAGAGATTTGGGTGTTAATTGATTGAGTTTGAGAATTGAGAAATTAGGGTTTTTTTTTGGTTCTCTGATCTGAAACTTGGGTAGAAGAAAAAAATGGAGGAAGTTGAAGCTGCTAACAAATCAGCTATTGAAAGCTGTCATGGAGTGTTAAGTCTCTTGTCACAACAAACCAGTGATCCCAAATCCTTAATGGTTGAAACAGGAGAAGCAATTTCCAAGTTCAAGAGAGTAGCTTCTCTGTTAACTAGAGGGTTAGGCCATGGAAAGTTTAGGAGTATCAACAAGTTTAGGTCATCTTTTCCTCAACAAATCTTCTTAGAGAGCCCTATTTGCTGTGGTAATGATTTAAGTGGTGATTACACTCAAGTTCTTGCACCAGAGCCACTTCAGATGGTTCCAGCTTCTGCTGTTTATAATGAAATGGAGCCAAAACACCAATTGGGTCATTCTCCATTGATGCTTAGTCACAAAATGTGTGTTGACAAGTCGTTTCTGGAGTTAAAGCCACCGCCTTTTCGTGCTCCTTATCAGTTAATCCACAACCACCAGCAGATAGCTTACTCTAGGAGCAATAGCGGTGTAAACCTTAAGTTTGATGGATCTGGTAGTAGTTGCTATACTCCGAGTGTATCAAACGGATCAAGATCATTCATATCATCTCTTAGTATGGATGCTAGTGTAGCAGACTACGATAGGAACTCGTTCCATTTGACCGGATTATCCCGTGGGTCTGACCATATATCGCAGCATTCCCGGAAGATGTGCTCTGGTAGTTTGAAATGCGGAAGTAGAAGCAAATGTCATTGTTCCAAGAAAAGGTTTGTCATTGTTCTTTGTAGCAATCTTGACCCTTTTAATTGTTTGTGTGTCTCCTTGTAAATGTTTGATCTTTTACAGGAAACTGAGGGTAAAACGATCAATCAAGGTGCCTGCAATCAGTAACAAGATTGCGGATATCCCTCCAGATGAGTATTCATGGAGGAAGTATGGACAGAAACCGATAAAGGGTTCACCGCATCCACGGTATATATACATCTTTTGGTGGACGATTCCTTCAAGTTTATGTCGATTTGACATAAATTTTGCTTCTGTTTTTTCGGTTGCAGGGGATACTATAAATGCAGCAGTGTGAGAGGTTGTCCAGCAAGGAAGCATGTGGAGCGATGTATCGATGAAACTTCAATGTTAATTGTAACTTACGAAGGCGAGCATAACCATTCAAGAATATTGTCTTCACAATCAGCTCATACCTGATGAAACAGAGTCTAATATGCCTGTCCCTTTTACGTCTACTCTTGGATTTGAAAGAACAATGAATTTGATTCAAGAAACCGCTCTTTGTAGCTCTGATTTGCAATTGTATATTTCACTTTGACATGAGTTATAAGAGCACTTGTGAACTCGGATTCTGTGGTGGCAGACAGTAGCAAGAAACATCAACAATTTGGTTTCTACCGAGCTTTTTCTTAGATATATGTATGCAACAATATATAAGGTTTATTTATGGCATCTGAATTAGATCAATCGTTTGTTTATACCACCAACAACATTCTTTATGAAAAGAAAAAAAGCTCAAAAAGTAAGTCAAAATGATGAAGAAGATATAACACAACACATTATATATGTCCACTTCAAATAAAAAAAAAAATAATGAAAATGTTCAAATCAAATAAGAAAATGAAATCTTGTGAGCCAGCTCAAGACAAAACTACCATTGTCCAAGATCGATCTTAAATGTGAAAGGCAACACCAAATGATTAACTTACTTTGAGAGAAACATAGGACTCTCTACATGATTCAAATAGACTATGAGAGAAAGATTTTGACGTGCAACAAGTCCTCCAACCTCAACTTGTTTGGCATTGTCTTCCTTGAGATCGTAACTGATCAAATAGACCGGGTTAATCTTACTGACTGGTGCAAATATAAGCTCGCCAGTACTAAGTGTACCCCTGAACATAAAAAATATATTCCTAACTAAATCTGTCCAAGAAGGAACCACGATAGAAACTTTTGACCATTCTTGTTTGCGGGCATCTTCCAGAATCCACAGGTCAAGTGGACCAAATTTAGAGTACTGTCTCGCTAAAGCTATCTTTCCATTGTAGTTCACTAAGCACGGGATATCATGAGGTAACTTAATGACATTAAAGTCTTCAGAATTCAGATCAAAGCTTATTAAAGATCCTTCATTTTGGATCCAAGCATAGTAATACAAAATCCCATTTAGGCATAGCCCTTTAGTAAGAGGAGGAGGAAGATGACGATACTTGCATACGAGCATTCTCCATTTTTGTTTAGCTCCTAGAGTAAAAACTTGATGCTCCTCGGACACATAACGTGAACCACGGTTTTGATGACCACGTAGTACCGTCATGCACAACACTTTGTATACATCATTCAATGGATCATATCCAAAAAGGGAGAATAGACCTCTTCTATTAGTTTTGACTCTTGGTAAAGTTAAGAATTGGCCCGTGCTAGGATTTCCAATCATCACTTTGGTATCAGTTTGACGACAGATCAAGCCGCGGACGGGTGGAGTAAAACCATACATATGAAAGGGATCCATACTTACGTTTAACCTATGATGACCAGAAGATGGATCTTGCTGAGAGAAGGATTGTAAGAACAGCTTCGACGGCCCCAAGTGACGGTAGACTGAGAAAAGAAGACGCGGCCGAGTCGAAGATTGAGTCAGGTACAACTTGGTAAAATCTTTGCCGCGGATTATCGACAACCATTGTTTTGAAACGATGACGAACCTGGCTAGGGATCTGCCCGGAACTTTCAGGAGAACCTCTATTATCAGATCCAGAGGAAGAATCGGAAACTGATGGGTTTCATCGCTTTCGTCTTGTTTCTTAGAACATTTTCGACTGTTCACGGTCATCTCGTTCGTTCTGACTCTTTTCATTGCGTTTCTCAAAACTTCTTCTCTGTTTCGTTATTTTTTACTAATATTTAACCCTAATACTTCGCCGACAATAAACAAACCCTAATATCTTTACCGATTTAAAGGATTTCAAATAAAACCCTAACGTTTACTCTCTTAACCCTAATATCTTCGCCGACAATAAAAAAACAAAAACAAACCCTAATATCTTCTTTAATTACCAATTTAAGAGGTTTGCAAATAAAACCCTAACGTATCCGGCAAATAAAACTCTAAAGCGTTATACAAATGAGGTGTTCGATATTTAGGGATTTGCAAGGTTAGCCTCTTATTTTAAAATTTTGACAGAAAAGTGTTTTTGTTTCTTTTTGGCTGCAATGACAAATTTTATGACAACAAATAAAACTTGGATCGGCGTGATCAATAATTAAGTTTGTATGAGAACTAGTGAACTACAATGGAAAGATAAAATAGGAAGAAACCTCTAAATTTGTATGAGAGGTTGTCTTGCGAGGAAACATGCATGTTGAACGATGTAGATCCGTATATGATGATGAAGATCCGTATAGCCAAAAAACAAAACGCCTTTTGCTCTCCAGATATAAATCAAATAAGAAATCGCATCATGCAAGTTCCACACAAAACCAGAAGTTACTTTAGAGTTTAGACAAATCATAAGCATTGCATTTGCATAATCCGCAAACATACAAAACCATATATTGACCAATATCCGAGGGATATATAACCCATACATTATTACATGTAACATTCTTTATGGAATGAAAGCTTCAAAAAATAAAGGAAACCAAATGATGATAAAGATCAAACTAGACAACACAAAATTAAATTCTTATTCCTCTTCAAATGCGAATCAAATAAGAAAATCAAAGCTTGTCAGCCAGTTCCACAGAAAACTACTATTGTCCGAGATCTTAAATGAAAGGTAACACCAAATGATTAACTTACATTTGACAGAACCATAGGACTCTCCACATGATCGAAATAGAATTCGAGACTAGGAAAGTTATCTCCAATTCCTTCAACCACAACTTTTTTGGCATTGTTTTCCTTGAGATCGAAACTGATAAAATAGAACGGTCTAACTGGACGAGTCGGTGTAAATATAAGCTCCCCGGTACTAATAAGTGTACCCCTGACCTTGAAATAAAGATTCTCATCAACAACTAAATCTGTCCAAGAAGGAACCAAGAGAGAAACTTTTGACCATTCTTGTTTGCTGGCATCTTCCAGAACCCACAAGTAAAGTGCACCTAATTTAGAATGACTCGCTAAAGCTATCTTTCCATTGTAGTTCACTAGGCATTGGATATCCTCAGGTAACTTAATGACATTAAACTCTTCAGATATCAGATCAAAGCTTATCAAAGATCCTTCACTTTTGATCCAAGCATAATAATAAACAACACCGTTTATGCATACCCCTTTAGTAGTAAAAGAAGGAGGAAGATGATCATGGTTACATTCGATCCTTCTCCATTTTTGTTTAGCTCCTAGAGTGAAAACTTGATGCTCCTCGGCCACAACTCTTGATTCACGTCTTTGACGAACTTGTAGTACCGTCATGCACAACACTTTGTATACATCATTCACCGGATCATATCCGAAAAAGGAGAATAAACCTCTCCTCCTAGATTTGACTCTAGGTAAAGTTAAGAACTGGCCCGTGCTAGGATTTCCAATGATCACGGTAGTATCATTTTGACGGCAGATCAAGCCGCGGACGGGTGGAGAAAAAGACCACAAATGACACCGATGCGGACTTATGTTTACCCTATGATGAGGATCAGAAGATGGATCTTCTTGGGAGAAGGATTGTAAGAACTGCGTCGGCATGTAGTTAAGGAAGACTACGAAAAGAAGGCGCGGCCGAGTGAAAGATCGAGTCAAGTACAGCTTGGTAAAGTCTTTGCCACGGATTATCGATGACCAGAGTTTTGAAACGAAGACGAGCCTGGCTATGGATTTGGCAGCTGGCAATTTGAAGAGAATCTCTACTATCAGATCCAGAGGAAGAATCGAAAACGGATCTTTTTTATGGCTTTCGTCTTGTTTCTTAGAACATTGTCCATTGTTCCCGATCGTCTCTTCCTTCCTGACTCTTTTCATGGCGCTTCTCATTTCTTATTCCCTGTTTCCTTCTTTTTTACTCTTAACCCTAATTAATGTCTGCGCCAAACAATAAGAAAACATAAACAATATAGATTTACCAGTTTAAGAATTTACAAATAAAACCCTCATTTTTATGGCCATTCCAATTTATCCCCTGTGTATGGTTTTTTTTTTTTTTGGGTGCAATGACAAATTTTATGCGCACAGAATGTCGTGCAACGGAAAATCACTTGTTATACTATTGATTTTTGCGGACCCTGAACAAAACTTTCATTACTAGACCAAACTCACCTGCTCTTCTTGCTATTTTGTTTCATCTATATATTTAAGATTTATGGCATCTCAAATATGGGCAGATAATTGCATATATAAACCATAAAGGGCTCACCACTACGTGGTATATATACATATTTTTGGAGGTAGCATGTTGACGGATGTATGGATCATGTTAATTGTGACGACTAACGAATCAATCGGAGAATATTTAACACACACACATGTACATAACATTCTTCTTGAAATAAAAGTTCAAAAGGCAATTGAAAATAATGATGAAGATCCGTCTAGCCAACACAAAACTCTTTTTTCTTCTCCAAATATAAAGCCGATCGAAGCTTGTAATTAGATCCAAACAAAACCAGAAGAAGTTACTTTAATAAAGTCGTAAGCATTGCATTTGCATAATCCTAAAGCATACAAAACCATGCATATTGACCAAAAAAGACTTACGAATATGTGAATCAAATGTCTCAATTCCAATAATAAGGAAATGGAACTTAACAAAGAAGAGAAAGGTCGGGCAACACCAAAAGAACAAGTCATCAACAAATTAACTTACCTTTGACAGAACCATATGACTCTCTACATGATCGAAAAAGACATTGACTGCAGCATAGTCTTCTCCAATCCCTTCAATCACAACTTTTCTAGCATTTTTTTCCTTGGGATCGTAACAGAGAAAAAAGAAGGGCGGCTTGGGGGTTGGGAGCAGTGCAAGTATAATCTCACCAGTAGGAAGTATACCTCTGAAGATGAGTCTTTGAACATTCCCAGCTATATCTGTAATAGAAGGAACTATGGCAGCAACTTTTGACCACTCTTCTTTGCTGGCATCTTCAAGAACCCACAGGTCCATTGGACCACTGTATGCCTGACTCACTATAGCTATCTTTCCACTATGGTCCACCAAATTACCAAACTGTTGTAATGTATAATCCTCAGGTAGCTTAGCAACATTAAAGTCTTCAGAGTTCAGATCAAAGCTCATCAGAGATCGTTTATCGTTGAAAGAAGCTAAATAATACAACACCCCATCCCTACATATCCCTTGAGATCCAGAATGATGACGATGTTGATAGTGACATTCGAGCATTCTCCATTTTTGTTTGGGTCCTAGCGTGAAAACTTGATGCTCCTCTGTCATAGGCTCCTCCCACATAGGATCTTCCCATTTAAAATCTTGTGATCCACGTTTAGTTATTACTGTCATACACAACACTTTGTACAAATCATTAACTGGATCATATCCAAAAATGGAGAATATGTGCTTCCTCTGCGTTTTGATTTTAGGTAAAGATACGAACTGACCCGTACTAGGGTTTCCAATCATCGCTTTAGTATTGTTTTGACCGAATATCAAACCGCCGATGGGGGGAGAAAACGAGTACCGTAGATCCCAATTCAGAGTATAACTGACCCTACGATGATCAGAAGACGGATCCTCCTGAGAGCAGGAGTGAAAGAACTGCATCTGCATGTGGGGACGGTACACTGAGAAAAGAAGACGCGGCTGAGCCAAAGATCTAGTCATGTACAAGTCGGTGAAATCTTGGCCGCGGATTATTGATGACCAGTGATTTGAAACGAAACCTAGCCTGGCTATGGATTTCGGCGGCAGTTTCATGAGAATCTCTGTTTTCAGTTCCAGAGGAAGAATCGAACACGGGTCGTATTCATCTCTTTTTTCTTCTGGCTTCTTTGACTTCCTTCCCTTTTTCTTCATGGCGATTTTCAATTCCTCTCACTGCTTAGTGTTTTTTCACTCTAAACCCTAATATCTTTTTCTCTTAAGTTAAACCTAATAACGCTTCACGGCGATACCAATTCCTAATATTTTAAATATTAACAATTTAGGGGTTTGTATATAAAACCTCGTATTTTACAATTTTTAACAGAAAAAGCAGTCTTTTGTTTTTTTTGTTGTAATGGAAACCTTAATGACAAAAACTGAAAAAAAGTTAAATATCAAAGTTTCATCACAACACTGTTGAACTAAGGACTGTCATGTCCGATTGAATACATTTTTGCTATTTCCATTAATCTTTGAAGAGCCTAAACAAAACTTTCATAACTAGCTAGACAAATTCAGCTTCTTTTGATTTTTTTTTTTGTTTCATATAGCACCTCAAATCGGCTGTGGTTTTGTCACCAATGAAGAAGGCTGAAAATGGTGAGCCTATAAGTGGAAACTGATTATATCACTGTAAGCTTTGCAAAACTTCTTAGCTTTTTCGTCAAGTAACAGTAGACTGATGTGTATTCACAGAAGTTGATATGCATTCGCTTCTTCCTTTTCTCCCACTGAAGTTAAACCAGGAAACTGGCCAATATCATGGCCATCAAGAGGACTTAACCTATCATGTAAACCGATTGCAAACTCTTCCGGATTAGCTTCACCGTTCTGCAAGAATTCCGCAATCTACAGGGGAGCAAAATAACAAAACATTTGTTAACTTTTCTTCTGCAATCCGCAAATTAAGAAGAGTAATAGGAAGCTTCTTACATGGTTTCCTAAAGCTGCACCGCTTAAAGCTGCGGATTCTAGGTTAGAACCAAGAAGCCAGTCACCGCATATACCAGCACGGCCTTGTGGATCAAATATACATGGAACTGCAGGAGTGTTCTTCGGCAAAGCTGCTCCCCTGTATGAAAAATATTGAATCACTCCACAAATCTTCAAACATGTTAGCACTGTTGATATAACTATTACTTACCATAGCTGGAGACGTGTGTAAACGGGTTTAGGAAGCGAGCCTTCAGGCAACCCCAATGCGATTTCCACACCTTGAAGCATCCCGGCTTTAACTTTCTCTGTCGTGACCGTTGGGATGTTTTCCTATGAGGAAAAGAGGAAGGACAACCATTTTATTTCTGCTTTTTTGACATTATTTTGTATAGCTTTGAAGAAACTAACCTGAGGAACTTTGTTCTGTTTCCCATATGCTGCAGTACTGAAAAATGTCCAGCAATGTGGATTTCTGCCATTTCCAAGCTTTGCAGAGTTATTTCCCATCCAAGACAATGATTCAACTCCTTTCACAAACGCTCCCTCAAAGTTCACTGTAGGAAGAGGATCATCAAAAGCTGCTAATAGAGCCCATATTGAACTCAAATCCAGTTTCTAGAACAAAACAAGAGGATTGTATCAGAAGTGATCATAGGGCTTCAAAAGAGATCTGTTGCGCTAGATATTCTCTACCTTCATCTGTTTAGCCACTAGGGGCAAGCCTGATGCTGAAAGCAAGCGATTTGCGCATTTACCTGAACAAAACGCAAACCATTTCTATAAAAGAAGACATAACAAAGCATCTGAAGCGATTAAGAGAGAAACCGATACACTTTCTTACCATTATGAGCAATGACTATGACATCAAACTGACCACGAGGTGTTCCATTCTCACTTAAATGCCACATCCCATTAAGTGGTTCCAACTTACTGATCCAACAAGGCCTTACCAGATTCACCATTTGACTCTGCAACAAATTCCAGTATAACTTAATTCAGCTCATAAAATTTTCAAAAAGACTCAAATTTTTTGCTGCACAGATATAACATATCTCACCTCTAATAGCAATGAATCAGCGAGAGATCGCATGCCATTAGCAGCAATGTATCTTGGAGGTGATGATGAGGGAAACTGTGAGAAGCTACCTCCAATTTCAAGCTCTCCCACAGCACCTTTCCACTCTCGAACAAGTCCTTTCTCTAACCACCCATCTACCAATTTGATAAACCGAGCGTCATCAGCAGTGAAGAATTGAGCAGCGTGATCGAAAATCAGTCCCTGTGGTTCAATAATCCTTGTTCCAAGTCTTCCTCCTAACCCATGTATCCCCTACATAAGTGACACAAGATATTCTTACTAAATCTTGGACTTTTAAGTGAAATTACAACAGCAAAAACCCCCAAAGATCACAAATTTCACAGCACATGTTCTACCAAATTCTAATCCAGACTAGAAAAGAATAAAGGAAAGTTTCCAAAGGACATCAACGCAACAGAAAGAGTATTACTTGATTGCTCTGTCCATAAATGGACTAATTCGATTCAATTAGCCACATTTGAGCCCAAAAAACTTGACTTTGAAATGAATTGTGAATATACAACAGCAAAAACACCCAAAGACCACGAATTTCACAAAACCCATTCTACAAAACTTTAATTCAGATTCGAAAGTTTCAAAAGGAACCAAATTGACGAACCGTATCGAAAACTGTGGATTGGACGCCACGAGCTTCCAGGTTCAGTGCGCAGATCAAACCCGCCATTCCTCCACCGATAATCGCCACGTGGGGGTCATCAGAGATTCGTGCGGTGAAAGTAACTTGCTCTTGTAAAAACGATTTCTTGAGGATCGACCTTCTAGAAGTTCCATACTTGGAGGAGTTTCGCCGTTTCTGGAAATTAGGGTTTCTGCTGCTTGGGTTAGACTTCCCAGTGTTCTTTTGGGAATCGCATGTTGTTATAATTTTTCTGGTGGTAGATAAGTGAGTGTTTCTGGGTTTTGCTAGGGTTTTGAGTTTCAGAGGTTGAAGAAACGAAGAAGACAGAGACATTAAAGAAGTGGCCATTGTTGAATTTTGGAGGGAGGCTAAGATAAACTTGCTCGAGTGTGAGAGATTATAATCTGTCATCTTTTAAAATTTCGAAATCGAAAATTACAGTTTTACCCTCTCCTTTCTAAATCTATTTTCTTAATCTACTGAAGATTTTCATAACAAAAGTATATGATAATCAAAAGTATGAATGAAAAATATTCAGTGGATGACATTTCTTTTATACAAATCCCATCTTAAATTGGTCTCAGAAGCCGACAAAAAAATGGGTCTCAGATAGTAATAGTTATCTAAACATGATATATTTTCTAATTAATCGGATATATAATGCTTTCCACCGGAAAAGTATATTAAAATATGCGTTCAGATATTCAAATTAGAATATTTATATAGTCACGCGGTTAGAAACAATTCGGTGTATAAATTAAGTCACACAGAAACAGAAATAAACGCAAACGAAATTATGGATTTGAAGAAAGCAACTTTGCTTTTTTACTTTCTTCTCTTTCTCCACCTGCAACACCACTTTGCTCACGCGATCTCGCGAGCTTCTTCAAGTTTAGCCTCCGTTGATCCAAACCATGACGATCTTCCGGTTCAGCCTGTCGAATTGAAGCCGGATGGTGACTTAATCGCCGCCAATTTAACGGAATTAGCAGTCGTTGTTAAGAAGGGCGGCGGAGGTGGAGGCAGAGGCGGAGGCGGCTTCGGCGGAGGAGGACGCAGTTTCGGTGGAGGAGGGAGTTCTAGCAGAGGCGGAGGGGGGAGTTCTAGCAGAGGCGGAGGAGGGAGTTCTAGCAGAGGAGGAGGGATACGTCCGATTCCGATTTATGGCGGTGGATCGCACCGCGGTGGTCATCATTCAAGCGGCGGCCGGGAAACTGCTAGTGGTTGGTTAGGTCTATCGATTTTAGCCGGTTTGGTTTTGGTTTCCTAGGTTTTCTTATTTGATTTACCGGTTTAGGTTAAATGTTTGATGCCGGTTTCGCTTTCCACTGGTTTGCTCTCATATATCAGTTGTTTAGGAGCTTAATTAAGATTTCCTTGACCGGTTTCGGTCCGTAAATAATTCGATTAGAGAATATATTTCGGAAAATAATCTTACCTGCTAAATTTAAATCCATCAACACTCAAATTTACAAATTTCAACATTAGGCGGAGTTCTTCAACAATCAACATAAAGATTTCATGTTAAAACTTAAAACCGAGAAAGACAGTTACATTGTGAACCAAACATATACCGGAAATAACCGAAAAACAAAGAGTCTTTGTTTAGATTTTAAATTTTCTCCGGTGAGATCAAGTTAGTTTGAGTAAAACACAGACCAACAAAGCATCGTTCATCATCTTTTCAAGCCTCAGAAGCTTCTTCTGAGCATTCGGTCACTGGCTTCAATGCGGCTTTAGCCTTACCAGATCGGACACGAGGGCTGTCGTGCGCAGAATTGGTGTTCTTGTTCTTCTGATCTTCTTTGTTCTGAACTGTTCCAGTGCTGTGTCGGTTCCGGTTAGAGACTGTCTTCAGAACCTCATCACGGGAAGACGAGCTGACTGCGTCGCTGAAGCTTTTTCTCCGAGAAAGGATGAGTTTTGGCGACTTGGGACGCGTCAAAGGAAGCTACAAAGAAACATAGCATAAGTTACTTTGGCACAGAAGTAGAACAATGCTGAACTCTGAACAAAGATAAGAGTTTTGGTTCAAAAGATACCTTCTTGAGCTCAGCTTTTGCAGGAGGTGCCTCGTAGTAGAAGTTGGGGACGGGTTTAGCCTTGAACTTGAGATTCTTTCTAAGTTGTTTCAAGGCTGCTTCTTGTTCTTCCTGCAAGCCATTTAAATCTATGAGGTTTCACAACCACTTAAGAATCAGGTAAAAAAACTGCATCTACGGGAAATGTGTACTTTACCTTTTGCCTCTGTTCAAGCTCATTCCTTTCGGCTTCAAGCGCTTTGTTTTTCTCCTCGAGCTTTTGGTAATACTAAGCCACACAAACCATACAACAAAAATTCCAATCAGTATACATAACAGAGTGAACTCTATATGTTTAGTGCAGATTATATATCTGATTATGAGTATGTTAGATTTTGTTGGATTTACTAGACAACTACTGCGTACTCAACGTTTTCAAAGAGCTTATGTGATCTATAACTGAGATGTGGAAGCAGAAAGAGAGAATATTTATTTACCTCTTTGCGTTTCTCAGCACGTTGAGCACTCTTAAACGTTGGAGCACTTCCATAAGTCAATCCAGACTTACCCATCCTCATGGAAGTTGCCACGCTGTGGTAAATAACGTTAAGGATACAATATCGGTTCTGTTAAGCATCGCGTACATACATACATATGTATCAAGTATTCAATGATAGAGGTGGGAAAAGGATACGAAGAAGCAATTGAGCAATTATCATCGTCATCGATATGCTTCTTGTTCTCGGGTTGCAATGGCTTCCTTACCGCAGGAAGAGGAGCATCCTGCTGCAAAAAAAACATTAAGAAACGGGTCAAATTTGGCTTTAGGCCGCAATCATATACACCTATCTACAATGCATTACTTCCCAATTCTAAAACCAAGATCTTAAGATATTAGTTTTACCTTTGTAACTTTAGCATTTCCATTACGAGTTTTAGGCGATTTCTGTGCTCCAATTCTCTCAGCAGATCCAACATTTGGTGCATTTTCAGAAAGAGACTTCTCCTCTGTGCATTCCTTGACTTCAAATTCCTCATCAGTCTCCTCTGCAGCTATCTTAGGAGCAACGTGAACTCTACCGCTTGAAACGTCGGCGTTTCGGTCCATAAGCACCTCAACAACTTCTCTTCCCATTCCACTAGACATATCACCAATCAAAGACAAAACAAACAGATTCTCTATTACAAAGATTCTCAAAAACCCATTTCAATTTGTAAAATCTCAGATTATCTACACCTTCAGCTTTCTCTATACCCTAGCGACAACAAAATATCATCTTTTTAAAAGTTTGCAACTTTTTTTTTCATCTGACATTTGAAAGTTTGATTGTAATGAAAAGAGATTGGTTCAAAGTTAGAACATTCTTGAATCTGAAATGGTGTGGAAACTGTAGAAAGGGTCACAGAGGAACAATTCAAAAGTGAAACCAACACGCATAAACAACCCAAATGAAGAAAGAGTCAAATTTTCAAAATTTTAAAATATAGATGGGAAAAACAAATAAATTTGAAAACTTTGCATATAGAACAAGGATTTGAGGAAGAGCAGGTACCCAAAAACAGAAGATAAATGATTCAACCAAAATGCAAAACAAAATTGGTTTCTTACAAGTCTTTGTAGGATAGGAGGAAGGATTCTTGTGCACCACCACCTCTGTCTCCTCTCTCCGATGGCCCGTGAGAATTTTGCAGACAAAAAAATAGAAATGAATTGTCTTTTTATCCAGAACAAACTTGTCTCCCTCTCTCTTTCTCTCTCTCAAGAAGAGAAAAAAAGGATTTTTTTTTTTTTTGGGCGGTGACTATTTTGGAATGGTGTTTGATTTGTTTAAGCTGTTGGTTATTTATTGGGACTTTGCATTTTTCAAATTTAATTATTATTTTTTTCAATCGTTTACTTTAATTTTTTGGATTTTATTGGCGCTTTTACTACCGCATGATTCTTCTTCATTTTAAAAAAATCAGGATTTGAAAAAAGTACTACAATATTTTCGTGGAAAATGTAAATCTTGTTTAGTTTTTGAGTTAAATGTATTAAAAAAATCACAATAATCATTTGCTAAGCAGTAGTATCTTAGAAGGAAATTCAAACTCATCAATAATCATCGCGTCACAAGCCGGATACGAATGTGACAAATATACCTCATTTAATAATAATCATAAATACCAATGTGACAAGTTACTTCTATTTAATAACCACCTCTCGACTAACGTGATACCACTATTTAACCCATCACAGGCTTTTTGAGTTTTATCCAAATACGTAATTCCATTGTGTATTTTTATTTTTAACTTTAACCTGGAAAGCAGTAGAGTACGTATAGTCGTATATATCATTTACTTACTTTATAATGTAAAAGAGACCTATAAGCTTTAAAAATGCTTCATGCCTTTCCGAGTTTAAACCTCATTTTTACTTTCCCTCGCTACTTTGTTTAAATTTTGTAGCTTTGTTGGATTCGAAATATGGTCTGGCTTATGAGAACACATACATAAGAGTCATAAAGACATAAACATAAAAAAAATTAGAAAGTATAACATACCGTTTTATACAAACTGAGTTTTATACTACTCCTTCTATATTTTTAAAAAGAGTTGTTTAATTTCAGATATTAGTTAGATGATAATTGGTAGCCTAGAAACGTCCAATTCCGACCGAATACACCTTTTGTTATTTGAAATGAGAACAAAACAATGGTATTCTATTGAATAACGTAGGACCCACGTTGCTTTGGAATAACGTAGGACCCACGTCGCAACTCAAAAATCACAAAATCTTCATCTACCATCCTTTTTGGCGGCAAAATTTCTTAACGAGGATAAACAAAAGGCAAATCGGTCGGTTGGTCCAACAAATGGTCCCAAATAAAAAGATATTGCCTATGAAAAATGGCTACCACCTTCAACGAGATTGGTCTCATGTATTGTGGTCTGTGGACTGTGGATATCTTATATACTACACAGTCTACACACACAGAGAACTTAATTAATGTATATGGTATGATGCTAGGTAGAATCAAATTAAGAAACTGAATTTTTGTCGTTGTTTGGCTTATGATAAGAAGTTAAAATCTCTCTCTACAAGATATCATAATTTTATCCATAACACTATTATATGATATCAACATCTAAAAGACCTGAATTATAATATCCAAAAATTTGTATTTCGCAAAGACAAATATGTTGGTCTCAAATGTCTTATTAAATAAAGTTTAATTTTCAAAATTAGTAACTTACATGATCGCGATACATGATTAAATAAATGATGGGATCCAAAATTTGGATATTTTTCACAATGTTTTGTAAATTTAGTATTACTTGAAAAAAAACTTTTAAAACAAAACCTTTTTAAATAAATTAATAATTGATAATATTTAAATATACTTAACAATACAAAACAAATTGAATTTGTAGAATCACTAATGATCAAAAGAAATGATCAAAAGCGAATACTAATCGTTCGGATTGATCAAACACGAGACATCTTTTGAGTTACAGTTCCAACGACATTGGTCTCTAACTTTGTCAGATTAGCATTAGTCTACATGGAGCATCGGCTTGATGGTCTCGAGATGGAAGATCCTTTTTTTTTGGTTAAACATATATACAGTATTAAAGAAAAAAAAAAAAAATGAGGGTTTTTGTTTTCCTTTAGACCGTATGAGAATTATGCAAGAAGAGATCAGTATATATAGGTTAACCAAAAAAAGGAAATTAGTTTTATCAGAAAAAGGAAATGTTAAGTTGTTCAAAAAAAGGAAATTCGTTTAATCAGAAAAAAAAGGAAATCAAGATTAGATTAGGTTGTTCCTTTATTTATATTTAGGCCACGATAAAATAGAAATTTATCTGCGAAAAAATAATTAAAAAAAATTAGAAATTTATCTCAACGGCAAATCATTTGAGGTTTGCTTATTTGATTGACTGATTATTTAATAAGAATCTAATCCATGGTATATACTCCGTAGATAGATACAATAGATAGATTTTTAAAAGAAACTCAGGCCCATTTAGGTTACAAATATTTTAGGCCCATTTAGATTTACACAAAGGCTCAACCACTAAATTACCTCACAAACATCGGGAACAATCGCTCTTTACTCGGTCAACGAACCGCTTGAAGACGAACACGTGTCAGGTTTTCGTTGGCTTTACGGGAAGCGCAACGAGTGCTATATAAATGCCGTTAAGCCTCGTAACGGTTTTCTAATTCCCCGAGAGTAACCAACAAAAAGCGATCAAAGAACTTTTCCCGTTAGAGAGAGAGACGAAGAAGAAGAAGAAAAGTTACGCAGAGAGACTGATAGAAGAGTGACCGATCGGAGAAAGATGGCGATGGAAGTAGCAACACCGGCTCCGGCACCAATCCCATCGGAGAGGAACATCGTTCTCGCGCCTGCAACAACAACAACCACCGCCACTGTTGAGACTCACAAGAAGAACAGGATCCAAGTCTCCAACACCAAGAAACCATTGTTCTTCTACGTTAACCTCGCCAAGGTAATGATCGGAACCGAAATTCATCACCGGATCTACCGTTTTTCAGATCAAACGAGTCTTCGTTTCTCAATTTTTGACTGATCTTGTTTGCTTGAGTTCGAGATCATCGTAATTGAACAATTTTGACTAGATTTAAGATTGTAGATTCAATAAACGAATCATCGTTGTAGTATCTTGAATTGAACAATCATTCTTCTCCTGGATTTTGATTCTGATCTGGTTTTTGACGATGTCTAGTATTTGATTCAGGATCGATCTTTATCTTATCGGTTTATAACGCAGGATTTGCTATTTCTGTCCACCAAGTGTTTGATTGTATTAGTAAGAGAGTAATTGAATCTTTTCGTTGTTTGATGCAGAGGTACATTCAGCAACACAACGAGGTCGAGCTTTCTGCACTTGGAATGGGTATAGAGACTCTTTCTTTTACTTGATCTTTTCCTATGGTTTGTGTTTAGATCTGTTTCTCATCGTTTGCGTGTATAAATATGTATGATCTAATCTTGTGTATATAGCAATCACTACTGTGGTAACAATCTCTGAGATCTTGAAGAACAATGGACTTGCAACAGAGAAGAGTATGTCAAATCTTTGCGCTTATCATAATCTGTCGTTTAATTCAAGAACTTGGTTCATCGTTGTTTTGTGTTGAATTACAGAGGTGTTAACATCTACTGTGGGAATGAAAGATGAGACCAAAGGCAGGATGGTTCAGAAGGCAAAGGCAAGTTACTTCTTTACTACTTCCTTATCGTTAACCTTTTGACTTTTTACTTATCTCCTTTTGGGTTTGTTATTGTTGCAGATTGAGATAGTGTTGGGCAAGTCAGACAAGTTTGACTCTTTGGTGCCACCAGTTACTAACGGCAAGACCCCGGAGGAGGAAGCTAGTGCAGAGACGGAGGCTTCTGTGGAAGCACAAGAAGAAGTTGGCGCAGCCACCGAGGTCTAGGTTGGAGCCGGTTGAGAGATACACTACAGAAGAAGGATCGATTTCTCTTTTACTATGTTTTGTTGGTTTTTGTTTCGTTTGTGACATATCGAACATAATACTCTAGATATGATAGTAATTGTTTGTTTAGCATGAAAATAGTATTCTTCACTTTCTGCTTCCATTTAGGATCTTGAACAATATTGATATGAATATTTTACTGTGATTTTTTCTCAACTTTTCCAGACTTCATTCCTTTTTAGCATTTTTCAAACAGTTTGTGTAGAGATAAAACAAATATAATGTTTTCGATTTAGGCCAACTTATTTCGTGGTAAGCACTCATCAAACCAGTTGCAGAAAAATATAAATTATTAATCATACAGTATCATAGGACAAATCAATATAAGTTGTTGCAAAAACTATTATAATCAGGCGAGAAGATATTGTATAGACCAAACAAATGGTGAAATCTTAACTCCAAATTTTTAAAATAATTATTGACTTGGGTAAAATGAAAACAAATTTTCGATAAAGTGAATATCTGCAAAATAAATGCAATATTAGTAAAATATTTAGGAGGGCTTACAATTTTTTATTTTGTAGAATTTAGAACGGCTTACATATATAAAGCCAAATGATTCTTAGTACAAAAGTATCATAAGTTTTAAATGACCGAAAAAATAAGAAAAATCAATGTTAAAATAGGCCTTGAAGCAGACCAATGGCCCATACGAATTTGACTTAGGATTATAAATATGCGGCCTAGTTTATGTTTGTTCACTTGCAACTCTTTTGACGATTCTAGAAGCTGTTAAAATTAGAAGGACTAAAGTTGTAATAAAAGTAAAGTTGAGTAGTTGTCGATCTCAACTTTAAGATAATTTCACCCGCCTCCATTGTTACCGGAATCTCTCTCTCTCTTTCTCCGCCGAACCTCTTCGATTCAAGTTTCCGTTTATCACTCTACTAGTGTTTAAGGTTCCATTGATACCACGTAAGTTCACTGGGTTTTCTTTAAGCCTAATCTAAGCTTTTGGACTATATTTCTTACTTTTTTATTGGCAATTCTAGGGTTCCTCGCTGGGTCTATGTGGTCGCTGTGTTAATTTAGGGTTTTCATTAGTCGGAAGACGAAATTTTCGTGTTTCCGAGTACTCTTAGGTTTCAATGTGCTTATATTTTTTATTTGCTACTGCCTCTAGGGATGCTATCTTCTGCAGATTAAGCTTAGCGTAGGCTAAGTTGATACCTTTTATATGAAGCAGCTATTAGATGACCTAGAATTATTGTTAGATTTTGAATTAGCATATTGTTGGCGAAGCTGTTACATTTCTATAGATGCTAGTGATGCAATGTTTTAGTTCTAGGCGTTATTTTTTTTTTCTAACACTTACTTCTATAGATATTTCTCTGCAAAATATCTCCAACAAGTTATTGTATGTTTGTATATGTATAACGGGACTAATGTGTGTGTATCTGGACTCTGATTTTATGTCAGCGCTCTAGTCATGGCTGAAGCTGAAGATCAGCAAAATTTTGTTGCACATAATGGAGATCAGGTACCAGCTCAGGGGTTAGATGAGGTGCATAATGGGTTACCGTACCAGGTCCACGATGAGACCCTTGTTCACCAACCATACGAGGTACCGGATCCGATTCTTGAACCTCAGCAGTACGAGGTACCAGATCCGATTCTTGAACCTCAGCAGTACGAGGTACCAGATCCGACTCTTGAACCTCAGCAGTACGAGGTTCATGATCAGTTAGAGTATCAACAATACCAGTTGCAGGCCCAGACTCATGAAGATGTCCAAGATCAGCCGCAAGATGACCTACAATATCAGCCACAAGATCAGGAGCAGTATCAGTTACAAGACGAGGCTCATGATCAGGCTCAGTATCAGGCGGAAGGTGAGGCACAAGATCACAATGGTGATGATGTGCAAGATAAAGTAGAAGATGAGGAAGGAATTCCTGAGCATCTTGAGTCTCTAGAGAAATCAGAGTCTGAAGAAGGTGCAACAGTTGGAGGTGAGGAGAAGAGGTGGCCGGGATGGCCCGGAGAGACGGTCTTCCGCATGCTGGTTCCTGCACAGAAAGTGGGTAGTATCATTGGTCGCAAAGGTGATGTCATTAAGAAAATAGTTGAGGAGACAAGGGCTCGAATAAAGATTCTCGATGGTCCTCCAGGCACAACCGAAAGAGCTGTAAGTCTCTAAATCTTTTTTTCCCTGCCTTTACATTTAATGTTATATGAGTTGCAGCTATGAGTCAAATAATGCTCTTGAACCAAAACTAAAATCCTAATTATAAGAAAATTAATATAGTAGAATATATACACTTTTTGGCTGTATAAGTCACTGATCTAAAGTTTTCAGGCTCTAGCTTTTGTTAAAAAATGTAAAGGCCATGAAATTTTAGTTAAAAGGCAACCCTTTTCATATTCTCCCCTTGACCTTAATAATATATAAGTAAACTGATAGGAAACTGCACACCCCTTTAACTCAAAGAAGTTATGAACAAAGTCATGTCAGAAAAGTGTTTTAGTGTGGCTGAGTGATATGATCTGAGCTGCTAAAAAAGTGTTGAAGAATGTAGTGCATCATGCGAAACCACCTTAGTTAGTAAATTAAGCCTATATCGAGTATAGTAACCAGCAGGCCTGCTTATCATTTTCCTTCAAGTGAAAGGAGGAAGTTAATCGACGAAGTTGATAAGATGTGAGTAGGGTTCCCCTTTATTGCTGTGACCACCATGAATCTGTGCAGGTTTTATCTTCCAAGTTTTATGGCAACAAATCAACCACCGGTAAGGTCTCAAATATGAAGAACCAAAGCCAGATAGCAAGGATTCAGCCTTGAGCACTACAAAGTGCTGATAAGTTTATCGAATAGGCAAGATTCTTCTTGTGTAAACCTCAGTGCCATGATCTGCATTCTTGCTGGTAACTTCAGTACCTGGATGATTGATGTCTTGCTGCAGAAAGTCTGCAGCATGCAAGGACCTGCTTAACCGGATGTAACAATATGTTGACGATGAGATTATGGTTTAGGCAGCAATTAAGTAAAGAGAAATTTTAAGATTGCATGAAAAAGATTCTATGAAGAGCTTTTTTAAGTCTAGAAGATTGGTAATGGCTGCTATGGCATCTTAAAAGGCGATAACCTAATCACCATGGGTAAACTTTAAATGAAGATCATAACAGGAAATAAACATCTAACTGGTCAAAGTGCATTTAAGTCTGTACCTCTATGGAATTTTCTTTATGATTTGAGAAATATGGCACCAAATAATAATTGGTATAGAAACTAAGATCGCTGTTTGTAAAATGTTTTAGTCATTCGGTAATGTTGTCTACTTGTTTCCTCTTTGTCGGCAGGTTATGGTTTCTGGTAAAGAAGAGCCCGAATCATCTCTACCACCTTCTATGGATGGCCTTCTTAGAGTGCACATGCGGATAGTTGATGGTTTGGATGGTGAACCTTCTCAAGCCCCTCCAGCGTCAAAGGTGTCAACAAGATTACTAGTCCCAGCATCTCAGGCTGGAAGTTTGATTGGAAAACAGGGAGGAACAGTTAAAGCTATTCAAGAAGCATCCGCTTGTATAGTCAGAGTTCTTGGATCAGGTTCCTTCTCTTCACAATTTACATGCTGAAAAAATTCTTTCTTGCTTTGTGTTTTTGGTTTCAGTTGTGCTATGCACTATTCCCTATTTTTCCCATATTTGTAGAGATAAAGGCCACTGGTAATTTTGTATCTTATTTTCATGTGCAAATTTGCTTGAACCATACTCAACATCAACTTTTCAGATTGGCTTATATTCGGAATAATTTCAACTTTCGTTTGGTGTGTGTTTCATTTATTCTTTATCCATTGGGAGTTCTAACTGAAATTTGTTATGGTGGATTTTTGTAGAGGATTTGCCTGTATTTGCTCTTCAAGACGATAGGGTTGTTGAAGTTGTGGGGGAACCAACAAGTGTTCATAAAGCCTTGGAGCTGATTGCATCACATCTAAGAAAGTTCTTGGTTGATCGTAGCATCATCCCGTTCTTTGAAAATCAGGTTATCTTTTGTTCCGATTGATCTTTGGCAATGTTTTTCATTTGTCTCTCTATGAACTTTTTTCTTTACTCTGCGTTTTAAACAGATGCAAAAGCCAACTCGCCAAATGGATCATATGCCACCACCACACCAGGCATGGGGTCCTCCTCAAGGTCATGCCCCAAGTGTTGGTGGAGGAGGCTATGGTCACAACCCACCTCCATATATGCAACCACCTCCTAGACATGATAGTTACTATCCTCCTCCTGAGATGCGTCAACCTCCAATGGAGAAACAGCCTCATCAAGGTATATCTGCATATGGTAGAGAGCCTCCTATGAATGTGCACGTATCATCAGCCCCACCAATGGTCGCTCAGGTATTCCGCCAATCTCTGCAACATGTTGTGAAGTCAATTTTTAGAAGTTAACTGTTCAATCTACTACAATTTATGTATGTAAGTAAATCACATGAAAATCTGAGTGGTGTGGGGATTTGTTTGTTTTTGCAGCAAGTTACGCAGCAAATGCAGATTCCACTTTCTTATGCTGATGCTGTAATTGGGACATCAGGTTCAAACATAAGCTACACTAGACGTCTTAGTGGAGCAACAGTAACTATTCAGGAGACCAGGGGAGTACCTGGTGAAATGACTGTTGAGGTTAGCGGAACTGGCTCACAAGTCCAAACTGCTATGCAGCTTATTCAGGTACCCCTATATTCTCACACCAGATTTCTTAACCAAAGTATCCATTAAAACCGCAAAAACGAGACAGAAGCTAGTGTTTTTTGATGATGAAATCTGACTGTTGATTGTGTTTTATGACAGAACTTCATGGCTGAAGCTGGAGCGCCAGCACCAGCACAACCTCAAACTGTAGCACCAGAGCAGCAAGGCTATAACCCATACGCAACACACGGCTCTGTCTACGCAGCGGCTCCAACAAACCCGCCTGGAGGATACGCTACGGACTACAGCTCAGGCTACGGTTACTGATCAAAGCTTTTAAGTCTCTTTAGAATGTTTTACTAGTAGTTGCAAGCAAGAGTGAAAACGCTAGATGCCTAATCGAGTATATGTTGTTATTAGCGAGCACCCTGTGTACTGAGAATCAATTATTATATCAGTTGTTTTGAGACTTCTTCATTTGTGTACTGTTCAAAACGTTAGTCTATCATCTTGATTTCATTTTCATATGATGTTAGAGGGGTAGTAAAATTAAGAGAGCAGAAAAAGAGAAAGAACAAAAAACTGAGTTACACAAACGTTGACGTATGGTGAAGTCAGCTAATCAAACAATATTAGAAGACTAAAATATCAAACTTGACTCAGATATGGTAGAAGCCTGAATCTGCTTCTCCTTTCTCTCCTAGAAAAGCATGGAGTGGAGATTGCTTAATGCTGCAGCTGCAGGGGACATTCGTCTCCTTGATCTTACCACATTTCACCAATCAGAATTCGACAAGAGAACACCACATAACAACAACGTTCTTCATATTGCAGCTAAGCATCAGAGGTTGGATTTCGCCACAGCCATACTTAATCTCTGCCCATCACTCCTCCTTGGAGAAAACAACAATGGAGACACACCTCTACACGTTGCAGCTAGTGTCGGTTCCTTTGAAGTTTCGAAACTTCTTGTCAACTCAGCCAATCAAGTAACTTCAGATGTCGAAAACCGGGGATTAACTGACACAAGGATGCAGCTATTGAGGAGTACTAACAAGCAAAACGATACAGCCTTACATGTAGCATTCAAGAATAGACATGTTGATGTAGCTAAGTTCTTTGTTGAAGAAGACACACGATTGTTAATGCTAGATATGGTCAATAGCAACATAGTATCTCCTTTGTACTTAGCTATTGAAAGAGGGCTTTTCAACATTGCTGATATTATTTTGGAAATATCTCCTTTGGTTTCCTGTAAAGGGCGTAAAGGTCTGAATGCTCTGCACGCCGCTGTGGATTCTGACATTGTCAGCACCGGTAATCGTTTACCTCTCTTTGGAACTTGATTTTGGTTAATCTTTTTGCACTTCTGTAGTATTAAGTGTCATGGATTTCCAACTCAAAACTAATTGGTAATGAGTGGATTGGTCATATCTCTTGTATGTTTACTCTTAAGTGGCATCTCACTTTCCGATGTTGGATTCCTAAATCCTAACATGTAGGATTTCTTGTTTGGTTAGGTTTCTTGAGAAAATTGATGGAGAAAAGGCCAGAAATGATCAAACAAGTTGATGTTATTGGATGGACACCTCTTCATTATTCGGAATGGCTAGGGAAAACCGAGATAACTAGACTCTTGCTTCGACACGATAGCTCGGCTGCTTATATATCTGATAAGGAAGGACAATGTCCGCTTCATCTTGCGGCGTCTACTGGCCAACTTGGTGCATATAGAGAGCTTGTTTGTAGCTGTCCTTATGTTTGGGAACTAGTTGATGGTAAAGGCAGAACATCTCTTCACTCTGCAGTCATATCAGGACAAAGAGGCATCATTCACTGTATTCTAGAGATGCCTGAGATTTCTCTTTATCTGTTGAACGCAAGCGATGCAGAAGGAAACACACCTCTCCATCTATCGGTTAGTCACAAATGTTACTCGATATTGCTGCTTATTTTACGCAACAAGCGGGTGGATAAACATGTTATGAACCATAATCACTTCACAGCTGCAGAACTCTTTTACACTCAGAAGCAAGAGGTACAAAAACTAGCTTAGTCAAGTGATGATGTTCTTAGATTAAGCTTTGGTTTTTCATAGCCCATCAAACACATAGAACCTACGTCTGTCTCTGTTAGGAGTTGCAAACAAAACAAGCTGAAGTAGTGCTCACCACAACAATAGCTTAATAATTAATGAAGATGCGATGCTCATAGATTTGAAAGCTGGTACGTCCATCAACGCAGGTGTACCGTCAGGTTTGTAACCGCCAGGTAACTGGAATGCTGCAGCAAAAGCTACAGTTGCAACAAGAACCGCGACTAGAAGATGAACCTCGTACATTGCACCATCATTTCTTGCATTGCTTGATTCAAGATCTGCCTTTTCTTGCTTCTTCTTTGTCTCTAAGTTATGTTTATGAGACGGTTGTTTGTAGTATATGTAAATATAACCTCTGCTTGAGGTTTTCGACTTTGAACAAATCCAACCTAAAGCTGTCTGAAAATCAAAGTGTCTCTCTCATTTGTCTTAATGTCTTTTAGTATACTACTGGATTTGATTTATGTAGTTAAATACTTCATTACCTTTGGTGAAATGTTGAAAACTTTTATAACTAAAAAAAAAGGATAGAGCCCAAAAATAGAAAGAGAGAACAAAAACAGTATTGTCTTGGCCAAAAGTCCACTGCTTGTAACGGAGTTAAATGTACCTTCTTGTGGGTGCTTGTTTCTGACACAAAAAGTGAAGAAAGTAAGGGGAATGTTGAAGGCCGTTGCAGCAACTTGAGCAACCTTTGCAATGTGCAGTGGTGAAGAGAGTGAGAGTAATGTGTGAGTGTGATGGATCCTTGCACTTGAAAGTTCATCTCCTAAAGTGAAGAAAACATTAAAATGAAACTAGCATAATGATTGGACAAATTTGTACCCATGTTTAGAAAATACTCAACTCACTTAGTTTGATTTCTTCAGCTGCGATTCTTTGAATCCAGTTTTCAGTTATAAGCTCCAACCTATAAAAATGGTTGCAGAACAAAATGAAGAGGAAATTTTTAGTATCTCAAAGTCCAGATTCTAGTTTTTTCAATTGTATCTAAAACACACACAACTTTCAGATTGAAGAAAATCTGAATTTCATTCTCAGCAGGGGCTAATATAAAAATGACAAAATTTTGTCTATAAGAAGAAGAAGCATAAATTTTATAATAGGAGGAGGAGGAGGAGAGGAGCTATATGTCTACTATTTTTAGTTTTTTAGGCAATCAGAGTGCTCCACTTCATATCCCACTTTTACCAATCGCCCGATTTCACACCCACTCTCACCCATCTCGCGTTGAGCGCGTGTCTCTGATTTCTAAAGGGGTTTGCCCACAGAAATCATGCCTTTTTTGGTCCACGCACCTCATTCTCAAAACCCATCGCGTGTCTTATTTTTTTTGGTTTTCTCCTATAAACCAATATTAACCGAACTCAAATCAATTCTAATTTTAAAACCAATGTAAACCCACTGCTGTGAGTGTGACGCCGCCGGCAAAAACCAAAAAACTCGGCGACTGTAACAACAAAAATGGAGACGACACAGAGGTACTACTTGGAAGAGAAATCAAATCGAAAATAGTAACGAGAATGTTGAAAAACCCCTCGCTTCCTTTGATTCCAACCTCCAAAAGCCCATCTGCTCAAATCTTCATTTCGAGGAGTATAACAAGGTACCTCTATAGAATCAATGACACTTCCATGGATTTTGAAACTTTGCTTCTAATAAACAACATTGTAATCTCTTCTTGTCTTGTGTTTAAGGAAGAAAGGATAGTGAAAGCTGAAGAGTGGGATTCGTTTAAGGAATTTCTTCGTAAGCCATTACCTGCTGCTTTCAGAGTTACTTCCAAGTATGTATCCTTGGATTCTTGAATTGCTAAGTGTTACTATACTTCAAAGTAAAAAGTTTTTTTGACTTAGTGGTCTCTGTTTTTGATTCTTCAGTGGTCAATTTTGTGATTAGATTCGATTGAAATTGGAGAATGATTTCATGAAATATCTTCAGGCTGAGGTAACTTCATGACTCTGCTTTTTTCTAGTGTCTCATACATAATAAGCTGTCTTTTGTCTACTCATATGTTTGTTTTTGTTTTCCATACTTAAGGCTATAGAGAGTGGTGCATTAGAGGCTATCAAGCCTTTGCCTTGGTACCCTAAGAATCTTGCTTGGCATTCTAATTTTTCACGCAAGGAGATTAAAAAAAAATAGATACTTTTGAGGTACATTTTCATGCCAGTTGCTTCAGAACAAGTATTCAATTCCATTCGATTACTTGTTTTAGTTCATGCTTTCTTCTAGTTATTTAGCTTTTTTTATCGGTGTCTTATTTCAGGTTTCATGAGTTTCTTAAGTTAGAAACTGAAGTTGGGAACATGACCAGGCAAGAATCAGTTAGCATGGTATGGTAGTGTGACATTCTTTAATGACAATTCATCGGTACATTTTATAGTTTTCCTGGTCGATTTTATGATTACGCATGTACCTCCTCTCTTCCTTGATGTACATCCAGATCATTTTGTTCTCAACAGTGAGTGATTTTTATTCGACATTGTTTGAGATGGCTGTGGACTTGAGGACTAATGGTTAACTGATTCACTTCTCTCTTTTTGTCTGAACAGTGTGTGCTGCACCTGGTTCCAAGACATTTCAGCTGCTTGAAATAATCCATGAATCATCAGAACCAGGATCTCTACCTAATGGAACGGTTCGTAATACTCTAACATCTTTACTCATTTTTCGTTGATAGATCATGTTTTGGATCTAATTTTTGTTTGGTTGAAAATATCTAACCTTCTTATTCACCAAACGAAAAGAACATGTACCACCAACATGATGGTCGCTAACAACGCAGGTCAACATTTCCCCATCTGCAACACCAAGAGAACCTTGTCCGTAGCATCTGAGATTAATCCCCAAAAACCCATCGCGTTGACCTCTTTGCTGCAGCCAAGAAACACCTCCAGTTCCTCGGAGCTGTTGATCGCAACCGTTGTCTCTACAATGGCCCTGCACTCCAAAGAGTCATCTACAGGTTTAATCACCAATTCGTTAATATACTCATTCACGAATCTAAGTTAGCGTTCGTGTTTCAAAACTCTCAAATTTGGATGATTTTTTTTTACAGATACAATGCTTACTGGCTTCCCTTGCTTGCTCAATACACCGAGTCTTCTTTGATGTATGCGTTTGGCATTGCCACAGGCTTAATCCGGTAAATCAATATCGATATTTCAAATCGGGTTTAAATTCTTTGTTGGATTGCATACAAGCTCAAAATGTTGTTAATCATATCAGGTGAGGTACAAGACTGACTGTGAGCAATTCTATGGGAGAGTTCTCGACAATTCTGGCGTTGTATCTTCCGTAAATGGAAATGGCATATCACAAACTGATACTCTATGGAAAAGATTGTATCCTATGGAGCCTTATGACCTTTATTTTTGGACAAGGCAATCTCAGAGCCAGCAAATATCTCAGCTCTGCAGAAATTAACCACTTATGATCTTGTTTCAGCTGTCAAGAGACAAAGCCCATTTTACTACCAGGTAAAATCATTGTCAGCTTTTTGTCCCAAACCACTTTGTTGTAAGGTTTTGTAATATTCGACTTTGTTTGTGTGTATTTGTTGCATGTTTCAAGAGCTCATGTAGATAATGATGTTTTTCTGCAAGCTGTGGCTATATACAAAGCATTTCTCTACTTGATCAAGATAAAACGAGAAAGGTCGATCAAATTTTTCCGTGTTCCGACTTACGATATTGATCTTATCTGGCACACACATCAGCTCCATGCTCTCTCTTATTGCAATGATTTGACTAAGATGATTGGTAAGGTCAACCTGAAGCGCTTACGACAGTCTTATCGGGTTTTGGAGTTGTAAATTTTCCCTACAGTTATATATCGCTCTTCATTAGGTACTTCCCTATATAATTGTTATTATATTCTCATCTTCTACCTTGTGCCTTATTCTTATTGTAAATGGGTTTGTGGATTTTGATTCCAAGTAGTTGAACTCTGAATGAAGCTTTTCATCTTCTGTGATGTAAATGGATCTACACTGATAGAAGAGCAGCTGCATTGGACAATTTCTGATCTGACAGCACGTTTTCTTGTCTCTTTGTAAACATATAGAGAGATTGAAGAATCAGAAATACAATCACTGGAAAGGCAACTGATGCAATCAATGGAGACTTGCATAGCTAAGAAAGATAATTATTTTATGTCAAGTGTCTGTTGTGCAGTCGGTTCAAGATGACCAAGAGGAGCAAGGTCAGTATTAGACGCAGTTTTGCCTGCACAACATTGTCTTTCTACGAGTGATCTTACATGTGCATTCTTTGACTCTATTACGTGTTTCATTATGTGAAATAAACCATCTGAATATATTTCACCTTCTTTCTGTGAGCTGGAAAAATCTAGATGTTTCGAAAATAGGTTGGTTTCTCATGAGCACCTTACTCTATGTCTTGCTTGCCAGTGCTAAAGAGCAGAACGAAAAGTAAAGTCCAGACTACTCTGATTGTCAAATTTTTTTATTTTCGCGTCATCAGGAGAATGGTTTGCTCATGTTAGGTGGTGTTGGCTAGAGTAGAAAGAGAATGATGTTACAGTACTTTTACAATTTAGTTGTGGCGATATACTAGTAGTTCAGTGGTTAAACCAACAGCATTGAGAAAAAGAATAGTTGCAGAACAATAGCTTTCTTACCAAAGAGGAATACTTACATAAAAACTTTACCGTACAAATGAGACCTTTAATTTAGTAAAGAATTATTCGAGTAACTTGAGATCAGTTCAGTCCGTCTATTGTTGGGATAATAAGGTTGTTGAGTTGTCACAGTTTGCCCCTGTTGCCAGATTATAGCCAGGTTAGCATAGGACTATGTATTTTCCCTTTAACATTTTTTGTGTGCATATTACATAATAAGATGAGATATCAGCTCAACATATTAATTACTATCTAGTGATAACTTCTTTACTTCTTTGAAAGGAGAGCGTTCTCTATGCAGAATGGGCATCCTACACAATTTTCATAGATCTCAATTGGTGGATAGATTTATGCTTTGGGGACATCTTTTCTCTGTTTGGTTCTGGTATGTGCAGTTTAAAGCGGAATGGTTTATTAGATGAAAATGTCTCCGATATCTCTTGTTAAATTTTGTCTCTATTGTAAGTTTGTAACTGTGAACTAGTATTTCTAAATTCCCTATTTTTCCTTTGTTTTATCTGCAGTCTCGACAAGTGTCGTTTTCAAGGAGGTATTATCATGCCCTTATTGCCTTATACACTTTACTATGAATACTTGCAGCGTTACATCATTTATTTACTTTTTACGACATGGAATAGTGATTAGCTTGTTTACAGGCGGGCACGAAAGATCCTGTCACGATGTCGATGATGATCAGCATATTCTTGCAGTTCTTTGATATAGGAGTAGATGCGGCATTGCTCTCACAAGTTTGCGTGACTTTGGATTTTTCATTTATGGAGCAGTTGATCCAACCAGGCTTGTTAATATTCTTTCTCCTTACAAAATGTCTTCCAGTTGAAAAGCTATAGGACTAATTTTTCTCAATACTAACTATACTTTCATAGGGCCTTTGATGGGATGAGAATTTTGTCAATTCTCAGACCTTGTTACACTAGATGACTTTTTATCTTCAAAAATGGTACCTTGTGTAGGTGTGATTATCTCTCTCTGTCTTTATTATTTTCAGAATATTTCCCTGTTGTTTATTGGGATGTTGATCGTGATATCAGTGAGGGGATTCTTGACAAATCTGATGAAGGTGAGTTCTGATTTTAGCTTTTAAATTCGTCTTTATATGATCTTGTTACCCACTTATTTTGGAACTGTAGTGTCTATGAAAAACTTGCTCTGGCATTACCATGTTTAATATGTTAGACAGAGTCTTTCACTTCTTTTAGCTGGTGCTAACTTTCCTTGTGACGGTCACATAGTTTAAAGCAAATTTGGAGTGATTGAATTAAGTATTTGCCGCAGTAGCATTACGGAACTACTCAATGTGATAAAAAAAAAAAACGAATTTCTCAATTAATGGCTACTTTCTTGTTTGGCATTAGTCTGGTGATTTTACATTTTAGTAAATGAGAACTCGCAATATACTGAAAGCTTTTGGTTTTATGCAACTAGAGAGATGGAGGCCGGGGAATTCGATATAGCTAGACATAGCCATCGGTTGTTTCATGTTCTGGTGGTTGCTGGTGTGTCCACGCACTATAGAGCTGGGCTTGTGTATCTTAAGTGGAGAGACATTGAAGGATGTTGAAGATGAAGATTGAAGATTAGATGGAATCTTTGATGTTATAAATCATGTTTGTAGTAGCTTCATATAAAAGTTGGATTATGTAAAGTCTTAAGTGTAATCAAATGTTTAATTTTTTCCTTTATTCAACAAAGAATTCAGAAGCTGACTGACAGAAGAATGTTGTTACAAGTTGGATATCTAAGGCTGTCTTGCTAGTTATATGACAAAAGGCTGAAACATGAACATTTTTTGTCTTGATTGCAGCACTCAAGCGTATCATAATTCAGTGTCAACCTCAAATAAGCCTACTTGTGAACCAGACACAAGCCTAACTGGTTCCATCACAGAGGATAGATACTTTGGTTCTGATCTTCTTCTTGAAGGTAAATTCATGACTACCTTTTGATTTTCTAGTGTCGAAGCTCTATTGAAGAAGAAGAAGAAGATTCCGAAGCTAACAAAGGAGAAGACGAGAGTGGATTGATTGCTCCTCTCTGATGATATTCGTGCTTCTACACTCACAGAGACACACTGTTTATTATTGTTTTCAATATATGAGAGGAGGAGCACCCATACTATTTTCATTTTTTCAACCAATCAGAGGGCTCTATTTTCACATTTTCCGAATAAAAAAATGAAAAAAGAAAACTATCACAGCCAGTCTCAGCAAGTGCGCGTTGAGCGCGTGTGTCCAATTTCTAAAGGGGTTAACCTACAAAATCATGCCTATTTTTGGTCGACGCTCTTCAATCTAAAAAATCCATCGCGTGTCCTATTGTTTTTGGTTTTCTTCTCTAAACCAAAGTAAACCGAACCGAGATCAATTTTAATTTCAAAACCAATTTAAACTGAACCGCACAGAAGACAGAGATAAGCGTTGACCTCCTCCATTGCTGCAGCCAAGAGACAACATCAAGTTCGTCGGAGCTGTTGATCGGAACAGTTGTCTCTACGATGGCCCTGCAATCGAAAGAGCCATCTACAGGTCTAAGATAGAGATTTTGTTTCAACAGATAGAAGAATGCTTACTGGCTTCCCTTGATGCTCAATACACCGAGTCTTCTTCCATCTGTGAAGGACCATTAGTCCCTCCTCTTGACTGTGATTGCCACAAGCTTAATCCGGTAAATTGATATTTCGAATCCGGTTAAATTCTTCATTGTTGGATTGTATAGAAAGCTCAAAATGTTTTTGTTAATCATTTCAGATGAGGTATAAGACTGATTGTGAGCAATTCTATGGGACAATTCACAAACTGAAACTCTATGGAAAAGATTGTATCCTATGGAGCCTTATGACCTTGACTTTGCTCAATATGACCTTTATTTTCATGTCTCAGCTCTTGATAAATGCACCACTTATGATCATGGTAGCTTCTTCTCCCAAACCACTTTGTTGCCAGGTTTTGTAATCGGTTTCAAGAGCTCATATAGACAATGATGTCTTTCTGCAAGAAGCTGTGGCTAGATACAAAGCATTTCTCTACTTGATCAAGGGTAACCAAGAAAAGTCTATCAAACTTTTCTGTGTTCCTGACTTACGATATTGATCTTATCACATCAGCTTCATGCTCACTCTTACTGCAATGATTTCACTAAGATGATTGGTAAGGTCTTGGAGCATGATGATACAGACTCTGACCGTAGTAAAGGTAAGAAGCAACAGTAACTATTCAGGAGACCAGGGGAGTACCTGGTGAAATGACTGTTGAGGTTAGCGGAAACTGGCTCACACGTCCAAACTGCTATGCAGCTTATTCAGGTACCCCCCTATATTTCACACCAGATTTCTTAACCAAAGTATCCTCTAAAACCGCAAAACGAGACAGAAGCTGGTGTTTTTTGATGATGAAATCTGACTGTTGATTGTGTCTTATGACAGAACTTCATGGCTGAAGCTGGAGCGCCAGCACCAGCACAACCTCAAACTGTAGCACCAGAGCAGCAAGGCTATAACCCATACGCAACACACGGCTCTGTCTACGCAGCGGCTCCAACAAACCCGCCTGGAGGATACGCTACGGACTACAGCTCAGGCTACGGTTACTGATCAAAGCTTTTAAGTCTCTTTAGAATGTTTTACTAGTAGTTGCAAGCAAGAGTGAAAACGCTAGATGCCTAATCGAGTATATGTTGTTATTAGCGAGCACCCTGTGTACTGAGAATCAATTATTATATCAGTTGTTTTGAGACTTCTTCATTTGTGTACTGTTCAAAACGTTAGTCTATCATCTTGATTTCATTTTCATATGATGTTAGAGGGGTAGTAAAATTAAGAGAGCAGAAAAAGAGAAAGAACAAAAAACTGAGTTACACAAACGTTGACGTATGGTGAAGTCAGCTAATCAAACAATATTAGAAGACTAAAATATCAAACTTGACTCAGATATGGTAGAAGCCTGAATCTGCTTCTCCTTTCTCTCCTAGAAAAGCATGGAGTGGAGATTGCTTAATGCTGCAGCTGCAGGGGACATTCGTCTCCTTGATCTTACCACATTTCACCAATCAGAATTCGACAAGAGAACACCACATAACAACAACGTTCTTCATATTGCAGCTAAGCATCAGAGGTTGGATTTCGCCACAGCCATACTTAATCTCTGCCCATCACTCCTCCTTGGAGAAAACAACAATGGAGACACACCTCTACACGTTGCAGCTAGTGTCGGTTCCTTTGAAGTTTCGAAACTTCTTGTCAACTCAGCCAATCAAGTAACTTCAGATGTCGAAAACCGGGGATTAACTGACACAAGGATGCAGCTATTGAGGAGTACTAACAAGCAAAACGATACAGCCTTACATGTAGCATTAAAGAATAGACATGTTGATGTAGCTAAGTTCTTTGTTGAAGAAGACACACGATTGTTAATGCTAGATATGGTCAATAGCAACATAGTATCTCCTTTGTACTTAGCTATTGAAAGAGGGCTTTTCAACATTGCTGATATTATTTTGGAAATATCTCCTTTGGTTTCCTGTAAAGGGCGTAAAGGTCTGAATGCTCTGCACGCCGCTGTGGATTCTGACATTGTCAGCACCGGTAATCGTTTACCTCTCTTTGGAACTTGATTTTGGTTAATCTTTTTGCACTTCTGTAGTATTAAGTGTCATGGATTTCCAACTCAAAACTAATTGGTAATGAGTGGATTGGTCATATCTCTTGTATGTTACTCTTAAGTGGCATCTCACTTTCTTGTTTGGATTCCTAAATCCTAACATGTAGGATTTCTTGTTTGGTTAGGTTTCTTGAGAAAATTGATGGAGAAAAGGCCAGAAATGATCAAACAAGTTGATGTTATTGGATGGACACCTCTTCATTATTCGGTATGGCTAGGGAAAACCAAGATTACTCAACTCTTGCTTCAACAAGATAGCTCGGCTGCTTATATATCCGATAAGGAAGGACAATGTGCGCTTCATCTTGCGGCGTCTACTGGCCAAATTGGTGCATATAGAGAGCTTGTATGTAGCTGTCCTTATGTTTGGGAACTAGTTGATGGTAAAGGCAGAACATCTCTTCACTCTGCAGTCATATCAGGACAAAGAGGCATCATTCACTGTATTCTAGAGATGCCTGAGATTTCTCTTTATCTGTTGAACGCAAGCGATGATGCAGATGGAAACACACCTCTCCATCTGTCGGTTAGTCACAAATGTTACTCGATATTGCTGCTTCTTTTACGCAACAAGCGGGTGGATAAACATGTTATGAACCATAATCACTTCACAGCTGCAGAACTCTTTTACACTCAGAAGCAAGAGGTACAAATACTATCTTAGTCAAGTGATGATGTTCTTAGATTAAGCTTTGTTTTTTCATAGCCCATAAAACACATAGAATCTACGTCTGAAGTAGTATTCACCACAACACTAGCTTAATAATTAATGAAGATGTCATGCTCGTAGATTTAAAGTATTGGTTTTTTCTACTATTAACTGATGTGTCTTAATCTTGGTCCAGATTAGAATCAAGGTCGCGATGATATACTACGCACTGCAAAGATACTACAAACACCCGTCTCAGCAACATAACTTAGAGACAAAGAAGAAGCAAGAAAAGGCAGATCTTGAAGTAAGCAATGAAAGAGATGATGGTGCAATGTACGAAGTTCATCTTATAGTCGCGGTTCTTGTCGCAACCGTAGCGTTTGCTGCAGCATTTCAGTTACCTGGCGGTTACAAACCTGACGGTACACCTGCGTTGATGGACGAACCTGCTTTCAAATGTTTCTTGGTGTTCGACACAATCGCCTTCTGCTTCTCTGTAACCACAGTCTATTTCTTGTTCTATGCTTCGAGAGACGGGTATCGCGCCCACTCTGCTTTCCTCTACATGTCTGCTCTGTTGATGGTTGTCTCGCTGATTGCAATGGCGTCTGCGTTTGTATCAGGGATGTATCTGATTTCGTCCAGGTCAAGAGGATTAGCCACCATACCGTTCTTAATGGCTGGTTTCTTCGTCTTGCATGGTTTCATCTACTGGTTCATCGACCCACGAGGCAGCTATGTCATTGGCCTCGAACGACCTCGCCGGTTTTTAAGGAAATTAGTCTATGGAAACACTTTGTTTCATAATTTGGTACATGAATGAGTTCCTGTGTGGAAATTGTTATATGAATCAAAATATAATCACATACATACTTTGTAAATTTCTTTTTTAATCAAACCTAAATAAAATACATTCCAAATGGGAAAGAAAATGTGATATCAGAAATAAATAGAGAAAGAGTTTATGCGTAACTGCTCGAGCTGAGCATATAAAATAAGTAAGGAAAGGATTCAACAAACAGGCAATGTAATGTTGTTCTCTAGGTATTTGGTTTCCTTCTATTGCCTGAAATCTTGCAATTGAACAAGAAAGATCGAATTTTTATAGTACACTGAGCAGAGTTTACCCCTGCGGTTTTGCTTCTTTTCCGTTAACTCACTCGAGTCCGCGGTATCGTTCCTGTCAGAGAAATCCACACACACATCAGACCTGTGAATACAATGAGGATACTAACATTTTCCTAAAACAGCCAAGACACTTACTGGTAAAACATACAGAGAGTATGATGTCGTTGCAAATCATATTGGTGCAGCACAAGTGGTTCTGAAATGTCCGGTCTGGTTACACCGGCTACAATGCACAACCCGCTTCACTCGTCCTCTATCTTCAGCTCGAACCCGTCTTTTCCTCGGCCTACCAGGCGGTCTCAGAGACTTTGGAGGGTTTATAATAGCATCAAGAGCAGCTTTGTTCACGTTTGGATCTCCTTCAGAAAGCTCTCTCCAAAGACTTTTATCTGGAATCGGATGAATCGTCTGAGAATAAGTCTTCCTATATGTAGCCACAGTAAAACAGCTCTCAGTGAACCTATGAACATTCTGTCTACAAGAAAGAAGAGCCGCCACGGCGTGTGCACAAGGTAAACCATATAACTGCCAACCCCGACAGAGACAACACCGGTTCCTGATATCCACTATGTTGTTTCCTTCATGAGAAATAACTTCAAATTCTGCTTCATTGGCTCGAAGCACCTGATAGGTTCTTGCAAGCTCAAGAGCCTCGGCTACACGCCGCTCAGCAGTTGGGACGAGTATCGAAGTCCATTGCATACTGGTTTCACGCCGTTCGTTGAACCAAGTCATTAGTTGTCTCCTAATGCATTCCATCATCTGAATTATAGGAAGTCCAGATGCTTCAGTGATCCATGAGTTCAGGGATTCGACTATATTTGCGGTTAAATGTCCAAACCGTTGTCCTTCAAAATACGCGGTAGCCCATAACCGAGGAGGGATTCGCCGGATCCAGTAAGCTGCATCTTGAGAAATCTCTTCAATTTCGAGTATTTTGGCTTCAAACTCAATTACTGTTAGAGCTTGAGCAGCTTCCCACAGATAATTGACTAGCATTGTGTTGTTAAACTCCTTGCGGAAGCTTTCGCTCAAATGTCGCATACAAAAACCGTGAAACGCAGTTGGGAAATTCTGTTCCACACCTTCCACTATTCCCTTTTGTCTATCCGACAAAATCGTGAGTCTCGGCATATTCTCGGTATTGGTTTCAAGAAGATTATGAAGCTCGCACAAAAACCACATCCAATTCTCGTCATTCTCTTCATCTACAATCCCAAACGCCAGCGGAAACAAAGCACCATCTCCATCGAATCCAGTAGCAAGAAGCAAAGTGCCCAAATACTTGCTCTTCAAATATGTCCTGTCCAATCCAAGAAGCGGTCGACAAGCATTTAGAAACCCATAAATTGAAGCTTGAAATGATATGAAGAGACGCTGGAAGCAATTATCAGCTGGACTTCCATAAACCGCAGCAATGCTTCCCGGATTCGTCCTTTTAACCTGCTCGCAATATTGCGGAAGTAATCGATACCCTTCTTCAAAAGATCCGCGCATAGTTGCCATGATTCTTTCTTTACCACGCCAAGCTTGTTTGTACGATAAGGTGATTCCGTGAACCCGGTGTATCTCTTCAAGAATCTCTTTAGGTTTACAATTCGGATTCTCACGAAGTCGTTGCTCAACTGAGCTAGCAACCCACTGAACTGAAGCTTGTTGATGACCCAAATGATTTATTCCTCCACAGCTATGGCTTTCATGGATCGTTCTGATTGTGAAAGTTGGAACCCCGGGGAGCTTTGCAGCGTGAACTCTCCATGGACATCCATCACTCGAACACTTAGCAGTGAAACGAGTTTTGTCAGATTTTATTGTCTGCATTTCGAAATGAAGAGCAATCGCCATATCTCTCAGTGCTCTACGGCAACTCTTTACATCTGGAAACTCTTGTCCAACCGTAAGTTGGTAAGTCATGTCAGCAGTAAGCGCTCGGGCTTGAACCGGAGTGCTAACCATAACCATTTCACCATGTTGATCAATTTCAAGTTCATGACTTGAGTCAACGGCTAATTCCAGATTGTCGTCTAGTTCATGGTTTTCCCCAACCACCAACTGATTATTATTATCTGACAATGAAAAGTCATGGTTATGCGAGGAAAGAACCAGATCGGGATCAACATCGTCGTGTCCAGGCTTTTGATCCACGGAGATTTCATTCTCGTTCATATAATCGTGATGATGATGATCCTCTCCATCCTGATCTTCACTATTTCCTAAGCCTAGCTCATGATCATCATGAGGATTCCCTAAATCAATTTCATGATCATGATCATGATGAGCATGCCCTAAATCCATATTGTGACCTTGGCCGAGCTCCACATCAACATGGTTTTGACCAAGCCCTAGACTGTGGCTGTGGCCAAGCACCAAAGATTGACCCTGCCCAATACCGATATTACGATTTTGTCCAAGCATCAAATCGCGATTGGCCATTGCTGAAACAATCTTCTTTTATTCAAACTACAACAACAACACGCTTCTTCAAAAACAACAGTAACACTAAAACACTAATTATCTCACTTTATCAGTACCTGCATTAACCAAACGCGATAATAAGATTGAATAGTCCAACACTAAAACACAAACAAAGAATACATTCCAACTAAAAAAAAGACAAAAGAGTGATACAAATGAAGTAACAAAGATCCAGAAATAACGAAAGATATTGATAATTGAAACTCCAAGATTGAGACCAAAGCATTAGAGAGATAACAATATGAACATGAAATAAAGTAAGAACTTTGCGAGATACGATTAAGACTTACAGAAACAGAAAACGCACGGTGATCTAGCTTAATCTTGTGCATCCTCAATTTCATTGGTTCCTCAGCGAAAAACAGTAACTTAATCTTTGAGAAAAAACGGATATTTCGTAGATGGAGCTACAAAAGCAGAGTAAAAAAAAATTAAAGCGAGTGAACAAAATCAGATAGAGGAGAGAAAATTAAGGAAAATGACGACTTTTTCGCGTTGTCCGAATCTGAAATCGACACTATCAGATTAACACTAAAAAAACAAATTCGAAATTCAAAAAAAGTTGTGAGTCAATTACGAAATCCTTATCAGCTTAATAAATTTACTCAAAGATCTGAGCTTAACAAGAGAAAAACACAAATAAGTAGAAATGAAGAATTCACAACAGGAGGAAGGAGAAGAACTACAAACAAAAATTGAAACTTTATAACTTGAGATCGAGAAAACTCACATGAATCAAATTCTTTTGGCTCGAAAACTGAAGAAGACCCAAGCACCACCGATCCAGAAAATTAGAAATCTAGGGTTTGGAGAAGGAAATGGGAAATGGAAATTGGGGAAGGAGCCGTTAGTGAAGGGGGAGGTGATTTTGGCGGGTAAAAAGAAGAAAAGGGAAGGAGAGAATCGGGAAGGAGAAATTGGGGAAGGGGCAAAGACGGAGGAGGAAGGAGAGAAGGGTTTGATTGGGAATTTACAGAAGGGGCAGAAGAGGGAGATATTAGGTTTCCTTCAGCCCGATGATTGCTTTTTTACACGTTGCCTTCTTCCTCTCTAAGGCTATTTATGTCTTTTTCTTTCTTTTTTTGCTTCACTCTACCCTACGGATTTACTACTATTTACGGCCTTGCCCTCATTGATTTCTTTTGAGTCCAATTGTGAAAGCAAAGGAAGGCCCAACTCAAACAACTTCTTCTTATAGAGAGAGTTTGTCACTTGTGAAACTAATCATTGCTTTTGGATTTCTAAAACTAACTATACTATTATTTACCCACTAAAAATGACTAATTGAATTTACTTTTGTTAGATTTAGATATTAAAGAACAAAAATTCATTTCTATATAATTATTTACTTTTATTCTTTTTCTTCTCAAATATAAATAAAATTGGTTATTTAGATATTTTAATCAAAAATTTATTACTTTTTATTTTGAATCTATTAATATTCTGACTAGTTCAGTAGTTTTTGTTCAAAAAAATTAAAATTTATAAATTTTGTAGTACAAAGTAGTTTATGCAAATCATTATATAAATAAATGTAAATTAAGAAAATTGTTACTAGTAACAAGTATGGTTCAATTCCAAGGATCAATAGATGTCTGGACCCAAGTAAACAGAAAATCGTTTAACGGAGGGATGTGAAGGAAGTTCTTCTATTCGAACATGCTTGGGAGAGGTCTCACGGCCATGAACGCATCAACCATCTGGAAACAAATATTGTAGACTCACTTAGTACAAATGATATTGAATCTTGATGGTTCGAATTTAGCACATCTTTTTACCTCATCAGTAACAGCAGCTCGAGCCCTGCGGTGTCTCTCCACCATTTCTGTCAACACTTCCGTAAGTCTCTTCTTTACTTCTCCTGTTAGCATTCTTCCTTCTCCATATTCCTGAAACAGTCAGTACAATCAGTGCCATTTACTTCCTTCTCTGTAATGATCTAAACAACAAGCTAGCCACAAGTGCAATGTTATTATTACCTTTTTAATGTGTTCTAGTTCAGAATCATCTTCTAGGAAGAAACTCAGATACTTGACGGGTATGTCTACCTGTCAAACGTACAAGGGAGATTACCCCAAAAGGACAACCCAGATAAGATCAACTATCAAAGAATCTACAACTGATATAGAATTGTTTCTTAGTCAATTAGATTTTGGCAAGTCCTTCAAAATTCTCATCTGAGTACACAGCTGAGGAACACAATCTAAACAAAGTGAAGATTCATTCTCAACTTTCAACAGGATATTACTGCATAAGGAACACAGCTGAGAGTTGCCACTACCTAAATAAGGGAAGAGGAGGAAACAAAAAAGTTGGTACCTCCAAATTTGCTCCAAGTTCTTTGTGCTTCTCGACGGAGTCTTGCCCACCACTAAACGCATATCTGTTTATCTGCATATGGAACCACATGAAGTTTAGATTCTGGAAGAAATTATCTGACTTCATTACTAGGACCGGTATTTAATGTTCTGTAATGTGTCTCAGATGCCATTACACCAGCAAAATAAAAAACGAGTCGAAGGACTCAGGTAGCAACCGATCTAGACAATGAATGCGTGTGAAAGCCTACAAAGTTGATGTGGAAACCCAGAATGGTTTGTTATAATAGATGGGAAGAACAAAACAAAGTACAGAATTTACCTTGTTTTTAATGTCCTTCGCGGTATCAGTCACATAGATAGCAGAATTTGGATCACTAGCAGACATTTTTCCATTCTCTCCCTGTGTAAAGTGACCCAGGCATTTAGTTGTGGAAAGCAGGAAAGTGTAGTGCACTTAAGAAAGTACTTGCCTGCAGAGCAGGAAAAAATGATGACTCAATCAGGGCGGGCTTGCTATAGCCTAACCGGGGTGCAACATCACGAGTCATTCTAAAATAAGGATCCTGAACAAAACCAAAAGCAAAGATTGGTTATAAATACAAACGTGATCCATGGAAAACATAAAAGAGACTGATTATGAATGGGAGTGTCCCAGGCTCGTAGTCGCAGACATTTTTATTCCATTGGGAAGTAATTTATCTTTTAAAAAAAAAAAGCAAAACGGGTTAATATAAAAAGTAAGAAAACAGCACACCTGGTCAATAGCACAAGGAATCAAGCAGCGGAGATTGTCCTTTCCAGGGAACAAATGTGGGAATGAGCTAGGAAAGGATGGAACTGCCTGCAAATATATGGAAAAATTAACCAATTTGGACATGGCAGTCTAATGCACATACCCACACCAACAGGAAAAGAGAAATACCTGCACAGGAGGGAAACTGAGTTTCCCGATATGATCTTCACCAGAAAAGCCAAAGATTCCCATAGCCTAGCAAAGAAGGAGATATACAAATGAAAACCATGAACACAAAGCAGCTATAAAACATATCAGCCGCATTGTGCAATTCAAGAAGATAGATAGTAAAGTCACCTTATTAAGCGTAACGCACTTGGCAACCCTCACCATATTTTTATAGAAAGCACTACACACAAAGTTTTTGCATATCATCAGCCAAAGATACTGTGATATATAAATCAAAATCAAGACTTAGAAAAGGTACAAAACGAAGGACATCACATGATCTAACAAATCTTCGCGAAAGCAAACAGGATATTGAGCTATCTTCCTGTAGAGTATATATACTACCAAGAGCCCTTCAAGCAATATTTTCTACTAAGCAATAGCGGTGCTTGTTTTTTCCAGAGATTCGAATGTGACGTACCCGCCGACATAGTCGAAGTCCGAGAAAATGAAGGTCTTTGTTACATCGAATCCACAAGCAATAATATCTTTCGCATTTTCTCTGGCAAGTCTTTGACTTTCCTCCACCGATAAGTTCTTCCACATACATTTTTCATCATCCGTGAGCTGTATAACAAGGGGAACTTTGAAAGCTTCTTGCAAGTATCTGCAAGCCATTTCGAGTATAAAGGCCAAGCACAATCTACCAAAACCATAAACATGGTAAGACAATAATAGCTCCAGGATCTCACTTACTTGGTAAACATGAAAGGAATCAAATGCCCCAAATGCAAAGCTTCGGATGATGGTCCTCTTCCAGTGTAGAGATAGAACTTGTCTCCTTTCTCATAGGCGTCCAAAATCTCATTGAAATCCCTATAAAACCTCACAATTAAACAAGCAATAAGAGAAATTTCTACATGCCCATCAACACAGTTCATAAAAACAGTGAATCTCTAACCGGTGGGCGAAGAAGACACCACGGCGGAGGAATACGTGTGGTTGACGAGAAGTCAGTCTCTGAACACGATCAATCAGTGACTCGTCAAGCCTTTGGCAGCCAAACTTGTCAATAAGCTTGTCGTAATCGATCTTCCCGCCGTCTTTGGCGGACACTTCCCATGGATTCACCACTTGCTCCGAAGATTCAGACTCTCTCTCATCCTTCTTATCCACCTCCATCGCGACGGGAAAACCAAAATCTATAGAAAAATGGAAGTCAGATTCGGTGGATTCAAAAGCCTAGTTAAAAAACAACCTGAAGAGAGCTGACGGGCATTGTCATCTCGAAGTACTTACGGAAGTTTCCGGTGATAAGACGGCCGTGGAGATGCGGCGGCGATTTTGCAACTGGAGATAGTCTTTAGAAGGGCGAAGAACAAACAAAAAACGAGGTTTAACTCATTTACTTAATTACAATTCGGGAGTAGGAATCTTTTCTTTTTGTCAATTTTGCCGTCAAGTTTTAGATATTAAACAAATACCCCAAATTAGAAATTTTATCGTCAATTACCCCCTTTACTTTTAGAGGTGAGAAATAGCCCCCTTTGTAACCAAGTTAGCTTACACGAAACCACCTCCACATAGAAAGAGGGGTCTGTACAAAAAATCAGTCCACACAGGAACTTTTAACCCAAAAAAAAACTAGACTTCACTAGCTTATAAGATGTTATCATATCATACATTTTCATATTGGAAAAGAAATCAAGCATAATTCAATAGTTGGTTTAAGTATGATTAAAATAGGTGTTAACATATTTGATATATGTAAATCTTGTTTTGTGATTGTGGGAAAGAAGAAGGAATTAGAGTGTTGTTTTGTGATTGAAGATTCTGATGATGTTTATAACATTTTGGTTTAAGATGGATCCGTCTGAGATAAAGAGTGGTGAGTGATGGGACGTTTGATTCTCTCATTGGTCTTCTCATCTCTCAAGGATGCTTCCTTCGATTAGTCAATACAAGACTTGAAGATGCATTAAATCTGAAAAGGCCTATGCGTTTTTTTTATGGAGTCCAATTGTGGTAGCTACATTTTTCAGTACTTGAAATTAAATCTCCTCCGTTTATTGTGGTTATTTTTATTTATTGTTCCAATACTTGGACCAAAAAACCTTGTTGATTCCAAATATAGTGTACTTTTTTTATATATGAATTCCAAATATGATTATTACTAGTTAGTGTTACAAAGTTTTAATTTTCCATTTTTCCTTTTTTTTTTGCTTAGTTGCTTGTTGAGGAAGCAAGTGAATAGATAGATATCGTATTTGTGGCCTAACCGGGATTGAAAGAACCTGTTAGTAGCAGTAGTTGTTGTGATTGAGGAAAGTCGACTTAAACCGGTATTGGTTAGTAATTAAAGCCCTTTGATGTTGAATACCAATTTTGACTAATGCAAGTTGAAGGAGTTCAATCTTTTTGTAACACCCCATTGACTTTATCGTTTTTGTTTTAATCATCCAAATCCTATTTCTTTGAAATTTGAGGATGATCATTTTTTCAATCTCAAAATATAATCTTACATTGAAGAATTTTCTGACGTGTACTAAATGACTAGAGAAAAGTGAAAACTCAGAAGGCGATTGATCTTTCGTTTCCCTCTGAAAAATTAAATTTTCGGTTTCCTCGAAATGCAAAAATAAAAGAAATAAACAGATAAAAAGGGAAAAAGAAGAGATGCTTTAACACACATAAGTCAAAAACACTTAAGTCAAATCTAGAAGATCTAACGGTTGAGATTCTATCTCGTCATCTTCCTTCTTAATGATATCTATCGATTAATATATAAAAAATATTAAAACCCTAAAAGAAACCAAAAAAATTGGAAAAAGAAAAATGAAAAAAAAATCCCTAATTCTCTCTCTCTAGAAATTCTCTTTTTTGTCTATCTCTCTAAAAAGGAATGGAACCTAACGAAAGCCACCATCACCACCAACAACAACAGCTCCATCACCACCACCAGCAACAGCAACAGCAGCAGCACCAGCAGCAACGACTCAGTTCTCCTTACTTCCACCACCACCTACAGCATCACCACCACCCAACCACCGTAGCAACCACCGCTTCTACCGGAAACGCCGTTCCATCTTCCAACAATGGGCTTTTCCCTCCGCAGCCTCAGCCGCAACACCAGCCTAATGATGGGTCATCGTCACTCGCGGTGTACCCTCATTCAGTTCCGTCCTCGGCTGTGACGGCGCCGATGGAGCCTTTAAAGAGGAAGAGAGGTAGACCAAGAAAGTATGTGACGCCGGAACAAGCCCTAGCGGCTAAGAAAATGGCGTCTTCTGCGAGTAGTTCCTCTGCTAAAGAGAGGAGAGAGCTTGCTGCTGTTACCGGAGGTACGGTATCGACTAATTCCGGGTCATCGAAGAAATCTCAGCTTGGTTCTGTCGGTGGGTTTACTCTTTTCAAGAAAAGCCCTTTTCTTGTTTTGAGTCGAATCGTTGGTCAATTTGGTTCTTGTTGATATCTAAAGTTTCCAACTTTCTTGTCAATTATTAATCCCCAATTCTTAAAGTTTGATACTTTAGCTGTTAGTTCGTTGGTATGATTTGAGACGTAAGTGCCTTAAATTAGCATTATGTAACTCTGTAAATTGCAACAGTAGATTTACATGTTGAGTTTCTTAATTACACTGAAGAGTGAGTTAGATAGATTCTTGTTTGTATAGTTTATCAATTTTATTGAATTTGTTTCTTTTTAGATCCCATTGAGTATCTTATCAAGTGAGCCTTTAGTGATATATTCTGGAATTTGTGTTATACTCTGAGCTTCACAAGAAGTTTTTTTTTTGGTGCAGGGAAAACTGGACAATGCTTTACTCCGCATATCGTTAATATAGCTCCCGGTGAGGTATGTCATGTTCTTGTACATTTAAGATCCTTACTTGTTATAGATTTTGTTGGTGTAGGCGAAATATCTAGCATTCTTTCAAATCCAAGTCATTTTCTCTTTGTTTCATTGATACTAATGCAAATCGAGGAGGATCCTTAATGCTTTAATGTTCTCTGGATGAATCTGACAGGATGTGGCCCAGAAGATTATGATTTTCGCAAACCAAAGCAAGCATGAACTATGCGTTCTTTCTGCATCAGGCACTATCTCTAGTGCATCCTTGCGCCAACCAGCTACAGTAGGAGGCAACATATCGTATGAGGTGATTTTCTATTGCCGTAAATTTGTACCCAGCTTGCTTCTTTGTTGTTTCTTGCCAAAGGGGAGAGGAGGTTTCTTACTTTCTGATCCTGTCTAGTCTGTGTGATAGAGGAGAATTGATTCACAACACAGTCAGCATGTTGATAGAGCTAAAAAGATTCCCAATTCAGATACTTTCTTTTAAGTTTGCATATCATTGTTAGACTTGCTTCAGAATTCCAAAAACTTTTTCAGGGTCAGTACGAGATTCTCTCACTATCTGGATCATATATCCGAACTGAACAAGGTGGTAAAACCGGCGGCCTTAGCGCTTCTTTATCTGCTTCAGATGGTCAGATCATCGGTGGAGCGATTGGGACCCACCTCACAGCTGCTGGCCCGGTTCAGGTACAATTCTGTTGTATCATAGTTTCGACTTGCATATATAGAAACAGATGTTTCCTTTATGTGTTATTGTTTCCAACCATCTTACATAAAATTGACCATTGCCTATAATAGGTATCCCTTTTATTGATCGCCGTACATTTGTGCAAATGCAGGTGATTCTTGGTACGTTTCAGCTTGATAGAAAGAAGGATGCCGCCGGGAGTGGTGGGAAAGGGGATGCTTCAAACAGCGGAAGTCGGTTAACTTCTCCTGCAAGCACTGGACAGTTGCTTGGCATAGGTTTCCCTCCTGGTATGGAATCTACGGGAAGAAATCCAATGAGGGTAAATGATGAGCAGCAGCATCATCATCATCAACCCGGTTTAGGTGGACCTCATCATTTTATGATGCAAGCACCGCAGGGGATGCACATGACACATTCCAGGCCAGCTGAATGGCGCGGAGGAGGCAACAGCGGTCTTGATGGCAGAGGCGGTGGCGGGTATGATTTGTCAGGTAAAAAGCTCAAAACTTCTTAAAAGATGATGTCTTTTTAATCAAAGTTCAAACTCTTAAATTCAAAACAAAGACATTAGAATTGCTATGAAGATGGTGAAAACCAATACTAAGTATTGGTCGAGACCTAGGAATTACAGGCAAACACCAAGCTAAAGTTTTTCTCCTTTGGGTAAATCTTGTGCAGGACGGATAGGACATGAGTCTTCAGAGAATGGAGATTACGAGCAGCAAATACCGGATTAGCAGAGCTTCGAGGAGAAGTGTGTAGAGTTTAGATCCCAAGTAGAAACAGAAGCCGAGCAAAGAATCTGAACTGAGAGAGGACTTATTAGACAGAGTCTCGCCTGAAGGGTCTTCATCATAGAAAGAAGTTGCTGAGTGATGGCTTTTGTTCTTCTTCTTGATACTGTGTATTATATTAACTCCACAACCTTTTTTTCTTTCAATAACGATTCTGCTTCACTTTCAATTTCATTCCTTTTTTTATACTTTTTTTTTTTCTTCCTATATTTACATTTTTTTGGTTGTTTTTTTTCTTTCTTTTCTTACTAAAAAAGGAAATGCTCTTTTATGAAATATATACACTTCGTTTGTTCGGTTTCTACTTATGTTAATTATTCATAACCTATCTTATTTAGTAAACGTTTCCTCCTGTGAGCCGTTACTTGGACCAAACATTAACTCATTTGACGAAGAACCAAAAAAAAACTAATTTGGTAAATCAACTTTTCTTCGAGAATTCTATTTATTTATTCATTTTAATATTGATTTAGTTGTTAAATTCTTTATGTCAACTTGTAAATTTCTTGATTGATAATGTTCGAATGCTATAACTTTGTTAAGCCAAAAATTAGTGTTAAAAATTCTATCTTTAATGGGAATTATTTTGTTGATATCTAAGCTAAAGTGAAAGACCACCATTTTTATTGACTTACTTAAGCAACTCTCTGGAAATTGCTTAAGCTAAAAGTCTGCTGCTTTTGTCTTAAAAGAACTTTGAATATTGTTGACTCAAGTCTGAAAATCCGCACAACTGAAACTCCCGGAAAAGATCTGCCACCACCGGACCAACTCGGTTCCTTCTTTTTTCTAATCAGTTCTGTTTCTCTTCTTCTGTGAAAAGATGTCAGATTGACTCGATTTCGTTGATGCAAATGGAGACGGGTCTTTCTTATGTTTCTTACTAGATTCGAAAGGTGTGTTCTTTTTCTATTCTATTATTGGCTCGAATCTAGCTTTCATTTTCTCTGATTACCTTCCTCTGTAACTTTCCCCGGAGAAAAAAAAAACTTAAAGTCGGTTTCTTTTCTCACTACTACGAAAATCGAGGAACATAGATCTTGATTCCTTCTTCTGGGTATGCGTGTTTGGAGTTGTTTAATCTCATTGGTGTCTACGCGTTGTGGAAATCTATGAATACCAAGTCATTCATTGGATCTCAACTTGTAGAGAGCCTCAAGGCTGTGGCTGGATTTGATTAGGGTTTAGATAGAGAGATTAAAGATTGGATCAGAAGATGTTAAGATCCTTAGGTCTTGGGTTGCTTTTGTTTGCTCTTCTTGCTCTGGTTTCTGGTGATAATGATTACGTGAGCTGTAACTGTGACGACGAAGGTTTCTTAAGTGTCCACACCATCTTAGAATGTCAAAGAGTGAGTGATCTCTTAATCGCCATTGCCTATTTCTCTATACCTCTCGAGCTTCTCTACTTCATTAGCTTCTCCAACGTTCCTTTCAAATGGGTTCTTGTTCAATTCATTGCCTTTATTGTCCTCTGTGGAATGACTCATTTGCTTAACGCTTGGACGTACTACGGACCACACTCTTTCCAGCTTATGCTTTGGCTTACCATCTTTAAATTCCTCACGGCGCTTGTCTCATGTGCCACGGCGATCACGCTCTTGACTTTGATTCCGTTGTTGTTGAAGTGGAAAGTTAGAGAGCTTTATTTGAAGCAGAATGTGTTGGAGCTTAACGAAGAGGTTGGATTGATGAAGAGGCAGAAGGAAATGAGTGTGCAGGTGAGAATGCTTACTCGGGAAATCAGGAAATCGCTCGATAAGCATATGATTCTGCGGACTACTCTTGTCGAGCTATCCAAGATTCTTGATTTACAGAACTCTGCTGTTTGGATGCCTAACGAGAACAGAACCGAGATGCATTTGACTCATGAGCTAAGAGCGAATCCGATGAGGAGTTTCAGGGTAATCCCGATTAATGATCCCGATGTTGTTCAGGTTAGGGAGACCAAAGTAGTGACGATTTTGAGGAAAAACTCTGTTCTTGCGGTTGAGAGCAGCGGTTGTGGCGGTTCGGAAGAGTTTGGACCGGTTGCTGCAATTCGAATGCCGATGCTTCACGGATTGAATTTCAAAGGAGGAACTCCCGAGTTTGTGGATACTCCTTATGCTATAATGGTTTTGGTACTTCCGAGTGCAAATTCACGGGTTTGGACCGATAAAGAGATTGAGATAGCGGAAGTTGTTGCTGATCAAGTAGCAGTTGCTATCTCTCATGCCTCAGTTCTCGAAGAATCACAGTTAATGAGAGAAAAACTCGGTATTCAAAACCGAGCTTTACTTCGAGCAAAACAGAACGCGATGATGGCAAGTCAAGCGAGGAACACTTGCCAGAAAGTGATGAGTCATGGAATGAGGAGACCAATGCACACAATTCTTGGTCTCCTTTCCATGTTTCAGTCTGAAAGTATGAGTCTTGACCAGAAAATCATCGTTGATGCGCTCATGAAAACAAGCACAGTTCTCTCTGCTTTAATCAACGACGTGATCGACATTTCTCCTAAAGATAACGGGAAATCGGCATTAGAGGTGAAACGTTTCCAGCTACATTCCTTGATAAGAGAAGCCGCTTGCGTTGCTAAATGCTTGAGCGTTTACAAAGGTTACGGTTTTGAGATGGATGTTCAAACGCGGTTGCCTAATTTAGTAGTGGGAGATGAAAAGAGAACGTTTCAGCTTGTGATGTATATGCTTGGGTATATCTTGGATATGACTGATGGAGGCAAAACCGTTACGTTCCGAGTTATCTCTGAAGGTACTGGAACTAGTCAGGACAAGAGCAAAAGAGAGACTGGAATGTGGAAATCGCATATGTCCGATGATTCCCTCGGTGTGAAATTTGAAGTTGAGATTAATGAGATTCAGAACCCTCCATTGGATGGTTCGGCTATGGCAATGAGACATATTCCAAACAGAAGGTATCATAGCAATGGAATTAAGGAAGGTTTGAGCTTAAACATGTGTAGAAAACTTGCACAGGTTAGTGATCTCATCAAATCTCTGTTTCTTTGGTTTATCTCACAGATAAATTTGGTATATAGAGATTCTAATTATAAACTGTGTATTTGATTTTGAAATATGTTTGCAGATGATGCAAGGAAACATATGGATATCACCTAAATCGCATGGACAAACACAGAGTATGCAATTAGTTCTGAGGTTTCAGACAAGACCTTCGATTAGGAGATCAATTTTAGCAGGCAATGCTCCAGAGCTTCAACATCCGAATTCAAATTCTATTCTTCGTGGTCTAAGAATCACTCTAGCAGATGATGATGATGTCAACAGAACCGTGACTAAGAGACTTCTTGAGAAACTCGGCTGCGAAGTGACTGCTGTCTCGTCTGGTTTTGAGTGTTTGAGTGCGTTATCAAATGTGGAAATGTCATATAGAGTTGTGATTTTGGATCTGCAGATGCCGGAAATGGATGGTTTCGAAGTAGCTATGAAGATAAGGAAGTTTTGTGGACATCATTGGCCATTGATTATAGCTTTGACTGCGAGTACTGAAGATCATGTTAGGGAAAGATGTTTGCAAATGGGGATGAATGGTATGATTCAGAAACCGGTGCTTTTGCATGTTATGGCTTCTGAGCTTAGACGGGCTTTGCAGAGCGCAAGCGAGTGAAGTGAGCTCAGAGAAGGAAGCAGGAATCAAGAATCTTGAAATGAATCAAGATTCAAGAATCTTGAAATGGATCAAGAATCAAGAAAAGCAGAGTGAGGATTCTTTGAAGATGTGAAGCATAGAGACCTCTCTGGGGAAGTGTTTTTGTTGTTGTTGTCTCAGTTCTACGATGATGAGAATTGAGTCAGTTTTCTCTATTTAGCCTAGTTTGGAGATTGGTTGGTTCGAAACTATTTATACGTAATGATTTCGCATTTTTAGCGGAAAATAACATAATTTTAATAGATTTGATAATAATTAATTTTATAGTTTAATCTTTGAGTAATTCTCTCTAACCTTTTATACAAATCTATTTTTCCTCTATTGCTCTACTATTGTCGGATTGTCAAAATTTACTACTATTCAGACCGAGTGTTTCAAGCATTCCACACTACAAATATTTTGGACATTTCTTTGTCAAAAAGAAATAATATTGTAATAAATTAAAATTGAAATTTATTAATTACATTGACAAAACTTAAATAATTAATAAATTTAATTTGATTTATTACAATATTATTTCTTTTTCGTTGAAAAGGAAATAATATTAATTACATCTTTTGTCAATGTAATTTAGTATTTATTTGTAACAATCTATTTTTAAAATACTTTTGACAAATAAAATAAAATAATTATTAATTATTTTGACAAATAAAATAAAATACAATATAGATAACATTTAACAATCTATTTGTAATTTACTTTTTTGTTAAAGTCTAAAGTTTAGAGTTGTGATTTCGCCACCACACCAAGCGTTTGATTGTTAAATGTTATCTATATTGTATTTTGTTTTATTTTGTGTTTCTTATACGAACAACAAAGTTAGTGTTATTTAATGCCTTGTGTAGTCTTAAGAACAAACATCACGTAACGCTCTAATTTTGATGTTCATATTTTTAACATATACAATGATTTGGATTGGATGATATGACAAATACCCAACGACAAAAAAAAAAAAAACCATTCTATCTTTGACTCAGCTTTCGTTTCTTTCAAATAATTAACAAAAAAATCTTCCAAATAAAAAATTATCATGAAAGTATATATCTATGTTAGTTGATAAAACATCATTCATATAATTTTAAGAATCTTATATATGTTGTAATAGACAGTATATGAAATAAGTTATTATCTCTATTCTCTACTGTTATCCTGAAAATTACCATATACAGTATATGTCAAGTACTCGAATACAATAAATGAGAAGTTTATAATAATGGTTATTGGATATCAATTTAATCCTTATTTCCAAAAATTTTTTTTGTCTATCAATATATTAAAATGGAAAATTGAGAAGAAAAAAAACTTTAACAAAAAAATAATCATGAATTGCATATACGCATTATCATTGAGTAATATTTTAAGTGAGGACCATCTACTACGGATATTTATGTAATTGAAAATTAATGGGAATTTATAAAAATATTTCTTTTTGTTCTTTATGTGTGATAAGCAGTACCTCGGCGTACTAATTGTTTAAAAAACTCCGTTTATATTGTTTTTTTAGGACCCCTAAGCAATGCTTTATCTTGTGGTCTTAGTTATACTTTTTATAATGCTCGTTTATGGATTCCTTTTCAAAGTATTATTTGTTAATTGCTCTAGTTTTAAACTTTTGTCTAGTTAATTATTATTGTCTTTTGAGTGCGGTTTAGGGCTTCCTTTTTAATAAAGTATCACAAGAAAATTATGCTTTGATTATATTGATCAATACTTTTTCAAATTTCAATTCTAGTTCTTAAATTACTTATAAATAAAAAATGAAAAACAGGTTTGATAATTTGATAATTATCTATATTTGATTTAAATGTAGTTAACTTAACTCAATCATTAAGAAGAAAGTGCTCACTTTGTTGGACTTAAATATGAATATTTCTCTATGGCTAAAAAAATTATTTATATATGTAAATTTTTGTCACACCTTAATATCAACGACTAGTTTTCGGATAGATATATAAATATAAGAGCTAAAGATCCATCATATTTTGTTGTTTATCTGCTTGACTAAATTAATGTGAATAATTTAGTCATATTTTTTTCCAAAGCATACATTAGCAAAGGGAACTAATTAATGTGACTACTTCAAAATTCAAAAGCACTCTAATCATATTTAGTATATATTATGCATTTCTGCTCGAGAAAGTACGGATATTGAATAAACAATTACCAGGTCCATTAGGGTTTGCGTTTTGCAAGAGGAACCCATGTGGTAGCATGTGAATAGGTCCTCTCTTCTCATACCTTTGTTTATGATTTTTGATTAAAAGATGGTCAAGAAAGCCTAGAAAATTGGTAAAATGACGACACTTATAAGATGACAAACAAGGCGTATATATATAACGCTTGTATTAAGAAATAAATTTGGTATAATATATAGTTGCATTGGACTATTTACCCCTGGTATTTTAGTTGCATTGGTTTTGCAGTTTGCCATGTAAATTAAACATGCATATATAATATAACAACTCATTTTTGTAGTCGATTGTTTTGTTATATTAGTAGAGGTTGACTACCGATTCTTTGTATATATTTGACCGTTTGCAGAATCAGAAAACCATATAAATTCAAGATTACTTAGGTGTCAATCCAAAGTTCCAAACGATTTAATTTTCCAAACGACACCTGCATATACATGTAAAGAATTTTTATTGTCATTTGGAATAAATAGACTTAAAATAAATTAGGGTACTTATAACTTATCAGGTAGACAGGTATAGATATTTTTTGTATACATCATCTCTTTGTGTGTTAAGAGAATATATGAATCTGAATTTGCATGAAATTAATCTATATATTCTCTAAAAAATAGTGGAGCTAATGCTTTTGCAAATGATATTTTATATAAGTGTACCAACAAATAAATCACTGCACCACCAAATAATCATAAATGTAATATAATATAATAATTCTGATTTGGATTCGAACCAACTTCCTGGAATCGGAGGGAAGTTATCTTTCTTGGTAATTATTTAGATTTTAAAAGGATATATGCATATAGTACTGATGATCGATGTACATTGCTTAAACAATGTAGCTCTTAATCGAGTTGGAATCCGATAATTGTCTTGTTCAGAAGGTTGGTATATTCACATGCATGTCATGGTATTTTGCTATAAGCAAAATAAAACAAATTTGTGATTAATGAGGCCAGATGAGTGTGGTAAGGCTTGTGATTCCCAATCCAATAAATGCATGCACACATATATAGATATATTTATATTTTTAGTATAATATACTAGAAAAATATATCTTATACATGTTGTGTGAATCTATGAACCATGGAAATGAATTAGACCGAGCACTATATGATTATATCACTTTCAAATTATATATAGCCTATAATGCTAATCAATAATCATATATATATATGAAAAGGGTCAACCCCAAGGTGTTCTAATTTAATGAGGATCAATCATATGCATATAATATATATATATATGAACACATAACTTCATTATGAAAAATGGAGAACCCAATTCAAAGAGAAAAACTTTTAATAAAAGATCATAAAAACACAAGTAAGCTAAGTGGAATTTAGCAAATAATAATCATAGTCAAGAGAGAACATAATATAATGTTCACACACTATATAGCTCACTAGTAACAAGTAGCAACTGACTGGTTTTCATCATCATCATAATAAACATCATTATAATTCTTATTGTTAACTTCTGTAAATTAAAAAGCCATTTCAACGTACGTTAAAATCCTGACCTAGCTTGAGCCCAACCATAAGCTTCTTGGCCGCTCATCTGTCCTCCTCCGCCACTGCCGCCATTAGAAACAAGATTTCCGGGCATATTATACACCGGAAGTCCTTGGTTACCGTCGCCTCCACCAGCACCGCTGCTCAGCGGCGAACCTCCCCCTCCGAGCTGCCCCGGAACCACTCCTCCGCTGCCTCCACCACCGCCTCTCTCTGCTGCCTCTTCCTCCTCCAATGGCAATCTCTCGTAAGTCGCGTTAGAGAACGTGGCCGCAATGAGCATCACTGGACCAGCCGCCATCAATGGACCCACCACGCTTCCTCCAACAACCTGACCTTGACCACCGGCTAAGTAAATCGTTAAACCGGTGGAACCAGGTGGAGCCGGTCCTGGCAAGAAAGAACCGGTTAAAGAAAGAATCTCAAACCTCCCTTGTAAAGCCAGAACTGCCGCACCACCAGGAGCCGCCGCAACCGCAGCCGTCGAGGGTTGACGGAGGGTGACGTTAGCCACTGTGCCGTTTCCGCTTAAGATGCAGATGCCACGTTGACGCCGCCTAGCAAAAGTAGCTAGGGTTTCGATGACGTCAGTACCACTAGCGATCTCCATGACATGGCTCTTGAGAGCGTTTGGGGAATCGCGCGTGACGAAGATCGGTGGCTTTGGTTTGTTCTTGGAACCAGCAGGGCGTCCACGTGGACGGCGCGTGGGGGCTTCTACGGCTCCTTCACGTGGCTCGTGGTCGTCTCCACTCAAGTTGTCTCTATCGTCGTCGTTGTTGTTGTTATCGACTTCTTGGTGATGATGATGGTTGTTGTGACCTGAGTCCATGGCCATGTTCATGGAGATGTGGAGATCTGGTTTCTTTAACTGAGAGGAACCAGGCGGCGTCGTTTCGAGGCCGGAGAGGTTCACTTGTCCTGTCCACCATGGATTCGCCATGAGAGCCCTAGGGAGGTTAAATTCTGATTTATGATTATATCCTTTAAGAAGTGAAACCCTAAGAAATATAACTAAATTTAGATCAGGAAGATGAAGAAAAAACTGAAAAACCTAGAAGAGGTGATAAGATTTTTCAGATCTTGATTTTTTAACACTTTTACAAGTTTTTGTGTTGTGAGAAACACAAGACAATTTGCGAAAGGTTAATTAAAACAACACGACAAAGAATGATACTAAGCAAGAAAGAGAAAAGATGTAATGTAAGCTAACTTATAAAATAAGTGGAAGCATATGTAGATATTATACATACATGTATGCGTATTGGCGTTTATAAGAAATAAAAATTAAAAACAAATCCCCCAACTCAAGGCTTGAGAGAGTGACATAATTATATTTAAGATAGAAAAAAAAAAGTCGTATTACAAATATGATACAATATGCATTGTACGTTTTCTTGGGAAATTTTTGTTGACATATTGTTTTGCAATTTTATTGTCATTTAATTTGAAAGAAATTTTGTTAATTGGCATTAAATATTAATTGGTTTTTTTTTTTTTTTTTTTTTTTTTTTGTGCACCAAATATTAATTGGTTAAGATAACATTTTAAAACCTGTCATTTTGTATTTTGTCTTTTTTAAGTTAGCGTTATAATTGATGTGTAGGGTCGAGCGTCGAGGTTGAACTAATGGGGCGCACGATCGTTTCCCCATTTCAATATTTTTTATTTCGAAAGTTGAATCATAAGGTTTTCTCGAATATAATAAAACACTATTAAATAATATCTACGAAGTGTTTCATTGGATCCAAATATAAATATTTTACACGAATTATAACAGCAAACATATTAAACAATTACACATACAAAAGATTTATAATTTGCTAACTATTGAAATGTTTGGATACTTGAAGGAAATGAATTCAATTAAAAACTTCAGACTCACAGACTGTGTGTATGTGGGTTTCCTTACCAGAAATTTTTTTAATATAATTTTAAAATTGGAAAGACTTACCGAAATATTGTAACAAATCATTTTGATTGTTTTGAAAAATCATTTTCAAACTTGAAGATTGAATAACATATGGTTTTAATTTCCATTTGAATATAATTTGTTTCCAGATACTTGATTGAATAAGTCCTCTAAAACATCTTTATTTTGTGGTGTGCAACTGTCCTTTCAAACGTCTTATAAAAACAAAAACACTCATTTTAAACTGAGTTTACACTGCTTAAACAAATAGGTATGATTTTTAAATGTTTCATTCATTTATATTTATTAGAACAATAATTTTTCTGAACTTTTTTAAAATAACTTACTCAAATAATCATTACATATAATGCGGTCAAATAAGCCTAAGAATAATATAATTGATAGAAATAATATAGTATTTACAATACACGCATGCATCGTAAGAAACTTAACTAGGAGAGTCTATATTTGATGGGTCAAAGCATATTTATCTAAAGTTACTACTTACTAAAAATGAGTTTTTTTCTTATTAATGTATTTATATTTCAATGACTCAACTTGCCAAAATTAACCAATATCTCTTTCCAGCCACCTCCTTATCATATTATCCATTGTCTAAACTCTAAAGTAAAGTTTAATCGTCTTCATATTATACATGCATACTATTCGAAATTATTATATCCAAAGAAAAACAAAAATTTGAAAGTCGTTTACTTTAGTCTTTTTTAATTTTTACTGTTCTTTTTTTTTTTCCTACTCAACAACTCTCAACTAAAACATAATTTATGTATAAATATAGCTAAAACATTATTTATTGATTAATTTAATTGAGGTAGACAAAAAAGCCAAAGGGTGGTTGAACTCCTCGGGACTACATCAACAATTCAACATAACACACAATAACGAAACAAAAATAATTAAGAGAATTTATAGAAACTAACCTGCTGAATTCACAAACTAACCATGAGCTACAGTATCCTGTCTGTAACATGTCGGAATGGCTGTGTAATTACGTATATGTCCTTTGTAACACGCTTTTTTTTCGAATTACATGTGATAGCATAATATATCTCTTTTTATCATGTATTTTTCTCGTACTACATGTTATTTATAAAGAACACATAGTATTTCTCGAAAAAAACATTATAGTCAGTGTAATATCTGTCTTTATCATATTATTTTGTAATAATACGCGTGTTTTATTAAGATCACATGTGATTTCTTTTTTAAAAAAATGATTATTTTTTAGTAATACACGATTTTTTTAAAGATTACATGTGATTTCTTTTTAAAAAGTTACTATTCAGATTAAATTTTCCATGTCAATGTTTTTTCTTAAAATAACACTACGTAACAATGTTTTTTCTTAAAAATTCACTATATTTTTTAAAGTATCATGTCTTTTAGTTAAATATAACATGCGAAATTTAAATGTTACATGCTATTTTCAAAAATTTCACGAAACTGTCTTTTTTTTTTATATCCAGCGACAAAGTTCTTGTAATTACTATAACTTACAAGGATAATTTCGTATTTATCCTACCCCTACCCCACAAAAAAAAGAGTTAGTTACCAAAAGTTTCTGACGCATGGTTACTTCCTTAATTCATGTGTTTTTTTTGGCTACTTTGTAATATTTCCCAATAATTAATTATACGACTGTACCGATTATATGATTTGTTCCTATAATTTAACTTTCACAAGTCTTATCTCTTTCTCCCCTTAATATATTTGAGTACTTTTTTAGCTAACACTTGTAGTTCACTCTTTTTTATTTGAAAGGCCTACTATGATCGCCGATGAGGTATGGAGTTCAATTGCGAGAGACCACAAAGTATTTAATATTAATTTTTTTTTTTCAAAAAGAAATGAAATTTCATAAACTTTCTGTAGAAGAGAAAATCATTTTAATAATAATTATTTTTTAGCTCCAAAAACTATATGGGCCGAGAATCTGTGATTTTATTTCATAAAAGGCCCAGAAGGCGACTACAAATCCAGTTTCGGCTCCGTCTTCTCTACACGCGTGCGCCACCGTCTCCGTCGACGAACCGGAGAGAGAGATGGCGGACAATCTATTCTCAGGGCTGCCACCTCCTTCTTCATCTCAGCAGCAAGAGCTACCAATTTCTTCAAAACCAGACGAGTCAAAGATTGAAACTTCCTCTCCAGCTCCAACTCTGGTTCTCAAGAGTGCCCTAAAGCGATCCAAACCAGAAGAATCTGCACCCAATGTTTCAGGTACGCTTAATCTTCGAACAATTTATCCGATACTGTGTCTATGTTATCTAAATTCGATTCCTTTTGGTACCGTGCTCATCAAATGACACAGCTCCTCCTGTTCTCAAGAGCGCACTAAAGAGATCAAAACCATCAGAATCTACACCGGAACCAGTACCAGAACCGGAAGGTACATACAATTCCGTAGCAATTTACTAGTTAGAATAAGAATAAGAATGGAACCATCAATTTGTATGAATCTTTGAAATTTCTGTTGCAGCTCCTAAAAAGCGTCTACAGTTTAAGACATCAACCGATGCATCAGAAGAACAAGTGATTGAAGCGATGCAGAAGATAACATCTCACATCAAGAACCCTTCCAAGTTCTCCAAAGCCTCAAAGCTTGCTATACGGCTGATCCAAGCTGGTAGTGTGAAGCCAGAAACAAGCAGCTACTTCATTGCGATGCTTGAGGCTGCCATGTCGTCAAAAACTCCTTGTACAGATCGCTTGGTTCGAGCAGACTATCATGCATTGTTCTCGGCAGCTCAGGATGTCGCCGAGGTAAACGAATATATAACTCATGTTATTCTTCAACTTTAGTGTTAGCATGTTGATGAATGTTCATATGTTTTTGTTCTTATTTAGTGCCTTGATAAAGGCCAGAAGAATCTGTTGACCATATGGACATTCAAAGCAGTTGTGGCTAATGACCTCTTCACTGATGACAGCTTCGTGGTAAGAACCTCATGTACCTTAATCGCTGACTTATACCAATATCTTGGAATATGTTTGGCTTTAGTTGCTTATTTTTAGAATATAGATTGCCTCGTCATTGTGTTATGACCTGTAATATGGATATTCTTGTCTTGAACCATTATCCTCTGAGGTTATCATAGTGTCTCATTTACTTTGTTTTTGGTTTAGTTTTCCAAGACTGCTACTCGAATAAAGGAGGCTATATCTGATCTTCCGGTTTCAACCGAGGAGGATGATGTGGAAGAAGCAGCTGCTCTTGAAGAAGCGGCGGTGAAGGAAAATGGAGATGGCCAGACAACGCAGGACGTAGCTGAAGCTGCTTCAGCTGGAAATAATGAGGATGTCGAGTCTGATCCCTTTGGGCTCGATGCCTGGATTCCCAGTTCTGGAAAGAAAAATGGTAAAACAAAGATAAAGAGAACAAATGAAGATACAGACGCTGAAGAGAATAAGAGGTTTCTCAGGTCAAAAAGAGAAGCTTTGATTACATGCTTAGAGATTGCTGCACGCCGTTACAAAGTTCCATGGTAAGAATGCTTCCATGATTTACAGAACCCGTTGAACTGAATATATCCCATTGAAATTGTTATTATGTCAAAACTGCGAAATTGAGGAATGATTGGATTCATTTTCAGGTGCCAAACTGTTATAGACATATTGGTGAAACATGCCTTTGAGAACGTGTCAAGGTTCACATCACAGCAGAGACAAGCAGTGGAGAAACTCTGGGCTTCTGTTCGAGAACAACATCTCCGTAGGAAGCAAGGCAAATCAGTTACAGGAAAACTCGACGTGACAGCTTTTGAATCGCTTCAGGATAAATACGCCAATGAGAAAATGAGCATCCGGAGCTCAGTTGGAGCCAGCGGTGAACGCCGTGCACAGCAATGGCTCGGTTAATATAACATTTACCAAAAAAAGTGTGATTGGTAGGATTTTTTCACTAAGACAGGAACTAGAAAGCAAATAGATAAAATCTTGCTCTGTTTCTGATTGTATCTTAGAACAAAAAGTTTCCACCTTTATCCAAAAATTTTACATGATGCATGACTCAGTAATCTATTACAGGATATGGGTATTGATTCTATATTTCAGTCCCAGTTTTGATGACTTGTCTGCCAATCTTCATCATCTTCTCTTGGCGGCCTCACCACCAAAACAACCATCCCTAAACTCTCCTTCACCTCTCTCGCCTTCAACTCTGATCCTTTCTCTAGCTTAAGTCCGTTCTCAGCCACAACGAGGTAATACCCGTCATCGGCCTCCACGACATTCCTCACCCTATCGGTCACTACCAGTAAAGGCTCCTCTTTTCCGTCCCAAGGCAGTAATTTTCTATCATCCCTGAAAGAAACCGCCACACCGCCTTTCCCAATGGCCGCCACTGGGTTCCACCCCGGAAGAACTACCCATCTCTTCCATCCTTTCTCCGCCTCAACCACCTTGAAATCCCCTCCGGCTATGATCTCCATTGGAGCTTCAAGAATCTTCTTTTCCCCTTCCTCTGCTTTACAAACCGGCAAAACCACAACGGAGCTCGCTCCTGCTACTTCTCCGAACTTAAGCCTCACCACCGGAATCCGAATAGCTTTGACTTCCTCTTCCTTCTTCTTCTTCTCCTTCTCCTTCTCTTCTTCCTTCTCCCCGTATAGCTCTTTGTTCAACTTGTTCTTGGCCTTTTCTGATTCTGCAACCCCCAATGCTTGTAGAAGCATCGAGGTTCTCTGTTCCGATGGATTCTTGTTCTCTCTGCTCTGCCTGTAATACAAGAACGAAAGACAATCTCCTGGTAGATTGTAATCAAAATCCAACCATCCAACGTCACCACGCCGGTTAGGATAATCCTTGATGGCTCGCGCCAAATCCTGTGCGCCTTTCGAATCAATCTTACGATCAATGATGAATGTGGCGGCTGCAACGCGCTGCGTGGTGCTAAGGAGACGGATTTCGTATAGAAGCTCTGCACCACCGGTGTCGAACGCCGCAATGAGCTCCGGTTCATGGATAGATTGAAGAATTGAGTCACGAACTTGCGCACCGACGATTAAACGGTTCTGTTCAATGCTTGAGATTCCGGTGAGCTCTTCGATGGAGGGAGGAGTGAAACCATCGGTGTAGAGAGAAGAGATAAGAGGAGCGTATTCGAACCAGAGAGCCATTCGACCGGCGAGGACTTCGATTTTACCGGCGGAGTCGAGTGAACGGAATTTGGTTGGAATCGGAGATGACGGTGGCCGGAACGGTTGGTAGAGCTGTTGCCGCGCCGGAGGGTTTCTTGGAATCATGTTAGCTGAGGATTTTTTGGGTATCATGGAAGCAGTAACGGTAAAGGAAACGGTACGTGGTAATGGATAAACGGGTCGGGTAATCGGGTTGGTGAATAATCCATGAGTGGTGGATTGTGTGAAAGGTGAGGAGATTGAGGATTTGAGAGAAAACATGGTGAATCCCCAGTGAGAGGTGTTGCAGAGTGTGTGAAGACGAAGATGGTAATGGCCTTATCTCGAAATTCGAACCGGATTATGGCAAAACCAAACCGATTTTGAACCGGAATAGATATTTCTACCAAAAAAAGAAGATATTTTTCTTTTAGTGGAGCCTGGAGGAAATTATAGTAACAAATCGGAATTGTCTTTTTTATTTCTTTTACAAATCGGATACATCTTAAAAGAATTTATTTCCTATTTGTATAGTTCAGATACAAATAATTAAACTATTCATTCAATCTGAACATTGCTATCTCTTAACTCTAAACCCTAATCATATCGAAACCACAAAGCTCAAATAAATTTATTGGAGATTTGAGATTTCCAAAGTTGATCATATCCATGGATATGACCTCTAGTTTTCATTGTTTTTTTCATACAAAACTTGTCCTAACTCGTAGTAATTGACTAATATGATACGAGGAATAAGAGTGTGCTACAAATTAAATCGACTCGTGCATGGTGATGGAGTAATAATAGTTCCTACTTTTATTTCAAAAAAGCATATAATTTTATTGCATTTGTGTATTATTACATTTATCACTTGTTGCAACAACATTTATTTTCGAAAGGAGGAGAAGTAAAACATTGTCCGGATGAGAAGCCAGCCTTCCTACAGTCCGCGGCACATTTACCATTCCCATACGTTTCCGAACATATCTGCTTGCATTGATTATCAACTCTTCCCGTAGGTTTGATCTCTGCATGTCCACAAACTCACCACATGAATATCACATATATAATCATATCTATATTGCTTTTAAATCATGAAACCTAATTAGAAATTAACAACATATAAATATATAGAAACATACCTGAAGCCAAGACGTTACAATTGGACAACGAAGCAGCCATTATTATTAAGAGTAAAAGAGTCATTGAAGTTTTTGTGATGGCCATTTTGTCTTGCTCTTTGTATCAACTATAAAATCTATTCAAAAAATATGTTGTGGTTTCCTAGATTGTAAGTAGAAGCTCTATTTATAAAACTAGAAAAAAATACCGTTGATGGATCTTTCTATATTAATAATATTTTATTTTGATTTGAAAAGATATTTTTCTTAAACATTGGTTTTGGTGGATCTTCCACATATATACTACTAAAATTTGATTTGGACTAAAATCTAAAATATATTTTTCTTTTTAAAAAACTATTGTTTAACAAATCAATCCATGTCTATTTTGAAATACAAAATGTCCCTTTTTGTTTAAAAACCAAAGGGTGACCACAGATCCTAGAAGAAATCGTAGGAGTGATGCAAATAACTGAGTTATAAACAAAAAAATAACTTATTAACTCAACTTTTCATAATTCATTTATGCTCGATCGTCATTGTTAACGAAAAATCTAAAGTCCAATATCCGATAAGGCATTTAGGATTTCGACCTAACTGAGTCACTGACAATCATAATTTGAAATTAATCATTTTTATTCTGAACTTATACAAAATGTTTTCAAGATACTTTCTCTAATGCCAAACCTTAATTAGGATTGTTAAAACACAGATACGTTTTACTATTCGAATCGAGCATATATATATACACACACATATATTGCCACTCTTAACTCAAATTAAAACCTAATCATTACGAAACCACATATAGGCAATATAGCTTCAATTAATTGCTTTGGAGGTGTCAAAGTTCATCATAAAAAAAAAGTTCAATATCAGTGGATTACCTATAAATTTTTTATACTTGACAGTGATGAACTGATGAAGTTTATGATTATTTTATATTTTGAAAAAACTTGTCATTGCGTTGTGTCAACAATCACTTCAGTATAGTATTGAAATTTTAAAAAACTTCTCGTACGTAATAAATGACTAGTTAAAGAGTCATAAGAGTATGTTAATCGACTCGTGCATTGTGATTGTAGCTCGTAAATTTTGATTAAGAAAAATATAACAATAAAATTATTTGATTTTATTGCAATTAATTATGATTTGTGCCTTTGTGGCAATACAACAAGAGAAAACTCATATAGATCGTTATCTATCATCACTAAGTGCAACAACATTTATTTCCGAAAGGAGAAGAAGTAAGACATCGTCCGGATGAGAAACCAGCCTTCCTACAGTCCGCGGCACATTTACCATCTCCGTAACCGCCCGAACACATCTGCTTGCACTGATTATCAACTCTTCCTGTAGGTTTGATCTCTGCATGTCCACAAACTCACCACATGAATATCACATATATAATCATATCTATATGACTATATGCATGATTTAAGTACAGACATACATATCAATGTCATTGCTTTCAAATGATGAAATCTAAAAAAAATAAAAACCTAATTAAAAATTAACAACATCGAAATAGAAACATACCCGAAGCCAAGACGCTGAAATTAGACAACGAAGCAGCCATTATTATTAAGAGTAAAAGAGCCACTGAAGTCTTTGTGATGGCCATTTTGTCTTGCTAGTTGTATCAACTATAAACTTTATTAAAAATATATGTTGTGTGATTTTCTAGAGTGTAAGTAAAAGCTCAATATATAGAACATTTAGGTTCTTTGATTGTAACAAAAAAAGGTTGTCATTTCTCTTTCTTACCATTGATGGATCTTCCATATATACACTAACAATATTTTATTTTGACTTAAGAGATTTGCTTCTTAACATTGGTGGATATTCTTTCACATATATACTAATAATATTTTATTTTGACTATAAGATATTTTTCTATAGAAAAAATTATTTAGTAAATCAGTCCACGGCTGTTTTTAAATACGAAATGTCCCTTTTAGTTTAAAAATCCTAGTATACATTGGAGTCTAGACGAATTTGTTGAGTATTAATTAATGTGAAAACCAAGTCTGGAGAATAATTGAACTCCATTTGCCTCTGCATTGAAGAGTACACAGAAACCTTATTCCGAACGCACAAGTCGGTTTTGTCTTGTTACTATTAACCGATCGATGTCGAATATGATTTAAATACAATCGATAAATTTGTTTAGACCGGTTTTCAGTTGTAGTTTATTAACCGATTTAACTACCGAGTAATAAGCAAAAACATAACTAGCCTGAAAACGGGCCCGAAATTTGATATACCTAGCCCAAAGTATCTAATGTCCATCAGATATGCCCAATTACCTAAAGATCCCTTTTGTTGGCCCATATTATTCCTTTCTTTTTGTTTGCTTGGGGAGCAAATGATCGAATTCAGATTTTCGACCTAACTCACAACAATGATCTCAAAATCAAATTTATTCCGAATCGTTACAAAATGTTATTAAGCAAATTTACTCTAGTGCCAAACACGTAGGATTTTTAAAAACACAACTACGTTTTGACTATTCGAATCAAGCAATTACACACACAGATTCTGTATATTACCACTCTAATTACACTCTAATCGCATCGTAAAAACTTCTATTATTTGCTTTGGAGGTCTCCAACGTTCATCATCCATGAATGTCCTGCAATTCCCATTACAAAAATCAAAATTACTTAGCCAACACCACAAAAAAAAAAAAACAGAGTAAAAAGAGAGACGATGAATGACTTACGAAGAGCATCTTCTGCAGAAAATCGCCGAGAAACATCGCGACATATCATTTTCCTCAACAAATCCTTCGCTTCCGCTGATACCGATCCAAATTTCTTCGGCGGAAACCTCAAATTCCCTCTCAATATCGATTCAAAGATCTCTTCCGCCGTCTCACCGTTAAACGGCGGCTCACCAGCTAACATCGTGTAGATCACTACACCGGCGCTCCATATATCAACCTTCTCGTCGTACTTCCTTCCCATCACTACCTCCGGCGCCACATAATACGGTGTTCCCACAACTCCCTCCGCCGTTTCTCCGCCTAACCACACCGCTGATCCGAAATCGCAGAGCTTAACGCCGCCGCTTACGAGATCGACTAAGACGTTGTCAGGTTTCACATCCCGATGAACAACGTCGCACCGGTGACAATGAGCAAGCGCACGGAGGATCTGTTTCGCGTATGAAGCGGATTCCGATTCGGATAACCGTCCCCCGGCGGAGATTAACCGATCGTAAATCGTCATCGGCGGATCGACTAATTCCATGACGATCGCAAGAGAATCCTCTGTTTCGTACAGATCGAAGATCCTGATGATATTCGGATGCGGCGGTAACATCGCCATGATCCTCGGCTCCGTCTCTATACACTCGCGATCCAGCGCGTCGACGAGCACGCGCTTGTCGATGGTTTTGCAGGCGTAGAATTCTTTAGTCGCCGGTGAGAAACAGCGAGTGATTGTTCCGAATCGACCTCGACCGATCTCGTCGCAAAGCTGGTAGTTATTTTCCAGTTCGAATTCTCCGGTCATCGGAATATTCTTTTTTATTGTTTAGTTTTCTTCGCATCTCTGATTCGTGAGAGAGGTTTATATAGAGGAATAGAATCAAAGTACTAAAAAAGAGAATATTCTGTTTAAGGAGGTTAAACAGCATTCTGTTTCAAAAGTCAAGCTTCGAGAAGAAAAATCAAGCAAGTAACAGACTCAATTAACTAACGGCTGCCGTTAGTTACACTGCCGTTGAATATTAATTAATTGTCCATTAATTTTGATATTAATAAAGTATCGGAGATAAAACCTTTAATGTGCATTACATATGACCTGCATTAAATATTTTTTTAGATAGTGGAATCTAAGCATATTAAAAAATAGTTCAACGAGTCAAATTATATACGTTTTCTTTCTTTTTTGATAAGACAAATTATATAAGTTAAACATGCTCAACATGTCATTATTATAAAGAATCATTATTATCGACCAAAAACGATTAATATAAGCATAAGTCATATTCTTGATGTGATTATGTGAGTATATAAAATATAAGACCTTAGGGAGTTTCCAAATGACATTTACGATAAACTCTACAATATTCAAATGTCTGTCCATTAAAGAATGTGCATGTGCACTACAAGAAATATGAGCTTCCGTAGCAGTCCTTTGTAGCGCTAATTTACGAACTGCTACTAAAAGTTCCAAAATCGGATGACAAGTATTTCGCAGCACTATATTAACGCTAGGATATAGTTTTCATTAAACGGGAACTTAACTCCGTATTATAGCGGGGAAAGGTATAATTTTGGAGGCAAAACAATTGGGTTCCCCCCTCCAAACCAAAAAAGTCTCGATTTCTCAAGTGTAAAAGTCTTATCTTTTACACTTAGCTCCAAAAAAAAAAAAAAGCTTTCTCCAAAATTATACATGACAGTACTGTCCATATTTAATTGAACATCTTCTCTCTCTTTTCCTCCGAGCTTCCTCTGCTCTGAATCTGCTCTGGCGTCTTCTCTTTTTTCTCATCCACCGGAAATTCTCCTTTCCTCCGAGCTTCCTCTGCTCTGAATCTTCCTACGGCTGTTTCGAAACCTTTCCACCGTTCGATTCGCGCTTCTTCACGTCGCCGGTTGGTTCTTGGTGGTTTTGGCGGCGCTTCGTTGTGGATGAATAACAACATGTCCGGTAATTTTGGCGGTAAATCTTTCATTGCTTCCGCTAGGCAGACCAATCCTTCTCCCGTCGAACAGGTCTTTACTCTCTTTAGCTTCAAGTAGGGTTTCGTTTCAATAGCTAATTGTTCAAAGTTTGTAGCTTTAGGGATTCAGAAATCGAAATGTCGTTTAAATGTTCAAAGTTTGTAGCTTTATGAAATTTGAACTCTTTTGCTTGGTTTTAGGCGTTGAATAAGGTGGATTGGCCCGAGACTTTCCCTTTCAAAGAAGAAGATTTCCAGAGATTCGATGAGTAAGATACAACAATTCCAAGCTTTTGTTATAGTCTTGCTCTGTTTTCTTATCTGTAAGGCATGTTTGAGCTATAGTTTTGCTTTGAGACATACTGAGAGCTTGTTGACTTGTGTTGTAAATTTGTCCAAAGGTCGTCTGATTCAACATTTTATGAAGCTCCAAGGTTTGTGACACACATTGATGATCCAGGCATAGCTGCTCCAAGGTTTTGCCTCAGAGCGATACTCCGGGAGTGAGCATACTCAGCAACACACCTTCTGTTAGAAAGCCTTTTAAGAGACTTTTTACTCTTTCTTTGTGATGAATTCGTTTCAACTTGTGATCAATCCAGTAGAATTGCATCATTTTTGTGGATTCTTAATTGGTTACTTTGAAATTTGGTTAGGATTGTTGTATGCTCTTATAGGTGATGGAAAGCTTGGAACATGCCATGAAACGTGGTGCTCCAATTCTAGCAGAATATCTTGGAGGTGCTGTTAATTGTGATGCTCACCAGATGACTTCTTAGTGAAATACTTGTTGTAAAGGATATAATAAAACCGCCGCAGAGAGAGCAGCTGTTATTGTTTTAGGACATCTGATGAATTAAGGTCGATCGAAACAGAAGTTAGATTTAGTATTGCTTGATACTTATAAGTGTAAGCCATTTTTATGCTTGTTTTCTTTGACTGGTTTGTGTTTTTTGAAGTTGGATTTCTCATCTGCATAGATTGCCCACTAGGATGAGATTGCAGGCTTGGGGTTGCTTGTCTCGCCTCTATGATGCATTCCTTGCGCTTCATGAACTTGGATGAGCTTCAGTTCCTACTACATTTTTTTCTTCTTGTAACCAAACAAAAATATATGTATTGTTTTACAAACTTTAAGACAATTTTTTTGTTTATTTTCATGTGTAAGACTATTTTGTTGGTAATTAAAATAATTTCTATTTTCATTATAGATTTTTATTTTCGATTTAGAGTTTATTTTATTTTTAAAAATATACTGTATTTATAAAAAATAACGTATTTATAAAAAAAATACGGATTTATAAATGAACACTTTGTGTTTTCTTTTATTACATGCACTTGACTTTGTTTTCTCATGTTACTAATTATATGTTATCTCTTGGCAAAAATATATTAAACACAAAAACACATACTTAAAACATTTTAATTGGAAAAAATTGAATTAATTATTTTAAGGCATGTACTTTAGGTTTCAAGTTAAATGATTTTTAAGATTTTTTAAATGATTTTCGAATTTTGGAAAAAAAAAGTTAAAAAAAAAATGAAATATAAACAAATATAACCAAATATCTCAAAAAGACATAAATATTTAATTATAATATTAATAATTATATAAATAATAACAAAATTATAATTTTAAAGAGTTTAGGGTATAGGGTTTAGGGTATGAAATGTATGGTTTAGGTTTTTGGATTATATTTGTTTGAAATAGTAATAATATTTAATTATAACAAATAATAACATAAATAAAATTCATTTTAAAAAATAGTTTAGGGTTTAGGGTTTAGGATTTAGGGTTTAGGGTTTAGTTTTAGGGTTTAGGGTTTAGTGTTTTAAATAGTAGCTAATATTAATGATATAAAGTATACTATTATAACATAAATGAATTCTTTCATTTTATTAATTATAACATCATTAATGTGTTTCAACAATATGATTTACACAATAAAAAGATTAGTGTACATGTATTCTAAGGCAATCATATGTGTTACCTTCAAATTTCTAAAAACGTTGCAAAATATATTTTTTTTAATTGTGAAAAAATTATATAATCATGTAAATAACTCATAAACATATTAATTCTTCAATATATAATTTTTAAAAAATTATATAAATAGTTAAAACACATTTTTATGTCTATAAACAAAATTAGCCAATCATCATGTTTCACTCGGATTGCTGATGTGGCGAGATCTCAGCCATTCATCGTATCTAATACATGATCAATTTACCTAAACCAATCAATAAGTAATACTCGGATACATGACGTGGCGAAATCTCATCCTTTCATAAGGCTTTGGCGGCTGTTGTTTAATGAAATCTCATCCGTTCATCGCCCAACAAAGGCTTTGGCGTCTGCTCTCTTCATCCTTTCATCTTTTCATCGCCTCGACTGAGAACAAAATTCAGAACAAAATTAATTCAGATTAGGTCATCACCTTTCAGCACATACTTCTTCTCTTCTTCTTGTTTTCATCAATTCTCAATTCTTTTTTTCCTCTCCTCCATTACGATTTACGAGAATCTCTCTGCTTTAGCTTCTCACTCCACTGTAAGTTTCGTTTCTTCTGAGTTTAACATTAGTCTCTCTTTCTCTAACCCTAAACAAGCCAGCCGCCTTCTTCAACCCTAGATCTAAAGGGTTTCTTTGTTGATTTCGATTTTCTAGGGTCATACCAACTGGTTGAAGAGGATTCCATGGATGATTTCATAAGAGACCGATTCAGACTCATCACTCATGGCCATCTCTATCGCCATCTACTTGATAATAACTTAGGATTCTCAAAGAAGGAAACGATTTGATTCGCTGAGCTTTTGCTGCGGATTTCGTTCTTGTTTCTATGGTTTATTCGGGTACGAGTCTTGCTCAGGCAAGAAAAATATTCTCAATTCTCAATTTGTCAACGCAATGGTTTTCTCTCATTACCTAGTCGACTTCTTCTTCTCCACCAGCGATACATCGAAGACGTTTCACCACCACCTTGGCGAGCCTCTTTTGATGTTGGTTCTCAGGTGAGTTAATTCTGGATTTTTAGGGTTTACATTGAAATTTGAATCACAAGTTTTAGCTTCTAAGAGCATGAAACGGATCTGCTTGTGTTAAGAGTTAAATTTTGTGAGTAAACTTTATTCTGGTAATGTTTTGCTTCTTCGAGTATTTTTTATTTGTTTTGTGTTTGCTATTCCTCTAGTAATTAGGTCACTAATTGAGTTTCATGTTGTAGTCAATCGCCCACCACCTGTTCGATTAAATGCCTCAATGGGTTTATTGTCTTGAAGCTGTTTTAAAACAGAGCATATGGAAGATATTTTAGGATTGTTGTTCAGATATATTAAGCATTTAAAGTTGTCTTATTTGATATCTCTTAGGTTTGTATATTTTGCAGCTTCCTTATTCTCAGGTTATTATAGTGCATCCCATGTATTTTATCACAGTGAGAAAAAAGCTTGTTAATGGATCATATCATACATTGCACGGTGTTCAAGGGCCTTACTGCACCTGTAAAAGAAAGTGAAGAAAGAAATCAAAGAGCTCGCCAAGAAGATCAACGATCTTTGTGGTATGTGCACACTCTATATTTTAATCTGCAAGTTATGCACTTAGTCTAGAATGATCGCACTGTTTAATCTGCAAGTTATGCACTCAACTTTTTAAGTTGACTAATTATAGCTTGAAGCAACTGTAAAAGAAGACAAGGAATGGCGTTGGCTGTTAAATGGTATGAGTTGGAGATCTACTAGAGCTGCCTCGGTTTCTTTATGACTTGGTTTGGTGAAGAAATGTACTTGCGTTTTTTTCTTTATGACTTGGTTGGTGATTCAAGCCTTCTTTGTATCTTTTGGGTATTTGATAGAATGATTCTTTGTAAAATGTATGTTTTATATAATATTAATTTTATTTATGAATCAATTTGCAATCTATGTTTTGTGCAATATAGGTTTCAAATAATTGAAATATAGCACATAATAATATACATTACAGCAGCATTAACAAAATGTCACGAAACAATATCCACCGGCACATATAATGTGTTATCATTACAAGTTAGACATCACAAAATGTTTGCTATAAAAACAAACATAATAGCACGAGTGAAGCGCTAGTTAATAATATCCACCAGCACATATAGTGTGTTATCATTACAAGTTACACAGCACGAAATATTTGTTATTAAAAATAACATAATAGCAAAAATAAAGCGCTAGTTAAGAATATTAAATAGCTGAGTAATAGCGCTATAATAGGTCAATTTACAATAGCGCGTAAAAACTGCTACGGTAGGGGGGGGGTCTACCGTAGCTCCTCATTATACAGCGTTTGTAGTTTCGCTACGAAATCCCTTTAGTAGCAGTTTTCGTGTGTTACCGATGCTCATTTTTCTTGTAGTGGTGGCATGCTTTATGGCCGTTCTACTAATTATAATTGTATAATATATATATGCTTATTTAGCAAAGTAAATTATTATTTCTTTTATTAGGGCAGTACTAATCGATCATCTAAAGGTTGTTAAGATGCCTGATTTTTAAGACCAAGTTGGCTTATAAATTTATTTGTGGAGGTCTTATTTGTGCTGTCTTCATGATTTCTTTAAACTCTAAAGCTTATATATATGGATGGTTATCTACCCGTATAGAGGCTAAATTTGTTAGGTAGATATGTTTAATAATAATGTAGAGCTCATAGATTCGAAACTACATTATTGAGGACTTATCCAAAAAAACATTATTCAGAAATATATCATTTTCTTTCTCTTTCTTGTAAACATATTCATATCTTCTTTATCCAAAAGCATGTTACATAAGAAAATGAATATACCAATATACGATCACCAATCAAGACATAATTGATTGATGTTTGATTACGTATGTAAACACTACACTATATACATGTCTCGATCTCGTGCTGTTACATGTCTAGCCCTTATTAGTCAGAGTGGGTTATTCATGTAATCATCTTGATAAATTATGATTATAGTTTGGAGGATGTGAATTTTTTATATATACACGAGTATAGTTATTGGGATGCCGCTATCAGATTTTCCAAATTAGCCGACGCATACACATTCATCGACTAAGAGCCACATATGAATGTGTTTTATAGTTGTTATTATCCGAGTTTCAACGAAATAAGAAAATTGCTTAAAACAAAATACGTTCGCGATGGGATTCGAACCCACAATCTCCCGCTTCGGAGGCGAGCGCCTTATCCATTAGGCCACGCAAACATTCATAATAAATGAGATTAGTATATACTAGAACAACGGTCTGATATATATAATTTACACTAACGGATTCTCTTACACTGTATGTTAAACTTTTCTATTAAAAAAAACAGAGAGAATAATGTTTTAATATCATATGGATATAAAATGAAGAATAAAAAAAAACATTACACCAATAACATGACAATTGTTTCTTGCAATAAGAAAAATGTTAATATGTTTATTGGTTTATTAATTTAATATTAAATATCATAACTTTTATTTTGATAGTTTATCATATAATTAATTACTTATACATACAAAAAAAAAAAGTATAGACTTTAAAACAAGGAAAGCAGTACCTATAAGTTAATAAATTAGGCAGAAATGTTAGGAAATCTTTACAAATGTAACAATTTGTCATAATGCATCCAACACTTATTTGGTTGGACCGATCTTCTTTTTCTAAGATTCCCTGTCGTCATTTCGTATTTGATTTGATCACTCATTCTCTCGTCTCCACCATTTGAGTCACTCGAAACACATCTCTTATCATCTCTTCACCAAGAAAACAAAAAGCATAGCCTAACAGAACAGAATCTAGGTATGATAAATTAAAAACCTCAAGTGATTTAATATTTATTTAATTATTTGAGTTTAATTCTAATAGGATCTTTTATGTAATGTTTTGGTTATAATCCGACGCAGTTAGCCAAATCAAGATGGTGACGCCAACTACAATTAGAACGGTGGATCTCCGCTCCGACACGGTGACTAAACCAACGGAGTCAATGCGTTCAGCGATGGCAAACGCGGAAGTGGACGACGACGTTTTGGGAAACGATCCAACGGCTCTGCGTTTGGAGAAAGAGGTGGCTGAGATCGCCGGAAAAGAGGCGGCTATGTTTATTCCGTCGGGAACAATGGGGAATCTGATAAGCGTGTTGGTTCATTGTGATGAGAGAGGGAGTGAAGTGATACTTGGAGATGACTCTCACATTCATATATGAAAACGGCGGCATTTCAAGCCTCGGTGGTGTGCATCCGAGGACGGTGAAGAACGAGGAAGATGGTACGATGGAGATTGGTGCTATTGAAGCTGCCGTGAGGAGTCCCAAAGGAGATCTTCATCATCCGGTTACTAAGCTTATATGTCTTGAGAACACTCAAGCAAAGTAAGTGTTTTTTTTTTTTATATTAAGCAAATAAAGAAAGCGTAATTATAATGTTTTGTAAGCATGTATTCGCTAAAGTTGGTGTAGATATTTAGTTTAGGTTTCTCAGAGGGCTAATTGGTTATAGAAAAATTGAATTATTGTAGTATGTTGGTAATTAACCGGTTACGTCTTAAGGTTGACAAATTTCTGTTTGAAGAGAAATGAGTAACATTTCTTAGAACCCTCTCACAAATATGACCGAAAGTTCATTTTGGATCTTATGAAACTATGTGACAAAAATCTAAAATTCCATGTTTGTATAAGTTATAACAACATTTATTGTAGATGTATTTAATTTTCCGGTTGGATGGACTCTTTAATCTTTTGACAATGTGGTTTGACAAAACCGGAGTTTGTTGATGTAGTTGTGGAGGTAGATGCCTGCCTGTAGAGTATATAGAAAAAGTCGGAGAATTAGCCAAGAAACATGGTTTGAAGCTTCACATTGACGGAGCTCGGATCTTCAACGCTTCTGTGGTTAGTATACATATATAATTCATTTTCATATGCATTTTCTCTTATTTCATTTGCTCATATATATATGTGTGTGTGTGTTTTAGCGCTTTGAAGCTTATGAGTACATCTTTTCGATCTTAATTTTGCAGGCACTTGGAGTCCCGGTGAAGACGATTGTTCAAGCAGCTGATTCTGTCTCGGTATGACTCATCATTATAAGTTTATAACTGTGCTATGTAACATTATGGTCTAATGTTTTTGTCTCTCAAGACATGATCCTTTTTGTCTTTGTAATAATGTTTTAAAATTATGTACTGCTGAATGAAATCTAACCCGGTCACTTTGATACGACTAGATTTGTTTGTCGAAAGGTATAGGTGCACCGGTCGGTTCGGTAATCGTGGGAAGCAAAAAGTTCATCACTAAAGTACGTTAGCTATAAATCAATTAGCAATTTTTTTTTTTTTGGTGTGAATTCCGGTTCAAGTAATTACTTGTTAAAATGCAGGCAAGGTGGTTAAGGAAAACTTTAGGCGGAGGAATGAGACAGATAGGTGTGCTCTGCGCGGCCGCATTGGTGGCTCTCCATGAAAATGTCGCAAAGCTTGAAGATGACCACAAGAAAGCTAGGATCTTGGCAGGTGATCGCTACCGGATTGTTTGATTATTTATAATCCGGAATCTCAAATTGAATATGAGCGTGTTAACCGATTAATTTTGATTTTGGTTTTCTACATTACCAGAAGGACTGAACCGGATTGAACGGTTAAGAGTTAACGTGGCAGCTGTGGAAACCAACATCGTAAGTGTTTGAAATGAATGATTGGTTGGTTAAGGACTGAACCGGATTGAACGGTTAAGAGACCTTTTTTTGTTCGTATATGCAGATATACGTAGACATACCAGAAGATCCAAAATTTGGAGCAGAAGAGGCATGTAAGAGTTTGGAAGATGTCGGTGTGCTTGTCATACCCCAAGCTACATTCAGGTACGTGTACATATGATATATTACATTGTTATAATCATGTAATACCACATAGAATTAGATAAAACTCGAAATTAATTTGGATCGAGATCAATGCTTATACTAACTCTATTTGTGTAATTAATGGTAACTTCGAGTTTATGGTCTCTGTATACAGAATCAGGATTGTTCTACATCACCAAATCTCAGACGTCGACGTGGAATATGTACTCTCTTGCTTTGAGGTATGTTAGTTTGCTTTCATCCACTGATATGTGTGCTTTGATATTTTAAATTTCTTTGCTCTTCTTATAATTCTTTGATTAATTGCTTTTCTGATATTTTTAGAAAACGTTTTAGCTCAGTGAGGCTAGAAGAGAAGGTTTATTTTAAGAAATTTCACTTGTTGGACTGTGTGTAAGGTTGTACTCAAATTTCAAAAAATAAAAGGTGTACTTGAATCTAGTTGCTTGTTTTACAATTGGAAACCTTTGAATCAAGAATTATAAAAATCTTTAACTGAATGCAACTATCTTGAACGGACTTTAATTTTTCTCCTGCCCCTTATGTCAAATTTTGTGAAATTTCTCTATAGATTTTATTTTATTTTCCATAAGTTTCCACTTAAATGTCTTTTCTTCCTTAATTCATTTTGACCTCTATATTCCACTTTTTTCTTCACTTTTACGCTAATCTCTAAGATTACCAATCATAGCCATTGTTTTTGTGAAACCATTAACAAATTGACCATTGACCGAGATATGAGACATTTGCCAAGAAAGCATTCAATTTTATCTTAATAGTTCTATATATAGAAAAATATATATATTCTCTAAAAGCTATATTTTCTTATTAGATATCAAAAGCTTAAAACATTCTAAAATATAATTATATGTGATTTAAGAACAAAATTCAAGTTTGCAAGATTCTTAGAATTTTATGATTTTGAAGTTTTGATGGTAATTTTTAAAATAATGTAGTTTAGAGTTTAGAAAACTGTTTGATGATAATGGTTCAACAATCCCGTTACTAAAATTTCTTACAAACGTGTGTGAATCAAACGTCATTTTCGATCAAAACTCACTTATACATATAAACTACCAATTACAACCCAAGAATTTATTCTTTATAATCAGATTAAAAAAATGTCTATTTTAAACAAAAAAGATATTCACTGTTCCACATGTGCTAGTAGTTTGTGTCCGGAATCACGGATTATAAAAAGAAAAGTAAGAAAAATAGTGACGGATGAAAAATGCATTAAAATATTTGTCTCTTTCTCCAGTCGACCCATTGGTCTCTGTCTCTCTCTCAAGTCTCACCTATAGAGTTACCTTTTTATACACTGTGTAACACTAAGTCCCCTTCTCCCATTTAATTTCTCTTCCTTTTTTTGTGTCTTAAATGGAAAATTTATGATTTCTGATGATCAGTCTCACGATCTCATCTCTTTCTCTTTCTCTATAAATGACCTATTATGATGTTTTTGCAGCTATATATACGGACATTTGTGTCTATTTTTCTATCCATCTTCTCATTCAATAGTAGAAAAGAGGAAAAACACAAAAGACAACAGTAGAAAGGAGAAAGAAAAACAAATCCCACTTTGATCTCTTTCTACTTGTATCTCTCATCTTGAAAGAAACAGCAAGAGGTCTCTTCTTATATATTTTGCAGGTTGTTCCTCTTTGCCTCACCATTTTTGAACAACATCATCATCACTGAATCTATCCTTTTTTGAAGCACCTACCTCACCACTTTGCAGTACAAGGAAGTATCCAAGTCCGCATTCTATCTCTCTCTTTAGTTATTTTATTATACCCTTTAACCAAAAAAAGTTATTTAATTATTATAAATTAAATAACTAAAAACCTAATCTTTGCCCTAAATCACTCAAACTCGATCTGGTGAAAGAACCCTAATTTAGAAACATCTAAAAAGCTATGGATTTGATCTCTCAAAACCACCACAGCAGAAACCCTAATACCAGTCTCTCAACGCAAACTCCTTCTTCCTTTTCTCCTCCACCATCCCCTAGCCGCTACGAGAACCAGAAACGCCGTGACTGGAACACTTTCTGCCAATACCTCAGAAACCACCATCCGCCGCTCTCTCTAGCTTCTTGCAGCGGTGCACACGTCCTCGATTTTCTGCGTTACCTTGACCAGTTCGGCAAAACCAAAGTCCACCACCAAAACTGCGCCTTCTTTGGCCTTCCAAATCCACCGGCTCCTTGTCCTTGTCCTCTCCGACAAGCCTGGGGCTCACTCGACGCCCTCATTGGTCGTCTCCGTGCAGCCTACGAGGAGAACGGTGGAGCTCCTGAGTCTAGCCCTTTTGGCTCACGGTCCGTCAGGATTTTCCTCAGGGAGGTTAGAGATTTCCAGGCTAAATCACGTGGCGTTAGCTATGAGAAGAAGAGGAAAAGGGCCAACAACAAGAAAATAACTCAGTCGCAACCGCCTTTACCACAGCAGCCGCAGCAGGAGCAAGGTCTAGTCTATGATGGCTAATTACCATCATGGTGCAACTCATTAATATCGTATTACTTCCATATATGTATGCTCGTATCTAGCTACTTATACGTACCATGCAACCTTTGTATTTGTGTCATGCAATCCCTATTTTCCTCCATTATCCACTGTTAATTTATGTCATTGTTTCTTAATTACACCTATTGTTTTGTCTTTTCTTATAATCAATAAGTGAAATGAACTTGGATTAATTTTTCTTTTTTGCTTATATACCTTATTTATGATTATGTCAAGGCCTCTTTTATATATTACAATTGTCTAGACTCTAGATGATGATACATCAAGATGTTATATAAATATCGAACTCAACCTTCGAATCATGAACATTTTAAGTGATGTTTTTTTTTGACAAGCTTGAACATTAATTAATTATAGTGATATCATATGACGACTTCTGTTAGATTAATTACATAATTTTTCAGTAAGGTCATAATTATATAAACTAGTTACTTGTAATTAGCTTTATACTATGCATGAACATATATGCATAAGTTTCGATTTCAGCCACTCAAACAGTCAAACGTGAAGTTGAACGTACGATTATAATCCTGATAAAACTGCTATATTTCTTTAGTTTATTTTTGATACATATTTGTCTAATTAATATATTTAGTGGTTTTCTTCATCTCCATGTCCTTAATATGTGTTCACCGTCAACTTCTTGTTTCAGCGGCATAGATAGTATCCGTTTATTAGCTAGTGATGACTATATATGAAAAATATCGAAATATGTAATTGATTGGTTTAGTATATTTTTCTCACTTTGATGTTGACCAAACATGAGTGTGAGAGAATGTTGCAAAAATAGAAACTTGAAAGGTAAATTCTAAAGCGCATCTATAATTGCAAAAGACAAAATATGATCAAAGTTTCAATTATTGATGACAGCTAATCTTGTGACACAAATTTCTCCTCAATTTGACAATTTCAGAATATCTTAAATTTTCACCAGGACTCACAAAATTGTGTGTTTGATATGTCATTATATCAATAGTCAAACTCATATAACCTTCACTGTAAAGAAAAATATTAAAATTTTCTTATACGCATAAATTCCTATGACGCTTATTATGTTTCAAATCAAGTAACGTTGATGTTAATATTTTGATCGGATGCTCTTTGCTTTAACCAACAGTGTCATTTAAATGTAGTGACCTACCGTTTTGGATCTTTGGGTTTTGATATGCATCGTCGTCGACACTTTTTGTTAAAAGATATTATAAATCTATTTAAATTATATTACTAGTTAATCTGTAGTTCTGTACGTAACTATATAGTTGAATTTCTGAGTTCGAATTTTAACTTGCAACGGCAAATAGTAAATGAGATATATATAAATTGTGATAAATTGATGTTGCACGAGTTGTGGAATTGATTACCAAACACTGATGTTTTCACTCTAGCAATCAAATCGAACGGTAAAGATCAAAAGGATCCGAGAAAATGTAACCGGTTCTGTAATGTGGTTCCCCATCAATAAAAGCCACGTAGAATAGGACAGTTTGGTCTCGTATGGACGAGTTTCGTCGACATTGGGTCAGGCTAATAGTGATTAAGCAACGTGGACAAATGAAATTTATGTGTCCGTACGAGGTAGGCTTTGAATGTAGCTGTAAGAAATATTATTATTTAAACATTTTGTTGTTGTAAGATTATGATTTTTTTTTTTTTTTTGCTTAATTTAGCACCACATGTGGGTTTTCCCTATTTGGGAGGGGCCTTGTTATACAGTCTTTTGGATTTATTTCTGATTCTCTTGCACATTTTTGAACAGAGTCGTATATAAATGTAGTACTTGCAATTTTAAACAAATTTTGGATTGTTGACCTGATTTTTTTTTAAGAACTTCAAAAATATTTTCAGATTTTGTGGTTGAAAGCAACAAGAAAAGTTGTTGGTAAAAAAACGGATTTAAGATACTTTGTGAACAACACTGAACCAGGTTTAATCCGGTTTAGCCACTTTCTCAATCGATCGTCTGTAGGCTTTTATAAGATACTATTGGGCCTCAGCCCATTAATTAGAGAATCGTATTTTCCAATTTAAGTGGGAAAACAAATAAAATAGAAAAAAAATAAAAAGAATTTGGCGAATCGATTCCTGAAACCTTCGAGAGCGATTCGGCGTTTTGCTTCTCCGATGTCAATCCCACCATCTTCAGGTTCTTCTTCTTCATCTTCCTCGTCTCAGTACACATACGCTGCTAATTCTTACTATTCCGCTCCGTATCAGCCTCCACAGCCTTACGCGGCGGCGCCTTCGCCTGCTGTACCGGCGCCGGTGGCATCCATTCCCGGAGCTACGGTCTATTCTCAGCCTGTTGGACCGGTTCCTGCCGTCTACGCTTACCCACAGTACCAACAGGTTAGTTGGATTTGAAAAATCAGGAGTTTGATTCGTAGATTTGGGTATTTGAGATTTTGGGTTCGAATTAGGGTTTGCGAAATCTCTCTGCTTTGATTTTAGGGGTTTAATGTTGTTTTTGGGATTGAGGTTTCTCTTTATGATTGTCTAATGGTTGTCACGTAAACTTTGTCTCCTCAAGAAGTCTACCAATTACGGATCTCACATGTTTTACAGTTAAAGACTTGATCTTTGGATTTGAATTTTACTTGTTTTGTGTGTGTTTCTGCGAAATTTATGCTTAAGATAGACATATAGGTATCTTTTGGTGGTTGATTTTGTTCTATTTATTGGCAGGCTCATCAATTGTTCCAAAGAGATGCGCAAACCATCACACCAGAAGCTCTTGAGAATGTAAAAGCTGCTTTAGCAAGTAGTGAAACCGAACACAAAGCAGAAACTAAGAAGAGAGCCATTCCTCGTAAAGCTGCTGGACAGTCTTGGGAGGATCCTACTCTTTCAGAGTGGCCAGAAAGTAAGCACTGTTCTTCTTCTTTCCCTTGATTTTGCTGATTGTTATGTTAGTTTACGGGATGGTATCATAGTTGTTCATTGATAGGATTTTAGATGTTTTCTGCTCTGTTGTTAAAATGGATTTCTTACAACTTTCTGTTCAACATTTGGCAGATGACTATCGCCTGTTCTGTGGTGATCTTGGGAATGAAGTGAATGATGATGTTCTTTCCAAGGCATTTACTCGATTCCCCACCTTCAATATGGCCAAGGTAACTGTGTATATACCTCCTCCTTTTCGTCTTTAGTGATGATTCATATCTGGTTTCCTATGAACATATATTTGAGACATTAGTCATGTGATTGTAGTAGTTTTTATCCCCTATGATTGGTTAGACTACTTAAAATGTCAACTGTGATGCATTTGCAAACCCAAACACATAGTATGTTCAGAACAGAGCATGATTGACCTTAGATCATACGGATCATTCTAACTTGAATCACAAAGATACGTATTCAGTGCTAGTTTTGTGGTTAAACTCTTGACAAGAAAAATAAGAATCTTATATACCGTGACAGGTCATTAGAGATAAGCGGACTGGTAAAACCAAGGGTTATGGGTTTGTGAGTTTCTCAAATCCTGCGGATCTAGCAGCAGCCCTAAAAGAAATGAATGGTAAGCATCTCGATTTAGTATCTGTTTGATGTGTTGCTTCATCTTGATACCTCATCTCACTGTTTATGTTAGAACTTTTTATGTGATTCTGCTCCATAATAACTGCCGTTGAACATTCTGATTTGGTCCGTTGATTTTATATGAATACACAGGTAAGTATGTTGGAAACCGTCCGATAAAACTACGAAAGAGCAGCTGGAAAGAGAGAACAGACCAGGAGGCTGCGGAAAGACAAAAGGCAAGTATCTTGACTCGGACGTTTTGATAGATACATTTGCAAAGGTTTATTTATTTATTTATGAGTATCTAATTCTTGATTTTAAACTGATGGTTCTCTGTTTAATTATAAATGCAGCATCACAGCAATAAGAAGCAAAAAACTGTGAAGAAGAGCGTACTTCACAAGTGACAAATCCATCAGTTAGATGATCTCTTTTATTTTTGTGGCTTTAACTTTCTAAACCTCTTACTCAAAAATATAGAATGAATAAATATTATCATTAGTTTTGTTGAAAACTGTATTTTATTGTTGGGCTACTATGTTTAGCCCCAACCGGTGCTATTTACTTTATGAAAACGTGTTTCCTTATTAAGCTCGAGCACATCTTTTTAGCTCCATTAAATACGACCAAGTGGTCTGAGCATATTACAAGAAAATCAAAGTAATTCAAAGTCCAATTTTACGAAAATGTCTCACATTTCCTGAAGTAACTCAAAGTCCAATTTTGTTGTGTTCTTGTTTTCTTTAAACAACGCAATAACAAGTGGCTTTAACTTTCCAAATTGTCACCGCTAACAAAAAAAAGTTACAATTTATTCCTCGTTGACAACTCAACCAATTAATTATGCCCTAAATATGTGTTTTTTTTCGGTCGGATTATGCCCTAAATATGTTGAATCGGCTAGAAATGGTTGTACGTAACGTTTCATACTTTTTCTTTATTTGTTGAAGAAAACCTAAATCCTCTATTTCATTCTTTTTTTGGGTGTGCAACTAATCCTCTATCTCATATTTTGATCGAATTCCGATAAACAGTTGAATTGTTTTAAACTCTTTTAGAACATATAAATCCCAAGAAGTTGATTATAAAAAGAAAAACGTACTATGAACTAAATTAAGATTGCTGAATTGTTTTAACCTCTTTTAATTAATTATTAAGCTGTCGATTTGACTTCCTAATTAAACACCGTATTCTACAGCTCTTTTTTTTTTTTTTTTCTAAGGAAGAAGGGTTTTAAAAAAACCATATTCTAAAACTTCATGTAACAATAATATATAGAAGGGTTTTGGAGTTTGGTGTGATTACTAAAGGAAATATATATACTTAAGAATTAAGATCTAAAGGAGAAAGAGGAAATAAATGAGGGTATATATACATGCAACAACGTCAAGACCATTTTTAACAAAAGAAAAAAGCACAACGTCAACATCTAACCCTCTGTCAATAATACAACTTCCATGTCAATTTTAAATCCTAATTAAGCTCTAAAATTCACCTCTCTCTTTACTTTTTCTCCACATAAATCTTAAGAGTGTACGTTTTCTTTTGTGTGGAGAACCAAAAATAAATTAACAGTATATACTTCATACATGCATTGTTGCATGCCATAAAGTAAATTATCTAATTTAATAATCACAATATATATATATATATAAAGTTTTAATTCTTCTTTTTTTACAGGGTACGTTCTCACTTTCCTAAAAGAATGATATAAAGTACAAACGAAATCAACTTAATTAAGATGATAAGATCACACGGACGAATAAATTTACCTATATTTTAAATTATTCCCGTAGCTATAACATTGATTGATTTTCTTAAGATCATTAGGATTTAACACAGTTCCTCATTCTGTTTTTAACTGGGAATGTTCCACTGCAACTCTAGAGAGAGAGAGAAAGAAGAGACTGAGAGAGAGATGAAAGTTTGCCGATTTGTGTTTCCACATATGGTGGCATTGGAGAGGCTGTTGCCGGTTGATGGTAGGGTTCTGTTGTGCTTCTGCTTAGCACTTACTCTCTTCGTCACGGTGGGATTCTCAACAGTGACAACAACCATCCATATAACAACACACTTTACACAGATTTTAGTTATATTATATTATAATATAATTAATTTAACTTTTCGTCTTTTTTTTTTCTTATATAAGAATGTACCAGAGTCCTGATGGCGATATGGTCGACTGCACAGACATTTTATACAGCCGGCATTCCGTCATCCTCTTATTATTTTTTTTCTTTTCTGAAACCGCATATAATACAAGAGACACCAAAAAATCTTCCTAATCTACCCAAAAATGGATATGAACTTACCTGGCAGACGTGGCACCGTAACAGATCGACATGTCCCTAGGGGACGATTCCGATACGGAGGGAGGTTTCTCACGAGAACAGGACTACAAATTATGTGGCTGGAGCAGAAGTCACCCAAGGACACGAGGCTAGTATCCGGCTATATTTTTCTTCCATTTTACTAAAGTATATGAATCGAACAAATAATTCATCATTCTGAATAAATTTGGTTTGCCTTTCCATAGATGGTGGCATTGGAGAATCTATTATAAGTGTTTCTGAAAGCGGTGATATAATCATTGAAAGACTTTAGAAGTGCATATATTTCTTGTTATTTCTAGAATACCAACAATAATAGATTTAAAATATTAAAAATAAGCCTTTCAAATTTTTCTCTAGTTTTGATTCTGATATAAGTGGCTATTTTATAGATATACATTTATATATATTTAAGCAAAATATAAGAAAAAAGCAAAAATTAAGCAAAACATAATAAAAAAAAAAGAAGCAAAAATTAAGCAAAACATAACAAAAAAAAGTGTAACTTGACTAAATGCAAGCCTTTTTAACCAAAAGAAAAACTTTGACCCAATGACTTCAATGAAAAAGTCCTTTTTAACAGTATCTATAGTACATATTAATTGCTATTCTTATTAACTTTTTTGTAGATCTGTGATGTTAATTCCATTGATCATTCCATGACAAAAGCAATATTTCTGTGTTTGTCACTGTATATTTTATACTTTATAGCAATATGTTTGGTTTATTTTGCCACTATATTGCTTTGCAATAAATATTTACTCTATATTTCTAACATTGATTTATAATTAATTGAAGTATATTATAACATGTATATATTTTATAAGATTATTATAGAAATTGGAACAGAGACCCCTCTTTTCTATATATTTCTTTTGGTCCATGAATGTAATGCAAAATTGCAAAGTTTTTGTTTTTAGAATTGTGAAATTGCACTAGATAACCTAAAAAAACAACAAAATTAAATATCTAACCTCTAACCCCCCTAATCATTCTCTTTCTCTTCCTATCTCTCTCTACCTTCTTTCTAAAAAACTAATTTTTTTTTCTTTTTTTGGGTTATTCACCTAAATCACCCTTTAGAATTCTCTGTTGTTTTTTTTTTTTCTCTTACCACTGGACCCTACAATTCTATCGTTCACTCTACTCTGCTTAGTCATACATCATTTCCATTCTCCGTCTCCTTTATTTTCGACACATACTTTTGTTCTGCCAGAAGATTAAAAGACTACTGAAACTGATTAAAAAAGATCATTCAAATTCGAAGAACCAAATTCATCTTGAAAGTCACTTCGACAATCATAAATGGTACCACTACTAAAGCATATACAATAGGAGTTTATTTAGAGTATTTCTTTGCATTTGTTATAAATGATACTTGAACATCGTTATATCATTAATCATTAATCAATGCAACAACATTGTAAAGGAGCCTTAGGGGAAGGAGATCTACACTCTCCATCTCTATGATGTTCCATAACACAGTCAACGAAGCATTCATGGTTTCCGTAACGGTACGTACACAATGTTTCTTCGCAAGTGTATCTTACTTTTTTCAGCTCTTCACCTGCACAAACCCACATAAGAATATATACATGATCAATGCCAATTCTACATGTTTAGTAATTGTCAGTAAAACGATCACAGCTAATTGAAAAATATCTTATATAAGACATACCTGATGCCAAAACGTTGTGGTTAGACAACGAAACTACTACTAGTGTTATTAGAAGACAAAAAGTCATCAAAGTTTTTGTGATAGCCATAGTAATTTTGTTTATATAAAAATTGATACAAGAGAAATTTCTTCTTCATTTTCTGATCTTAGAGACAAACTATTTATATAACCCTTGGTCTTGGGAAATCTCAAATTTACCTAATTTATCACACTATTAACTGATCTTCCGTATTTACAGATAAATGTTTGTTGCGCACAATAGAAGGTGAAGAATTAATGGCATATGTATCAAATTCTCTTGTGAATTTGGTCCAAAAGAATTTCTGACATTTATTGTAACTTGACTAAATGCAAAGCCTTTTAACCAAAAGAAAAACTTTGACCCAATGCAAAACTATCAATGAAAACAGTACTATGGATGCTGTCAAAAAAAAAGAAAAAGAAAAAAAGAAAACAGTTCTAAGGTACATATTATTTTATGGACTGCTCAGATAATTTTGTGTATTCAGTACCTTTTGCTAAACTACATCTTCTAAATTTATATCAGAGATGATCACATTATTTTTTTTTGTCTAATACAGTATTAGGGTTGCATTTGTAAAGTAAAATTGAATTGTTACAAACGGAGAAAACACGTCTACCAAGTAAATTCATTTTACAACCCAAAAAAACACGTAAGTTCTAAAATTCGGTCACCTAGTTTTGAGAAACCCACGAACTTCAACAAGGAAGTTGTTGAGGTTCTTTCTGAATCTTGGGTAGTTGAGACGGTCCAAGGATGAGGATAGCTGGTTTGACGTTGTGAGCACCTGAAGCGCGTTTGCTAGCCTAGTTTTAAAGTTCGGATTCGCCTGCTTCTCAATCAGTTCGTTGCCCAATCCCTAGAGGTAGCACAGACTGTTTAAGTTACTGCTGTTTAAGACATAGAAACTCGGTTTACTAGTTTTAAGTGAGAACAATAAAATACTGACCTGGTAAAGATTTGGTTCACAGAGAATAAGAGGGAACAAGGCATCTGCTGCTGTACTGACTAGGTCGGTACTGAAACAAGAAACCGGTAAAAACACTAAAAGCAAACCATTCGAGAGAGCGCTTTTGAGTGATTTTGGTGTATAGAGTTTAATACCTGTAATCCTCAAAAAGAAGGAAGTGAAGCAATGTACGAAGGAATCGACTCAGTATTCCTTCATGGAATACTCCATTTGGATCTGTGTGTCCAGCAGCGTGAGAACCCAAACCCGAGTTGCCAGTATTTTTCTCTTTGTAGTGATATGAAGCAAGAGCCTTTAGAGCTCTCAGGCACATTGTGACTATATCGACATCCTGATGAGCATATCAATAAATAGATTTGCTTTCACATTGCTGTTAAACAAGAGTAAAATGGCTTGCTTACTATCTCTGAAAAGAAGATTTTACTTCACCTGCTGATGAAGACCAAAGTCAACTGTTGTAACTACATGGCTAAATGCATCATTGTTGAGTTGTGCGAGCGTCTCGGGGTAAACCTCGAGCATATGTGAAATGAGCGAGAAATACTGCAGAATTTGATCTCTAAGTGAAAATTATAACATTAAAAGTACTACAAGAGGTTTGATCAATGGTTGATGCAAAGCCTTACATCGAAACAAAGCTTGGGGTATTTGAGGAGTTCCAAAGTTATAAGTGGAGTGATTATATGGAGACCAAAGTACACCACCTGTAAGTTCAAGAAATTACACAAACCATTCTTGTCGAATTCATCTTAATTAACTTGGTTTACCTGGGAAATATTAGTGCTTTGTGTCTCAATACTATCAGATGAAAAATCAACCTGCAAAAGGTAGTACCAGTTGTTAGAAGATAAGGAATACTGGTGAATGTGTAATATATTTTCTACAGTACGTGAAAGCAAGAACGTTTACCATATCTTTAGAGCATAGATGGGAAAGTAGCTGAAGCAGAGCGCGTAAATCCTTATACTTTTCGGTTTTTGCTTCATTAAGCAAGGTACTAGAGAGAGACAATGATATCTGAGGTAAAAAAAGCAAGTGTATGTGAGGGTACACAATAACTTCACTTGTCTGCTTTCAAACAGTGACGCTCAGCCTGAACAGAGAAGTAAGGAAGAGATAGGGGAACAGATTTACCTTCCCAATATTGTGTGACGAATATATTTGTAGAAGACTCATGCAGAAATTAATGACAACGGCTGTTTCATGAGCCTCTAGGTAAGATAATTGCCCATCCACCCAATCCACGACAAATTTAAGAAGAAGATATATCACTGCAGACTAAGCAATAACAAAAAATTAGTGGTTTTTCTGACCATAATTGCCAAAAACCAACCGCAAGGATTTTGAAGACAGGTAGAGTATAGTACACCATCGGTACTGAAATGTTAAGTATATAGACTTCATCATAATCCGTATAACATGTGATCACTATATTTGCGCCTCGAACAGTACCTCATGTTTGTAAACCTCGAGAAGACGGAGTACAGGATTCATGACAGACAACCCCATCTCATATATTGCTCTCTGTGTCCGGGGTTCAGTGGCACTTGCCGCTCCTCGAAGCCGCTCTAACACACAACTCACCTAACACAAAATACGAAAGAACCATTCCGTTCATAAGAATTTATCAATAACTAAATCAAACTTTTCACGTGTTTTTCTTCCTCACCAGCATGATAATAGCAGGTTGTTGAGCCAAATTTTTAAGATCACTGTTATTGGACAAGTCCACTAGAGATGATGTCATATGAGCCATGAGGTCCTTCACATATCTTTTCGAAAATAGAAAGAAGGTTATTGGTCAGGCAAAATTTGTGGTTAAGATGTGAGCGAAGTGCAAAGATTTTGGTAACTCACTGATTTGATGCATCTGAACTTCGCATTCCATAAGCAGAAAGAACAAGGGTTTGAGCCAATGAACGCTGAATAGAAGTAATATCATTTCAAAAAACAGACCATGCATGAATACAAAAGAGCCAAAATGCAAACTTTAGGAATATACCTGACTAACACTATTTAGTAAAAACAATGTTTTGTCATTTGCAAAAGCATTTGCCAGGTTACGCCAGGAGTCCTGAATGTTTTAGATAAAACGTTAGATACTAAAGAAACAGAATAAGTTCATCTACAAGAATTCTAAGGAAAAGGCTTTTTTTTTTCCCAGTGGATAAAAAAAAAATAAGTTGAGTGATTCCCAGTAAAACAGCTTTTCTAGCAGCCATTTTACCCACAGAGAAATGTTGTGGATTCTAAAAAAACAAGTGGTAAAAATAATAGAGGAGTAGAAGCCGAAGTTTAAAATCTCATTTGTATTGGAAACAAAGCAAGATACAGAAATCGGCCCCATTTACGCCCGACTATGGCGAGTTTCTGAACTCACCAGTGATAGAAGGTGAAAACAAATATTTCTTCGTCGAACAAGTGCATGCAGTAACTGAAAACATGTTAACTCCTGCAGAGAGCGAAAAAGAAATAAAAAGATTAGGGGAATACCATTCTTGAAGAAATGGGAGTTAAGTAACCTACAGCTTATAAGAAAATTCACATTAAACCCTAAGAGAAATCTCGCTGTAGCTAACTGGATTCCCTGGCCTAAAGTCCTTTAGTTATCAAAATTTGTAAAGTCAAACAACTAATTGAATGATATATCCATCCAGCAAACCAAAAATAGTATTTGTACAAAGTAAAATACCATTGAATAAACGCGAGGGTTATCAAAACTCAAAATGTTTTTAGAAGGACAGAAGATTACTACCTGCAAGTCCTTTTCACCAGGGTAAGACATGAGCGATGTCAAGGAGATCCGGACAATTATATCAAGGACAAACTTCCCCTGATTGTGTTCGTTGAAAAACGTGAATAAACATGCTCTTGAACGTAGAGACTGAAGCTGGTTGCTACCCAAATTGCAGTCTTCAACGAGCATTAGATATGTGAAAGACCATCTTGCAAGGAACCATATGACTGCCTACATATGTTTCCCAAATCAATATACAGGAAAAAGGTACCAAACTGTAATAAATTTCTTCTTTTAACGCTTAATGACCAAGATAAATTTTATGCATTTGAATCTGTGTATTCGAAACAGGTCATAATTTACCCAGTTCAGGAATTAGAAGTACCTCCATTAGCCGAGGACTAAAGATCGATGATCTCATTTCTGCATCCAAACATTGCTCGGCGAATTTTATTATTGAGCTACAATTAAAAACAAAAGACAATCGAAGTTAGTAAATTGATAATGAACGAGCATAGCCACTGTTCAGAGAAAACTCTGCACAACAATTTCAATATAGTATGGCTCTAGTATCTCAAGTAAAATTCAAGACTAACTTATAAATACTTAGAAACAGTACAACACTCAAAAAGAGATATGATGGTAACTTAGAATCACAAGAAAACTGAAGGCATCTATTGTTGGTAATATCAAATGATTCAAGTTCACTCATCTGTTCAGTCGTGAAAGGCTTCTATTTAAGCTTACCTTGAGAGTACCACGACAGGGTGGTTGTTTGCCTCAACAACATCCACAAAATGAGATTGCAAAGCATCAGGAACCTGGTTGTTGATAACATCATCTCGTAATTACTCTTGGGAAGAATTTACAAGTGAAAAAATAGAATTATAACAGGCCTCGAATGAAAACTACGTTTGAAACTGGTTATTTACTTATTAATAAAAAGGATAGTTTTAAGACCTATCCGTTTGAAATTGATATATCTGGTAATAATACGTTTCTTATTTTTTGATAGATGAAGGCATTCAGAATACCAAGATATTCATAATAGACAGGAACTTAATGGAAGGAAAACTTGTCAGCATCTTTCTTTCTGTGATAACATCAAAAAGATGCAGGAAAGGTAAAGAATTACCAAGGCAGTCTCCCCTTCCCCTTCATCTGCAAGTACATGACCGATTATTAGCAGCAAAGAGTAGACCTCTTCCAAAGTTTCCGTCGGATCAACAGTGCCCCTGCCCTAAAAAAGGTAGATTAAGATGAGCAAAAGCAACCTCTCAGGACACATCAGTAAACTCGTGCACACTAGAAAGAATAAAAAAACGACATAGAGCTAGATTTTCTAATCAATTGCAAGAAAGGCTTTGATGGAGATATATATTGATATGTTAGCTACAAAAGGCATAATAGCTAAGAGCAAAAAGGAAAAGAAGAATGATTAGTAGATGAAAGAATGTTGGTTTCGCTTATATTCTAAAGGAAGGTCAATCAAGAGCACCTGATGGAGGCGTGCAACATGATCAGAGAAAAGTTTTGCTAAAAATGGAATTGTAGCATCGACTGCTGCCCTTGCAATGAGAGCATAAGAGCCTAGTCTTTCGTCCATGGCTGCCAGAACATAATATTAAAATGTTAACAAAGGATAGCAGAAAACCTGCCTTCTAAGACTGGCTGCAAAAAGACTATATCAAGAACCAGGAATCATAGCATTTATTTTGCTCACCGGATACAGAAGCCAGGCAGTCAGCATCATCTTCAGTAGTAGCTGACGCAGATGCCACTAGAGAAACAAACTTTCAGCTTTTATATAGATTTGATAAAGAAAAGAGTTCCAAACCAACGAAAGTTGTAAACCAGAGGTCAAAAGTCTGGAAACCTTTACCTTTTAGTTCAGATTCCACAATCAATGAAAAGAGACTAGCTGCAGCATGCATCCCCTCAGGTGGTAGCCTCGCATTACCCCCAGAACCATCCATTGACTGGCAGGAGTCATCACAACCTTTGGTCAAATAGTGCCCACTAGTATCTCATAAGACACAATTTACTTTGAATGTATCATTCTTCTAGACTATAAAAAATTTGTTGGCAAAGACAATGATCGGTCTTTATAAATACCCTGACGATCACAAAGAAAACGCCCAAAGTACCCCCAGAGAGCCAGATATGGCACAAAGTTTCATAAACACAGTGATGCATGATATTATAGATAAATGCAGCAGTAGTAAAATAAATCTAAACCATACTTACAGCAAGGAGTGTGGTCCAAGTATCTAGCAAGATATCGCGTGCCTCATAGCTCCAGGTCTCTTCATCAGTACTATTTGCCATTAGTACTTTGACAACTTCACCCATTAACATAGATAAGAGTGTAAGGGTGCCAAAGGGCCTGAAGAAACAGAAAGAAAAACTTTCTATGAATAAAGAAAAACCAAATGGCTTTTAACTGCAAAAAAAGGTTATATGTCAAAGACCTTAACGATCGCAAGAGTTTGTCAAAGACAACAGGAGTAGTAACAGTCCCAATAGATAACAATGCGCGACAACCATCAATCATCTCACTGGAAAAAAAAGGTTCAACAACACAACGTCAGACTTGGAATATATGACAACAAAAATCAAACAGGAAAAGAATGTTGAGCAGCTCACCTTCCACTCCTTCCTTCTTCAATTTCCTTTGAAATGACATCAGGAGGATCAATCCAGGGCAACACACCCGACAGCAGGAGGAGCAGATGTTGCTCTTGCATCTGCCCATTGTCTAAATTATTGAACAAGTCACTCACAGATAAATATATAGCTCGATAAGAAAGACGTGATGAACATCCATCGTTCCTCATTAACGATGCAAACTAGATAATGGGCAAATTTGATGTTTCTATAACGCATTCAGCAGAAGATTATATTAATTAGTAGAAAATACAAAAGCATATAACACTCACCGGATGGAAATATTTTCCCTGCCAAGGAGCACAATTGCACGATAAGTTTCCGAGCAGAGACTGCAACAGGACAATCTAGCCAATAGCCTTCAAGATCAAACTTCTGCCTCACCGACGAATATATATTTATCAGCCATCCAACATGTGAGCTTGAAAGCAAAACATCACACCACGAAGCTCCAGGCTGCAATCAGCACCACTGGAGATTTATGAAGAGCTCATGAAAGTGTCTTAACGGTAAACAAGTATAAAATCAGACATGCTAGCATGTGGTCTCTCTGAATTTCAGCAAGATAATTACCACGTGTCATAAATCTTAAATATAACCATTAGCTACCTGAACTATTACACATTCTGTCTTTCTTGAAAATGCATTATCAGCTCTAATTCCGTCAGAGAATACATTAATGCTGGCTCTTGTGCCACCTTTGCTGTAACGAAACTCCCAATTTAGTATTTGATGCATTAAACGCAGTGTAGCATTGCAAACCTTAACCTCAGGGACACTAGAATGCGATTCGATAATCTTGTTTGTAACACTCAAAGCAGCATCTTGTGCCCACTGATAGAAAGTCTGCAATTGAAAACATAAAAAGTAAACAACACAATTTTAGTAACAGAACCCTCCATATAGGCTATTATTCTTTCACAGACGAAAGGATGATGGGTGTAACAATAACTGGAAGCAAATGCAATCCTACAATTACCTTCAAAAAGTTTTGCTCTAGTGACTTGCGACAATTTTCATGAAATTCCCTAGGGAGACCCATGGCACTTGAAGTAGAGGGTGAGAATTCAGATACCTGAGATGAAGAATTATGAGCAACCATATGGTGTATATATAATGCCAGAAACAATAGAAACAGATCATTACCAATGATTCAAGAAAATTTACACCGATGAACTGCACATCTAAGCCACGAGAACCAAGAATAGCCTGGTTGATCTGTAAACAGCAGTTGTTAAGGGACATAAGAAGATCAACCATGATCCTTTTAATAAAAACATTAATATTGGACGACTTTCCATTATATTTTTCAAAATAACTAACAGCAATACCACAATTTTCATTTCTATGAGCCATGACTCGTAAACCCCCATTTCTTTTTATTAAGGCATGGATCATATCAATACATATCTAGCTGAAATAATGGAGGCACATATTGTAAGGACCTGTTACTACTCAAATGATTACTAGTTAACCCACTCAATCACTCTAAATCCTTTCTTGTCCATATATTTAAGGTACAGTTAAAATGCCCCTTACTACATTTGCCATCATCTTCACGGATTCATGCACATTTATATATATATAAACTATTATGTTTACAATGGCCAGTATCAGATAACAACATATATGTACCTCATGCTAGTCAAACGATAAGATACAGAAACTAAAATGAAAGTCTGAAAAATTACAAAACAATGTAGATACCTGATAGAAAAAGACTTCCTTCTCGGCTGGAGTAAACTCAAGCCTGTAAGAGTAATTTATTCAGATTAGAGGTTCCACTAGATGAACAAAGCAAGCAAAAAACAGAAGTAGCTAATTTGTCTAGATTTCTTTGCGCTACTCTAATTTTCCAGAAGCTACCAGTCATAAATGTCTGTGAACGACAACATCCTTTTCATGAATCCTCTCATATGCATAGAATCAGAAGTGACAGATAACGTCCAGCATCTAGTGTGCATGTTTTAATAATTTCAATACCAGAGAAGCCCACCGCAGCTTACCAGCCTCTTTTCATCAGCTGTGCTGCCACAGAAGATACTTTTGAAAGCACATATCCCTCGGATGAATTAGCATGCTGCATGACATAGCCCAGACAGAAGCTGCAGAAAGAATTCGCCATATTTCTTAATTATTTGTATTAATATAATCCAAAACTTCATAATAAAAACCTCTCATTTCTTATAAGTCATGATTATCTCGGAAAATGATGTGGCCAGGAAAGCAGAAGTATCCTAAAATTACTATATTGGGAAGCATGAATGCTCTCAGTTGATTTGCAAAGCCAATCAAAAATTACAAAATTAACACCAAGGTTTGCTTCCTGATAGAGCAGAGGGTGACCGCTCAACTAACTGGACGCTTGAGCACATATCACCCAAATCACATAAAAGAAGAGAAATTACTTAATCAAACCCCCTTTATCATCTGTGGCAAGAAAGCTCCATTCCCTGATAGCTGCTTCTCGTATAGCTGCAGCAGCTTGAAACCTAGCATTTGCCACCTGAGAATGTTCTGGAAGTATAAAACACTTTCAGTCAAACAGATGTAACTTCCCAAGTTCACTTGGCCGGTTCTGGACTCATCAGAAAGACTTACCAAGAATATATCTACACGCCTTATACGGCTGTGGGGACTGGTGAAGCGACAAAATGGTAGCCTCGGCAGCAACTGGATTACTATTTATCTGTAGGAAAGAAAGGGAAATGTCATGTCCACATGAGTTAAGCAATCACATGGAAACATAGAACCATCTTGTTTCAGAAATGCTTAAAAAATCATGACAAGCCTTTTATACGCAAAGAGACTTCTTACTTCATATAAATTCAGAAAGACGGCAAGAGTAAACTAGTTCAGTGAGGCATGTAGTCTCTAACTAAACGGCAATAGTAAACTAGTTCAGTGAGGCATATAGTCTCTAACTAACACCTTAGTCAACAGAGACGCACAGATAAACAATCACCATAAAAAAGAAGAAAAAATCACAAAGCAACTTGATAATTTTCAATACTCTACAGTGACTTCAATTTCAAGCCAAACAAATTACAAAAAAAAACATAAAAAAATTTCATAAATGCAACCACACGCACACATCTACAGCTTCCTCCAATATATTAGGAAACCAAAAAGATCAACCAGGAGACAAGGAATGGAGCGAACCACAACTTCATGCGTATATGTATGAAGAAAGAAGAAGCAAAAAAGAAATAGACCTGAATGTAAGAGCAAGCAAGTTCAATCGCGCGCATGGTAGCTTGGAATTGAGCTAAATCCTCAGCTCCAACTCCGCCGCCACCGCTTCCATTAGAAAACCCTAACATCTACTCCCTGAAGCACCGATTCCGGCAGCCGGAAAAATCAACAGTCTCGTCGCTTTCCAAGTAGAAAAATCTGATCGAGTTGATTGGAAAGTGTGAAGAATAAGAAGAATAAGGAGATGAAGATTCGATCGAAGAAGGAAAGTGGCGGCGTTGAGCAGTGTGAAATGGCGGAGAAAGGGATCCGATGGCGAGAGAGCCGGAGAAATGGAAACGCTGTTTTTACAAGGGCGTGTTCGCTGCTGAGGCTTATTTGGAGTTTTTTAAGTGGACATGAAGTTCCCTATTATTAACGGGAATACCCTTCCTTCATCTTATAAATGAGGTTAAGGACCTGAACCAATGGACCGGGTCGGTTTAATCAGTATATGATCATTGATCGTGGTACAGTGTGATCAATTCAATTGCTTTATGAATCAAACTTTTTTTTTCCTCAGAATCTGTAGAGTACAATGGATTTAGTTTTAACTCTCACATTGATGTGTTCATCAATTATCTATGTTCTAAATTTCTAATGAAAACTAAAACAAAGAGTACGAATCAGAAAGACTTACAAAGACTCATTCTTTATTCATCTTCAGGGTCTCAGACAAGGAAAATTGAGTGAAGAAAGCGATTAAAGAGTAGACAACATTATAAAAACCGGCAATATTTTATAATGACTTTAAGTAATTCTTGTACAAATGTATTGCATGTCGCCGTGTGATATAAACACATCCTTATGAACAAAAAATTAGCAGACTGAAACATATCACTGTCAAATAGTAACCAAGTTTTGAGCTATATGTGTTTTACCAGACCAGAAGCGTTGTGTATCTTCCTTCTGTTCATTCTAGTAGTAGCGATTGACACCGAGGCTTTAGAATTGTGCTATTGAGTTCCATAAAATATGTTTCAACAACTCCAACAAGCGAGCATAGAGCTGGAACAAGTCCTAACCCATATCTTGTCACCGAGAAGTAAAAATATTGTTTGATGTTTACATCGACCTTTGGTGAAGTGCCTGCACCATTTTGCAAATCATACTTTCATCAACAATCTCTAGATGTTAAGATAATATCAGAAAGAAAAACAAAAAGTTTCTTTGATGTAACTGAAGAACATATAAAGCAAGCACACATAACATTTTGTCTAAGAAGCACATCCACCAGTTCCGAACCAATCAACACACTCTGCATACTAATTGCTGTCACCTGTACAAATTGTGATTATCACCTGTACATTTCAGTGTAGAGCTTTGGCAGATTTGAGCCATTTGCAAATCATCAATAATAAAGAATGCAAGATATTCCTGCGAATATTAAAGTCAGCCTGAAATGTAAGTATTGATCAAATGCAAAAGAAGCAAAGCATGAAAGATACAGAAACTAACCTGTGAAACATTCAGTATTAGTCGAGTGAGGAGAGAAACCATAGCAACTTGATGGTAATAGAATTTTACGGAAGTCGGAACCAATAAGACCATGGTATTCCTGATCGGCTAGTTTCTCTTAGATTTCTCCTCAGGCTTTGAAAATAAAATAAAATCAATTCATTCTCAATAAATATATCATCTATTATGGCATAACACTTCGGTAAAAACTGATTTGAGCATTTCAGGAAAGTGTGCATTACCTTGGTTCCTTTGTCCCCATAAGACATATGACCACAAAACAGCAGCCAACGGTGATGGATGAATAAACAATCCAACGATACTGTAGACTTAACGCAGGCTTAGAATCATATCAAAAGGCATTAACATAAACAAGTCAATAGAAGCACAAACCTGAGTTTCGGTATTTTCTTTTGTCACGGCCTCGCTAACACCAAATACAACTAAAGCAACAACCTGAATAAACAATCGATGGAAATGTTACATATAAACCTAAAAAGGCATTTTAAAGAGCCTAAATAAGACCAAAGGGAAAGAGCTAACCATGCAAAAACGCATTACAGGAGCTTGTTAGCTAGTGCTACTCTGCTTGTTGAATTCAATGTAATGCAATTAACTATAGCCCTAAAGAACACAAAGATTAGGAAAAATGAATATCTCACTGAGTAAACTGGATGAAATGAAAAAAGAAAGATTGTTTTACATGTGAGAAACCTGAGTAGCAGCCCATCCTACATTGAAGATAGCTGCAAACATGATGTACGATAATGTTTCGATAGTTGAGGAGTTACTATGGAGGAGTGAACAAGGCAAGCAACCGCCAAACCCGAAGAAAATGAGATAGCAAGTAATATAGATCCTGCAGCATGCCAAATTTTGAAATGCCCAAATCTATCAATCTGTCATATGAAGTAGACAGAGTTGTGAGATAAATACACTGTTACACAAGACTACAAAGGATCACTTTATCTCAATTCAGATTACTTTAATTACACAAGACTACAAACTTTGAGTGAATGAAAACTTAAAGTTGCAGAAAAGTTACCAATTCACCAATGAAGATTGTAGCAAAACCATCAGCAACTTGACCGGAGAGCATGACAGTTGCAGCATCCCTTCAGAAAAAAACTTGATTAATCTCACTGATTCACAGATTAAGGTGAAGAGCTTTTTACAAAAAAAAGTCAGAAGATTGTACATTGGGGAGAGACCAATTTGGGTTAAAAACAAAGAGGAACCAACAAGAAGCAGTAATGTCATTAAGCATATGTCCAAGTCCAACTCTATGATAAAACACAGACAATCATCTTCCAAGTGGTTTTGGTCAAAGTTGACAAGAGAAGAGACAAATTTTGTGTTTTTTTGTATCCTACAATTCGAACTTGCATGGAAGAAGAGACATCAAAGTATTTCAATATAACCCAAAACCTGAGAATAAGACTCTCAATTGTATCAAAAAACATGAACTTTCAGATTGAAGAAATCTTAATTTCATTCTCAAGCTGACTAATAATATAAACTAGACAAAATTTTGTCTAAAAGTTTTTTGTAATCATCTCAGTTTCCCTTGTTTTCTTCACAAAGATAGAAGACGAAAAGAGAAGAAGTAATAAAAGTTATTATGAGAGGAGGAAGGTAGGAGCTATATCACTACTATTTTCATATTTTGAGCCAATCAGATGGCTCCATGTCACACCCCTCTCTCACCCATCGCGCGATTTCACGCCCACTCTCACCACTCGCGAGTTGAGCGCGTGTCTCCGTTTTCTGTGGGTGTTAACCCACCAAATCGCCTGTTTTGAAGAACACTCGCTCCTTTTTTAAAAAGCCTCGCGTGCGTTACTTTTTATTTTTTCTTAATTAATTCCAACGCAAACCGAACTAATTTCAGAACCAATGAAAACTAAACCGAAATCAATTCTAATTTCAAAACCAATGAAAACCGAACCGAAATCAATTCTAATTTCAAAACCAATTCTAGTTCTAATTTCTCTAGTGGAATCAGCAAATTCTGGACAGAAATTTTCTGGCAATTTCCATGATTTCTCAACATCCCAACGTACCTCAAAGAAGAAGAACGTTTTTGGAGGCAGGATTAGGTTCTACTTACCTTTTCAGCTACCTCATATGGCCACCCAAAGGTTCCTTCTCCCCAAGCGCAGCTCCATGGTCATTGTATGAGTTTGGGAGAACCATAACCGATTCTAGTAGTGACCTAAACCATGCCACAAAACAGAGTTATTACCAAAGGCCTTAAGATCAATCAAACATTGCTTAATGAGTTCATCAGACTCAAAATTATTACCAAAGGCCTTGAGATCAATCAAACATTGCTTAAAGAGTTGGGTTTCTATGCTCTCTTTGTATTCTATTCATTCACCTTGCATAAAGAAGCATGTATGCTCCTTCTAGTAATACAGTCTCTAATTTAACCGGGAAAACCTGCGAATTCGAGAAGAAGAAAATAGCATCATTGGTATAAATATAAATGATATTTTGAGACCTACATTTCTGTCATCAATCGGTATAATATAATATATATGTAGGGAAATATCAGCTTACCAATGTGATGATAGGGAAACTCCATCTGGTGGCACATATCTAAGAACTAGCACACAGGCTGCAAAGACAGTGAATGCCATTAGAGTGCCTACACTAACCTGTTGGATAAATTACCGATGTGAGCTACTCAGAGAAGGATAGGTTACCGTAATAGAGTGTGTTTAGACGTGTCTCAACTCAATTATATAATGCTAATTGCTTCAACAATATCAACACTATCCTACTAATAATGAACCCTCAGTTTTCTGTTTGCCACTAATTGTAGGTGAAAATCCTTCCTTAAGACTTGAGATATGTAATGTAGACAAATATCAGCTTACCATCTCAGACAACTGTGCAACATCCATGAAAAATGCGAGCGCAGCGGCAAGCACACCAATAGCTATTGTGCTTTTCACTGGTACTTGAGTTCGTGGGCTAATTTCTGAAAAGAAAGCCGGCAACAATCCATCCCTAGCCATTGTCATGAAAATTCGTGGCTAATGAAAAAAAATTACAAAAGCACTGTCAAAACGACATGAAAGCATTTTCAAAATCCACGAAACCTGCATGTTACTTTTACAACAAAGAAATCTCAATTACAAAATCTCCTGTACTTGGATTTTCAGAACGCTAGAATTGGTAGGTACCTGAGCCAGAAGGGAACCCAACAAACTCACGCATAGAGCAGTTATTGCCCCAGTGGTAAGATGTACGTGAAATATATAGAAATAATAAGAAAAAACAAAGCAAAGACAAAAGGAAGTATGTGTATATGCATATTCACTAATTAATACAAAGAAATTTGAATCTGTCTCAAGAGATGTATCATACTTACGCTGTTTATTGCATCCCACTGTCTCCAAATGTAGAGCAGAAAGGAGTATAAGGATTCAATGAATAGTATGGGACTAATCCAACAATAACTACTGATAAAAGCATACATAAAATGCAGCATATCAGTAAAGCAATCTCGATTCCCAATGGAAGATCCCTTTGAGGATTTTTCACTTGTTGTGGCAATACCAAAAGGTTAAGAGCTTAACAGAGAAAATCAGCGGAATTATGGAAAACAAAAAGTTCACTACTCTAAGACCAAAAATGCTCTTTTATTACTAGTTAGTCTATACGGAATCGTCAAAGTGAGTCCTTTATAGAGAAAAGACAAGGATAATAATTAAAAAAGAATGATAGTATTATTCAATAGACTGTGTACCTCCTCAACCGTACTAGTTACAGTATCAAATCCAATGTATGAGAAGAATACTACAGCAGATCCGGCAAGTGTCCCATTTAATCCAAAAGGAAAATACCCGTAAAGACAAGTATTAAACATTGACCTAAAGAAATAACTTTTTGACAAAAGCTAATGGAAGAAGAGAACAGGCTAATTACCCACTCGGAAATTCATATCCAACCCATCCAGTCTTGCAAGCTAAATATCCACCAACTACTATGATGAAAACCAACTTGCAAACATTCACTGATGTTACGATTGCTTGTACTAATGAACTCTGTGAAAACAAAATAACCCGGTATAACACTATTAGACGATCTGATAATCCTGCAATGAATTCGTTTAAAATGTTTTCAGTAAAGTACCTTCTTTATCCCAAAACATAGTAGTATCGTAACAATCATAATCAAAAGTGCTGCACATGGCTCAACCACAATACCAACCCCGGGTATACTAGTTTGTCGAGCTAAGAACACAGGAAGTTTGTCCAAATCTCCAAAAAAAGATGCCTAAAACAAAAGAAAACACCAATCAGAATTAAACCAACAAAAGACCACAAATACATATACCTTTTCAGCTACCTCATATGGCCATTCAAGGTTCCTTCTCCCCAAGCGCAGCTCCAGCCTCCATGGACATTGTATGAGTTTGGGAGAACCATAACCAATTCAAGTAGTGACCTAAACCATGCCACAAAACAGAGTTATTACCAAAGGCCTTGAGATCAATCAAACCTTGCTTAATGGGTTCATCAGACTCAAAATTATTACCAAAGGCCTTGAGATAATCAAACATTACTTAAAGAGTTGGATTTTTGTGATCTCTTTGTATTCTATTCACCTTGCATAAAGAAGCATGTATGCTCCTTCTAGTAACACTGTCTCTAACTGAACCGGGAAAACCTGCGAATTCGAGAAAAAGAAAATAGCATCATTGTTATAAATATAAATGATATTTTGAGACCTACATTTCTGTCATCAATCGGTGTAATATAATATATATGTAGGCAACTATCAGCTTACCAATGTGATGATAGGGGAACTCCATCTGTTGGCACATACCTAAGAACTAGCACACAGGCTGCAACGACAGTGAATGCCATTAGAGTGCCAACACTTAAATTGTTGGATAAATTACCGATGTGAGCTACTCAGAGAAGGATAGGTTACCGTAATAGAGTGTGTTTAGACGTGTCTCAACTCAATTATATAATGCTAATTGCTTCAACAATATCAACACTATCCTACTAATAATGAACCCTCAGTTTTCTGTTTGCCACTAATTGTAGGTGAAAATCCTTCCTTAAGACTTGAGATATGTAATGTAGACAAATATCAGCTTACCATCTCAGACAACTGTACAACATCCATGAAAAATGCGAGCGCAGCAGCAAGCACACCAATAGCTATTGTGCTTTTCACTGGTATTTGAGTTCGTGGCTAATAAAAAAAATTACAAAGCACTATCAAAACGACATGTATGCATTTGAATAACCCACACAGAACCTGTGTTACTTTTACAGCAAAGAAATCTCAATTACAAAATCTCCTGAACTTGGATTTTCAGAACGATAGAATTGGTTAGTACCTGAGCCAAAAGGGAACCCAACAAACTCACGCATAGAGCAGTTATTGCCCAAGTGGTTAAGATGATAAACAACATTGGAAGACGCTCAGGTGAAGCTGCTGAAGCAAGACCTAGGACACCTATGCACACACGAGCTATACTCCAGGAAGCAATTTTTCTTCTCTTTCCAAAATACTTTTCATCTGTTCAATTAAAAAGAAGCAAAATAGTTATATTTCTAAAATGCAGAAAAAAGCAGTATAGATTGAATTGTTGGATGTATCTTTACAACATATCCAAATGGTAACTACGTGATTGAGCACATTTTATGATTTCAGTACCTCCTGCAGTTTCGTTGCCAAGTAGAGGGGAATCAGAAGATTCTATAGCATCCACAAGAAAATTTTCAGTTTCAGCTCCAATTTCATCGGTATCACTCAAAGTTTGAGAAATCTCAATTTTAAACTGGTTTTGATCTTAAACTTTTTGCATCAATTGGAAATACTCTGCATGAAAAATCCATACCAAGGATGTAGTCCGATGCAAGGTACAACAGAAGGATACGTCTCTCCCATCTCTTTCACCAAGTCCCAATCTTTCTGTCTCCATAAACAAAACCCGTTTAAAATATGTATATATGAGTATAGTAGATAATAGTGATTAAACGATCAGGAAATTACCTCGGAGGTTCCATTGACTGCGAAATTGGTAACACCGACAGCTAAAAGCAGCAGATATGAGCTGAGAGGCTTCGTCGATGACCCTCTTGTCTTGGAGGTGACAATGAGCATCAAACAACTTCATTTTCACCGTGAGGTTCTTGGTTCTAAGTTCTAACAGATCCCTGTACAATTACAACTACAACACTTTTTGAGTTTTGACTTTTGAGAATTGGAGCTCTTGAAAAGTAATGTCTCATTCACTCACATCATCAAGGCTGGTTTCTGACTACCTTCACGCTGCTGTAGAAGCGGCGCAGATCCTTCATGGCTTTTTCTTCTATCTGGATTGATCGTATTGGTGATGGAGCATCTATCTCTGGTTTGAACCAGCGATTAGTTCCAGGCGAATCTGATGGAGATCCTTGCCCGGTTGCGACTGTGAAACCTGATGTTTTTGTCTTTGGACTGTGGGACAGAGACTGTTGCTTCTTCACCTGCATTAGATAAGACAAAGACACCGAGAGAAAAATGAGCAGCCGAGTTTTAAATAAGAGCGGTAAAAGTTATTTTGGTGTTCTACTCACATGTTTTAGAGTGTAATCCCCTAATAAGGTATGATATTAGCAGCCGAGTCAATGCCAAGCACTGAAGGAAAGCATCTGCATAACAACTACAAAAGTAATAATATAAGTGATAAGCATAAATATACTTAAGAGAGAAGAACTACATAAAAAAATTGTCAGTCAACAACTTAATAGATTTCTCTTATAATACTATTGCTAAATATCATCATGCTATAAGCAAGAAAAGTTAAAGATAGATCGATATGTACCTGTTCCCTAAGTTCACAAGGCCAAATGGCTGTAATTGTACTCTATCACAATAAAGTTTCACAAACAACTCATACGAGAAGCTCATCTGCACAAAAATACAGCAACGTCACTATGGGATCATGGCAGTAGATTTAATCAAGCTAGAAACCAATTATATATTGTAATAACCTCATGGATAGAAGTGGAAGGTTGAGACATTTTTGACGACTTTGGGGGTCTAAAATGCTAAACAAACGATGTTTTTAATCCACTACATACTTGAACCTTGGGACAGTTTTGGCTTACTAATAGCTTTTGAAGGTAGGAGAAGAGTTGAAGATGACATTGCAGCAGAAGCACTATGTGGTCCCACGAGATGGAAAATCCACATTCAGACTCTTTTGCATCTGCAGAGAGCTTTGGGTCATCAAAAATCACCAGCCACCACTAAATGTGAAATCTTTATAGATCAAATACTAAATCTCAAGTATCTAGAATCAATTGTATCTAAAAAAACAACAACTTTCATCAGATTGAGAGAAGAAGACGAAAAACTAAATAATAACATATAAGAGAGGAGCTAGCAACATGTATACTATTTCACTTTTTTTAGAGTTTTTCAGCCAATCAGAAGGCTCTATTTCAGACCCACTCGCACAAAGTGCGCGTTGCGCGAGTGTGAGCAATTCTGTGGGTGTACCCCTTTCGACATCATGCCTTTTTCAATCGACGCACTTGTCTCCAAAAAACCCATCGCGTGAATACTTTTTGTTTTCTTCTCTAAACCAGTGTAAACCGAACCCAAAATCAATTCTAATTTCAATACAATGTAAACCACACCGAAATCAATTTTAATTTCAAAACCAATGTAAACCTACTAACCGCTTGTCCTCATCGTCGATCCCTCCGACGAACACACCACATCCAATGTCAAGAACAACAAAGCTGATACATACCAGATTACCAGGAATCATCAACACATACAACCACAAAAACACAGTAACTTCAGATTCAATAACGAACACAGATACAAATAATGATTCATTGAAATCGATTAACCTTTGAGATCTTCTGATCCAAGTACTGATCAGCTCTTTCTAAATCCAAATTTTGACCACATTTGTCTTCAATATGTAGAAGCACACCTGTAAACAAAATCAGAAACTTTTCTTAATTTGGGAATACAAAATCAAACCAAAACACAGAGCTTCACAGTTGTACCTCATCACGGCGCAATTCCTTCTTTAGGGCCGAATCGCTCACCACCCGCCGTCGAATTGAGCCTTTTGATTGATGGCTTCTACATTATTCAACTGAGTGAGGTCAAGAGGATTTGGGCAACCAAGTGAATGGAGAAAGAGAGCTTCAGGTGACATAAAATGATTTGAATCAAAAGGGCAACGAACCAAAACCGCCATTTTCGTCCTTGTGGAGAATAGAAGAGTGATCTAAAGCTAGATTTTTCGACAGAGCGCGAGAAATGGCGGCGGAGATGGAGCGGTGGGTGAAGTAATTGTTAGGATTTTGAAGATGAGCTGGAGGAGTTCGGAAGAAGAAATTTCGGATTAGGATTTTGACAGTGTGTAAACGAAGGTGGTCGATCCATGAATTCCGGCGACGGCGAATTTTACAGAAAACGTTGTAAGTTCGTGTGCTTCCTTTTGCATGTTTTTACTGGATAGGGCCCATTTAATCAGGCCCATTAGTCTCTTTATTTAGCCCATATTAATTTGTGTATTATTCGTTAAACTGGTACATTTACATTACACGTCCACTTACGTATTTATTTCCCACACATTAATTTTTGATCTGTATTTCTTACACTTTACTAGATATTTTATCTATTATATAACCATCAACTTATTTTACCCACAATTATATATATTTATCATCGTTATTCTTATTCAACGATATCATCTTTATGAGAAAACACTGTCCCAAGATATCTCACTATGTTGATATCCAAATACAAGCACAAAAACACAGTAACTTCATATTCAATAGTGAACACAGATACAAATAATTTCACATTGAAATCGATTAACCTTTGAGATCTTCCGCCCATGTTAAAAACAACATGTCGGGGCCAAGACGAACATGCTAAATTGCTAATTAAAGCCAACAAAACGATTTTAGCTAAAAGACCTTCCTCCATTTTTGTCAAACAACTTGTTGCAATTTAAAATATTCTAAGATTATTTAGCCGCCCACATGATGGTGGGCTGGTGGTTTGGCGGGCCCAGGGTGGTTGGATGCAACTCCCTCCTCTCCATGGTTCGATTCCTCCTGCTAGCTGTTATCAACATTATTGTGGGAAGTCTGTCAGTTGGGCTTTGGTCCAATTGGTTTACCTGGTAGTCAGAAATGCAGGCGGCCTGACTACCCCCTGGCACTTAGTCGGAAGGCATTCCAAACTCGGGATAGGCAGAGTGGTAGCCCGAAGGGCCTAGCCGTTAACACGGTGGACCAGTCCACTATGTAGCACCTCGGTGCGTTCCTACCGGGGCCGACCGGATAGCCGATAGGGTTTATCAAAAAAAAAAAAAAAAAAAAAAAAAAAAAAAAAAAAAAAAAAAAAAAAAAAAAAAAAAAAAAAAAAAAAAAAAAAAAAAATTATTTAGCCAAAAAAATTTAAAGGCCATTTTTTGCAGCACAAAATATTTAGGGTAAAATTATCGATGAAGACTAATCAGGTCAAAATTTTGGCCTAGAATACTTTATGGATGTGCATATTTTCAATTTTGGTCATATATTATTCAAATCAAAATAACATGGTTTTAGTTCAAAGTATTAATTTTTAAAGTTTAATAGTTAAATTTATTTTTAATTTTAGTGAAATTAAAAGAATTTTAGCGAAAATCATTGTTATTTATTAAAAAACAAGTTTTAAGTGTTAAATCTATATTACATGAAAACATTACCGAACTTCGAACACCAAAACTTACGGACCAACTAAGGACATGATGCATAGGCGCGGTTAGTTTTTGCCGTTTTAAAATTTAATACTTAAACTAATTTTTAAAAAATAATAGTGAAATTAACATGGTTTTTGTTAAAAAAAAATTAATTATTTTCTTAAAGTTTAAGTGTTAAATTTGTTTTAAATTTTAGTAAAAATTATTATTAATTTTTTAAAATGAGTTTAAGTGTTAAATCTATAATACGTAAAAACATGCCGAACTTCAAAAACCAAAGCTTAAGGACCAACTAAGGACAAGATGCCTAAGCGCGGTTAGTTTTTGCCGTTTTTAAAATTTAATACTTAAACTAATTTTAAAAAAATAATAGTGAAATTAACATGGTTTTTGTTAAAAAAAATTTAATTATTTTCTTAAAGTTTTAGTGAAAATTATTATTATTTTTTAAAAATGAGTTTAAGTGTTAAATCTATATTACGTGAAAACATGTTGAACTTCGAACACCAAAGCTTACGGACCAACGAATGACAGGATGCGTAGGCGCGGTTCGTTTTCGATATTTTAAAAATTTAATACTTAAACAAATAATTTTAAAATAATAGTGAAATTAACATGGATTTTGTGAAAAATTATTAATTATTTTCTTAATGTTTAAGTGTTAAATTTGTTTTAAATTTTAGTAGAAATCATTTAAAAATGAGTTTAAGTGTTAAATCAATATTACGGAAAAACATGCCGAACTTCGTACACCAAAGCTTACGGACCAACGAAGGACATGATGCCTTGGCGTGGTTAGTTTTCGACGGTTTTAACATTTAACACTTAAACTAATTTTAAAAAAATAATAGTGAAATTAACATGGTTTTAGTTAAAAATTATTAATTATTTTTTAAAATTTTAAGTGTTAAATTTGTTAGTGAAAATTATTATTATTTTTAAAAAAGAAGTTTAATAATAATTTTTTTTTTTTTGTGAGAGGATCTACTGAGTTTAATTAAGGTGAAGGAAGTCTCAACTCATTGCCTGAGTCAATAAGGTTGATGATCCGATCCTCAAAAGTATAATACTAACCACAACACTGTCTTCTTTCATGTTAGTACCATGATGATTCATGAGAGTTGTACTTCAAAGTCCAATGTACGTTGGGACTGGCTGTATCTTCCGCCGAGAGCAACAGAGAGCATCATTGCTGGCTTGAAACGAGAAAGGTCGAGACTGTCTCTAAGGAAACCAAAAGCTTAGCTATGATGAAGAAAGATGACATCTCTCTCTCTCTTTGCCTATGAATGGAGAATACAACAAATAATATTATGTGATGGAGATTTCGAATCTTTATTTCTCTTCTCCCAAAGAGATTTGGTTACTCAAAAACTCTTTCGTTTTCTGGTAGCTGATAGTCTAGTTTGTGGAGCAGAGGCCAGATTCTGAGGACTTGACTGATACAACAACACACGCTGACATCAACCTACCAATGCTCTGTGCTCTATGTGTCGAGAGTGAACCAGCCTGGTTCTGAGATCACAACATGTTTTTGGTGGTAGGTGTTTTGCTTTTGAGGATTATAAGCAAGTTATGCAGAGAAGAAGCAAAGAGGAAAAGAAATTTTGGTAACTAAAAATGCAGTGGAAGGAATTGGCATTGCTTCTTCTTATACGAGATTCTGTGCGTGTGTGTGGCATTTGATGTCTCATGTTGGAGACGTAGTCTTGTTTAGAGTGTTTTTGTTTGGTTATGTTCTTCTGTTGATCTTTATTTATGTAAACCACACAACACAATAAGAAACAGATACATAGTTACAACTTTTACCAAGTAAGCAACAGAAACAACAATATATGAGAGACGATTTTGGTATTGAATTGAGTTTTGTCCAAACACATCAACGAACAAACAAAAAATAACACACAACGGTAGAATCAGAAGACGGTTGTTCTTTTGTCTCTTTGATCAGAGATGATGTTACAATTCTGTAGAGAGACACCATTTTCACTGGTCTATAAGCAATTTAGAATCTGGATAATAAAACAACCTCACAGAATGAATTCACATAACTTAACTCCGCAAGCTCTTCCTTCATGTTCGAGAAAAAACAAACCGATTTCAAAGTCTTCTTGGCAATTTTCTCATCAATGAAAGTGAACCAGCCAGAGAAAGACAAGTATGCACCAAGCTCAGCCAGTTTAGGAACAACTTCAGCTGAACAACCATTGAATGAATGAAGAATCACACAAGGAGGAAAATGCCCTACATATCTGCGTCTATTTATTTCGACAAACTTAGATATGCATCGATGCAGTGAACTGCTACCGGTTTAAAGAATGCAAGATATGCCTGCGAATATTAAAGTCAGCCTGAAATGTAAGTATTGATCGAATGCAAAAGAAGCAAAGCATGAAAGATGCAGAAACTAACCTGTTAAACAGTCAGTACTAGTCGAGTGAGGACTTAAGGCAGGCTTAGAATCATATCAAAGGCATTAACATAAACAAGTCAATAGAAGCACAAACCTAAATTTCGGTATTTTTCTTTTGTCATGGCCTGGCTAACACCAAATACAACTAAAGCAATCCTAAATTAGCAACCTGAATAAGCAGTCAATGGAAATGTTACGTATAAACCTAAAAAGGCATTTTAAAGAGCCTAAATAAGACCAAAGGGAAAGAGCTAACCATGCAAAAACGCATTACAGGAGCTTGTTAGCTAGTGCTACTCGGCTTGTTGAATTCAGTGTAATGCAATTAACCATAGCCCTAAAGAACACAAAGATTAAGAAAAATGAATATCTCACTGAGTAAACTTGATCAAATGAAAAAGAATTTTACATGTGAGAAACCTGAGTAGCAGCTTATCCTACATTGAAGATAGCTGCAAACATGATGTATGATAATGTTTCCATAGTTGAGGAGTTACTATGGAGGAGTGAATAAGGCAAACAACCGCCAAAACCCGAAGAAAATGAGATAGCAAGTAATATAGATCCTGCAGCATGCCAAATTTTGAAATGCCCAAATCTATCAATCTGTCATATGAAGTAGACATAGTTGTGAGATAAATACACTGTTACATTGAACAAAGGATCATTTTATCTCAATTAAGATTACTTTAAATTACACAAGACTACAAATTTTGAGTGAATGAAAACTTAAAGTTGCAGAAAAGTTACCAATTCACCAATGAAGATTGTAGCAAAACCATCAGAAACTTGACCAGAGAGCATGACAGTTGCAGCATCCCTTCAGAAAAAAACATGATTAATCTCACTGATTCACAGATTTAGGTGAAGAGCTTTTTACAAAAAAAAATCAGAAGATTGTCCATTGGGGAGAGACCGATAAAAGTTACTAAAAGCATAACCCATATGATTCACCTTAAAAACTCGCGTGCGTCTTCTTCTTTTCCAGGGCACAAGATTCTTCCCAATCTTTTGTAATTTAGATAAGATCTTGATAGGTGAAAGAGGAGATTCTCTTCCCCTTGCCTTTAAAATTAAGTGTTCAAACTCACAAACAAAACACCAACTCGTTTTTTTACCTGAAACACCAACTATGAAGATAAGGTTCCACATAGTTTCAACAAGAGCGGTAAAAGTTATTTTGGTGTTCTACTCACATTTTTTAGAGTGTAATCCCCTAATAAGGTATGATATTAGCAGCCGAGAGAAAGCCAAGCACTGAAGGACAGCATCTGCATAAGAACTACAAAAGTAATAATATAAGTGATAAGAATAAATATACTTAAGAGAGAAGAACTACATTGATAAATTGTCAGTGAACAACTTAATAGTATTTCTCTTAAACTACTATTACTAAATATCATCATGCTATAAGCAAGAAAAGATAAAGATAGATCGATATGTACATGTTCCCTAAATTCACAAGGCCAAATGGCTGTAAAGTTTATATATATAGGCCTTAATAGTACTCTATCACAATAAAGTTTCACAAACAACTCACACGAGAAGCTCATCTGCACAAAAATACAGCAACGTCACTATGGGATCATGGCAGTAGATTTAATCAAGGTAGAAACCAATATAATAACCTCATGGATAGAACTGGAAGGTTGAGATATTTTTGATGACTTTGGGGGTCTAAAATGCTGAACAACTGATGTTTTTAATCCACTACATACATGAACCTTGGGACAGTTTTGGCTTACTAATAGCTTATGAAGGTAGGAGAAGAGTTGAAGATGACATTGCGGCAGAAGCAGTATGTGGTTCAGATGTAACATTTCCATGTCCAAGTGCATTCATTTCTTCTCTGTACTGAGTGGCCTAGTCTCATAAAGATGATCCTAGCTTGCATTTTTTGAATACTAGGCCTAATTGTAGATACATCACAGGAAACATCAACAGAGACACCATAATGATTCAAAGGAAGTCCCACGAGATGGAAAATCCATATTCAGACTCTTTTGCATCTGCAGAGAGCTTCAAGTCATCAAAAATCAACAAATGTGAAATCTTTATAGATCAAATACTAAATCTCAAGTATCTAAAATTCTCACTACCATCAGATCTCAAGTATCTAGAATCAATTGTATCTAAAAAAACAACAACTTTCATCAGATTGAGAGAAGAAGACGAAAAACTAAATAAAAACATATAAGAGACGAGCTAGCAACATGTATACTATTTCACTTTTTTTAGAGTTTTTAAGCCAATCAGAAGGCTCTATTTCAGACCCACTCGCACAAAGTGAGCGTTGCGCGAGTGTGAGCAATTCTGTGGGTGTACCCCTTTGCAAATCACGTCTTTTTCAATCGACGCACTTGTCTCCAAAAAACCCATCGCGTGAATACTTTTTGTTTTCTTCTCTAAACCAGTGTAAACCGAACCGAAAATCAATTCTAATTTCATTACAATGTAAACCGCACCGAAATCAATTTTAATTTCAAAACCAATGTAAACCTACTAACCGCTTGTCCTCATCGTCGATCCCTCCGACGAACACACCACATCCAATGTCAAGAACAACAAAGCTGGGAATCATCTACACATACAAGCACAAAAACACAGTAACTTCAGATTCAAGTGAACACAGATACAAATAATGATTCATTGAAATCGATTAACCTGCCCGGGAGATCTGATCCATGAGCTCCATGTCGAAACTGAGTACCACCACCACCAGGAAACTTGAGTTTGTCATTCTCTTTATAAATCGAAATTTTGACTACCTACAAGTTTAGTATGGTTGAACCACACCTGTAAACAAAATCAAAAAGTTTACTTAATTTGGGATTACAAAATCAAACCAAAACAAAATCAGAACACAGAGCTTCACAGATACCTCATCACGGAGAACGATATCCTTGAGGAATCAGAACGGTGCATTTCGCAATTCCGTTCGAATACGTTATTCAACTATAGTTCTGATAGAGCCGGATTTGGTTCTATCAAGAAAAGTAACAGAAAAGAGATGAGAAGCAGAAGAACAGAGTTAAGATGAGAAGAGAATTGGAGAAGGAAGAAGAAATTAGACTTTCGTCATTGTTTTTTTTTGATGATCTTTCGATAGATTGTTTACAGAGAAGAAGAAAAGCTTAAGTACAAGACAATAAAGAGTAAATGGGCTTTAAACACTAAACCCAAGTAGAAGTCCACGAAGGCCCACTAATCTTCATTTCGGTTTGTATCAAGTTCACATGGTATTAACTTGACCGTGCTCCGGTAACTACTAAAGGAACCAAGAAGATGAGTCAGGTCAAGAGGATTTGGGCAACGAAGCTAATGGAGAAAGAGATTTGAATCCAACGAAAACCGCCATTTTCGTCCTTCTGGAGAAGAGGAGAGTGGTCTCAAGCTAGATTTGAATCTAAGGTTCTTTGACTTGAGAAGATTATAATATATATCATAACTAGTTGCATACTAATTTGTCATTTGTGGACCGGATTGTTTCATACGTTTTGGTGTGTATTTTTATATAAACACATCTCAATCGTGGTTATATCATATCGTATCATATGGATTACGACCTAAAGCAATAGGAAAAAAAGATTCCAAAACTCTAAATTAGAATTTAGAAAGAAATTTACAAATTAAAAAATATAGGGGCCAATCGAATAACAAATAGAAACGTCATGCTAGATTCCTAAATTTATAAAATTCTTTTTTTTTTTTAAGTCATCGTCCTCAAAGTTTCCTATTGACTTGACTCTCTCGACTATCAGAGTTTCTCCGACGACATAAAGAAGAACGGAACCTCACTGCAACTCTAGAGAGAGAAAGATGAAGGTCGTGGCTTTAGTGAGTGGAGGCAAAGATAGCTGTTATGCTATGATGAAGTGTATCCACTACGGTCACGAGGTACTACGTCCCTTACCTCGGATTCTGTCTAATTTTCCATGTTTTGTTAGTTGTTCCTTGAATTTGCCTCTTAAAAGTTCGATTTTTTAAGCTATACGAACTTAAATCTCACTTGGGGTTTCTCGATTTGTTTGTGAACAGATCGTGGCATTGGCTAATTTGTTGCCGGTTGATGATTCCGTCGATGAATTGGACAGCTATATGTATCAAACTGTAAGATTCTGCTTCTTCTTTGTCTCTTCAGGTTCTATATATGTTCTTGAGTATGAGCTTAAACCAGATTTTTAATATGAACAAGGGTTTGAGAAAGATTGAGCCTTTTTCTATCTCATTAGTGTTTATGTGAATCTGGTCAATGTTTTCATGATTTGTGAATCTGGTTCTTGTTCTTGAGAATAATAAGATTAGGTATTTTGGAGTTAGAATGATACATAGGATTTATGGTATTGGAATTCTAACTTCTGTTTTTTTTTTGATTGGATGCACCTTCTTCAGGTAGGCCACCAGATTATAGTGGGTTATGCAGAATGTATGAATGTGCCATTGTTCAGAAGAAGAATCCGAGGATCTTCTAGGTGAGAATCGTTTGGATTTCCAAGGCATGATTTTATGAATAATTCTGACGAGTTTTATTTGCAGGCATCAGAAACTTAGCTACCAAATGACTCCACATGATGAAGTGGAAGATATGTTTGTCTTGTTAAGTGAAGTGAAGAGACAGATACCTTCCATCACTGCAGTATCGTCTGGTGCCATTGCATCAGACTACCAACGACTGCGTGTGGAGAGTATTTGTTCAAGGTTAGGCCTTGTTTCTTTGGCATTTTTGTGGAAACAAGATCAGACATTGCTTCTTCAGGAAATGGTAAACTGTTTCAGGCTAAGAGAAACTCAAGATTCAAGCCTATTTCAATTTCAATTTTTTTTTTCTTTCTTTTTCGAATTTGTTTCATTTAACTCGTTTCTCGTTTACTTGCAGATAGCAAATGGGATAAAAGCTATTTTAGTCAAGGTAATAAGGATTGTTGTTATATTTTTCCTGCTTCTATTAACATCAACATCTTCTTATAATCATGGTTTGTTTCACCTTAACAGGTCGCGGCGATAGGGTTAGATCCCTCAAAGCATTTAGGGAAAGACTTAGCCTTCATGGAACCATATCTTTTGAAGTTAAAAGAGTATGCCACAGTTCTCTTTTATGGCTTCATTTATAGTATTATCTATTTGTGTTACATTGGTTCTAAAGCTTCTGAATGCATCTCTACTTAGGAAGTATGGAAGTAATGTATGCGGTGAAGGAGGAGAATATGAAACTCTGACTCTAGATTGCCCGCTTTTCATTGTATGTCCTTTTTAGCAATCTTAACAACAATTTGTGTTCATTGATTCCTCGCATTTATTTGTAGTTTGACAATATGCATTTTCGTAGAATGCGAGTATCGTGCTTGATGAATATCAAGTTGTGCTACACTCTCCAGATTCCATTGCACCTGTTGGTGTTCTTCATCCATCTACGTTCCATCTTGAAAAGAAAGGGAATCCAGACTCCAATTCCCCTGAAGAGGAATCGAGTTTAGTGTCTGAGGTACTAGGAGATGGTCCTAACACATCAGATTTTACTTGCCAACGAGATAATGGAATCGTTGATCTAGTTGAACACACAAGTAACAGACTTCACATATCAAGGACTGAGAAACACAACACATTCTCCATCTGCTGCTGGTTGGAAGATTCTAGTGTATCGTCAACAGGTAACTCAAAAACAGACCAAATCTTCAAGATTTCTTCGCATACGTACTTGATATTTGCTTTATCCTCTTTAAACAGGTCTGAAAGAAGATCTCGAGACTGTTCTTACAGAACTTGAATCCCAGCTTTTAAAACACGGGTATAACTGGCAGCATGTATTGTACATTCATCTTTATATCTCTGACATGAGTGAATTTGCCGTGGCGAATGAGACATATGTGAAATTTATCACACAAGAGAAGTGCCCTTTCGGTGTTCCTTCCCGTAGTACAATAGAACTTCCTTTGGTGCAAGCGGGTCTTGGAAAAGCTTACATCGAGGTTTTAGTTGCGAATGACGAAAGCAAAAGAGTTCTCCATGTACAAAGTATATCTTGCTGGGCACCTAGCTGCATTGGACCTTACAGTCAGGTGAATAAAATCTCCTTGTTGATTTCTAGTTAAGCTTCAAACTGATTAGCAAACTCAGTTACTTCAATATCATCTACTTCAGGCCACTTTGCACAAAAGTGTTCTTCACATGGCTGGACAATTAGGACTTGACCCTCCCACGATGAATCTTCGAAACGAAGGCGCAATTGCTGAGCTAAATCAAGCATTGACGAACAGTGAGGCAATAGCACAGTCTTTTAACTGCTCAATCTCTTCATCAGCTATACTCTTTGTGGTTTTCTGTTCAGCACGCACAAAACAATCAGAGAGGAACCAACTTCATGAAAAGTTTGTTACTTTCTTGGATTTGGCAAAGTCTTCTCGGAGGGTACGGAATGTCCTAGATCCTATGTTCCTTTACATCCTTGTCCCCGATCTTCCGAAAAGGTTAAATACTGCATATAATCTTCCTTTACATCCTTGTCCCCGATCTTCCCAACAGTTTTGGGTTTTTGACAGTAACTGTTGTTCTCCAGGGCTCTTGTTGAAGTGAAACCTATTTTATACGTGGAAGAAGATACGGAAACTGAAGATGAAACGAGCCGAGATCAATCAAGTGAAGGAGATTACAGTTTTTGGGGATATAAGCCAGAGAAATGGCACCAAGATTGTGTGCAGAAACGAGTTGTTGATGGGAAAATGTGTGTGACTGTTCTCTCTATCTCAGCCGAACTAATGAGGAAACTTCAGGGAGAAGAAGAACAACTGGAGAGAGTATCAAGATTCTGTGTATATCTTCTCAACAAAACCTTGTCTGAAAATTCATTTTCTTGGCAAGACACGACGGTGAGAATGAAATTCCTTAAACAATGTTAGCCTCTCATCAAATTTTTTGCTTATATCTTGTTTTTGGTTGATGCAGAGCTTGAGAATACACTTCTCTACTAGTCTTGGTGTGTCCGTAGAGAGATTATCGGACATTTTTGCTTCTGCATTCAGAGAGCTTAACAAGATGAGTGATGGAGTAAAAGTCGGGAGCTCAAAAGAACCTATCTTCAATCTGGTCCCTGTCCTAGGTGCTGGAAACTCTTGTGCTTCACTCGACAACATAATCACCTGTGAACTATTTGCCCTAAGGTCGTAGCTTTCCTGTTTCACAAGGAAAACAAAGGTTTACTTTCTTGATCTTGGGCTCTCTTCAATGGATGGGTTTCTTCCGCTTATCAAGTGCCGGTTTATTTGCAATGACTAGCGAAATTGAACGGCACGATGTTTTAGTCGGACAATTCCTTGTTTTTTTTTTTGAACACCATTTCCATTTGCGAAAGAACAACACGTAGTTGTTTTATTCCAAATGGAAACGGCACCATGTTTGTTTTTCTTTTTGTTTCAAGGTGCAAACTGCAAAAGACTTGTTTACTTTGCAAAAAACCCAGTCCCAAAAAAAAAAGTCAGTTATTTTATCGATTTGAATATTATTTACCAGAAATATATAACTTGGATTTGGTTTTACCACATATGACATATGTAACTTTCCTGTCACAGGTCATTATTAAAAGGATTTTAGAATCTAATGCAAAGAATGTGACATGTTGTTACACGACAATATAGATCTCAGAAAGATGTGTTTTTCGATTAAAGGTTTTCAGACAAAATAGTCTTTTTCACGAGGATATAAGAGGAGAGATCCCAAATGTCAAATGCTATTTTCAAATTGTTATACAGAGATTGAAGATCTTTAGCATAAAATGTTAACAATGACTTGTCTATTCAGAACCAAAGTCGTACTCCAATAAATAAACCGACGTCTCTCCAACACATTTGTACTCTCATATATTTAAATCAAGTGAAGCTTATCTTTGATCTAAATCGTGGTTTTGATTTTAAAATAGAATAGAATCAAATAGCTATGGTTACTTACCAAAGTAAAGTGGCGTTATTAGCAAAATTGAATTTTTTTGGCTGTGATGATGTTTATGCTTTGTATAAGATACTTTTGCATCTCTAGTTTATTTCTAAACAATTTGGAGCAAGTAAAGAGAGAACAAAAACAAAGTATAAAAATATCCAACAAGATGCCTTTGGGGGAAACACTGCATTGTGGTCTGTGGGGACAAATTTGCTGGCACTAAAATTCTGCACAAGAAGAAAATGAAAATAATTTGATATCACTATAGAATGGTCCAAAAAAGTACTAACAAGTTTAATTTTTTAATTAGAAAAAAAAAGATTGATTCACAACATCTTTTTAGTTACACTCTTCTCAAGTCTTGAGCACCGTAAATTTGAGTCTTATGTACTAATTAAAACTATGATCTAAAACCTTATATAGATAAATTAAATATAAAGCATCTTATTCCTATGGTTGATTGATTATATGAATCTTTTATGTCACACACACACTACTCTTATTAATTCGACAGGTTTTAATGCTACTCACATCACACGTGTATAAGTTAAATGCAATGATAACATCCTTTACTGAATAATACATTTGTGGCTAAAAAATTGTAAATGCAAATCTTTGGTCAGAAATGAAAACAAATTTATTTATCTGAAACTGTGTCGTTTTGAGGAAGGGCCTTAAACGTCATTAAAAAGAATCCAAAGTGGAAAAGTCCAACCTGGAAATTCAGACGTAAAGCGAACCCAAAAGAAAGAAAAAAAAGGGAAAATGGTAAAATCGTAATTAAATGTAAAGGCAAGGGTAATTTCCTTATTTCTCCTTGTTGGTCGAGCGAGACCAGAAAATTCGCAGAGAGAGAGAGAGATAGATCTGAGAGTAGTGGTGGTGGCATTAATAATGGCGTAAGTAGAAGAAGGAACCTAGCCGTTAGATCTTCTCAATCGCTACAAACATTCATTGTTCACCGATCGAATATCTCTCTCTCCTTTCCATTGCTCATTCTTCGTTCCCCTCTCTCTCTCTGTCTTTTGAGGTTTCCGGGTCGGGTTGGTGAGATAAATCCAGCGGCTTATCGGATCTTCCACTGGTACTTTTCTGTTCCTCACAAGGAAATCGAAAAAGTGTAGAGGGAAAGTGAAAAATGCGTGTGTTTTCTTTGTAAAGGCTCCAGCTTTTTTGATGAACAGTTTGTTGTGAAGGTTGTCACTTTTTGTTTATTGGAATTTGGGTTTTCTTTATGTTCAGAGGAGGAAAGGAGGAAGCTTTCTTGAATTGGATTCAAATTTGAGCTCATATGGTGAGTTTCTAGGGTTTTGTTTGTGATTTCCTGGAAGAATCTGATTCCTTTTCTATTAGGGTTCGAGAGAAGTAAAGTAGAAAAGCTTTTTTTGTTTTGGAGCTTAGTGAGTATTGTGGAAAATAATGGAAGATTACTCCAAGTATACTCATAGTCCTGCTCATTTAGCGGTTGTGCTTCGTGATCATGCGGCTCTTAGGCGAATTGTTTCTGATCTTCCTCGGTTAGCTAAGGCTGGTGAAGTTACTACAGAGGCTGAGTCTATGGAGTCTGAAGCTCGTGCTGATTCTGTTTCAGCTGTCATTGATCGCCGTGATGTTCCTGGTCGTGAAACTCCATTGCATCTCTCTGTTCGTCTTAGAGATCCTGTCTCTGCTGAGATTTTGATGTCTGCTGGTGCTGATTGGAGTCTACAGAACGAGAATGGTTGGAGTGCATTACAAGAAGCGGTTTGCACTAGAGAAGAGGCGATTGCTATGATAATTGCTCGGCATTACCAGCCTCTTGCTTGGGCTAAATGGTGTAGGAGACTTCCTCGGATCATTGCATCAGCATCTCGAATCCGTGATTTTTACATGGAGATCACTTTTCATTTTGAGAGCTCCGTCATTCCGTTTATTGGCCGCATTGCTCCTTCCGATACTTACAGGATATGGAAACGTGGTTCGAATCTCCGTGCTGATATGACTCTTGCCGGTTTTGATGGGTTTAAAATCCAGCGGTCAGATCAAACATTTCTCTTTCTAGGGGATGGTTACTCGTCTGAAGACGGTAAAATGTCCCTATCTCCGGGCTCCTTGATTGTTCTTTCGCATAAGGAAAAAGAAATGACAAATGCTTTGGAAGGAGCTGGTGCGCAACCGACAGATGCTGAGGTTGCTCATGAAGTGGCTTTGATGTCTCAGACTAATATGTATAGACCTGGAATCGATGTAACTCAAGCTGAGCTGGTTTCTCATTTGAATTGGAGACGGCAAGAGAGAACTGAGATGGTCGGGAATTGGAAAGCAAAAGTTTACGATATGCTTCATGTGATGGTGAGTGTGAAATCTAGACGGGTCCCTGGTGCAATGACTGATGAAGAGCTCTTTGCGGTTGATGAAGAGCGAACCGCTGCAACAAACGGTGCAGAGACCGATGGCTTTGAAGACGTATTAACGCCTGAGGAAAGACTCCAATTGAATTCCGCACTTCAGACTGGAAATTCCGATGCCATTGAAGATGAAGAGTGTGAAGTTACTGATCACCAGGAAAACGGAGCTCTCAAGGATAAGAAGGGCTGGTTTGGTTGGAATAAGAAAGGCTCAAACACTGAAGATACAAAGCTCAAGAAAGGCTCAAAGTCTGCGCCTGAAGACGGGAATCAGAAAGGGAAAAGCCAGAGATCTTCGATGGTATCTGATCATGCAAATGAGGATCTTGGAGATGCAAAGAAAGGAAAGGAGAAGAAGAAGAAGAAGAAAGGTGTTGCCGGAGATGAGGTTAAGCGTGAGAGTGAATACAAGAAAGGACTAAGACCAGTCTTGTGGTTAACACCGGACTTTCCTCTTACGACAGACGAGCTTTTACCGCTTCTCGACATATTAGCTAACAAGGTTAAAGCCGTTAGGAGACTCAGAGAGCTTCTCACAACTAAACTTCCACTAGGCACATTCCCTGTAAAGGTATAGTCTTTTTCAACTCGTAAGTTGTGTGTTACAGATATGATTGAATCTCTCTCCGGGGGTTTATTCTTATCGATAATTTATGTGCAGCTCGCCATTCCCATTATTCCGACGGTTCGAGTTGTTGTTACTTTCACAAAATTTGAAGAGCTTCAGGCGGCTGAGGAGGAGTTCTCAACGCCTCCTTCTAGTCCGGTATTTCATGATGCAAAGTCTTCTTCTTCAGAGAACTCATCACCATCATGGATCTCATGGATGAGAAGTGGCAAATCAAGTGACAATGATAGTAACCGTTACAAAGACGAGGTTGACCCTTTCTTGATACCTTCAGATTACAAATGGATTGATTCAGCTGAGAAGAAACGTCGAATGAAAGCTAAGAAAGCTAAGAGCAAGAGGAAGAAACAGGCGGCTACAAAAGCCGCTGGTGCTAGTGACTCGGGTACCCGTTCAAATCAAGTAGCCGAAGAATGATGAGTCCTTAGTAACCGAATCATTGCATTCTTCAGGTTTTGCTTTGGCTGGATTCAAAGATGTTCACTTTTTGAGCCATCATTGTGGCCTTGAGAAAAGGCTTTTGGTAGTGTTGTTTATTGCTCTGTAATGTCATGTTATTTCTGAAATTCCCTTAACAAAACATCTTTGTTCTCTCTCAATGATTAATCCTCTTTTTCCTTTTCGGTTCGATTTTGGCTCTTCTTTTGCTCCTCCAGCATTCCTAAACCGGGCATAGTCCATTTCTGAATCGAATTTGAAGTTTTTGACATAAGTACATAACCATAAGTTTTTCGATCCAGGAGCAAAAGTGCAAAACGATATCAGTAATAAGCCATGAAAGTTTGAACTCCAATCATCTCTTCTCCATCCTTTTCTTTATAAATGATCAGTATAAATTTTATTTTTCTATCCGGAACCTTAATATCATCCCCCATTGTGCAATAGACAACAATTTTGAAGCTGAAACTAAGAAAGAAAAAAACAACAATTTGTCTGCCTTCTTCGTTTTCACCAAATTCAGCTTTGATTAGGATTACAGCGCTTTCTTTCAATCCAAGAAGCACTTGATCCCAGACTTGATGAGCTCTAAATGAAAGCTTATCCATATATATTAAAACAATTGGGGTATTAGTGTCTCAATTGGCAGCTTTTGGCTCCTCTGGTTCTGACTCTTATCTCGCAGGGGAGAACGATGATAGAATTCTCACTGTTCGGCTTAAAACCATTAAATAGATTGGTATTAAGTGTCATGAAACAACCTCCTAATCTGATCCACACTGGCCGGAATCAATGTCACCGGACATCGCTTGTACTGTGTGATTACCACAGAAGATGAATATAAGCTTATACCGAGGTTGGGTTTTGGGAATAGAGAGAAATGATTTGGAGAACTAACCTTTGAAACATACTTAAATACGCATGAGTAGCAGAAAACAAATCCAGAGACTGTGACAACTGATGGGTTTGCACGTTTTTGCAAGCATAACGCGCAGAGGGATCTGTTAGGAGGTAGAGGGATTCCTTCTATCGCCATCTGTTAGAAAAATAACCAAAAATCATTTAGTTGACTGAGTGAAAGAAGCTACATTAGTTTCAGATAATGCCTACGAATTGATTGATTACCTTTGGGGCTGGAGGAGGTGGAGGTGGAGGGTACACTGTTGGAGCTGATAATCTCTCTTCAGCTGATTGATACCACCATTCCATCATCTGAAAAACGAAAACACATGAAAATGAACAAGAGGTTTATGTTCAATTAAATTATGTATGCGATGAGAAATATACCAAGATACAAAGACACCAAAAGTATGGAAATTAGCTTTGTGGCTTAAGCTGTGGCTCTAACATATAAAATCCAATCTAATGTAATCTACGCGTAGGACCATTCCCAAAAGGAATCTCCTTCAGTTATGCTGGACGCTTTCAAGACAGTAAAATAAGAGGAGAACCATAAACTGGGGAAATTTATGGATACTTACTTTAAAGATAAAAACTGCTGCAATCAGACCGGTTTGGGCGTAGTCAAGCACAGCATATGAGCAGCTAAGAAGTGCCCCTTGCACAGTCTAATTCAATAATCAAAATAATACCATCAGACCTTGGATCACTAAAGTGTGAGCAGTAGTAAGAATCAGCCTATCTCATTCCTTAGGTTACAGGAACTTTAAGAAAACAGAAATCATACTTTTAACCATGGAGGACCACGAAGTCTCTCACGCTCATGATTCCGTATCTTTGAAATTCTTGATGATGTATCCATCTATCTTGGCATCAAAAGAAGAAAAGAGCAACACAAAAAGTGTATTAAGACATAAAACATGTAAATTTACCACTTTGAAAGTTTCTATAGGTCAGTCAAATGGTATAACTTCCTGTAGCAAGATATAAAGAGAAAACGAAAAAGGTGGAATTTTAAGTATATCGTCCAACAAAGGACAAGCGCCCTAATTCTATGAGGTGCATAGTAAGATAATGGTGATACGAAATTTCAAGCAGAAAGAAGGAAGTCAATACCAGTTCTTGCCCTGTAGCTCGACAAACTTGAATCCCAAGAGCTTGTAGCCCAAGAGAATAAAATCCAGTAGCGTCCAGCAGATATAAGAGCTGGTAAGTGAACGATAATCCTAAACAGAGGATCCCAGATAAGCTAATTATAAATGATACAGATCAAATAAAATTCTCCATGCCAATTAAAACGCAGAGATAGAGTAATTATTCAAAATTTCTAGTGCTAAAAAGCCTGGATTCGGTAACTTCTAAGTAACCAAAACCTACAAAAATGTAAGTATAGGCACGAAGCTAAACCAGGTTAACTAAGAACTGCTCCTAACTATGTTAAAGAATTACCAGCTACTAGGCAGTCAGAAATGCCAATGCTCTACATAAATCCACAATTACCTTCACATGATGCATGTATCCAAGGATAACAGACAGCTATAAACTTTTTTATTTTGGTAGCTAATTGTACTCGAACAGAAAGCTCTTCATTCCCACTAGGCTCTCTTGAAACAATAGAATCATCCCCTGTGAAGAAGTCAGCTTCATCAAATCCTTGATCCTCTGCTCCCCATAAACTTTCCCGGAGCCTAGCTTCTCTTTCTTTATTATATATTGCATGCAATTTTGACTTAAAATACGGTAACACAACCTACAAAAGCAGTACCAAGCTTAAAGGCATAAGCTTTAAGCTTTCAAAATATACGCATTTACAAAGTTTTAGCATTTAGGATAAATTCATTACCAGAAACACAACAGAAAGGATTCTCTGGCGCTTCTCTAAACCAGAATGTTGAACTTCTTCGCCAGAATCCTTCCTGACACTGTCTTTCCTCAATCTCAATCTCACCGATTTCCTCCTCAAACCATACAATGATTCAGCAAAGGAAGCATCTGAAACAATTCACAAAAACAATAAGCCGAAATTTCACTACACACACCCTCCCAATCCCAAAACAGTTTCCAGTATCTACCTGTGGTTCGTAAGCTGTGTCCTTCAAGAATAAGCATGAGAGCAGCAAAGAATTCATCCTCATAGTCTAAAATCTTATGGAGAAACGATCGTCTCAAAGCAAAAACCTAAAAATCACAAAACAGCAAACAAATATAAGAATCACACCGATAAGTACTAAATTTCAAAATCGAAAAAAGACGTAGGAAGAGAAGGGCATTTTACGCCGAGGGAATAAGTGAGAGCGGCGCGAAGGCTAGCCGGAAGTTGCTGAGCAGCAGCCATCTCAAAGAAGGTGGGGCGTGTGCCTTCACCTCCCACCTGAAACAACATCTTCTTCTTCCTCCAATCTCTTCTTCTATGTTAGTGATAGATAAATGATAAAGGAGAGACCTTTTGTTTTTGACTGAGAGATTGAGACCTTTAGCTTCTCCAGAATTGCAGAATTTGGGAAAGAAGATAGAACATCGGAGAAAAAAAGACGCATTTCGAGAGATCATTATTAATTACGTCATAATAAGGATGCTCTTTTGCCACGTCAGCTAAATTGCTGACTCATCAGCCGAGCCGACAACATTCCAACTCGACAGTGATTTGTCCACGTCCTTTCCACTAAAATCACATTTAAATTTTGATAAATTGGGAGAAAATACTTCTTTTTACATTTTCTTGCTGCTGTTGTGAGTTTTACATAAAGCAACAAAATCCAGAACAAATAACATATTTTATATACACAATTACATCTGTTGCAACATCTTTGGATCATTATCATAGCTTCCAACTTCATCAGTCAAGAGATGTCTAATCTTCTCTAACCCGTTTCCTATTACTAGTCCCAGAAGCAGATTCACTTTGATCCATTGTGCTAATACCATTCTGCTGTTTCTGAGTTATTGATGGTTCTGAATTGGTTGCTTTAGGGAGGAAAGCTTGTGAAGGGTTTGGTGATGGAGCTGAAGGGTCAGCTTCTGAGTCTTTTTTGTTCTCTCGCATCTTCTGTTGTTTCTCAATCATCGTCTGAAGATACCGACCTTGTTCTTCGATTTGTAACTGCAGTGATCTTTGGATCTGCATTGTATTAAGACCAAGATCAAATCAGCATCACAGATCAAACCAAAAACTAAGGAATCAGAGAAATGAAGAGGAAAGGACACTGTTTTGTTTCATATAAGCTTCTTTTAGGCAGTTGGAATTAATATACCTCAAGTTGCTCGTGGAGTTGTTTTTGAACTTTCATCTGTAACCGTAGAGCTTCAGTGATTTCAATGCTCCTGATAAAAAGAAGAAAAAAGGGTATGTGAAGAAACATTTTCTTTTGTGTTACATAGTAATTCTGACAGAAGAACCAAAATTTTCCTTACGTCTTCAAGTCCAGAGATTTGATATCTTCAATGGTTTTCAAATTCTTCACTTGAGGTTCTTCTGTTCAATAAGAAGAAACAAATTTAGTATAAAGATGAGTTTCTTCACAAAAGGTCTTTTAAATGCCATTGAAGCTTTAAAAGCTTTTTCAAGAGTATAAAAACCAAATGCTTTTGTGAAAAATTGAGAAGAGGGTTTGATTCTTTAGATGCCTCACGGTTTAAAAGCTTCAGAAAATGCAGAACTAAATCTATAGAAACATATATATGAGTACCTGTATTTTCTGAAAGCTCTGGGTTATACCTTGCCGTTCTGTATTTCTGTATAAAGACGGTTAAGATGAGAAATGAGCTGAGCCTAAGCATACAAACCGAAAAGAGAAATAATAATAACCTGCAAATGGCTTTTGACATGATAAATGGTCAACCCGGGACTATTCATGAGCTTCAAAACAGCCTTAGGGGTGGCTCCTGTGGTTTGCAATGATAAGCCAAGAGAATAATAAGTTGTTGAGCTAAAATTTTGAGATAGAAAAGGAGAAACAAAGGGCTCACGCACGTTCACTACCACCGAGCTGATTGATAGCTTCAACAAATGCTTCATGGAGTTCTGGTGTCCAACGCATTCGTTGCTTAGATGTCATTGAACTAGCTGGTGAATTTTTGGTATCAAACGGCTCCATTGATGGATCCACCTGGTGCTGATTTTTAAATACTATCTCTTGCCTCGTTATATCAGAAGACGATGTTGTTATCTGTAACACATCATTAGAGCCAGTCTTAATAGAAGAATCTTGAAGATATTACATTGCTGAATGATTGGACAAAGAAATGAGCATAGAGATTCATATTTAGCTGACATAAACGAACCTTTGAATCTTGATTGAGGACATTAGGATCACCTAGAAGCTCCGACCAATTTGGTTCAAGACCATCATCAGAGATCAACTGATCCGCCCAGTCTGGCCATTCGTATTTCAAAAGGACTTCCTTGGATGAGACCATAGTTCTGCTGCTCTCTGCTTGTGGATCCGGAACAGGGAAATCAAAGAAGCCCTGAAGCTGGTCTGAAGACCAAGTCATATTTTTCTGTTCTTGAGGTTGATTGATCAATTGCAAGGATTGTATTTCCACAGAGCATTCCTGCCTCTGCCCTTCACCAGAGACGTCAGCAACAGTCATTCTGTCTCTTTGCACGGTAGAAACAGATGGCCGTGCCTGGGAGGAAGATGAAACATAGACACCATTGCAGAATCCGGAAGAAGATGAAAACAAATTCCCACCAGAACTGCCGCCAGAGACCAGAGGAAACACCTGACAGGGGACGGGACTGTTATTCATCAGTTCCTGTCCTGATGAAACCCACAAAGTGTTAGGAAAGTTGTGGCGGTATATCTCTTCTAGAGTTGTAAAAGATGAAGACATAGCTGTTGGAAAACCAAAATCGCTAGCAAGTGTCATTGAGCAAGTGCAGTATTGAGAAGATAACTATAGATATCAGAATCCTAGAACGAAAGGGCTATTTAGTTTAACAAGGAGCGTCACACAGAAGCAATGTGAGACTCACTATCACTAAGTTATATATACAGAAAATGACTCTGTAGGATTGAAAAAATTCCATTCGCCAAGTTAATATCCTATTTTATTTATCCCTTTCAAAACACTCCAAAGGAATATTGTTCACTTTTTGTTTTGCCTTGAATAAAAAAAAAACTCTTAGCTTTCATTCACTTTTTCCCCTAAAGTTCTTCAGCATATACCGCAAGAGGAAAGATAAAAACGAACAAGAAGAGATTAGTTGGTTCTCTATCCAAAACTAAACTTGTTTCAGCCATGAAGCAAGAGAAGCTATCATCATGGATGTGACAGATGCATAAAAATCAAACAGAAATAAGATATGGAATCAAATGCAAAGGGAATGAAATTAACACGCAATTTGGCAAAAAAGAAGCAATATGGCTTTTCATAAACCACAGGGACGTGCAAGGAGGAGAGAGTCACCATGAGCACATTGTAACATTCAAATCAACTCTTATCTAACTTCAACACTTCAAGGAACAAGAATCTTACAAAGAACCAAGTCGAAAAGACAAAAAGATTCTTAGATCATAACATGTCAACATCTCATGATTGAACTTTCTATAACCTCTCCATGAAAAAGAACAAACCTTTAGCTTAAAAAAAACTCCAAAAACAGAACATAATCTATAGTGAACCAATTCCAAATCAACAGGAGACAGTAATATAATTGGACAGAATCTGCAAAGCTAATCACTTTAAGTTGAGCTAAAATTCAATAACAGATCAAAGAGACAAGTAATGAGTGTTTATTGCTTCCCCAATCACAAGAAAGTACCTATTCACCTAAATTCACAGATCATTGAACATGATTATTCTAAAAACCTCGTAATCCCCAGAATCAGCTAGATATTTACATAACTCACCAAAACTCAAACACGACGAAAGAGAATGCCGACAGTGAGTGAATGGATTATGGAATCGCCATGAAACCAATAAAAAGAGAGAATCTTTACTCTGAGCAAGCAGCACTCAGCAACCACACAGAATCCAATACCGAATCAAAAGGGCTTATTATTGAATGATTGAACTAAACGAAAATAAAAATGCCTTTTTAGTATTTTTTATGCATTATTTTTCTTGCTTGCTCTTTGGTTTGTTACTGACCGTTGGATTTATATTCAGTTAGCTTATTGTTATGAACATCAACGAATGAGATTCATGTAGAGCACGGGAATTGAATTGTTCACTGCCGTAGAGGATTTCTCCAGGTATAAGTAGAAAATGAAGCTCGTGGGGTCCAACGAATGCTTGTTTCTATTTTGATTGGTCGATTGCTGCTAGGTGTCAACTTTTTTTTAATACCAGCTACTACGTCAAATTAATTAGACATTTTTAAGTGTTTGACCTAATTTAGTCGGTTTCATATGTAAATCTGTGTTATTGACAAAAACAAGAGGAATAATAATAACCCATTGTCCTAAAAAATGGTCTCAAATTGAATATTAAACGTGAACCAAATCACAAATTAACGATGGATAGAAACGCTAATGTGACAAACCGGCACGAGAAACGAAGGTTCTTATGAGAACTAGAATTAAGTTTAAGGCATAACAGAAGTCTAAGACAAAAACAAAACATCCTCAAAAGAGATAATGCAAAACGTTTAACACAAAATATAGAGATCTCAAGCTTGCTTAAACGATGGCGTTTGCAGCACTTGCAATTCTTGGCCAGAGATCAGCACACTCCTTTCCGATTGGTCCAGTGATAGCAGATCCTAATTACATCAAGACAAAAGAAACAGAGATTCATCAGCTACAGTAAATATGATAATACTCATTTATCACAAAGAGATTGGCTTTGAGTAATCCTAGAGCAAATTTCTGATCAATTCAAAAACACAATAATTCCTCCGGTAAAGCACAATCGAACAGAAACTTGCACACATCTGCTTGAGAATTCAAAATCAAATAAGCAATTCAGCAAGCAAAAATTCTTACCTTTCATTTCACCCTTGGGATTGACAATGACACCAGCATTATCTGCAAAAAATCACAACTTTGATCAGACTTTCACATTCAAAGACACCAACCAATCAACCCCAAATTCAGACAATAACGATGCAATCTCACAAAGAAGAAAAGCAATGCATTACCTTCGAAATACATGAAGACACCGTCCTTTCGGCGCCAAGGCTTCCTCTGCCTAACAATGACAGCAGGAAGCACCTTCTTACGGAGATCAGGCTTACCTTTCTTAACAGTAGCCATAACCATATCACCAACACAAGCTGATGGCAAACGGTTAAGACGACCCTTGATTCCTTTAACCGAAATGATGTAAAGGTTCTTAGCTCCTGTGTTGTCAGCACAGTTCACTGTGGCTGCCACTGGAAGACCCAGTGACATCCTGAACTTGTTACCAGAGGTTCCTCCTCTTCCTACAAACCAATTAACCAATAACACAAGATCTAATCACTATCAACCAAAGTAGACACATATAAGACTAATATTCATGATCCAGAAGCTATACTTATAGTAATTAGGACAAAACCATTCTAAGGAAGAAATGATGAGAATGAGCGATAACGAGACATGATTCATACGAGATGTACATAAATTTATGTTATGCGAAATAGAGATGAAAGAAGATGGAGAAACGTTTTTTTTACCTCGCTTCGACATGGTTGCAGAGTAGCAGCTCTCTCCTTGGAAGAGTTTCAATGGCAGCGCCGAGAGGGTTTATATATGCTTAAACTAGGGTTTTCTTGTGAGCTGTCCTGAATTTTTATTTTATGGGCCGACTAAGTTTAACAATAAGCCCAATAATGTTCTCTGTTTCTTTTCTCGTCATCTTTTTTTTTTTCATCATCTTAATTAGCCCAATAAATTATAAAGGGTTTTGAATGTAAATTTGATAGTGTAGTTTCAAAAAACTAGCAACAATATAAATGAAAGATGTAAATTGTTATTCTATAAAATTTTGTTGAACACTACAAAACATTGATGCGATGGATCTCACTCTAGCTGAATTTACCAGTGTGGGCTCCTTTTCGATCCACAGTCTACGCTCTAGAATAGAACTCTAAAGAAAAATGTTCATTTATTTTGTATGCCATGAAATTTTAAGAACAGAACTAGCAGTGAGTTTCTTTGGTTAGGCAACATAACATTTCTACCTAAAGAAGAGATTGTACGGGAAAAAAATCTGCAGACCATAAAAGTTATATATGTCATCAACCAGGAAAGCTAGCTGAATCATGCAGAGCTCATGATGGATCAATGTGTTTTGCGGTTTCATGTTTTCTTTAATGTTTAACTCTTACTAATGATCGGTCTCATTTGCGCTTTAAAGCCACCGTTTTGGAACCTGCATTTCAAGAATTCGCGGTTGTTAGCTCAACGACTGAATCATTCACTTTAGAGAAATTATTATCGATCGAAAGCTTTAGGCAGGGATAATTGATGCTAAGCCTCTAAAAAACTATATCATCTTAGACATTCTTTCTCACCTTGTTGTTTTTTAGCAGGAACAATCCTTCTTCTCTCTATAGACTTGCCTTGAGATCCTGACATATCACCGGAATGCATAATTAGCCAAGAAATATAGTTTCTTTTTTTGGTGGCATCATTTCATTTATATGAACCAATGTAATTTGCCAGGTAATATTTTTGGCTCGGGTCTCATATGAAACTACAGAAGTTCCAACTTAGAACGTGTAAGCAAACAAAGGAAGCAAGCCAGCCGTCTGTCACAAAGGTTTGAACAACAAAAGCAATGTGTAAAGAAAACTGACCTTTTATTTTTCTGTCTCTGCATGATTCGCTTCCGCAGCAACATCTAAATGCCTTTACAGGATGACTTTTATCATTGAAGTCTATCATGTAATCCTGCGATTAAAAACACAGGTTATTTGAAGTGAGTATGTGTACAACTCAAGAGTGAATAACGTTATGGGAACAGTAGAAACACGTGTTTGGTTCCTGGAGTCATCTACAAACACACCAGATATCTAGAATGGCAAAATCATCAGAATGCTCTAATCTTATAGCTTTAGTGCAATATCCACAGTTAAGACTAAGAGCGCAAAACTTCTTTAGCCATGTGAGTATTTGTAACTATGTGGTCAATACAGAGTAGGTGAAACCAAGGTAGCTTAATCATGGTGCTTACCCATGTCAACTCATCCATGGCCTTCACGTCCCGTAGGGTAAAAAAGGCAATCTGCATATGACCAAACCCAGAATTTCCTTAAGCTCACTGAAAATTACTTTCACAATCAGTGCTTTCAGGAAGTTCAGGTTAGGGTGGAGAAACCAGACACTTACATGATAATAATGTCTGTCAGGCGTCTCTATTTCTACCGGAATATCAATCATGTTTGCATCCTCGCATCTGCATCAACAATAAAGTTCACAAGAACCATAAAATCTCAAGGGAAGCACGAAAAAATTATAGCACAACGAGCGTTGATTAATACCTGTGATTGATAAACCTTGCGACATTTCCACAGATTGTGGCATCCAGGCAGAGAGCTTCTTCATCTTTTAGATCCTTTTCAGAACCCCAGTCTGCATCCAGAGTTACAGGATATGTATGCCGTTCACTACTAGACCTTACATTCCGGTCGTATAACTCCGTGTTGGTCAATACTTCACCAATGTATTCACAGATAAAGGTTCCTTTCGGCAAGTCTTGCAGTGTTCTAAGACCCCATCCTTTCCCTTCTTCAGTAAAGTAAACCTGAAACAATATATATTGCTCGTCAAACAAATGAAAAGGAGAAGAAAAAAACGAGGGAGTAATATCATAGAAATAGTTAAAATCATGAGGAAGCCAGCCATCGAGACAAGAAGCTATATAGAAGACCAATTTAAAATAGTATGGTTAGCATATAAGATTGAAATGTAGTATCCTAGAAATGTTACCTGCAGTTCGCACCTTATCCCTCTCTGTACTACTCGATTTCCACACTGCATATCACATCCACACTTTCTCCAGCATTCCTTGATGAACTTCCGGATTAAGTGTCCATCACATTTTCCATATGTGCCCTTATCGTGATCTTTCTCCAAAGGGCAGTCTTTGCAGTAAACTTTAGGGAACGTATCTGGTTCCTTTTTCATCTTAAGACAGGTGTCCAGAAACTTCTCCTTTAGCAACCCTTCTTTGGTATAAGCATATTCTCCACTGGTTTCACGAGCACAAGTGCAAGGAACGTCAGCTGAAAGACAGTTCCCTTTGCAGTTCGCGCAGCAATCTTCATCAGAAATTCGAGCCAGAGACACGTGGAGATAAGCACTTTGGTATACAATGTTGTGAGGGATGTAAGTAAACTTCGGCACAGCTTCACTCCCAACATCATCTACAAGAGATATTTTAACGCTCTCTGAACCTTTAGTTATGTCAGAAATTTTGCTTTTATATTTCCTCTTGCGATCACCATTGCTAAGCTGTGGCTGCTTCTGGACTACCTGAATGGTCGAACCTGAGGATGCAGAACGGGTTTCGTAAGTTTTTTTGAGAGTAGCAGGAGAGCCAATGACCTTAAGATTTTTCCCTCTATTGCCATTAGATGAACCTTCACATTGCTTCTTCTCTTCCTCAACAGAAAGAATAGCGTCAACAAGTGCAGAATAGTTATCCAGTTTTATTAATGACCAATTCCCATCAGCCTCTTCTAGGAGCTTCGTAAGCACTGGCATTGTCTTTTCATCGGCAATACCCAATTCCCTTGTTTTCTCTAAAGCTTTGCGTACCTTCTCGTCTTTATTGGGGAGCATCGGTTGTTGCATATCGAGATCAATTTCAACAGAACCTGCAAATACACACTAAATATGTTAATGGGAACCAAAAAAAAAAACAAATTTACTAGTTTCTAGTGATAAAATAGAATCTGGTTCATATATATGAAAATGCTAATCACCAAACTAAGACACATCAATGCAACAGCTCTAAGAACAAGGAAACTGATCAGCTTATGTTTTGATTTTATATTGCTATCCTTCAAGAACTGAATCTAGACTGCGAATTTTGAATAAACCCAATCCTTATCAGCAATCGTCTAAAAATCTCACCAATAAAAAACCCTAAAAAACTGGTTTATCCCAATTCCAAGCAAAACAAAACCGGCGAAATCATCAAATAGGAAAGCAGAACAGATCCAACATTTTTCAAAGTTTCAAGCTTAAACAGTTCTAAAACTCACCGAAATTTCGAAACTATAACAGATTCTGAGACATCTAAATTCCAAATCAGCAGAGTAAGAAACCACATTGATCAACACAACAAGAAGAGAGAATGCATGAGACAAGCGAAGAGAATGCGTAACATACAAACAAAAAACCTCACTGGTTTGTACGGAGAGAGACTATACAGAGCAATCGGAAGCTTCTCGAATCCAGCCGCCGGCTAAAAAACACAATTGTGGAAGAAGACGGCGAATGATTTGCATGCAAAGAGCTCGAGCTTAAAAAATTAATAAATTAATCAATTTTTGAATTGATAAATGCCCTAAACACACACTTTCTCGCAGTATCTGTAATTCTGTATCACTGCGCCGTGACCGTGAGAGTACACACACACATATCCATTGTTTAAAGACTTTTTTTTTTTTTCCGTCGTTGACGGATTTTTTCCAGATTTGAATATTTCCATTTTTGCGTAGGTCCATAAAATAGGCCCATTGACTAAAAGACACATTATAATTAAAGAAAAGTTGTGGGCTATAACGTGTTATGTATTGGTTTTGGCGGTTACAAAACATAAATGTATTCTTTTTATCCAAAACATCGTAGTTTTACTATTAGACTCAAAAGACTCTTTTTTAATTGGTTCAGCTAACATTATGATAACTTATAGTATAACTTTTGGGGAAATATTTAATTCAATACAATTTTTACATGATTAACGTATCCTACCACTTTTAGTTTCCCAATCGAAAATTTGATATATCTATCATTGTAGAGAAAATCATTAGAAGGAGATTTTCTTTGGTTGGTAGAACGAATACAAGGAACAAAATTATTTTCCCAACATCTCTCTGATCATGTACATAGACCATCTCTTCAACAATCTGCAACAGGATAATGATAATTAATTTAGTCAACTCATTTTTGTATTTACATAATTAAATTGCACCATCCATAATACATGTACATACCATCACACTTTTTAGAACATGGTTTTTGTTTAAGAAATTAATGAACATGGGATCTATATATGTATTAGCATATCTCTAAATTTTTATGTTTTCAAATGAAGATCAAATAAAATGATATCAAAACTAATAATAACGTTAACTCACCATCTCCTTTTTTACGCAAGCTTTTTAGGAACATAAAAAAGATAGCAACAAAGACTAATGCCGCTACTCCTCCTACAACTATCGCCAACGACTTCCCCGTGTTTACTTTTGAACCTTCTTCTGCCAAAAGAAAAAAAAAATCGTAACTTAATTAGTACATTACAACTGATATTTGTTTTAGTTCACTTTGGTTTAATCGTACGTACCGTGGTATGAATCATCGGGAAGTTCATGCGGGTGATATGTATAACTGACGTGGCACCCTTCTAAGTATATTTGACCGGCTATAGACCACCGGCACTCTTCTGCCGCAGCCGCCGCGGCGGAACTTATGCACTCTCCGCAATCGCAAGCTTCAACGTGGCCGTCACATTGAGCCAAAACGTGGAGGAGCTTGTAGCTATCCTCATAGAATCCGTGCCCGTCAACGACTCCTGTTTCGGCTGCAGTGAGTGCCTCTGCCCTCATCTCTTCGAAGCCGGCTAAAGTCTCCGCGGTAGCTCCCTCGCATATCTTGTGGATGAGACCGTGCACGGTCTCAAATAACTTGTAGTTGTGATGATTATTAATTTCTTCTAGAATTAACAAAACGAAGAGAATCGTGTTGGACACAAACCAAAAAAAATTGCGAAATTCAACTTATTTAATTTTACGTATTGAATTTGAATCGTGTTCGTGTATTTTGTTGTGAATTCAACTTTGCTTATTAAAAAAAATGAAAAAATTCCAACCATTTTTTTTTCTTCTCACAATTAATCTTATGCTTTTTTGTCAACAAAAAAGATGAATATACTTACGAGCGCCAGGGGTATCAATACGTTCGAATTTGTATATCAAGTGACATCCTCGAAGATGAATACGAGCTGACGTGGCATTTCCACACAATCTAGACGAAATCTCACGAAGAGCACCAACACATTTATGGCATATCCCACTCGGATAATCTTCTCTGCATTGGAACCATCCTGAGACGGCGTGTACTTCGTTACCAACTAGAGTCTTAAAGAACTTAGACCAAGAGGATTCGGATTCGAGTTTGCGTAAGAAAGAAGAAAGGGTTTGTGCACGAAGAAAGAGACTATTATTCGAGTAATTTGGTGTTGTTTTTTGGAAGATGTTTGGGGCCAATGAATCGCACTGTTTGAAAACTAGAGTATCGAAATCCAATTGGGAAGTGTTGATGATAGAGGGCAGAGAGAGAATGATTAGGGCTAGGGTTTGCGTGAGGAGAGAGATCAAGTGGACAACCATGTTGGAGACAAATCTACAGGGAAGAGAGATACAGTATATTGTTAATTCATTGAATATATATTGGTGAATGGAGATGGAAGTTGTGGTAGATTAGATTTTGTCTACGTATGTCTACTACTTGTCTACAAATGTTAAAATTTTGGTTGTGACTTAGAAGGTCAAGGGCACGTGCTAAGATCACACCAAGGATTTAATTTCTTGATCTTTTCTTTTTGTTGGTATGAGTGAATAATTTGTATCGGGTTTTTAACAATTTTCTAATGATTTATCATTTATGCATTGTGAAAACGATGATACTATTCACAATTTGTGGAATTGGCTGATCCAAAAAATGTTTAAAATGGCATTCGCTACTAGTGGAGATCTCGAGGGTGTGTTCACTAGAGTAAGGGTCTAATTTTTAGCCTAAACCAGCTTATTCGATTTGTTTTCTTTCTTTGATTGGTTTTTAGAAGTGAGAGAAGAAAAAAAAAAAGGTACGTAAATGTACTGTGACTTGCACTTGCAAGTAATAGCTTTCGATGAAGTCTTAGACAGTAACAAAAAAATCCGCTCAACTAAATTTACCTAACAAATTATCAACCTATATATACATGTTTCCATAGTTTTTGATCAACCAGGGTTTAAATTAAAAATACACTGGCAATTCTAAACAACCCTATTCCCTTATCTATTGAAATTTTGTTTTTTGCTTTTGTTATTTGTTGTTGTTATGGGAGAGCGAAATAGTAGGAATTAGAGGAAGACCAATCAAATTTTAAATATTTATCTGAATTTTATTTCAAGTTGTATTTATATGTCTTGATTGCCTTGCCAAAGAATAACAAGCGCTGAATTTTATTAATTAAAAAGAGGTAAAATTACAAAATAAAATTCAAAGAGCTAGAAGAAAAAAAGAAATTCCGCTATTCTTCCGTAAAAATCGTTAATTCGTTATAACAGAATTTCATTCTCATTGCCTACATCTTTATTTTTTCTTTACACCAATACAAGTCAAACTTAAAAAAAAAACAAATCTTTAGATCAACATAGACCAAAGAGTCAAAGAAATAATGTCTGTCTCCATAAAGTCTCCAACTTTTATAACAAATTTTCCGTTGAATGACAGTAAATAACCAACGGTCTAGTTCTTATCATGTCTAAAAACCACAAGCTTCCTTCCTCATCTTACGCTCCCTCTTAACCTCTCCTTTTATTCTCCTTCTCAATCTCTTCTCTACTGATCGTATAATCATTCTCACGAAGACGAGTGACCAAAAGAAGGTTAAGCTTTTTTAACTTTCTTTAATCTCCCGCTTCTTGCGAAGATTAGACGAATCCATTTAGATTTTAGAAACCACACAAAAATGGGTCGGCTCAAGTTCGCATGTCCCGTTCTTGAGATCAATCTAATCTCAGCTCAAGATTTAGCCCCTGTTTCAAGAAACATGAAAACGTATTCCGTCGCTTGGATCAACACCGATCCTATGAGAAAACTCACGACGCGTGTTGATCAATCCAATAGAGCTAACCCTATATGGAACGAGAAGTTTGTGTTTCGTGTTAACGACAAGATTCTTGACGTTGACGCATCCGCGATTGTGATTGAGATTTATGCAGCGGCTTGGGCTAAAGATGCTCTTGTTGGTACTGTGAATGTTCTTCTTAGCGATCTTTTTGCTCCTTGGTCTGGTTTTGGTGATGGTGACGATGGTGGTGGTGGGAATAACAATATGAGGCTCGTGACGCTTCAGATACGTCGTCCTTCGGGGAGGCTACAAGGGTTTTTACGGCTAGGTGTTGCACTTCTTGATGGTGGTCAACGGAGTATGCCGTTATCTATCGAGGTTTTCGATGGAAGTCGAAGAGGAGAGACGAATAGTAATAAAAGAGATCAAGAAGCTTCAAGAATGATGCATCGTCGTACGAATAGCGATCAAACGGATTTAACCACGTCTACGAATGATTATGGTGTGAAAACAGGGGTTGTTACTGGCAATGGAGGAGGAGGAGGTGGTGGTGGTGGAATTGTTGTTGGTGCGGATAGTATGGTTAATGGTTCACTGTGTAGCTCTGATATTGGACCATCAGCGTCTGTGGTTGCTGCTGCGATTGCTCAGGGGCTTTACAATAGGCAGAAAACAGCGGTTAAAGCGGCGAGTAGTAACAAAGAGGACGCAAGTTCGATACTTGAAGGGAAAACAGAGGGAATCGAGCATAGAGTTGAGCGGTGGAGAGCAGAGAAAAATGGCACGGCTGGAGCGGGTGAAGCGGCTGGATCAAGCGATGATTCTAGCGGGAAAGGAGGAGCTGGAAGGAGAAGAAGGAGAAGAAGAAGAAAGGAGAAACAACAAGGGCGGAGAAACGGTGGAGGAGAAGGTAAGAAAGGGTTGTTTTCATGTTTTGGAAACGTGTTTGGATGTGAGATTTCGATAACATGTGGCGGTGGAAGCGGCGGAGAAGGAGACAGCACAAAGAAGAGATATAATAACAATAAAGTAGTAAATCTTAGTGCTGTAGACGAAACGTTTAGTCATTCTGCTACTTGAGGAGAAAAAGTTGTTTCTTTTTTTTTGTTTCTTTTGGTGGTGTAAAACGGTTGATGATGGGTTTAAACTGTGCAGATATGAAAGTATTGAGGTTAAAACGTATGAATAAACTTCCTGTTACATTTCTGGTAGAGAGACTAACTTGAATATTTGTATAATACTGGGGTTATTATGAAAAGTTTTCAAAGAAAGGGAAAAAAAGAGAGCTTTTTTGAGAAACGCATCAAACACACCATAACTTCATCATCAACCTTCTCCTCTTTCTTACGCAATTACAACTTCAACGCCTCTCCCTCTCTCTGTTCGCTGTGAATGTCGAGATATTCGTAAGCTCTCTGCTTTCAAATTTCTCTCAAATTGAGGTATAGCGAGAGGGGCACAGAGATAGAGAGTGAGACGCATTGGAAACGGTGATTTTCCCAGTTCCCGGAGAAACAATCGGCTGATTTTATCATTGATTTCTCTACAATCGGAGAATCTGAACCTCACCCACTCGAATTGAGCTCGTGGGTTTTGGTGGGTTTTTATCAATTTTCCAGATTCTGGAGAAAAATCTTGAATTTTATCAAGATGTTTGGGTGTGATTGTTTTTATTGGAGCAGAGGAATCTCTGAGTTGGATTCGGAATCGTCTGAGCCAAAGCCCTTCTCGCTTCCGTCTCCTCTTCCTTGTTGGCCACAAGGTATATAAAAACTTTCTTTTACTGGAAATTGCAATTTATCTATAATTATGAAAATGAAGTAGCAAGATTCTGTTTAAGGAACTCTCATTTAGGCAAATTTTTCGTCTTATTGTAGTAAGTGTGTCAAGAATTGCAAAAACTGGTTCATGTAGCATGTAAACTTAGGAAGAACAATTTGAAACATTGGATAAATGAAGGAGAAGAATCAAAATTAGAACTAGAATTTTTTCAGCTAGGTTTGGTCTAATCAAATAATTGAGTTTGGTTAGTTATAATATCGATATTTTATCTTTCATGCGTACATAAGATAAGGTTAATTATCATCGATCCTTCCTTTGTTAATGACTTTAATCTTATCTAATTTTGTGGCTTGATTTTATATAATTGTTTGGAAAGAGAATTAATTTCTGGTTTATTGAAATTTGAAAGAACTAAGGAAGATGCTTTGGAATATTCTGCATGGGTTCCGTTGTCTTGTTCTTTCTTCTTTGGTTGACTCTGATTCAAGATTTTTGTCTTAGAACAGTATACACAAGTTAATTTCAAGCCTAATAGTCTAATACTTTCTCTCACATGAAACTTTTTTTTTAAATGTCAATTTTTGCTATAATTAGATATGATTGGTTTTGTGAATTTTTCTTGGCTCAATAATGTAAGCAGTAATAATGTTGTCTGTCTGATCATAGAAAAAATGGCTCTTATCATTAAATGTTATGAAGGGTAGATGGATATGGTATCATGTTATCTAATATGCTTCTATGGGACAAAATAAGTTTTGTTTGTTGGAGATAAATCTCGGTATTGGTAATGAATTTGAAGCTGATATATTCGTACTTTGGGTTTTTGTTAAAGAAAACATTAAGCTAAGCACCTTCTCGTTCTACTGTTTTAAACCATCAATTTTTCTATCTAGAAGTGTTGTTAATTCTTTGATACTGAAAGTGATGTATCATCTGTTATTGTCAATCTCTTTGCAGGTAAAGGTTTTGCCACGGGAAGAATAAACCTAGGAGAAATAGAAGTGGTGAAAATCACCAAGTTCCATAGAGTTTGGAGCTCTGATTCATCGCACGATAAATCAAAACGTGCAACATTTTACAGAGCCGAGGAAATTCCAGAAGGTTTCCATTGCTTTGGTCACTATTGCCAGCCAACCGATCAGCCCTTGAGAGGTTATGTACTTGCAGCTCGGTCTAGCAAAGCCGTCAATGCTGATGATCTCCCACCCCTGAAAAAGCCTGTGAGTTATTCTTTAGTTTGGAGTGCAGATTCAGAGAAAAATGGTGGTGGTTATTTCTGGCTACCTAATCCTCCGGTTGGTTACAGAGCAATGGGAGTTATTGTAACCCATGAACCAGGTGAACCTGAAACAGAGGAGGTTAGATGTGTAAGAGAGGATCTTACAGAGAGTTGTGAAACCTCTGAGATGATACTTGAGGTGGGTTCTTCGAAGAAGTCGAACGGCTCTAGTTCTCTTTTTAGTGTATGGAGCACCCGACCTTGCGAGAGAGGGATGCTGTCACAAGGTGTAGCTGTTGGGTCATTCTTTTGCTGCACTTATGATCTGTCTTCTGATAGGACGGTCCCTGATATTGGATGCTTAAAGAATCTTGATCCGACCTTACACGCGATGCCAAATCTCGACCAGGTCCATGCGGTTATCGAACACTTCGGACCAACAGTCTACTTCCACCCAGAAGAGGCTTACATGCCTTCATCCGTACAATGGTTCTTTAAGAATGGAGCTTTGTTGTACCGGTCAGGGAAATCACAAGGTCAACCGATTAACTCCACGGGCTCGAACTTGCCTGCTGGAGGATGCAATGATATGGAATTCTGGATAGATCTTCCCGAAGACGAAGAAGCAAAGAGTAATCTCAAGAAAGGAAACCTTGAAAGCTCGGAGCTTTACGTTCATGTGAAACCAGCACTTGGTGGAACCTTCACCGACATTGTGATGTGGATTTTCAGCCCCTTTAATGGCCCGGCCACGCTCAAAATCGGGCTATTCACGTTACCTATGACCCGCATAGGAGAACATGTCGGTGATTGGGAACATTTCACTTTCCGCATATGCAACTTCTCTGGTGAGCTTTGGCAAATGTTCTTCTCTCAGCATAGTGGTGGTGGTTGGGTTGATGCATCAGATATTGAGTTTGTGAAAGATAACAAACCGGCAGTGTACTCATCTAAACACGGACATGCGAGTTTCCCTCACCCGGGAATGTACCTCCAAGGCTCGTCAAAGCTCGGGATTGGAGTCAGAAACGATGTTGCAAAAAGCAAGTACATTGTGGATTCAAGCCAAAGGTATGTGATTGTAGCAGCTGAGTATTTAGGTAAAGGAGCTGTGATAGAGCCGTGCTGGTTACAGTATATGAGAGAATGGGGTCCGACCATTGCATATGATTCGGGGTCTGAGATCAATAAGATCATGAATCTTCTTCCTTTGGTTGTTAGGTTCTCTATTGAGAACATTGTTGATTTGTTTCCCATTGCTCTTTATGGAGAAGAAGGTCCTACGGGGCCAAAGGAGAAAGATAACTGGGAAGGAGATGAGATGTGCTGAAAGAAGACAAACCTCTGCGTGAAGAATAAGGTTTAGTGGGAGACGAAGTCTCTTGTTGACGCAGAGAGATTTGGTCATAAAGATTTGTTCATCTTTATTACGTGTTGCGACTTATATTGTATTTACAGTATACTAGCTTAGGGTTTGATCATGGTGGTTGTAATTTGATGATGTAAGACCTAAAACACTGCGTTTGCGGCTGTAATCAGCTGCCACAACGGCTAATGAGAAATATGAATGATGTATTTGACTATTTGTGTACTGGTATCTTCTCGTAGCTTTGTGTTCTGTTCTTTACGCAATTGGTATAAAACATTTTCTTGTAAGCTCGAGGAACAAAAACTTGGAGAAAAAAACCTTGGTTTAATAGTGTATAACCGAATTACACAAAAGTATGTTCCGGTTCTGTAATTCGGTTCTGATAATCGGTTTAATAGTGTGTAAATTGAAAACTTGAACCGCGTTGTCTATTCTCTCTATCTCTTTCTTCTCTGATAAACCTCTCGACACTCACTTCCGTCGTTAGCTGCAGTTATAAATCCGGCGAATTGCCAACGGAAAATTCACTCATATAGCAATATTGAGTAACTGCAATGGAGGTTTTTACAAAGATATGGTGTTGAGTTTCATTACGGCGTTATTGCTGCGATGGATTTCATTTCCGCTTCTTCCATATCTTCACCCTTTCTCACACAGTTGTCTCCGCTTTCTTTGAGCTCAGGTACAGTATCGTTAAAGCCTAGATATCGGGTCAAAAAACGAAACTTTGGGTCTAGAGAATCCAATAAATCTAGGAAAATTGTGCCCATTAGAGGCTGCTTTGGTTTTTCCGAAGTAAATGGGAGTTTTTTGAGGTCAAAACAGTCTGATTACGGTAGTGAAGCTGTTTCGGAATCATTGAGATTATCTTCCGAGTATAATAGCGCAAAGACGAGAGAGAGCGTAATACAGTTTGTTACCAAGCCTTTAGTTTACGCCTTGTTTTGTATTGCAATTGGATTTTCGCCTATTCACTCTTTTCAAGCTCCAGCTTTAGCTGTGCCTTTCGTCAGTGATGTGATTTGGAAGAAAAAGAAAGAGACAGTGAGAGAGAAAGAGGTGGTTTTGAAAGCAGTTGATCATGAGTTCTCGGATTATACACGGAGATTGTTGGAGACAGTCTCGGTTTTACTGAAGACTATTGACAAGGTTAGAAAGGAAAATGGAGATGTTGCTGAAGTGGGAACGGCTTTGGATACAGTAAAGGTGGAGAAGGAGAAACTGCAGAAGGAGATAATGAGTGGATTGTATCGTGATATGAGGCGCTTGAGGAAGGAGAGAGATGTGTTAATGAAACGAGCTGATGGAATTGTAGATGAGGCCCTAAGATTGAAGAAAGAGAGTGAAAAACTGTTGAGAAAAGGTGCTAGGGAGAAAGTGGAGAAACTGGAAGAGAGTGTGGATATAATGGAGAGCGATTACAACAAAATATGGGAAAGAATTGATGAGATTGATGATATCATTTTAAAGAAAGAGACAACAACATTGAGTTTTGGGGTTAGGGAGCTTATTTTCATCGAAAGAGAGTGTGTGGAGTTGGTTAAGAGCTTCAACAGAGAAATGAATCAAAAAAGTTTTGAAAGGTGATATCTCTAGCCATGATTTAAGCTGAGATAATATTATTCTACCTTACCTAATACCTATAGCTGAGAATTTGGTTAGATGCTTTAACATTTGATTGGTATAATAAGCTCATCTATTTGCAAGACTTCTCTTTGCATTCATCTTATTGCGTGCACTTCTAGCGGTGATGGTAAAAGTTGTATCTTTTACTTGTCAAATTAGCAATTATTTTGTTTGTACCCCTGCACTTAGTCTAAGTGTATCTTTTTGTTGGCTTTTATATATGTTTTGTCATATATATGCTCTCTGTTTTTCCTGTTGACATAAATGTTTCATGTTTCACTTACAAGATCAGTTGATTTCTGGTTGTAGTGTTCCTGAAAGCTCCATTACAAAACTCTCGAGGTCTGAGATTAAGCAGGAATTAGTGAACGCTCAAAGAAAGCACTTGGAACAAATGATACTGCCTAATGTTTTGGAACTAGAGGAGGTTGATCCCTTTTTCAATCGTGACTCAGTGGATTTTTCTCTACGCATCAAAAAACGCCTTGAGGAATCAAAAAAGCTGCAGAGAGATCTTCAGAATCGTATCAGAAAACGTATGAAAAAGTTTGGTGAAGAAAAGCTTTTTGTTCAAAAGACTCCAGAAGGTGAAGCTGTCAAAGGATTTCCTGAAGCCGAGGTGAAATGGATGTTTGGAGACAAGGAGGTGGTCGTTCCGAAAGCCATCCAGCTCCATCTACGCCATGGTTGGAAAAAGTGGCAGGAAGAAGCAAAAGCCGATTTGAAACAGAAACTTTTGGAAGATGTTGATTTTGGTAAACAATATATTGCGCAGAGACAGGTAACCTTTGGCTTATGATATCAAGTACTGGCCCACAAATGTTTGGTTTGTTTATTATTGGTGGATGGAACAATGCTTTATGTTTTTCATGGTAGATAAATTACAACCCTAGCCTTGTGATTAGCATGATTAACCTATAGATTTGTATTCTTTAGTGATGGAAATTTCAAGAATTGCCTTGGTTTTGGTAGATTCTGAAGTTTTTTTTTATATTGAATATGCAATTTCATGTGTTATCTTCTCGAGCGAGAAAGAAAATCAGTTTACTTGGGCTAGCAAGGAGCACTCATTTGTTTTTTGGCTTACACCATTTATTGGATCTTTTCACTGTTTGATCTTCGCAGAACTGAGATGCTAGCTGTAATGCTTGCAATGAGACAGTTTTAGTTGAAACCTTGTCGAAAATTTTATGTACATCTGTGTCTTTTGCAGAGCTTATTGCCCATGTATATTCACTTAGTTAATGATTTTTTAAATCTGAAGGAACAAGTTCTCCTGGATCGAGATAGAGTTGTTTCAAAGACATGGTATAACGAAGACAAAAATAGGTGGGAGATGGACCCTATGGCTGTTCCATATGCAGTTTCCAGGAAGCTGATTGACAGTGCCAGGATTAGGCATGATTATGCTGTAATGTATGTTGCATTAAAAGGAGATGACAAGGAGTATTACGTTGACATCAAGGTTGACCAGTTGAAATCCTAGTCTATTTGATGAAATGTTAAGTTTAGGCTTTTAACTCTTGGCTATGGTTGTAGGAATATGAGATGCTATTTGAGAAGTTTGGAGGCTTTGATGCTCTATACCTTAAAATGCTTGCTTGTGGAATCCCAACTTCTGTTCATCTGATGTGGATACCCATGTCAGAGCTAAGTCTTCAACAACAGTTTCTGTTGGTTACAAGGGTGGTTTCTCGAGTCTTTAACGCATTGAGGAAGACTCAAGTTGTATCAAATGCGAAGGATACTGTAATAGAGAGAATACAGAATATAAACGATGACATTATGATGGCGGTCGTGTTTCCAGTTATCGAATTTATCATTCCTTACCAGGTATCACTTTACTCTCTCTGGATATTTTCCTCCTGTTTCCCTGTGTCTTAGTTTTTTTGTTTTCTGACACAGTTAAGGCTGCGTCTGGGAATGGCTTGGCCGGAAGAAATAGAACAGACTGTTGGCTCAACATGGTACTTACAATGGCAGTCTGAAGCAGAGATGAACTTCAAGTCCCGCAATACAGAAGATTTTAAGTGGTTCCTCTGGTTTCTAATTCGAAGTTCTATATACGGGTTTGTTTTGTATCATGTTTTCCGCTTTCTGAAAAGAAAGGTTCCAAGACTTCTTGGCTATGGACCCTTCCGCCGAGATCCAAACGTACGGAAATTCTGGAGAGTGGTATGTAACTTTTCTTTCTCCTTATGCTTCTCTTTCCAACACTCTCAATTTGTCGTGAGTAGTAGTAGTATTGTAGCTAGTGTTACACCGTTCATGTTTGTTGATCATTCAGGTTTCTTACACTTACAGTTGATTACTAAAATCGGTTTTATTTATTTTGCAGAAATCATATTTTACTTATAGAAAAAGGAGAATCAAACAAAAGAGAAAGGCTGGAATCGACCCCATAAAAACTGCATTCGACAGAATGAAGAGAGTGAAAAATCCACCAATCCCATTAAAAAACTTTGCTAGTATTGAGTCTATGAGAGAAGAAATCAATGAGGTTGTAGCATTTTTACAGAATCCAAAGGCATTTCAGGAGATGGGTGCCAGAGCACCTCGGGTATGTTGCTTTACGGTTGTGTGTTATCCTGTGGGACAGTGTTCAGTTGTAAGCTTGCTTATTCACGTTGCAGGGAGTTCTTATTGTGGGTGAGAGAGGAACGGGAAAGACGTCACTGGCGCTCGCTATAGCAGCCGAAGCAAGAGTGCCTGTTGTTAATGTTGAAGCTCAAGAGTTGGAAGCTGGACTATGGGTTGGTCAAAGTGCAGCGAATGTCAGGGAACTCTTTCAAACTGCAAGAGACTTGGTTCGTTGCTTTGCCTCATATTGTTTTATTAATTCATCAGTTTCATAGACATTAAATTTTGAGTCCTCATGATAATCAGGATCCGAGTCTTATGTAACATCAGTTTCGATGTCATCTTATGTTCTGATGTTTACTGTGATGACTAGGCACCTGTTATCATTTTTGTGGAGGATTTTGACCTCTTTGCCGGTGTACGCGGGAAGTTCGTACATACAAAACAGCAAGATCATGAATCGTTCATTAATCAGCTTCTTGTTGAACTTGATGGGTAAGAGCCAATTTCTATGTTAATCAAAAATTAAGACCAGATTTGTTGCATTCATAGCGGTTTCTCAAAGTATTTCGTTTAATGCAATAGGGATTGGTCCAGTAGAAACTCAAGTAACTTCTCCTGTTTCCAGTTGACTTTTCTGATGTCATTCCAATTTGTAATTTCTACTTATGCAGCTTTGAGAAACAGGATGGCGTAGTTTTGATGGCGACGACACGAAATCATAAGCAAATTGATGAGGCGTTAAGAAGGCCAGGTCGTATGGATAGAGTATTCCATCTTCAAAGTCCAACTGAAATGGAAAGGGAAAGGATTTTACACAACGCTGCAGAAGAAACCATGGACAGAGAACTCGTTGATTTAGTGGATTGGCGTAAGGTGATCTTAAGTTTTGCAAAGTTGTTTATATGTGCTAGCGATGATATATGTTTTCTTTTGCACCTTCAAAGTTTTGATCATTTCTATTTTGCTTGTGAGTACTGTACCACGACGTGTTTCTTCTTTCTTGCTCTCTCCTATATCTCTCTGTTGTTCTGTTCCACTATGTTAGTTACCAGTTCATGGTTACAGGTTTCGGAGAAGACAACTTTATTACGACCGATAGAACTGAAACTTGTTCCAATGGCTCTTGAAAGTAGTGCCTTCAGAAGCAAATTTCTGGACACTGACGAACTTCTGAGTTATGTTAGCTGGTTTGCGGTAAGAAATTTTGTCATCTGCTGCACCTATGGTCAAAACCAGTTTTTGTTCATTTCTATGTTTTCATCAGGGTGATTTCTCTCTCTTTTCTGACAGACGTTTAGCCATGTAGTGCCCTCATGGCTGCGGAAAACTAAAGTTGCAAAGACAATGGGCAAAATGCTTGTGAATCATCTTGGACTCAACTTAACCAAAGAAGATTTGGAGAATGTGGTTGATCTGATGGAACCATATGGACAAATAAGCAATGGAATAGAACTTTTGAATCCTCCTGTTGATTGGACGAGGGAGACAAAGTTCCCACATGCTGTCTGGGCGGCTGGTCGTGCTCTCATCACACTTCTAATACCAAACTTCGATGTTGTGGAAAATCTTTGGCTTGAGCCTAGTTCCTGGGAGGGAATTGGGTGTACAAAAATCACCAAGGTCACAAGTGGAGGCTCTGCAATTGGGAATACAGAATCAAGATCGTATCTTGAAAAGAAGCTCGTTTTCTGCTTTGGATCTCACATTGCATCCCAAATGCTTCTTCCTCCCGGAGATGAAAATTTTCTTTCTTCTTCAGAAATAACTAAAGCGCAGGAGGTAAACTCTTTCTACTCCTTTGCAGTATGCTGTCGTCTACATACTTTATGTTTCGTATCCCTATGATTATGATTTGTGTCTTGCAACAGATTGCAACACGTATGGTGCTTCAATATGGCTGGGGACCCGATGACAGTCCTGCAGTATACTATGCTACTAACGCGGTAACCTTCTTTCTTATATTTGAAATTGGTTCCATTCCAAAATTAATGTCAGATACCACTGAACCAACATGTTGAATACTGAACATGATGATTCGATCTTACATACAGTTTGCATACATTCTGATGTCTCATCTGATCAGTTGATTGACCTTATACTTTTTTTCTGTTTGGTTTATTTGATTCGAATGAGCAGGTTTCAGCTTTGAGTATGGGGAACATTCACGAATATGAAATGGCGGGTAAAGTTGAAAAGGTTTGTTTTGCTCTCTAGTTTCCAATACGTTCTTAATATCTGCCAGTGTCTTTGGTGCCTCTCTAGCGTTCGCAATTTTCTATCTTCAGCTTCGCTTTTCAGTTGGTTCAAGCATTGTCCAAGGCTAAAATATATAACCTCTCTAATGTCATCTTATTCCTCTACAGATTTATGACTTAGCGTACGAAAAGGCAAAGGGAATGCTACTTAAAAATCGCCGTGTCCTTGAGAAAATCACAGAGGAGCTACTCGAATATGAGATCTTAACTCAGAAGGTACGATGTTTGGATCAACTTAGAGTGAAGGATGTTCCAAAGTCCAAACAACCTCTCTGCATATAAAATATCATCAATTTTGTTTGCTCGTAATGGTTTGCAGGATCTGGAAAGAATTGTTCATGAGAATGGAGGAATTCGGGAGAAGGAACCTTTCTTTCTATCAGGAACCAATTATAATGAGGCAAGTATTACGACCATCAATCCAATTTTTATTAAAATGCTTGTATTAGGAAACCTTTAGCCATTTTCTGTTGATACTAGGCTTAGTGCTTAGAGTTTGTTTCTTTTTTTGTTTGCAGCCATTGTCAAGGAGTTTTCTTGATGTTGGAGATCCGCCAGAAACTGCACTTCTTAGTGCACCAACCTAAAAGCAATGAAGATGATTCCATATTTTGATGATAGAGTTTCTTAGCATATCTTACTTATCTACTATGTATTAAATGGCAAAAAAAAGTTTAGAAGAAACATTTACCATGTATTTATATGCCAAGAACATACAATGAATGGTTTTAAATATTCAATCTAAAAAAATTAATAAACTAAATTTGATATTTGATTAGTAATAAACTAACTACTTCTTCCAAAAAAACTCACATGATCAATTACCCTATTTTTTTTTCTTCAAATAAAATATAGAGATCAAGTATCAAATAATCTTTCTACATATTGATTCTTTCTTAGAATGAGTTAGTTTTCATAAGAATGTAAATTTAGTAAGTGACTTAGTGGTTATTAATATGTGGTCATTCTGTGAGCTAATATTGCAACAGAGACACAAATGTTTTTTTCAACCTTTTTTTGTTATCACTAACTTATTTGACAAATCAACAGGCCATCAGCGGGGAGATGCGTCTTGTGACTTTACTACATGCTATTATGGATTAGGGATGGCATTTTTGGCTGTTGCTGCCATTTCTTTGCCCTACATTTTAGGGGTCACCGCTTTATTTTTGAGGTAATTTTCATCACATTGGCTGTATCATTAGCATCAAGAACCAACCTATAATCTCAACATCTTCCGCTGACAAGGAAATCTTAATTTACTTGTGTATGTTAAGTCTTTGGTCTTTCCTTCATGTTTTTTCATTAAGTGACCTATAAAGAATGAATCAGGTTTATGGGATTGTGTTTATGTGCTGCTCAGTTTCATAAATTGTTATTGATTCATCATACTCTTTGTTCTTGAATTTAACTGGATTAGGATCTGTCAGGATGAATTTTTGTTTCACTGGTTTATGTACTAACTTGCCGGTTTCTGCTACATATGTATTGAGCAGGTTGGGTCTGATGATAGCCTTAGCCATGGTTCTAGTTTCGTTCATGACTTATGCTTCAGAGCACCTTGCAATCAAATGGTTCCTCAAAGGTCTAGAAAACCGTAACACGACGAGGAAAAAGTCAATCTGCTTCCTCTGCTGACACATCAATAGCGTGTCACAGTGTAACTCACGACACAACTTATGATCTCTTCATTCTGTTAGGATATGACTCCGAGTTTTGTTCTTTCTTGTGTTAATATATCATTGATTACGTATTCATGTTATTACAACAAGTTTTATTTTGATTTTAGAAATGAAAACATTACATAAAAAGGCCAGTGAAAACGGAACATTTCCGCTTAACCCATAGTGAGGTTCTTGTAGAAATAAATCTCCATCTCTCCGGAGAACCTCTTGGATAACAACCTATATATTGGATAATCGTTGGACAAACTGATAGTCGTTGGATAGTCACCGTCACCGAAAGTTAACTTGTAGTATTGGTCAGTTTGCTCGATGGCGAACGTACTGGCATTGTTTGACGTAGATCCGTTGAGGACTACTTCACCTTCTGAAGAGTTTCTCTGAACTACTCTCCAAAACCCGGATTCACCGCAGTGACAAGGATCTACGAACTTAATCTTAAGTTTGGTTGATTCACGTACGACTGTATCTGATTTGTTTGATAATACAAACATAACCGGTGTGGGTGCTGCTATATTTGGATGAGTGACCATTAACGGTTGTTGTGGGCATGAGTTGGGATCATTAGATCTCCATTTCTTTCGGCAGATCCACATGTTGTAATCCGACGTCATGAAGCTGATGTAGTACGGAACGTTGGGCTTAACCTGATCTCCTTCGCCATCATAAACCACGTAGTTACCCTCACCAACAACACCGAATGTTGCTGTTATTGCAACGAGCAAGAAAGAGATCATCATCAATCGGAATGTTTTCATCTTTGTGTTGTTTCTGACTTTCTTGCTTTTGTGTGACCTTGTGTTGAGTTCCTTTTATAGAGATTAGTTATGGGACCCCATATATAATGGGTTGGTTACAATACCCATTCTTTTTCGTCTTCTTTCTACTCCACATCATCTTGAGCTTGCTTCTTAAAGCTTCTAAACATTTCTTTTCTCCTTGCTATCTGGATCTGGTTTACGAGTCGATCTAAGTCAAATCTAGCTAAGTACTAAGTCTAATCTAGCTACGTACTTCTTATCTCTTTTTACCATTCTATGATATTAGCTCACGTTCACTCCCAGGAAGAGAATGACAAAACTGTCATAAATAATTTGACTTATGTACAACTGGCCACATATATCCGGCCTTGTATATCATTCAATGTATTATCAGACTTCACTTCAGATGTAAGATATTTCTCACATATAAATGGTTAATGTACAAACTGGCATTTATAGAGATTAGAAAAATAATGGCTTCAATGCAACTCACAAACACTTCTTTTCCCCTAACAATATGGAGACTACAAGTGGATTTTTGGTCAATGCCACGTACTAATTGAGAAATAAACAGCAAGTAAATTGGAGTGGACTTTCTAATTGACCAAAGATAAATAAATCAACAACAATTTAATATGCATGTAAAGAGTAAAGTATGATTTTCCTTAAGAAGATATCCACGAATAAATTCTTACGTTTGCTCTACGTAATCTAAGATTATCATGAGATGAGACTTTTGAGTGTTAAAGAGCCTTTACACTAATTTTGATCGTTTGCCATTTTTTGTTTTGTTTCGAAGAGATCAATATACTGCTGTTCTGAAAATCGAATCAATCACATAGATTTCAATTTTTACAAGTTTAGGAAAGTATGTTGGAGATTAGGATGACTCAGAGTTTTGTTCTTAATTTCTTGTGTTATTACATCATTGTTTTTCTAAATGATTTTGGTCATATAAATTAAAGTTGGTTTCTTCATCACGTACCCATATCATGTTTTACAACAAGTTTTTGATATACAAGAGTCGATTAAAGTTTTTGGCAATCGCATTTAGTAATATATTGGAAAAGGAAAATAAAATTAAAGAAAAAAACCCAACTTAAATTAGCGTAAAACATGAATACCAATAGATGAACCAACTAATGATCTCCGAGTTTAGTTTATTTGATCATTTATTGCGTATTCATGTTATTACAACAAAGTTTTATTTTGATTTTTGAAATGAAAACATTAGTATTCACCCATAGTCAGGTTCTTGTAGAAATAAATCTCCATCTCTCCAGATAACCTCTTCGATAACAACCTATATATCGGATAATCGTTGGTCATACTGATAGTCGTTGGATAGTCACCGTCACCGAAAGTGAACTTGTAGTATTCGTTAGTTTTATGGATGGCGAACGTACTGTCATTGTTTGACTTAGATTTAGATCCGTTGAGGACTACTTCACCTTCTAAAGAGTTTCTCTGAGCAACTCTCCAAAACCCGGATTGACCACACTTGCGAGGACCTACGAACTTAATCTTAAGTTTGGCTGATTCACGTACGACATCTGATTTGGATGCTAATACAAACATTACCGGTGTGGGTGCTGCTATATCTGGATGTGTGACCATTAACGGTTGTTGTGGGCATGAGTTGGGATCAGTAGATCCATATTGCCTTCGGCAGATCCACATGTTGTAATCCGACGTCATGAAGCTGATGTAATACGGAACGTTGGGCTTAACCGGATCTCCTTCGCCATCATAAACCACGTCGTTACCCTCACCAACAACACCGGATGTTGTTGTTATTGCAACTAGCAAGAAAGAGATCATCATCAATCCGAATGTTTTCATCTTTTTGTGTTGTTTCTTATTTTCTTGCTTTTGAGTTCTTGTGTTGAGTTCCTTTTATAGAGATAGTGGGTTGGTTACAATACACATTCTTTTTCGTATTCTTTCTACTCCACATGCATGAACTTGCTTCTTAAAGCTTCTAAACACTTTCCTTTTTTCCTTACTATCTGGATCTGGTTTACGGGGTGGATCTAAGTCAAAGCTACAATACTAGTTAAGAAATGATTAAACACACGCTCCACACGAGCTTATAGTGTTAAGTTTCATAAGCTTCCAACGTGAATGATCCATGATCCATGCATATCCCTTGTATATGACCATTTGGGATGATGATATTAGTTCATTCCGACAATCTTACACTATTATTTCACGTTCACTCTCACGAAGAGAATGCCTAATATAGTAATATGTCATAAATAAATTGACTTTTTTTTTCTCGTAAATAATTTGACTTATTTACCACCATGTTGACAATGAGTTGGCCAAAATCCACATATCCTTTGTATATTAGTCAATGTCTTGTCTCACTTCACTTCCGATGTAAGATATTTCTCATATATAAATGGTTAATGCACAAACTGGAATTTATAGAGATTAGTCAAATAATGGCTTCAATGCCACTCATAAACACTTCTTTTCCCCTAACAATACGGAGATTACGAGTGGATTATGGTCACTAATTAAGAACCTGCCATACTAATTGAGAAATAAACACGCTTCAGCCTTCAGATAAATTAGTGTGGACTTTCTAATTGACCAAAAGATAAATAAATCAAATCAAAACAATATAACATATGTAAAGTATCATTTTCCTTTAGAACATATACACGAATAAATTCTTACGTTTGCTCTACGTAATCTAAGATTATCTTAATTTGGTGTTACCAAGAAAATTAGGTTCCGGTTTGGTTTAGGCTTTGATTTTGGTTCAATAAAACACATTGGTTCTATAGCTTCGGTTCAGTTTGGTTTAACTCTATATCACTGTTCTTTAGCAAGGAGCGATTAAAGCTAAGAACAGAGTTTGTGGAGGGGAAATAATTGATTTTTCTTTTCGTTCTCCAATTTTTGTTAAATGTAAACGGTAATAATCATCAGTTTGTGTATGGCGAATCTGCTGTATCTTCAGCTTTCTTCTTGCGTCGTCAGAGGCAGATACTGTTCTATGAACTCTGATTTTTATCTCTGCCCAAGTATCGTGAGCCGCGGTTCCTTTCATTGCCGCGCCTCCCGCGGTCCTAGCTGGGAGGAGGAGCTTTTCCGCGACGAAGGGTTTGCTCGATTTGAGTTCGGAAACCGTAAAAAGAAAAGGCCTTGGTGGTTCGATGATGATGACGATGACGATTATGATGATTGGACAGATGGCGAAGAAGATGACTGGAGTACAGTTTTTGAGGTATTACTTCTTCTTTTGGGAAGTTTCAGGAATTGTAATGTTTATCTCACATTAAAGTTGCTCCCTTTAGTCTTTAGATTCACAATGGTTTCTGTTTAGTTGTTAGCTCTGTTTAGCCAAATTTGGGATTTTTGTTCTAATTGCAGGTATTTAGGACTTTGAGTTGGATGCTTGCACCTATTGGTATATCTTTGCTTCTTGGAACAGATTCAAACGCGGGTTTAATGGCATTAGCTGTTCCTTTAGTTCAATCTGTGTTGTCCCTTGTGGTTAGTAAGGTCTGGAGCAGGCCAAGCTTTAGACCTATGGAAAGAAGCAGAAGAGATTCATTTTCGAGATCTGCGAGTGTAAGTAGTGCAAGAACAAGGAAAGCTAGACAAGGAGAAAACATTAGGGGTGGTGTGGATAAGGGAGGATACAAGTCATGGATGGTAGGAGATGCTGATTCTAACAGCATGGGTAATGGCTATGGAGGGTGGGATGATCTAGATACGCTAAGGGAGATTAGAAATGACAATCCGTCTAATGAGAATGTTCTTCAAAAACAACAGTCTGTAGAAAGAGCTAGTCGGCGATGGAGAGTTAAGGAGAAGCCATTGCTCTTGAGGATGCTAATTGCTGCCTTCCCTTTTTTGGGTTCATGGACCAAATTGTTGTTTTGACAAGGGATTTATCTAAGCCCTTTATAGCTCGGAGAAGTACTGTTTTCACGCGGTTTGAAAAAGGACAAGAGTTTCTCTAGCGATTGGTCATCAAATGTATTCAATCTTCCTGGAATCATAAAGGTTAGCTTTCAATTATCTTGGAACTTAGATGTTAGAATGAATACACCTCTTACTTGTGATAACTATGCATATTCTGTAAGTTGAGAATATATGCCTGTCAGAGATATGTGTTTCTATAAATACAAAGGTGTAATAGTTCTTCTTTTGTACAGCGTAAGTAGTATCTTCAATTTTTATATAAACAGAACCAATAATTGGTGATGGCGTACCAGATGCTGCTGCTACTGTTCTTTAGTATGTGAGATTTAAGATTACATACTCTTCTACTTTATCTAGTCAGGGAGCAATACTGCTAGAATATATGCTTTCACATTTATTTGGTTCACATTATATTAAAACTTTCCAAGGGTTCTTTATATGTTTTTCTTAGTAATAGTAACCAATAGCCTCATGATAAGATTCTTTGATAGAAACTTTTATAAGAATAAAGAACAATATCAGTTTATTGGGAATCCTTCAGTTAGCAAGTTCCTTTAGTACGAAACAGAAATTCACATCTATGATGAGAAAATATACAGTAAACAGTTAACCCACGCTATATATTTCACCAACCTTCATTGAATTATGCAGATTGTAGTCGAAAGTAAGTTTCAAACTAAGTTTCAGAAGCTTAGGAGTACATTTACTCCTATGATCAGCAACCCCTTACCTTAGTCTATATACACTAGGTAGAATTGATTTACTGTTGTCTGGATAAACAAAGAAGTATTGGCATATGCAAATTGCTTTTTCTATGACAAACAAAGAAGTTACATCTGAAAACATAATCTAGGAAGGGCTTTGTACGTATTCTAAAGCATTATCTTTTTGGTTTCTCTTTTATAACTTAGTGTCTGAATATAGAGTCTTCTATGCTTCATGATGATAAAGACTAACCCAAAACTAGATTGTAATTAGGAAATATTATGGAGAAGTAGGAGGATCGAACTTGTAGTGTTTGTCGATAAAATGTGATACATCCCAGGTGCAGCTAAGTCCCTTGGGGATGGTCACAAGGTCTCCTGCACCAAACTCTACAAACTCAGATGACCCTTTTAGATGCACCTTCACCTTTCCCTTCACTAAATAGCATGTTTCTCTTTCTTCAAATACCAATGCATATTTCCCCGGCTGACAAGACCATCTATTTGTCAGAGAGATTCATCATGTTATTACCAATAATATGACGAATGGAAAAAGTGAAAGTATATGTGGTTAGTATAAGTGAAAATCTATGTGGTTAGTAGTAATAGATGCAGAGCAGGTGCATGTTTGATACTTACTTAGGCCATGACATGACTCCAAGGTCGGATAACCTTCTGCTTGAAGGGTTGTTTTCGATTACAATATTCATTTTGGAAGAGGAATAAGGTGAGTATTCGACGATGTTTCAATGAGAACAAAGATAAGAAGAAAGTAGGTATATGAGATGTATTTATATGGTGAAGGACAGAGTAGTTGGTCTGCATGTGTATGATATATATATAAAAACAGGTATGCATAAAGTGACTTCTTCTTCTTTCCCTTCTATTGAAAGGGATAATAGGAGAGAGGAGGAATCTTTTAAAGAAACACTTTGACCCAGGATAGATACAAAACCAAGTCAATAAATACATTCATTAAGCTGCATGTTTTAGATAGTCTTTCTAGAAGTGGTTAATATTACAAATTCTCGAGTTTTCTACTTTTCTTTATTTCATGAATCTGATTAAGAAAGGTTCTCCTCTAGAAGGAAAAATGCTGATTTAGGCTCTCAACAAGCTTTAATGATAAATCCAGATCAAGTCTCCAACCACATGGACCCCTTCTGTTTTGTCCCTGCGCCCATTATGCTTTCCTTTTCACAGTATTTACTAGTAAACGGAGTCTTCTGAGCTGAAACTCAGACTAGTCTCCGGACAATGTAGCCACCATGTGAATTCTGCAGTGATCAAGTGGGTACACTCGAGAGGATAAAATAGGATCTAACTTTTTCAGCTGTTATATGCACTATTAATCTGGATTTGTGTAGCTTGAGATCAGTTATTACAAGTTATAGATCAGTTATTCAGCTGCTGTGATTGCACTATTAATCTGGTATCTGGATTTGTGTAGTTTTGAGATGAGTTACACAATAAGTAATAGATGTTTTTTTCAGTATATTTATTATATGGTTATGGTTTTTAGTATAGAGAATGTTTGACTGATTCTTCAGTAGAAGATACGTGATAATTCCGGACATCGATTTGTGTAGCCCACCTCAAGTTTGGCTGCTTCCTCAACTGGCTCTGCTTGTTTTTTTATTCTAACATGTCATGCATTGGAGGATTAGTACTTTATAGTATATGCATCTCCTAATATATATGCATGCATAAATTCACATATCTTCAAATTTGAATGCTAGTAGATTTGCAATTTTCTCTCTCTGTAGTATGAACAAGTGATAAATAAGGGCAGATAGGTTCAGAATGAAAACAAAATCTCCATGTGAACACCCTTATGAAGTTGGGAACAGGGTCTTGCTTTGATTTGGTATCTGGTCATATTTTCACACATCGAAAACCTTTGTTTTTATTGTTTCTTGTTGTCTCTTTTACTCACAGATCTCCAAGAAAGTTCGTACACAAAAGCTTTTCATCGTCGACAGTTCCTATAATTATTTATTTATTTAGTTCTTCATCGCCTCCTTGCGATCTTCTTTACTGGGCTTTATGAGCCGGTAGCAATATATAGGAACTGTCGGCCCATAAATCTTGATTAAAGTAAAAGCCCATTCCGCTTAGCAGTATTATTAATCCTTTTTGTATCCGAGAGAGAGAGAGAGAACGAGTGTGTGACAAATGTTTTAATTATATATAAATTTAGTTCCAGTTAAGTGTAACCTAAAAGGCTAATTATAGCAAACAAAATATATATATATATATATATATTGAGATTTTATTGGAAGTAAAAAATAATACGTGTTCAAACTGTTTCATTCAAAATATGATTTTGTTGACACATATGAAAGAAAAAAAGAGCTATTTATGGTAAGAAAATAGGAAAAAGTGGTATAAAATATTGAGATTGTGTGGAAAATAAATAAGAGCATTTATGTGTTCAATTTACAAAATTTAGAGCTCTATAAATAGGGCTTACTCAAGATGGGGAAAATTGCAAATTATATTGTCTTCTTCAATAGACTATATACCAAGAAAATAAGAAAAGATAATGGGTTTCACAAAAAGATTAGTGATCTTTTCTCTTTTAGTTATATTGGCGGCTGTTTGGTTGTCCACCCAAAGCGCTATGGCAGCAGGTATGTTTTCTTACATAATATTTATTGCAATTAGTTAGTTTTGATCATATGAATTATTGAAACGCAAAAAAAAAAAAAAAAAAAAAAAAAAAGAATTATTGAAACGCCAATACACGCAAACGTGAATTTTTTTGAGAAATTAAAAAGTTTTTTTTGTTACAATTATTAAAGAATATGAAAATATTGAAAATGTAATTTGGCATGTGTAAATATATATACGTGCAGAGATCAAAGCAACGAACGGCCTACAATGCAATAATCCATGTACGAAAAAATATCCAGAGTATGCATGCAACGTGGACTGCATAACATCGGGGTACGCGACAGGACATTGTATTTCTGTGCATCCTCCAGAACCACAATATTGTTGTTGTTATTAATTAAAATTATTATCCGTCAATTTCCTTATGTTCTTCCTATAATTAATTAATTATGAGGAGCAAGTAGTTTCTCTTATAATAATAAAAATGCCATGATTTGAGAAAAAAAAAAACATACTTTCATCATAAGACAAAAAAAAAGAAAGTCTTTTTAATCCTGAACCACAATCCCGTTGATTATTATTGACGTCCGTGTTTATATGTGCTTGTTGCTTATTGGTCAATTTCGCTTATATGTGCTTGTTACTTATTTTTAATTTTATTTTAAAAAATCTCTTTTTCTTTTACAGAAACAAATATTTTGAACTTTGGGTTGGTTGATTTTTGTTTATAGATGGGCTTCATTTAATTTTACTGTATAACTTTACGAATAAAAAATTGATATATTTTCACCTTTAGGGTAACTAAGAATTAAATAGCCGGAAAAGGTTGGTATGATTTGGAGATGATATTTTACTTTTTTATGTATTCTTCAAAAAATCATAAATCATGATGCAGTCGGATAGGGTAGCTTCATTATGTTAATTTATGACGTGAGCTGGTTGAGTTGGTAGATCTCTTAATTCACTTCTATCTTTCTCTCTCTCCAATAATTTTATTTATACAGAAAATTACATAGTAATAGTATACAAAACAAGACAAATGAAAAGTCTTCTTTTGATTTGTAGAATTTATTCTGAATTTTCCAATAATGTTAACCCAATTTTTTCAAGTTTACCGCATTAACAAATGGTTTGTTAATTGCTCTTTTACCAATGGTTAGTGTAATTGCTCTTTTACCAATTTCAGAAAACATCAAATGGTTTGTGTAATTTTAATACTATAAAATACTCCATCAAGCATAACCCGCATTTCAAGAAAACAAAAAAAATACATATATATTCAGAACCAAATTGAACAACACTCACACTAAAAAATACATAAAGATTTTCAAAAAGCAGGGCATTGAACACGACCCATTACATTGACATCAATGGCTCTAATTGTTGTGTACTTTTTTTTTTTTTCTGAATGCTTTATTTATGTAATCTTCCAGCTTCGAAAATTCGTAACCAGTTCACTCTGGTGAGATGAGTGTATTTAAAAAAAAACTTCCCAGAATTGAACTTTTAGATGGTTAGTGAAGTCTAATTTTGATTTTATCCATCCATCAGCTGATGAACACAGTTCAGTTTTCTATATTAAATTAAATAATATGGCATGTAAAACCCATGACATAAAATAAAAAGGAGAGGATATGATCGATGAGCCTAATTCACGTATGTTACGTTAACTATAGCCTATAGATATTTCATATATAGTAACCAAGTAGTTGGTCAAGGATGGTTATACAATGTAGTTTCGTTGGAGGCCGTCCGGTCACTGCATCTCGATTTGTGACATTGGATAAACACAGCACTACACAAAAAATGAAGACGAAGAACGGTAAAGATTAGTTTCATAATTGGATCGATATACATACCTAATCACTTCAAAATTTACACATAACTTGCAGAGA